AAAAAGCATAATTTTATATCTATATACTCTAAATCCCGAAAAGAAGCTTTGAATTCGTACAATATTCGTGCCGGCTTCCGTGGAACTGGAATGGTTCCGTTCAACCCAGACAAAGTATTAAATAGCACCTAATTAAACGAGAACCATCAAATACAACGTCATATTACTCCAGAGCCCCAGTATACTTATGCATTCCGTACGCCCAAAGGCCCCAAAGATATATACGATGCCAAATTAGACGAAATGGGGGGCCGGGACTTCAGGAGGTTTCAGGGGAAGGTCGCAAAGGCGCTGGCAGAGAAGAACACGGAAATCGCTCGACTCAAAGCCGAACTTCAAAAGGGCTGAAAATACAATTGCAGACTTAGGTGGGCCTGCAGGCAAGAAAAGGAAACGGGTTCAGATTGATCAGATTGTTGCGGCTCAGGAGGCAGCTAGGGAGAGGGAACAAAAGGCTGCAAAACGCCTCCAAATTAACCCGGAGGAAAAGTCTTGATAATTGCAGAGGGCAACGTTTAAGCCACTCTATCCACAATTTCAACTACAGTTTTAGAAAAATATATGGTGGTGGCTAAATTCCGCAAAATCCATTCGTCTTTGTGTCCTATTGGAGTTGTGGTGGGGGTGCACAGAAACTGGGTCCGTTGACTGACTTAATGAATCTCCTACTATATACACAATCACTCAGACTCTACGCATCAAAACCCAAAAGGTAAAACAGGGTCAATAATAGAGAATAAGAAATACATTAAAAATTGATCAAAACCAGAACGCATAAAATATATTCTATTCCTTAATTTCATGGTTCGATGATGCGCTTCTATTAGTGCCTTATCCCTGAAAATAATCTCTCGTTTATCAGTGACCATGAGAGCATAGCTACCACTAGTAGAAGAATAATAGAGAAGGTATCAGCATTCTTAACATTAGCCAGACCTGAGTTGAAATGCTGAGTTACCAGAGTTAGCGGTGGTAGGACGGAATGATTTTAAGCGAAACGGGCAGGAGGAATCAAATCCATCCCAGATAAAATAAGATCACGACTGATATACGCAGAGCCCAATATTTAAACGAAGAGCATCATGTTGATTATGACGGTGTAATCTTTCAATATTATTCTTTCGCTCTAACATACTTTCAGTATTGTGGATGATGACTCGGTTTTCTGAAAAGAAACGGGCCAAATCCTAATAATATCCCATCGTCCACACTGAATATGACCAAAACGCCTGGCCCCTAGCCTTAATCAAGCAGCAGAACCAAGTGCAATCCCCATTTCAGACTGCGGAAGACTCAAAGTTGAAACCCAGGCGTGAATATCCGACCAAACTTCCGTTGCGATTCACGGGAACGGATTTGGTGCAGTACATTCCCCCGAAAGACAACCTTCCATCTACATCCCAACCTTCCAAAGGCCACTTCAAACGTCAGCGAATGTAGCTGCACTTTCCGGGGTCCTGTACTCGCATAATGAATTTTTCACTTTTGTTTTCGAACCGGCAGGACGCCCACGACCCCTCTTCTTGCTAGGGTTGGCAGTAGTTTTCGTGACCTTTGAAAGAGGACCGTGTTGCTTCCGCGTCGCAGCGGTGGCCGAGCGAGAACTCTTTGCCTTTGCCTTCGCGCTTTGAGAAGCCTGTCGTTGCGCCGTGGGGCGGGGCTCCAAGGTGGCGATGCGCGCACTTCGACGAGATGGATTAAGTCCATGTAACTTGTTCTTGGAGCCCTTGGGCCGTCCCCGTTCGGGTCCTGACTTCGAAACCGTGGCCAGTGCGAGAGAGCTCTCCATCGGATTTGGCGAGTTGGAATCGCGCTTTGAGTCCATCGCGCAAAGTTCAGATCGTAGAGGTGAAGAATCACAGTGTAATTGGTTTTTAGCTGCGAATTGGAATTGCGCGTGATTCGTGCTGAGGACGCGTTGTGGGGTAATTAGTATTGATGACTTCGGAGGTCACGAACGTCTTGCGGCTTGGGACGAGCTTCAGATCTACGCCAGCTGCGTTTGATACGACCATCTCGTTGTCCCCTACCTCATTTCCCATCGCATGATTGTCGGGAATCGCCGTCATTTTGATACTATTCGATTGATTGGTTGGTGAAGTCATCGCGATCTGCTGTGCTCTTTCAGTGAGAATTTGTAGAATTGAAAGATGAGTCGTGTGGAGAACTTCGAGTCCAGTAAACCACGGACTCAGGCACCAGGGAACTGAGGGATAGACATACCTATACGAAAGTCCAGTACAACTTCTTCGTTTTCATTCAGATGTAAAGTGTGATGCAGAGAATGTCCTGAATATGGAAGTATTGTCAAGCTTGCGCTGGATGAAACTCAAAGTAAGTTCAAGTAATGCCAGGCCTGAGCATCACAAGACAGCCGTTTAGTTCGTCTAACCTGGTAAGTTTGTAGATGAGGTCAGCAGGCTGATGTGTAATGAATCGAAAGTGAAAGTGCCGTGGGAAGTGATCGTATGGCTCAACCGTAGTGGTTGGACTCATAGCACGAGTAAAAGGACAAGTAACAGGATTAGGACGAAGATGAGGACTGCAATACAGCAGCTCGATAATGGATCTAAATCGCAATCAGCTCTATAATATGAAGACCGATCAATCAACTTGCCTTCGTTCTTTTTGATGACTTGTCCGATTTTCTTGATACCACTCTGAAGTTTCCCACCGACACGGTCAGCAACCACATCAACGTCCTTCAAAAGTTCGTCCTGCTCTTCAATTTCCCGACCCATGGTATCTGCCTGAGATCGGAGGTTGCCGACGGTTTTGAAGACGCCATCCAAGGCTTGATCCTGCTCATGCATCAACTCCATTTGTCGCTCTTGCTCGAAAGCTGCATATTGGTCCGGTTCATCGAATTCATCAGGATCCGGAAGCATGTCCAAGTTCCTTCCGCCATGACTCTGGTTATTTTGCTCAACTTCTTGAACGGTCTTTTTCAGCTCCTCATGCATATCTTCGACCTCTCCTCCAACTTCTTCAACCAACCGCCTCCGGCGCTCGACCTCATCGATTTCCAGACCATATCTATATGGATCGCTCTCGATCGCCTTCACGCTCTCGACCAGATCACGGAGGTCGGCGCTCAAATCCTGAAGAGTCGACTCGAGTTCCGTTCGTGCTTCGGAGAGTTCGGGAGAATTGGAAGAGGATGCTGAGGAGCGAATACGAAGGTAGGAAGAGAAGAGGGAGCGGGTGGTATGCAATAGCGTGAGGACATCTCTGTTTCCGTTAGCATGAATGGTTTGATGGGAATTGGAAACGTAACGACTCACGCTTGGACCTGGAGGAAAGGATCCCCCGCCGACATATCGGACATCATTCTTGTTGCGTATGTCCCTGTGTTCCTCAAACGGAGAGGATTCAATTCGGTTGGTGTTGCGACGATCAAACACGATGGTCCTTCGAAGAATTCGAAGTAAATACTGAGTATATTGGTATCCTCTTCCTGGTTGATGATGTATCACGAAGCTGTCTTGAGGAAGGGTCTCAGTACAGCGGACTTTTGGAACCAATGTGCAAAATAGCTTCAGATCGACGTCAGAGCTGCAAGCACATCTATGATCCAATATCATCAACCAGAACGAAGGATGAACAACAATTTGTCCGCCAATTTTATTTGGCTATTACAGGTACTCCGGATTTCATTCTTTTGATATGTAGAGTGACTATCAAGGATCCAGTCAGTAATTGCGTCTATTATATGAAACGTGGCTTCTCTTCATTGATCGCGCATTTCCTTTGGACTGTCGAGTTGTCAATATGCCAGTCAGCTCCCGGACGATAGCCGGAATATCATCCACATCGCTTCGAGGGTTTGCGTACCTTTTCTTAAGATGGGTGAGTTATTTTGGAACTTGTCATAGTCTGGTTCGCTTTGGCTAAGCCGATCTCTCTTCCGCACGCAGATTCCTGGTCATGTAAGTCTCTAGCATGGAGGATCATCGACACCAGCTTATTTTCTAGCATTTTCCTCCTCTCGTATTGACGTCGGCTGCAATCTATTTTACTTCATTTGTTCACGCTTTATGGAGGACATCCCCTTACAATATTCTCGCCGATGAGGTCGAGATCGTGGTCAAAGAAGGAGTTGAACATCAGAACCAGGAAGATGTTGCCCTCCTTGCGGGCACAGTTGGTGGAACATCTGAAGAGCTGAACGTTCAGGAGACTATGGTCGTCCAACCCAAGCCGTCTCGTTTCTTTTCAACTCTTGTCTGGGGTACTCCAAGCCCATCCTCACGAGTCCTGTCCATTGTAACCGCCGCAATCAACTTTTGCCTGGTGCTGATGACTTTGGATATGGTCTATACGGCAGCGATTTTTCATGAAGCTCATGATCTCTCTTTTGCTCGAGTTGGCTTCGTCTCGGACTCTAGCGCTAAGGTTTTGGTCCGAGAGCCAGAGTTGTCGAAGTTGCCGATTTTCCTATCGTACCGTCAAGCCGAGAGCGCGGGAATCAAGAGTGCATTAACACTGCCAATAGATTCGGCGTGGAAGGCTGGAGGGCAAATTGATTGGTTGAGTAATGCCACGGATTACACCTCGACGTTGACGATTCATAGGCTGCTACCCGATACCCTCTATCAATATGCCTGGTCGAACAATCATTCCGGCTACTTCGTGACGGCGCCGCCCGTTGGAAGGATCCCGTCCCACCCTGCTCGTGGCGGCGGCGATCGGTTTACGTTCCTACATAGCAGTTGCATCATTCCTCGATTCCCCTATTTTCCTTTTGCGAACTCACTCAGCATCGGTGGCTTAAAGCATCTCGCCGAATGGATGCCGACCCTTGGAGCACAATTTATGCTGTTCCTTGGGGATTTCATTTACATCGATGTCCCCATCCGCCACGGATCCTCAATCTCGCACTACCGCCGGGCATATCGTCAAGTCTACGCGTCTCCCGATTGGCCCGCAGCCAGTGCAGGAATGACTTTGGACTATTTTCCTCCGGTCGATATGCCTTGGATTCATGTGCTCGATGACCATGAAATTGCGAACGACTGGGATATGAATACTACTGGAGTATATGACGCCGCCGTCGATCCTTTTATGCACTACCACATCGCTCCGAATCCTCCTCCGTTACATCCCAACACGGGAGACACGACTTACACGCATTTTACTCAAGGTCCTACAAGCATCTTCCTCATGGACACGCGACGATACCGCTCCGTCGAATTTTTGGATAAATCTGCCCCGATATCTGAGAAAACCATGCTAGGGTCGGGTCAACGCCAAGACCTGCTGAAATGGTTGAAAACGCCTCTCCCTTCAGGTGTGCGATGGAAGATCGTCATCAGCAGCGTCCCTTTCACCAAGAACTGGCGATTCGGATTCGAAGATACGTGGGGAGGATATCTCTCCGAGAGAAAGGTCATCCTAGAAGCAATGTGGGATGCGGTGCAGAACGGCGATGGCGTCGTTGTCCTGAGCGGAGATCGTCATGAATTCGCCGCAACTCGATTCGATCCTCCAGACGAGAACGATCGATGGGGACCGAATGTCACGGTCACTGAATTCAGCACCGGACCCTTGAGTCAGTTCTATCTTCCTATACGAACGTATAGCCAGCAGGACCAAGAAGATGTAGCTCTCGCATACCTGCCAGACGGAAACTCGAAGTTTGGCGCCGTGGAGATTCGGCAGACGGACGATATTCGGCAGAGTTTACTATCCTATCGACTATTCATTGATGGAACGGAGACATGGTCGCATAATGTAACAAGTCCAGCAAGGCCCCGCGGTCTTCGTGGTTTCTGGTAAGGTTGCCAGCTCGATCATGCTGTGTATAAGATCTCAAAACGGGGAGGCCATTTCAAGTGGAATTTCAAGTTACATTCATAGAGACATAGAGCAGTACAAGCAGCGCAAGCTTTCAAGGTCATTTTAATAAAATTATCGCCCGCTGAAGAATTGCCTCTTCGAGCAGAGTCTGGTAAATAGTACGTACATAATGCTGGTGGGTCAATCCTGGTCGTCAAGCATAATGCGTTTTGATTGGACGGTTTTTCCCCTCTACATCCATGGGAAAGTGGGTATATCTCGCCCCCAATTTTGGTCATTGGTGTCTCCAAGTTACAGTATTATCGTCATTTGTCCGTACGGAGTCCTCGCATGAACTGATACAATCGTAACCGGTCGATACCCCCATGTTAATCTAATCCTTGGCCCCCAAGAGGTTCGTTCCTGCTTGGCATGTGCCTCAAATGCTCATCATCATCGCTGTCATATGCCTGCTTTGGTACATTGTGGTGGCCCTTATATGTACCATAGGTTTCGTCCAACTGTATGCAGAGAAGCTATTACTCTACCGGGCACTCTAACGTGAAATAGGCAGAGGCATTATTCAAGACGCCCCAAACCACCGCGATGCATCCAGACCAATGTTCCGCGACCTCCGCGGCCTCCGCAACCTCCGCAACCCCCTCACATCACCATCATCCGTCCTGTCAAAGGATACGAACCGAAACTTTATTCCTGCCTTGCATCGACCTTCCGTCAGACCTACCCACGGAATAGCCTCACTATATGCTTCTGCGTCGAATCCAAAGAAGATCCATCCTTTCCGATTCTTCAGGAGCTCATCCGCGCCTTTCCGGAGTTTGACACGGCGTTGTTGGTGGAGGAAGAGGATGCCGAACTTCAAGGATGCAAAGGCCAACGCCTCGGACCAAACCCGAAGATACGCAACATGAGTAGAGCATATCGGGAAGCGAAAGGTGACATCGTCTGGGTCATTGACTGCAATGTGTGGGTAGGTCCAGGTGTCGCTGGCCGAATGGTCGATACATTGTGCGGCACTGGCGGACGGCGGAAGTACAAATTTGTCCATCAACTACCCCTTGTGGTAGATGTCGAGACCAGCGAACAATCGGAATGTCAACGGGACCCCAAGTCACGCGACTCCAGGGAAAGCACCTCTTGCTCGCGATTTACACGATTCGGGTCCTGCAAGGATTGGTTCAAAACCAAAGGCGGCCGCCTCGAAGAGATGTTCCTGGCCACTTCCCATGCCAAATTCTATACAGCCATCAATACGGTCTCCATCGCTCCCTGTATCGTGGGGAAATCCAACATGTTCCGTCGTTCTCACCTCAATGCCCTGACCAAGAACCAGGGCATCGACTACTTCTCCCGTAATATCTGCGAGGACCACATGATTGGAGATCTCCTCTGGAAGTCACCTGTACCGCCGAATCTGCTCGATTCCGATGATCACGATCATGCGGTCCCGTGGGGGCAGCATGCACTTTGTTTTGGTGACCTGGCAATCCAGCCCATGTCCCGCATGAGCGTGTCGGAATACTTTGCACGACGTGTGCGATGGCTTCGAGTACGAAAGTACACCGTCACCCTTGCTACATTGGCTGAGCCCGGGACGGAGAGCTTTCTCTGCTCGGCATATGGAGCGTTCGCTATCACAACGTTACCTTGGTTCCAATCTACGCTGGGTATCGCGCCGACATGGACCGCTTTCGCCACATTCTGGTTGATGAGTGTCCTGCTGTGGGCTCTCGTCGATTACAATCAATACAAACTCTTACATTCGGGCGCAAGCTTGGAATGGAATGCGGAAACGTCCCTATTTGTTCAGGGACAGGACCGATCCTTTGCTGAGTGGTTCCTCGCTTGGGTCGGGCGTGAAACATTGGCCTTTCCAATATGGCTTTGGGCAGCCTACGGAGGCGCAAGTGTGAACTGGAGAGGGAGGGATTTCTGGGTTGACATGCATATGAATGTACATGAGATCCGCCGCAAAAACTCGGTGCTAAAGGATGAATAGATCCCCATAGGAAAATTGACCACCCCACTCATGAAACGTCAGCCATTCACCGGCCCTCTTGCGCCAGGTTGTATCTTCAGATCCATGACATAACGCATCAGACTGCAATCATCACACTTCACCAAGGCTTGTAGCGCTTTGATTCTGGCCTTCAGTTTCTCGTTCTCCTCCGCTAGTTTAGACTTTTCCCTTTCGACCTGTTTGATGTACGACGTCGCGCTTGCGAGGATTACCGCCTTGCTAGGCTTGTTGGTTGATGCCAGATCCTCAATGTCTCCGGCGTCGCAAGGAAGCAAGCCATTGGCGATGCGACTGGCGTTGATGAACCCCGTGGGATCCGCGGTGGCTGAATAGGACGACGGATTCAAAGATGGAACGACATTTTTCAGGGCTTCGAGCTGTGTGTTTAATGATTCTCGGTATTTTCGCTCGACTTGATTATGCGGGACTCGCTTTTTGGACTTGGACGTGGCCTGGGTGGATGGAACGGGAACGTCTGGATTTGTTGCTAAGGCGGGATTATCAGGGGATTGTGTCTCCCCCGATTCTCGTTTGACCGACCCGTCGCCTTTGCCGGTGGTCGCTTCACGGAGAGGAATGGTTTGTGATGTGAGTTCGTTGGGATCGCGGAAGAGAATGGGGTCTTCGTTCGACTCGGGAATCTCACCAAAAAGAAATGGCGCGCAGGCGGCTCCACACGTCGAGGGATCTGGGGGAGTCCCTTGTTTTGTATGATTAGGGCATAACGGCGACGTCCAACACGCTGATCGTGAATCTGGTTGTTCACCCCGGGACCTTTTGAGATCGGCGTTTGATCGTTGGCCTTCGGCATCTTCCCTCTCCACCGAGGGCATGATCGCGACCTCTCTCTCGTCGGCATCAAGAGGGCCGTTCGAGAACCGTTGATGCGGGGAGACACGGTAGTGAGGAGAATGCTTCGATATCGAACCGTTCAACATATCTTCGGGGAAATCGTCGAGGATCAGCTGGGCCATGGGTCCCTCTCCGGACACGAGAGATACAGATGTGGAGGGAGTGTTCTGCTCCGTACTTGACTGGAACGGATCCATCGAGGTAGATAATGGCAACGGTGCCGGTGGATCTGGAATGGTCTGCGACATGGCGTCTAAGAACAAATTCGGCGTGTGAAGGATATTGTCGCCGTTAAAATCGAGTTCGTCGAAGAGAGGATAGGTGAAGATGTCGTCTACCTGTTGCCAGGCGAAGTTGCCCGGGGAATCGGCGTTCAGGTTGGGGTTTGATTGTGAATGCGACTGTGACTGTGACCGCTTATTATTTGGCCTGGTACCTCGCTCCTCATCGCGAGGCATGTACTGGTAAGGCATCTCTATAGGATTGCCCGTCATGTAGGACGAAGACACAGGCATAGTGGAGGTGGCGTGAGGAGATCAGAAGTTGGGAGAAGAAGGCGTGAGGATCGGATGGATGTGGCGCCACTTCGGCGATACGATGTGTAGAGACTAGAGTCGACTCAGTCGAGGGCTATGGAGGGAAGGACTTGGACGGAGGGATCAATAATGCAGGTTCAGGCCTGGCTTGGATTGATGTTGGACTTGCGAGAGTCCGATGGGTGTGGATTGGTTTGACTAGTCTATAATGTAAAATGAAATGCTTGAGAATTGCGCAATGCACACGAGGATTCAATCTCTGCGTTTTACTAGCCTTATGTCCCAAACACATTTCAAACCGATCGATGATCACCGTCGTGGGGTTCCGAATGGCAGTCTGTCCAGAGTGTTTGGAAGCGCTGTGGATTATTGGCAACTTGCGAAGATATCACACCACATTTCTGAAAGAGGTATAGCGTTGAGGATATAAGGTGGAACACTTTAAGGCGAAGTTGCGGCAGTGACGGACGGTCCACGTCCCACCCGTCCGGTCTAGACTCGAAGGCAACAAGGCCAATGGTCCAAAACTGCCAAGCGATCACATGCAATGTACACATGATGCTCCTCTCTCGTCCGGCCCCTCAGTTTGTCCCCGACGACGACACAATAAATGGTGTTCAACCGAATGATCACGGTGGAATGGTTTTCAGGTTGGTCTATCCTATTTTCGTCCTGGAGTTTCTGGTCGGATCTAGGTACATCTCGAAAGTGGTGGAGAACATAAGGTCGAGCCGACGGACAAGCTATGCAGCACCATTCGCCGCTACCACTGGTGACGACAATGAGGTATGACGCGGTTCCGCGGTGACTTGATCTCGTACAGTGCCAGCATGTTGGCTTGGTTCGGCGTCGCTGCTCTCATCAGGGTCCTCGAAGCGCCCCTGTAAAAGATCCTCCAGGTCCTGCAAGAACCATTCCCTAACCTCATTGACCGCGGCTCGTTCTTCGTCTCCGATCTCAAGCGGTGGACCTGTCATATCCTCTGTGGCTTGAACGCGTTCATTCGCGCCGTTGGCTGCATCAAGGCTGTGATCCCTCTGTGTGGACGGAGGCTCATAACGCCAAACGCACCACGCACTGCTTTGCGCACTCATCATGCCAACCTTTCCTTTATGCATAACAGCCCTCATCTCGCTGAGTAGAATCACGTCACCCTTGGTAGCCAACGGTAACGCAGTGCGCCAAGGGCGGAATATCTGCACCTGACACATTTCTGGCCAGATATCAGGGGACGATATCGAGAGAACCGTCGAAAAGTCCCGTGGCCTTGATTTGGAACGCTTGGGTCGACTAGGCGGGCGAACTACGAGGCTAATTGCGGAACAAAGACTCGGAGCACGCATATTGAGGTAGGATATCAGATCCGACAACGCAGTATAGTAGGAAAACCTTGTACGGAGGCCCTTGCAAGTCCTTTTAGCGATTGTGTCGCCCGGAAATGCGGGTATGTCATGTCTCTCTGTCGGAACTTGGTCTTCGGCAATCCCTAACAGACCATTCGTATTCTCATTAAATGGAACGGAACTGGGCGTGGCGTGCGACACCTTGGAACTTAGATCAGCTGCGTTTTCGTCCCGATGTTCGCTCCGATCCTCGCCCTGATGTGTGCCCTGGTGTTCCCCTTTATGATCGTCCTGGTGCTCGTCCTGATGCTCGTCCCGATGCTCGCCCTGATGCTTGCCCTGATGCTCGCCCTGATGCTCGTCCTGATGCTCGTCCTGATGTTCTCCCTGATGTTCGCCTTGATGTTCGCCCTGTTGTTCGTCCACGATTTGGCCATCATTCATTAGCGGCCCAAATCGCTCTTCTGCAAGATTTTCAGCATGCCTAGGAGTAAACCATGGGCTAAGAACATCAGGCATGTGATTAACTTGTTTCTTTCGATGCTCTTCGTAAACTTGTTGAGGTGGAAATTCGGAATCCTGACCCGCACGAAAAGGTTGTGCCTCATTTCGAACGGCAGTAGACTCCTGGGTGAGCATTGGTGTCAGCGGGAGTTGGTTCCCATGGAAAGAATGTTCGCTCCACGTTTCGATAAGCTGGGATTGCAGCGGCTGACTCGCATCTGGCGTCTTCGGTGCCCATTTGTAGTCCATGGGTGGCAAATCTTGCTCGATCGCAGGTGTCATGTTGAATGGCTGGGCTGGGTCCCAATTCGAAAGACGAGAATCCAGTTCCAGGCCCTGGGATGGCGCATGTAACGCTTCCTCCGCGACCCCTTTCGGCCCTTTACCGTCTTTCGGGCCATCTTGCTCTTCGTCTTCGACATATATCAGCTCCTTGGAAGAACTTTGGATATCTCCCATGGCCTCATGCACTGTCGATTCATGGTGGATCGCTCTGACCCTATCTGTTTCGCCAACAAAGCGCGCAGCGCTAGATCCTAGAGGAGTCATCTGCACCTGACTTGTCTCATCAATTGCAGAACCGTCGACCAGCTGATCCATTATATCATGCTCATCGTGGCTGGTTTTTGGAGGGGGTGGCGCTGGAAAACGCCGAACAGACGAAGAAGCTGAGCCGTCCAAGCTAAACGGGAACGATCTCTCATAGCTCTCAGTGGCTGTCATCGGTTCGTCGTCATATTGCGATACACCTTCAGCGTCGTATTCAGGGGCATCTCTAGGCTGGGTATCGCTGAATGGACGGGAAACAGGGTCGATAAAGTACGGTATCGCTGGATAGTCAGTATCACCAATGTGCTCGGACGGAATTCCGAGATGCGTTGGTTCCGGTACTATCGACTGTGAATGAAACATTCCAAATTGCTCGATGTTTGACACCATAAGCTGTTGCCCATCTATTGGGTTCATATTCTCCCTCGAAATGTCTTCATCTAGGATACTCAACTGGTCGCGAGTGTCCTGGTGGATATGTTGGTATCCACTTTCGTCGCCGACGGTGCGCTGCGCATCTTCTTCAGTATCCTCCTCGCTGTCAGTAATGACCACAACGTCGTGAAAGTGGGTGTCGGCTTGAGGTGTCGCATCCTCTTCTTCTTCATAGTACCCAGAGCTAGAATTGTCATGGATCTGCTGGCCGTCATCGGTCTCGTAGGGAGACTCTTCGTCCTCTCCAGGTTGGGGTTCCATCATACGCTCCGATTCGGAGAACTCAGTGTCTTCTGAGCCTGAGAAGCTTTCCTCGCTGTGTAATTCATCGTCTCCCACGATGTCCTCTTGGAAGTTGCCTTGGTATGCATGATGGTGGACCCCGTGTTGATCTTCACGTAGTTCCGTTCTCCTCCCTCCATCGACTTCGGATATTTCATCACTGGCAGAAGTCTCTGTTGACCCCCCTTGCACACTGACAACTTCAACAGCATCTTCAAGTCGAGTGGCATTGCTCAGTTCTTCATTGTCGTCTAAATCATTAGCCATTTGAACCGCTGAGCTTGTATCCACCTCCTGTGAGGAATCCAAGTGGTGGCTAGTGGACTTGTCCAATTCCAGTTCCGGTCGTGAGACAAAGTGAGGAGTGGGGGTTGAAAACATGTCAGTCGGAGCAGTTGCGGTATTATACGCAGGCACAGTGGAGCCGCTGTTTCGATATGTTGTACCATGTTCAATGGTTGATCGATATATGTCATCCCCAGCCAGTGAGTGCCTTGGAGAAGGTGTTGCATCTGGCAAGTTTTGACGTGCGATAGAGAGTTGAGCATCGTCGAAGTCTTCATCTTCATTCATTGAAAGCCTTTCCACGTCTTCTGGAGAGGAACTACGGTCAGAAACTTTCCAAGTTCGTATGCCCATCCAGCTCTTCCTTTTCTTCTTCGGTGGTTCCGGGTTATGGGGTGCCGCCGATACAAAAGGGTCGAATACAGAATCAACATGTGATCCAGCAGAGTACCGATACCGCTTATGGAATGCGGGGGATGACAGCGTCTCTTCCTCCGGTGCATCTTGTGACAAAATACCCACTCGCGACCCGTGCTGCTTCTCAATAAGTTGGGAGTTATTGTCACATGCCGGTGCAGCTCGTCGAGGTTCTTCCTGAGGTGAACTGGGTCGTGATATATCGAGGTCCGCGGAGACCTGGCCTGACCGGAGGACCTAGAAAGTGGAAGTCAACATATTGTGCTTGTGGCTTGAGGGTGCGAAACTCACCTTCATTCTCACTGCATTGTCGTATTGAAGCGCCCATTCAACACTTCGTCCGGGAGTCATACTCTCCTCCAGATTCCGTACCCACGTTGCCCCTTTAAGGTGAAGGAACACCTCGTCTCCAATCCCCACCTGGCATTCAGCCACTCTCCGCGCGATCTCACCATGGAAACGAGCCATTATCTGACCTCTTCTCATCCGAAGGCGGACATCGGGTTCAGCGAGGAGTAGGGCAAAACTGGACTGGGAGGAGGAGAATGGCCAAACGAGCGTGACGATTGCGCATACCCTTCGATCCTCGTCTGATACATGTTCCAGGGGGGATAAGGTGGCGATCGGCACAGGTAAAGTGGTATCAGCCATGATGCGCGCTGTCGAGTCGTGACAATGCAACAAGGTCGGTGGTTCAAGGCGCGTGAAAGAAAAAGATCAGACAGGATGCTGAAAATTCCATGGTTTCAGAGAGCCTTCATTTCAGCAACTCTCTGCAAATCAATGGCAGTAGCAAATTGCTATTTTGGATATTCGGCGATTGAAGAGCTGTAATTATGGAGGTTCGCGATGCTTTCACATGGTGTAAATAGTGATTGTTGGTTGCAGGAGGGCAAGTGGGCACGCTCAAGGCACTAAGGCACTAAGGCAGCTACATCCATCTGCCACTGACCTGACTGACTCCAACCTTCGAAAGCACAGTGCATAATATCTACGATCCTAAGCTTGTAAGTTTAATCGAGATATTTAGGTTTACGTATCGTACGTCTATTGATTGAAGATGTTGTCGACCGCCCATTTGCGTTAACAAGATGAAGGCGAGTGAGGAGAGGTTCTTCTATCCATCATTCCACGATGTGGATATCCTTCGCTTGACCATATCCACTGTACGCGACGCCCCTTAAATTCCACACCGAATTGCCGTCTTGCATATCCCGTTGGTCATGGGCCCGACTTAGGATGGTAACTTTTCCGGGGTTCGGAGACACTCTCGCTTGCCATAAGCTCCAACACCACCTGGACGGGCTTGGACAAGTGATTTGCGCCTCCTGCCATGAGTTGCCGTCGTCAACGCTGATTTCAACCTTCGTGATCGGTCCGTTATCCCCGCCTGGAACCGCATATCCTTTGACCTCAATAAGCCCATCTATGTCCCGATGGACGGTGGATCCATTTCTCGGGAGGGCAATTGCTGAGTTGACGGGAAGTCCCATGAGCGGAGGCACTTTATCCCAGAATAGATGGGCGTTTTCACCCGTGGCTTCCGGTGGAAGTACTTTGTAGTCGAACGTTTGATAGAAATTGGGTGATGACTGATCCGTCACGGTGATCTGGCTCACCCATTTGACGGATCTTGCTCCACACACACCAGGGATGAGGACACGAACCGGTCCACCGAAATCCGCCAGCAAGGGTTTGCCATTCAGCTGAGAAGTCAACGAGATGCCCGAGAGGTTTGAGGGGACATTCTTACTTGAAGTGCGAGAATAGCATCCTTTCCATAATCCATAGCTCTTGCCAGCGAAATGCTCGATCCATAATATGAATCGTCCTGGCAGTCGAACCCTAGACAGGCAAACTGGACGTGCCACGACCCCATCTCCTCTTGAGCCTTTTGATCAAGGCCTACTTTGAGTAGTACATCTCGGATTCGTGGTCCCGTCCAAACACCGTTCATGACTGCGCCGTCAAACCAGTCGATCCCTTGGACCTCGTGCAGCTCCGTTCGCATAGTATGACGGCGATTCCCCGCACATTGGAGAGCGGATGTGATTGTGGCTTGCTTGAACTTATTGGCCAGTTCATGGATCGTGAGGTTTATTGGATTCGAGACCGCCCCATCGATACGAACAATGTGTTCGTCGCCCAGCTGAGGGATTTCCCCGTGATTTCTGACATGGTCAGCTCGCTGGAATCCTCAGGGCACTTCGCCAAACATATCCTGTACCTCCTAAAAACATTCTTCTCCTCTGTGATGAAGGACTGAACAAGCTCTTCCGCCTTTGATTCCCAGTTGACCGGCTCTGGCCCTGTATACTCATGTGGCTATGATGTTTGTCAGTGATCAAAGTACCGAGACAGGCTCGACCTTGCGAACTTACTGCGTTCATTTCTTCTCCGTCCACTCGTCCGCGTGCAAGTCCTGGGGCTATTTAGTCAAAGGAATCAAGTGTAGGAAAACATAATAGTACAGGTAATCAAATACTTATTTCGGACATTGGAAGATGAGATTTTGTGGTACGTCGTACTAGCAGTGGCCAACCGCCATGTACTGAAAACTTTAGTGGGGTAGCTACAACCTACTGGAGTCTGGAATACTGGTAACTAGTTAACTAACTTAGTCCGGTACTTAGCAGTTAGGAAATCTGCAGGAAATCTGCAGAAATCCTGCGGGAAATCTTTGGAGACTGCTTCACACTCGGGTATGCAAACATCATCTAACAGGATAATATCATGGAATGTATATGCATATGACTTTTGAATTGATCGTCTAGTATCTTCGTTACTGGGAATGGCCAACCATGGTCAAACCGGTTCCCCCCAATCTTGATAGTCGTTGCAACTGGAAGGTGACAGACCTTTCGTGGTGACAATTTAGGCCTTCTCGTAGACCCAGTCGAACTGTGCCGGCTTCCAGCTTTGTACCTCTTCCGGCTTGAACCAGAGGGCAATTTCCTTCTTGGCAGCATCAACACTGTCGGAACCATGGCAGATATTGCGTCCAACATCCTGGATATCTTAGCACGCGTCACCCTAGAATCAAGGAGCCAGACTCACGATGCAGTAATCTCCACGGATGGTGCCAGGGGCGGAAGCCAGAGGGTTGGTTGCGCCCAACATGGCGCGGCCCATCTTGACAACCTCACGTCCCTCCCAAACCATGGCGCAGATGGGGCCGCTGCCCATGTCTGTATCGAGTTGCAATCAGTAGGGAATTCCTGGGTAGCACAGCGGTGTTCCGTAGGGGATTCGTCGAGCTTACAGGCGATGAGACCGGGGAAGAAAGGCTTGCCAGCCAGGTCGGAATAGTGGTTCTCCAGATGCTCCTTGGAAGCGGTCATGAGCTTGATGGCAACGAGCTTGTATCTGCCAGATGTATTAGTGTGAGGCGGAGAGGAGATTTAATCAACGTACCCACGGCTCTCGAAGCGAGAGATGATGGGACCGACGAGGCCGCGCTAGAAGGTCTCATATTAGAGTCCAGTCCTCAATTGGTGCTCGCATGCAAATCATACCTGAACGCCGTCAGGCTTGATGGCAATGAATCTGTCAACGGGTGAGCGTCACCGCCATTGTTTCGGGGGATGTGCGGGGGGAAACGTACGTCTGTTCGGTCGACATGGTGAGTTGGGTCAAGAAGACACGATCTCAATAAGCTAGAGTAGAAGAGGGGAAGAATCCAACGGTGCTGGAGTCAAGTATAGCAATGTGGTTCAAGGAAGCAGGTTATCAAGATGTGAGGAGAAAATGCGAGCCGAATGTTGAATTGAAATATGCGTTGGTGGGGTTGTGGACTTGGTGGTGGTGTGGTCTCACCTCTCACGTCTCACGCTGTCAAGCTAAACTCTAGACCCTGATAGTTACATATAGTACAGCTGTGAGTTGTTTACTGTACAGTAGTGCACCGATGGAACTTGGAAGCTATCTCCGCTCAGTCAGTATTTAGCTGTGGGCAATTAGCTACTAATTAGTAATTACTAATAGTTACCGCACATTGTAGTTAAGGCTTCCGTTGAGACTTGTGTTGCCTGAAGTCTGAACTCCGAAGGCGGAAGCTCAGCTATGTCCATATATCAACTCGAAAGTGATACATTCACACCCCCCTTTGCTTGGAGCGCGCCTGAGCCCCGACACCTGGTCTCACTCCTTGACAACTACCTTGAAAGTGTTTTGTGTCTTGTAGTTAAGTATGTCGGATTGTTGACCGCATACACCCACATGTAGCGATGAATTCATTGTCGCCTTTCACTCGCGGTTGGGCGAGTTTCGTTCCTTTTATTGTCCTTCTTTTCTATTGCTTTACTCCCGTCTGTAGGTGCTTCGGTCCTTATGGGCTGTCATCATTGCTGACAGGACACAGTAACGGTGAAGCACGAGAACTTCAAAACTTGCGATCAATCCGGCTTTTGCAAACGTAATCGAGCATATGCGGACACCGCCGAAGCGTCCTCGAATTGGGATTCGCCATACAACCTAGATCCGGCCACCATCTCCCTCTCGAATGGCCAATTGACGGGTACCGTGGTCAAGACCATCTCGAGAACAGGAGACTCGGTCCGACTTCCACTCACGGTCACATTCCTCGAGTCCGGAACTGCTCGCGTTACTATTGATGAAGAGAAACGCCAGAAAGGAGACATTGTGCTACGACATGGTAGCAAGGCGAGGAAGGAGAGGTATAATGAAGCGGAGAGATGGACCATCACTGGCGGGTTGACCCCGAATAAAGGAGCGGCTTTGAGTAGCGATATTCAGCACGGCGCAACGAAAGTCCATTTTGGCCCCGAAGGGAAATTCGAGGCCATCATCACCCACGCCCCCTTCTCGTTGGACTTCCGTCGAGATGGGACATCACATATCTTGTTCAATAGCCGCGGGTTGATGAACGTCGAACACTGGCGAACCAAACAAGAGGCTCCTCCAGAAGGGGAGAGCTCGGCGGCTGAGGCCGACCCTGCGGTCCCGCCCGAGGATGAGAGTACGTGGTGGGATGAATCCTTTGGCGGGAACACCGATTCTAAACCCAGAGGCCCGGAAAGCGTTGGACTTGACATCACGTTCAGCGGATATGAACATGTCTACGGCATCCCCGAACATGCTAGCTCCATGTCCCTAAAACAGACTCGAGGAGGGGATGGCAACTACAAAGAACCGTACCGCATGTACAATTCCGACGTCTTCGAATACGAGCTGGACAGCCCTATGACGCTCTATGGAGCGATCCCGTTCATGCAAGCACATCGGAAAGACTCGACCGTTGGGGTCTTCTGGCTCAATGCCGCCGAGACGTGGGTCGATATCGTCAAGTCTCGCCCGGCCGTCAACCCACTTGCACTCGGAGTCAAATCCACCACCACCACCCAGACGCATTGGTTCTCCGAAAGCGGCCTCCTCGATGTATTTGTGTTCCTTGGACCCAGCCCACAGAAGGTGGTGCAGGCCTATTCCGAATTGACGGGCTACTCTCAACTTCCGCAATCGTTCGCCATCGGATATCACCAATGCCGGTGGAATTACGTGAGCGATGAGGATGTGATGGATGTGGCTCGAAAGTTCGACAAGCACAATATCCCGTTCGACGTCCTTTGGTTGGACATTGAGTATACTCATGAGAAGAAGTATTTCACCTTCGATCCGATGACGTTCCCGAACCCGCAGAAAATGACATCCCACCTCGACAAGCACGATCGAAAGCTGGTGGCGATTATCGACCCGCACATCAAGAATGTGGACAGTTACCCGGTGGTCGATGATCTCAAGAAGAAACAGCTGGCGGTGAACAATAAGGATGGCAATATCTATGAGGGGTGGTGCTGGCCAGGCTCGTCACATTGGGTCGACTGCTTCAACCCGGCCGCGATTTCATGGTGGAAGGGACTCTTCAAGTACGACAAGTTCGTAGGATCGTCTCCAAACACGTTCATCTGGAACGACATGAACGAACCATCGGTCTTTAACGGCCCGGAAACGACGATGCCGAAGGACAATCTGCATCACGGCAATTGGGAGCATCGTGATGTCCACAACATCAACGGCTTAACGTTCCACAATGCTACCTACGAGGCACTTCTGGAGCGGAAGAAAGGCGAAGTTCGACGTCCGTTCGTCTTGACTCGCGCTTTCTCCGCTGGATCTCAACGAGTTGGACCCATGTGGACTGGAGACAACCAGGCACATTGGGGTCACCTTGCTGCGTCAATCCCGATGACCCTAAACAACGGAATCTCGGGATATCCTTTTGCTGGCGCAGATGTGGGTGGCTTTTTCGGTAATCCGAGCAAGGAGCTATTGACTCGATGGTATCAGGCCGGTGCCTTTTATCCATTTTTCAGAGGTATGCAAAATCACCACGGTTCACATAGGAGGCTAACCGTGTCATAGCCCATGCCCACATTGATACCCGCCGTCGTGAACCATATGTCGCCGGTTCTCCGTACACCGAGATCATGGCGCAGGCGCTGCGGTTACGTTATTCATTGTTGCCGGCATGGTATACCGCTTTTCGCGAAGCCAGCGTCGCGGGGACTCCCATTGTCCGCCCCAACTTCTTCGTGCATCCTAGCGACGAAAACGGATTTGCCATTGATGACCAGCTGTATCTCGGCAGTACCGGACTGCTGGCCAAGCCGGTCGTCACGGAAGGAGCGGAGAGCGTGGACATATACCTTGGCGATGATGAAACATACTACGACTATTTTGACTATGCCATCTATTCAGGAAAAGGCTATAAGACGGTCCCGGCGCCGTTGGAGAAGATCCCACTGTTGATGCAAGGAGGACACATCATCCCTCGACGCGATCGACCGAGGCGCAGCAGCGGCTTGATGAAGTTCGATCCCATTACTCTGGTTGTTGTGCTCGGAAAATCGGGAGATGCTGAAGGGTCGCTCTACCTGGATGACGGAGAGACGTTTGACTACCAACAAGGCGCCCATATCCACAGAACGTTCAGGTACGAGGCATCGACAGGGTTACTCACCTCGGAGGACATTTCGGATCGGGGTTCGAAGACTGCATCGTACTTGAAATCCATGTCTCATGTGCGTGTTGAACGCATTGTGGTCGTTGGTGCCCCCAGCGATTGGAAAAACAAGGAATCGGTGATTATCTCCGAAGAGGGAGAGAAGGAGAGCGGCAGCCGACAACGCAGCGAGCTCCAATTCCACTCTGGGCAGGGTGGCAAGGCTGCCTGGGCTGTGGTGAAGGACCCTGGTCTTTATATTACCAAGGGATGGAAGGTTGACTTCTCGTGAAGGCTTTGGCTCCATGACGGTATAATAGAGTTGTACACCACAACAGAATAGAATAGGCGCCTCTACCGAACGGTACAAATATTGACCTTCTGTTCCATATCGGGGTCCGCCTATGTTCAGGACCCTTCACAGGGGACAGACCAACAAATATGTATATGGAGTACGGATACTGCAGCCTGTGCTTGTTTAATGCTGTAGAATGGAGAGGTGGGGTTGGCCTTTGTGACGCGTCATATTGGAAGTAGGGCCTCACGCTCCGATATCTGGTTGGCTGGGAGTGCATTTGTGTCCCTAGCAACCCAACCCCTCCGGCGAGTCGCATACCAGAGCGGAACATGAAGAGGACATTGACTGGCCAACAAAGACGCATTGCATGGTTGATGGTTCTTTGTGTTTGAGTATTTTGCCGCTTCGGACCTCCAGTAGACCATTACGACACACATGTGGCGGGATAGTGCTGGCAGACTCGTAGTGGCGGGGAGAGATCGGAAACGAAGATCGCAACCGAAACCGTTGAGAACCAGCCCAGCCTCCTCTCCGCTGGCTTCATCCAGTGAAAACTGTTAGTTAGATACGCCTCTAGCCTCTACGGAGTATGGATAGTCGATTCGACTGGGTTCAGTAGTCTGGTCTATCTAATGTCCGGGTTCGTCACCTCAATCCCCCTGCGCCACCTTCCGTATTGATGTTGATTTATTTTGGTCGATTCCGTGTGGATGTGCAACACAAACTTGCCATTCGATATTCCGCAGCGTTCATATAACTTCCCGATCCCTTCTTCCGTTTCCGCCTCGATTCTTCTTCTATCCATTGAACCTTCATTCCTGTTTCCACTAAACAACACACCATATTCCTCCCTTACCTCCTCCGAGAATCCTAGCATCGTTGATCATCCTACATTGTCCTCTGCCGTCTAGACACATCCTATTGGGCTGATCTCGAATTCACAATGCGCTTCTTTATCGCCACCATCCTCGCAACCCTCCCTGCCGTTCTGGCACAAGGCACTACATCGGAGGGCACCTTCTCCATCCTCCCCATCGATCCTATCCCGTCTCCTTCATCGCCGAACAACATCAGCACATCCCCAACTCTCTCCACCCCAGCATCATCGTCTCCAAGTAGCTCCGGCCCCCCCGTTTCATCGTCCCCGATCTTCTCCAACTCCTCCTCCTCGGCAACGAGCCAGACGAGTCAGACGGGTATTGTGACGCGGACGAGTGTCGTCGGTCCGGGCACTACGACTGGCAGAGGCGGCAACACGGCAACCCCGAGCGCGGATCCTAGTACCGTTGACGGGAGCGCGGCTAGCTATGGATCCTCTTCGATCCTCGGAGCCGTCTTCGCCATCGCCGGCATTGCGCTGGCGTTATAGGATCGAGATTCGGAGTTTCCTTTCAGAATCCGAATGCAGGCTTTCACATGGCGTTGATGAAAGGGGTAATTCAGGGCAGGCGCTTCGTTTATTGTTAAACTCATGGTGTTCGTATGATTCACGCCGGTAATGAGAGGATATCAGAACGAGAATAATGTTGCGGCGCTTAATGTCATGGGGCCCTAATCCCATCCTATTACGGTATCCTGTGCAACGATTATCCTGTATGTACACATAGTACCCCGAGATATTCATGAAACTACCCTTCACAGCCAGTAGAACTTCTAAGCGGTGCCTCAATTCTGATCTGCTCGGTTTCCATCCAGTTAGCACATTGCTCCACGGATGAATTTCAAACTTGCTCGCTGAATTTGAAGACCATCTCAGCGGACCTAATCACTACTACTCAGACCGAATTGAGTGGCATGAGTACCGTATGGAACTTGGTATAGAATATTTACGGGAACTTCGAAGCAGACATAATTGATCCACCCACATGGATATTTCTAGTTATGGATTGGTTTATAATGTATTTATAGACGGCTTCTTATTGGATGCCTTCATTAATATTTCTGGTGATTGGCTGAAATTGGTATTTAATTGCACTCTGTGGTTGGCTTACGAAGCCGAAATAAACTACGTAATATTATTGGTTCACGAGATTCAAATGCCTAGAATGGGGATTTATCAGACAATATCTATTGGACTCTCACTGTTGATAGTAGCGTGCTCTAGGTCGGTTGATACCATTGAATATATGCAGACCCCAACTCATACTCCTCGAAAATGCTGGGGTATAACGTTCATCGCCTTTGCCGGAACAAACGAGTCCATCAGGCGCCAATAATGCAAGTATCCCCATCGCATCGTTCAATGCTTTCTACCTTTCCGCTTCCCACCCCCTTGTTGTGTAGCAGGCACCTCAAGAAACCCCTCTTTGACATCCTCCTCCACTCCCTCGTGCCTAAGTTTCTCTGACGAGCTGATGAAGAAACTGAGGTCCCGATTCTGTTCCTCAAGATCCTTTTTCTCCGCCTCCAGCTTCTCACATTTCTCTGTGACATCCTTCATTCGATGATCCAGGAACTTCACTTTCTCAAACAAGGCTTTGTTCATCGTCTTCTCTTCATTCCAGTCCTTCTCAAAGCGTCTGGCTAGGGCATCTCCTTTCTCCACTCGTTTCGACATGCGCAGCCCTTCTTTCTCCAAACTTCCGATAGCCTTGCGATCCTCGTCACCAGCTACGGTCACCGCAGCCAGCTTTTCTGACAGGGATTGGACTGCTGCATCTGCCTTTTCCGCTGCCGCTGCCGCCTTCGAAGCTTTGTCAACTGCACGTTCCAGCTGTTCCTCAAAGTAAAGTCGTTGACTGTCGAGCTGACTTGTCAATAGGTACGTGTATTCGAGGCCCATATTGTCAAGCTTCTCCCGAGGAACCGTATCTGCGCCCATGGCCACCATGCCTCCGTTTGCATGGGCCGACGTGTGGGGGTATGCAGCAGGCAAGTCCACCAGTTTCCCATCGGCCTTGTTTTGGACCAGTCGGTGAACATAGCCGTCGCCCACATAGTCCCAGACGTGCTGGGACGCAATATCCATAGCAAAGCTGTGCGATGTCGCTTCGTAATGCGCGAACGCGTGAGCCGAGTCGTATCGGCCGCAGCCGACGTTTCCGCATATCAAACTAGTAGCCGTTAGCAACGCTTCGAGCGGAAAGTACGAGGCACCGACCATATCCAAAGGTTCGAGGTTGATCCACAAACGCTACATTGATTGTCTGATGCATCACCGATCATGCGACCGTTAACCGCATCGTTTTGAGTATACCGACAAACCGGACAGCCACTTCCCCTCCACTTCTCCAGGCATGCGCAATGGAAGACATGTTGGCAGAGAATCGTCAACAGTCCGGAAGTCTCGTCCATGCGCTCCAAACAGACCGGACAAGTCGGGAGCTCGACCAGAGATGGTGTCGGTGGCGGCAACGGCTTCGAGATAAGCGAGCTAGAATTCGCGCCAGAGGGTAGCGGCGCGGTCGGCTTCGAATCGGCGGTTGGGGTGAAGGGGTCATCGGTCATCGTGGGAAAGCTTGACGGTCCTCGACCGGTCCCCGGCGTCTGGAAATTGATTGACTTGACGAATACGACGTGACATGTCTCCGGCTACAAGTAGGGATTAGTGCTAGGCTGTGAATGGGAGTGGCTATGCTTACATCCATACTGTTGAACGCCTTTCCATTCCATTCCCGCTGCCACCGCTTTGCGATCTTGGGATGACGGAACTTCATGAGGACCATATATTTGTTTGCTCGTCCTGTCTTAATCAGCCGAAACTGACTGACCGCGTCGCGTGTTTCCTCCCCAAGATAACCCAGAAGATCGGAGGGAGTCATGTATGACGGCACTGCTACTATGCATAATGTGGTGCATGTCTCCGCATCGAACGAAGCGCCTGCTTCCCCTTCGGTTTTCGCATTCTGGGCTATCGTGTGAGCGGTTGCTGCGTCCTTGCTGTCAAGGCCTGAGGTTGCCTGGGACTCCCTGTACAAATGCACAATTCCCCAGCCGACATCGGTGTCTTTTCCATTCGACGGCACGTAGCGGCCACGGGTTGATAGGCCGTCCGAGGCAGACTCGCCGGCATTTGCGAATGACTTGCCTCGTAGACGGCCCCCTCGGTCCTCCAAGGGCTCCATCTCGATGCTCTGTATTGTGACCGGGCCAAACCTCCAATCTTTCTTGGCGTTTGCTAATCCCTCAACGTCCGCTGGATGGTGGCTAACAGAAGAGTGTGGTGTGGATTCGATTCGAGTGCTCGGTTCTAGCGGTTCTGTGTCGGAGGGTGTTCCGAAATTATCTCCACCGATCTGTATTCGGTTCCTCTCTAAGCTTGGCCTGGCGGTCCACGAGTCCACACCATGCATGGGCAGTGAAGAATCGAAGATATCGGTGGTCGGAGGAGGAACGAAGACGGTCGCATCAGATTTGCACGGGAGCTCTGGAGCGTTGGTTTCATAGAGTTCCAAAGCAATGTGAAAGAAGTAGCCAGGCATAAGGAGTGAAATTGGTCATACTCAGGAAACGAGGTCCTGCTAAGTTGGCACCAGGTCTCTTGATGGCATAACAGTTGGAGTGTTTGGAACTTAGACTGAAGTTTTCCGTCCTGGTAAAACGGATTGGACCATCACGGTACTGCGCTGCAGTGCTTCCAGTTGGATGTCAAGCAAAGCTGCAGTTGAGGGTTGCACGAAGAGTGATAGGCAGTTCCAAGCACATCATGGATAGATGAGTGAGGTATGAGTGAGGCTGTTGCAGCCTGAACACGTGACATGAAATGTTTGCTGCCTGATTCATCATGTGATGTAAGTTGTTGGTCTGGTCAATTGAGGGGTGCATGGTCCGCTGCCGTACTCTACCTCAACTGACTGTACCATTTCACTTCCTAGCAAAGGAAATTCGAAGAGGACTGGAGAAAGTAGGCTTCGGATTGCTAAGAGGAAGCAATGCTGTTTGGAATGCGGATGCCTGGGGGCCTTTAACTTGCAGCAGGTCGCTCTTTGAGAATTGATCGCCGTTTCATATCAATGCGCCGACCATTCTCACTCGTCTTTTTTATTGTGCCCGCTTTTGACCCCTTCCCATGTGTTCTCCTCTTCCCGGTTGTTTCCCGAGCTGATTCTTCTCCAATGTCATCCAACAATGTCCCTTCAATACGGAGAAGACCACGCTCGGCTTCGGACATCCATAGGTACTCGTAGTCCGCCACGGTGAACGATAACGTGTCCCCCAGCTCCCGTCCTTTGCCATCGATGTAATGCCCGGAGCCGTGCTTACCCTTCGGTATGGAAGGGACCGTAGAGAAATCCTCGCCCTCCACAAGGACATGATCGATCCAAGTCCATGATTCTGGCAGTCTCTTCCGCTCAATGCTCGCATTGATCAGGTTCCAACACGTCAGGCCAATGTGGCTGTCGTTCTGGAGGGTTATCCAACCTTCCAACTGTTGCCCTCGCTTCGGACGAAAGAGGAGAAAATCGGCCGTGGCCCAGACGAACGTTGATGCTTGTTCATTGACGGCTTTGGACTGTATCGTGGCATCTTGTGACCCGTCATCGTCCGATAATCGAACGTTCTCGTATGCGAGCACCACGGCTTTCATACGATGGTGATAGGCGAGGAGAAGGGGAGACAAATGTTCGGCGCAGATCGCGTCTAGCGGCTGGGTTTGGCAGATAGGGGCGAGGGGAAGATACATGGAATAGGTTTCCATGCAGAGAGGGGAAGGTTCGTCGGTGGAGTCCGTTGAGGTGGGAATTTGTGTCGTCGATTCTTGCGATGTGATTGCGACGCTGGATGCCGCGTGAGAGGAGGGATCCGCATTGCTTCCCACGCCATTCGATGTTGACTTCGCATCAATGTTTTTGGACCGTTCCTTTTCCTTCCTCTGTTTCTTTGTCGGAGAGGCGTGTAGCGCCTCGCGCTCCGGCTTTCGCTTCTTGCTGGAAGGACTCCGTGGTCCATCAACGAGGGATTGAGACATGATGCAGCGTTTCGGAAAACAGTGAGCGCAAGAGATGGGTGTTGGCAAGTAATTGATCCGCCTGAGTTGATTGCAAGATTTCAAGAGCGCACACTTGGCCAATACGAAAAGGTTGAATCTGGAAGAAGCATTAATATTGGAGCTTTTCATGGTGAAGTTGAAGCATCAAATTTCTGGAGAGCCCTGGTCGGTCTTCAGGCGCTGTGATTGGCTGTAAGTGGTTCCCCAGTCACATAAAAAATTTGGGAGGACAGTCCCCAGACCCCAAAGCGTCCTTCAAACGCTACTTACCTTCGAATTATTTCACCACTTAATCATGCTTTAGGGATTATATCCTTATTGCATCCTTAAAAGGCTTGAACCCATTAGACTATAATAACATACATCCAGTTGCCACCTTCCAAGTCCCCAAAGAATCTGCCCTGGTCTCAATCTCATATTAGCGCGCCTTGATTCAACTGCGCCGCTTCCTCCATACGGTTCCATTCCTTCTCCTGGCTAGCATCGTATGTCGTTTCACCTGGTCTCTTCTTGCCAAGGGAGCCGTTTGTAGCTCGTGGGGCCAGTGGGTTCCTTTGACCTCGATTCTGGAGCTGCTCCCGAATCCGTTGTCGTTCTTTGTGTCGAGCTCGACGTTCCAACTTCGCTTGTCGCTCAGAAGAGACAACCCATGGTTGATCGAGTACTTGGGATCGGTATAGACACATTTCATCCCAGGCGGCAACTTCCTCCGCCGTAGTTCCAATAATGCTCATTCGTTTCAATATCAACTGCCTGACACGCCGAAAACAATCGATAGTGCATTTAACCTTGACGACCGTACCAATATCCAGTTCTACCGAGTCGACCGTAATGCGAGGGACACCCATCTGGGGACGTTCGACCATCACATTCTCCAAATCATTCGGCTCGCCGATTGCGGTGGCAGGAATCCGGTTAGGGATCTTCACCTCAATCGTTGCACCAGATCCATCGTCAATCGTTAGCAGGAGGAGGTTCGGCGCAGGGTCGCTAATCGCAACGACCAGGCCGACGACGCGGACGAATTGAACAGGGTGGTTGTTGTAGAAATATACCGCTTGGTCTGTATGCCCTCCATGTATCAGCGGTGGCTCGGGTGGTTCATCGGCTTTACTTTACAAACCTTGAAAACCGGACACGGCGCGGAGATGATGGATGTCCGCAACAGACAACTTGACCCAAGAAAAATGTGTGGGAGAATCACGAAAGCAATAAGCTGGGTAAAGCGGACATGACGAACCACGCGGTGCCGTCATGTCCTAACGAGCGCGATGAGTAGGGGTTCGAAAAGCGGCGCCATAAGACCATGATGGGTTTTGGCTGTGGGACTGCGCTTCACGGAAGCTCAAATTGGGCTTGGTAAGTACGTTTGGTCATCGGTGTTGGTGTTGGTGTGTTTGTTATCCTGATGATACCAACGATGCGACGCGAGGAGGATCTCGGGCTTCACGCACTCGGAGCGCTATCACGTGATCACTCCTCCTTTTACCTCCTTCAGCTTCGTTTTGTATCGTGAAATCCGACAAACTATTCGCGGTTTCCAAATAATCCAAATCCAACATTAAGTCAGAGATATATGTCTCTTATTTGCGTCTCATTTCTGGGGTCTCTTCTCTGTGTCTCTTCTCTATGTCTCGTTTCCTTGTCAAGTCAAACGTACAGATCTAAATGCGAGCAAGGTTGGGTCAAATTCACCACACCATTATTTTGTCACAAGACCATCCTGAAGGATGGATGTTGTAGATTTCGTTGTATCAACTCGGCTCCACCAATTATAGCGAACCCGGATATCCGGGACATCCCATCATATTTCGATTTCTGCAATTCTGCACCTGACAGCTCTATCATGTCCCGGTTCAGATGCAGTAAACCTGGACCCGTCGTCCTAATCAGTCGGCTGCTTTCTGTCTCGCTGCCCTCCTGACCTACTGTCTAAGGTTTCCCCGGCCAATGCAGCAGCTCAAAATGGAATACAGCGATTCAGACTGGGGCAGCTTGATGTCGTTAAGTTTGGTATTGGGGAAGCGGGGAATTAATATCAGCCTTGCGGCAATCCAGTCTGCACCGTCGATCGAAGTTGATCTCTTGATTATCTTCATTTTTTGTTAATGCTATCTCTGCAACAATGGCGTCTTGCTCCTCATTTTTCCGATTTATAGCTGATGCTATGTCTGGCACACCCTCCTTGGCTGGTATCATGGTGTGTTTCCTCCTTCTCCACCAACTCCGGGCAGTAATTGCCAATCCGCTCCCGGTAGCAGAAGCAGATCCAGAGCCGAATCCTCAGCAGAATATATATGCACCGTTCTCCGGTGCGATCTATATCATTGCGGCTGATGGACAGGTGTTGTCTGGTATACCTTCCATTTGTCCAGCGAATGCGCAGCAAGTCTGTGGAAACCTCCATGTTTGGAATTGGTACGGTGGCGTGGCCACGACTGTGAAGAGCCATGTTGAACAAGTCAAACAGGTGCTGCCCCTCAGGCTATACATGCTCTTGGATGAACAGCCAGCAAAGCAGCATTGGCTGCTGTCCGGCCGGCTCGCAATGTAATGGAACGCCGCAAGTAGTGACGCAAACGGTCACTATAGAACGAAATCCAACGGCAGTCATCGTCGCTTCCCAACCCAGGACTATGACGCAACTCGAGAGTTCTACAATGACACCGACGAGCGAAGTCCTCGTCGCAGTGACGACATCCACAGCCACCCTGATATATGGCGGGCCTTATTGTTCGACTATGACAGCCACGGGTCCTAATCTACCAACGACAGCGTCCAGTAGGTGCGGAACGATCCTCATTGTCAGCTCTATTACATCTAGAAGAGACTCACCCTTCCACGGATCTGGCATGCTTGCCTTATCGATTCTGATGACTCTCTGGGCATTGATACATTCGGTGTGCTAAACACCGGGGCGGACATGATGGGTCCCTCCATCGCTTGGAGCAGCCGTCTGAGAAGTCATTGCTTTAGGAGACCCTAGGGGCCGTTCGGCGCAGCGTCCAGTTACGGTTCTCCCATGATGAGGCTGGAGGTTGATATCTGGATGCTGGATAACTTCATGGTGACAGGCGAGACACTGAGGTGATCCAAGCAGCCATGGATCCCTCATGCTCTGTCGCTTGCAAAACATGGACGCACCATTGCCCTCTTCCATACCGTGGTAGGTAACATCATTACCTTGGTTGATGTTGTCCAAGCACAGCACCTACATCGCCTCAGATCGGTTCGAAATTATATCGATTCCAGCAAACGAAGATCCGACGTCGCCTCCAATCCCACCAACGTTCAACTGCTACGGCCATCAAGGGTGATCACCAGTTGGAAATCCACTCGGATCACAATGCTATTGCTCAAGAAGCTATGCGAACCAGCTTCACGTCAAGAAGACGGTGCTCCTGCTGGTCTTTTCCTAAGAGCCAAGTGGCTTGTCTCTCGACCGTGGTTACAAATTAAAGAAATGTGAAATGGCCAGCTGACATGCCCCACAGATGGCTGTATTCCATCGCAAAGCCACCGCAGAGCACATGAGCCTACAGATCGACGATAGTCACACATGCACAGCAGCGCCTGTAGGGGCTTGTACGTATGTGCTAGAGCCTCTTGGCCTTCGTATCACCAACAATGTGGTGCGGTCGCGTGGCTTAAAGAAGCTTCCTGGGAGAAGGCATCCTAACTTGGTGGTAGCATCAGAGCCTTCATTGCAGAGGAAGCCGTTTACGGGCTCACTATTACTTGTTTCGTACTGCAGCGAAGGGCTGAGAGCGTTTTGGATGTATTCGACTCGTCACGACCTTTTTTCTTAACTCCTCGCTTACGCTGTCAGAGATGGACGTTCGAGTATTAGACGAGGAAGAAGCTTACGACAAGTAACTTCAAACTTTCAGGTCCGCTATATGAGGAACATCGCAATTGGAATCTCCATTGAACGTCACGTTTGATATCAAGTGGATTTTCGGCTTGTGTAGAAATTCTTCCCCATACGAGCGAGTACTTTTGCCAGAAGAGTTCGTTGCATTGCCTGAATGAATCCTATTCTGGGATATGAGCAATAAATGTTGGCGTAAAAAGGCAGTAATACTTCCTATTCCGTCGATTATGATGGTTTTTTCAGGACTTCCTGTGGTTCGTTCAGTTGAGCTGTTTCGACATTTATAACTTGGAAGTCGGAATCCTTCATTATTCAGAGTATACAGTGTAAGTTCAAGGGCATTTCGTCGATATTAGACACATCAACTCCAAATAATTCAGCTTCCGGTGTGTGAGCTGGTCATGGAACCCGACACACGCTACCATCTTGAAGGATGCATTTCAACCATGGATCTGCGAAGCAGGACAGACAAGTGTCGAACGGGGCTGCCATCCGATCAGGGTCTTGCATGATTAGAGTAGTGTATTTCCTGCTGCTACCTGACTATGTACACAACCTCGTCTGCATCAGTTTAGCGCAACGAAGCTAAGCTGCGAAGCCAAACGTCCTCGTGTCATGATTGATCAAGTCCCATGAAGAAGTATCGATGAATGGGCCACAGTCATCAGAAACAAGGGCGAAACTCGAAATTCCAATTTCCTCACTTACGAGTTACGACCCGTCACTTGGTTGGATCGCCGTACATGCACCCCCTTGCACATGCATGGTGCAAGTCAGCACCTGGTTTGATTTCGGCCGAGCTACCAACTATTAACCCGCATGCCACAGCAAGTCGGAGCCCTTCCTTGTACCGTGATTGGTAGCAAAGGTGGACGAAAGGCTGTAATGTGCAGGACGGGACGGATAAGACCGCCCGCTGCAGACCCCGAAACCGGACATGAACCAACCGCCGATCACTATGGTACTATCGAGCAGTTGGTCTTTCAGGAAAGCCATTGGGTCAATTCCTAATGAGCGCCATCATTGGCTTGGTGGAAACTGGAAGGGTAACTTCGGCCCCTGGTGAGATCGGCTGAGCGAAATCGATGCCCTTGCTCTGGACGAGTTGCCTATTCCAGATCCTTGGAAGGTGGCGATGAAGGATAAGCCAGCTTTCTCCCCTCGTTCTTCACCCCGCTTGCCTGATTGGGACGTCCGTTACAGGATAGAGCACCCTATGCCTGGAAATAATGCTCCGAATCATGAGCTCACGAGCAGAAGAAAGTATATCGGGAAATGCATAGTCGACGCCGCGATGAATGCAGTGATACGTAAAACGTGTCGCTGAAGAGGATAATAGAATATATTCTAGAAGATACCATATATCATCATGGTTACAAACAAAGAAATCCGCCAGCGGCACAATTCTGTATATGTAGCGAACCACTAAGCCTGAAGTCACAGCAGTACGCCTCATCCACGCCTCCTGCAAATGCCCGAGACGCCAAAACCAACTGTAAGGACTGATATTAGACCATGATGATATCCAAAGACCAAAAGCGCCGCGACCGTATGTCTATTGTTTGCGGGCCTGTGGCCGCTCCTTTCCATGCGACCATGATGCAGATGCGCTTGTCAAGACGCTAATGACAACGAGGCTACCCTTACACACCGATAGAAATATTGACTCGAATGCTAAGCCCAAGTAGCAACTGGAGCATAGGAAGGAGCGTAATGCGCTTGATGCTGAGAATGCGCGTAGTCCCACGTGAACGGTGTGCGCACGTTCGCAAGATCGACTGCAGGGACGCGGCGCAGACGTCCATGAGAAGAGCGGAAGGCGTCTCGGCGAACGGATTCAAGTACGGTATTTGCCGCGGCTCGTCCAGCGAAGTTGTTGTCCAGTACATGGCCGGTGTGGTTTGCACTATGGTAATGTTGATGATGGTGTACTCGAGGTTGGGCGTAGTACGTTTGAGCGTAGTGCGAAGAGTCCGTCGCATTCTGTGTAGAGGGCCCATTTGGTAATGGCGTACGCTTCTTGCGCGTGTTGGCGCGTTCCCGGGTTGGATTTTGAACTTTAGGAGCCGGCTCGGGTTGATGGGATTGACTTCGGTGGGTGCGAGTCGTGCGATGTTCCAGTGGCTGAGGCGGCGCCCTTCTCACACCGTGGCCATGAAGGACTGGAGGAGGCGCATAAGCCGAAGCTTCGGCATATTTCCGAGGGATAGTCGATGTGTGGTTCTGTGCGGTCCGTCGAGTGCTGCGACGCGCATACACGTTGTGGTCGGTTGCCCGCCTTTTGGTGGTCACAACGCGATTGGGGAGGAGGTACTCTTCTTGGGAGAGGGGTCGCTTCCGAGATCGGGAGGGCTTTTCTTTCGACATGAGGCACATTTCAGATCGGAATTTGCATAAAAAAAAGGTGAGAATTGATCTGTATGTGAACAGAATAGTCTCAACGGTACGTCTGGACGAGAAGGCAGCAAGAATAATAGAAATCGGCGGGAAATCATGGAGAAGCGCAATTCGCGGACAACTGAAGAGGGCGTCCAGTTATAAGAGACATGGTAGCGATTGAACGATTCCTTCTCGTGCCTGGTCAAGAGCAGGCAGGTCACGCTGATGTTGGGTGAAGGGGGGTGCCACGAGACCACCATTACGAAGCTGGAGGGTACGGGATGCTACAGTCAGCACACAGCAAGATAAGCGGAAAGCCTGGGAGCTCGCGGTGCTGCTAGTTGACTCCTGAAAGAACAGGATGACTCGCCGGGTCTGTCTCTCAAAGTTCTGTCCCATTCCGGGATAATTGTGCTTCAGCTCTTCGTGCGCGTCCTGGGAAAGACGGCTGAACATTAGACAATTTCGTGAAATTGATGACGATCATGGTTGGTCGACGACTAGGATTGGGGGTGTTTCTGAGGGTGTCAAAAAGGTTGAGAGGAGGGGTTGAGGGTGTGGAGGAACAGTCCCCGCACTGCAGTTGGGGTTGTTACACCTTGGATACATTGGCTCGTGGTTGGTGTGAAGTGTGCGAGGGTGGACGCCACGTCCGGCTTGGCGCAGTATTATGACTTGAACCCGCCAATCCTGCATTTCCCAACCCTCCATCCCAGTCAGACCTTGACTTTGACCGATGAGCTTCGCCGCATCTGCAATAATCGATAGTTCTCGTTGGAAGAGTAGCCTCTGTCACTTGGCTCGTGCACAAGACGTACCGAAACCGGGAAGAGAGCAGCGATCGAGACAGGAGATCTCCCAGTTCCCACCCTCCAGGATTTCTGCTGCGGCAATCCATGCGAGGGTCGAGAGGGTCGAGATGCACGGTTCATGAGGTATGGGCACATTGAAAATCCAGAAATGCAAAACCGAGACTTGAGAATCGAAACCAAAAGGCCAAAGACATAACTTCAAATGCAATAGACTGAAAAAATACGGTATACCTCCGCATTTTCAAGAAGATCTTGAGAGAGCATACATTAGTGAAGCGTTCGACCATGCCCGAATTTTCAGACTTTCAAAGGGAGGAGTCGAAAAGAAGCTCAGGGAAGGATGGGAAAACTAGATTCAAACCAAACATGTTACGAGACATAGGAAGGATATTTGATGGTCGACAGCTAGCCATAAGCTCAATTGTTCCAAAATGTCACAGTCAGGTCTGTGGCTGGGCAACTTTGTCAAATGTCAGCAGGTTACGGAATAGCTATCGGCACAAGTCTTGAGAGTTGAGAAATACCTATTCATTACTCTATTGGGAAATCTTTGGCTCATTGCCGGATTTCAAAGGTTCAAAGATGTCCATCCAGAGCTCGCTCGCTTCACCGAGGGTGTAGGACAGACTTATATCTGCGATGCCCTGACCGGTCGCCATGGACTCGAGCTGCGAAATGATGCTCTCAAGGCCAATAGCTTTACCGGCTGCCTGAGTTGCTCCGGCCTCAAGCGCCACGTGTACAACATGTATGTGAAAATGATAGTAAGTTGGCTGGTCTGTCATCGCGATTAGCACCGCCTTAATGCATGGACAACGCATCAAGTCTTGGCAGGGGATCCTTCATACAGTGGATGTACAATTTCAACTGGTCCTGATCAATGTCCGGGTACAACTTAACCGTTGCATCTAGCAGCTTTTGTCGCATGTGCTTGAGCCATTCAATGTGCTCTTTGGTGAGATCGCGTACCGACCAGATATCCCGACGCTCCACGAGACCCAGCAAATGCAAGCCGCTCATCGTCTTTCGATCCCAATTCCTTGTCATCGGGCGGTTAGTCTCTCCCAATGATCGAGAATTTGTCAATCCATGAAGGCATCATTATGGTTGTGCTTACAGGTCAGGGAGCATGAGAAACCCTTCGAGACCCTGCTCTCGATAGAATACATCTTCTTGCTCGGTCCGGCCTTCAATGATGTTGAACACCCAGTTCAAGCGACCTTGTTCTCGCTTCGCCTGCATGTATGGCCGCACATGTCGCCGGTAGATTTCCGGTGTTTCCGCGACCAGGCGAACACCTTGTTGTGAGTACTTCTTGATGTGTTGTTCGGTGCAAGGGGAAATCAAATTCAGCTTCAGGTCCGGAGGCTGGGTGCTCTCCACCTCTTGGTTGGCAGGTTTATGGGTCGTGGAAGCTAGAAACCAGCTGTAAATGTCATTCGCGCCCAAGTTCTTGATGCGGTCAAGTGATTCGGAGAAAGACTTCAAATGCACTGGGTCGGTAGAGAAGGCTGCTCGTTCGGCGATCAACAGTGCCGGTGTCCCATCAATGCTGCCTAGGAGCGATATCCGACGCCCGGCCTGATCTGCGTGTTAGGACAATGAGTTTGCATCCGGTCAGGCTTTGTAGGAGCCGTCATACCTTGATTGAGAAGTCGTTCCAGCTGGAACCGCGGGACCATTGCCTCCACTTCTTGTGTAGACCGTGTGTGGGACATTGTGATCAGAACAAACCAATTCCAAAGCGCGAATGGGTGATGGTCAAGGCGAACCAGATGAAGTTATACTGAGGACAGAAGCAACGGTGGAATCCGAGCTGACCCAGATAATTCATTTGGCAGGTCACGTGAAGCCAAGAAAACGCGTCCGCGAGTTTCGCGTCGAAATCACGAAATCACGAAATCACGTGGCTTCTTCGTCATTGCTAAGGCAACCACCGCCGGGGCCGTACCTTCCCTTCCAGAGGAGCACAGAGTCCAGAACGTCATTCAACTCTACGATCCAAAACTCACCTCACAAGCTTACAGCAGTCACTACACTTATACTCAACTTTACGACTTCACGGGCAATCATACAATCATCCGTTACTGCGGCATTCCTTATCGTTTTCCAAATCCGACGTCTCTCTCCTCGGAACGATCCACGATCCCAGAATACGGTGCCTCGGAGCTTGGAAATACACAGTCCATTTCCACATCCGACAACTCTATCACCGCAATGCCTCCGAAGCGTCGGGCAGCATCAGGCCGAACCGCCTCCAATCAATCGACTCTCACATTCAATGGTCGCTCAAGCAAAGTCTCAAAGCCGGGAAAGTCGGTACCCGGGAAGGATGCAATTGTCAAGCCCAAAAGCATCGAAACGCCGATCCGAATTGAGCCAGTCAATGAGGAACCCACAACTCGGGAGAATGCCCTCATCGAACAAGTTGTAGCGGAAGCCAAGAAGGAGCTTACACCGGAAGAGGAGGAGGCAAACAAGATATCAGAAGCGCAGATTAAGAAGTACTGGAGGGAGAAGGAACAGGCCCGGAAGACCCCAAGAGTGCATCAGCAGGAACTCAGCTTGAATGAGAAAATATTACGGGAGTTTGATACAACAAGCCACTTCGGGGTACGTCCAGAGACCTCTATTGCTCAATTCATATCTCATCCCACATATACTAACCACATAGATAGCCCTGCATTGGGATTACTCGAGAGAAGCGCTGGAAAAGGGCGCATCGCCTTGGCCTGAATCCATCGTTAGAGATTCTCGCGGTGGTTCTGAAGGAGGAGGAGGCAGAGAATGTCAAAGCACAGAGATCGTATGTTGATGAGCTCATGATGTCTAGGTTTGATGAGGTGTGATAGGATCATGGAGAGCGGCAAATTGTCTTCCTATTGATATACCCACGGTGTTAAGGCGTTGTCTTATTGAAGATGGGTTTTACACTGGACGATATCATGTTCCCGATCGACTGTGTAGTCTAAGCGATTTGATCTAAACGCATGCCGTTGCAGAATTACATGTAATAGCCTTTCCATTCTTTCTAGTGACCGAAAACCAAGAACCGGCAGGCCTAAAACAGTTGAATGCAGCATGAGCTTAATGAACCCGCCGTTTTCCCCAAATTGAGAAGTCAAGGGGTCGGTCTCCGTAAGCACAGTGTGAATGTGTAATTAATTTTCAATTCATGTGCGAATGAAGCCTCCGTTTTAAGGGCCGCTGCACCATGTATCCTGATGTCGTAGCGCCCACATTTGTCCACGCTTGCGCCAATTCCCTGTATCCTCATGAACTTCTACACGCCTCCACCATCAAATCCAAACTTTACAAGCATACAACGACTTTCATTGTATTGTATGCTCATGCTACATTAAATTTTGGGATCCCCTCAATGCGACGAAGCGAAAGATGGGTATCGAAATTTTCGCACGATAAGAGCATGGAACAACCCTTTCGATCTCCATATCCACCATGTCATTCACAACTATCATTGACGCGATCTTCGCATCTCCCAAAGCCGTTTTCGGTTCAGCAATAGCCCTTCGAGCAGTCTTACTTGTTTATGGTCTTTTGCAAGACGCATATTCCCCCGTCAAATACACCGATATCGACTACTTTGTCTTCACCGATGCTGCACGATTCGTCTACCAGGGCCGGTCCCCATACCTTAGGGATACGTATCGATACACGCCGTTGCTAGCATGGATATTAATACCCACTGCTTGGGACGGGTGGTTCTCATTTGGGAAGGTCTTGTTCGCCCTCGCTGATCTTCTTGCGGGATATTTGATGGTTGTCATCTTGTCAACGACGTATCGCATGCCCCAGGCAAGAGCGTTAAAATTCGCAAGCATATGGCTACTAAACCCCATGGTTGCCACGATCAGTACCAGAGGTAGCTCAGAAGGGCTTTTGGGTGTCGTCGTTACTGCACTATTGTACGCAATTTTGCAAAGAAATGTCGTGTTAGCCGGCCTGCTGCTTGGCTTTGGGGTGCATTTCAAGATTTACCCGTTTATATACACGCTGCCCTTTCTACTCTGGCTTCGATCTCCGGATGGGACTCGTAGGAAGGCAAAAGGAGGTTCGAAAGCCTCTCTGAAAGATCAGTTATTGCGATTCCTGAATCGAGACTGCACAACGCTGGCCATTTTCAGTTTCGTCTCATTCATGTCTTGCAATGTTCTCATGTTTTATATGTACGGCACTTTACCAATTACTCTTCGAGGCACCGACCTACAAGTGGCTAACCGATTTCGCAGATATGGATTCCCTTTTCTCAAGCATAGCTTTCTACACCACTTAACCCGAATCGACCACAGGCATAACTTCTCCCCTTATAACACATTATTGCATCTCAATGCTTCCCCAGCAAAATCGACCTCGTTTCATCTAGAGTCTCTTGCATTTGTTCCCCAGATACTGCTGTCAGCAGTTGCCATACCTTTTGCCTTGACTGCAAACGACCTGGCATCGACGATGTTGGCTCAAACATTTGCATTTGTGACCTTCAACAAGGTCTGCACAAGCCAGGTATGTGATTCGTACCACTCTAGTCCGCTCTCAGACTGAGACTAGCTAGTATTTCCTCTGGTATATCAACTTCCTTCCCTTCTACCTGCCGAGCTCTTCTCTGCTAAAGCAGACACGACTGGGTGTCGTAGCTGGAATTCTATGGATCCTAGGTCAGGTACGAGAACTACCTTGAAGTGCTTTGCGAGGCTTTGCAAACTGACGAATATCAGGCTATCTGGCTCCAGCAGGGGTTTCAATTGGAATTTATGGGACAGTCGACGTTTGTCCCTGGCCTCTGGATGGCTACGCTGGTGTTTTTCTTCATCAACATCTGGATTTTGGGCATCATGATCCGAGACATCGGCACGCAATCGAATGCGCAAAGTAGCCCTGACAAGAAGGAGAGGTAGTGGACTAGCCGATCAGCCGAAAATCTCTATAATTCGTAGGGCCTGTCTTTTGTGATTCCAGATTCGCGTGTTTAACGGAACCATTGTAGCCGGTGACTGTGCAGGTCTATAGTCTATGTACCTCGGTCTTGCTCCTGATGCCATCGAATATACATGTATTGTCAATAGGTATGTATTGTTCCGTGACGACTTTAATAACCTCTTGCGCAATAAGACCGCCAGTCAAGGCTGCGATATTGTGCAACTCTGCACCGCCAGCACGAACACTAACAGCTTGTTAGTAACATAATAGCAGCATCACGGTTCGCGTGGCTTACACTTCTCGCACAGTGTCGTATACCCGACCCTTGGCAGCTGCAAGATCCTCCTTGCTGTATGACAGTTGTCCTGCCTGCTTGAACACGTGGCTGAGGATTTGGTCTGCTAGAGCAATCATATCGGTCTCGTCGTGCGCGGTTTCATCGCCCGCCCCGGGCGCACGGAACCGTTTCTTGCCAGCGTCGGCTGCGGACAGGGACACAAACTGATCATACGCAACGAAAGCGACATGAATGGGAAACAACGATGTCTCATCAAGCAAGGATGTCGCTGCAGCCTTTGCTCTGTCTGTCCACTTGAATGGACCGTCGGGATTCATCGGTCGAATGGTTGAGCCTCGTACCAATTTGATATGTGCGGCGTTCTTACAGAAAATATCAATGCTGGACCCAGGGATGGCATTCGGTTTCCGTAGTGAACGCTCCAGTGCACGAACAGTGCCTAGAATCTCCGCCGCATCTTCTCGGAATTTGGCTCTGTAAACGGTCTGCAGCTTGACATAGTCCGCAGATTGTGCCTTCATGTCCGGTAAAGATCCTGATAATGGCAATACGCCATGTTTCGAATGGAATTGTGAAACTGCATTGGCAATGACCCAGAATGGTGCGGAATCGGTAGCGAGACTTTTGCACTCGGGAGCTTCGAAGACATCTCTCACGCTAGACCTAATGGTGGCTGCATTCAACGACTTCAAAGCCGTTTCATATGCCTCCATATAGTTCTCTTCGCCTCGTTCAGGGTTGTCACGTCTTTGCGCTGCATAGATCAGCTTGCGATATTCCGACTTCTCCGCATAGTTCTCCGGCGGATTTCCACCATGCGCAGCCTTCCATTTTTCGACAAAATGGAGGAGTAGAGCGACATATGGGATGTGTCCGTGGTCGTGGTCGTCCAACTGATCGAGATCACCGCAAAATTCATGCGCCAGCTGTTCCAGTGCGGGCCACGGCTTGAGGATTCGAAGGTCGTTTAAAGCGGTCGGGTCGGGATGAGTGTCTATTATCGGGAACGCGGCAGGGAGCTGCACTGAGAACTCCGAATAAAAGCCCAAGCTATGGATGAAGAACACGGGGGTCTGGGTAGAGCAGCCATGCTCAGCAATGCGGGAGAAGACGGTAGGATCGACGGGAGAGGTTAGAAGGATGAGAGTAAAAGGCTGAAGGCTGTCAGGGCGATCGAGGAACCTCGTCGTCGGCTGAATCTGGTTTAGCATTTGCTCATAAAATTCCGAACGCATGGACAGACCTCGGCGATGAAGTTACCGGAGACATCTGGATTGAGCTCTTGCAGCAGCCTACAGCATTGCTCGGCTCGAGAACTCCCAAGGCTATCTTCGTCAAGGAAGAAGTTGACACCAAGGTCGGCTTCGCATACGAGGGCATCGTCCAGTATCGTGAAGTTCCCGATTCCTAGCCGGCAAGTTAACCATGAGTTAAGCACTAGGAACCGACCTCGAAGTGAGTGTACCGGGAAGCACCAGGTTCTTTAAAGTCTCCACTCCCACGACCCCAGGTCCGGAGTTCACAAGTAGGATGTGAGACTCTTCGAGGGCTCGCTGGCCTGTGGCTGCCCATAACCGGAGTTGACGGTCATACTTCCTCTCCTTCGAGGTTGGAGGTTGCAGCGGAGGTGGGATAGTCTCAGTCATGGCAAGTTCCTCCAACAGCAATCACCACTACCTTTTATGTCATGTTTGAGCATGCAAGTAGAGGGTTCTTGGAGTGAGCTTGAGTGGTGAACCTTGGTGTGACTACAGCACTAAACGATCATCAACCTCCATGTTGAGTAATAGCTACACATCATTCAGGGTGGTTACGAATGAAGATCCGCAGTCCGCTTCTGTGGTTCGCCCAATGACCCAATCATCTCCAGTCGGTAGGGGCCTTCGTCTAAACTCCGGCTAATATGGGTCGGTTAAATTGCGGTAGCATTTAGTCACGTGCACAACTCTAAGACAAATCACGTGGAGGGCTTTTATCCAATGACAAATGCGGAAGGAACCGAAGCATCGGACGCGTCGCGCTTTGTCTTCCTGCCTTCAACAATGTCTCAACTGCTTCATGCCATCTTTCTTTGAGCAAGGTTCGACAATCATTCAGTTTGAAGACGATTGTCCTTGGTCCTTTGTCTCAATATGTCCTCTTCATTCTCTTATTGTCTGCATGTTGGACCCTCCCTGTACTTGTACAGGTATTCTACTATCACTCCAAGTTTTTTGAGCGGAACAAGACCGCGGCCTCCTGTTGGTACTTGAATACTTGGATGCTGAAGAGTTCTTTTTTATTATTTAAATATATAACTAGAAGACGCATCTCTCTTCGGTATACGTATGGCGCTATTAAAAAGACTTAGTATTGGGCTGTGGAACGCCTTTACTCCCAACGAGGAACCCACCAGACCGCTTCCTCATCCACGCCTGCCCAGATCGCCACGAACCCGGCAAGGGAGACAAGTAAACAGAAGACTTGAGCGGCCACCCACATCAATGGACCATGCGCGATATTGGAGAACGAGGTCACGGTCCCCAACCACTAGAGGCAGCCCCGAGGTGGTGGATCGAGAGAGCGTGGTGGATCGCGACAGGGACCGCAACGCCCGGTTCAACAAGAGCAACGAGGTAAATGAGAGCGAGCCTACCAAATATGAGGTCCGTAGGTTTCCTTCAATCAAAAATCTAAAGAGGACGCTAGAGGAAAAGGTTGAGGGGTTGCTGAAGGCCGGATGGAAATATGAAGCAATGGAGCTCTTTTTGAAGCTGAGTATGCGAGGCTATGAGCCGCTTTTGCCCCATGACTGGCAGTTGGACTTCGATGGCTTTCCCTCTGTTCTCTTCGAGCCACTGTCGGAACCAGCCTATATTCGCAATGCTACAGGATCCGAATTCAGAGGTCAGTTGATGCATGAGTTTGACTAATCTTCCGCTAACCGTTTCCTTAGCTCTCAAAGCCTTGGAGGATATAATCAACATCGGGCCTCGTGTCCGGGATGCCTTTGAGTTGTCGGTGCAACAGCGGACAGCCGAACGGGTTCTCACCGACGCTATCAATCGCTATGCTCTCTGGGCATTTAAGGATGGAAATGTGAACCCCAAGACAGGTTCTATGATTCCGATCTTCACCACCTGGGCCGGTCCTGGCACGGAAGCTCCAGTGAAGCTGCAGTCGGAACTTGCGCGCAAATTCCGTTTCATCGCTTCCAGCTGGAGAGATGCCCAATACTTTCGGGCGAACATGGATCAATCAGCGGAACCGGCACAACTCCCCACGCTATACGGTGTAATCGTGTCGGAGAAGGTATTTGGTATCCTGACGTACGATATTCCTAATGAAGATTCCATGTCGCATATTGAACACATTCAGCATATGCGCTGTGTGGGCATGTTCAGCTACGACGACTATGCACTGGATGTATACAACGGTCTCGCCATAGCCATCACCCTCATTCATGTCAGGAATCGGATGATAGAACTGAAGAATGAGTGGAGGAGTGTCCTAGAGCATAGCATGCCTAGCACACCTCGACCGGATATCGATGGTTGAGATTGGGGCTGTGGATTCAAGGCGTTCATGATGTGGATTCTGAGATGCTGAAGGCAACTCGGATTTACCTATTGGTATCTTGGGGTACGGGTATATAGGAAACAGCCTCCTGATATGTTGAGACTTGTGGTACGACCCTTTAGCCGTGATAGTCGCTGAAAATGGATGAATTATAGAAAACTGCCGGCTCCCATCCCAAAGTTTTCATGGTCAGTCCACAACAGTAATGGCATGGTATGACTCGTTTGCCATTGATAACCAGCCTTTACGACAGTATGCCTTCCACTCTGCTATCTGCCTCATTGAGGGAACTCTGTTTCCTCAAGGACAGGCGATCCCCATTTAAAGGGGACCTTGCCACCAGAACTAAAGTCGTTGAGGACCATGCAAGACGCCAGACGCCACGGGAAATTATATGGAGTTCACTCGGTTTAGATGGGCTGCCTGCGAGGGGGAGGTATCCATTTGTCCGCGTTGTAGATGTACAAAATATTCACCACGAACCAGAGCGAAGTATTAATGAAGGGCTGGGTTTGTTTGACTCACTCAAGGACACGGGTAGCGGAGTGCAGCGGATAGGAACCGAAGGATCAAATTATTAGCAAACCTAAACTGAACGCAAAAGAAGCATCTTCCTCGTAAACGTAATATCCGCAGTGTGGACAGCCATGTATTCCCTTAGGATGTCCTTTTCCACGCCTGAACAAGTTAGGGGTCTCCCAATGCTGTCCTTTCAAGTTGAAATCGTGCGCCACCCTTCCTTTTCCACACCCGCCACGGGCAATCAGGTACTATTCCCGAAGGCAACCATTCCTATGTTTATCGCCTTGTAGACATCATACTCCCCCGAAGTGCATGGTAACTTCGACCTTAAACAGAAACCTCGACACGTCCTCCGCCGACGCCACCTGGCTGCTTGATGTCGGGCATCATGTACTAGGGTATTCCGTTAGTAACGGCTCATAAGAAACCAAGGGGGGTGTAGCATACCATGACATCATCCCAAGGATGCCTATACAATCCGGTCTTCAACCGCTTCTGATCTAGGTAATGGGCGATCAAACCGATGCTGCGACCCAGCACGAACAATCCGTTCAGGACGCCCATCTTGAGGTAGTCCTCGGCCTCCTCGGCGGAGAAGGCACCACAGGACCTCAGGAGGTCGACGAAGCACACGGCGATGCAGCCGTCGACGTTCAGGATCAGGTTGTCCTTCTTTGAGGTCGTCACTGTCTCAACGGCCAGGGCGTATTGCAGGAGGCCAGAAGACGGGAAGTTCTTGAGCACGTAGGACTTGACAAGCTCGACACGGAGATCCGGGTTGTTGCGTGATTTGATGCGGTGGCCAATACCGGGGACTAAGGAGGGTCAGTCAACGCGCGCTTGAGAGTTGGAGAGGAATGTGTTGGGGACATACTCAGCTTGTTCTCCTTCCGCATGCTATCAACAAAGTCACGAGGGCTCAATCCCTTGTCGTACGCCTTGGTGAACTCCTCTGCGGCGCCATCGAGCGCACCTCCGAATCGGCTTCCGATGGTCAACAGACCGCTGACCAAGGCGGAGACCAGATCCTTTCCGGCTCTCGTGGTGATGATGGTGTTCATGGCACCCGAGACGGCCGGACCGTGATCGGCAGTCAACATGAGGACCATCTCGAGGAACTTGCTGGCGTAATCGGGCAACCGCCGACGGAACCACAACAACGACATGACACCACCGATGCCGATGTTCTCCTTGAACACGTCGCTGATGGGCATGCCGGCGTACAGCAGTTCCTGACCACGGTCGTCGGAGATGGTGCTGATGAAGGCGGCCGGCTTACGGATGAGGCCGAGCTCGGAGGCCCAGCTGTAGTCCATGGGAATCTTGGGTACCTGGACCTCCGGCTTCGGCTTGATGGTGCCGTCCTTGACGAGCTTCTGGTACACCTGGGCAAGAGTGCTGGGCAGATCCTCGAAGGTGTCGGGGACGAAGAAACCGGCGTCACGCATGCTCTGGTTCTTGACCGTGGCGGTCTCAAGCTGGCTGTTGGCGAAGGAGCCGGCGTGGCCGAACTGCACTTCGGTCTTAAGCATGCCGGCGACGGTTCCAATGGCCCATGCAACAATGGGCTTGGTGATCTGACCGGCCTTGACAGCCTCGATGACGCGGTACTCTTCCACACCACCGACCTCACCGAGCAGGAGAAGGATCTTGCACGCCGGGTCGGCTTGGTAGCGGAGCATGTGCTCGATGAACGAGGTCCCGGGGTAGCGGTCACCACCAATGGCGACACCCTCGTAGACACCGTCGGCGTTTTGCGAAATGATGTTGTTCAGCTCGTTGGACATGCCGCCAGATTTGGAGACGTATGCGACGGAGCCGGGGCGGTAGAGCTTGCTTGCGACGATGTTGTCCATCATGCCGCCAGTGTTACCGATCTTGAACGCGCCGGGCTTGATCCCCCCGACGGTGGCAGGTCCGATGATGGTGATGCCCTTCTTCTTGGCGACATGGAGGATTTCGCGGGCGCGCTGTCAATTGTATTAGCGACCGTGCCTATCGAAAATTGGTGCAAAAGGGGAGTTAAAACGTACTCGCTCTGGCACACCCTCGGCAATGATTGCAATGGACCGGATTTGCGGGCATTCCATCAACTCCATGGTGGAGCTGTAGACTGATCGCGACGAAGCGAAGTTCACGACGGTGTCAACGTCGCTGTGCTTCGCCATGGCCTTTTCAACCGACTGATAGACCGGCAGAAGGGTCTCGCTGGTTCCCCAGTACCTGTTACGTGGATCAGTTTCGGGCTCCTGGCAAGGCGGGACCATCGGACGTACATCTTGCTCACGAACTGGCCACCGAAAGTGTAGATGATGCCGGCGACCGAAGGAGTCTTTCGCTTGCAGATGAAATCGAAGTCGAGCATGCCCTGCACGGCTCGAGGTTGCATACCACTATTTCGGAGCATGGTCAGCGAATTCACTCTCGCAGTATTTCTCGCGTTCTTCCTATCCGTCAGGCCTTGTCCAACTCCAAGGCTTGCTTTCTGCCAGTTCTGGGCTTCCCTTGCGCGGGCTTGGGTTCCCAAAGACCACGTTCCGCGCCGACCGGCATTGTTGGGAGAATAGAGACTTAAACATACTAGACAAAGCATCGCGTCTTGGGGTGGAACAGCGTATGCTCGGCGGGCGGGCTCAGCGGTCTGCTAGGAGCGCTGAAGCGGAGGATGTTGTCGTTGGCGGAGAGGTTCTGTTGGGCAGGAGAGGCGCCGTTCGTTGGGGCAGTGGACGGCATATTGGACGATTCTCTTCACGATTCGTTCTTAAACTTGGTGTCGGAGTTGATATGGACGTGTCGGATCTAGGAGGGAAGCTTTTAGCAGGTGGTTTTTTGGAAGGGAGGTATCATCTGAGGAGCAGGATTCCTCAACAAAGGGTACACAAGTGATGTAAAGGAGGCAGATGTAGTACATACCCAAATCAGTGGGATGGAGGACCTCCGAGCAATATGGAGGCCGAGATGGAGAAGGACGGAGGTGTTTCGGAGGGGGGTGGGAAAAATTATTAGGAGGTGGATTCGAGGAGAGTGGGAAGCTTGCAAGGCACCGTAGCACAAGACAATGGGCAATTGAGAGGCAGGAAAGATGATGGGAAGTGAGATGCAATAGAGCAGTGATTCTTTTTTTTTAGCAATTCAAAGGAGCGGTCGGAGATGGGAGATGGAATGGAAGATGGGATCAGTTTGGGGACTGGGGAGTGATTCTCGTAGCTGTGGTCTCAACTCCGGACGGTGGTTCACTCACTTCACCAGCTACACGCGGATGGCCAGGATGATTCCCGTTGGTGTGTGCGGTACCGTACAGATTTAGCCCGTAGTTTAGTGTGATGTTTCGAATGAACCCTCCCTTGAATATTTCACTAATGTTATTAGTGCATCGCTACCACTATGAAGTTGCCTAGTGTGATCATCCGATGTTAGGCTTTTAGGCCTGCAATTGGCGGCCCCCTCCCCCAACCGGTAGTAAACTAACCCCCCAAAACCCCCTGCTGCAACTCTGCCCGCTGCCCTCCCCTGGCTCAGAGCCAACGCTCTGCTAAATCAACCCGACGACGGAACGCGACGGATTCTTTCTAACATCCTGTATTCCGTACTCCGTCCAGCTTCCATCCATCTGTCGGCCCGTCATTTGGGGAGCCGAATGGTATGAATGATGGAAAACGCTGAGTCTGGCGCTGGGTACCTGATGCAGACCCGATGAATGCTGCTGATATGGGCATGAATCGCCGAACCAGGACCCTTTCGCGTTTCGGCGACCGATGTTGTTCTAAATTCTTCTAATCTACAAGCGTTCCCCCCCAAACTCGCATCGGAGCCAACTAGCCAAGATCAATTCATCCATGATTTCCATCTTCACGAATGGGCCGGTTAGCATCAGCTCCGTTTCGGCCTCCAACCGGAGTGTCACCAAAGCGGAGCCGGATTCTCAGAATCGCCTCAACCCTCCGCTGCCACCAGGAAGAAACGCCAAAGCTCCGATCGAGTCTTTGTTGGGCATTCAGACGTCCAGCAAATCAGCGAGGAAAAACGACCGCTCTACTAAAATCCATCCCATGATTCACTCTCTATCCATGCGACCCACCTTAACACCGGGAGATATTAGCCTCCTGCATTCCGTACCTGACGACTGCAGCCCCGAGCCTGGGGCGGCGAAGGGATCAACCCACCATGAAATTATTTTGAATTCCGGCAGAGACTGCGAAAGATCGGGCTTACCTGTAACCAGACTCGGGAATTGTTTGGTTGGGACTCAGTAGGATCATGTACGGTAACTCCTCGATGGTACGGCGAATGCGATGTAGGAACATGGACGACGAGTCTCCTGTCTGTTGGACTCGGGATTTCGGGATTTCGGGATTTCTGGAACGGTCTGAGGAGCGGTGGGTTTGGTGGATTGGTGGCGCACGCGGGCGGGGGGATGCACGCTGGCTTCGGCGGGGTTCCGGGGGTCTTCGAGGCTTCCAGAGCCCCTGTGCGGCGCACCAGACGCGCTAACTACTTGCTACCTCCGTTCACCGGTACTCCGTCGTCCCACTGTCATGAATTCTTCCCCTTAGCTGCGTGTCGCCCTAATCCCCCCCAGCTGACCAGCTCCCAACTCCCCCAAACCCTCCAAAAAAAACAACCAAAAATATTGGAAGCTTTCTGCAGCTAATGAACGATTTTTGGTGACGGCATCCGAACTTCTCCCTCAAAAGTCCAAGGTCAAAAGTCCAAAGTGAAATCACACCGACACGACCACTGAACCTCTCCCGACGCTTCACCAACCACTTCTCAACTTTGTTCAAGACTATCCACTCCGCCCATCATTCCCAGTAACCGTCGTGTTTGTCGTGTATGCACTAATACGGTGCAACCGAAGATCGGACGAATCCACATCGGACTTGCTAAGACCATTCATTTGTTGCTGTTCGAAGAAAGGGTGTGAGAACATCGCCATCTTTTCCACTCTTCATTAGTTTCCCATTGCCGCGCTCTTCGATTGTCCTGGTAGGTCCTCAATTCTATTCTCTTGTCGTTTTATTGTTTCACCAGCTTTGGTTGGTACTATCCGAAAGTCAATTGATATTCCCACCGCTCCGGTTGGACAGTTCAGCCCGGTGGTGCATTTGGAGTCCTTCAAGCTTCGCATCTTCCCTTCTTTTCGCGCTGTCAGTCGAGACGGCCCAGTTCGCTCTATCACGTCGAATCTAACCCTTCGCTAGGAATCCATCCCGGTCTCATCGTCCGAAAGTCATCAATCCTCACCATGTCTGCCAAATCCATCCTCGAAGCCGACGGCAAAGCCATCCTCAACTACCACCTCACCCGCAGCCAACTCATCAAGCCCTCGCCTCTTCCTCCGCCAACCACACACAACCCACCCCCGCGTCTCGCCAGCATCTACTTCCCCGCAGATGCCTCCGTGTCCGCCGTCCTGGATCAGGCTGAGATCATGCACCCATGGCTTCTCCAGAGAGACGTGCGCTTGGTCGCAAAGCCCGACCAGCTGATCAAGCGACGTGGGAAGAGCGGCCTCCTGGCCTTGAACAAAACCTGGGAAGAGGCGCGAGAGTGGATCGCCCAGCGCGCCGGCAACTTGCAGAAAGTTGAACACGTCGAGGGCTACCTCCGCCGCTTTTTGGTCGAGCCGTTCTGCCCGCACGAGTCCAACGAGGAGTATTACATCAATATCAACTCCGTCCGAGAGGTAAGTCAATTCATTTTCGGTCTATGGCGCGATTGTTTTCAGCCGGGAAGAGGGGGAGGTAGAGAACGCCAAGGAGCTGGGAGGAAGAAGATCTGACGCATTTCCGGACCGAATTGCTTCAATTCGTCCAATGGACTCGGAACAAGTCAAATTGACCTTGATTCGGTCCGCTGGACGGGATGAACGGCTGCATTTCAAACTCGGAGACGGCCCGTCGATCTTAGATCTCCCCCCCAGCTCACTCGTCCGGACGAAAGGAAGTTCAGGGAGACCCACCACATCCACCCTTACACATGCCCATGCCCTTCGATCTTTCGTTCATGCGCCGCTATTTTGAAGCGCATGCATGTTCAGGAACCGTTCAACCCTACTCGGTTGCTCCCGAGATGTCGGTTCGACCCGTGCCTTTGCATTTTTCGGTTTCTTCCTAGCTAGCATGCACGTGTCACGTGCCATCCCCCATCCCTCGCTCTACTATGCCTTTACCATGATGATCATCCATTGAGAGCGAACATAGACTAATAGAGTATGTTTTAGGGCGATTGGATCCTTTTCACTCACGAAGGTGGTGTCGATGTCGGCGATGTCGATGAAAAGGCCGAGAAGATCCTCATCCCCGTCGACCTGTCCGAATACCCATCCAATGCGGAGATCGCAGCGACGTTATTGAAGAAGGTTCCCAAGGGCGTGCATAACGTCTTGGTCGACTTCATTTCCCGCCTCTACGCCGTCTACGTCGAGTGTCAATTCACGTAAGTCCGAAGCGCCCCATGTGCCAAACCACTTGAGTCCGTGAAAAGGACGTCGAGCCCAAACTAACGCTCTACCAGCTACCTTGAAATCAACCCCCTCGTTGTTATCCCCAACGCCGACAAGACCTCTGCCAGCGTCCACTTCCTCGATCTCGCCGCCAAACTCGACCAGACCGCCGAGTTCGAATGCGGCGTCAAATGGGCCATCGCGCGCTCCCCAGCGGCTCTCGGTCTACCTGTCGCCCCCGCCACCTCCAAGGCCACCAAAGTCACCATCGACGCCGGCCCGCCCATGGAGTTTCCCGCCCCATTCGGACGCGAAATGTCCAAGGAGGAAGCCTACATCGCTGAGATGGACGCCAAGACCGGTGCAAGCTTGAAGCTGACCATTTTGAATTCTCAAGGACGTGTGTGGACGCTGGTCGCCGGTGGTGGTGCGTCGGTCGTGTACGCGGACGCCATTGCCAGCGCCGGGTTCGCTGGCGAGTTGGCGAACTACGGCGAGTACAGTGGTGCGCCGACCGAGACCCAGACGTTCCATTACGCAAAAACGGTCTTGGATTTGATGCTTCGGGCACCTCAGCACTCGGAAGGGAAGGTCCTGTTCATCGGTGGTGGTATCGCCAACTTCACCAACGTATGTTAATCCCGCTTCCTGCTCGTTAAATCCGGGCCATGTGGACTCAGGACGCTAACATTTGACAACCAGGTCGCCTCCACCTTCAAGGGCGTCATCCGCGCTCTCCGCGAGGTCGCTCCTCAGCTCAACGAGCACAAAGTGCAAATCTGGGTTCGTCGCGCTGGTCCCAACTACCAGGAGGGTCTCCGGAACATCAAGGCCGTCGGCCAGGAGCTCGGCTTGAATATGCACGTCTTTGGACCGGATATGCACGTCTCCGGTATTGTTCCGTTGGCGCTTCAAGGAAAGACGACCACCATTCCGGAGTTCTCGACCTAGGTTCGATGAGGAAGGGTCAGGTGAGAGTGTCGGTGTAGAACGGCTCGTGAGGTGGCATCTAGCATCGAGGATGATATGGCGGAAAACGGTTTTCCACCGGGCAGGTGTTTGGCGACGATTCAATGTGGTAGGCTCAAACTTGGTTCTGCGGTTGATGTTGAAAATATCGGGTGGTCGTGGGATACTGGACGATCACTGTCTTAACGTGGTCAATTCTGAGTACGGTGCATATTTCGACTAGTCCTATTGCAGCACCGTTATAATTAAGTACAGACTTTCCAACCGCGTTTACTACTTCTCATTCCTTTTTCCACCGCTTCCCGCGACTCTGACGATACGTATTGTATGAGACCTGTCTAAGCGAAAATGAGCAGCACCGGGTCGCCTAACTTCTCCCTCTCTGGCAATCGAACACCCGGAATCCGTACATCCCGCATGCCAGGCCGACAAGCCGATGATGTTCTCCAGCGCATCGAGTGATGTAGGGCAGGGTGTCGATAGGGAGTAGAACTACTGCGAGATGTCCGATTCTAGCATCTACCAGGGCCAGACTAATGTCATTACCGTAATACTAGCCAGGCCGATGTCACGGGAGTCCCCTCCTTTCAAACCGTGAGACGCCCTTAGCCAGCGTACCGTGTGCATTGGTCCTCGCAAGCTGCTTCCGGAATCACATCGCCCTGATGCGCTCATGAGACCTGGCTCGTCGTACATCCATGCCAATGTTTGGCATCCCGTAAAAATCACCTTAAGCAGTTGGCCCTAAGCTTCCACATCGACAACTTTAATTCGAATGCCTTTTGGAGTCCAGCTTGGGCGACGGGGTCAAGAAGTCATGGGTTATCCGCACATTAGAAATAATCGTCTCAAAGAGTTCCATATGGAATCGCCGAAACAAAGCACCCAATGTCGATATATCAGTGCTGGATTGGCCAAAGAAGAAAGTCCATCCACTTGATACCCAGACACATCCGTGGTCCTTTTCCGAATGCCACGAAGTACAGCTCCAGTGAATGGCCATCCGAGGCTTTTGGACCACCCACCCAGTGCTCAGGGACGAACTTTTACGGGTTAGGGAAGATCTTTTCGTCGAAGAGCACGTCCATGACCGTCACCGAGACAGGAGTTCGGCCCCGTATGATCCAATTCCGATACTGTAGAGGCTCATTTAGAACGCGCGGGTCGCGTGCTGAGAGGCCTAGGACAATCGAAGCCCTCCCGAACGCAAACTCGAAGATAAGGGAGAGTTTTGAATCGAGCATAACTCAAAGCCTCGTGAACAGACAGATCCGGAAAAGCCGTACGAAGCTCTTCGTGCAAGGTAGTATGAACTTCGGGATTATCAAGGATGTGGAAGACAGTCGTGCTTAGTGCCCAGGCAGTGGTTGAGATTGCTGCGCCGAAGAAGCCTAGAGCTTCGTCACTGAGCCGCTCAGGTGATTTCCGGTCTTCTGGAAGTTTTGAATTCACAATCTCATGGAATATTGTTGGTTTCTCGGTTGCTTTAACTCCTCCCTCGATGATGGAGGTGATGATCTGTCGAAGGTCCTGAGGAACCCTTTTAGTGAGAAGCCGAACCCCATGGATATGCTTACCTGGTGAAGTCGATATATCTGGGCGAGAGACGGGTTTATAAACACGGCGACTCGGTCCGGAATTTTGTACAAGATCTAAAAGGATCAGACCAGGGAGAGAAGGGAGAGTCCTCTACTCACAGCATATAACCAAGGGAAGTATAGCGTCAAGGAACCGTTACGGTCAAGGGCTGCGAAGGCGTCATCAAATGATACGTTAAAAGCCGAGGGCCCAAGATAATTATAGTTGGAACCAAACGAATACGCCATAGTACAGTATGGTCACCGACGAAACACCCCAGGAGTCCTCGATAGCCAGAACCTCATTCGTAGCATAATACCAGGCAATTCGCTTACACAAATACTCAACCTTGCTCTGGACAAAAGGCTCAAATACATGATTGCTCGCATAGAGAATCTGTAGTATGTAAGAGGCGACTTCGTCAGCTGAGATCTAGTAGAGGTACATGGAACTTAGTGCACCATGCCTAAGGTGGTGGATGCCATGGCCCAGAGTCGTAAAACGCATGTTCGTAGAGGGGAGTCAACCAGTCATACCGTCATATCGATTGGCTTTTGGGTGGCGGTTGTAGAGCGTATCAAAGAAACTGCTGTCCTCCACATGCAGTTCCTCTGGTGATATTCGGAAAATTGGCCCTGTCGGTATCGGAATGGCATCCAAATGATCGGCCTTGAATATGACTCACCATATGTTTTATGTAGCTCCTAGATATGGAAAGTGAACTGGCCGCCCCGGACCATATCATGATAGAATTCGTACCACCGACCGGGGGTTGCAAGTTTCGGTCCTGAGAACTTTGCAATGGGAGAAAGGTGCAGTCGATATACTGCAATTCGAGCTAGATTGAGAAGGTATGCTAAGCATATACCGAGGATTATCGTGGTTGAAGGCAGCGAACTAGGTCTCTAAAAGTCGGGCCGTCCATGGCGAGAGGTGAAACTGTAGAATCCCATGGTCGACTGACAAGAAAATACAAACTATTTAAGCTCCGTTCATCGCAGTAGTCGCTCGATTGAGGTAGGTTTTGAGGTTTTGCTGCCCTCATGCATTCCGATAGGCTAGAAGTCTGTGTGACCAAACCACGCCAATGGAATGAATATCTGTTCTGATCTACGGCGAGTATGTGCTGTACTAGGACACGGCTCTGGAAATCCAGCGGAATTCCCCTCTGCCGAAGCTGTCTCACGACTACTTCCATGTGCAATGAAGCGGAGCCGCTCCGTAGACTTGAATAGCTACTGCAATAAGAAAATCGAATCAACGATGAAAACCTCCAAGCTCTTTTGCAGGTTTGAAACTCCGGATGTACAAATATACGCAGTGTTGCCGGTCAAGGCGTTCGGTCGCTGCCTAGGATAGTGACATTATCACTGTCATGGTCGAGCTATAGTTTTGGTCGCATCTAGCGTCTATGGTAGAACAACAAAGTCATGCAGGTATAGCAGCACGGTGGACGCCGGCTTTATGAGAACCTCGACTCTTCATTCATCCGTCTATCCAATTACCCAAGAAGTAGTATATCCACCATTCCGCTTTCAAAACCCACTGGATTTTCGCCTCATCGCACATGACACAAAAAGGTATCCATGAAACAGAAACAAGAAGGTTCCGGGTAATACGATCCTGAAACGGCCCGCTGAACAAGACAGTTCTGTCTAGGAAGATAAGTAGTAAATATATAGAACCCACACAGACGGTAATGTATAGAGCACTTGAGATGGCGATATGAGGGAGTGGCCAAAATGTCACAAAAAAGAAATGACACCGCCCAAAGCGTCGAGATAGAAAGTGTGAGAGGGGGTGAGCCTCTCTGATCAGAGGATCGCCGAAGGGGACTGGCTGGGACAAACGTTCTCTTCCCGTCTACTCCTCCGAAACGGAAAAACTCCAAGCCCGCAAATCCATTTGGTTTAATCAGCATAGGGTCTGCACATCCCCAATATAGTGTTTACAAAAAGAAATGTTGTATATCGCGATAGGAATGCTCGCAAGCGATAGAGCATGGAAAAACAAATGCAGCTGCTAGTTTCGCCTAGCGGGTCAGCGGTATCTCCGCGCTGTGTTGCTTTTCTCGTGGGTCAGATACGGATGAGAAGTCGTGGGGTATGGTGGAATGTTGTGACTCCAGGTCGTCATCGTCGTCGGGCGACTTGACCTCGCGGGCGATTTCGACGTAGTCGTACTATCCACCGAATTAGCAAATTCTCCAGTTGGCGGAGATAATAACTTACGGCAAACTCGCCAATCTCCGCATCGTCAATGCCCATGATCTCTTCCTCATCGCTAGCACGTAGACGAAGTACGGGAATGAAGCGCCCGATGAAATCGAGGGCACCAAGGATGATGCAGGTGCCGACAAAAGAATAGCCTCCGCCAGCGACGGAGTCGGCAAGCTGGTAGGCGATTTGGATCCAATGATGGACGATCCAGCCGCCCTCGATGGTGCTGAAGCCATCAAGGTGAGCGATGTATGGTCTAGACAAAGTCCGTTAGTGATGGTGAATGAGTGAGCGAAAACAAGCGAGCTTACGCAGCGAAGAAAGCTGTCAGGATGTTGCCGATGAACCCACCGACAGCATGGACCGCAAAGATATCAAGAGCGTCGTCGCAGCGTAGGAAGTATTTGATCTTCGTGGCATAGTTGCAGCCAATGCCAGCGGTGACGCCGAAGATAACGGCAGCCCAGGCAGGGACGTACCCTGAGCCAGGAGTGATGGCTACTAAGCCAGCAATGACACCAGAGCAGAAACCGACGGTGGACCATTTGCGCTCAAGACGGTAGTCGACTAAGCACCAGGTAATACCGCCAACACACGCGGCTAAGTTGGTGACAACCGCAGCCATGACTGCCCTCAAGCTTGCGCTGAGTGCAGAACCCGCATTGAAGCCGAACCAGCCGACCCACAGGAACACGGTTCCGATGACGATATGTGTAACGTTGTGTGGGCGGTAATTAAGCTCCTGAGTTCCGTGGCCGCGGCGCTTGCCGAGCATGTACGAGTAGGCAAGGGCGGCGGAACCGGAGGCAATGTGTACTGGGGTACCTCCGGCGAAGTCTAGACCACCCATTCTGTAGACCCAGCCAGAGGGGTTCCACGTCCAACACGCAATCGGGTCGTAGATTAGGGTAGTCCAGATGAACATGTAGACGATGCAGGGCAAAATTTTACCGCGCTCTGCGACGGCGCCGATGGCGAGGGCAACCCTGAAAGTCTGTCAGCCGGGACACATGGGAGATGGCCATGGGGGGTCCAAACTTACGTGATGGCGGCGAACATGCCCTGATAAACAGCAAACAGCAGATCTGGCACCCTGTCGCTGGCCACCGAAGGTGCACCCAACACGTCGTTGAACCCAACGTTATGCAGCGTTCCAATGAACCTCCCCGCATGGTGAGAGAAGGTCAAGCTGTAACCCCACAAAAACCATTGGAATGTGACAACTGCCACCGACATGACGGATAGCCATAGTAGAGACAGAGCGGACTTTCGTCGAGCGAGGCCGGAATAAAAGAAACCGACACCCGGGATCATCAGCAATACCAATGCGGTGGACATCATGACCCAGGCAATGTCGCCGGATTGGTAGAAGACATTTAGATTTTGATCGAGGGAGTCACCCCCGGTACCGGTGGTGACATTGGCCATGAGCCATGGGATATAGCTATTTTCAGCCGCCATGGTCCCTGACGAAGCAGCGGATTCGGTGGCCGACATTTTGCATAGGTTCCCACGGTATTTCGTGAATAGACGGCTTCTTGACCGTCTGTTGAGATCGTGCCTTGCAAACCGTATTCGACAAGGGGTAAAGAGGGTACGAGATCGAGTTATATAATAGCATATAACTTGGTTCTCTGGATGAAGGAAGGAATGGTGGTAGAGAGCGACTGTGATTCAGAAAGCTCACGCTAGAAGCAAGGGAACCAGGAGAGGCAACACGTTGCGGGGAGATATGGGGGCGCAACTTCGCTCTTTTCCAAAGCAGCTATGGTCTGGGTCGTTCCGAAGTTGCGAATTTCGGGCGTACCTCTTAAATGATTATGGCGAACAACGGCTGCTCGACAGCCACGAGTGCGCGCTCGCCGAGGGAGGTTCTTGGGTGTGTCGTCTTGGTCGCACGCCTGAAGTTGAGAAGGACGAATTTGTGTAACAGGTATCCGTAATACTTTTCCCTGTCGGATACGGCGGCGTTCGATCGTTCCTTGGATCTGTTGGAGGGACCACTTGTAGCTTTGTTGCTGGCACCGGGTACCTGTCTGACCAGAACTATATTGCGCTAACGGATTACACAATCTCGATCCTTTCTTTCTATAACTTTGAGCTAATTTTGGGTTAAATATGCACATGGACGAGGGTCATAGCAGGAAGGAGAATGGATGAAGGAGCGGAGTTATCGCAGGAAAGGTCGCATTCAAAGGGAGAATAGGATCGAGCAGTGAATTAGAGACCAAAAAAGTGCGTGGAGGTGCGTATAGATATTGAGAGTAGGGTAATGGGTTGCGGCGCATTGGTACGTACAGGTACGAGGGATGTGATCACCTCAATCTCGTCCAAATCTGGGCAGACAACGAAGGAATTGGTCGCTACTCGTTGGGCGGTGGTCACAACAGCATGACGAAAGGGAAATGGTAGAGATGCGCAACCAGGTGAAGGGATAGAGATGGATCGCAATTCTTGGGAGCGAGGCAATAATTCCTGGAGGATACCAGCCAGCAGCTCCAGGAAAGGAGAATCAGAGGAGTCAGGCTAGCAGAACGTGGTAGTGGATCTGAACAGGCACCTCTCTACTCTCCAGTCGGGAGAGCGGGGACTGATGTTTGGAAGATGTAGATAATACTGCGTATCAGTGTGCCGTGTACGGGGCAGCAGTGTCGATACGGATGACCGATGACCGGATGAAGAGACCCGGCGATAGGGAAATCAAGTGAGTGGACATGGGGGTCACAGCGGGGGTTCATGCTGTGGCGGCGATTCCATGTCCTGTGAAGATAGGCGCTCTGGGCGGAAACAAGAAGTAAAACGAGGAATAGGATGAATCGATGGCTCCCAATTTTGCCCTAAATCCATCTTTTCTCAATCGATCTTTTAGTAATGTAGTAATAGAAGGGCTGCCTGTTTGCTTCAAGACAAGAGCTACCCCATAAGAGTATCTGATCGTATTGCTGAACTGTACGAATGCAGGATAGTTGGAGAAGCAGGACGTCAGATCATCAATTCGTCAGTTCACGATCGACCAGGGGCAACAAGGGAGCTTATCGCGGGCCAACCATGAGCCAATCCTGATGACCCAATGGCTCCTGTGATCCAGCCACATTTGCAAGGTCCTGATCCAGTCGCGGTTACTAGTAGGTGGAACGAGAAAGCCTTATCGCTGGGGCGCTGGAACGAGAGAATGGGGGATGCAGTCTCTCTGCCTAACCCGCGAGGCGGCCCTGGTTCTAGATCCGACGGGTCGGGTATGTAAGTACGGAATATTCCGTGTTAGAGGCCAAGCTATTATTACGAATTCAGGATGAACATCTCGATGAATTGATGAGCCATCTGATGCTGGCTGTTGCATGGGAGTAGCAGAGTGTGGGCGTGAGTGGGGGGAAGGACGGAATGACGGGAATGTCGGAGCGAGACCGCAAGGCTACAAAGCGTGGGGGGTCTCCAGTCCAGTTGATGTCAACTCCAATATTCTTCAGTCTCCAATCTTCATCAGATATCCAGCTCATTTCTTGGAGGTTCTTTCCAGAGTACCGGAGTCCTTTTCAATAACTATTCGAATATTACTAACCCATATCAATCAATGTTAAAAGGCTCCTGAATGAATGGCGATCTTTGCGCTTTCTTATTGCAGTTCTGTCCTTGGCCCTTGTGTACTCTATAGACATTGTCCAAATCTCATTTCATTACAATACCCATCTTTAGATACCAATACCGTCCCTTTCGCTTCTTGGACTGAATCATATCTATTTCCATTTCCCGTTCCGGTGCTCCAGGACCAACGGCCCCGTCACCGTATTGATACTTAGTACGTCGGTCATGATCCGATTTCTTGGTTCTCTCATTACAGTTCTGTCGCGGTTTTGGGTCGGAGCTATGCCGTCTTCAAGGTACCGTTGAGGTCAACTCGAAATCAGTATCGATCATCTTGGTTCATACCAAATTTATGAAGCCAAAGGAGGGCAAAGCTGGTGTGAGAGGTGAGAGGGGATTGATCTTGCTCTTGGGCTATTACGGAGCCCAGTCAATGCTCCTTAAACGTTTTGCTCTCGTTAACAATCCAAAGCTCGCAGTCGCCTCTATAATGTGAGAGCGGATCCCATATTCGGTCGTCTGGGCTCGTGGTCCAATTCGGCGGTGGGTTTTCTGCCAGCAGGTCAGTCAAGTGGCGTTCGGAACCGTGTCTTCGCCTCTACGGTTTCCTTGCAAGACCTTCGCGTGAGAGGCGGGTTGATAGCTCACGACGCCATCATCACGAGAATTACTCATGCAGTAATTTCCGGTAGATGCTCTTGTGTTCCATCATTTCCATGGGTGATAGATCAAATAAGCCGTCTGTGCCGCGTGGTTGGGTTGCGTTGGGTGGTTGCTGGGCAGCTGGGGAAGTGGCTGGGTTGGCAGGGCACCAGCCACGGGGGTGGCACAAACTAGGTACTGTTACAGCGTCCTCCCTGTCCGGTCCTGTCAACATGAAGTTAAATTAAAAGCAACGTTGATCGCGAGTCTTTCAATCCTTCTTCTCAAAATCACATTCTGGAGCAATTCGAATTTCAGATCATACAGTCATCATACACCGTCATCATACACCGTCATCATACACAGTCATCAATCATCATACAGCGTATTGTTTGTGTATCTTTCGATTCCACACCTCCTATCCAACATCAGACCTTCAGTTCTTACCAGTTGTCCGACTCAAACAACACTTGAGTTGACTGTCCAACTTCGGGTGTAACAGAACATCAGAATCTTTGACAACCTACTACTCTTCCCACATCATCCTCCCATCAAATCTTTACAATGCAGCTTCCTACCTCCACCACCCTTCTCCTTACCCTTCTCACTGCCCTCACGTCCGCACTCCCACAACCGCAAGCGGACTCCTCGGTTGTGGCGGACCCCACCGACCCTGGCACCACCACTCCCGTTGATAATCCATTCACTATCTACACCAGCATGACCGACTCCCTTGGAGTCATCACTGGCATGCCGTCCATCCCCGCCCTTCCCTCTCTGCCAACTGCCGTCACCGAACTCCCCAGTCTCATCACGTCCCAACCCATCCTCGCATCTATCCCAGCGGGTCTCACGGAGGGCTTGAATACCGTCACGCTCGCGAATACCACCGCCGTTGTGAGCGTCGGCTCGGACATCACCAGTGTGGTCGAACCTTCGACGACCACTTCGAAGAGCGGTGCGTCAGGTGGTGCGTCAGGTGGTGCGTCGGAGAGTGGCTTCGAACAAGGTTCCGGAAGCCCTTCGAGCAGCTCCGGAATGGCAGCCTTGCCCACCGCTGCGGTTGGGTATGCTGCTGCCGGTTTGGGACTAATGGCTGCGATGGTCATTTAGTGGGAAGACGGAAGAAAATGGTTTGGGGCGTCGCGCGTTGATGGATAGCGCATGGGAACATTGGTAGTGGCGTACGCAAGGAAGGATTGGTTATGTTTGAAATACCTTGGGGAGTCAGTCAGTGACTACTGGATGGGATCGTTGGGGAATAATGTCTAAACTTGAGGGTATATAGAATGTCTCCTTAGTACGATGACCGATGTAATATAACCATAGGCTAGTATGTACTACAACAGACCACATTACAATTACGCCAACATTCCTCGCTGTTTCATCAAGCGCAAGTACTCATGAGACCCGTACGCCTCTCTGCTGGCCAAACTTCCGAACCTTGTCCTCCATGTCCGGTCCAACGAAGTAGTAGATCCACCCGGCAAGCCCGCTCAGTAACACGTCCCCTAACATCCTCGGACTCCCATTCAGGCTCCCCGCCTTCATGGCCCAGCTCAGCAATGTTGTCGTCGGCATATACTCCCCGTTCTCCAGACCCTCTACCAATGCCTGTGCCACGACCTTCGGCGTCTGCGCCGGATCGCCTTCCTCCAACATCTTCGTGACCGGGTGCTTCACCTTGTTCTCATTTTCGAAGCCGGGGGAAAGGATGTTCGCCGGCGTGGTCATGCGGATGTCGACGGGTCGGAAATCAGGGTGCGAAGAGTATGCGCCGGTGTAGAGCTGCAGTTCTTGCCGCAAGGTATCGCATAGCGAGCGGAGGGCGGCTTTCGCGGGGGAATATGGAGAGTATCCCGCGATGCCGCAGTATGCGAGGACGGAGGAGGTGAGGATGAAGTGACGCGGCTTTTTCTTGCCGGCCGGGGACGACGGTGACCGGGAGGTAGTTGTAGCGCTTGAGGAGCCATCGAGGAGGGGCCCCAGCCAAATTTTCAGCGCGCCATGAAGGAGGTACGTCGCGGCCCAGTAATTGATGTCCATTTGGTCCCGCAAGGTCTTGGTCGAGATATCCATGAACAACCCCGGATGCGACACGCCGGCACATGCCCAGATGATGTCGGGCGGATTTCCATTGTTCCATTCCGTCGCTTTGGCCAGGAGCTTGTTGTTTTCGTCCTCGGAAGTCACGTCGGCACTTAAGTATTCGAATCGTTGGGAAGGGGATTTCGCGCCGGAGCGGATGAACTCGAGGGCTTTCTGGAGTTTGGAGACATCGCGCGCGACGATGATCACATTCGCACCCTTGGAAGCAAGTAGATAGCCGATGGCTTCTCCTAGTCCTTGGGATGCGCCTGTTATCAGCACGGTCTATATCGGATGTTATCAATATTAGACTCTCAGACTAAACCAAAGGGAAGGTACCGTACCTGTCCGTTGACTTGGAAATGGGATTTCCTTGAGAACCAACCCATGCCTATGTATGCCGCGATGGTAAGGAGGGTCACAAAAACAAGTACCTGAATGGAAACTTCAAAGGCCATGTCGAGCAGAATACGATGAAGTAAGAAACATGAAGGAATCGGTCAGCAGCGGAGAGATCCTTCCATCAGCATTCCAACGCAGTGACCAGACCGTTAAACCTGAATATTACTCCTCCCTGAGTCCTTGAGTCCGATTCGGCAAGTCCTGACCTGCAATCCACTTCGACCACCACATGTAATAAATCTAATAATTCGCTATCTTGGTTGGCGCTAAAACCAGAACCGTTAGAGCAAGAATTGGTTATTGGATGTTGCGGGGACTTCACAAATTTCGCCGCACTTTTCCATCGCCGCCGCTCCAACGCAATTCTATCAAATATCAACCTACTCCATACCTGCACAAATTTGGGATCCTGGGCTCCCATTTTTGACTGCATCAAGGAACCCGCCATGGCTAAAAAGCGAAAGGCTTCGGGTCGTGCTCCAGCACAGCCAAAGTCATTCGACGAGATTGACCCAAGTCAATCGAAGCTTCGTATCAATTCCTACGAAGATGTTGCGGACTCGGAGGATGAGTTCCACTTGAATCAAGACAAGGTTCTGCTAGACGAAGGTCCGCAGGCAAAGCGGAGGAGACGGCTTGCAGAAGAAGGTTGGTCATTATCCCATGGGAAGTATCTGTAGAACGGATTTGCTGACAGTAGCAGATGAGTTCCTCCAAGCGTCCGATGAAGAAGTTTTAGCCTACGATGACGAATCCTCCGATGTTGACGAATACGACGACGAAGGGGAAGAGGGCATGCTTGAGCCTCGAAATGGCAATTACACATCGAAACCTGGTCTCCGCGACGGACTCAGGGACACGCCAGAGGATGATGAGGACGGGGAAGATCTCCACCACTGGGGCAAGAATAAGGAGAGTTACTACGACGCCGATGTCATCGAGACCGAACAAGATGCGCTCGACGAAGAGGCCGAAGCCCTTCGATTGCAAAAGAAACATCTCGAAGCATTGGACGATGCAGACTATGGTTTCGACGAGTCTACCTGGAAGCTTGCTGGCAAAGAAGAGAAGGCGGTTCTCGGTGCGGGAGTGGTCACGGAAGTTTTGCCCGACATTACCGTAACGGACGACATGGGCCCGACCGAGAGACTGAAGCTGCTTAAAGCGCGATATCCCGAGTTCGAATACCTGGCACAAGAATGGAACGACCTCCGTCGGATACGCCCAACGCTTGCTGCAGAGGCAAAAGCTGCGCAAAAAGCGAAATCGAATATACAACGGAATGACACGCCATTCGCAGTCACGGCATTCCGGACGGCTGATTCATATCTGGCGGCATTGACGATGTATTTCGTGATCCTCACATCTCCTGCTGCGAAAGAGGATGCTGCGCTGGCGAGGTCCCCTGTAGAGATGCGAGAGCATGGCATCATGGACATGCTGATGCGATGCAGAGACCTCTGGCTCAAAGTCAAGGAGATGGAAGTGTCTATTCCTTCGAGTCCAGCTGTTGGTGACATGGCAACGGAGTACCTGTCCGATCATTCTTCATCCCCCCTAGTGTCTCCAAGTATTCCGAACGGACAGCTTCTGAGTGAACTGGAAGATGCGGAATCTCGAGGAACGGAGAAGCGAGACGGGAAGCCAAAGAAGCGTGTCATCGACGAACAAGCAGCCGAGGCAACCCGGCGCACACAAGCGCGCATCGCAGAGATGAACAAGTTCCTAGCATCGGCCTCCCAAAATCCCCTTATCCCTGTGGCTTCTACTCAAAAGGATGGATACGATATCGAATCCGATGACGACATCGGCGAGCCCGCACCGCTGACCGAAGCGGAGGCGAAAGAAAAGGCCCGCAAGAGGAAGAGTCTCCGGTTCTATACCTCACAGATAGCTCAACGGGAACTGAAGAAGGACCGGGCTGGACAAGGACAAGGTGACGACGATTTGCCATACAGAGAGCGCTGGCGAGATCGCGTGGAACGGTTGAACAAGGAGGCTGAGACGCGCGGAAAGAAGAAGGCAGAAGGCAAAGAGGTGCTGGGCGCGGAAAGTGGCAGTGAAGACGAGGCCGAAGCATCCAGGTCGGCAATTGATGATGAGGACGACTACTACGACTACATTGCCAACCGCAACAAGAAGAAGAAGGATGACAAAGCCATGGCGGCGATGCAGGTGAAGGCAGACAAACTGAACGCGCAGGTGGTACCGGTCGAGGTCGTCGGCCCGGATGGCAAGCGGAAGATCACGTATCAGATTGAGAAGAATAAGGGGTTGGCGCCGAAGAGGAAGAAGGACGTGCGAAATCCGCGTGTGAAGAAGCGGAAGAAGTATGAGGAGAGGCAGAAGAAGTTGAAGAGTATTAAATCGGTGTTTACAAGCGGAGAAGCACGAGGCGGTTACGGTGGAGAGTTGACGGGTATCAAGAGAGGGTTGGTCAAGTCGAGGAAGTTATAATCGGGCAGAGTGGGAACGTCGTGGCAAGAAATACGGTATCATTTCCGAGGCTTTTGTGCATCTTGGCTATGTCGTTACGATCAACATCCAAGATGGAATTGACGCTTTCCTACCAGCAAACTCATTCTTAGATCATCGTCTTGTCCTCTTCATAATCCTCGCATTCATACCCACTACTGCCCTGACCAAGTCCCAGTCGCCTTCATCTCCAACCCAATCCATGACCACGATCCCAGTACCCCAATCACCCTGATCCCCATGCTGCTGCTTGCCTGCCAAAAAATCTATTGCGGCCGGATTAAGCTTCGCAGCAATCTTATCCGGCCAGCAACCGGGACTCCAGAAATTGCTAGCGGTCAAAAAGTTCACAAACACTTTCCCGGTATCGCCTTCCGTTGGCCATGTCACGCCGCCTGCCCGTGCCAGATGCTCGGTCACATATTTGATCTTATCATCAATATTCACGGTATCTAGCACCTCGCAGAAATCCTGCACGCGCACATCGCCGGTCTCACAGTCCTGGGTATTGTATGCCCAGTTCTCCGCATTCAGGCCTCCCCACCCGCGTCCATCGTTCCGTTGTCTCAATTCATCGGACAGTCCAAACCGGCGGAACAGGACGATCTTACCCCGGGCCTCCCCCAGCGTTGGGACCCTCGGTTGCGTGAACCACTTCCCCTCGTCCCCGGCATAATGCCTCGCCAACTTCTCCGCCAGCTGCGCATCGTTGTGCGTGCCGGGTCCCTCGCGCTTGATCGACATGATGAGCGTCTCGCTGGGGTGCTGGTCCAGGAACTCCAAGCTCTCGTTCATGAGGTCCCGGAAGTGCTTTTTCCCCGTCAAGCTGATGGGGAACACGCCGTGCACGAGGACCAGGCCGTCGTGGTTCGGGTTCTCCGGCTCCTCGGGCTGCACGCGGACGTCGAAGAATCGCACACCGTTGAGAAGCTGCTCGCGTGGGGAGACGGCCTGGCAGCGGACCGAGGGAAGCGCGGAATGACAGGTCGGACTATTGTGTGTGCCGGGAATGGAGAGCGCGGATAAGGGGAGGTGGTCGGGCAGTTCACGCATCCAGCTGTCGAGATGGGCGGAGGAGTATACCGCCAGGGTGGAGGAGCCCGAGAGCCAGATGCCCGTCAGCTCCCGTCGGGGGCTTTGGTCCAAGGGGGTGAAGGTCTGGCTGCCATATTTGGGTTGCGGCCCAGGCACGTCGATGCGGTAGCGCTGGTTGTCGACGGAAACCGTGAGGCGGGCGATGTCGTCTGCCGACCGGTCTGTTGGCGCTAGATCCGTGCTTCGTGCCGCAAAGGAGTCCAAGGGGAGGTCGACATCTTGACGGGCATAGGGTTGGGCGTTGTCGGGGAGTTTTCGGGATGGAGGACCAAGGGAGGAAAGGCCGGTGGCGTTGGAGACGAACTCGGTGACATTGCGGGTGAGGCTGCTCAACTTCTTGACGTGGCCGGGGTCGTCATGGCCTGGGGGAGAGAAACGTTCGAGGAGGACGACGGTTATGGAGTCGGAGGTCAAGTTGCGGATGGTGATGTGAGGGGCCATGGTGGGGTGATGCCAAGGAGGTGCCAAATCCGGAGGGGAGCTTCGTTAGGGAGAATCGTACTTTGTTGGCGGAGACCGGCTCTCACAGCTAATTGAGCAACTTTTTGAAGTGGTCAACTGGTTTATCGTACTTACAGGAGCGAGTCAGGCTAGCATTGTCGCTGGATGCTCTCAGTACTTGTACGTCGGGGAGATTGACTGAATCTGGGGTTGGAGGGGTTGCGTCAGCATCCATGCCGGCGTATTTTGGGCTCCTTTAGACTATGATAGATTCATCGCTTTATTGGCCGGTCTTGCTCGATCTGCCCCTAGTTTACGGGGCCCTGAAGATTCTGCTACCGCCATTCTGTTTCCAATGGGTGGCGTACTGTTGGACCAGTTGAGATCGCTCCTGCAGGTAGGCGCTGCAGCTCATGCAGGCTCAAGCGAATGGTTGATGAAATCAGAGATCCATACGAAACGATCAGTCCAAACGAAGCATTGCAATGAATAATAGATTGGATTAAGTGCCGCCATCTCCGTGGTCGCGACAACAACAAAACCATCAGGTAGCGGTAAAGGGTATAATGCTCCTGAATGGACAAATCCTCCACAAAATAGGACTGCCACTGAGTATAGCTGAAGCAAGTGCTGAAGAACACAGCAATGCCACAAATTCCCTGAAAGTCTCTAACCCTCACTGTAGCCGCCATATGCTCCTCAACAACACTCCAAAATGCTGATGCAGGATATTCGATAGACTTGGAAGGTCCACCGTGGGTAGACCTGCGAGTCCTGTCGTGTGATAGTGCAGGATCGAAGGGAAGGAGATTATAAAAATGCGACGATGACGACAAGGAGGAAGCCTTAACTCTGCTCCTTTCGTGTCGATCGTGATCATGGTAAAGGTATGTGTGACGAATGCATCCGTGAGACATGGAGTGCGAAACCTTAGAACCAAGAACACCCGTATCCATCAACACCCTTCTAAAGTCCGATCGCCCCAACAGTCCATTTCACTGTCTTGGGATCCGCCTCATTGAGGACGCCAGGGATCCGCATGACCTCCTCATTGCTAATCCTCCGCATCCGCGTGGAGCTGGTGCCAGCACTAGTCGCCTTACGAATGGGGCTAGAAGGGCTAGAATCGCTTTCTGGTGAAGCTGACTTCTTCTTCATCCGTGTGGACCTCTGCACACCAGGGCTCTCCTCCCTCTTGCGATTGTCTAGCTCTTCGTGCTGCATCGGAGTGATAGGGCTATAAGGCGGGCGAGTAGTAAGACGTCCTCTTGTCTTGGTCAAAAGAGGCAGCTGAGGACGCTTGACCTCCTTTCCATTCCCATGTCGAGCAGTGTAAATCTCGCTCTTCATCGGAATGGCAGAGCTTGCTTGGAAGGTGACGTGCAGCGGGGATAGACGATTGGTGATCCGCTGCCGCCCAGCACGTGCTGCTGCCTTCTCTAATGAAGTTCCATGTTTCGCCGTCACATACCGGATCCAAGCTCGCAGGCTCCGCTTGATCACGCCTCTGAATTCATTAGGTTCATCGGTCGGTACGAACTCCCTCCCGTCGAGAGTAAGCGGGCGGCTTTTGAACGCTTTGATGGTCTCTTTCCTGAGCTGCCACAGAGGCATTCTGTAGAGTCTGAGCTTCTTCAGATGAAGGGGATTCGCGGTTTTGACATGATGGCCCCCCAGGACAAGTAGGCGGTGGCGACAGGCTGCAATCCGGGGTAGATTCCCCCGGAGAAGGATGAATTTTGAATGACCCAGCTTGTTGGCGCGTCGAGGGAGACCTGTACCGGCATCAGCTAAAATGAATTAAGTGACTTAGATCGTTGAAGATATACGCTTCGGTGGGAAAAGTTGCGCCAATGGGATATCATCCGGGTTGGGTGGCGCCTCAAGTGGATAGACATCGGCGTCTACTCCGGTGGGAATATGGTGCATTCGAGCATCGCTATACGATATACTCATGAATGAGCCCTCGGCCGGCACTCGACTACCATCGATAAGTTCAATCCTGTCCCTGTTGGACGAACCATCGGTGCCCGAACCGTCATCAGACTTGGAAATTTTGGGGCCAGATCGCTTCAAGGGAATTGAGCTAAGCGAAGTATGAAGACTCTGGGAAGGCGAGTCAGGATGGGGAGAATGTTGCTCAGGCTTTATGATTGCCGCTGCCTGCCCAATATTTTCTTGCGATTCCAAGCGGGATTGCGATGATTCGATGGCGAAGGGATCGGGAAGTTGAAGGGATGAAGTGAATTTCGAGGGGGTGTGAGTGACCGGGATGTGAGACCGCAGCTTGGCTGCATTGTTGTCGTTTTGGTCGATGTGGGATCGCGGCCTGGGTGCATTGTCGTCGTTTTGGAGCACAGAGGTTGCTACCTCTTTGCTGTCGTTGCCAGGCGCTGGTATGACGGCATGTTCAACCTCAGCACTCTCCTTTTTGACCGGTTTGACATTTGCGGGCTGTTTGGATTTCTTCGACACGCTAAAGGTATTTGTGAGTGTTTTATTATTCCCCACTGTCGCTTTCTCTTTCTTGCTCTTGCCAGACGCAGCCCGCTTCGCCCGCTTAGGCTGGGTATTCTTCTTAGGAGCCCCTTTCTTCACGACATTGACCTTTGTGCTTGGCTTTTGAGACTTCAGCATGTCTACAATGGAGGTTGATTCCGGTTTCATTGTCTTTCCATCTGCACCATCATTGTCCCCGTTTAGTTGGAGAGAAGACACCGACTTCTCGTCCAGCGAAGCAAGATTCGAATCTATGGCGACTTCGGTCTTCGGGCTTGCAATTGGTGTAGGGATACTGCTGGCGCCTTTCGATTTCCCGAGGAAAACGCCCATGAATGGGCTGGATTTATCGGACGGGGCGCGGGTTTCATCCGATGTTGGATCCTCGTTCCATTTCGGCATGGCAGCGAGGCGAGCAACTTCATCGCAGGGACCCTTGACGATAATATCCCAGCAGTTCTCGAGACCGTATCCACTAGGTTCCCGACCATGGTTAATCCACACCGTGAGACCGTCACGACGACCTCGTACAACGCCTGCCAGCTCTTTCGCGAGTTTTCGGATGCCATAGACTTTGAGGGTGGTGCCAACCACTATCAGAGCATCGGGGCGCGTGCGCAGATCGGCCGACGATACTTCGCCAATGGCCTCCTCGTCCGGGTTGTGTTCATTGTACAGGACCATGCGGGGACGTAATCGGCCAATTCCATGCGAGCGCTTTCCAGCGTAGTTGGTGCGGGTGAAGTCGTCGGTTTCGCACTGCTTGCACAGAGGCGCTTCCGGACCATCGAAAAGAGAACCGTCAAATTCGGAAAGGGTCTTGCATTTGCTGCACACCATTTTTTCGAGGCTTCCGTGGAGTTGGACGGTCTTGGGCCATGGCTTCTGAAGCGGGACCCTAGTCTGCAATGGCTCCATAGAGGTCTCGATGCCGTCCACGTTTTGGGTGTACAGGCGCAGCAAGCGGCCCTCATGAGCGAGCCTGGCGAGAAGGTGATGAAAGGGTGTCGGTTGGGCTTCGCGGGTCTTTGCTGACATTTCTCGCACCATGTGGTGGAAGCTGGAGGTCGAGGAGTCCTGACTGTAGACGGAGGCGTCGAACAAGTCTTTGCCAGAGGATTTCAACTTGTAATCCGACCTAAGAGTCTGAAAAAGGCCTTCTTTGGATCGGAAATCGGGAACTAATCACTATCAGCGAGGATTCGACGAGACGAGGCACAAATTCGGATGGGTTCTTACTCCCAGCGGAGACGGAGATTCCAGCACCGGCAATTACAACGACCTTCTTCTTGCCATGCAGGAGTTTCATCAGAGCTTCAATCGGTTTGTCCTGGCCATCGGGAGTTGGGGTGACGCTGAGGTCCAATCGCAAAGTCTCACGAATCTTTGGACCAGCAACGCGCCTTCGTTTGGGAGGTGGAGGGCCTTCGGCATCGGTGGTTGTGGGGTTGGTGATGCGGGGAGTTGGCGAACCGCGATTTGAGGACTGTTGCGACGACATTGGCGAAAGATAATGGTGAAAGGAATAGTCGGGTGGAGGCGAGGGAGAACGGGAGGCGAGAGAAGACAGCGGTGAGCTGCTTCGATCGGAGTCGCGGTCGAGATCCATGATGGCGACGGTGACGGTGACAGTGACGGTAATGATGATTTATGATGAGAATGGCAGTTTCCGGGGGAAATGAAGAGGAAGAACAGGAGGAAGAAGAGAAAGGAAGTGAAGTTGGAAGGGAAGTCGAGTTAGGAAGGCGCGGGGGAGGAAGTGAAGCGCAAAACACGCAAAACGCGGCAGGAGCGACCGGCGGTTCGTTCGTTCGATGGGTGTAGTGACTTCGACGACAACAAATCACACATCGACGACGCCGACCAACAACGAGCACACAACCTCGCTCACTCGTTCGGCCCACTCATCCACCCCGGGGCGATACGGTTATACGACGATAAAGCGATGTAGCGCGCATGGACGGGGGGTGGTGATGGTGGTCCTGGTTTCAACCCTGAGAAGCGAGAGAGAAAGAGGATGTAAAGGTTAAGAAACGCTGACGAGGAAAGAGAAGGAAAGAGGAAAGCGACAGATGAGGTCCGGCAACGTCGTCTCCCGTTGGCTGGTGCAGATTCCTAGTGCAGATTCCTAGTTCTTCAGGGATGGGGGACGATGACTGGACGATGATTCGCTCACTCTGATGCTACGGAGGAGCATTACCATACTTCAGCAGGACTGCATGTTGACTTTCTGAACAAGCGACTGAAGGGAGCGGGGAGTGTTGGGGTGTTGACGGGAGCCGGGAGGCGGGAACTCCCCCAACTTTGATCAAGGTTGTTGGGCTGCCAGCGGGGGTCCTCAATGCGACGATGCTACCTTCTGACCTTCAAATCCAACACAACAAATTGATGTTTGCTGAAACCATAGGTTATAGGATTTAGGTAAACAAGGGCTAGGTTGGATTCTTCCACTTGAAAATTTAAATGCCTTGATAAGTAGAATCCCGAATCCATTGGGCACGCTGCCACTTCCTGTTTACTTGGGCGTGCTCAATTGCTCACTTCGACTTCTACGAGCCATCGCTGCCATCCAAGTTCCAACATCACAGACCACCCAGGGCACCCACAGTGTAGGCGGTTGCTGGGGCGTTGGAGGTGATGAACCCGCCGATTTGAGAGGTGGTTCCAGGTGCGTGGCTAGGTCAGTGCTTCCAACAATGCAATCTTAGTTATAACCAAAAAAGTAAGTACCCGAGGTGTTTTAATATCATTTGCAAGTAATTAATCCAAAGCACGACGGTTGGATCAATTGAGGTACTATTATTATGATATTGTGATGGAGAGCATAACAGAACAACTGAATGAGGAACAAGCGCGTCAGATCCGCGTCTCGTAGCCTGATTGCCTGAGGCTGAAACGCTTGTCCTCCTACACTGCCACAGCATATTTCATCGCACAGCCACATTCATCACCCAGGTCTGGTTCTCCACTCTCCAGTCGCTGATCATCTCCATTATTATTCACCACAGCATCAGATTGCATGTTCCTTCTAAAAGCCCTCAACACCATCATTTTAGGTGAAGACCCGACTTTGATTTCTCCTGAATCTTCGCTATTCATTCTGCTAACATTGTCCCCTCCCACATCATGTGCAAATAATCTCATATCCCTCGCATGACTCGAGAGGAGTCTACCAAACTCTCTGCAAGAAACGCTCTACGACAATACCACATTATAGCATCATCGCATTGCACCAAAGCTTTGGAGTCCGCCAAATGACCGGGTTCACTGTTACGCCCACGCATGAGTACATACCGTTCTAAAATGTGCCGTTGTCTTAATCAAACCTGGAGTTACGGTACCAGAAGCCTATTGTCGCCCCTTTCACAGTGCTAGTATTCTCCCCCTGTTCCTATAGGATCCGCCCACCATGGCGGATGAGTTCAACCTGGAGGATGACTATGGAATGGATGTGGATGATCTCTTTGGCGACTCCGAATCTGTCAACCTCGGAAGTCAACTTGGGGGTCAGATCACCGGAAATTTGGATGGTCATGAATTGAATGGCCAACTGGGCAATCAGTTGAACGGACAGCTGCCAGTTCCGATGCCCCCTCGTCCGCTGTTAAAATATCTGCCAGAACGTCTGGCGGACTTACATGCAGCAGGTTGCAAACAGTAAGTCCTTCTCCAATGAAACAGGGTCTCGACGTCTAATTCCGCTGAAGGAACATCTCTTGGTCGAGATTCGGCCTTTTGGCCGCCATCTCCTCAGACAACAAGTCGGTAGAATTGTATAACTTCTCCCGGGATCCACAAGATGGCGAATGGAAGCTTTCGCAGAAGATTCCTTTCCGAATCCCACCGTTGCCCGAAGGTAGCTATTTCTCCCACGTCGCTTGGAGTTACTTAGGAAACGACCTTGCTTTGGCGGACTCGGTTGGTCATGTTCATGTATTCAGCATGGGAAATTCCCTTGGACGACTTCAGCCCTTGCATTCGACCTCGAGAGGCCATTTCGGCGATGTCACTTCCATCGTGGGCCTGCACTGGCTCCCCGTGTTTCCTCAGAACCAAAAGGTATCCATTCCCAGGAATTTCCGAATTCTCGTCCTCCTCTAATCTGCAAATAGAACCATGTATTTTGGAAAGGTAGCAGAAATCAGGGCGAGTGGAACTACCAACTGTCCAATCACTTGTTCCCCGGTCCCCATAACCCTTGTGAGGGCCGCTCTGCTGTATTGGTACTTCACAAGTCCTCCCAGCTCCGCCTGTTATTTCAAGTCCAAGACGGGCGATGGTTAGAGACTACTACTATGCTCCCTGACTCAACCCAATCATCCGAGTCGTTGCTGTCGCATGCAGCTTTCGCGCCGGAGAACCTACCGGACAATGGTATGTTCGTCTTCCGACAGGGACTGGACAATCGACTTACAATGTTTCGTAGATCCCACGCTGTTGATGGCCACGTATAACATGTCCTGTAGTCTAAAAGTGTGCCGCATTCGAATTGAGTGGCAGCCTCAAACGGCCGCGAATCCAGGACAAGGCAATGGGGAAGGGCCTACCCTCAACATGCCTGCCATCAAACTCTCGCCTGTAACATCTGAATCCGACTGCTTTCCCCCGTCGAGTCTAACGAGTGAGGGAGACGGGCTATCAATCGAACCAAGACCTTACATTCCTACCCTCACACATCTCGAATTCCTTCCTTCGGAGCCAGAGCGGGTGCATGCGGACAAAACGTATCCTACCGTCCTTGGCGTATTTCATGAGTTTTCCGCACCCTCGTCTGCGGATGCTCTTCTGGGTGATACGTCTCGTCCATATTTCTGCCATGCTACGGCTTGCGCTTGGGAATTAAAAGCAGCACCTCCCGCAAAGCTGTCCGAAGCATTCGACTCGCTGTCCGGGAAGAAACGACCCCTCTCAACCTACTTCCCTCAAGGACAGCAGTGGCGACTACACCAGAAACCGGCTTGGTCTTCAAATGTCGCCGTAATCAGTATTGTCTCTCTACGCTTCAATACGGTTCTGGCCGTCGCATATGCGGATGGGAGTATTGAGTTCCGAGATCGTTCAACCATGTCTACCATCGTTACAGAACAGGACCCGGCAGAGATCTATACGCTTATGCAAGGTGGCTTTGCCTTCCTAAATGCCCCCCCTTCTCTACACATCGCGTTTTCGCCAAATTACTGTATCGCAGCCGTCCTTCACGATGACGACGAAAAGACCGATAAAGGGTCTAGGATTACGATCCGGAAAATGGAATATCTTATGGGCGACTTAGCGCACCCATCAGAAGGCATGGCGACTGCTCCTGGATCAGGAATGGTCTCAAATGCTGCGGTGGCATTAGCTCTGCATCATTCGTGCGCTTGCGGGCAATTGTGCACGACGGACGATATTTTCGCGATGCTCGGATCGAACGCTCATGTCTCTGTCATCAATGAGTTCTTTCAGCAAGCCATACGAGCCATGAATCTGAACCTAGATTACAGCACGGAAGAAGCGCAAAAGAACGCTTACCAGCTGTTCAGGGTACCTGCACTCTACAAAACGTTGAGTGCACAAGCGGGAATGGGAACGGTGAAACACGGGTTCAGAAACGTCAGCGGAAAACTGGCGTGGATCACCTTGAACCTGAAATTGATAGCTACGAGTTTGACGATGAGTATACGCCACAACGAACCGCTCAAGCTAGGTATGCCATATTTAGGACCACGAGACAACTACATCGCTAACTGAACCAGATCTCGCCATTTCCCTCATCGGGCATGTCAAGTATAGCCTTGATTTCCTTGTCTACGTCCTTCAAGACCTCTATGACCTCGCTCGCGAGCTGTTAGGTCATGAGCAGAACCTCGTACGCATTCAATCCAAGGTCGACGATGCCAATTCCCCGGTGCTAGCCGTCATGCTCGCCTCGGTTCCTCGCCTCCTTATCCGAACTTGCGTTCGCAGTTTGAAGAACGCGTACATCCATTCCATCAACTGCATGAAAGCTGCGACCACCCCGGACCAAAAAGCCGACTGGCACCGCGTCTCCGCACCATTTCGTGATACACCTCTTCTAGCCTTGCTACAGCAACAGCATCTGGACAACTTCCTGAAAGAACTCGACGCAAGCATCAAGCAGTGTTACGCCGCCGCTCGCGAGCCGGGGAAAAATGGGCCAATCTCTGCCGACGGGCGCTCAAAGATCGAGCGGGAGCTGTTCATCACCGGGAAAATCCCGCCGCTACTCGGACCAGCGGTCGTCCGCATCTTCCAGGTTTCACTGCCGAATATGAGCAAGCATCTCGACCCGTACCGAATCTACGCGCACGATGTAAGCTGGCTCGGCCTTACCGATGACGGACCTTCACGACGCTTCCTCCCCGCTTCATACGATCTTTCCATCCAGCACAAGCGATCCGCGCCAAATGATGGCGCGGAGCCTATCCAAGCCACCGCTGGCGCCCCTGCCAGCGGAAAACAGCCTGCCAACATGGCAGGTTCTACAAATGCGAACAACGCGCCCGGTAGCGCCGCCGCAACTACCGTTCCACCTGATCAGCCGCCAATTCTGCGTGCAACGATGGTACGAGCACCGACCGGATCATCGGCCAGCGGTGGACGTCCGGTACCGATGATCGATGTAATCCGTAAAACGCCCCTGCGCGAAGGGGCAGCGATCCGGCGGTGCACGCGATGCGGCAGCGTTAGCGAAGAGTTGGCGTGGGGCCCGGGGATGCAGCCGTGGATGGCGCAGAACTATAAGGCGTGCGTGTGCTCATGTAGCTGGGCGTGTGTTTAACGAGTGAGGGAGAGAGGAAGAGAGGATGTGATGTGTGTCCGGAGAGTCGAGGGGAAATACCAAGGTCGTTAAAACCAGATCCGAACTTCTTCTCAAATCATCCAATTTTTGTTTGGAAAAGATCTCAATACCAAAATCCATTCAGACTCCAGACATCCCGTCCTCAATGCAATCAAACAGGTACGGCACCTTCCATAAATATCGGTATTGAATAATGTAGCACCTGTATCCCACGTGACTCCAGCCCCCTGTCACGTGCCCCTCTTTGTGACGTCGTTTATTCGGTGCTACATCTGTTGCTATGGCCGTCGGCCGATTGAGGATGCAATTAGGAAAATTTGTCCCTCCCCTCCACATACGTTGCAACCTTCTACTACTACTGTACATTCATCATCAATTTATTTTTTTCTAAAGCATACTATTGAACTCATCCCGTTACCTTTAGCGTCCGATTGCGATCATGTTCGAATACGTGGATTTCACCAAGCCGAGCTTCTGGTGTTCGTTAGCTTCAGACCCTTCTGTATCACCTAGCTAACAGCAGCAGTATCGGCGGGGATGATTGTGTTCAATCCTACGTTCTGGAAGTAAGTGATTCTCTGAAGGTTACCATGATATCTTGCTAATGAGCTGCTTGTTAGTATTGCTGCAAGACAAGGTACGCGTGGCCACAATCGACCGTTCATCCCGTCTGCCGAACAAAGTCAATTGACATGTATGCCTTAAGAATATCACAACAAAGTGATCACGAAGCTCTTCGGAGGCAGCTCCCGCATAGGTTGCTATGCCCTCGGTGTGACCATCTTCTCCATCGGCATCATACGTGACCTTTTGTACGTCTTCCCGGCCCCATTCCTAGCCATGTATAGTGCAAAACTCATTCTACCTCAGGTACGAACGCGCCTTACGCGAGCAGCCCAGCTCCCCCACTCTTGCATCGTCCCCAATTGTCAATCCCTTAGCAGTCATGCTTTTCGCCTCCGGCAACGTGCTTGTCCTCTCGAGCATGTGGGTGCTTGGGGTCACGGGTACTTACCTGGGCGACTATTTTGGAATATTGATGGACGAGAAGGTGACGAGCTTTCCCTTCAATGTCACAGATGCGCCCATGTACTGGGGCAGCACCATGAGCTTTTTGGCCACGGCCCTGTGGTTTGGGAAACCGGCAGGCATACTCCTGACCGGCATCGTTGCGGCGGTGTATCAAGTCGCTTTGCAATTTGAGGAGTAAGTCTAATGTCCAAACCGTAAGCTTATATATCACCTTGATAAAGCGTTAACCATTTGATAGTCCGTTCACGGGAGAGATATATGCGAAAAGAGAGCGCGAGAGGAAAGCCGGCAAGAAGCAAACTTGATCAAAGTTGCCAATCGGAGCTCGACAAATACCACGCGAGACGTAACACAGAATATAGAATATACTACTAGTTCTACTACTGGGAGTGAAAATTCGACTAAGGGCTACAAGCAAAGGAATGCTTTCATATTGATATACGAGGTTGAATCCTCCAAAATGAGATCGATTCAGGAACGAAAGACTCCTCCAATGTTCACAGTCAACCTCTGATTGACGGGTTCGTTCTAATAAAGCATTCCAATCACTATTCAATAAGGTCCTTGGATAGGTCAAGAAACTCGTTGTCATGCTCATTGTATGGATTGCAGGGAATATTTAGCAGCCCCCGCCCCCGCCGCCGCCGCCGCCGCCACAACCACCCCCTCCTCCGCCGCCACAACCACCCCCTCCTCCGCCGCCGCAACCGCCTCCTCCCCCGCCCCCGCCGCCTCCGCAACCGCCCCCTACGCCGCCGCCGCAACCCCCGTTGTAACCATTAGCCCCACATCCACCGCTCGCTACAAGCCCCCCGCAAGTCCCTGCAGCACAAGCACCATAATTTCCCGCCCCGGTCGCGACATAAGCTGGATCAGCCGGGTAAACCGCCCCACTTCCTGCGTATGCTGGATCCACAGCATACGGATAGTAGATTGGCATATAGACCGGATATCCCCAGGCGTACGCGGCATAATATGTAACTCGTTCCGGCTCTTTATGCCCCTTTTTCTTCGCCCGTCGACATGCTTTATTGTAGTTCGCCTCGATCCGCGCATGCTCGACCCGGGTTGCTACATCAGTATTTTCCGTGCGCACGGCATTATGGGCGGAGATGTGCGGCGAGAGGAGAGGATTGCTCGCTACGGTCGGATCACCGTTGGCGTCATGTAGGTTGTCGAGGGCGGCATGCTTCCCTGGTTTGAAGACACGGTCGAGCAAAGAGCTGTGCGATTCTCGGACTGCTTCGCAATACCAGCAGGTGCATTCGGAGTACGGTTCTTCGTACAGTTCTTGGTAGACTTTGCTGGTCCAGGTGAAGGCTCCGTGGAGATCATTCTCCTCGATCTTGTCATTGTGATCGATAAACTGACCGGTGAGGGTGGTTGTGAACCGGTAATACGATTGGGGGGAGAGCTGGTGGGTGTGCCACGCGAGGTCGATGTCAAGGGTCGGGACCGCACATCGACCGGGGTGATTCGCCATGATGGTGATGAAGCGACCGTACTTCATCAAAAGTCGGACCATGGTGGAACTCAGGGCTGGTGAGTGGATCCAATCGATGTTATTCATCTTGTCAACAAAGTCGCCCTGGCGGACCACAGCACCAACGAGGTCCAGCGCGAAAGGCGAGCTGTTATGCCAGTATCGGCTCATCATGCGGCGAACTGCTATGCGCTCCTCTTTTGTGGTCCAAGCGCGATTTCCAGCTGTACTTTGACTGAGGAGGAATTTATCTCGCAAGCCACTGGTCTCAAAAGTTGTCTTAATTACTTCCATTGAAGCGCTCCCGTGCGAAGGATTCGTAGAGTCCATGATTTCCCGATGCAATCCCGCCTTGATGATTGAAGATGGAAAGTCGTTAGGTGGAGGGAGGGGGGTCCCGAATATCCGGATGGAAACTTTCGGCGGCTTCCCATTTGTGTCCAAGATCGTTCCAGGCATGGGAATGTCGTACATCACGAGATTCTGAACATCCCGCCTGAACTTCGTGACCCGTAGAAGGTCATGATTGATCGCGGTGTTGCAATTATAGCAAGCAGTCCCAAACAGTTGGTCCGCATATCCATACCCTGGCTTGAAGCTACCGTCATACCCAGTCAAGCCTGCGCCCGCGGTCCAAGGGACATCGTTCGCTTGGTTGCACTTTGGGCAACGGATTCGTTTCGTGAATGAATCATAAAGGTTGTCCCACCGCAGCCCTGTCGATGATTCCCAATGCGCTTGTGCGGTTCCCGACGGCTTGTAGTCAAAGGCCAGGTTATCAATCACAGCACAGATGGACTGCCATGGGAAAGGTGTGGCGTAGAAGTCCATCTTTCCGGAACGAAAACAGTCCTCGAAGAAATTTCTCGGATTGAGCATGTAGGAATGCCAAACCATAAGTACATCTGCATCTATTAGCCGGTGTTATTGTATGACATAGATGAGGCATCTGACCGAGAGGGGGCAATTGATCGGGACTGGCCAGCTGGACGATTGGAAACCCCTTCAACGCAATATTTTCAAGGCCCTGTGGGTCTACCATATTTCCACGTTTTAGCATTCCGCACCGCGCCCCTTTATATGTAGTAGGGATCTGAGTATACCACCACGCGGTGAATCGGTCAACGGCTCTGGAGACGTATATCTCCCATCTCTTTTCGCGGACTTTAGCCCGCGGCTCGGCACCGCTCTTGTCGCCATACTTTGGAGTAGGATCCCACTCGGCGATCTCACCATCCTCGTGGGCTGATCCCTTGATGCCAAATAGACCGACCTTCGTTATGACATCTTGGCGGAGGTGGTACAGAGCTTGGAGGAATTTCAAGTGTGCGATGCACTGGGACGATGTTGGAGAAGCTGGCGACGACGCCAGGTCGAGACTTCCCAGTCTCGCAGCGAGATCGAATGGAGCAGCAGCATGGCTTGGTCCGCCTTGGGTTTCATTCTCTTCTGTATATGCTGGAGGGGCATCGCTAGGCTTTCGATCCTCGCTCTTCTTTGACTCCTTATCGTCAAAGGGGAAGAGTGACATGATGAATGAAGGGTCAACGCGCGATCCCTTTATAAGACGATGGGAATAGAATGACCAAGAATAATCAACGCAGCAAGTTGCCGGTAAATATAAGAAAATTCACCCTCCTGGTTTTGAGTAAGGGGTTAAACCCAATTGATGAAATATGATGTAGTACATACTGCTCCGACTTAAGCAGGCGAGAAACACCCGGAAAATACGAGAAAGGGAAGACTCAATAATTACTACCAGCGACCATTCCCAAGTACTTCGGGGAAAGTTGGGAGGCACAAAGGATGCTGAACCTTGAGCCCCTATCGCCATAGTTGTCTGCAGCATAGCCTCTCAGCGTGGCAGTAAACCGTAGGACACTGGGTAATGGTTCCTTGGAAGAAAAGGATGCTTTTCCTGTCTGCGCGTGTAGGGGGGGAACTGGGAGATGGATCAGCGCAAGACATCCGGCTGACACGAGGCATTTCGGTAAGGGATGAGCATTGGAGGCGCAGGATAACAATTTATGCTGCGTAGAGAGCAACGCTCTCCGAAATCCGCCTTGATGGGCGTGCGGTAGATGCGGCTCAGACCCAACCGGCATTCCATCAGTGAAAAGCAGCTCCGCCACAATGACAGACCACACCAGGCGGTATCATCGGTTACGTTATATATTTTAGACTGCAATTTCTATTTGAAAACATGTGCCTCAGTGGCGCAATGGTGGCGTTTTGGACTTCTACCCCGATCAGGGAAGGCAATCCAAAGGCTGCGGGTTCGAGTCCCGTCTGAGGTGACGCTTTACTTTTTTTCTTCTTTTTTTCGGGTTCTTTTTTAGTTTTAGATCTCAATATCTCGCAAATTTTGCAATTTCACTTAGGAAGAGAAACTGACGAAGATATGGGCTGCTACTAAATCTTGTCCAGGAATGAATGAAGTCAGGTGACTGGTATTGTGCAGGGTGTGTCGAAATCTCGGCATGCCCCACATAAATTTTCCACCACTTGACCAGGACTCTCTAATCTGCACGACAATCGCATCCTCCCAGTGCAGTTGATATACGTAGGAAGTTTTCCTGGACAACATCATGAAGGTCGGGAGTAAGTACTTTCGCAGAATGTTAGACGGATCTGCGCTAATGATTTGCAGAGCCAAAATCCAAGCGAGTGCCTGTGCGCCGAAAGCACAAGATCGAGAAAGCCGCCGCAGCCAAACAGCGGAAAGATCGCAAAACCGCCAAACATGTAGGTTCTCTTGCTCCCTGCTGGACCACACTGGGAAACCGCGCTAGGAAACGATTCGAGTTCCGAATTGGAGGCTGACCAGACACCCCAGGATCCAACATGGCGAAGTCGGTTAAAGAAGGATCCAGGTATCCCCAACCTCTTTCCATTCAAGGAGAAGATCCTTGACCAGATCGAGGAGAAGAAACGGATCCGAGCCGAGGACAATCAACGGCGGAAGGATGGTGTCAAGGCTGCCAGCGCGCAGAGTTCCCAGCCAAATGGACAGGCCACGACAAAAGGGCCCGACGACGAGATGTCGGAAGATGACATGGACGATGATCTACAGGACGATGATCTACAGGATGAGGACATGGAAGAAGTGAGTCACTTGCACCTATCTACCCTTTGGTGCGTATTCTAACACCTCATAGGGCGGTTCAAACCCTCTTGCCGCACTCTTGGCCTCCGCTACAGCACGAGCAGCTGAGTACGACCGGGCGCATGGAGACGCCCATGGCGACGAAATGGACGATTCGGATTCGGATGCCGAGTTTGATGGATTTGAATCAGACTCCGCCGATGACCAACACCGCCATGCCGCTACAGCCAAAGACACGTCCCGGCGCGCATACGATAAAGTCTTCAAGCAGGTGCTCTCATCTGCCGACGTTATCCTTTATGTCTTAGACGCCCGTGATCCGGATGGCACACGTTCACGCGAAATCGAGCGAGCCATCATGGCCTCGGAGAGCGGCTCAAAACGACTCATTCTCATTCTCAACAAAATCGATCTGGTTCCACCTCCGGTCCTGAAAGCCTGGCTAGTCCATCTTCGACGTTACTTCCCCACCCTACCCCTCCGTGCATCGAAAGAGGCCCCAAATGCCCGCACATTCGACCATAAGCAGTTAACAGTCAAGGCCACAACCGAGACCTTGTTCAAGGCGTTAAAGAGCTACGCTCAGGCAAAGGCCGCGAAGCGTGCGATATCGGTCGGCGTCATTGGGTATCCGAACGTAGGGAAGAGTAGTGTAATCAATGCCCTTTCTTCGCGTATGGGCAGGGGCTCCGGAGCATGCCCTGTGGGTGCAGAGGCGGGTGTTACAACGAGTTTAAGGCAGGTGAAGCTGGACAATAAGCTGAAACTTCTCGACTCGCCTGGAATCGTTTTCCCACACGAAGGAGGTGCTGAAGATAGCAAATCCGAGTCCAAGGCACGATTAATCTTGCTGAATGCCGTCCCGCCAAAAGAGGTCGACGATCCGGTTCCGGCCGTTCAACTACTGCTGAAGAGGATGTCATCTTCGGAGGAGATGTTTTCCAAACTTCTCGACGTGTACGGTCTGCCCCCCTTGATGACCATCGACGGAGACCAGACAACGGACTTTTTAGTCCAAGTCGCTCGAAAACGAGGCAGGCTTGGGAGAGGCGGTGTACCAAATATCCATGCTGCGGCACAAACAGTCCTGACAGACTGGAGGGATGGCAGGATACAAGGTTGGAGGGATGCTCCTACTTCGCCAGTCGCTTCGACTGACGGTGGTTCTGGAGATCAAAAGCAGATTGTCAAGGAATGGGCAGCTGAGTTTAAGCTGGAGGACTTATTGAGTGACAACAAGACTGACGCGGATGCCATGCAAGAATAAAGTCTGGATTGCCAGTGGAGATAGACCATACGGTGCCAATAATCCGGGTCGAGATATACCTGCTCCCAGTTGCTTACATGTTTATCTCCTCCAGATTCGTGTACGCCTTCTTTGTGACTTCGAGTATGGCATTCATTGCAACCATTTGCATCCCAGGACCAACACTGATTCTCGCAACTCCAAGGTCGGCCAGCTCTTTCGGAGCCAGAGACCCCTCCTCAGTCTTCATCCCAACATTCACCCGACCTCCGAACTCCTTTACTAACGAGGGAATGTCTTTTTTCAACGCTCCTAGTACGAAACAAGTCGTGGCCCCAGCTTCAAGATATTTTTTTCCCCTGGTGATAACCTCTTCCAACGACCCCTTGTGCAACAGCGGGTCTGCTCTGGCATTGACAACAAAATCGCCCACTCCTCTTGCCTCCGCCGTATCGAGTGCCTTCTTGATCCGCCCACACTGCTCTTCCACGGTGTAAAAGCGACCTTCCGCCCCGTCCCTTGCGGTCATAAAATCCTCCAGATTGATTCCAACTACTACCCCCATGTCAATCAGCTTATCCACCGCCTCTTCAAGGAAACTACCGTACCCATCCTGCAGGTCCACAGTCACAGGAAGTGGTCCGCCTTCCCTAGATTTGGAGACAGTAGCGACAACGGAGGCAGCGCGTAAATTATCCTCGAGTGTCAGGTCTTTGTCGTCCAGCCCAGCAGCCTTGGCAACTGCATAAGATGCAGTTGCAAGGGCGGTCGTGGTGGGGATGGATGAAAGTACCATTGCGGATGCGCCATCCCAAACGTTCATGACTAGGAGTGGTTGGGAAGGTTTGTGAAGGGACTTGAAGTGCGTTGCGAGGCTTGCGGTATTGATAGAAGCCATAGTGTGGACTGAATTGCTTGCCGTGCCCCAGTTCGATCGTGATCCTGTAACAACAACAACGAGCAGGGCCAGGGATGCTTTCGCTGTAAGTGAGTTTGCCAAATGCGAGATTTGAGAGAAGTTGAGGATAGTACTAAGTAGTGAAAGGATTATGTTGTACTTAGAATAGTAGATCGTGGGTTTTACACAAGATACAGACACGAGCATACAGACAGACGGAAGTTGTGCTAGTGTTGGGTGTGACTTAAACTAGTATTAAGGTGCATGGTTGAACGACTTTACTAGCAACAACAAGCGATCACGGTGTGATAAGTTCGCAGCATGTAAAATAATATGCCGAGGATCAAAACACTTTTCCCAATTCCCCCAGCTATGTCATGATTCATGTTTAATTGAACAAGGAGAGGAGCAAGTTCATGCTCGAGTGCACTTTCATGCAAAAAAACTATAACCAGGCTAATAGTACAAAGATACATCAATTCATTCATGCTTTTCGTATGCCTCCTTAAACAGTTTCACCACCCAAACTATTGTTCGATCGATGGGATTTGCGCACCACGCCTAACTCCAATAACCGAACCCAGATATCGTCTTTCACCAACACCCGCTTACGCAAGAACGCCAGTCCATCAAGATGTTGCAACAATGCGCAATTGTTGGCCACCAACATCTCGTACACTCGTCGACGAAGCTTCGTGTCTTCGTCCATGCACTTTGCATGCTCCTCATCGCGCTCGCGAGAACTATGCACCAAAATGAACCGTTTTCCATTCCACACTTCGTCTGGGCCATCCAGCACCGCTTTCGGGACAGGGCCGACTTCGTAACCTGACGGGTAGAAGCCCAAACTGAACGGGTTATCCCTCAGGTCCAAGGTGGTCAATCCCGGAAGCAGTGCCAGCACTGCCACCTGTTTCCGCAACCGCTGAAGGCGATTTCCGGCCAAGTGAAGCTCCTCGAGTCGCTTGATATTCAAAAGAGGCCGAAGGTCTTTCAGCGCATTGAAATTGAGGTTCAGGCTCCGTAGGCTTTCCGCTTGTTGTCCGAAGTTCTCGGGCAGCGCCTGGATCCCGCATGATGCCAGCTCCAGCGTCCGCAAGTTGAGGAAGGGTTGCTTCATTGTCATGGATGGCAGTTGATTCAGTGATAAGAACATCTCCTGAACATCGGGTGCCGCGATTAGGGCTTCGTCGCTATTGTTGGATCCTACAGATGGAGGTCGTTGCTGTCTCATGGATACCAGCTGTAGTCGTTTCAGTTTGTCAAAGTTGGTTTGTCGCGGCAGTCGATTGCCATCCAGGTACAGATTTTCAACATTCAGACCATCGATGGTAATTGGGAGCTCAGTGAGGCCATTTCGGCGAATGCTGAGGCTGCGCAGCAATTTCAACCCATCATGGCCACCGGTGCCAAGAGGAGTCTCGTCAAGCTCGTTGTCATCTTGAATTGGGCATTAGCAATGCTCATATCAGATCTCTTTTGTTGATTCCAATGAAGCCCACTTACCTAGATTGAGATCTACGAGCGCCGGCAGAGTTTCAAAGCCGATGAATTTTTCCATCCCGTTTGCGGCTAAGTTGAGCTTGGTTAACCGTTTCCTGTTGCTATCAGCATCAAATAGGTCCCTTCCCTCCATTTTATACTACTTACAATTCAGATCCTGTGAAATCTGCAACTCGAACTCGGTTTCCCTTGAGACTGAGCTCGAGTAAACCATCCAGTCCCAAAATGCCATCAAGGCTCGTGATTCGGTTATCGTCCGCGTTCAATTGTCGAAGATGAACCAAGCAGTTGAATCCGAGCAGGTCCTCGATATCATTGTTCGACACGTTCAAATATTGTAGGTTAACCAGGTGACCCCAGGTGGTCAATCCCGTTAGAAGATTCCGGTCTGCATTCAATAGTCGGGCCGACGGCGGGACGCCAACCAATTGAGCAATGTTATTGTTCGAGACGCTGAGATTCTCAACACGCTCGCACAGAAGGTCGAGCAAATTTAATGACGTGAGGTCCTTCTCATCAAGAACGAGGTCTCGTAAGTCCTCCCAAAATGGTTCGTCAGGGTCGACGTCTTGGAGCGCTTTGACGAGAGCAGCGTTGCCTTCGTGAAAGCGATCCTCGTGACCGTACAAGAGCTGATGACCATGTCTCTTGGCTAATGTTCGTTGTGGGAGCTCTCTCTCGTCGACTTGATTGATGGTGAATTCGGGGAGTTCGCTGAGAAGGAATGTAACGTCGGCAATTTGTTGCCCCGGTTGGCAAGGGAAGATCTCACCATGAGGAGAGCTTGAAGGTCGAGTCATGGCAACGGAGAAGTTCACCTGCCTGGGCGGAGTGGATCGAGCTCTAGTTGGCTGGCCTTCCGAAGACACAGACATTGCTGATGCGGATTGGGGTCGACTGGATTGGCCATCGGGATGTCGCACTGTTCCCTTGGATTCTTCGCCAATACGAGGGGATGAGAACGAAACAGCGATGCTATTGAGTCGGAGGTTATGCACTCGTTCGTTTGGATGACGTCCTTCTTCGATGCCAATCTCATGCTCAACATCCTGCTCGACGACCGTAGACTGAGGAGGGGGTGCCGGACCTTTCATGGTACCGCTTTGACTTGCTGCACTCTGGTCGCTCCACGATGTGGCTCTGGTCTCTGCCTGCGGAACGCTGGACGCAAATGCTGTGTACTTCGAGGGCACAGAACTGCTGATAACCTGAGGAGCGGAAGCCCCCTCTCGAGTTTCTGGGCGGTCCGCGGCCTGACCATCATTCTGCTGCTCACTCGCTGCGATTCCCCCCGACAGATCTATTCCATGGACGTACTGGGCCTGTAGAAGTCGTTGTCGTAACGTGCCCTCTTTTCTACTCATCACACAGGCATCCTCATCAGTGGCATTGACGCTCAAATCAGGGATCTGATCCAATACGTTATCATCGCTCTGATTGATGCTGCTGACATCCGCGTTGCGTCGTGGTGGCTTCTTCGGACTCTTATTTTTCACCCAGATGCCTCGATCGCGGTCGAACGTCATACACCCAATCTCTTCAGGAATCAGGTGGGCTACAGCTTCTGGTGCTAATGTTGCCACGTTATCTGAACGCTTGGATGCCGTGGTGACATTGGTATTGCCTAGAGATGACTGCGCCGAGTTCTGAGTGTTCGATCCCATCGTCCCTTGAGTTCCGGTACCATCCTCGCTCCCGATAGAGTCCATGTCGCGAGAAATCGGGCCTCGAATGAGGATATCTTCGCCGTCTGGAAGCGTGTAGGATTCATCGGGGGATTCTTCGCTGGGTCTAATATGTAGAGACCGAATGGAGGATGGCATGAAGTCTTCATCTTCGTCGTCTTGGAACCTCTGCAAATGCTCCTCGATATTCGGGTCTTGCTGCACGTCGCGTGTCCTCCAACCACTTCTTCGATTCTCTCGACTTGGGGGTCTCTCGAATGTGAGAGAAGTGGATGCTATCGCGTCTTCGTCGAATGCCTCCGATGGGAAGTCAGAATCGGCAAGACTGGCGTTGTTTGCACCATCACTGGCCCGCCCTCGGTTACGGATGAAGCTCATGATTTTCATCGCTTCGTCCAAGAAGTCTTGCGTTGTAACCGATTTCTTGCGCTCACTCTGCTTGACTCTTGACATTTTGACGGTAAAAGCCGCGACTTTGCTTGCGACAGCTCGAGCCTGCTGCTCCTCCGCGGTTGTTCCCACAGGGGCAGGGGACTGAAGATGCTCTTGTATCGTTTGAAGTCGTGGGGAGCTCTCCATGAACGCCTCGGTTGCATCCAAAATCTCTTCTTCGACTTCATATCGCCTCCGCTGGCTGGGTGTAGGGTTCCGCGGGCGCAAGATTTGTCGTCGAGCGAGAACTTCGGGGTGTACGGTCTCTATTGAATCATCATATCTCGCGTCCTTGCGCTTGCGGCCTATGACCGAATGCGCGGATTCGTGGTCGGAAGACTCTCTTGAGTTTACCCGGACAGGAATCGCTGTATTTTCCATGTCGTCAAGGTGCAATGTCCGTCTCCGTTTCGGAGTAGGGTCCTTGCAGGGAGAGGTTGGAGGACGCTTTCCTTCAGCAACATCATAGACCACTTGACTGCTCATCTGCCGATACATAGTATCGACATCGGCATAGCTCGTCTCGGTTCGGACGGGTTGGTTCCTGGAAGATCTTTTGCCAATCGAAAGATAGCTTTTTGCCGAGAGTTTCGAGAGCTTCCTTTTATTTGAAGCTGCAAATGTCCCGGTCATATCAGAAGGATGGTACTTCGATGGCTCCTTGGAACCGGGCGGTCGCATTGTGGGTGATGGAGAGGCGGCAGGAGTGAATCCCATGCCCGTGAATCGTGAGCCTTCAAATTGGGGCGTGAACCCATCCTCAAAACCATGGCTGTCAAGATCGCCTTGACCAAATTTGCTATGGACCCGAGCAGAGCTGTGTTGACTGCCGGCGGTAGACTTTGAGGCACGAGGGGGGGTGGGAGCAATAGGAAGAATTTCCGAGCTTTCCTTATCTTGCACAATGCCAGGCTCGTCAACCGATGATTCAGATATTGAATGATCCTCAATGGTGGAGAGAGAGTCCTTCTCTTTCATTGGCGATGGACTAAGCGGTCGGTGTACAAAAGAACCCTCCACAGAATACCCTCCCCGGCGGACACTGACAAACTCTCCGACATCGTACGAGTTCGGCGTGCCTGTTAGGATGCTGTCAGGGAGTGGTTCCGATTGTAATTGAGATATCGAATTCTCGTGCGCCACAGGTTTTCGAGTCGGTTGTTGGGTGGACGAAGTACTCGAGTTCTTCAGAGCTAAGTGCTCTAAGCGCTGCTCAAGCTCGGTTTTAGAGAGCTCTAATGCGGCATAATCGATCCTCCCATCTGTAGTATTATGCTTGGATATGAACACAGGACTAAAGCCCTCATTTAGCTCTGTTCTCCCGCTGATCACACGAGATGAAGCGATTGAATCTTCTTGCTTCATCCTGTTCGTGTCTGAATTTCTCCCCTCTTCGGAGCTTGGTGAACCTTCGGTTGGTTGGTTTCGTTGGATGGTGCCGGCTGATGAATGTACTGAAGGTTCTTCGAATGTATCAGATCGTTCCTGCTCTTCCAAATCTTCATGCACGACGTCAAGTTGGGACTCTTGCGATTCTCGAACCGTCTTGGTTGTTCCGGTTGTTGGCCAAGGTGGCGGACTCGATGGAATATTCTCCACACCTTTCAAGAACGACATGCTCGCATTCCTGTTCGGCCGCTTTGGGCTTATATCCTCGTCGGGTTTGTTGAAGATGTTTTGGAGACCGATCGGGCTGAACAGGTCTTTCCGATCGCCATAACCCATCTCTCCATGCAGCAATCGTCTTCTCCACTCCGGTGTATCGTGGTCTCGACCACCCTTTCCAATTGCGACCGTTCCTATGTCGTCATCTACGTCCACGCCATGGTGAACGACACTCGAGATTGATGAGCCTGAAATACTTCTGCGAGCTGTCGTCTGTTTGATTGGTGCGGTGGTTGGGTCGCTTTCGGAGGGCAACGAGATGTTATTCTCGCTGAAAGTGCGTTCCGTGAGTACACCTTTAGGCACAGCAGCCTGGAGAACTTTAAGGCTCCGGCCTTGGAGGCGTCTAATTGAGGAAGTCGGTGCAGTTGGGTTCTGATATCGAGGTATGCGGCTCTTCGGTCGCGGTGGTAGGTCGCGTAGTCCGTCTAGACCAGCCACGTCACTCGAAGATGGTGGACTCGACGGAGGAGGAACCCAGTCTTCCGAGAGGTCGTCTAGCCAGGCGTTCATATTGCCCAAAAGCGTAATGTTAGGTCGCGATAGGATGGTGTGGGAGCAGTCGATGGTGTTGTTGTGGGTAGGAGCGGTGCGCTTCAGAGTGCGCGTTTAAGGCGCATTGCTTGAAAGGCAGCCTCAAATGAGAGAAATGTAGAATGGACCGAAGCAATAGCAATATGACGTCTTCGGAGAATTGGATAGCTTGAATATCACTGCATCTTTGGGTGGAAGCTAAACGCGTTACGAAATGCGATTCGCTATTAGCGCGGATGAGGAACGCCAACGCCGTAACATCGCGGGTTGGGGGCGCTGCTGGGGCAACGGATGGAAGGCATCAAGGCAACAAGGCAACAACTTCGGAAGCTTTGAAGCCCAGCCACATACTGGAATAATGCGCTGGAATGTTACGCTATGTACAGTACAAGTATCTATCCAAAAGCCGCTACAAAATGAATGGATTATAATTTCGATGGAACCGGAGCCTCTTCAAACGTCTTCTCGGCCCCCTCAAGAGGCTTCTCCGCTCCTTCAACAGGCTTCTCAGCCACCTCAATCGGCTTCTCAGCAACCACAACCTCTGGTTCTGGCGCTTTCACAGCTTCCGGTTCCTTCTTCTTGGGCTCATGTACTACTTCTTGCTTCTTCCTTTCATCACGGAGCCTTTGAGCAGATCTCAAAAGTGCATAGAGGCTCTGGAGCCGCATCAGATCCACCCCATGTCTCCGTGCGATCCGAACCGGATTTCCAAGAATGACCTCCAATTCCATCGGTCGCCCGTGTTCCCAATCGACGAGCATGCTTGGCTTCCCGCCTGTATTTCTCTCGGTGCTTTTGAGGATTTGCTCGGGCTTGGCCAGCTTGGCGGGAAACTCGCGTCCTAGAATCGCTGGCGCCGCTTCGAAGACCTCCTCCATACAGCCCCGCAAGTGAGTCCGAAGTTCGGTATCCGTCACCATGTCCGCATTGCCTACACCTCCCGCCAGGACGGCAGAAGGATTCATGGCAGCATTGATACAGATCTTATGCCATCGCACGAGAAGAATGCCCACTTCATCGTACTCCTCGGCGTCTCGAAGCTTGCCATGCTCAGTGAATAGTTTCACCAGCTGTTTCGTGCTCCGCGTCGCGCGCTCAACCAAGGTTTTGGTAGCGGGAGTCGTCCCACCGAGTCCATCCGAGTATGGTCCCATGCTTATCCTTGTCCATCGATTTTGTTTAACCACGCCATGACTGATCTGCTCGGCGCTGACGATGGTGACTGCGGTGACGATCGGGTTCTTGGGGAAGCGCTTCCGATGCGGCTCTTCGATGCCGACGCCGTTTTGAATGAGAACAATACACGAACGACCTTCGGGAGCCTGCTTGATGATCGGCTCAATATCTTTGGAGTCATCAGTTACATCGGGAAGCGCTTTGGTGGTCACGACCACATAATCCCATCCTTGGTTGGGTGCATTGTCCGCTTCGGCTGCCGCTTGGATCGATGGATAAACCGCACGGGGGGAGAATTGGTAATCGCCGAATGTGTGTGTTTTGAGCTGGACGCCGTCGCGGGCGATGGTGTCATAATTCGATCGACATACTAGGGAGACAAACACGTTTGCTTCTGGCTGGAGGTTCTGGTTAGGTGCCATCATTAAGACGAGAAGCGGTTGGCAGACTCACCCTATGTAACCTGGAGCCATAAAAGCATCCCACCGCCCCGGCACCGATGAACAAGATATGAATCGGCCTGAATTTGCACTTCGCATGAGCCACCGTCTACATTTCGAGTTCCATTTGCAGGATGAATGAACTCACCGGGGCTGTGCGATACGCGACTCGTCTAACTCCATATTACTCTGGATGTCACTTGAGCCACGTCTCAAGCCAGAAAGTTTTAATATGTCCGCTGGTTTGTGAAGGGCGTAGGCATTCTCAGGAAGAACAAGGTAGGGGTATCATGCAAGCATAAGTGTAATTCTCCGTTACAACTTACAAGTCGGTAGTAGTACAACCCATGTCAGATCGAATAGGAATATTCCTCCGTAATTCGGTTGGACGCGAACTTGAGACTGACCGCGTCAGGGTGGCAAGATCCTATGAGGCTCTTCAGTCTTGACCCGAGGTTGGGAGTTGGCCGTTGGGACTTGGGACATCGCTGAGGGATGCCCAACCACGTGACCAATCGATCCATGGCTGTGACGGTTTTCGAACCCCTTTCTACACCTAACACCAAGTTATACCACTATGGTTGTATCCGAAAAACATCGCATTTAAATGATTGACGTGAATGATATTGTACGGTATCACATCTGCCTCTCGTCGGTAATTACCAACTAATGTTACGGGCCCGGTACTCCATACTGTGTCCAACCATGCCGTAGCACCATATCATCAATCATCACCATCTTTCTCGAGACGATTTCTGTGCGGAGGAGATGGAGAACCGTCCCGCATTTCTCGGGAGGCTATCACATGAATCCCGATAATCTGGGAAATCCTCACGTTTAAGCGCGTGGACTGAAACCTTTCATATCCCCCCACTGTCAAGTATGCCTGACTTGATGGCAGCTCCATTGGCACCCAACCCATGTCTCCTCGCAATCGTTCTCACAGTTCGCTCCCGTGCTGCACAACCACGGCTCGTATTTCACTATCCGCTGTCTGCGTCGGCATCATTGGCAGAAGAGTCCCAATTCTGGCAGGGAAACGGCTCAACCCGGACCGCCGGCGAAGAGAAGAGTTGGAGTAGCGAGGAAAGAAGCGATGAAGAGGAAGAGGAAGGAATCACGACAACGTTCCGAGCAAGAGAAATCATTAGCAGCCTTGGAGACAACAGCAAGCAATCCATTGCAGCAAGAAGAGGAAGCTGGATCGGCGAGGAGATCACGGCGCGAGACGATGATGAGGGCGAAGATGATGTTGCCGAGACTGCAAGCAGTAGGGGCGGTGGAACGGTTGGAAGTAAAACAAGCCGATTGCTTAACCTGGGACCCGGATCACTTAGATCGACAAGAGCTAGGGCGGCACGGGTCAAAGACATCGAGCAAGAGGAGGTGGAGGTGAGGGGAACTGGGTCAAAAGAAAGCAGGGAGCGCGCCATGAACATTTCTGGCGGCATTGGAAGGTCTAATAAGGCAGACATCGACCCTGAGAAAGACCGTGACCAAGTCCTCGGCTACCCCACGAACGAACTGGCCCGGCTGCTCTGTCCTGGGAGAATAGCGTATAATAAGAAGCGGTTTGAGATCGGCTTGGACGAGATCGCTTTCCTTGGTGCACCTATGTTCGTGCGGGACGATGGTAGGTGGAAGAAAACGAAAAAGCGAAAAAAGGATAGCAAGAGAGATGGTAAAGCGTGCAGGGATGAGAGCGAAGCAAACGGTGTGTCCGAAGATCAGAACCTCGACGACGACCCAAATGCCGAGACTGGAGAGCGAGCACTACACAGCCTCATCCAGAGCCGAGAGCTCGAGTACGTGGAGGGATTCGAGCCTGCCTATGGGCATGGTTTGATATCGGGTACACCTTCTGCAGCGCCATCTGAAGTTGGATCGGAGGATAAGAGCACAACCTCAAACTCAGGAGACGAAATGACCATGTTCAATCTTGTGTTTGTGCTGAACCCACCGTCACTCGAACATCAGCTGCGTCTAGAAGAGATGTACGACAATGTTGTTAAGAAGTTCGCAAAAAGCCTGAAGTATCTTCAGGCACAACACAATTACGTCTGGGCCGAGTCGCAGAAGATTCTTACCATGCAGGAAAAGGGCAAGGAGAATGGTAAGCGATCTGCCACCCTGCCTACTGAATTTCCTGACTGAATCGATTCCAGGCACTCCTATAGCAAGCCTCTGGCCGAGCATCATCGGGTCCTCTACCCTAGCAAGGGCCATTGCGACCGTCTTCGAGGCGATCTCATCCTCAAAAATTGCTCTTGTAAACCTCGACAAGACTCTCGACGTGAATTTCCAGATACCGCACGCGATATCGACCCCCTTCGTCCCCACGATTACAGAGCCACAGATCCCTGGTTTGTGGCTTACCACTGGGAGTTTCAGCGATGCGGACGAGGCAGATGACATTCTGGGACCGCATTCGGCGCTTCTTCTCCTTGAAGATAGTGAGACGCTCCTCAAGGAGATCGAGGGGGACGTGAAAGAGCTCTCGGAATCGCTATCATATTTCATCCGCAACCTTACACCCACGAAATCTTTGCAGAAGCTAGCATTGATGACGCAAATGTCGCTGAAGGACATGCAGGTCCTTGGACGGCATTTGATCTACTGGCGGAAAGCTCGCGCTATTCCGCCATTGCATCCCAGAGATACATACATTGTGTCTCCAAACGCGAACATGAAGGCACTCGCGAACGATATCCCGGCCTATGCGGCGAAGTTTCCCACCCTTCCATCGCTTCCCAAAATGCTGCACCAGCTCTCACGGGATGCACGACCGAAGACGTATCGACACTTAATGCCCAGCCCCGACCATCGTTCTGCATACATGGCGATTCTCGCATGGCTGATGCGGAATGGTTACGTCACGCAGTTGCGAACCTTCGCATGGGTGCGCGTGCCTGCCGAAGTGAAGGTGGCGGTGCACGAGGAGATGAATGCGGAAGTAGCGGCCAAGGCGAGGCAGCGCGAGGAAGGAGCCTCGGACTCGCTTGGTCCCCATACCCCGTATAGTCCTCATAGGCAAGTTGAAGCCGGAGGAGTCGTTACTAGCGACGCTGAATCGCACGACGAGAGCTCGTCGCAAAACAACACACACGAATCCTCCAGGTCCTCCAGGTCCTCGAAATCACCCACGACATCATCGCCACGACTCCCACCGCACAACGTTCAACCATCCTCTCGGCCTACCTCAGCCACTGGAAGCACGAGTAGTGGTCGCACCGCCGTGCCTTTTGCATCTCCTTCCATCAAGCACACCAAAGCCTCCGCCTCCGGTCGAAAACCGTCACCGCTCCGGCTTGGCGAAACACAGCGGCAGCGACCTTTATCGCCCAACAGCGCCAACGGACTCCTCTCCCCCCTTTCCCCCTCCGTGTCGCAGACGCGTAACGCTGCGGTTGCGACTGCTCCCCACCCGCAGCCGACCCCGGCGACAAAGCAATTGCCTTCGCTCATCCACTCTCCGCAGAAAGCCAACGCGTTGGAGTCACGGTGGTTGGAGCACATCGGAAGCTCGTTCCTGGATGCGGAGTTGCGTGAAGTGTGGCCGATGTTGTTGCAGTATTTTGATGGGCAGCATGCGCTGGAAGAGATCGCGGTGCGTGAGTCTCAGAAGAGAAAGCGAATTGCGCCTGTCCTTGCTGCGCTAAGGGAGGGCGGCTGGCTGGTTGTCGTGAGACATTGGTGATGAGAGAGGAAGCAGAAGTATGTAGCAGCCTGGAAGGTTTTGCGTTGTGCTCCCTCGTCGCCGTGACACAGAGCGTGTAACCTTATGGAGGTGGAACTCAGTGTTGCCGTTACTCTGGCATCGTACCAGTACTCCCTTTCAATCCTACGCAGGTGGCTATGTTCGATTCTCAATCGGGAAGATGGAATCCCACAGGCAACCAATCGGATGAACCGCATGTCTCATCAACCACCCCCTCCGCTCTCGATGCGATCGTCCGTCATCAATGTAACTCACATTTGCAATCCTCCGAATCTACCGTCGTCCCATCGGTACGGCTGGGGACGCGTCTTGTGATGACCTAGTCAGGCTGTATCGAGATGCTGATACTGGTGTATCCTAGATTCCTATCCCTGTCCATCAAAGTTCAAAATATCAGTCACTGATGAAACGCTGGGCCTCTGCCGTGGTGGAACGAGACCAATCTGGTGTGACGCGGAGACATTAGATGGCGGCATGCGCATTCCAGTGTATTCTTTAACGTGTGTTCATCCGCCCTAGGTGTGGTAACACCATGACCGTTGAAGTCCTTGGAGAACAGGGAAGAGTATTCAAAATGGTTGTATTACGTCCGTACTCTATAGACATGTGTCGATATGAAATCTCGAAGTCTAGTTGATGGGAGGGTTACGCACGTACTTGGCCGCTCCAGCGCTCGCTGACAGTTTTCTGCACTGGCCATGGAAACCATCATCATCTTACCTTCTGGATGCCGGGAGCGTATGATATTCGAACCCCCCAAAGATCGATAATAATCCCATTATCTCACATTATTCTCAGTTTCCACCCTTAGGACTTCGGCGGGGCAGTTCGGCGGGCAGCTGGGGGGGAGGGGCCACCAGATGATGGCACGACCCCGCGGAAGGCTGGCAGCTAGGAGACCCTAAGTGCCCAAGTGCCTAGCAAGGAACATTGTTTTTATTATTATTAATAATAATAATACAATTGACGGCATGAAAAAAACTTTCGTGTCCGGACTCTGCAGACTGGAATGCAAGTCATCGATTCTGTGATCTGCCAGGCACAGGTTATGACAGGTACCTTCGGATGGTCCGTGAGCCCCTTCGCCGAGCCATGAGTCTATCCAGACGACATCTGCTTGCTTCGGTTCGTGCATAATAATTCCCAGTATTAGTTCTTAGTTAGTTCCTCCCCCTCTCACCACCCTCACCTGACCACCCAGAAAGAGAAGGGAAAAGAAAAGATTCTGGTCCCTTGGGTTAGCAACGTCCTACCGGTATTCACCCTCTTCCAAAGGCATCACGCAGCTCCTTTCCCTTGGTCCCAGAAAGAGGTTGTCCACGAGACACCTGCTCCGGAAAGATGAGTCAATTCGGCGGTCCCGGTGGTGGCAGGTCCTACGCGAAGCCGACTCCGTACGTATTTGTCGTTTGTCGCAAGCTGTCGTGTTGATTGCTTCTTGTGCCATTCCGAAGGCAATCAATGACCAACCCGCTGCAAACGGTCGGCATGACGCAATTGAAGATGCTTGGAAGCTGACGGTGCGTGTTTGTCCTTCGTCCAGTCCCGAGCGCGGCTCGTTTCCCCTCGATCACGATGGTATGTTGTCTCTCTCATCCAACCGTTCCGATGCATTGAGACCCGAACATGTGGATTCGCGTGTTTGGACATCCCCCTGGAATCCTCAGATGGCTGACGCTGCGAGCAAACAGGCGAATGCAAACGCCAAATGATGCGCTACCTCCGATGCATAAAGTCACACCGCGGTACGAATGACGACGAGTGCCGGCTGCTGTCACGGGAATATTTGGAGTGTCGGATGGAAAGGTTCGATCCTCGTAGCACCATCTGGACTCGGCCAGCGGTGGGCGAAGCGTTGCTGACGCCCTGAGCAGGAATCTAATGGCACCGGACACGTCGGATAATTTGGGATTCGCAGACATCGAGGCGAAGGCCGCGAAGGCCGCGACGGCCGCTTCTTCGAGGACATCGGCCGGGCAGTCGGACGCAGACCGAGCTAAGGGCTAAAGAAAGTTCTCGCGCGGAATGATTTTGGAAAAAGTTCGATGAGACGATGAGATCGTCCCAGCAAATGACGCCCTCCTCCGCGTTCGATTATGGACAAAGTGTTCGATCTTCGGGCACGGCTGTGCTTGAGTAGAGCAGGGTAGGGGAGCGCGGGCAAACTCGAATAGTTGTTGCGAACCACTGGAGTCGACTTGCTGCTTAGTGGCTGTCCGAGTGGCCAGCTCCGCAGAAGTTGAAGAGTATAGGACTCATACAATCCGACGCGTTGCAAGAGTTGCACAAGAAGAATTGGGTCGGGTGTGTTGTACTACGGTAGGATATAAGAAGATATCTAGATACTCCTCCCGAAGCAAATGTGATTGCAAATTGCAGTATCTCGCTCATACACCATTTGGTTGACGGTTTCCAATAAGCTTTGTTTGGATAGAGCGACTTAATACCTATGTCGCATGAAGGCTGGTGTGTTGTCCACTTCCAGCAAATGGAGCGGACATCTTGCATCTGGAAAGTGGGAGTTTCGCCGATGGAAGGGCGAGAGTATGTGAAGCTATTTGATTACAGGTCATGGTCACCCTCATATGGTTACCAGTATGAATAAAATTCAAATTGAATTCCCGATGTCTGATATCAGTAATATCCTCGCTAGCAACCCCCATTAACCATGTCCCACCAGGCCCTCCCATCAGAAGGAAAAAGCGAAAAAAGTTCAGGAAACGTAGACCGAATGAGCCTCAAGCCCATGACATTCGCGAAAGGAACACCAAAGCACTCCCATCCTCTCGATCAATCGAGAAACAACGCCCCCTAAATGTATCCCTTCCCAATTGTGCCTTGAATCTGCGCCCCATAATCATGTAAGAAGATAGCCGAAGGAGATTCCGTGTCAAAGAACGATGGGTGGCATTGACCGTAGTCAAATGCTCGAAAGGCCAGACGAAATGAAAGGGATATAGAACGCCGATGTGCAAACTTCCTGTGGAAGATAGTAACGAAGAAAGGAAATCGGAGATCGAAAATCTGCAGAGGTAGTAGGGACAGAGTGCAAAATAAATGCTGTGCTGTTGATGGAGATGAGGAGGAAATAGACCAGTGTCTGTCGGTGCATGAAGTAGATAGGAATAAGAGAATCATGTCCTCGCCTTCCGCTTCTTGTCGATCGAGGCAGTCCAACCCGGACTGGAATAGTGCAAGGGAGGCGTCTTAGCCCTTCTCAGGCTGTAGCTGATACGGTCTGAAAGAAGCTGGAGTGGAAATAGCAGTGAATGGATGCCCCTCAGGATGCCATTGAAACGCCGGCCCAGAAAAGGGAGAAAAGTCGCCGAGAAGCAAACGAATTAAAGAACGCAAGGCCTTCTATTCATGCCAGCCACGTTCTCGTCGCAACCTCTTGCGTCATCACGAGAGCTCCATCCCAAATTCATCCTCTTCTTTCAAGGTAAAGCTCCCTCTTCCGCTACTTCCGCTCGCCCGGTGTCCATGGCCCATCCAGAATTGTTGCTCCTGGGTACCGTTGACGTTGCCAGCATTACCGCTCGGCGACAGGCTCTGCGGGCTGATCGTCCCACTATGGCCGCTTCCCTGCGCACCATCCAGCGCCAGGCCGGCGAAGTCCGTGTGTTGGGGAACGCGCAAACCGGATCCGGGACCGCGAGAGTACACGAATTTATCGGTCGAATTCCCATTGACGGAGTCGAACAGTTCCGTGCGCATGCGCTTATCCTCTTCCGTAAACTCGAGCGGGAACTGTAGTCCGTGTGACTCCACGTACTCTCTGAGTTGGTCTTGCTGCTGCAGCGATCGATGTAACGCCCACATCAGATCCCGTGTCCAGCTAACGGCGCCGTTGAGGATATCGCCCTTATTAGGGCCTTTGTCTTTCTCCTCGATGGGCAGTCCCGTGGTGATGTTGCCGGCAGCACGACGACCAGCACCACCGGCAAGGAGCGAGGTCGCTTGCGGGGGCGAGATCCCGGACGCGGCGAGGGTCGGTGAGAGAGGGCCGTTGTTATTGATATGTTTCCGAATCTTCTCATCGTCGAGACGGTGCCCCGGAACGAGGCGGGAGAGATCGTGAATGCGCTCGTTGATATTGTCCCGGCGGCGACGTTCGACGAGATTGTGGGATTCGCGGCGGCGTCGGCGTTTCGCTTCTTGCGACTGCAGTCCTGTGGGGACACTTCCCGTGTGGAGGTGGCCGGTGGCGTCGACTTTCGTGGGGAGGGAGGCGTGTTTACCGGAGGTGAGGATTTCGGATATTTGCGGATGCATTTGCCCTTGGTGGGGGCTGCTGGGAAGGGGGGAGTCGACCCATGAACCGCTGCCGGGTGTACCGTCCCAGGTGCCTGAAACGCTCTTCTGGTGCGTCCGAATTTGTTGACCGGACATAATCGGCTGGCCTCCGTAAGAACCAGATTCGGGAGTGCCAAGCTGGATTCCATTCATGTTCTTGGGAGTCAGGGGCGAGCGTGAGTCGGAGTGATGTCGGTCGACGTTACGCATCTTGGGCCGTGTTCGCGCGGCCAAGTCGTATGACTGTGATCCTGGGAACTGCGATGGCATGGTCCGCATATGGGAGAACTGGCTGTCGTGGGCAAAAGGACTGGCCATCGGCGCGCCATCGGGTGTATGAGAGAACATCTGCTGTTGGCTGTTCATGGACACAGGCCCGCCGCTAACGCCGTCGTTGAAGCTGAAGTTTTGGTTGGCGCCTTGGCCGAGTCCGTTCTGTCCTTGGACGAAATTCCCTTGCGTACTCTCTCCGTTTAGATTCCCCAAATCCAAGAGTTCGTCGTCGGCAATCCCGGCTCCTCCCATGAACATATTCTGCGACCCGTATGAGTGGTTGTTCATGAAGTTATTCCCCATACTGAGGTCGGAGGGGTTGACACTCGGCGTCATATTGCTGTTTCCTTGGAACTGACTCCGGCCGAACTGGGAATTGTCGAAGTGGTTCGTATCGAACTGGAAATCGTCCGGCTCGTTCTTGATATAAGGAGAGGTAGCGGTATTATCCATAGTGAAGGCCGTGTGATGATGATCAATCGAGAATTGGAGGCGAAGTTGAAGGCGAGGCTGATGCTGGGGAAGACAGTGTGTGGGAAAAATTGTGGGTCGGAACCACCGAAACCTACAGGGCAATGTCAGATCGAATATCAAAACAAGAAAGATCTCGGCAAACGCCAATTCAGCCATGAATCAAATCAATGACACGAGAAGAAGGGGCCGTCTTACGACTATAAAGGCTCGGAGCAGCGGCCAATATACTGGGATGCCAATCTCTCTCAACGTCGTATATAGCACCCCGGCGTTTCGATGATAACGATATGCAGCAGTCGACCAAGGTTCGTGATCAGGACGACGGCCACGCGACGGTCAAAAGAATCCAAGCAAGCCTTTGTGTGCGCGTACGGGATATGGTCGGGGTTTCAAAGCTGTGGACAAGGCAGATGACGGACCAGAGGCAAACCATGCATGGATAGGGTCGAGGGATGTAGAAATCGAGTTTGTGCGTATGACGTGCACCGATATATGGGTTTAACAACCCGATTCTATCGTTCGCAGTCTGTTTTCGGACCGTACTCGAAGGCAAGGGTGGAAGGGTTGTTTCCTCAGTCACCGAACTTGTAGGACGGCAGGAAGTTTGACTGGACCGATGGTATGGCTTGTGATTCGTCCGTGCCGCTTACTGGCGATCAGTGGACTCGTATGCAGATATGGAAATGTCTGCTGGGACGAGATAATGTCGCGAGAGTCGAACTTGTGAAACGTGAAGGTGGAGTGTTTCGATGGGATCGGAAATTGGCAAGATGTCGATGTGGCTGGTAAATGGAGGACGAAAGGATATCCCGAGAAGATGACTATTAAAAACGAAGCGGGAAGTTAGCGACGTGCTGCGAACAGGAGCGGTGGATGGGTAGGGCAGGTGCAGACTGCAGATATTGCGGAGAGTGTGGCGGGGGGATAACAATGGGATAATTGCGGAGCCAGACGGCATCGCATTGCTGTCCTGAGCAAAGATGCCGTGAACCGTTTCCAGGAGTTCTTTTGCCCAAGTTTGGGACAAGCGGTAACACGAAACGGACGGTGCCTATCTCTGGTTGTAGCGGAGATGGGAGCGGGCATCCAGTCGTTGTCGCGGGCTCAAACGGAGTCGCCAGGCGGAGCCGTTTGGGTGGGCGGATTGCAGCAAGAGGTATAGTGGAAGTGGAACTTGCTTACCTCGAGTTATCAACGCATGTAGCCGGACGATGGGTGGTCCAGGTGGTGGAAGAGCGAGTTGGCTGAATTGAAGGGAGCCGACACGATTGATTGCGTCTGGGTCGGTGGAGGCTAATAGAAGATACCGGGAGACAAACGGAGTTGGCGGAGAATCGAGCAAGGGTCCTTCGCTAACGGAAGGAGCAGGAGCAGTGGCGTTTGGAGCGCTGAAGCAAGAGTTCAGAATTGCAATCTGCGGGCGACCAGGAGCCCTGCTTGGGTTTGGAAGTTCGATTGCGGGGCAGACGGCCAAGAGGGGGAGGTAGAATGGATTGGCAGCCTCTTGAGCTGAAAATAGAACAGAAGTCTTGGTGGGTAAAGGTAGTGGAGAGGAGACTGAATTGGAAAAGGGTGTGAGGGTGTGAGTGTGTGAGAGTGAGAGGTGTGAGTAAGAGTGAGTTGGGTGAAGAAGAATTTCCGCTGATAGCAGGAGTGCAGCAGGGAGCAAGAGAGCAAGGGAGCAAGAGAGCAAGGGAGTATTATCGTGTGGTGAGTGTGCTGCAATCCGAAAATCTTCTGGTGCAGAAAGGGAAAGTGAAGAAATGGAAAGAAATGATGACACGAAGCCAGTGTACGTGTCGGAGCGTGTGTGTGGTGTCAAATTGTATGTTAAGGGGAGCGAGGGAGAGGAACGCTGGTTCAGAGTCACGATAGCGGCCGGGCGGGGGATGGGGAAGTCTGAAGGCGAACCGCTCTTCCTCTGAGTTCCCCAGTCTTAGCACCACCGAGTTCTTGGTCTGATTAACTCCAGCTCCACTTCTTCTACGTCTGCTTCTCCTTCACCTGTTCACCATCGGACTCGACTCGTCTGTAAGGGAGAATAATCGCTGCGTCAGAACCGTCTGTGGCTTGCCGTTGAAGTAGCAACAGAACTCGTGGGCGAAATCGGGGATTGGGGGTCGCAGATCTTGGGGGTGAACGCCTGAACGGGTAACTTCAACAACATCGATGGTTAGCCACGTTCCAAGGAAGGCAAAAGTGTCAGCAAAAGCCAAAACGGCATTGGAAGAATTCTAGGCAAGCTGCCTTGGAATTGGTGGGTTAGTGGCTACTCATTCATGCTATTCATTCATGCTCCTCTCTTCGGGCTTGCATCCCAGACCAAAGTCCAAAAGGCAAAACCGGATCGGATGCTGCGTCCCTGGTGGGTGTTGCGGTGTGGCAGACAATAGACTCCTGGTTAGTTCATGTAGGTGAGGGCACCACGGAGATTCTGAACGGAGAAAATAATAATCTAGGCTTCGTCCATAGATGTTGCATGGCATCGGTGCTAGCCTCCTCGTAGCTGATATTGCCGATGTCCATGAAGAGGAGGTAATAGCCGAAGCCGTGGCCGGGCGCTCCATAGGCTGTATGGGAACTGGCATCGAGCCAGCGGCAGAGTATAATAGCTGTCTACGGAGTAGACTCGAATTATTCGTGTCCGAGGGTCCAGGACGCAAGGAGTACGAGGGATCAAGGGCCAAGGAAGTCGTAGTACTGGAATTTCTCTCACCTATTAATTCTCCGTGCCACTTCTGCAGCTGGCTACGTCGGTTTCGATTTGCCTCCGCTCGGTGAGCAAGAACGTCGATGCGTCGGCTATTCCGAACAAATAATTGCCTCCAGTGGTCTGAATTGAGGTTCTCAAAGCTGGAAACTCTCGTTCGATGAAAGCTGCGATCGCCAACTCCTTGTATGCAGGATGCAGTGTGATAGGGCAGAGGGATGTAAGACCCTGGGAGTGCTACACCAATCGAGTAACCGAAAGACAATTGGTTACGGGATACTCGGAGACAGGATCAGAGTGGGTGTGGACAGTGCAGGTAAAATGTAAATTGAGGAGGTAACAAGGCAGGTCAAGGGAAAATTGGAGTGGTTGGCGGCAAACGATGGAAAGTCTATATAAATCCAAAAGAGGATCAACTACCTAACGGTGGAGGGGTTTGGACGGCTTTATACACGATGCACTGCAGGCGCTCGAGGGAGCAATGACAGGAGGGACACCACGAGGAGGACCAAGCCATCCGATATTTCATTTTCGATCTTCCCTCCGAGCCAAATGTTCCGGATCGTTGCAGGAAGATGGAGGGGTGGAGAGGATGGAGTGTCTGGGCGAGCCGCCTTCCTCCCCCTTCCACATCTCACCCTCCCATGTCACCAGGCACCTTCGTTTCTCAAGGCCACCGAACTGTCATGACCGAGGATTTCCTGCTCATGGCACTGCTACCCCCCGACTAGACCTTTCGCCCGTGGCTGGTACCGACCAGCAATCTGGGTCAAGGTCTCAAACAGGTACACGCGTGTGCTCTCAAGGCGGAAATGGGCGTGACTCATTGCCATACACACTTGGGAGGCCGCTTTGGGTTGGGGGGGGTGGTATGGTGGGGTGGAGAATCAGGAACTGGCAGTGCAAAAATGCAATAGAGAAGGATACGCAGTAAGGAAGGAGCAACTGGTGGTGGAGGTGCACGATACTACCAAATCAAGGTCGAAAAGATTCCAAGACAGGCACTAGCTAGTAGTTGGCTGATGGTGCATTGTTGCGGCGAGTTGCACGACTGGTGTGGTTCATGACCAACCGTGACTGAAAGACTGAACTGAAGGCATGATGGAATCGACTTCCCCATGTTCAAGGTCCACAGAAAAGAACTATCTCAGGTCATGAACCGATCTCTTCTCGTCCAGCGTCCAGTGCCTTTCCCGTTCCCACCACTCCGCCCTGCATCCGCCGCAGTGGGACGGCTATGTACCCTTCGTCGCCGGGCCGGCCAGCTTAGTCCAGTTACGCAGCGGAGCCCAAGCCAATGAGTAGAACCGGGTGGATCTAGGGCCATATTTTGACAGGTCGAACAGCATCCGCGCCTGTGGTCCCTTCGACTTGTCAAAGTTGTCAAAGTTGTCAAAGTTGTCATGGACAGGTTGCGCATGGCAAGGCTGAGGTCGCAACGGCGGGAGCAGGTGGTGGTCCGATGACGTCTTAGGGTGAAATGGGGAAATACTGCCACAGTAAACACGACATGCAGGATAGACGCAGGAGTGAAGGGTTCGGCGCTTGACATGAGAACCAATCATTCATAACACCAACCAGCAATTATTCCTCAGCTCCCTTGGTGACGACTGGTACCTAAGTCTCAAGGTATTATGGTTTTCTTGCAACTCTTCTGTAGAGTAGAACTATAGCTGCATGAAGTGAAGGGCGATTGGTTGCCGCCTGCGCTTCTACCCTCGATTGACATTCACGTGCTATAACACCAGTACGGCGCACGGTAAATGCCTGATATGCTGTATCTCCATCTCTCTGCTCTCCGGTGCTCAGCTCCCCTCCCCGGCGCTCAGCTCCCCACACAGGCTCTTAGGCTCCAACTCCGGCTCTCAACTCAGGCGGTCAGTGCCTGCAATTAGGCTCTCTCTTACTCCCCAGTCCCCACTGTCCAGCAGTCTCAGCATTTCAGGCCTCCACTATTATTTGACGACTCCATCCATCACTTGCAGATCAATCCGACCGCAGATATGTCGTATCCTTACAGTATTCCATACATAGTACACAGAACTAGCACTACAATCCATCTCTGCTGTCTGTCTGACCTTCAACTTAAACATCGATTTCAAGATCTACCCTACCACCAGTTCACCAGCCTACCGCTCTGTCTATCATACTACTAGTTAGGTACCAAACCTTACCTTCGTCCTTACCACTGTGTCATCTGCCCTATCACCATCCATCGGCTTCCATCCCAGTTGCTTCGATCCGATCCCGACACACCCTTCCACAACTCCATATTCTACCCTCAGCCATCCAACTGTTACAAGGGTTCCTAAGGTCCGTTTTGCTTCGTCACGCCCTGATTGTCTTTATCCCTTCAACGTGCCGTCCAGATTCCACGGTCCTGGTCTGTCACAAGCCCCCTGCGCCCTCCCTCCTGTCTCAGAGCCCCGTTGGATCGGTTTGGTGCGTACACACACAAGAACGGCCGTTTGACTAAGTGGAAAGAGTAGCTAGCCTATCCATCGACGTCCTACCGAAGTACGAATGCCCTCGATCGCTTTGGCCTAACACGATTTGTGCCATCACCTGAAGCAGAACGGGTTCAGCGCCGACACACAGACGGGCAATATACAACCCGACTTTCACTGGCGTCATTCGAATTCGCCCATCATCTGCGCCATACGTTGAACCCATACTCTGAATCCCGTTCCGTCCCTGCCGGCCTCGCTCGCTCTTCGAACCTCTACAACCCTGTTCCTATCCTCCACGGTCGTCGGAGAAGCGGACACAAGACGGCTAACGTCACTGCCCGGCTTTTTGATCCGCTGACCGAGATCTTGCATATCCCGTCCACCACGCCAGCTGACTGGTGCCTTGTCCGACCCGTCCCTGCCGGATCCAAGATTCGCGGCACAGTCGACGCGAACGAACGGATGCTCGTTGAATCGGATCAATAGCCGAACAGTCCACGCCCCAGCAGCCTTCGCCCGACCACACCTAACACACTAGTCGGGAATCCGATCTGTAGCTTGCCATTCCTACATCTTGGGCCGTCGTACCTCCATCCCACTCGAACACTCCGCAATCGAAAAGCGAAACGGGTTTCTCACCCGTGAACGACGACTACCGCTTCGACCATGGCATCAACAACCTTCAGAGACTCGATGAACTCCTTGGGCTGGAGCCGGCGCGATCCGGACCTGCCCGTCAACACCGCGCCGCCGTCATCGTCATTCATGGGCCGAGTCCAGTCACTCAACCCCTTTGGCAACGGTGGAGGCTATGTCCGTCTCCCAACCAATGAAGGCCCCGGCGCCCCGCTCCCAGCCCCCACGCGAAGAGACGAGGAAGAGGGATGGTTTGCGTGTAAGTACTTGCCTTTTCCTCCATTGCCTTCCCGAATGTTTCTTGAATGCCTCCAATCCTCCTATCTATCATGCGCCTAATGATGGGAGCCATCGTCCTGCCACTACCGTCGAGTCATCCATACACCGATGATCGTCGCCTGGAACCCGAGTTCGAACGCTTGCGGTGGCGAAACACTGGCCGGCGATCGATCGGCATCGCTTCGCACCGGCGCGAGACGACGAAAAAGGCGCATTGACCCAACGCGTCTGCTGAGCCGACCAAGTTGCAAGCTGGGCCACATGAGCCACATGAGCCATGCGATGCATGATGCATGACGTGATGAGAAGCAGTTCCTGCGTTGCGACATTCGTCTCCCTTCATCCCGACGCTGCCTGCTGCAGCTTCCCGCTCTTCCGCCGCCCTGCAGGGCCCGGACAGGCGCACAACACCCTGGATACTTGCCCATCCATCTTTTGCTTCTAGCGTCATGACCGGTTTCTCCTCATTGGGCGAGTGTGACGATACTGTACTCCGTTGCTAATGCGAAAGCTTCACCTCTAGTAAGTCGATGGGATCGCATGCTCATCTTTGGCGGCTTGAACCTCGCGGCTCTGGGCATGTTCGTTACTTGCTTCGTCCTGATCCCTACTGGGATTTTTGTGGTGCGGCCACGGAAGTTTGCCATCTTGTAAGTGACCTTTCACTTTTGGTCTTGTCATCTGGACATTACGCCCATTCCCCTATCCCATGGATATCCGATTTATCTACGATTCCATACCACTCATCCTCCCAATAGGATGGGAGGTGCTGGCTTCGAGTATCAGAATTTCCATAGACAGGGAGCTGCTTTAGTGCATGGCTCCTCTTCTCTGATGAGTCATGAGCGTATATCCAAGCAACCCACAGGCGACGGTCATACGAGACCGTTTTGCCATGTTTCTGCCTTCACCTTTTGGTCGAGGAGATGCATTGGGGGTAGACATGGCAGGGGTCACACACCCACACCCACACCCACACCCACACCGATGCAATTCTTTGTTCAGCCTAGGCGACCATGCTTCGATTGGCACATTAGTCTCAGTCGCTACTACTTGGAGATGGCGCTAACCAATCACTTGACACACAGATGGACGATAGGATCAGTCTTGTTCCTAGCCTCTTGGGCTGTCATGATGGGCCCGGTGCCTTATGGTGAGTACCTGGTTTCATATTCGAGATGCCTCAACTTCTTTTGCACTCGCTTTCGACACTTGGCAGACCTGCAACCAAGTCGATGACTCTAGCGTACGGCGCGGTGAACTGATATACCAATTTGCCGCTGCCTCTCCTGCCCTCCCCCGTCACACCGAGCATCAAACTGTGCTGCGATTATCCCAAATACTTCCTTCTTCATTCTATGTGTCGCCCTCTTCCAAATCTTCAATTACCCCGTTATTTCTCCTCTGACCGTTGTCTTCGGACAATATATTGTTTCGCTAATCCGAGTGTCAAACAGTGAAACATCTCCTATCAGGCCCCAGGCTTCCCTTCACAGCCGCCTACTTTGGGTCTATCGGCTTGACGCTATATTTTTCTCTTAAGGTGAGTGACAATCTGATTTCCGGATTGAGGTGCCTTGCTTTGCTCCCCAGTCCCCATCCGCCTTTAACCATGATCCATGTCACCTGGTGTGGGCTTCGCTGGAAAGCCTTGCAAGATGCAGCTACCCCAGCATTGATATACACGGAGATTTGCATGCACCTCACCTCCTTTCTCCGGTTTCCAATCGATCTACCACCCCACCCCCACGTTCTCTTTCCCTCCTCCACTTTCTGCTAGTACACCGATATCCCCACTGTCTATGTACGCATTTGCTAACTCGGCTACTTACAGCTCCATTCCACCCTCCTCACGCTTATTTCCTCCATCGCACAGTTCGTCTGTCTACTTTGGTATCTCGTCTCATATTTCCCACTGGGCTCGCAAGGCCTACGCTTAGCGGCGCGTGTTGGCGGTGGAAGAGTAGCTGGGTGGATGAATGACTAGGATCCGTCGCGCATTCTCGCCGTTTGCCCTATGACCCCCCAAGGCAACCCATCATGACTTGCTAGCTCGGCTTCCTGCTTAGCATTGTCGATCTAGGTGACATTGAGAGGAGCTCAGCGCAAGAGCTTCCTCGAATATTTCTCATGCCGGGTGGAGTCTTCGTTCTTGACTGCTTCCTGTTTCGCTTGCAGCCGAATCTCCCCTCCGTTGGAAAGTCACTCCCTATAGATAGGAGGGTCAGGCATGTTCAACTGTGCCTGTTCTGATCGTCACTACGTCAGAGCATCCACCGGACAGTGGCAGGAGTCCGAGATGCCTGCTGTCGAGCCTGGGCGCCCTTCCGGCTGCATCCGCTGATCGACCGGGCAAAGATCAATCGTATGGTTTCAGCAAGATTTGCATTTTGTGTACCAAAACGAGTAATATCCCATGGCGTATGGGCATATCCTATTTTAAAACTTGTATACGTCACTTGGACAATCGAGGAAGGCCCCTGGAACAGCCATTTTGCACTGAAGCGTTCAAGTAGCTGATACTTGGCATATGTTGCAATACATTTAATCTATACATCCCAAGTTGGCTTCGTGTGTATGTGCTTTTATGCTGCGTTTATCGAATTCCGAATGCTTGCAGACGCTCCAGTCCAGACTGGCAAAATATTACCATGTCTACCACCGACTTCGGCATACTGAAAAATGCCGATGACAACCGATCCATTACATTCACTCCAACTTCCGTTGTTTGCACATCGCCACCGTTATCGACTGCCTAGCGTCCCCGGACCGATAGGGGGTTTCCTTCCCATGTTCACACAACCATTACCTTGAACTAGTGTTGCGAAAGAACTGGATGGGCCAACAATCGGACGTCGACGTCATCGTTTCTCGGTCGCATAGTCTAAATTATCAACTAACAGACCACCCTCATTCCTGAACTTTATTTCAGCTCGTCACACGGACCCCTCCGTCAAGGACATCGGCATCCGAATCGACCATTCGATCAGACCCGCAGCCAATACATGGTATTCTCGGAGTCGTATCCGTGAATACAGGATTGTCGGGGAGATGGCCATCGACGCTGATTGGGGGTGGGTGGCCCTCTCGACTTTGTCCATACGGTTGCGCTCGTACCCATGACGAAACCTGGTTTAGCCTTCTTCGTAGTTTCTTGCGAAGGAGATGGGTGGGAACTCCGGAGATGCGTTTCTGGGCATGCTCGACGAGATTACTGGAAACAGTGTCCGTTGCGAATTGCGATTCGCGTCTAGGCAGCATGGAAACCGGGGTCGATATGACAAAGGATGGGTTGTACGGAAGCATGTAGCCCGATCCTGGAACGCGTCGGGACCTTACCTCAATTCCTGCATCGTGGCGGTCAATTCCTATAGTTATTGGATCGAAAAGAATCCGGACATCCCGCGAGTTTTGCAGTCCATCCTCCACCCGTGTGCGCATCGTTGATGCGCCTGGAACCTGCGGATTACTGCTACTTCGCCTCCGAACAGAGGACGCGATGTTGCACCACATTGGCCAGATTCGGGCCGAACCTAATACTTGTGTGTACTACGTGCCCGAACCTTACGCAATCCATTGTGGCGGCCTTCTTATGTCTCAGTCTCTCAGTGTCATAAAAGTCTAAGTGCGGGGTGCGGGTTGTGTGGAGAACTGGGGAACATATGTGTCTTGCTTGATGGCTTGACCCGACTTCCTCCATGCATATCGTAACTCGACTGGACCAAATCTACCAAAGCTTCGCAGCAACATGGCTGGATTCGGAAACCTTCCTTGAGGATCTCGACCTACCGCGATGCGCGGTGGTATTCTCCCCAAGTTTCCCGAGTGGTAGAACTCCGGTCGACGAGAGATAGAACCGACGTTGAGTGGCAGGTGATGTGGTTGGTAAAAACGCTTTCTGGAGTAATGGTGTGCGGCATGCTTGCAATTTCTATCTGCATGAACCGGGGGGCCTGTCGGTCGATTGGCATGGAGCGAATTGGAAATGCCTGAAGCATTGTGCGGGAGTGTATGCATCATGCCCGCGCTGCAGTGTGCATATCGCTTGCAGGCATGCAGCGGGGTTCGGGAAGGTTGGTGGTATATCGATATCCCGATATTTCACTGATTTAGCGATATGGTGGTGTGAACAGAGTTCCGGATATTGATGCTGAGGGAAATCGGGCTTCTCTCCCTCTCCCTTCTCCAAACCACAGTCGTCCCTATATTCGGTTGAGTAATCACAAATGACATCGTATCTGTATACACTAGTTTCATCGGTCTCAATATATCAGCATTAGGTAACATCCAACATAAGTAGGTTCGGCATCCGATTTTAATTTGTAGTCAAAATGTCCAGGGCACCTGAAAAGGTATCATATCATACTACTAGATTCACTATAGATATTAGAGGACAACCCCTTTTGGATGCCCCATGAAGCACCCCTGGAACAAACGGCAGTCTCAACCTTCTTCCAATTCCCCAACTGACAGATACGATACCATATCCGGTTCAGCATGATCATTACATATCTTTTTTGATCCTCCTCTATTCCCTACGTGGCAGGAGATAATCGAGCTGCTGGTCTCCTCTGGTCTTAGGTCCGTCGTGCCATCGATCCGCAGAGACCCCTGACACATTATATCAACACTAGAAGGTCAAGTTCCTCATGCTCTATACAAGCGTCGTTGAATCGAAAATCCCAAGGGTCAGGACACTCTGCGTAGTACCTTACCAGTACATTTGTTCTGACATTGAAATATGCCGTTCATTAACGTCCGGATGCATGGCTCTGGTCAACCCGTAGGAATCCATCCCCAGTTTCGCCTGACTGAGACATGCCGCATGCGCCTGCAGCTGAGATATACGAGCTCTGCTTGCCTCTCCGCATTACTGATAGACCGAATCAAATATTCCTAGATGTGATTTTCTTGGCTTCCCATTGAAAGTGCACTGGATGAGATCATAATGCATGCGAAATGACGTTTCGTTATGGTTGTCGAAGACATTATAAGACCTATGGGCTGCCTTGGTCTCCTATAGGCCCGATGACTTCTTAGTGCAGCATTCTCTCCCGTTAACTCTTAACGGGTGGTAAGATACCAGGACAGGTGAAAACTGTGGCGCCCACGCGCTGACATGGGCTTTAAAGCATAGAGGTAGACTGAAATCAGGGCCATATGTACGTCTGAGACTCTGAGCCCGGTGCATAGAGTCAATCATCAGGTAGGGCGGTGGCTATGTTACCTCCACTTCATACCATCCACACCAAATATCAAACCTCCCCATTGACACTGACTCGACACGATCTAGTTTGACGATCTACACTTGAGTGCATACCCGTCTAATGCCGCCACCGGATGCACTAATAGCTTCCGGGTGACGGCACTGCAGGGAGTCTACTCTTGAGAAGGTCACCGAACCCTGGTTTGCGTCACCCCTTGATATCGGAAAATTAGAAATAACGCCATGGTATTCTTTGAAATGCAGGACAGCATGATGCGCCTGTGATAGACCCCCAGAGGCTCAAATCGGCCTATAGATTGCCATATCAACAGTTGGCTAGCAGCCTGGGGAGCCTGAAACACATGCAGTCAGCCCATGACTACACCACCATTGACCTATAATGATAGCATGCTTTTTGCAAAATTGTTTCAGGCGCAGGAGAAGTCTGATGCAATACGAAATGTTAAGATGGTCGGCGGGGGAGGATGCAAGATAATCAGTCCAAACAGTCATCGTGGACTGCAACCTGATCAATACTCTTCCTATTCGTCCCTCTTGGGCTAAAACGATATCAATCCAATACATCCAATGGCAATAACCCGTCCACCTGTTCGTTGGAAGGACTTACACCACTAGTAGTTCACACCATGGACATGTCCCATCTCCGCCCCCCACACATTCTAGTCTATCCAGTCATGTGCAGCGCCACAACCTAGACATCAAACTGTCCGGTGAACTCCGCAATGGATGGGTTAGCTCATGGCGTGGTTTCAGTAGCCTATCGGAATGGCACTTTAGGTCTTGATCACCCGAAAAAGGTCTCCTGCGGCCATTGAAAATGAGCTAAGCCTGCAGCTGATTTGCGAGCACATCAAATGAATGGGAAGCGACGCGTTCATCCGCATCTCGAACCCTTATGTCTAGGATAGGATCCTCCTCATTCATCCGAGACTTATGCGCGCTCTTCAATGGTTGCGTTTGGTATGTGGCTTGATGTAAAGCTGACTAGGCAACCAGTGGCTCCTATGGCAAGCGCGAAATATAGAGTAGTCGTCGAAAGACGCGAACTTGATTTTGAATTCGGTTGATTTTAGTACCGATCATGATCATGCGGCCACAGCGACTGGCTACCAATGAGACCAATATTAATAAGGTACTGGGTACTCATTAGGATATTCGGAGTAGGTACTTTCATGTACCATAGTTGGTCAAGAAAAGGGGGAAGATGCTCTCCTGAAATATGCGAGGAGTCGCTCGTCGTTTCCTATGTGAACCGAAATTATATGTGGTATTTTGTCTATATACCATGGTTAAATGTCGATAGTCGAAGGAAACCTTAGTTGAGTGAAGATGTTGGACACAATACACGTATCATGGGTGGGTCTTATTGTGTTCGGGATGGAGCAGCAGCACCACAATATGACAGATGATTCTATGAGACAGTAGCCTAAAGCTTCATTGATGTAACTAGTAGAAGTAATAGTTATGGTCATTACGACGGAGCACGCTAACGTGACGAATAGTAAACCAGAAAGGCCACGTTAGCTAGACCATACGATCCCTATATACATGTAAATAGCAATCCAGGGTGAGTGGGCTAGATATCGGAGTAAAAGCCAAGTCTAGTAACTAGAGATTCCAACAAAATATTAACCCAACGAAATTTCCTTCCAAACCCATCATCCGGAATTTGGTCAGTTAATGCCTCTATGAAGAGTGCTGCTCTGGATTTGGTTTGGTGACTGGATCCCGTTGTCGCCAATTCGAGCTGGTTGCCCACGAACACAAGCTCTTCTTTTCCAGCCAAGTTAGGGTTTCCCCATCTCTCTCTCGTCGTGTTTGGAGGAAATCGGGGGTTTCGGCAAGGACTGCAATAATGGTGTCCAGTATAAGTTGCCCCCCTGATCGCAGCCAAAATCCTGTCGCTCTTGGGGCAAGGGGTGTGAATGATTTCGCCAGGTGTTGGATGAGAGTCTTTACTCCCAGCTCTGAATCGTTGGTCGATCCAGGAATCGAACTTTTTGTCTATGGGCGCAACGACTGAGCTGACCTGTAGGTCAGTGGGCTAGATTGGGTCGAATTTTCCGATCTGTAAAAATGAGTCCAAATCTTCGGAGCCTTTGGCCTGATACCGACAGCACCGCCAGTTATGGATGTTTTCGGTATAAAAGTGTGATGTGCGATGGGTGCCAGACAGCTGATCACGCTCGTCCTTAAGACATAGTGTGAAATGGGGCTCATCCTCTCGGAGACTGGGACCGTATCCTGTGGTGTCATGGATTTTCCCACGGATAAAGATGGCTTTCCAAGGGGCTCCTTGGACCATGTTTACAGCCTGTATTGCTGCGGCATCAATCATCTCCCTAGCGCGAGAATCTGTCGGCGGTGAAACCTTCCAGGATAGAAGTATGGAGGAAGAAGCCGAGCAAGACGTTGATGAAGAAGTAAATTGGGAGTACGAGGAACTGGAGGAGCAGGAGGAATATGAGAAGGTTGGTGTCGAGCGCCGGAGCGCAGTTGAGCTTGTATCCTTTTCGCTGGAGCCCTATGAATGTGCATGGAGACGTGGGCGATATTATAATTTATTGGAACGATCCTCCTGAGATGCTTCCAAATAACGGTAGAACTGAAATGTTGTTGAGCAACAGTACTTCTTTAAATAGTATAATTTGGTGATGAAGGAAAAAGAGAAATGAAAGAAGAATCGCGACTTCTGTCGGTATTGATATACTACGCCTCCAGCCTCCAGCCTATAGTACCGTACCGCAGAGAAAGTAGTTAGGGGCCAGGAACCGGAAATTCCAGCATTTCAACTGGAGGATGTCGGCGGTTGGGATATTGAAGTCCCTGTCCCAGCTCAGAGAGTACCGTGGATGGAAAGGCAACCGATTCCTTCGATGGGGATACGCGCAGGAATTATACAATAGTAACAACAGATGAACAAAATTAAGAAGTAGATCTGAAATCAAAAAACCCTCAAACGGAAGCGCCAGACGGCCTCTAGGGTGCCTAAGCGATAGCTTCATTGTAACTTGGTGGCGAGACGCGCAAAATGAGGATATACGCGGCACCATCCTGATAAATTCACGTTCAAGCCAACAGCATTTGCACTCCATATTGGTACGGAGCAGGAACTGACCATAAAAGCACAATAGAAATCAGCCTTATGGTAGCCGCGTGCAAGACTAGATTCGGGAACGGGAACCGTGCGATCCAATGGTCCTCAATGAGTCACCAAGGATTGTAAATCGACTATTCCAGTAAAAAGTCTTTGGTTTCAGCGAACCCCATGGACATGAATAATGCAAAATCTTGGATCAGATGCAGGAGAAGCCAGTGCTCTCTTTAGATGTAGTAGTACACAAAAGCAAGAACTCTAGACGACGAGAAGGGGATAGAATATTTGAACGAAATATAAAGAAGCTGTGAACAAACTTTGGGCTCGATCATCTTCAATTAAAACGGTCATGGTAACCGGATTCTTCGGAATAAATAGATCCATTGCCAAATGCAGGTAAGCAATGAAGAAAAATACCTTCTAGGCCGACTGGTACGATCGCTTCATGGAGTTTTCAATAGTCCCAGATCAGGCGACACAGACACGGCTTCAGCAAGGCACAGAATAAGCACTTCTTGAGAATTCAATACCAGTTTATGAATCTGGTTTTTGGGAATGTGGAATTCCAATCCATGTCTGGGAAAGTAGCCTTAATCATCGTCCGAGGAATACTCAGCAAGGCCAAGTCCCTTGGATTGGACCGTACTCGGCGATTGCGACTTAGGCTGCCCCTGAGCGGTAGAAATTTGGCTGGTTCTATGTTCATGCTCGGCTGGTCTCGTGGTATCCACGACCACGGGATTCTTCAGCGTTTTTTCCGATGGGACTGTTTCTCTGGTGGCAGCTTCGTTGGCCTTGGGTTCCACTAGTACAGACGACGTATCGGAGGAGGTTTTGCGTAACTTGAGGCCTCTGAAACCCTCCTTGTCCTTCGTTTTCTTCCGCTTTCTTGCACCGCTCCAATGTTCTTCTTCCAGACCAGCGTTTTCCGGCGAGTGGCTCACCACGACACTTCTTTCTGCCTCCTCTCGCTGCCGCCGAAAGGCCTCCAATTGTTTAACCGTTTCCTTTTTGACCTCCGCCTCTTTTGCGCGGGTGGACTCGAGTACCGAGTCCAAGAAGTCGACTTCGTCATCGTCAAGAGAACGGAATTGGTTCTTCAGTCGGGCTGCCTGGTGTTGGAATGAAAGTGTCAATAAGGAGACTAACATCTCGAGAAACGGAGGGTATATCGGTAGACGGGACATCCTTTGGCAGGTGGCACATAGTAAAATATGGTACTGGGGGAGCCAATACCTCTTCAAATGCCTCTTGCTTTGCAGCTGTAGTCAAGGAAAGAGAACTATCACGTTAGTCTAGGCGGACATAATAATGGGGCTGCGTATGCTCATGTAAATGGTAGTTGTGGCAGCTGAAATTCAACGTCGAAGTAGAATACGTTTGTAGTCAAACCAGAAAGTCGGAATTGCTACGGCATATACTCGTATCGTACCTTTGTTTGCCTCTAGCACTTCGTACAGGCTCCTCCCGTCCTGCTGCTGTTCTTGCTCAAATTTCTTTCGTCTTGCTTCTTCGAGCTCCTGTTGCGCCTGCTTCCACTCATCGTCTCTGTCTATAGGCGCATCGATCGTCCCGCCCGACACGAATCGGGAGGCGTTGCCATCGGCCATGGTTTTTCAAGCCGATCAACAGGGGTAGGTGTTACGGAAGTTTGGTTGATTGAATCCAACGGAACGGGGCAATCGGATTGCATCCAATCCAACTGGTGGTGCCCAAGGTCCCCCGGGTTATCAGCACCTAATGATCCAAGCAACGGCCTAAATGACAGGTGCTTGTCAAGATCATGGGTACATGTCAAGCGAACTTGGCATTAAAACCGCTCTGCAGATTGTAGAGGTGCAGATGTGCAGATGGGCATGCAACGATGAAGGGAGAAATGAGAAATGGAGAATGGGAGCTGGACGGCAGTTGAAAAATGCACGCGATGATTGGACGGATGAAAAGGGTCCGATGTGACGTTGACGGTGTGGGGTGGCCACTGGGCAGTCGCTCAAGCAGTGGGAATGTGGGATGGATTGGTTTAGCGCCACATATTCTTCGAATTACGGAGAACACTTAGCACTCAGCAACTATGTACTTGTCGCCAAGTGACATCCTTCCTGCCTATACCACGTATTCCGGCTAAATGCCTACAAAATCCTCAATGGTTTGGTGGACTGTGGTGGACTGTAGTGGACTGGAGTGGATCGTGAAGTCATCAGTGCACGTGATCCCCCGCCGTTGCCTACGGTAACATGTCACTTGAGTGAGTGCTGTAGTTTGAGATTGGAGGCTTTGAGCGCCGTGAGTCCCTTGATGGTGAGGAATTTTACCGGCGGGGCATTAACATTGTGCAGCGATCCCCATCCATCGAATATTGGAATCTCCCGCCGTCCCGCTTAAGCTAGGAAAGTAGAAAACTACCTGGCAAATTCGCGTGGCAAACTGCCAATTCCTGTTGCTCCCGAGAGTATTCCGTAATATTGTTCGGGTCCTCAACCCCACGAGTATGTATTTTAGCCACGGTCTGTCGCGTCATCGGTCCAATTAGTATTTATATGAAGAGTGCCCCTCGATCGGTATGCTTGGACTTTCTCCAACTCCATTGACATCTTTGATACGTCGTGCTTCGCCGAATACAGCCCTATCCCATTTCCAATCCCAATTCCTGCACTTCAAACCACAACCCTTCAGCTCAACGACTACCGCAAAAATGGCATCAGATCTCAACTGGACGAAGAAGACCTTCACCCTCAACACGGGCGCCAAAATCCCCGCCGTTGGACTGGGGACATGGCAATCTTCACCTGGCCAGGTTCGGGAGGCCGTCAAGGCTGCCCTTCAACAAGGCTACCGCCACATTGATACCGCTTTGGCCTATGGGAATGAGAAAGAAGTTGGTGATGGTATCCGCGACAGCGGTGTGCCACGGGAGGAGATCTGGGTGACCACCAAGCTGGACAACACCTGGCACCACATCGTTGAGGAGGGAATCACAAGCAGCCTGAAGAGCTTGGGGTTGGACTACGTTGATCTGTACCTCATGCACTGGCCGAGCTCAACGGACCCGAAGGACCTTAAGAAGCATCTTCCGGATTGGGATTTCCTCAAGACCTGGCAAGAGATGCAGAAGCTGCCAGCATCGGGCCGCGTCAAGAACATCGGAGTCTCCAATTTCGCGATCAAGAACCTCGAAACCCTCTTGAACGACCCGTCCTGCAAGATTGTCCCGGCCGTCAACCAGATCGAGCTGCATCCTAACTGCCCCTCGCCGAAGCTGATCGACTACTGCAAGCAGAAGGGCATCCACTGCACCGCGTACTCCTGCATGGGGTCCACCGGTTCGCCTCTCTACCAAAACGAGACCCTCCTCAAACTTGCCGCAGACAAGGGCAAATCCGTGCAGGTGGTCTTGTTGAAGTGGGGTCTTCAGCGCGGTACTTCGGTCATCCCCAAGTCCGTTACTCCTAAGCGCATCGAGGCAAACTTCCAGCTGGATGGCTGGGAACTCACTGCTGAGGAGATTGAGAAGATCAGCTCTATGCCGGAACGATTCAAGGTCTGCGGAGATGCATGGTTGCCGGTTCGCGTGTTCTTCGGAGATGACGAATGAGTGGATACTATCCATTGAGCGCGGCAGAAGCTAGATCGGACGGTTACGATATGACGGGTATGAGCGGGACTACATCATGTGGAATATTTGATTTGATTCGGCCACTGCTTAGACAGGAGCAGGCATAAGGAATCGGAGGTCTTCCACGCCTCAATTCAATCTAGCCTTTGGACAAATTTTAGCACAAATCCATAAGGCAATACAACCCTGAGCTCATGGACTAGATGTGATCTCGAACTCTACTGTTTTACCAGTTTTCAACCAAATCACTTCCTCCCCACAATCCCCTTTCAGTCCCGGGTAGATATATCGCATCGGGCTGAATTCTCATCTGCTGCGGAGGCGGATGCTCCTTTTGTTATAGTGTTGCTACATTGAACCATGCGACAGCCACCACGGATACTTCAACCCATGGCGCCTGCATTCCTCACGTATCGGGCGAAGCTCATATCATCGTCCTGGCCTTCACTGGCATCTTCCAGCGCGCTTCTGTATCTTTTCTGAAGCCCGGAATCGAGCCCGGCATCCTCGTCGTCATCATCCTCATCCTGGCTATCCTCACTCTCGGCTTCAACGTCACTCACAGTCTCCGGCTCCACGTTCTTCGTCCGACTCCCCCCTCCCCCAACCTCCATGTCTTTCATCAACTTGCTCAGCTCCTTCTCGCGGCGACTTTCCTTGGCCTGTTCTTTCTCCTTCCGCCTCTTGAGCACTTCAGGCCAATAATCCCGGATGAACTCCTGCCGCTTTTCTTCTACTCCGTCGAAAAACTCCGGGACTCCTTGCCCAGTCATCGAAGAAACGCCGACCACGCTCAGGGTATTGTAGAACTCCTCCAGTACCAGTGACATGCTGTTGGTAAGACTAGACATGTAGCCCGATCCCTCACCCAGATCGTCCGGCCCGCTCTCATCCCGGACGGCTTCCTGGAAGACCTCCCAGTCGCGCATCCACCGTACGCACTTATCCACCAAACTCCCCCGGTCGAGAGTATCGGCGGGGTCCATGTCCATCGCATCACCCTCCGGCACATCGGCTTTGTTAAATACGAGGACCATGGGAAGGCTGGTGCGGTACAGAATGCTGACCGCATGCAGCATGTTGGCCATGAATGTGGCGGTGGAAGAAGCGGCGCGCGGGGTGTCGATGATGTAGGCGATGACTGTGGGCATGGTCGTGGAGAGGGCGGAGAGGAGGATCGAGGACGAAGCAGACCAGGTAAAGACCTCGATTTGGCCGGGGGTGTCGAAGAGAAGATAGCGAGGGGTTTCCAGCGCATCCGGCGATGGCGTGGGCTCGTCTCCTGATGCTGTCTTGCCCGACGGGGCCTGACTTGCGTCCGGTCCCTTCGTCCCTGTTTGCGATGGATCTCCTTGGGCTGGTGATTGTAGTCCAAACCGCTTCTCCACCAGCCCTATCACTTGATCCACCTTGGTCGCGAAAAGGTTTAGGCTTGTTAGGATCCCTCCATTCGGGCCTAAATTGTATTGCCGCATGACTTCCTTGTAGTCCACGCTGTCTCGTATATCCACGTTGCTCTCGAATGGCACTCTTGTAACGGCGGGGTCGAGGTTGATGACATATGGCGGGGATGGGGGCGTTTGAGCGTGAAGATCAGATATTATCCTTTGCATGAAGGTGGTCTTGCCAGACCCAGCCATGCCGATAACCACAATGGCCACAGGCCCCGGTGGGATAGGTTCCGGGTCGGACATCGTCGTGGAAATGTTGGATTCGCTTTGATTCGACTGGGGCTGATTGATGGATGGTGGACCGTCACAATGCGATTGATAATCCAGGGAGGTATCGGCTTCGAAGGGATTATAGGGAGGCGAGGAAGGCGTCTATCTTCAGGCGAGATAGGGAAGACCGTTGGAGCTTTGATAAGTTTAAAAAATTATGTTTCTACAATTCCCATCCGAGCTGGAATCCGTCGTGAATTATTCGGATCATTCCTCATGAGATACTTGTGGCCTTAGTGCCTGATTTCGGTCGCATTGTCGCCAAAATCTGATAGGGGTATGCGAGGGGACCACATACACTCAGGATACACACAGTCGGGCGGCAATGATGGATATTCACATGTTTCATTGTATGGATAATCAACAACTTTTAGCTACTCGGGTATACAAGCACCGGAATTGATCCAAAATCGCCATGCCTTGTTCCGTAGAGGCTCGGTAGTTTGCTTTAATGTGAGGTCCGCCGATCGATATAGAACCAAGCAAGAGGTGAGTCTATCCACGTCCATCGCATCTGCAAACCGTCCGTCGTATAGGTGGTTCATACCGGATAGTTTCAATGCTTCTGCAGAACGCCTCGCACGCTGCCAGGAAGCACCCGGAATCCACTTACGACCACCTCGTGAATGCCTGTGCCGTTCCCACTGCCGACCTCCAGCCACCTCTTCAGCAAATCATTGCTCTCCTTCGGTTTGATGCTTGGCGCAGCAGTCCCTACCGTAACATGCGCCACGGGGTTAACTGTCTCAAATGCAACCCGCTCTCCATTTCCTGCCTTTGCTCCCTCGGTCTGGGCAAGGCGAACGACAAAACACATGACCCGGTCATCCCAGACAAGACGCTCCAGCTGAACATCGCACTTGGAGAGCTCCGGCTCTAATCCCTCGCCTCCCTTCCGTTTTGAGACGGCGTCTTCCCACGGAGCGCGTTGGATGTCGCAGAGCTTCTCCCAGTAGTCCTTGTGTTGGGCGGCAGATGCCCGGTGAATGAGAGTGACATGGAACTGAGGTTGGATGCGATTTTCCTCCTTGAGCTTCCAGAAAAAGTTGGCAGAGGCCTCGTCTGCATCTGAAAAGACCGCTGAAAGAATCTCTATGATGCGTGATGTGTCCAATTTGACAGCGAAGTATTCGAGTTTGGGCGCTTTAGGTTTCGGAGCATTTGATCCATCCTGCATGGACTTGTTGCGACTCTCCTTTGGCCCAGGCTGCTTCTTGCCGAACGAAAGGTCGTGCTTGATGTCGGGTTTGTAGTCATTTAACGCGTCGGCGATGGCGTCGTCCATGTCTTGCGCTGTTGGCATGTCCGGTGGGAAGAGTTTTGGATACGCTTCGTAGAGCTTCGTGACGACGGTCTCCAGATTCTCGCGTGACGACTTGGTGGCGCTGAGATCGATAACGAGATCGAAAGCATCATCCGGACTCGAGCTAGCATCAACTGGCTGGAATCTATGCAAGAACCCATCCATAATCCCAACGACTTCATGAGTTCCCTTCTCGTTGGAACGAATGGTCTGATGGTTATCGCCTCGGCTCAACACGCGCTCCTGCATGATCCTGCGGACTTCATTGTAGTCGCTTGGATCGTGAACGAAATGAAGTGCCACGAACTTCGCTTTCGGGGCCCCCTTCGAGATATCTTGGATTAGCTGCTGACGTTCTCGCTTTTGATGATTGTTCCGATCCGCAAACACGGCGGGATGAACTTCAAGTAGCGCTTCGATTGACTCGGCGAATCGTTGTGGCCGCCGGTGCTTGCCCTGGATGTTGTCGTTTTGGAAATGGCCCCAACCGAAGAGCTTCACCAGGCCAAGAGCAATGGTCGTCTTGCCGCAGCCGATGGTTGCAATTGGCACGAGAACAACATTATTCGTAACGTCTGCAACTTCTTCTCCGCTTTCAATCTCCTGTCGGATAATGTCGGCGCCATTGACCCCTTGCGCCTTCAAGAACTCCTCACGAAGTGCAATGATTCCGTGATTTTTGTTGTACTCTTTGGCAAGCTGGGGATTTTGCGCGAACCGGTAGCGAGCAAATCGGAGGTATTCTTGGGTGATCTTCCTGTGTTTCTTGATCCGTGGATCTTTCCCAGCGATCATGGACTTGGTACATTCTCTCCACTGTCGGTACATCAAATATGGTTCCTCAAACTTGTACTTGAAGAACCAATCATGCCAGTCATGCGAGTCCCGGACGCTGTCTCGGGCTTGACACCGGATCACGAACCCCTCGGTATCTCGTCCATCGTAGTTCCCAGTCTCGGCAACCTCATCAAGAAATCGCTTGACCTTCTTGATGTCATCCTCCATTACGTACACCACCTTCTTCATTCCCCATTCGTCGGCGAACTTGTCCACCAGGGGTCCCGGATACGTGGCAAATTCGGGGAGGTTCAGATTGATGCCATGCAGATAAAGACCGGCCTCCTCTCTCCCATAGGGAAGTACGTGTTCTTCGAACTCATCATCGCAAAGCTCAGCAACGGCCGTTGCGTTCATGCGGCGTAAAGTCCGAGCCAGGTCCTCGCGAGTCTTCCCGACCGTAGCCAAGTGCCGATCGATCCATTTTTCTCCCCAAATAGCATGGCTCGTATTAGGATCCTCCCGAGGCCCTGTTGAATGTTTGCTGCATACGAGGAGCGTCCCGTCGTCTAACCCGGCAATGAAGATGATGCATCCATTCTCTTTGACGCTCAGCTCATAGGGTCCGCGTGTGTTCTTCTCGACATTGTCCCAGTTGGTCTTTGTAACTTCTCCGTGGTTGAAAAACTTGTCGTATCCTCGTACCGCGATCTCATGTGCGCCCTCGTTGTTGATGTAGGTAAATAATCCTCGAGCGTAGGTGGGAAGGTTTGGTTTCTTGTAGTCCCAGTCTTGCATACGCCAGCTGTCGACGTTCCTGCCTGAAGGTAAGGTAAATGTAGCCTTCTTGACCGAGACTTGGCTTTTGCCTTTGCCTTTACCCTGTTTGGCCTGGAGCTGCTGGACTAGTTCTCGAATCTCTTGAGGATTCTGGGGCTGGAATGGCGCGGTCTCTCGGTGAGCCATAGTTTCAAGGAGAAGAGCTGTGAAAGCCTAGCTAGATGATTATTAGCGGTGGGTAAGCAGGTGAAGCTTGAGGTTCCAGTTCCCAGGTTCTGAAAGTCGATTTTTGAATCCGAACAGCTTGGAGTTCATGGGCTGTGCGAGTCTCAGTGTACGGTCGTGTGAGTCACTGACAAGCATTGGCCAAACGTGAACTGGAAAAGCCCCTTCTCCACTGGCTATGATGATAGACAGCAGGTGCTTGGGTTATTGACTTATGAGGAGTTGCTGTGTGCCTCAGATTGATGTTTGCGATTCCTGATTTGGCTGTTGCGAACTTGATTGGGAATAATCAGATTTAGATATTCCAGCCATGAGGTCGCGCTCGTGCTGCCGTGGGGAGTGCGGCGAACTGTACAGACCACCCCCGCTCCCTCGCCTTGCTTCTGTCCCTCGACTGGCACGACTGTTTACTGGAACATTGAGCAACAATAGTAGTACAACCTTTTCTATACTCTACACGATGCGCGTTGAAGATTATTGGGGATGATGGCAATGATCTGCCGGGCCAAATGGACAGCTTCAATTCCGCGTGCAGTCAACGTCCGAAGACTGAAGTGGTGTACAAGTCATGATTAATTGCCGAGGATTACTCAACTATTCAGATGCTCAGAAGGCAGTCCGAAAGATATCAAAGATGAACCAAAACAACCGGCCTCCTCTAGCTTTGCCGTCTTGTCGAATTATGCGAACGGGAGCTCAGACACGTCAGAGTAGTACATAGTAAGTACTGTCGCTGAGTAAGGTATCACTGTGGAGATCTGTCGGGTATAGAGTTGATATCGAGCTCTATGAGCCCGCTACATAACACTAGGCAGAATTGATGAGGGATACTGAGGACATTAGATACAGTCACCTTACACATGCTGTCAGTGCTAAACTTGTTGTTGCATGTCAAACATCTGGTGCTTCGATAAAAACCCAAATCAATTTGAGGGTTGTGTCTCATTTCGTCCTCGTAGCTTGGGGGTGGCTTGTACCTGGCGTATGACTAACATAGTACGACATCCACTATGGTTCCGCCTTCAGGGAATTCGGGGTCATTACAGTGGCAGAGCATCAGGCTGTACCTATATTTGAACCGCACCGCAGCGAAGCTGGGTCTGCAATTAATCTGTATGCCTGTTCACCTCGATTCCTTGAAATTTAAGCACAGATACTGTATCGGAGTAATGTTACCCGAAGGGATCAATTTGGTGTTCTCGACTATTCCAGCAGCAGAGGGCCGACAACTGCCGAGCCGAGCTGCTTTTGACTATCAAGTCACAATGAGTAACCCATGCGCCAAATGTCGAGATATTTGGGGTAGCAGATCGGATAGCTGGAATTGGGATGTCTGGCAAACGTAATGTTGGATACCGGTCAATGCCTCCCATGAAGCCCGAATGGGTTGAAGCAGCATAAAGACCCAAATCAGTTGTATTAGCCTTCTGAGAACCCAGGGGCGCCTTTAGGGAGTGAATGTGTATTGGTACTATAGACTTGGTTGTTTTGTGATAACTTATGAAGATCAACACCGGATCCTTGCGGATGGAACTCTATGGGAGCAACAAAGTCGGTTTGAATAGGGGCAAGTTTAAGTTTCTCTCATCCTTGCTGCGGGTGGACGCCTTGCTCGATCACAGGTGTCCCATATTCCGAATTGTCTCAGCTGTGAAAAAGAGAAAAAGGATATGCGGTTAGCCAGGCCATGCTAGGAGACGAGACTCGAGGGAAACAATAGCAATTTCTCTTCAGATCCGAAGTTTTTTATTTGCCCGATCAGCCCTCGGGATATCAAGAGATGTATAATCAAGTCATCAACGAGATTGCAATGCAGTTATAATGCAGTGTCATGGATTCAGAGCTGAAAGCTATTAAAAGGTTTGCTTAATACAACAAGCCACAGAAACTCAGGAGAAGGTCAGGAGATTTAAGTTCTGCATACGCCGGTTATTTCCTCCATGCAGATTCATGCAACAATCGAATGCTCCGGATTTCGGACGGGGACGAGTCAGTACCTATCGAGCGTCCAGCCCTCGCTCCCCACATTTAGCAGTTAGTTTCATGTGCAACTGGCAAGTGTGTTAGTCGTTAGACAATAGGCTAGACCAAGCAGCCCACCATCCCACATGTAGGATTCGGTTGTAGGGGGACGCATGGCCCATGGTATAAATGGCCACTCCAGTGGAGGCGTGGACGGGTGATATCCCCGGTCGCTTGCTAGAACCAACATCGTCGGCACTGGTGGACAACAAACAACTTGGTTTAGATGAAGTATGATCCTTTAAATCATTCCATTGTTATTCTTGTCCAGCCTTGGTCAGAAGGGATGGACCTGTGCTGTACCCTCGGTCTTCTCTGAGATAAGTGCGAACCAAAGCCACTCGTCTGAAATATCAAGGGGTTGACCGTCGTTAGCAGTGCTGGAGGCGTCAATCCACATTCGTGGTTACACCCCATGTCCGAGGACCATGCCACTGATGGCAGCCACCAAATGATTCATGCGGGCAATGGAGGTCATCCACGATAGATCGGCTCCTTTATGGTTTCCTGTCGTAGGGTTGCGACCAGTTATCGGCGATATAAGTACATAGTGGCCTCAGAGCTGGAATCGCCACTGAATGCATATACTTCCTGCTGTTGCTCTGGTGGGGGACACGGACACAGCGTATCTGTAGGCGTTGAGAAGCTGAGTCCTGATTCAGGCTGAAATGTTTCCGGTCATAAGAGCCAACAGAAAGGTCTTTGCAGGAAGTCGAAATTGTGCATTCAGTATATCACCTGCACCAACAGAAGCTCCGGAGACTGCACAAAATGTTAGAACGAGCTGAAACCTTCTAGTTTCCGACCCAATCATGGATCATGAGATTAAGAGCAAGGATCCTTGGTGCTGGAGCATGGACCGGTCACTGAATATCATCGTATGTGGTATGACCCTCGGCTGAATAGAAAACGCAACCGATGGATTGGATAGTGGCATAACTCTAAATCAACGGCTGAAGGGGAAGATGGAAATTATGTTCACATCGAGGGGGGAGGAAATCTGAGCTGAATCCCTTGCATATCTGTCAGATATGACGGAGGGGATTCAATTTCCTTCATCCCTGACGGTCCTAAAAGCTCCTTGTGGTAATGGCTGGGGAGGACTGAGGACTGAAGAGTTGCAGATGTCTGTGTGATCCATGCATAGCTGGAACTGGCGTAGGCCTCGGGGTAATTATATCAATTACCAGCACGGCAGCACCGTTAACTCAGTCGTGCAGTATGTATCCGAGTAAAGTTAAGGAGAAGCGAAATTGGATGCGTGAACTAGAGGGTCGGTAACGTATTCGGCAAATACACAACGCATATCCGCTCTGAAAAGAAACAAGGCAGTGCGAGAGCGGTGTATCGACTCGCACTAAGGCTAGGTCCAGCTTTCGAATATCTCATGCAAGGTACACCTGCCCAATGCAAGATCGCTCTTGCATGGGGCTAATCGGGTCTCGGTAAACAAAGCGACTTGTTTGTCACCCTGGCGATGCTCGATATATTTATCTGGTCAAGTCTTCTGCTGGATATCGCAACAGGGGCAAAGATGATAGGAAGGATGGCCGGCACTCCACAAGAGTCAGAACACGCTCACGAGGATCCCGTAGAATCTTGCCGCTGTGGCGCATGGAATAGACGATGTTATGGGTGGCTCTGACAAGACGGGAGTCGCAAGAAGAGACCTCACCAGTCAGTGGTAGTCACGGCATCTGGACAAAGGCATTTGGTGAAGGCTGAAGTGAACTGATGCGGGTCGTAGGGCTGGAACAGTGGAATGACAGCGGTAGATTGTAATGGTAGTTAGAAATGCTTAGCCCTGCAGTCAGAACTTTCTATTCATTTTGTCCTGGACCCGCAAAGACGGTCAATAGCTGTTAGGAGGTGAGGAATTAGGAAGCACGTGAGAGATGGAGCAGGAACGACGTTGGTCGATGACATTTGAAGTCTTGGCATAAATGCTTAGCGTTTGTCGTCATTGTCTAATTATAGGCGTGCTGACCAAAGTCCCATTTTGGAATTTTCCATCCCCAATTCCCCTTACCAGATTCCTCCACTAGCCAATCCCCACTCATCATGCAGGGTTAACGAAATAACAATATTTGATTTTTGTGCAAGGAAGGTATTTGGAGGAGGAAGCCGCAGTACGGAAAAGTTATGGGTTGTCGAGCTTGCCCCTTTGCAGTCAACGCCTGTACTGAGTCCTGACTTTGACATTCCTTGGAAAGTTCGGATTGGGAATCTCTAGCTCTGCAAAATCGCACACTGCAACCCCAGCCCAAGCAGCTGGACTCTGGAGCTCCCGCCAGAACTGCTGCCCCATCCCGACATCCCTAGGTAGCCGCAAGCACGAGCTCGGTCGGCCCAACCGGCTTAGCCGCGTTCCTTAAATCCTAGCAGCAGAGCCTGGACATGAGACAAGGGGGAAACCAGGCAGCCAACAGCCCAGCGCTGAGTTGTTTCCAAAATCCATACAGTTAACAGGCAGATACGGCCGTTAGCGCCACTTGGCAGTTTCGCACGGAACAAATTCCGGCTCCCAAGGGCCAAGTCCCAGCCCAACGGCTTTCAACGAACCCCCCTGTCCGGTGTTCGGCGCGTTGAGGACCGCTTGTGCCGTGGACGAGACCCGCAAGCGGTGAACCTTTCTGAACAGCATAGAAGCTGAGATATAGCCGTTTCAAGTATTCTGTAGTCTGTAGATAGTAGGTGCCTATTTCCTAGCATTGCTTAGCATCGAGCCTAGAACACGTGGTTCAGACAATTGATGCCATCGGCGGCGTTGCCAATGGAGTTGGATACTTCATAAGGCGAGCTGGCACTAGTCACGGACCCGGGCGTAGGAGGGCCCTGAAACATGGGTTTGCTAACGAGGTTGCCATATGTTGTCGTATTGGAGCTGAATTTAGCCGGAATGATTTTCATGGTGTGTATACGTTTAGCCAGTAGTATTGTATTCAGGACGTTTTGTGTAGAAGTGTATCTGAAATGACATGTGGAAGCATGGATGGTGTCCAGAACTCAATTGCAGCGATTCCATTCCGAGTTCCGGACACTATGAGTTGTGTCTCACGATCAGTCATCGGGTGTGGTCCCTAGGATCGACAGTTGCTTGGACATGAAAGGGGGGCCAAAATGCCAAAATGCCAAAATGCAGAACTACCATGACGCAAACTGTAAAAGCCGTTCCAGCTTCCATAATCTGCTTGACGTAGATTACAATTTCCAAATTTCTAATTGAACCCAATGGGGATGACGAAGAACTATGATTTGCAACCACCCGACCAGTCCCAAGTCACTCCCAAGGACGCCACCGCAGTAATGGTCGCCAGTCACCAAGCTTACCGCATCTTTGGATAGGATAGAGTCGCTCAGCCGCAAACGTGGAGGTTAAAATGACGGGCAACGAGGCAGGGGCACAGGGAACAAGCGAACAAGCCTCGGATTTCCAGAATCCGAATCCTATCACGTTCGTAAGGTAGGTGTTAATTTAGGGCAGATAAGATAGCAAACGTCATGGGTCGATATGCAACAGTGTAACGGTGCAACGGTGCGAGAGCGCCTTACCACTTCCCCGCTACCAGGAGCAACTGAAATGTTGCAGCAGGAGTGGATGCAGACCTGCGTAAGTGCGGATACCCTATGGTTCACACCTAACGTTCGTTGCGGTGAGTGTCGGCACCGCCTAAATTGCAAATTAGCCCCGGGCACTCCCCGCCTACGAGTGGGGCCAGCCAATGTTGGCGGGAAATGTTCATGAATTGTTCGCGAAGAAAGCGTTTCCTGGGGCCTATTCGTTGAATTTCCAAAACAAGAGCAAATTTGTGATAGCTAAGCGGTCTAAGTCTCCATCGATTTGCCTGAGCTCTGAGATGGCAGATTGGTAGCTGGTGTTTCTAGAATTAGGGCCACCCGATCCTCGTCTGCCCGGCGCCACACCATACCTCATTCAGAGAATGGTGGTGGACAAGGAGAGACTTGCGAAAGGGATCCCTGCAGCCCTGCGGACCCTGTCGACTTTACTGTTAGACCTCTCTCTTGAAAGTTGAAACAGCCTTTACTGGAATCTGGATAGTGGATGGTGATGTGCTGTTCACGGCTGGTACGTACTAGCCTGCTATCTACCACCCAATAATAGTCCTGCTGGGCTGGAGATCACTGAAGTGGGAAGATAATGGGACGATGGGAACGAGGAGGATTTTAGATTCTTCCACAATTGCGCAGCTCTATGTCTATCCCTGCTAGGCATGGGGGCCTTTTTTTAACTGTCGGACTGTCTGTCGCATCCCTATTCCGTTACCGGTAGAGGACGGAATACTGTACGGCTGTACGGTAAGGTCATAAGGAGTATCGCATCGATGATTTGTGAATATATACCTTATTCTATGATTATGTACTCGATTCTATGATTATGTACCCGATTCTATGATTATGTACCCGATTCTATGAATATGTGGCCGGTGGTGAGTTGGTTTGGAGGATAGATTACGTGTGGCCGGTTCAGCCGCTCGCCCATTCATCAATCATTCATTCGTAGCATCGCCATCCAACACATCCATGCATGATAAACACTGGCCAGTAGGGTCTGGGGATTACCTTCGATCATGATCAATCCACCACCGCCTCTTCCTCCCAGTACGGCCGCAGGAGTCAGGCCTCGTACCTTAAGTGAGTTGAGCCTAGTGTCCCAACTCCCGTCCATACTCAGTTGCCCATGCGCCCCCCCGGTCGATTCCCACGGCTCCATAATCACATTTCAAAATAGTAAATAACCTTACAGTACGGCTGTACTCCGTACTACTCAATACGGTCCTTGTTCAGTGCCCCCCCTCGTCCGCCTTTTGCCCAAACCGTCCACCATGCCGGTCCATGCTTCGGTGCATCTCCATTCTCCACCGCCCCCGTCTCCACCACGCCTGAACCATGCCTTTGTTTAGTTCTGCTGGGCTGGTGGCCGATGCAAGTAGTAACTACTGACCCGTCGTGCATCAGCGAATGCCTAGTCACCCACCAACGCATCACAAACCGCGCTGGTCCAGGAGGAGACCAGTGCGCGCATCGTGACTGGCGACAGGGCTTGCCTTATGCAACTTACCAATCAGATGGCAATGTGCCATTGCCCATTAACTATTCCGATTCCACTCTCGCCCTCCTAAGTCCCGGACCTGAAGCGGTGCAGGGGTGTTGAGTCCACGCCTTCGACGTTATGCATCCTAGATGCAGCCCTTCAATGTTGTATATCAATAGCCTCCCCCCCCCAAACAGCTCGCATCCTGCATTCTTTAACATCACCAGAACTTCAGCCTGCACACGTCCACTTCACTATATATCTCTCCTTCTATGTTTATGTCTTGAAGTCACATTAATCAACATCTAAGTCTTTGTTTCGCATCCGTCACCATGCACCAACACCCTGCCTACGCATACGCTCCACAGCTTGCACCACCGACACAACGATACTCAGGGACAAGTAGCGCTTTCAGTGCCAGTGCCAATCCCAATGAAGATTGGACTAAGATCTCAGACCTCGCTGAAAGAAGACGAATTCAAAACCGAATTGCTCAACGGAACTACCGTATGTATCTCGTCGCATGTCAGGATGGGTCCCTTGTTAACCTGGACCGCAGGAAAGAAGCTGAAGAAGCGCCTGGAAGACCTGGAGAGGCGAGCTGCTTCCAATTCCGCGTCTCCGGAACAGTCACACGCCGAACTCGACATGTCGAACTCCCAACAAGGCGATGATTCCTACCAACGACTTTCCACTTCGCCCCTCCTAGGTTCCGATCAGCTACGGCAAACTCCCGAGCTAAGCCATCAGTATTTGTCGTCGGCCAGTGATGATGGCAGCATGTTCTCGCATCAATACTCGCGTCAAATTTCAACCTCGCCTCCACCCTTCTCGTATTCCCCGGGCCACAGTGGCTACCCAGCATCAACATACCCGGTGACCACTTACACCGTTGAGTCGCTGCCATATACTTCTTACTCCACCTATCCCGCCATCGCAACCAGCGGAAGCGAAGTGCCCCTCTTCGCCCCGTACCTTGGAGGCGTCACCTACGCGTCGTCACTCCCAGCAATGTGCTTCTCCACCCCGCCAAAGCACGATCTATACCCCGAAGAGGAAATCAATCCATTCAGCATGAGCTATGCTTCTCTTGCCGGCATCGACATCTCTACTGCACATGCATATCAAGGATCAAATCCGCAGGTAAGGCCTCCCATTCAGCCCCATCTTGGGGTCGGCGCGTTGCCACGCGATCTGTACTGCGGGATGCTAACTGCCATGATAGACGCCACCTTTGTCGGATTCCTTCAACCCTTCCAACTCTGGTTCTCCTCCAGAATCTTCGTCCGCCTTCCCCGCTACTCCGGCATCCATGCCGAGCACCCCGGCAATCCACCTCTATTAAAAGCCTCTTTTGGCATCTGTCTAGCATCTGTCCTGCGAACGGGACGTGCTTTGACAGTGTATCATACCACACCACGTTCGCTTTATCTTGGTCGTGTCCACTACGACTGATGTTGATATCATTAGCGATGGCACTCGCTTAGCATTGCATGGTTGGTTCCGTACGTTGTTGCATTTACGATTTGTAATTAGAGCTATCGGCTTTAAAGGCGAGACTTCGAGCGTTGCATGGCTTCGGAGTTTATTCATGTTTTACTGGGGATGGTTTGGCCCCCAAGCCGGGGAATCAGGGGGGAACACAGCCGGTGTTGGAATCGTAGGGTAGATGGAATTCCGCACCGGACCAAATTTTACGAACTGATGATTAGAAAGACTACTTTTTAAACGAATATTTGGAGGATCAACATATGTCGCGAGACAAAAATTAACGCCGTTTCACCTGCAAGCTACATCCTGATTGCTCAGCCGAAAAGCCCGAAAGCATGGTACGGAGTTGCCATGTTTGATGTTTCTATTGAAATGATTGGAGGTCGTGCACCTGCTAAATGGAGAATTCGGAGCTTCCATATTCCTTATCCCCGGTGGCCATCTGCTCCTTCGTTTCAATTTCTCAGCCCTCCCCCGAGAAAATGGCCGCATCATCCATTAGCTTCCGCCCTGAGAGTCGCCCGCTCAAGCTCGCCGCTCGCGGGTCGTCACCCTTCCTGTGCAGAATAGAGACACGCCACTTCGGGATGCTGTGCAGCGTTCCTGGTTGTCTATCCCCATCATACTAGTTGCGGCATTGCGGCATCAGGATTAACGGCTGTACCGTTTCGTGATCCTAATTACCTGTAGTTAATACCAAGACTGTATTCCGTCGTAATCGTCCGTCTGTGGCTCAAATCGTCTGGTCCCCCTGCCCCCTAGTAGGGCTGAATAATGAATTAGAGCGTCGGGGCTGCCGATAGGTCCACACTCCACACTCCACAGGTGGGAGGGCCATCCGACAATATGAAATTGCGACAAGTGATTTGAAAACCAAGAGAATGTTAAATGATTAGTTACCCAAATTATAACTCTGCTTGCGCAAGCCTTGCATACCGGTCCGTTACTTACTGTAAGTAGTTACTTACCAAGTAAGTCCATGGTCTAACTTAGTAACTTACTTAGTAAGTATTAAAATAACTTATGTGCCCCAAGTCTCCCCTTAGTACCGTATTTATTATATTACCTGGTGTCATGTTGGCTGCCACAACTTCGCAATTCGCATCGTCCAGGTCGCCGCAAGGATCAGAACCAAGCCTCTGATATCAGCACTTTTATTACTTTTACCTCGACTCCGCCTCACCGCCAACCCGCCCCCGACAAATCATCTCCTCGGAAATCTAACTCTAATAATATGGTTAAAATCTTATTGCCTGCCGTCAGCTGCGGGGCCACCACATCTAAATACGTCTCGGATGATTGCCAACTGGCGCGTCGATGCATTTCATCCTGATTCTCCGGAGTCCAGGCTCCATGAAGATCAGAGCTAGGTCCCTCCCCGATGGTGCTGCCAGAACGAAACCCTCAGTTCTCTTGAAGAACCCGAAACGGCAATTGCCATGGTCCGTGAATGATCTGATAGCGGAGCGAAACCCGGCGGCTGAATCGATCTCCGGTCTGTCGTAAGGTCGGTATAGGACTTCTCCCGTTCCTGAGAACGCGTCACCGGTCGAGCACTGCGTATACCACTGCTATCTAGTACGACTGTACAAGAAAAAATTGTATGCCAGCCACCTTGATCAGGATCCGTTCGCGCTCCTGGTCTGCCACTAAGCCTCCTCTGCATCATCCAACGAAGAAGCCTGATAACAACGGTATCTCCGGATTCCGACGCAGTCGAGAGAGGTTCACCTGGATCTGTCACGGATACTTTGGCGTCTTGCTCCGATCTCATCCAACTTCTCGTAAATTTGAAGAAGACCGTTTGGCTCGGCAAGCCCACCTGTGGGGCATTTTCTTCTGCTTGAGATATTTTCTTTGATGCAAGCCACCACCAGTTCAACACTGCCTATGCGGGACTCAGGCCAGTGACCAACAGAAGGCAGTCCCTGAAGGGGTGCTTCTAGAAGCAATTCGAAGGCAATTATAGGACTGGACAAGCGAGAATCATGGGAGAGAAAGTCATGTTGCCTTCCCGTTACCATATCCGAATAGATGGTTTGCGGAGAATCTAGGCAGTCACACATGGAACCTTTCAGAATCGTCTTTACTGCCATGCAGTCTCGAGATAGGAGGGCCAAATCTTTCTGAGTGGCACTGCAGGTAGCGGTGAATGTCCTGATGAGTAACACACTGAGCGGCTTATTATCATTGAAAGTACTACTTCGGAATTGACGGATGTAGCACAAGGGATTCCTCCAAGGTGGATGCTTCCACACCTTTGTCGACCGGAACTATCTCTTCAAGTGCCCCAACCTGCAAGAGCTTGGAAGAAGCCTAACTCGCGGGGCCGAGTTGTTTCCAGCATACCGGCACTATCTCCGAGCAAAAGTAGCCATATGGCGATTATGTCACCGTGCCGAATGATGCCTAAAGGCGGGCAGATGATTTGTCACCATGGGAACCACCCAGTCCAGCGATCTGATGTGACACACTATTGTGACACTCCACTTCAGGTTCGACATTTCAAATACCGCTTTGTCTGGCCTGTCCGGTAACATTTGCGCGATTTTCCCAGCCGACATGCGGGTTGGCTAAGTTCATCTAACCGACGAGAGATTATCACCACTGGATACCTTCACGGCAAGGCTCAATGGACGAACTTCTGTAATTAGCATCTATTCATCATCCAGGAACTTTATTTGGCCGCTGTATGCGCAATCCTTCCACCGACATCCGCATCTACCGGCCCCGACGGTGCTTTTCTAGATCTAGTGTTGAATCAACGAGTGCACGTAACTACATACCGCACTAGTTGAAGCCGCCCACCATAGAAGACCTACCTATTCCCGTCCAATAGAACGTCCGCAACATCAATGCGATGGACTGACCTATTCCCCTTCATGGGCGACAAAAACCTTTCCATATCTTGGGGGGTCAGGTTGGTCAGCGTGGGTATTAGATGGGAGATCCTCAGTTTAAGTACCTTGGATAGTTTATTCTGTCTCATTAAACTATGGGATGCTCGTACGTTGCCTTCTAGAAAGTGTCGTTGTCCCTGATTGCTGCTTAGGGGCACTGGTGCCGACTGAACGGCACCGAGACGGACACGAATACTTGGACCGTATATCGACTGATGAGGGCCATAGAAATTATATTTATGCATTTGTCTAGAATCAGTTGGCCAGTAAACTCTGGACGGTCAATCTAACATCATGAGTGTACGATGTCGGAGACTTCCGGAATAGAAGTGTTGGCTTCAATTTGCAATAAACTGTTGAGATTCCAAATCTGGAAGGATGTCACAACCCTAAGCCATATACTCCAACGTCTCTACTGGTGTCTGCGCCCCTCATATGCCGCAGGAAGACCGGACGTAGATTGACAAGCAGTGGGAATCTGCTCTGTTAGCCGTTTCCGATGGTTCTGAGCACGGAGGGCCCAGGATTTAACAACCTAGATAATTAACACGCTCAATAGCTCAAAAGGAACTGTCTTTATTCCAACTTTCACCCGTTCGTTGCCAACCGATGTGAGGCGAATTCATGTCGTCGACGTTCATTATCAGTCAAGCACTTTCACTTCACCAGCATTATGAATCCCCAACACTTTTCTTGGCATCCACGCCTCAATTCCTCTTGTTATCATTCTCATTTCTCATATTATACCTCTCTTAATCGTAAGTCTGATCAAGTCTGACCATCAAGAATTACCTAGAGAACATATCATCAGACGTTGAAGTCTCTGGGTTTGCCTGTGCGGTCGATATTGAGATTTCAGCCTTAGCGCCTGGATCTCGCTTGCCCCACGTTTCTTGGCAAGAATTTCCACTTCCAACTGAACAGAAGATACACCGTCGCACATCCTACGTTGTCGCATCTACGACTTGGGATCCTCTCAGCGAACATTCCACAACTTCCATCATGGCGAGACCACGGACCGATGCGCCTCCCATGAGGGACTCGCCCTTACGCGCTGTCCAAGTTGAGGCTTTGGTATGAGACCACCATCGGATGTCGGATCGAACGTCACGCTAATGAGTTTTCCAGGCGGTCATGAAGATCATAAAGCACTCATCGCAGCAACATCCGACCATTGCTACCGGTGCATTAGTCGGCCTGGACGTGAACGGGGTCCTGCAGATCACAAATTGCTTCACCTTCCCGACCGTGAACGCTCCAGCGGACGGCCAGCAAGATTCCGCCTCCTCACTTGCCACGGCGGCACCACGCGCGAAGGCGAACACGGGATACCAGAATGAGATGATTCGGCTCTTCAAGGAGGTCAACGTCGATGCGAACAATGCCGGATGGTATATGAGCACGACCATGGGCAACTTCATCTCCCAGAACACGATCGAGAACCAGTTCTTCTACCAGAAGGAGATAAACGAGAAGACCGTGGCCCTCGTCCATGACGTGGGCCGGAGCTCGCAGGGTGCTTTGAGCCTGAAGGCTTTCAGGCTATCTTCCACATTCATGACCGCATACCGGGAAGGGAAGTTCACGGTTGAGAGGTAAGGGATCGGCTCTATTTCACACCACGCCTCACTGACACATGCAGTCTTCAAAAATCCAATCTCCGTTACCAGGACATCCTCGTCGAACTCCCGGTTACCATCCACAACTCTCACCTCATCACTTCTCTCCTTCACCAGCTCCCTGCCCCCGTACCGACCGAGGAACTCTCCATACCCCCCACTCTTGATGCCCTCCAAGCCAATGCTCCTGCCGGACCCCTCGCCCCTAACTTCGCCGCCCTCGACCTCAGCATCGACCCGTTCCTTGAAAAAACATCCGACCTCCTCCTGGAATCCATCGAAACACACCACACCGAGCTCAACAACCACCAGTACTACCAGCGATCCTTGGCCCGGGAGCAGAGCAAGATCACCGCCTGGCAGGCGAAGCGAAAAGCAGAGAATGCGGCACGCGTTGCGGCGAAGCAGGCGCCGTTGCCTGAAGACGAGTGGCAGCGACTGTTCAAGCTGCCAGTTGAGCCGAGCCGTTTGGAGATCATGGTGAATTCGAGGCAGATCGAGCAGTATGCCAGGCAGGTGGATGGGTTTGCAGCGGGCGCGAGTGCGAAGATGTTCGCGGTGCGGGGCAACCTGATCCCCGAGGCTGATAATCGGGACTGAATGGTCAATGGCAAAGGAAGAACAGCCGGCGATTTCTTCTGATGGCATCGGAAACGGCGTAAGGTATTCGTTGTATGTCACGAACATTAGGGACGAGCGTGGAGCATGCTCGAGACCCGATGGGGATGAGGCACGCTATAGACTTGAATGAGCACAATAAAAAAGCTGCTACGCGTGATATTCACACTTCTACCCAATGTCGCTCGCAAAGTGATGCAATACCCACCGCGAATCTCGAAGCTGGAGAGTCGAATCGGATTTTGATCTAGTCTCCACTATTGACAGTGCAACACAGACTGCAGCACCGCTAGTTCCGCATATCCTGTTGTTTTCGCTCCATGCAATGCAGCGCCACACAACTAGTATCCAATTCTTCAGACCCGTGTGACGACTTTAGACTACGTATTCTACATCTATTCCTCTGTGCTAGCATTCAACTGCAAGACCGAAGTTTGTCCTGCTCCTCGGGAGTGAGGGCGTTGAATGCTTCTGTGAATCCGGGTTTGCTGGCAACCTCTCGGAAGAATTGCGTGAGGTAGGCCTGCGTTTGATCGTCACGGACGCGACCAACCGAATCGTCGCCAAACCGCATCAACTCTGAATTATTGGCATCAGCGATGGAAACTCGACTTCCTCAATGAGTAATATACCTTCTTTCGTCATACCGGCTCCCAGATCAAGTGTGTCAGGCTCATCTTCCCATTCATCATCATCTGAACCGGCTTCGTCGAGATTTGCTAGTGTGGACGAGTCAAGAGCCTGATGGCCCCCACTGGCAGAGGAGAGCTCTTCAACCAGCACTTTGATAATCTTGAATTGCGCTGGAATGATCGTAAATTGATCGGGGTCTACAAAGGGTTAGAGACTTCACACTTGACAGGTAAATACACTACTCTTGACTGCCTTGTCCATTTCATCATCGTCGTCTTCGAACCGATAGAACGGAGGGGCGCCGGACAGCCACTCCCATGCGCAGGAGAATAGAAATGGGGACGTACTTTTCCGGGCTCTGGATCGCGTCATGATACGGTCGCTTTGGGGATCGACGATGAGATCGCCCTTGACCGTGATTTGCTGCGACAATCGAGGATCGTTGAGGTTATACAGCTTCGAGAGAGCGATGACACTATTAGGTAAGAATGGCAATGAGCGCTGTTCCGGATGGGTTTGGAAAAGACGTAGGAACATACTTCTGCCGGATCTCGTCGTAACCGGTGAAATTGACCGAATTCTCCAGCCATCTACTCATCACCACCTGCAGTCCGTTCTCCCCGCCAATCTCCACCTGGGCGAGGAACTCGACAACGTCCTGTGCGTTCTGTAACGATAGGCGGGCGAAGACGAGGATCAAACTTTGCATGAACTGCGTCTTCGTTGCACTTCCAAGGCGAATCGCGACTGCCCGAAGCAACTGCATAAGATAGGGACCGAGCCTTTCCGCGCCCGCCTTTTCGACCACCTCTGCAGCCATGCCGCCGACCTCTTCGGCGGCGTTCTCGTCGACCGATGGGCTGAGCAGGCGGTCAATGATGATGAGCACGACCTCAAGGCCGCCTTTGTTCGACTCGTCTCGGAATTCAAAGACTTGCTTGTAGTCGTGAATGAGCATGTTCTTGACCGCGGACGTTGCGGAACGCAGAAGCTCTTCATCGGAGGAGTTGAGGAGGAGTCGGTTGAGTTTCGGCATGACTGTCGCAACAAAGCCTTGGGGTAATGGTTCGGAGCCTTGCTCCGTCAGGATGTTGAGGAGGTTGGACGCGAGGTTTGTGAGAGCATTCTCTTCGGTCAGGTTGCCGATATCGATCGCTGCCATTAGGGACGGAAGGACTTTACCGCAGAGCTGGACGTAAGCTTCTCCACCCACCCTGGATATGCTATCGACAATATCCACGAACGTCTCCTCCACCAAGATTGTGACATTATAGTTGCTCGCTCCGTGACTGGCGATAGAAAAGAGAAGATCCAACCCAGTGCCATGGACACAGGTTCTCGCGTCCAGGGTGATCGTGTCGCGGAGCGTCTCCACGATTGTGACCATGATATCTTCTCCCTCGGCCAGCTCTTGGAAATCTTGCGAGGAATAGTAGTCGGATATAGCCGAGACGATGGCGTTTTGGACAGGGACAATTGAGTCGCCAGAAACACTTGAAAGGTAGCACTGCAATGCCCGGATGCAAGAGACCTTGACGAGCTCCGACGAGTCGTGTGCCATCGCGTGCATCGTCATCTCCATAAACGAAGGACGCACCTCATAAAGAGTCTCTCCCGATGCACGGATCAAACTGCCGGCGACCAAGTAGCCTCTGGCCCGCAGAAACTCCTCGGACTCGCCCATGGCATGCCGAATGAAATCAACAAACCCGGTGGCTGCCGAGGAACCGATGTTTTTATTCGTATCCTGGAAGTCGATGAGGAGTTGATTCAAGATGTAGAGAGCCGCTTCCTTCCCTTTCCAGCTGTGACCGCTGGAGTATAATGACCTCGTACGCGACAGGAGCCCCTCGACGGTAGCGTTCGTCTGCCATTCACCCAATTTGATGACGAGGTCACCGCATGCCGTTCGAGGAGTGTAATTTGCAGTGACGCTCGTCTCTTCAGAGAGGAACACGTTCACGTCGAGGTTCCACATGCCCTCTTCCTCGGTTGTGATCTGTGCATACTCGACGGCTAGCTTCACGACTTCGATCAACCAGTTCGTCCCTTCACCGCCTTCGAAAAGCCTCTTCTCTAGCTCTTTCTTGACAGGTTGCGCTCGAAGACAGGCTTGCATGAAGTCTAGATCTTCGAGGACTAAGAAGTCGAGGGTGTATGGAAGGTTGTCCGCATCTTCTAGCCGACTCTGGTGTTCGTTTTCGATGTACATGGAGCTGTAGGAAGACTGAAGGACGTTGAGCTCTTCCCACACGGAGGAGAATAGCGTCGGACTGTGGGGGGCGAGGTTTGAAGGGAAAACGGATCGTACGCGCATTAAGACTTTTACGACTTGGAGCTTCAGAGCTACGAATCCTCGATATGCCTCGAAGGCCACGGAATCCTTCCCCTCCTCATTGGCGGGCGGTAGAGGCAACTGCTTGCGCAGGGTGTCCAAGAAGAACGGTATCCACACTCTTAGCGTCTCGTCCGCGAACGCCTTGACCGCTGCCTTATGGTCCTCCACCACCATCTCCAGGATGTCAAAGCAGGCCCGGAACACATTCACCGCCAGCGCTCGGAGGGTAGTTTTCCGGGATTCGTTGACGGCAACATTATAGATCGCCTGCACGAGGTCGGGGGCGACGCGGAAAAACTGCTCCTCGTTCAAGCAATCGTCCACCAGGTCGCCCATCACTCGGAGGGCGCCGTGGAGTTGGGCGTCGGAACCGGTCTGGATGGTGTGCAACAGACTGTCCAGCAGACCGGGCCACTCCTCGGGGAAATCCGACTGCGCGATCCGACTGACGACGAGACTGGCCGCGGTCTTGATCTTCCTCTCCTCCTCCAGCCCCGTGGCAAGGTGCAAGATCGCCTGGCGAATCTGCTCTTTGTTTTCCGGGCTCACGAGCACCTCGCCTTTGAATTCGTCGAACTGTGACGTCCAGGACCCGAGCACGAAGGTCTTTAGGTAGAGCAGGGCCGATTGCCGGACGGACACCGGGAAGGAGTTGTGCGAAGCCAGCGACACGAGGCCCATGGGGAAGGCATCGTTGGAATATAATTGCTGGAGTTGGGCTTCGGCGGAGCTGCGGGTGGTCTCGTGAGGGGAGTGAGTACCGGCCAGTAGCTCGGCAAGGCGTGTCTCTTGCTCCATATTGGTAGGTGGAAGTGGAGAGGTAATTGGGAGATTCGTGGGTGGAGTGTATAAATCCAAGCTGTGTTGACCTGGCGGGGAGAAGTTGGAGGTTGGCGGCGCGTCAAATCCATGCAGCGGCAGCAGGAGTCGCGACTGGGATAATTGGGTCACCCTGTCACGTGCAAAAGTATTCCGGAAGCTGGATCGCATACAGAATCAGGTTTGCATTTTAAGCTGATACTATATATCGGCAACTACCGTAAACATGTCGAGAACCTCGATATTTACCATCGCACCTAGGACGACAGGTGCATCGGCCTTTGGCATTGCCACAAACGAACGCCTGTCAGGTATCGGACTTGACTTTTGATGCCCCGTGCCGGATAAGAGAACCCAGGAAAAGGCCGCCAGCTGGAATCCCACGTCCAGGGCCACCTTGTTCATATCCTCCTAAATAGCAGTCTGCAACGAAAATAAATGGCGCCTAACATAAGCAATAGAGACTCGGGAGTCGGGCGACATGAGCATCACAATGCACTACCGCCCCACACCAGGTGGAGCCAACCACCGACACCCTGTTTGTCCGTAGCAAAAAGCGCCCACTCGGACCAATCGCTCCCCTCCACGAACGCGGAGACGTCGTCGCCGGTAAAGCGGAGGTCGAGCCTCTTCAACCACGTCTCCCGCACCTCCATCGACCACGGCGCGTGCGCCAGCGTTGGCGGCGGCTGGGACGTGTTGGGTGGCGGGAGGACCGTACGTTCAACCTGCTTCGGGGAGTAGAGCGGTTGTTGAGGGTACCCGCTCGATTGGCCGGAATAGGTGGGGGGGAGAAACGTGGTGGCGTTCGGGTTGTGCGAGGCGGGTCCACCGGGAGAGATCATCGGCGAGGCCCCGATGGAAGGAAGCGTCTGACCCGGGTGAGAGGAAGAGTCGGACTGGTGGGGGCTGGCTTGGTTGATAGGGGGGGACTGAGTGTTGGGAGCGTTGGAGAGGGGATTGAACGACGGCTGTACGCCGTTTAGTAGTGGAAGAGAATCCCGTCGAGGTAGGGAGCTAGCGGGAGCGCTGTTGATTGCGTTCCACCGCTCTGGACGCATTGATGCACTATCAGGAGTGCCGTCGTGCACGCCGTTGTCATTCTTGATGACGGAGCTTCCAACGCTCGCAATCTCCCCGCTGCCCGGCTGCATCCGGGCTGACTCAGGGGCTTCAGCCATCTCCATATCAGCGTTATCCAGTCCAACGAGCTCGCTGAAGAGGACGTCCAGCATGTGCACATCTCCCGTGTTTTCGACATCTGCAACATCCCGTAGCTGACCAGGACGCCCACCGAACGCGAAATTCGTGTCAGTACCTGGGGGGGACCTCGATGAACGCCGGAACTCTCGCTTGGCCTTAACAAAGTATAAGTGGGTCTTTTGCAATGCTTTAAGCCAGCCATCCGCCATTGACATGGCTTTCCTCGTGTTGCTGACCATTTCAATGGCCTTGCGGGTAGCCTGGAATCCGTGTACATCGTTTTGAGTGTCATGCCGTGGAGCATCTCCAGGCACCATTCCAGGAGAAACCGTGGATCTTCCGTGAAGACTCCCCTCCGGATCCATCCAAGGGAAGTGCATGCGATAGACTCCTGAAGGAAGGTTAGTAGGAACTCACGATAACACCCGTGGAGGTCATACCAAGCAGCGCAGCAAAGTACGTGGCAAATCCAGCGATCGGGGTCTGCACCACATAACCCCATTCCTGACACGTCTGTAGCAGATCAATCAATTCACGAGCGCTCTTGAATAGCTGCTTCGCGCTGTCTTCGTAGAACCCGGTCGGTGCCGATAGTTCATCCACTTGAAACCCACCGGAAGCCGCAGTCTGATTGCGCTTCAGCGGCAGGAATGGTAGGAACTCCCGATGAAGGATCATGGTGCAGAGGATCAAAGTGGCATGGAGAAGCGCATATGAAGTGGATGTGCGCGACGTGACGTGGGCAGAAATATTCGCGGAGGTCAGTGTCAGATCTCGCGGAAGACGGTCGCGGAACTGATTCACTTGCTTGAGAAGCATCGCGAAGGTGGAACGTTCATGCCATGGTGGGTAAGGTTTGTCCCGCCTGGATGACAGTCAGTGCATGGAACAGCGATCAAAGGAAAAAGAAATACTTACCGTCTGCCGCCCCCGCAAGAATATCTTACGATTTTCCCGTATAGATCGGTTAATTTGACGTACCGGCTCACAATTCCCTCGTCTTGACCAAGTTCCCATCGACCAGAATCACCATCATCCTGATCAGGCACGTTTCTCGGCACGGTACCCGTAGAGCCTGCGGCCGACGAGCTGCGATGGCGATCCCCGTTAGTAGCGCCATGCAAAATCTTCTGGATATCCGCACGACCATCGGAATCGTCCGCTTCGTCGGTGAGCATCAGAGTGCGAACTTTCTCCCCGAACAAGAACGCTCGCTCGCTACTCGGCAGCTGAATCCGGAAGTCCCGTACGTTTAACATCAGCGGTCGGAACTTGCCGGTGCTTAGATATCGGTCCATGACGAAGCAGCTCCAGAAGGTGCGGCGTCGGATCTCCTGTTCGATGAACGCGTCGTCCTTGCCAACCGCGGCCGACGAGTGGCTGTTACGTCGATCGAGTTCCAATCCGGCCGGCAAAGATCGTGCATATGGCTCGTCGTCCAGCTCCGTCTCGTACTGAAGGCCTAAGATCTGCGCGTTCCGGATGGCGACCCCCACGGCGACCCAGGCTTTCGAACCCTGGCCGCTGCCCCAGTCGTGCAGAGCGAGCATCAGCAACGCTTGTGTGCGTTCTAGATCCGGACTTCCCAGGCCATCTCCGAGGTTTCCAGCCAGTCTGGACCTCGCAGCGGCGGCGTAAAACTCGGCAGCGATCAAGGGGTTGCTTGGGCGGTTCGAAGATAACGGAGAGTGATGCGCCACGAGAACGGGATGAAACCGAGAAGTCAGTGCAAGGAATGCGCAGAGTAGGAGGGGCGAAGCTGGAGGGGTGATAGGGGTCGAGTGGTCAGGGGATGAGGTACTGGGCAGTGAAGGAAGCTGGGGTGGTTGCATTGGGGCCGAACGCAGCGGCTTCAAGAAGGTCGGAGGATGGAGAAAGGGGAGGTCGATGGAGAAATGTTGCTGCCATATCTCAAACTACACGGCGACTATTAGCGAAAGGATCCCGACGCGGCTTTATTCGGGCTCATACGAGTTCAGTCCACACCCGAGCGGTCAGTAAACTGTGATCAAGGGCGTCCACCGCCGCGCGAACGCCGTCTCTGCCGGAAGCATGGTGCACTACACCCGCAACACTAGTCCTCTTTAACCGCTGACGTTTCGGGGTTTGCTGCGAGGGGATAGCATGTCAGTTGAATCTTCCACGCGGACTGGCGAAGGGGTAAGGGAGCGCACATCGTCCGTCGGGCCTCTTTCCGACCCATTTAGCGCACCAGGAGCTTCTTCCCTTCGATGAACTTGGCCGATGGTTGCGCCGCCAATCGACGATCCACCACCGCCGCCGCCGGCGCCTCCTCCAGCCGGAGAAGGGTAGGTGCACTCTCGTCCGGTGGTCTCACACGCACGACACGTGGTGTTGACCCCGTTGTTGATGCATTTGACCTTGCTCCGGCGACAGCGAGCGCAAGCGATGGAGGACCTCATGCGAGGCTGCTCCTGGCGCCGGGCGCCGCTCTCCGTGGGGACACCCTTCCCTTGGGCGGCGTCGTAGAGCTGCTGGGCTGCGCGATGCAGGGCGGCGGAGGAATCGAGGGAGAGGTCGGACGACGTGGCGGTAGTTTGCGCAATGGTTGCGGAGGAAGAGAGGTAGCTGGCGGGATCCGCGGATGAGAGAGTGGTCGAGAGGATGGATGCGATGGGGACCGAGGAAGTTATTTTGGCGGTAGGTTCAAGGGCGAGGTTGGAGCGGGTCGGCGATGCCGGCGACGAGAGGGTCACTCAATCGCATGTGACTCGTCAATGGGATTCGTGATTGATTCGCAAGGCTGACTCGTATGCTCCGGAAGACTGATAGCGAAGGTAGGACGGCGAAGAAGACGAAGAAGACGACGGAAAGGGCAAAGGAGCGAACGGGCGGCAGAAGACTGGAGTTGGAGATGACGGGGATTCGCGAAAACTGGGGGACGGGAGGAACAAATCCGGAGAGGGAGCCGCCAGCCGGCACGAAAACGAGAGGCACGGCAATGGGAATGCGGGATGCTCGGGATGGCGGTGCGGTGCGTTCAGGCGGGGGCCACGGATCATTTCACGCCTTGGGCTACTGCTGTTGGTCCATGGAGCAAAGCGTCGGTCGGGTCAGGGGGTTATGGCACAGCATGAGAATTGATGGTAGTAATAGATAGGAGACTTCCGCGGTCCCAACCGTCGGTATGATGGCCTGATCCGTGACTTGATCTCTTCCTCCTCTTTTTAGTGAGATCTTGACCGAGTTGACCTCTTCAGGCTGGACCACTGGACCCCCAGATTGGTCACAGGCTGGCCTTTGCTAGGTCCCCAACTCCGGAACATTCCAAGCCCTAGCAGGATCAAGGAAAAGCGAGCCCCGTCCGTGTCCCCGTCACCCCGTCACCCCGTGAAAGCGTGCAGGGACAGCAGGCTGGGCATTGGAACGGGTGGACGACCCGGCGGCCGAGAGCCGCGATTGGATGGAGAAAGAATTAGTTTTCGCAGCCCTTTCCGATGCAGGACCCGGGTAAAGGTGATTGCAAAGCTAGGACCCGAAACACGATGATGGCGATTGGCGCCTGAGATGATTGTACTTCAGAAGTGTTTGAACTACGGCAGGATTTGTTTTTGATGCAGTATAGCCGAAGGATGGTTTGTGTGGACAGTATTAAATAGCCCAATATTAAAGGCACATTATTAATAGTTAGCTGAAGCAATACGGGAAGCAGTAATTGTAGTTCTAACTTAGTCTAGTGGAAGGAGCGGAGCGGCCGTGGATTACGCCCGATTACCTCGGTGGCGGTGCAGTGGTCCCTGCCGATTTCAGTCAGTCGAGGCAGTGAGGCAGTCAGGCAGGAATACCTACCACCCTCTGCTGTGCCTGCATCAACTCCGAGAGGCCGAAAGGGAGCCCGAGAGCCCGAGACCCTCCGGTTCCAATTGTTGCATGCACGATGGAGATACCAGCCTGCTCGGCACCCCGCACATCACTCAGTTCAACATCTGATATTCTGATCTGATGGGAGATGCCTGATCTCTAATGGCTCCAGTCTCCGCATTCGCTTCTCCATAGATCATACCCCCCTCCGCACTTCGGTTCGGCAGGCCCAGGCTCCTGGTCCAATTTCATAGAGAATTTCATTTCACGTGGGATTAGTGGATTGCTAGTATCAGCATCTGATTTACGGTTTCACAACCTCCTTCTCAAAATGGCCAATATGATGACCCGATGGACTGATCTCTGATAATCGGTCGTTCACCCATGGCATTGTCAAGGAACCATGTCCGACCCTCGGACCCTCTCCAGCACAGCAGTACGTACAGAAATTGCCAATGTAGATTTCCCCCTCTCAATAGTCAACTCATTCCCTGTGTCGCCACGGAAGTTAGTCCGTCCATACGGATATTAGCAGTTCTTTTCGGCCTCCGTTTGTCCCAGCCTCCCAGCCTCCCAGTCTCCTAGGTCTGAGGCACTCCAAGTCCAATGGTAGGTGTCCAGTACCGGCACGGATGGATCGAAATGCAGTCCACTCGCTGCCGGCAAATCAAATCAAATCAGTCGAAGAGCGCGGTGTACTGCTGCTGACGGCTGCCCAACTGTCCATGCACCCGGAGCCCCGGACGCTTTCGGGATACCTAATTTAGCATCGGAAATGACGCGAGGCCGTGAGGTGCGGCGTAAACGGAAAGCAGATCATGCGCTCCCATGTCCAGAGGGCATCCATGCTCCTTTTGACTTCAGACTTCAGACTTCAGCATGTCAGGCTGTTTGGTCGCGTTCTGTTATGGTACAACCGTACAAACGGCTTCGGGATAGCCGAGATTGAGACTTGTCCAACGTGAACGGTCCGCTGGCACAGCAGGTGTGTCTCGGGAGCTACTATCAATTAACGGAATCGGCAATATTAGCAGCAGTTAACATGGCTTCGGGTTGATCCCTCTTTCAAAGCTGTCTCAGTGGCCAGTCGTATAGAGAGGTGTGATACTACTACTACTACTACTACCCATCTGAGACGCAGCGGTTGTACTTTCATTCAGGATGGAAAATCCTGGAAGGCCTCATCCAGAGATCAGCATAGAACCTGAAATGATAGATCCTGTGTCTGCTCTGGACGTATGAAGGTGACACTTGACGCCCTCGTAACAAATGCGATATGCATCAATCCGAGTTCTGTGCTTAGTTTCTTCCCTCCTCGTCCCACATAGTGTGACAGTTCCTCGTCCACAGTCACGTAGCGAAGAGATCACAGTCTCTGAATACATAGAAGTCGAACAGCCTATCGTTTGTATAGAGAGTATTTCTGAAGAGAAACATTGGTGTATCTTTCGATTGGTATGGTTTAGCGCAATTTTAGCATTCAGATTGCAGCAAAATGATCCAATCAGAGTTGATATATGCCTGGTAGATCCTTGCACTAAGCTAGCCTTAGTACGTAATATTACCGTCTTGTACACTGAAGCCAAAGCTCCGGTGCTCCAAACGTGAAGCTTCCCATCCCCGCCATATCCATTCGAACGTGATTTCATGATCCAGACCACTCAGTTCCCCCACGAGAAGTTGGCTCGTGGATACAAACCTCGTCGAAGATGTCTAAGTCCCCGACTTACCTGCTGGTGTCCTTGCCGACATCCATCACCAATACCAATGACAAGGAGGATGCCTTAGATCAGGTCCGAGCCAATATATCAGACAACGGGACGCTATACCCTTTCGCGATCCCAGGCTTCAAAATCGGGACTCTCGATGCCCTGGTGCAGCAAGCAGATGACCTGGCCAAGCTCGACACCGCTTGTGACGGCGTGGTGAACAAGTCTGCAGATGCGTTGAAGAGCATCTTGGACGATGATAATGACGACAAGCTGGCCCAGCAGAAGACGATCAACGACAGTAGGCAGCTACCCGATCCCCTGGATGCCATCGTGTAGCTGATATAATTCTCAGAACCGGTCGATCAATACCTTCGGAGCTTCTCCTGGAACAAAGTCAAGTACCGTGCCGACAAGTCAATAGCTGAGCTCATTGACTCCCTTCAGAAGGTATAAACACAGAGATCTGGGGTCGGACGGCAATGTACTAACGGCCGTGCTAGGAAGTTGCAGGCATTGACAATGATGTCAAGTCGAAATTCTCTCAATACAACCAAGTCAAATCCACGTTGACTGCTTCCCAGAGAAGACAAACGTAGGGTATCCTCGTTCCGGTGAAGACTATGACAGCTAAGCGATTGATGTAGGGGCAACCTCTCGACACGCTCCCTCGCGTCCATCGTCCCCTCCAGCGCCATCGTCCAAGATTCCGAGTACATCGAGACGCATCTCGTCGCGGTGCCCAAGCAGATGGTCAAGGACTTCCTCAAGTCGTACGAATCCCTGGCCCCCATGGTCGTTCCGCGATCGTCGGTCGAAGTGGCGTCGGACGACGAGTTCAAGCTCTACGCGGTCACCACGTTCAAGAAGCACAGCACCGAGTTCATCCACAAGTGCCGCGAGAAACGCTGGATTCCACGTGATTACACATACAAAGCTGGCGGGCGAGAGGAGGAGGCGAAGGAGGTCGATCGATTGGAGAAGGAGGAACGAAAGCTATGGGGCGAGGCATTGCGATTGGGTCGAACCGGGTACAGCGAGAGTGCCATGATCTGGGTGCATGTGCTGGCGCTGCGGGTCTTCGTAGAGACGGTCCTGCGATACGGCCTGCCGTTGGAGTTCGTCTGTGCCCTGATCCAATCGAATCCCAAGCTTTCGAAGAAGGCTAAGGCAAGCCTCGACACACAGTACTCATATCTTGGGGGCAATGCGCTCCAGCGAGACAAGAAGGGCAGGGTGAAGAAGGATGTACCGACGGAGAGTGGCGGCGCGGTTGGTGGAGATGCGGAGTATACGGCCTATGTCTACTACGAGTTTGAGTTCGTATAGGTATTAGAATGTCTCGCCATTCTTTTATCATGTTCGATATCCTGTCTCATAACTTCCTGGTATTCTATCCAGGTTTACATTCTCAGGCGCGAGGGCAATGCTGGGACTGAAAATGCAATCTTAACCTATAATCAAGCAAATTGCCAGCCTTCTGGCATACCAAGATTCAAATTTGCATGCCTATATATGGATTCACGATAATAGAGCCTCCGCATGAGCCTACACACCCTCAGCCAAGGTCCTCTTCTCGCCAATGCCATCCGGCGACAAGTATCCCTTCTCCTCCAAATACTTCACGATCTTCACCACCGCCTCCTCCACACTCAACTGATCGCTCCGGAGATGGATTTCCGGGTTCTCGGGCGCCTCGTACGGAGCGCTAATACCCGTGAACTCCTTGATCTCCCCGGCCCTTGCCTTCTTATACAGCCCTTTAGGGTCGCGCTGCTCCGCCACCTCGATCGGCACGTCGACGAACACCTCGACGAACGGCAGCGGTTCCGCCATCCCGGGGGCGCCCGCGTTGTGGAGTTGCCGGGCGGCGTCTCGGTCCGCGCGGTAGGGGGAGATGAAGGAGGTGATGGCGACGGAGCATGAATCGGCGAAGAGTTTCGCAACCTGTTCGATCCCACCAATTAACATGCCCACAATATCATTGAGTAGTCCGCCCTCACCTCCGCGATCCGCCGAATGTTCTCGTTCCGGTCCTTCTCGCTGAACCCCAGGTCCTTGTTCAGCCCGAAGCGCACATTGTCGCCATCGAGCCGGTACGCAGTCCGACCGAGGTGCAGCAGATGCTGTTCCAGGGCCGTAGCGATGGTGCTCTTCCCCGACGCGCTGAGGCCGGTGAACCAGATGGTGATGCCTTGCTGCTTCCGCAGCTGGCGGCGCTCGGAGTGGGTGAGGGACGGATGCCAGGTGATGTTTCTAGGGAGATGATGGTGGGTCAGAACGATATAATCTAGAGGGTAAACAACGGTGCAATTGCAGCACAATCGACAGAAACTGGAGCATACCTACGTCGCCATTGTGAAATGAATGCAAGATCGGTCGAGATGGTCGAGTTAAAGATTCCGATCTAAGGAAATGATGGTAGAGGGACTCTTTGGTCAGTGGTCACAATCCATGGAAATTTTATGGCGGGGTGATCAGTGGTGGCTGCAGTGGAGATGTCGCAATCCAACGTCACACATAGCCTTGGTGTCAACATCTCCGGCTTTCACAGTTCACACGACTACATACCTACCTACTCTCAGGGGAGAGAGTGTAATTACATGTAGGATGGAGGTGTTCATCTACAGCAGGTCGTTGACCACGGTTGCATCCAGTCACGATGCAACCCAGTGAAAATGCCGCCATCTAACTTCGCTTCACGTTGAATCAAGGGTTCAAATCTGCATTGGATGCACAGAATAGAGTAGTCAATAATAAAATTACATATACGCTTCCAAAGAGGCAGAATCGAAATAGAACGACAACATGTACCGACCCGAGAACCGTCCATTCCTCGTTGAACCATCTCGACGATACCCAGTACCGTTGATATTTGTAAGAAATGTAGCCGAACGCCAGCCCCGAAGTCACCGTCCGACCCTTCCCAGCTATTCCGTTGCCAAAACGCCAGTATCTCCCATCTCTCCATCGGCGGCAGGAGTCCTATTCCTTCTTTCGCCATCAACATCGATCCCCAACTTCCTGACCGCCCGCTTCATCCCTTCCAATCTCGCCCTTTCCGCCATCAGCGATTTGCTCGCGAATTCTCGAATCGCTCGCCTCCCCAATCGGACCCGACTCTCCTGCCAGCCCGCCAGCTCTCCGGCCACGACTTGTCGCGTATACGAGAGCTCGCGGCCCAGATCCTCCATATCTTTCAAGCTGGCTCGCGCCCGTCCGGCGGCTTCGCGCGACATGCGCTGACGGGCTTCGTCCAGGAGGCCAAGGTTCGGCCATCGGTCGGACCGCCGCATGGAATTCGTGTGGCGGTCCAGGGCTTTGTTGGCGACCGCAATTTGCGCGATCAGAGATGACGGACGAGCGAGCGCTGATGATATGGCCGACATGGACGACGAAATGGCTTGCAGGTTGTAGTAGAACGCGCTCAGTGGTGGGGAATCGGACTGTGGAAGAGTGGCAGCAAACCGCGTGAGAGCGAGGCTATGCTCTTGCGGTAGAAACGCGAGGGTATTGAACGCTGAAGTCGACATGGTTGCGGCGTTGGGAAGGTCGCTCTGTGCGATACGCAGACGATTGGCCCGGCGCAGAACGGACTTGGTCGGATGGTGAACGCTCCGGACGGACTCTTTGGCATATGCCACGAAGAGCTCCACGTCGCCGGTGTCGGTTTCGGGAGCATATTCGTCTCGAATCATCTCGACTCGCGCCTCGGCCTTGCGCTTCGAGCGCTCTTCGAGAAGGGTCGGGTCCATTTCCGGGACCAAGAAGAACTCCCAGACCATCTCGTGGTTGGCAAATGTGGTATGATTCAATAGCAGACGAAGAAACGCGTCGAGCCGAATTTGGGTGTCTCGGAGGACTGCCCGAGACGGCTTCGAGGGGATTAGGAAGGGCGACGTGAAGTTACTAATATCAGGAAGCCAGGATGCTGGATGTTCGCGAGCGAGCCATTTCACCAGATTCTCGAAATCCACCATGGCGCGCCTGCAGGTCGTGACGGTCAAAGACGAGTTTCCAGTTGGAAGACCGGATTTTAGAATCAGGCGGATGGTCCCATCCTCCACGAAGAAGGACCGCACGACGGTTGTGATGCGGCCGTCTTGGCCGGGGGGAGTCGCAAGCAGGACGAGGTCATCGATCTTGTTCCTCACTTCGTCATCTTTTGCCAACTCGACGGCCGTAAGACCGCGCAAGTCCTTGGCATGGAGGTCTACCCGTGGGTCGTTGAACAAGGTCCTGACAAGGTCGGTTCGACCATACTTGCTCGCAACCATCAGTGGCGTGAAGTGCTTGTCGTTCGAGGCATTGACATCTGAGTCACACTGCAGAAGCAGCTTCAGCGCCAGCTGAGGGTCGTTGATGATATGCAGCAGTGTGTTGCCCTTGCTGTCCACATGCTCATCAAGTCGAAGAGGTTTGCCATCCCCCTGCACTTCCGTCGCCGCTTGGAGTGCAGCTTCGCACATCCACTTGTAATCTTCATGGTCATATGATCGACATAGGGCAAAGAGCGGAGTCTGCCCGTTTTTATCCCGCAGTGTCCAAGGAAAATGCTGCCCAATTCTTGGTATTAGCTTCGGCTGATTGAATAAGTAGTGTGCGATGCAGCGCCCTTTGGAGTCCTGCCGAGAGAAATACTCGAACAACTGCTCCTCGCTGTTAATGCGCTCGGTGAGATAGTCCAATATTACTTCAATCGCTTCTGGGGTGCCGTTCTGAATCGCAGCGCTGAGTAACGTCGTCCCATCATAGGCGGCATCTTCAATGACGGTAGATGGTGGATAGTAGCTCGTGAGTGACAATAAATAGCGCAATGATTTGCTTTGTCCGCTATCGACAGCCATCATGAGCACAGACTCTCCAGCCGGCGACTGTGTCTTGCTCAACTTTTCGACGGAATCGTCCCCATCGATGCCGCTGCCGCTTGAGTTCATAGTTGTCGTTTGCGACCGAACGGAAAACATCGAAGAGCTGGAATTGCTCCGAGTATCCATGGACACTCTCTTCTTCTGAGTTGGAGGTCGCCTCGTTTCGGCTGGAGGGGTTGGCGGCCGCTCGAAAGGAAAGACATGAGACAATGGGCCCGAGTGTGGCTGTGGCTCCGATTCGAAAGAAATCCTCGAATACCCATCATTTTCCGAGCCATGTAGTGTCAGACCGCTAAGCGAGGGGTGTCCGGTACTTTGAGCATCGTCTTCGATGTCACCCGATCTGTCGTTCGTATCATCCTCTGCTTCAATGCCGTCCAAGGCTCCTCCTATGAGTTCGGGTTGCAAAAGGTACTTGATATCTTCAACCTCGCCGTTCCGGACCGCTTCCCAGAGGCATTTGTTCAGCCTGCTCGACCTCCGGAGACCACTGGAGTTGCCCGCTAAATATGAGAGCACAGCTTCGAATGTGCTCAGAGCATACCCGATCTCGCCACTTTCCACATCGTCGATGAAGAGAAAGTGCCGCATGTACGACAAGCGAGCCTGCAAATGTCGAACGGACGACCGGATCACCACGATGAGCAGAAGCGAGACGAGCGTATCCGCGTTGATCGTGAGAACCGAATCCTGTTTTTCCAGCTGGTTGCTCGATGCAGATGGATACTCATTGCTTTCGGTGGGTGGACTTTCCGGCATGGTGATGGCCTTCTGGGTTAATAACAGGATCTCTGCCATCTCCTGGGGGCTACTGGCGACGCCCATCCGTTTGAAGGCGTCTACGGCTTTCTGGATCCGAAGAGCAAGCTGCTGTTTGTTCTGGCGAGAGTTCCCCAAGTTGATCCCTACTTGTGAGATGTCGATATCGTGCATCTGTCTGATGCGCGCTTCTAGCTCTGCATCCTCCCCTCGGCGAATGGCGCAGATACGTGGGAAGAGGACGGCATCGTTGACCTGTTCGGCCACGTAACGCTCGATAAGTCTCTCCACCACAGGGCCAGTCAAGTCCGTGGTTGCCCCGAGATTGGACAGCTGCTGCTTATCGACCATCTGGAACAGGTCGATAGCGGCAGTTACCGCGGTCTCTAGGGAACGTCGCATAAAGTCCTCCTGGTCACTTAGCTCCAGCAAACTGATGTGCGGTTGGGATGTGCCAGAGAGATTGCTGTGAAGAGAGGCAGTAAGGCTCTCCATCGATGAAACGGAAGACTGTCTCCGTCGCAACACCGGAGGGGGTGGCTTTGGCATCGGAGGAGGCGGCTGGTCCATCTCCTTGCCAAACTCTCGGAAGATCCGCTCAAGCCCGGGTTGCATTTGCTTCGCGATCAGGGGGAAATGATTCATCAACTCCATTAACGTCTTGATATCCTTCTTTTTCGGTGGATGCTGCGAGGTGGATGAGCTGGGAGCATCTGTGTCTGGTAATGCCGTGCTTTGGGCTGTATTTTCGAGACTCGCTGGAACAATGGTCATCGCCTCCAGCACGCCGGTGAGCGGTTTCGAAATAAAGTAGACGAGCCATGGTTGCGCGTCGAGGTTGTCGGGGTAGTATAGTACGTCATTTAGGAGCTGGATTTGATTTAGATGCTTGAAACCTGTGCTGTTCTCAGTCCATGGCCCTTGACGATCCCATCGACGAATTCCTACCTTTATTACTGTAGACGAAGGAATCCTTGACTATCACCGTCCTCCCATTGACGGTGGAGTACTGCTTCGCCTTTCCACGAGTGTCTCGGAAGCTTGCCGCCGCTTCCTTCGTCCCATTGCCCCGGGAGGGCGCCGCGCCGCCAGGGACTCGGAGGACATGGCTCGCGAGGAATTCCTCGGAACTTGCAAGATCGGCGTAGAGAGCGTGTGTATCGAGGTCACGGGAGTTGAGGAGGGCTTCGGTGGATGGCACGAGGAGGACCTGCCGAGTGCATTCAATTAGCGGATGTTCATGCGGACCAGTTGAGGCCTAAATGCGCATGGAGACCGAGATGGTCAGGAGATCATCATACATGATGCTGGATAGGGGAGCACTGCGCGGGAATTGCGCTCTTGAAGAAAGCCCGTAAGAATGGATTTAGAGGGTGCATCCAATCTCATGTCTGCCTTGGGGCAGCGTCGCGGTCAATCGCAAGGTGATATTGTGCTGCCACGCGAACCGTCCATTGGCAGATGACGCATGTACGTTCGCTCTGGACCGCCGACGTCGTCGAATCTCACTTATTATATGTTTCCCGACAGTCTTGTCCCGAGTTCGTGTCGCCGATTCGAGGCCCGGAGGGTGATGTTGCGTTTGGTGGTGTCGAACCGGAAACTGGGGAGAGTCCGAGGGTGTTATCGGGATCGTGAGAGTGAGTACGTATTGGAGATTCGAGATATTGGGTTTATCGAGGACCGACAAGTGGGCAATGTACGGTACTTAGTTATGAAAACGATTGTGGTGGATCAGTATCGTACTATTGTGGCTCAACAGTCAGGTAAAGTACAGTGTAAAGTGTTGGGAGTTGAGAGTTAGATTGTGAAATGACGAATCCCCTGATGAAAGCAGACCAGAACATCCCTGTTGGTTTCGGCTTGTGAAAGCGCAAAGGCCGCCTTACTCCATACTGCATTCAGCCTTATGCCATACCTGATTTGGTTGTCAGATAATACAATTCGTTAATCCACTGGCAATTCTGTCTAAAGAATAAAATAATAGATGCCGGAGGGCAGATGAGGCAGTACGAATTGAAATTCAACTGAACTCAGAGAATGGGTATATACAAAATCCGACTTGCGAACTGCCCGATTACCGTACCATAACGCCATCCATCCATCCAGTTCATTCACTTCGTTCGACCTCATTCCTGCCATCAACATTGGTCCGATTCCACATTGAGGTTAGACTCTCTCATCCGGCTTAACAGGATCCCCAAACGGGTTAACTGCCAAATCGTCCGCATCGAAGCTGGGCCGTGACGTAGCGCCGGTTCCGTCGACGCCGATATCCTTCCCCATATCGCCAAACCTATTTGACTCGCCGTTCTTCATCTCCCAGCTACCCACTCGCTCGTGGCCCTTCTCAGGAGCCGCCGCTCCCACCACGGTAGCACCCGCTCCCCCCTTTGGGAGGACAAGGTCCTGATCGCTCGCGAGCTTCTGAGACCCCCTAAACCCACCAACCTCGCTGTTCTTCCCACGACGGAGGCGATGGAGTCGGATCCCACCTGCTAGGCCGGCCAAGGCCATCAGGATGCCGACTACCACGAGTGTGACGATAGCACCGATGACTCCAGCAACGGGTAGCGACATACCGCCGTGGCTCCTAGAACTGCTCCCAGAGGATGGCAACAAGCCATTGCCTTGGCTGAATGCTGGGCAAAAGATGCTGGCGTCACCGCAGATCTCGCACCAGTCACTGACGGAGCCTATCATGATGGCTTCCATCTGCTGGACAAATTCGGACCAACGCATATCCTGGTGGCTTGGGCCGTTTGAGAAGATACTGTAGCTCTGCATGGTTTGCTCCTCGGTGCCGTTGAGGAAGTAGAACCGCACCCAGAGATCTGACAACTTAGGGAAATATTCGTCAGACGAGCCCAGGCTGAGAAGCTCGAAAACCGCGGCCGAGCCCTGTTCGGGGAGGCCGATAAAGTTCTGGTTCCTCGAAGTTAAACTAATGAGGCTGAATAGTGCTACCATGGCAGATTCATCGGTGACAATGAGGTTGAGTAGTGTCTCGGTTCCGGACGACGCAATCGTGTTGTTGAGCAACCCAAGGATTTTTGCGGCAACTGTCCGACCAGCGATAGGTCGAACCCATTCATTCGATGTGAGAGACCGACCGTTTGCGCCCGCTACAGACATGTTGCCGGAGTAATAGTACTCCTGAAGAGAGGCATAATGGCGAAGGTTGGCAAGGTAGCCTGTGAAGGGTTCGGCGTCGAACAGTGCTTTAACGGTCGAATTATGCACATATTGGTAGGATATATACTGCCAAATCGTCCGGGCGTTGTAGTAGCTGAAGGAGTTCCCCTTTCGAAGCATCAGCTGGTCGAATGCCTGGGCAATGTTGCTGTACATGATGTGGCTAGACGACTCCAAGTTCGATGCCGGCTGGGAGTTGAGGTAGTTTCCAGCCTCCATCGCCCAAGACATGCAGTTCGTCAATCCATCCAGATAAACGCTCTGGGGGTCCAATGAAGCAACCGTTCGGATCAGAGGGTACTTGTAACCTCCGAGCGGCCCCTCAAAGTAAGATCCATTAGCTAGAATCGCAGTCGGATCCGTGAAGGAGCTGCCGTTAACGTTCATGCTCGCAGGAGGATATAGCCCTTGCATGAAAGCCTGTGCAGCAGCCGGATATTGAGGATTGTCAAGAGTCATTACGTAGGTGTCATCATCGTTAATACGGGTGGTCGAGATGTGCTGAATAGGTGCACGAGGACCACCGAAGTCATTGGCAGAAATGTATCGGTTCCGGAAATAGGACCCCTAAGTTCCGAATCAGTATGACTTTGGTAAGACGTGCCTGGACTATATCGAGATGTCCTCTTCCTGTATTTGAAAGCTCGAGGTACTGACCAAATCGAACATCTGCTGAGCACCCACAGACGTGAGTTGATGATATCCAGGGAACCCCACAGCTGGCGTGAATTCTCCGCCATTGGAAAGAATTACGGAACCATGAAGCGTATAGGACTGCTGGCCAGCCACGAAGGATGTGAAGACCAGCGCAACAACAAGGGCGAGGAATGAAGCTACCATTTCGGCGCACTGAGATTTAGATATGGGGCAGTTTGACGACTAGGATTATGATTTCAAGAGTTCGATAGCAATATGGAGGACAGCGCTCAACGCTATGAGTTCAAGACCAGCAAAATCAACAGTGGCCAGAAAGGCTGGAGGTACAAATTGTATGCAACCTTCATCGTGCCTGCCATGCGAGGTTGCATGCCTTTAAAGATGAGCTGGTCAGCTCTGGAGCAGGAACACATGTCCCCCCCCACCATGCGGGCTGGGAATGTTGTGATCGAGCGATGACGCCTATGACAAGCCGTTGGCCGAGAGGTCAATACGACATTGGCACCCTCTGGTGCAGAACCGATATGGACCTGGATGCAGCCAGACGGTGAGGGCGTAAGATGGACCTCCATGGGTAGCTGGGTAAGTGCGGAATATGGGTCAAGGTCAAGACAACGAGGGAGGGGTAACTGGGGTTAGATGCGAAGTTCGGTAGCTTTCTGATGGTGGGAGGGGTGGCGGGGAGGGGTCTGCATTAGTCCTCGTTCCCGTCAACCTCTCCAGGTCTGCGGATGGCAGCACGCCGATCTTCCTGCCCGGAAGTCGTGGAAACCCGAGGCCGCATTTGACAGGAAGACATCTCCAGTTTGGACATGTAGGACTTGATCAACCGAGTGGACTCATACTGGTAACAAAGACTCGATACGCCGGCTGTAAATTGGGAAATTGAAATAAATGAGGGGAAAGAGAATACTTTCCTGGCAGTGTGATTCTACTGATCTGCATTGCGTGCTTGTGAGAGCTCGCTTGTCTTGGGCTATGGAGAAGCTGAGCGCTGATAAGGAAAACACTGCGTGGTCAGCGCGGGGCTTCAGTCGATAATGGTGCTTGGGGAAAGTCCAGGACAGCTTGCCTGAGCCCAGAAGCCCAGGACAAGAGCAAGATCCCCATGCATTCCCTCGATCTATGGAGCAGAACAGACACCCCAAAGGTAGCTGTATTTCAATCCTTTCATGCCATGGTAGGATCTGTGACTCCGTGTCTTGGGTTGGGGAATATTTCATACCGGTTTGTAGCTTGTGGCATCCAACGAGGCTTGACAGTAACACTCGACACATTTGATTGTCCAACGATAGACATTGAATCATTGCGGATAGCCATGAAATTAATAGCATCATTGGACAAAGGGTAATACTGTCTATAACCCGAAATTCGGCCAATTGGCGGGTCATAGTGTACATCAAGCAAAGCGAGAATTCAACAGCAGGAGAAGAATCTCCAACTGCACCAATCACGTGAACACGCGACCCACGCTAGCCTCATCAGGAATTGATTCCTTGCACCAGTACACGTGCCATTCCCAGCCACGCGTGGAATCTCGAGCTTCAAATGTTTAAATGTTCATTCTCAGCTTTGGATTTGCTTCAATCTTTCTTCTTCACTCGTCACTGCGCTACCAATTGTTGGAATTTGAAATCTTCCCTCTTTATGATCATCCGGCACCCAATGCCTTCAATCTCCGAGACTCTCAGGATGTTGACTTCTGACGGCAGCCCCGAAACACCTGACATCATCTTCCCCCGTTCCACTGCCCTGAGTTGGCCTGGATGTTCCCTAAATGCCCTTGCCCTTCTTCGAAAACAACGACCTACGAAGTTCTCTCCTCGTAGCCGAATTCCGTACTCCGAACGCCCGGTCTTCGGACTTGGCCTTGGGGAGATTCCTAGGACTTCGGTCTGGACCGCTCAGGCGAACCGGGCTTGTTCGAGCTCGGGTCCACTACACCACGCATCCAATGCCTCTGGGTTTTGCTTTCCTCTCAACTTGGCCTGCCAGTAGTCGTCGAAAGTCGATTTGCTGTAATGAAGTTCAATTGAGGCGTACGGAGTTCGACACTTAACCCTACAACCCAACTACTCGGCTGCTTCGCGGATACCATACAACACACATTTGGTTCGGCCTCTTGACTGCTGACGGAGAACTTGCATCCCTTTTTGGTCGATCCTTGTTTACCGGATGCGGTCTTGCTGTCCGGGACTTCGGTCATTAAAAGGCGTCGTTCATTGGGTCCTCTGATACGAGGTCCAGTCGAGACACCAACGGACAATATGGCTGTGGTCTTCTGAATTTGCCTCAATGCTGTGGAATTTATCGGGAATGGGATGTTTGCGAATGCGGTCGTCGAGGGCGCGATGATTCTTCACGGGTTGGTTGTTCGGCTTTCCTCAGACTGTCCGACAAAGAGCGGCATGACTGGCAACGCCTTCTTTCCGCTCTAAGTATTGCTTCAAAGTTCTAAGCGTACCATCTCTGTGTCCGCGTCTTCTTGACGCCACATGCTCGCTATGCCTCTGGACTTGGTTGGGAATGGGTGGGAGGGTAGATTGGCACATCTTCATTAGATGTCACGCCCGGTTCTACCCTCTCAGTCCCACTGTTCCGCCATTCTCCATTGTAGCTAGCGGGTATGCGGCAGTTGATCGCGCTGCTGAACTTAGGCGGAAGACGGCATGCGGAAAAACAGTGTGTCTTCTCGTGTCGGAAACATTGGGGTCTGTCTGTGTGCAACACTGCCCGCGCTCAGTAGTAGCGCATGTTGGGCTGCTTTGAGGCTGAAAATGCCGACGTAGCCCTGACCGCTTCGCCTGCAAACCAGAACTTCTTTGAGGCTTCTTGGTTTCAGTCCCATTACCCCGGTGATCACAGCACCACGTATTATCTCCAAGAGAGATGTGGGCGCATTTCAAGATGCTATCCTCTGTCTATGACATGATTACAAGAGACCTACCGCGTTAATCGTCTGACCTTCGGGTCTATTGTACGACCACCGACACGAATCTCAACCGGTAAAGAATCCAACGCTTTACATGTTGATGTACCTCTCCGGGTACAGATATGCCCCGAGAGAAGGAAGCGGTTTTTTGACGATGTTACTTGTCCGTTTCTCAATGCCCTACCAAGGAATTGCTCCCTGGGGAGGAATCAAAAACTGTCCCTGAGAGATAGGCCGTGTTTTCAAGAGCAGTATCTTGCGATGCAACCCTCTAGCGCTGCAGGGTTTGGGATTCGATATGAGACGGTGTGGAAGGGCGCGCTGCTGGGGCAATGGAGGGGTCTACCGATGAAATGAAGTCAGCTGGCCGATCTTTTGAGTTGAGAGCGTCTTCCAACAAGCGGGTGTGTTCTTCTCAAGTCCGCTTTGGCTCGTCCACGCTCTTGACCTACTCCACTCTTCGATCTCGGATTCTGGGACAATGCAACATCTATGGAGGCCTGCGACTCTCCGCTTTAGCTTCTCGACAGCATCCTCCGGCTCGAACAAGGACGCGGTCTGCAAAATGGAGGTTTGAGGCGTCGGCCAACATCATGGACGGCACGGGACCTCGCAACAGCGATGGCTCAAAGTTTAGGCTTGTCTGTGTCGTCGTGATGCGCTCTGCTCGCCCTACCCGCATTGCTTGCTAGTTGTCGGCGTTCCATTAGTCCTGAGTTGAGTCTGTTGCACTGGCGCTTGACGGCGGAGAGTATGCATGCCTCAGTGCAGAACCTGGGAAATGAGATTCGGGATGGTTTAGTCCTGAGAGTGGATGGTTGGAGGGGATGACGGGGGGACCGGCGTGGTGGCCACCTTTTATTTTTCTTTTATACGTCTCCCCTAACCCTGCTGTGGAAGATTTCTGCTAACTGCGCCAGCAGGATGAGCTTGTCTTGCTTCATGTCACGGTGCTTGGTTCGAATATCGTCATCGATCCACCATGCTTGCACAGGTGAAGAGCGAACATCATGGGTTCCAACACTTCGAAGTGCCATGGTTGTGTGTCGGGTTTTATTCTTTAATGAGACCAACAAGGAGTCGAGGATAATGCAAGCAGGAACACCCAGGTTCGGCCACTGCAAGTCGAGAGAAGACACTGGAAGCTTGAAATGAATGGCAAAGTCCAGGCATCGATAACGATCGAGTCCCTTGACTTCTAAGGGAAGGGTCCAAGCTTGAAATGGGAGCAGGGAGCAGGGATGAATTGGAGAGGATTTCTCGGGCAACGAATTATGGTCCGTTTTACGGGAGGCTTCATAGATACCCCGATCATCGGATCACGATCTCGGTTGAGAGATGCGGAAAAACCGGTGACAACCCCCGAAAAGCTGCGGATGGGGGACAATTCCCATAGTAGGAGTTTATTTGGAGGACGGAGGAGATGGGATGGGATTTCTTATGATCATGATACAACAGCGGGCTTGGCGTACCCCTCGTTGTACGTGTACCGCCATTTGACCCTGTGGTTCCACTGGCGTCTTAACGATAAAAATTCATCCTTCATCCCGCATCCGCCCCCCATTTTATTACACCTGACCTCCCAATCTGCCCTCTTACTTAACTTACCACCTACACTTCACCCCTTCATCTTCCTTCTACCCTCAAGAATCTTCCACTACACAGCTCCATCCATATTCAATCCGCCAAAATGTCCGCTCCCGCACACAAGTTCAAGGTCGCTGATATCAGCCTGGCCGCCTTCGGCCGCCGGGAGATTGAGCTCGCCGAAAATGAGATGCCCGGTCTGATGGCCACGAGGGAGAAGTACGCAGAGGCCCAGCCGCTTGCTGGCGCCAGGATCGCAGGATGCTTGCACATGAGTATGATTGACGCCCCATTCCCAGAGGCTGTTGCTGACAACGCTTTTAGCCATCCAGACCGCTGTGCTGATCGAGACGCTGACCGCCCTTGGTGCTGAGGTCACCTGGTCCAGCTGCAACATCTTCTCCACTCAAGATCATGCCGCTGCTGCCATTGCTGCCACCGGTGTCCCTGTGTAAGCCACCCCGAACGATCATTGTGGTTTCGAGCTTCAAGCTGACGTCCTGGATTTAGTTTCGCTTGGAAGGGCGAGACCGAAGAGGAATACCAATGGTGCCTCGAGCAACAGCTCACTGCCTTCAAGGATGACAAGAAGCTCAACCTTATCCTCGACGACGGTGGTGATCTTACCTCGCTCCTTCACACCAAGTATCCTGAGTCGCTCAAGGACTGCTATGGTGTCTCAGAGGAGACCACCACCGGTGTTCACCACCTCTACAAGATGCTGAAGAGCGCAGGCACCGGACACGGTCTTCTCGTCCCTGCCATTAACGTCAATGACTCCGTCACCAAGTCCAAGTTCGACAACCTTTACGGCTGCCGTGAGTCTCTCATCGATGGAATCAAGCGAGCCACCGATGTCATGATTGCTGGCAAGATTGCCGTCGTCGCTGGTTACGGTGATGTCGGCAAGGGCTGTGTTGAGGCTCTTCACTCCATGGGTGCTCGTGTCCTCGTCACTGAAATCGACCCCATCAACGCGCTTCAAGCCGCTGTCTCCGGATTTGAAGTCACCACCATGGAGGAGGCTGCTCCTATCGCCCAGATCTTCGTGACCACCACCGGATGCCGTGACATCATCACCGGCGACCACTTCTCCGTCATGCCGAACGATGCCATCGTCTGCAACATCGGCCACTTCGACATCGAAATCGACGTCGCCTGGATCAAGAAGAACGCCACGTCGGTCCAGAGCATCAAGCCCCAGGTCGACCGCTTCCTCATGCCCAACGGCAGGCACGTCATCTTGCTGGCTGAGGGCCGTCTCGTCAACTTGGGATGTGCCACCGGCCACCCGTCGTTCGTCATGAGCTGCTCGTTCACCAACCAGGTCCTCGCGCAGATCATGCTGTTCAAGGCCGCCGACGTGGAGTTCGGCAAGAAGTACATCGAGTTCGGCAAGTCCGGCAAGCTCGACATTGGCGTCTACGTCCTCCCCAAGATCTTGGACGAGCAGGTCGCCGCTCTTCATTTGTCGCACGTCAACGCCAAGTTGACCAAGTTGACTTCCGTCCAATCCGAGTACCTCAGCTTGCCGGCTGAGGGACCTTACAAGCCAGACCAGTAAGTTCCCACCCCACCGATGATAGTGACTAGCTCTAACAGATGCCCCAGTTACCGATACTAATTTCGCGATCAATCGCCTATATCTTTCATTGAGATTCAACATGTGTGATGACGGCGGGACGACGGTGGGACGACGATGCATTTAACACACATCGGGTTCAAGCAAACTGTCTTCAACGGCATAGCTAGAGGCGCATTCAGCGGGCATCATGTGGATCCAGTCTTCAACAAGACCCACGGTTTGGAATTTGGGCCTACCTCCCGCATGGCATATGGATGTTTGGCGTTACAAGGGCTCGGGCACCCGTTCAAAAAGTGCATTCTCATCCAAGCGAATGCAGAGGCGCTGGTATTTAACAACGTAATGCTAGGAGACTCAACAAGGTCAGAAGACCAAAAATGAAACCAAGATTTATTCAGTGTTCCATAACGTGTGTGAATGAAGTGTTGGCTAGACTTCATTATCAGACTTTCTTCATAACAGTTTCGTTCGTTCGTAACGTCATCGGATCGACTTAGCCCTTGGTAAAACCAGGATGCACCAATGCAACTGTCTATGTCCAGTTGGGTTTGCCCAACTATCCATCCATCATATACATGCTTAAATCAGATCGACCTCGTCCCATCCGAGTCTCTCATACAGAGACCTTCCAGTCACCTCTTCCTCGTCATCCGACATCGTGATCCCGCTATCGACCTTCTCCCTGATCCGTGGTGTCTTGGCGGACGCAGCATTGTCCACCGGCTTCAGGAACGAAAGACCACCTTTTCTTTGGGGGGTCACGGCAACTGGTGCTTTGACAGGCGTCACCAGCACCGTTGCATCCGTCAATTTCAACGGTGTTGACAAGACCGCTATACCATCCCCATCCCCATCCTGAAGCAACCCAGGGAAAGAGAGGACCTTGTCCCCTCTACGGGATGGTGTCTCAGCGATCGCGCTCCTGGCCGAGGACGGAACTGCCAGAACATCCCGGTGCCCTAGCCTCGGACCAGATGACGGGATCAGAGAAGGGGTCGCCGCGACACCAAAGGTCTGCTGGCTGCCCGATGTAAGAGCCTTTCGCTGAAGGATCGGACTGATTGGATATGGAACGTCCCCCGACTGCGCGAAGACCACGTTCGAATGGTTCCGGCGGGGGGTAGCTGAGACTTGAATTCCATCCTCAACCGCGAGACGGCCCGGTTGCGGCATATCTTTTCTACTCAGCTGCGTACCCTTTCCTTTGCTGGCCCCGGGTACGGGTTTTCGAGCTTTGGTGGTAGTGGAACGTTGTTGCTCGACTCCATCCAGGTACTCTTGGCCTGCCTTTGCGCGATCCGGCTTGCGAATTTGGCCAATAGCTTCGCGCAGCAGCTGGCTCTCGGCTTGTTTCTTCCGTGCAACTTTAGCAGACGTGGCGGAACTGAAAGCGTTGAGGTTGACCTCCCGTTGCTTGAACTTGGAGAATTGCGACATGGAGCCGCGAGAAGCGGCTCGCTTCGATGGGTGATTGGTATCGCTCACGGCGAAAGGGATGGCGGACAGGGAAGCGGGTTGCTCGGAGACTTCACGCTTGATGGGGAGGAGAGAGTCGGTTGACGATCGCGCCAGCTTGGGGTGTTGTCGAGGTGTGGCAGATGAGTTGGTCTCTGTAGCAATCCGCTGCAAGGGTCGTCTGGCCGACTTTTTATCAGGTAAGGGCACCTTTGGATGCTCTCCCTTCGACGAGCTGATGGCCTTCGCAGGTTTCGGTCTCAGGGGCGAGGGTGCCGATGGGCCGCCAAGCTTTTTGCTGATTGAGGATGCAAGTTGTGGGATGCGAGCCATGTAGAAAGGGACGATGACTTCGATACAGAAGCTTCGAGGCCTATCCCGGTTTTCAGGCTGATCCGAGGTACCATGTTTCGCGTCCGGTGTTACGGCCGGGATTCCTTCATCCATCGATTGCCAGATGCAGAGCTTGTCTACCAGGAGGTCGACTACAAGCTCGAGATTTTGGGCCTTTTTCTTCCTCTTTGATTTCTTAGGCATCCCTGCTTCTAGGTCCCCAATTTGGCTTTCAGCATCGTCTCTGGTAGCAACTTCGGATTTGTATTGCGGAGATTGTTCGATGGCGAGAATCTCCAGGATGATTACGATCTGCGCAAGGGTCTCTCGAATCCTTAGTGCCGATGCCAGCCGCCGGATGATCTGCTCTAGAGTATCATCGTGTGCGACTCTGACCGTCTCGCCAGGGTTTCTCCACCACTGCTTGATGTACTCCTCTTCAACACCGTAAAGGCCGTCCCTTTTAAGTTTCAACTTCCTTATGCCCGGCTTCTTCGGTTTCTTCTTTTGGGGAGATTCATCGTCCGACATCGGAACAATCGGAATTGGTCTCACGGTCTCAGGAATCTTCTCCTTGTACTTTGTGTCCATTTGAGATGCTGAAAGCACCATGGTCTTCAGATGATCTGAAAGTTCAGAGATTCGCACCGCGCCGTTCTCGGAGCCGCTGAAATGATTTCGTGCGCGCGAGAGCGGTCCTTTCGCGAAGTATGCGAGTGATGTTCGGGAGGTGTAGAGTATCTTGAGGTATTCGACGACCAAATTTCCGAACACATCTTCAGCGGAGGCTAGTGGGCGTTCGGGTTCGAAATGGTTTATGCCAGTATCTTCAGTCGATGGTTCTCCATATGGCGGTTGCTCTATATCTGGTGTGGGAATGTTTTGCTTGGGAGGCGGCACTGACATGTCGAAAAGAGGGACACGGGGTTTCTCAGGTTCCTTGCCCTTTAGATGGCATTTCTTGTGTAGCATTGCACCGCTCCACCAATTCTCCTTCTCGTCAGGTCTCACCATCTTATGAAAGCCTTGAGTATCCCCTTCGGGTGCGCCTGAGATCTCGGCCAGGTCCTTCGTTGTGACCCATATTGCCAGCTTCCGCAATGCATATATGCGGTTCTTCACCCTTTCTACGGCATAAAACGGCTTGCTTTGGCCGGCCTGTAGCTGTGCGATGAGGATCTTGGATAATAACGGACCACCCGTATCCTGTTCTTCATCTTCGAGGACCGGGATATTCGCTGAAAAGAGGTCGCAGACCGGAATAGCTGGTGGGCCAGATGAGTTGCCGGCATCGAGGAAGCAGAGTGGTATGTTTACGCGTGGTATTGTCCGGATAGGTGTAAGGATGAAGGGGCTCTCATATATTGAGGTCGGATGAGACTTGAGCATTGTTAGCGAAGCCTTCGCCCATAGGACGGACACCTTACGCGGATTATGATAGGTCCATTGCAGGCCTGCTCGGGAACATGTTTCCCTCTTTTCCTTTTCCGCGAAATTGACTGCTCCAGTTCCAGTCCGATGCTTGATCGGAGCGGTGATTCAGGCTCATGAGGGCGGTTCGTAGGCTCATGAAAGATGCTGGACATATTAATAGAACTACGGATGATCAAACGCAATATCCTTCCGCATATCCATAGGAATATAGGCGTTCAGAATTGCAGTCCGTAGTAGCAATGGTACTTTGTATAAAGTTGTAGTGTAATATTCAAGCTCCACCCACTGCTACGTACCGTCTTCGCGTCGTTCCGCGTCCCCACTTCGACGCGATGAACGAGTAACACGTGACGCAATCCCTGGAGCTTACATCAGCTAATCACCACTCTCGTCTCTGCCGCCTCCGACTCTCCGCAGTCCGCACCCTAATTACATTCACATTTTACACACGCTCCTCCTCGCTCGCGTCGTTGACATTTGAAATGGATCCTGTAATCTGAGGACCTGTGACTGCCGTATTGGGATTAGCGTTCCGGTTCGGGTTTAGCGTTTCTTTGATTCTTTCCGTTTTCAACCCTCTCAAAACTTCCCAACATACGACATAATTTCGCAGTAAATGTGAGGGTTCGAGTCAAATGGATTCGATACCATAGTAAATAGTTAACGTTATGAATTCAGTTAAAGAAAGAGAAGAAGAAAAGCCCTCTCCTCTCCAAAGGAAGTCTGCTAATATACCCAGAGGCATCGTATAGGCCATGCAGTTTGCTACACGCTGCAGGTGATCACACTGCAGGTGATCACGTGTTGCTTGCTTGTGCCTTCAGCTTAATACCCCAGGCCGCCAGGCAAACAACCACGCCTGAGCCAAAGGCTCAACAGAAGACTATTACAATAAATTCCCTATCACGGGCGAGGGGTTCCAAACACGGCCTGGGTTTAATTATATCGTCTTGCCGCGACCTACCCCCCTCTCGCTCCCAACCACCAACAACCCGTAGCCAACGTATTTGCACGCAACATCATTAACCAACGGCGATCACCTAACTTATCCAGATGCAGTCTCCCTTCATATCAGGTCCCTGCTAGGAGCGTTCAGGTTGATCAAATAGGCTCTGGCCTCTAGTATCGTCTTCTGAGCGAACGGACCTTTTGCCTACGCTACCATCGCAATGGACGATATCGACGACCTGCGACAAAAAGTCCTAGAGGATCAACGCCGATATGAAGCAGCCAAAAAACTTGTCGCTGCATCGCAGCCGCAGACCCTTCAACAATACCTCGAGACCTGTCATTCACTCCATCTTGCTATTCAGGCTGTAACTGACCGATCTCTGACTACGCAAAGCGAGACTACCTATCCGACCGGCCATATTTTCCCTCGACAAATTATACCCTGGGATGACTTTGCAACGAGACAGGAGGAGATCTGGAACGCCCTTTCGATCGGCGACTTGTTCTCCATGCCCGCATTTCCATCTCAGCATCAGATGGATTATGTGAAGTCGTTGCTCAAGCCTATTAGCAGTGAGATTGGGCTACATCTCTTCGAGCATGATGTCGTCGAAAACGCCGTTCAGAAGATAGTGGACCGGGCAAACATGGATCCGCTGCTGCGAAAAAACCTTGACCTCCAAAGGTCCGTGACGTTCGAGAAGCACATGGATCGCGGTACAACCGACGACCCCATATCTCAGCCCATGGAGCACATGCCTCTTGGTGGGGGAAGTCCTGGTGTCGCGGCGTCAGCGTCTATCCCGGAGCGACCGACGGCTTCCAAGACTCGTCGCAAAGCGAGGGGCAGGAGCATTCGGGCGGACCAATTTTGTATATACAGGACTACGGGTGGCCGAAATGTCCCAGCGCTCGCTATTGAATACAAGGCACCGCACAAGCTGACAGTGGACGAGATCATCACAGGTCTTGAGTCAGAAATTCAGCCGGAACGTGATGTGATCAACAATGATGGCCGAGGTTTTGGCTCCACAGCCAGGCGGCTAACCGCTGCCGCCATCACCCAGCTCTTCTCCTATATGATCGGCAAGAGCATCCGGTACGGTTACGTGTGCACTGGACAGGCGCGCGTCTTCCTCCACATTCCAGACGATCCGTCAATAGTCTACTACTCGGTATGCTTACCGGACCAAGACGTAATGGACGGCGACGAGACGAGACTCCATCGAACAGCCGTCGCACAGGTTTTTGCCTTTACTCTCCAAGCTTTTCGCGCAAGTCCACCGTCCCAGTCATGGCAAGACAAGGCCGAGACCCTTGGTCTTTGGGCTGTGGAGTACGATGATATTCTGAAAGATATCCCCCCCACAGAACGAAAACGCAAGGAACCCCGTGCTTCTCCGTATAAGCCGCAGCGCTGGGAAGGCTTCAAGAAGTCGCCAGTTCGGATCCAGTCTCGCTGCCAGCAGACAAACCCTAGTGCTGGACCGTCAGAGGAAGACAACGACCCTCCCTCCCTTACCCCCAACCCCTCTCGTACTGGTGGGAAAGCGGCGCCGTCGAGAGGAACAAGCTCGCATGGTGGTGGGAACCAAGGACAACACCGAGGCAAGCAGCAGCAGTCGGGCCCGGCGACTAAGTCGGACATACAAAGCCGGCCATTCTGTTCACAAAGTTGTCTCCTGGGATTAGCATATGGCGGGCCTGCGGACGAGAACTGCCCTAACGCAGACTATCACGGGCAGGAGCACATCAGCCGGTTCGAGTTCCTCCGACTCATCCGAGACCAGCTTGCCACGGACCGTGGCTGCGATGCGGATTGCACACCACTCTATCTATCCGGGGCGCGCGGATCACTCTTCAAGGTTCGGCTGTCATCCCACGGCTATACGCTCGTTGCCAAGGGTGTAGAGGGACTTGATCTTGCCCTCCTACAGCACGAGAACGAGATGTACAACCGACTCCGGCCTATCCAGGGAAAACACATTCCCGTATGTCTCGACCGTATAGACTTGGTCCGGCCATACTACTATGACTGCGGTGTTTACGTGCATTTCATGTTTCTCAGCTGGGCTGGACAACCCCTGTTTAACTGTGTGGTCCAGGCCATTAAAACGGACATCAACGACGCCGTCAGCGCAATGCTCAAAGCAGTGCACAAATTGGGTGTTCTTCACCGTGATGCAGAGCCCCGCAACATCCTATACAATACAAATAGCGGCAAGCTCATGCTTGTGGATTTCGAGCGTGCAGAGTTCTGCGATCGCCAGCCTCTCGGCTTGATATCTCCTAATGCCCAGAGTCGGAAAGGGAAGAGGAAGCGTGGAATCTTGCAGAAACAAAAGAATGACGACTTTACGAAAGAGCTGGAATGTGCTGTGGAGACGGTTTCAAGGTATACTGCGCGCTTGCCCGGTCCGACAGTCGTTGGTGTGGGCACAAAAATATAATTACATATAAGGAATCTCGACAATTGGCGGAGGTACAGGAGGAACCAGGGTCACCATGAGGAATGGTGAGCCTACATGTTGAAAGTCCACTGCGGTAAAGGGGACCCCTCGGCTGAGAGTGTAAGTCCTGTTATTTTACTTGACAATATAGGTCTACACTCCTTTGATCTTGCGTTCAACTCATCAGATTCTATCTGTAAAACAATGGCCAGCAAAAACTATGTGTTTCGTGTATCGCGCCTCCACTAATTTGACTTTATCTAAACATTTGAGAAGAAGATATCCTAGGATATTTGGAAGCCTCCAAAGACTGTCCAGAGCATGTCATGAAAGTACGACGCCAATGTTTGGTTGATATGGTGTTTCTAGTAGGATTTCCAGGCACTGCCCCTTTTTGGTTTCTATTATCATTCATTCCAATATTCGTCCGAGTATATTGCATTCCTTTTGTAAGATCGCAGGCCCCGAGTCTTCTCAAGCGCCAGCCCAACCAGTCGGTGTAGAACAAACAAGTCAATCGAAAAGCTCACCATCCGCTCGCTAAATGGCTCAAATACAACGCAAGGGTTCAAGAGCCCATAGACAAATGGGTATCGTGCGTGATACAAAACAAAGAATAGGCCAAAACTGAGCAGGGGGGAGTCGGGCGGGACACTGCTCAATCATTATAAGCATTCAGGAGTCATTGCACGTCGTTGTACTGGACTTCGAATCTTTGTGGTTTCCTGATAATGGCTTTGTCAGAACCTCCGTATGAATCGATTGCGACTCCGCAGATCTCGTCCCCGCTGCCTGGAACCTACCGCCTGACGCCTCCATATCAGTCATATAATCTAGATGGTCCGGTCGGAGTAGTAGCGGCGGTTCTTCCGATTCGGGTTCATAATATGAATCGAGAACGGAGGTGTGTGTTTCGTTGGTGTGAGTTCCTCGAGTATTATGTTGTATCATCACTGGTATGGAACTCAAGGCGTGGTCGTCGCGGGTGGGGCTGGCTGCATAGGAGCCGTCGCTCATCATCATGGTAGCACCGAATCCGGAATCGAATTGCTTAAGGAACTTCTTCATGCAAGGAATGGTGGTGGCAATTAACGAGTAATGAAGCCCAACTTGCGTGAGAACGGCAGGATAAGTCGCATCCAGCGTGGCATCGGACCCGAGTGAGGCGACGTGGATATGGATGACACGAAGAATTGAGGAAGGGATGATTCTGGACGAGGTGAGTTTTACAATCCATCAAGAGGTCGCATCCAACGAAAACTGATACGTACAACAAGCGGCATAGAAATGCAGCGCAGACCGTTAGCTTTATTTTGACGGGCATATATAAACTCCAGACGAGGAAAACGGAGAGGGAGAAGAGAAGAATCTCGATCAGAATGTTCATCGTCTCGACAACAGCCCATCGAACGGTCTACTCGACGTTAGCTATGGTTTACTAGCGCTTGACGACCAGTTGCATACTATATGCTTGCAACACTCGACATCTGATGTGTCCCATGGATGGGGAGGGCGACACTGAAAGGAAGCGACGAAGATGTTAATGAAGCCCGCCATGATGATGAACAATGTGGCAGCATTGCTACTGCTTAAGTGGTGCTTTGTTCTTGTGAGTCGGGTTATTAAGAGTGCCATCGAGGCTTGAGTCGAGCAAATGGTGACTATATAGAGGATGAACGAAGCGTAATGAGCCTGTTCCCCACATTAGCTGACTTTAAGAGTCGATCTGTCAAGGCCCGAGAAGGCGAACCTGAAGCGCTTTGCGAATGTCGCCAGCGGAGAGGTCCGAGGATGACTGGCCGAGTCCATGCCGCACACCATCGAGAGTGACTCCAGTCTGCGTGACGCCAACCACCTGAACAAAGGTCAATATCAGCCACAGGGAAGTACGGAACACAAACCCCACTGTTGCAAAAGTCGCCAGGTAATCGTCCCAGGAGATCGGGCCACTGATACGAAGACGAATAAAGCCACGAACGAAGTAGAAAATCACCGACCATGTCAAGCCAAGGATGGCTACAATGGCGATGATTGCTTTCTTATCAGCACTAGAGACAGTAAGATGGTCACTCCCGTCCGCGGGAGCCATGCGGGTAAGAGTAGCCAGCTGCCAGGGGAAATAGACTTCAAGAAAGACAGGATAAGGACCATGAAGCTTTCGTGAGGAACTGAAAGGTATCCCAAGATCGTAAATGAAGCGGTTTTACATGCTATCAGCATGAAAGCATAGGGTTGGGAGATTTGGATAGAGCGAGGGGAGGTTAACTAGAGATACATTAAGTGGTATTAAGTCCTTGGTATATTCAGTGTTGATCAATGTTCTTGACCAGGAGGTCGAAACGATCCAGGATGACGAGCATGCAGGACTCTTGCGGTGATCGCCTCAATTATGCGTGCAATAACCATGTATTCGGTAGGTCGAGACTCAATAACTAATAAGACGGCGCAATGCCCTGACAGTCAGATCGTCAATATCACACCTGCCACCATGGACATCGCGATATCTGCCAAATGGGAGATCACCGACACGCTGGAACGGGTCCAGGCCGTCCAGCACGCAACATTTTCAGCGTCCTATGAGGATGGTACCGATCCAGGTAATTGTACATTTGAAATTAGGGGACCAGAGACTCGGAGGATCCAAGAGAGACCTATGAAGGGAAATGATGGAGGAGGATTGTCGTATGCAGGCATAGTATGATCTGAGAGGTGTTGATAGGTGCAACGAGACTGTTGAGTGAGGCGTAAGTGGGAGGAGTTGATCGCCCCGGCCGTGATTGAGGAGAAAAACCGTGCACAATTGAATACTCTGTAGAGGGAGACTGGCCTCACTGGGTATCTGGATCACTGATGCACAATGAGGCGCCATTCCTGTACACTGGAAGTCACAGTGGAGGGAAATGATCGGCGATTCAGCATCTCCGAAACAGGCTGGCCGTATTCGTATCCCCCACAATCATCCCACTCTACAGTGCGCGCAACGAGCCCATCACTCCCCGAACCCTCGTCTTTGATGTTCCAGGCTTCACACTATTGGTCGCTAAGGGGGTGGTCTCATTCCCTGGCGACTGTACGTAGGAATATTGGGAATATTGGGCAAAATGCAGATGCATTCAGTGGCCCCAGTGCCCCACAGTTCACAAATCACAACAGGGGCAGTATTCATGTTTCACTCTTGGGATTTACACTTTACAGAGGGTGCATCCACCTGTCTGAGACTGAGTGAGACATGATATATGATAGGACGAACGGGGATTGTACGTTCTAACTCGTATCGCCGTTCATAGGGGTTGTTGCTGGGGATCTTGAGTATTGGTCATCGGAGTATGGACGCAGACCTTTAACTTTTGGAGTTTGATATCTCGCTAAGTCGTGGAGTCGTGGGTCGATCGCGGGAGGGGGCGCGACCCGCAGCGGAGATTTAGCAGGCCCAAGCAGGATACTTTACCATTCACTCACTCAGGGAGTCAGGGTCCACCAAGCACACTCTAGTTAGCTGAAGGGGCATTAAAAAACAAATCAAGCAGCATGATGGACGACTCTAGGCTGGTGGCTCGCTTTCCATGTCCCAGCAAATGCTGTGTCACTACGGCTGTGCTACCACGGCTGTAATACCGTATCGACTTGCATCCGAGTCTGTAAATTGTAACCTGCAGCTCCAACAGAATACTTGGACATTTACAAACTATCTCGAGGTCCCGACTTCGAGCTGCTCTAGCCTTTATCATTCGGTTCCACCGTTAGTTCGACATGGGCAGAGGCTTGGCACGAGTCGTGCATCGGCTTGCTTTTATGCTTCCCGGTTCCCGCTGTCCGGCACCCGTTCAAGCCATTTCTTAATTCTTTCTTTCGACCTGGTTGGTCTCCTGCTTTTCCATCATTATACCGCTTCGTCGAGCCTTCAACAATCTAATTATATGAATTAAACATGGTCGGTTGCTCACCATCCTTCGCGTGCGTCCCTTTAGTGAGCAGGGTTCGTGCTGGAATGACTGCAGGTATTTCAGCTCCCATGTGGTGTTGGGATAATGCATAATGGGGGACCCGGCTCCATGCTCCATCCCTAATTCGGCACATCAATGAGGTCTGAGGCAATTGGCCAACAGGACGCCCTCTGCAGCTTGTACTTTCGCAGACATGCCACTGCCATACTTGAACGTCGTTTCGCCCGTCCTACTTCAGTCTGAAGCCTAACATGAAGGTGTATCGTTTGGTCGAGTGACGCTCCTCCCCTTCGCTAGTATCAGTATCCTTGTGCTTTGTTCTTGCGCCGTGCTCGACCATCCACTTGTGGCATCGGTCCTCGACTTGGAGTTTACCACTGTCGTTGTCAATGACTTCGATTACCCGAAACAATCATGTCGGCCGGAGTAACCTACAACCTTTCGCAAAATGGCAGCATGGAGAAGTCTGCTCCAGCTGCGACGGGCGAAGCGCAAGAAGGGGGCAATTATAGCTTTGGATATGAAGACAACCTGCCGGACGAGTTGAAGAAAGGCTTTACACCCTTCGATAAGAAAGATATGCATCGTATGGGCAAGAAACAGGAGTTCAGGGTGCGTGTTCCATGGATCGAGATTTCACGGCGGCCGGGATGACTGATTCGACTGCAGAGAAACTTCAAAATGGTATCTGCCATTGGTTTCACAACCTGTGTCATGGGCACCTGGGAAATCGCTTTGACGTGAGGTTTCCCCCGATAACCCGGCTCCTTTCAATCTAACCGGGCAGTTCGAACAATGCAGCATTGACCGCGGGTGGGAAAGCTGGCTACTTCTGGTCGTTGGTATGGTGTGCCATCGGCCAGGCGTTCATCGTCCTCTCGATTGCAGAGATGGCTTCAATGTACGTGGAATTCATATACTCCAGCTAGGTCAATAGCTAATTTAACCACAGGGCACCAACGGCTGGAGGACAATACCATTGGTATGATCGCCGATCCTTGGGTATACTTGGTTGCAACAACCATTGATTTGGAGCTAGGGTCTCGGAATTCGCGCCTCCACGCATTCAGAAATCGCTGAGTTATATCTCAGGTTGGTACCCATACACAATCGACGATTTATCTGGTTTGCTCACTCTGGACCAGGATGGCTGTCCACAATCTGCTGGCAGAGCATCATCGCTGCCGGTTGTTGGGTTATTGGCAACATCATCCTGGCTCTGGCATCGATTAACAATGTGGATTTTGCCCCAACACTCTGGCAAGCCACCCTCATTATATTCGCCGTGGTTATCGCCATATCCCTCTTCAACATCTTCGCTGCAAAGCAATTGCCCTTGGCAGAAGGTCTTTTCGCCCTGTTCCATATCTTGGCCTGGTTCCCAATCGTGATCACCCTCTTAGTGCTTTCACCCAAGGATTCCGGCCGAAACGTGTTCCTCACGTTCACTGACAATGGTGCGGGATGGCCAAACTTGGGCTGGGGTGCGTTTGTTGGACAAGTGTCAGCGATGTGGACTTTGATCGGTCAGTACCTCAGTGTGGAAAGAACCCTTGCGAGTTCCTAACATGCTTCCAGCTTCCGACTCCGTCGCCCATATGTCCGAGGAAGTCGAGAATGCCAGTGTCATCGTCCCGCGCAGTATGGTGATCGCCTATGCCTTAAACGTCCCATTCGCCTTTGGTATCATCCTCACCTACCTCTTCTGCCTGGATAGCATCGACGACGCAGTCACAGACCCGACGGGCTTCGCGTTCATCTACGTCTTCAAGAAAGCTACCAACAGCGCTGGAGGCGCATCCGGCCTTACCGTTATCATTCTAGTCCTGATGGTCATGATCACCATCAGCTCGCTCGCCTCCACCTCTCGACAGACATTCGCCTTCGCACGCGACAAGGGGCTGCCCTTCCATAACTGGCTTGGGCACGTCCACCCGAGGCTCCATGTTCCCGTCAACTCGATCATCTTTTCCTGCACCTACACGATCCTCATTTCCCTCATCAATGTCGGTTCGACCGTCGCATTCTTCGCCATCGTATCGCTCGGCACCTCCGCGCTCATGGCCACGTATTTGATCTCTATCGGGTGCGTCGCGTACCGCCGGTTCACTGGGATGCCGCTCCCGAAGGCGCGCTGGTCCCTGGGGAAATGGGGGATCGTCGTCAACTACCTGGGAATTATCTATGCGTCGTGGGCGCTGTTCTGGGGGTTCTGGCCCACATTTAAGGGCGTGACTCCGGAGAACTTCAACTGGGCCGTTGTTCTATTCGTGGGGCTCATGTTGATAGCTGCCATTCTGTACTTCGTGCAAGCGCGGCACGTGTACGAAGGCCCTGTCTCCACGGTTGAAGGCCGTCGCCGGGACGAATAAGCGATAATTATTTGGGGTTGTACTTCCATTACACTACTAACTATCAGTGGTATGTACTATCTGATGTAAGGTCGGCGGTGCCCCATGCGGCAGGCGATGTCCCTGGCTCCCTATGACCCTGCCTCTCCTCCACTTACCTAATTCCGTTAGGGTTGGTTCGAATCGTATCAGACTTGGCACTGCACATTAAGAACGGCAAAAATGCCCTGCCGTCCCACATGTTGATGTTTTGGATGCTCTAATCTATCCACTCCGTACATTCATTCTCAACTTCAAGGCAGTAGAACACCATGAGTTGATGATCGCGGTCATACGCTGCAAGGCGCGAAACCCGTGAAACCCGCGGAATCCGCAAAATCCTCGTATTACCTACATCTTACTATTATCTTCAAACTTCAAACCACCTCGAAAGATGAGCCGAAAGATAAATCGAAAGATAAGGACCGTACTCATAACCTTTTGGTATACTAACATAAATACTAAAATACTATGGGCAAATCTGTTCTAGATTCAGCTAAGACGTTTTCTCCTAGATTTGCTTCTGCTTTCGTTAAGTACCTGTAGTTTCCTGTCTTTTATATCCAAATCTTTTCAGCAAAGTTGTCAATATGGCTCCAGCAACAGTGTCCAAAGGTTGGAAGATCCATGAGTTCACTCCGGAAACCGCAACTCCACGGAAGCTTGCCGACGCTCTCATCCAGGACAGTGGCTGTTTCGTACGTGGGCTCATTCCTCTCCAAGTGATGGATCAGATCGAGAAAGACGTGCGTCCGTACTTCCAGAACGACCAACCATGGCTCGACAAAGTTGCCTTCCCCGACAAGTCACGCCGTGTACAAGGCATTGTCAGTAGATCCAGGGCGTGGACGGAGAGCCTCATTGGAAACGAGCTGTATCAGGATACGGCCAACATCATCCTGTCTTCCAAAATAGCGTATTGGTATGGAGACATCCGGGTGGAAAATGCCCATTACCCCAAGCTCTGCAGCGCTCTGGGCTTCTCCATTCTGCCTGGCGCCGAAGCGCAAGGTCTTCATCGGGATTGTACCATTCACCACAACGGTCTGGAAGAGATTACCCCGAAGCAGTATAGGCCGGGCCGCGATACGCAGTTCGGAATGTTTGTGGGTGGTAACAAGGGAACCAAAGAAAACGGCATCACTCGCTTTGTCCCACGTAGTCATTTGTGGGATATGGAAACAAAATCATGTGAAGATCAGGCGGTGTACGCGGAGATGGAAAAAGGGGACGCATTTTTCATGCTTGGAAGCTGTTACCATGGGGGAAGCGCGAACAACACGAAGGATGAAGAGCGTTTAGTGTTTGCTTCCTTTAGGACCTAGGGCCACTTACGATCGGTTGGTCTTCTCCACGACCGTTCCTCGATGAAAAGGTGCTGACTATGCCTACAGCACGAGAATCAGTTTTGGTCTCACTCCAAAGAAACCATCGCCTCATATGACAAGCGGATGCAGAACATTATTGGCTATAGACTGAGCACTCCACTGCTGGGCTGGGTTGACTGGCGGGATCCCAAGGCTCTCCTAGTTCCAGAAGAAGAGGCCAGGGCTTATGGAATTGGCTACATCGAGGATGAGAGGGTCGAGTATCTCAACATGCCAGCAGAAACCAACCGACCCGAGGTCACTGTGACGTGAGCTGGTTCAGCAGTGTTGTTGATCGAGGTATCGAAATGTGTACATTAATCAAACTCTTCTCACATATGGTCAAGTGATGGCTTTCCCATGCGTCTATCATCGACGAGCCTCCAGTCGGCCTCCGCGCTCTAATTCGTCCTGCGTTCATTACTCTGCTTAAATAAATGTGGTTTCGTCGAGAAGAAGTGGGCGCTCGGCAAATGGGTTTCTTGCTGCCTTCTCGCTGCCTTTATAGTAGTAAATAGCTCCTCATAGCTAGGTACCGACAGTACCGTACTGGATCCATGACATGAGTCGAAGCAGGGCTCGAAACAGACCTCGAAACATGCATTAGCCGTGGGTGCACAGAGTATTGGTGGAAATGGTAGAACCGACCGTAGAACTCGACTCCAAGCTCAGTCCGACTCCCGCTGCTCCAAACTCCAAACACTCTGGGGGACGCGTCCGGCCAATGAGACGAGCTCAATGGGCACCACTTCTGGGCTCTGCTGCACCACCTGCTCCACGACTATTGACCACCACCACCAGTCCACCACCCTCTTCATCATCCATTCGACCTCACCATCACCATCACCTACCCACCCCCCCTTCTACATAAACATTGACTCTGTTCCCCTTGAAATCCCGCCTCCTTATGCTTTACCAATCCCCACCTGATCTGACCTCGTTCCCGAAAGCACCGAACCCTTTGACCCATCACGCCCCCGGAATTCAGACCCTTGAATCCGAGGGCGTTCAACACGTCCCCGTATTGAGTCGAGGGCAGCTATGAAGGCCACACCACTGTTAATCTCGTGGCACAACGACCAGTCCCCCATCTACTCCTGCCACTTTGAACCGCATGGAAAGGGGAGACTAGCGACTGCTGGAGGAGACAGTAATGTTCGGGTCAGTATTGCACGAACGTCCCCCACCCATCTATGCGATATTAACGGAGTCTAGCTGTGGAAAGTTGAATCGAATGGCGACTCTCGGTCGGTATCTTATCTCTCAACACTTGTGAAGCATACTCAGACGGTCAATGTCGTTCGGTGGTGCCCAAGAGGTACGGTTACTCCCGTCCCTCCCTCGTTTGACAGCGTGCTAAACATTCGGTAGGCGAGACTCTCGGAAGTGCAGGAGATGACGGCAATGTACTGCTATGGGTCCCGTCCGAGCACCCGGAACGAACCACATTCGGAGAAGATGGATTGGATAATAAGGAGACATGGAGGGTGAAGCACATGTTCCGCTCTATGGGATCCGAGATCTATGATATGGCCTGGTCTCCTGATGGGACATTCTTCATTACGGGCAGTATGGACAATATTGCCCGGATATACAATGCCCACACAGGTTCGTCGGGGATCAACTATTGCATTGCCAAATCTGACCGATTATAGGACAAGCCGTACGTCAAATCGCGGAACACAACCACTATGTCCAAGGAGTTGCTTGGGATCCTTTGAACGAATTCGTTGCTACACAGTCCTCCGACCGATCAGTCCACATCTACACCCTCAGAACCAAAGATGGGCAATTCTCTTTGGCGAACCATAGCAAAGTGACGAAGATGGACCTCCCTTCTCGTCGCATCTCGTCCAACAGCCCTGCACCTCCCGACATGCCACATCGGACAAGCTTCCACACCGAGAACCGGATTGGCTCTCCCATTCCCTCCGCACCTGGAACACCCAATAGCTTGGCCTTGCCAATGAATCCGCCACTGTCATCGCGCAGTCGGCGGTCTTCATTTGAATCGTCACCGTCCATGCGCCGCTCAGCATCTCCCGCACCATCAGTGCCACTCCCTGCAGTCATGCCTGGAAACTCGCCGAGTATTGGAGGCATCGGAGCCCCGGTCACCAAGAACACCAACATCTACGCCAACGAAACATTCATTTCCTTCTTCCGACGTCTCACCTTCTCTTCCGACGGTGCGCTACTTTTCACTCCGGCAGGCCAATATAAAACACACGTCCCGGCCACTTCGGAATTCGGCAGGCCATCCGAAGATACCGTCAACACGGTTTATATATATACACGCGCAGGATTGAACAAGCCCCCAATCGCATATCTGCCTGGACACAAGAAACCTTCAATTGCTGTAAAATGCTCGCCTGTCTACTACACCCTTCGGCAATCCCCCGTTCCGACAAAAAATATCATCGTCGATACTTCGTCGTTGGAGGAAGAGATAGCCGCACTTCCCGAACCAGCCCTGCCGAACAAGGTTGGAACTCCACAGTCAACGATGGACCCGCCGCCGTTTACCAGCGCCCCTTCACCTTCTCCGAGCATGCTTGCGGCATCACCGAAGGCATCGGAGCCGGACACAACGCCTACATCAGCACCACCATCTGCTGGCCCGACATCTGCGTTCGCGCTGCCTTATAGAATGGTATATGCAGTGGCGACGCTTGATGCTGTTCATATTTATGACACCCAGCAAACTCTACCGCTTTGCATCGTCTCGAATCTCCATTATGCGATCTTCACCGACTTGACATGGTATACTTGTCCCGTGTCCGTTTCTAGATCCGAACGTCAATGCTAACGATACTGCAGGTCATCCGACGGCAACACCCTCATAATATCATCTTCAGACGGGTTCTGCTCGACATTGGCATTCTCTCAAAACGAGCTCGGGACCGTCTATACAGGTCCTGTACCGACCGCATCTCGACCAACGCCGACACCGTCTCACTCCGGTATCGCTGTCAACACCTCTACCGCTGCTTCCAGCGCACACTCCACCCCAACCCCTACCCCAACATCCTCAACGATCCCTAAGCCAAGCACCATCGCCTCGACCCCAGCCACGACCACGGCTAGCTCGCTCCCATCCGCCAGCACGCCCCATCCATTCCCCGCCCCGCCGTCTCCAATGAGCAGTATTCACTCGGCCTCAAACACCGAGTACGCTCGACCGCGTTCGCCTGCCCGTAGCATGTCTGCGAGCTCCATCGCATCCTCTCTCGCACCTCATGTCGCTGCAGTGCCGCCTTCAGCGCCTAACAATTCTACAGCATCAGCGACTTCCTCCACAGCTCAACCTCCGTCATCGAACCACCCTTCAACGCCCGCCGCGATCGTCCCGGGGGCGGCCACACCGAGCTTCAGCGCCATCCCCAGCGTTGCCGCTACAAATTCCGGACCCGTGCCCGGCATGCAGCCACTCTGGACGCCACCGCTCACGCCCGGGGCCAGCAGCATTTCGAACACCGTTCCTGGAGCAATGAGCACGCACAGTGCGAGGAGCAGCATCTCCGGAATTGGATCAGGGGCCGGCTTTGTCGGAACTGCACTTAGCGGCGTTACCAGCAGTGAGACGGCGGTAGAGAGCGAGAGCGAGCGGGAGGTAGAGGGGCAGAAAGATGGAGGAGAGAGGAAGAGGGGGGCGGATGAGGGGGAAGATGGGGAGACGAGGCAGACGAAGAAGAGGAGGATTGCGCCGACGTTAGTGGAGGATAAGGGGACGGGTTAAGCGGGGAGATAATGAAGGGTAGTTTGAGCCGATGCGATCTTATCGGCGAGGAAAATATGGGCAATGGCAAGATTTCTTCGAAAGCGTGTTCATCGGCGTACCACGGTGGCGGGTTTGCTTTGAAGGCGCACCATTGTTCGTTCCTACATGGGGGATCGTATCTCTCTAGCGGGTAGTTGGGGGGATTGATGGTCCTTCGCGCACATAGCGACGGCGGATGTGAGAATGCATCTAACACCTGCTTGGATCTCACTCATTTCGACGCGATAGCCATCTTATATCGATATGATGATAATTCGATTTATGAATTCGCAGAATCACTGTTGAGCCAAGACCTGACCGCATGAGTGGAATCTCACTCCAATCCAGTCTGATGTCAAACGCTCCACTTTCCCGCCCCGCCCCGCTCCACCACATTTCCCTAAAATCACGTGACTTAAACATCTCCACCCATTCCGGTTTCCACGCAAATGGTAACTCGGCATCACGTTCTGCTCCTCTTTCCTTCATCCTTGCATCCTTGCAACATGCATTAGATTCTCGCCGGTCTCTATTTATTCGACCAGCCTGTTCGGCCTTCCTGTTTCCGGTCCCGTGCCCACCGGGACGCTGTAGTGCGCCTCATCGGCGTTCGACGGGCATCGTACCGGTCCAACGATCCCATCCATGATTCCTATTTGTCCATACCTTATTTCGGTGTTGCCTTGGCTTTCATGTGGAGGATCCAGTCCAGTCTAGGTCTTCCATGTCGCCTGCGCTGTGGACAGGAGATGACGGGTCAGGCCAGTGATGGTGTAATTCGGAACGTAATTGCCTACCTAGGTATGGCTGGTCTTTCAATTCAGCAATCCTGCCATGTCTTTATTGTCTACAGTAATAATATACATATCACTTTCATATCACCACTAATAGCACCCTACCGCCGTAAAACTGGGGACATCTCATTCATGAGATTCACGTTCAACCCCAGACCCATTTGTTGTTTGGCTACCTTACCTATACGAGCGATACCCGCGGCCCACCCCCTGGCCCAGCACTGACAGCGGAGGCCAGTGACGCTACCTGCTCGGTACTCACAATTGTCACAGGTCACAGGTGTCATTTACAATCCATCCGGACAAGAGACTTGCCGTTCCTGGCCCTGGGTCATATATCTGCTCAGCCCATCCGCGGTCGAGCGTCGGCTTTGCATTTTTCGACTTTGTCGTAATATCATGCAAACTTGGCCGATCATGATACATCGCCCTCGTTGATCATCGCTATCTTTCGAGAGGAACCGTCAATTGTACATTGGTGGCTCTTGGGACATTTTCCGCATCCCGAGGTCTCTTGTCGCCTTAGAATTGATACCCACCGGGTTGGAATAGCTAGGGACTACCGGCTTGATTATCATGGCTTGTGAGTACTTTGTCCTTCAAGTAGACGCTTGGTGTGGTCGTCCCTAACCAAGTGTCGTTGAACCTCAACACCATCCCTCTCTTACATGATACATCTGGCTTGTCTTGGTGGTAGACTGGTGTCTGGTAGTACTACTGCATGCTAGGAGCCTGGAGCCGCGGCGGTTTCCTGCCGAAGCTCCAGTTGCTGCAGCTCCACAAATGCATTTACTCCACTTCCCCGACCTCTATTGTTGCTAACATTCCAACTCCCCCAGCGTCGATTCTCCCATATTTGGGATCCGTCCCTCTCAGCTTCACCGTACCCGCCGTCGCGGCAGCCGCATCCTATGTAGACGCGCGTTACGGCATCTCGAACGATTGGGACCTCCTCGGGAAGTTCTTCAGTAACATCTTCAAGGCACGATGGAACGAATACAAAGACCGCATTTCAGTCTTTTATATCTTGGAACAATGGGCCCAGAGCAACCGAGCCGATCAGGCGTTCGTCCTGTACGGGGACAACTCCTACACGTACAAGCAAGCATATGAGATGTCTCTACGGTATGGCGCATGGTTCAAATCCAAGGGCGTCCAACCCGGCCAGGTCATCGCGATGGATTTCATGAATGGCGACGCGTTCGTGTTCATCTGGTTCGGGCTATGGAGCATTGGTGCGAAGCCAGCGTTCATTAACTACAACCTGACGGACGAGCCACTCCTGCACTCGGTGCGCGCCGCGGGCACGCACCTGCTGGTCATCGAGGAGGAACCCGCGCAAAACTCTCTCACCCCGGAGATCAAGGCGGCTCTCGAGGCGCCTGACTTCCTTGGAAATGGGGAAGGCAGCACGGAGGTTGTCGTCTTTGATGCCGCGCTCCGAGCCCACGTGGAGGCTCTGGAGCCATACCGGGCTCCGGATGAGGATCGCAGTGGAGACAAGATGCCTGACATGGCAAACCTCATTTACACCAGCGGCACTACCGGCTTGCCGAAGCCTGCGATCGTTAGTTGGGGGAAGTGCCGACTAGGAGCGGGTTTCATCGGGCAATGGCTGCCATTGAAGCAGGGGGATGTGGTTTACACGGTATGCTGATCGTCCGTTCGTCCTGGACGTCACTCACACATTGCAGTGCATGCCCTTATACCATTCTTCCGCCGCAATCTTGGGAGTCGTGTCCACTCTCACGCAAGGCTCCACCATTGCCATTGGACGGAAGTTCCAACGTGCCGGGTTCTGGGCCGACGTGCGGAAGCACAACGCATCCGTGGTCCAGTATGTCGGGGAAACCTGCCGCTATCTGTTGTCCGCTCCGGAGTCCCCCGTCGACAAGCAGAATCGGGTACGCCTCGCGTATGGCAACGGCATGCGTCCCGATGTCTGGAACAAGTTCAAGCAGCGATTCGACGTCGCAGAAGTCTGCGAGTTCTACGCCGCCACCGAGGGACCGTCCGGCATGTGGAATCGCGACGTCAACGGGTTTTCAACCGGTGCCGTCGGACGGAACGGCGCCCTCGCCAAGCTGATCGTCGGCTCGAGCATCGCGTTCATCAAGCTGGATTTCGAGACCAACCTGCCCGTCCGTGACCCGAAAACGGGCCTCTGCTCGAAAGTCGCCGATGGACAGCCCGGGGAGCTGATCTACAAGCTGGACGAGAAGAACATCAACGAGCGGTTCCAGGGCTACTACCGCAACGACGGCGCCACATCCAAGAAGGTGCTCCGCGATGTGCTCGTCAAGGGCGACGCCTGGTTCAGCACCGGCGACGTCCTCCGCGACGAGGACGGCCTCATCTATTTCTGCGACCGCATCGGCGACACCTTCCGGTGGAAGTCGGAGAATGTGTCGACGGCCGAGGTGGCCGAGGTGCTGGGCCGCGCCGACGACGTCGCCGAAGCTAACGTCTATGGCGTCGAGGTCCCCGGCCACGACGGTCGTGCCGGCTGCGCGGCCATCGTCTTCCACGCGGGCAAATCGGCGGACCCGGTGACGCTGCGAAAGGTAGCGAAGCACGTGACGAAGGGACTACCACGGTATGCCGTGCCCCTCTTCTTGCGCATGTCGACGGATGCGGACGCCAATACCACGGGGACGAATAAGCAACAGAAGACCCACTTGCGGGACCAGGGCGTGGACCCGAGCAAGGTTCCGGAGGATCTTTTCTGGCTGCGCCCGGGCAGCGATACGTATGAGAAGTTTGGGGAGCGGGAGTGGAAACTTTTGGTGGCGGGAGAGGCCAAGTTATAAGTGGGACAGCGTTTCGTTCATGTGTTTCTGGAGGCTAGGGGATGTATTTGTGATATCACCGACATGTACTTTGGCTGAAATCGATTTGACGGGTTATATTGTGATATGAGCGAAAATCATAGGAAACCCATCTCTCTCAATTCCATATCTCGTTCAATGTCAATATATGTACTCATTTGCATTTCATCCAAGAATCGGTCAATGCATGTGGCGTGGCCCGCATTCCTGTCATCCAGTTCCATGTCCTGTTCCATGTCGGATGCGGGGATGAAACGTTGAGTGTTGTGTACCGGCCCTCTGTTGTTGCAACGTGAACAGGTGAGCAACCGGAAGGGAGCAAGCAGCAAGCAGGTCAGCACCGCCATAGCAACAAACAAAGCAGCCAACATCCTATTGCTCTCCTTCCCTTCGCTCCCCCAGATATCTACCTGCCTACAGTACTCACTCCTGCTTTATTCAACATTACGCCGACTCAATCAATCGTGTCCTACAACCCATCTGTAAATCCGATACCATTTGGTGATCCAACAAAGAGTCCAACACCCCTCGCTGCTTAACGCCCACTATGACGTCTACCCAACCCATCAACACCAGCAACTCCCCCGCCCCTCCCACCGTCGACGACACTCCAATTTCCCCCATCCAGTCCAAGGCGGGTCTCGAAAGGAGGAACTCGCTGGAGAAGCAACTCCAACTTCGCCCGGAGCCTCAGGATCTGAAGAACCGCCATATCCTGTTGGACACCAGTGCCGCTCCGTACGTCTACCCCACGGAACCGCGGGATTCCGCCGTATGCTTTAGGAGTGCCATGAAACTTACCACGTCTGTAGAGCCCTCCAGTCCGCTCAGCAGGAGCTCGAGCGCCAACGCGCGGCGGACTCGCTGAAGAAGCATCTGGCGAGCCGTCCCGAGCGCGACGACTTGGTCGAACGTAATGGAACCTCACCTATATACCGTGAGATACCTCGACACTAATGGTGCGACCCAGGCAACATCCTCCCCGACTCCAGCGCGGCCCCGGCACTCCAGGGACATCAGAAGGAGCTGGAGATGCACATGCGGAAGGACAGCTTGGAGAAGCGGTTGCAGCACCGTCCCGACCCGAAGGAGCTGGTACAGCAGGGGATTCTGGAAGGTAAGCTTGGGTGATCGATGGGGAACTGGATGCAGGGGATGTTGAGGCTGACGGCGGACAGCGAACGAGAATCCCGTGAAGGATGACTAGATGAACGGCGGGTCGAAACGGCCGGACGGGTTGAGCTGCCAACATGCGTGGGACGGATGGATTTCGGGACAACCAAATACGTGGAATCGCTATATATTCAGTAGGTCTTAGGGTATCAATGTCTCACTGTCTCGCAAGGTTAAGGAAGAGTGCATTCTGGCCGGCATGTGTTGGCGATGAATCGTGATGGACGTGCATGCTTGTCGAGCGACCGGACCGTTGCAGACCGTAATACATACTCCGTCCTTCCGTCTGGTCAGCTCGTCCGAGGTCGGCCGGTGATAGCTCCAGGCTCTAAATAAATGTAATATGGAGCAGTCGTTCAGCATCCGCATCATCTCATTGACTTGACTACTAAACAAAGAATCAATCATCTTGTCGCTCATTTTGACCTACAATAGAGCATCCAATACGATGCCTAATCTTAAAGCTCCCCCTTCCCCTCTCCCCTCGTCATCCCCATCCTCTCTCACCACCACCCTCACTACCGCCCTCCACATCCGCCGCCAAAACTCCACCTACCGCACCCTCACCATCCCACCCCCCGACTCCATCGACTTCTCCTCCAATGACTTCCTCTCCCTCTCCCATAGCCCGCTCCTCCGCACCGCCTTCCTCTCCGAACTCCACGCCCACCCCGCCTTCCCCGTCGGCTCCGGCGGCTCGCGCCTCCTCGACGGCAACTCCCCGTATGCGGAGGCGCTGGAGCGGTCGACCGCGGAATTCCATGGCGCGGAGGCCGGGCTGCTGTGCAATTCGGGGTACGATGCGAACGTCGGTTTGTTCGGCTGCGTGCCGCAGGCGGGGGACGTCGTGGTGTGGGATGAGCTGGTGCATGCGAGCGTGCGGGAGGGGATGCGGTTGAGTCGGGCGGCGGGGCGGACGGTGATGTTTCGGCATAATGACTGTGCGGATTTGAGGAGGGTGTTGACGGATGTGAGGGGAAAAGACGAGAAAGTAAGAGATGGGAAGGCGAGCGTGTTTGTGGCGGTCGAGGCAATCTACTCCATGGACGGGGATTTGGTACCGTTGAAGCGGGTGGTCGACGTCGTTGACGAAGTCCTACCGCGTGGTAATGGCCATATCATCGTGGATGAAGCACATTCAACCGGCGTCCTGGGCCCGCTAGGCAAAGGGTTGGTTTGTCAGGAGGGATTGGAGAACCGGATATTCGCCCGCCTTCACACGTTTGGGAAATCGATGGCGTGCAGCGGTGGTAGGCCAACAGCTCTTTTTGGATCGTTGAGATTGGTTTACTGATTGTCCATTCCAGCAATCATCCTCTGTTCTCCTCTAGTCCGATCTTATCTGATCAACTACTCCCGCCCCGTGATCTACACCACCTTCATGCCCTTCCCCAACCTCGCCGCTATCCAAGCCTCCTACTCGCTCCTCAAGTCGGGTGAAGCCGAACCGGTAAGTCCACTAGTCCGGTAAGTGCCTTCTTTCTTCATGCGTTGACAATCTCTTTTCTCCGGGTCTAGCTGGCCGCTCGATTGCATGAGCTAGTGCAGATCCTCTTCCACCGCCTCCAAGCCCTTGCGGCCAAATTCGGCGGCGTCGAGTCCCTCCAACGCAATGGGCTGTTGACCGTTCCGTCCGAGATTCCAGGCAGCCCCGTTTTTGCGCTGTTGACGGACCATCCGCGGAGCCTAGCGACGCACTGTCAGAAGGCCGGGTATATGGTAAGGGCTGTAGTGCCGCCCACTGTACCGGAGGGCACGTCGCGGATCCGCGTATGCTTGCACGCCGGCAATAATGAGGAGCAGATCGAAGGGATCTGCTCGGAGATTGAGAAATGGCTCACATCGTGGTGCGCGAGACTGCAATGCGGCGAGAAGGTGACGCCGGAGAAGGACCGGCCGCGACTCTGATGCTGGGAGCCGGCAATTGTCCATTTAGCGGATTTGGAAAAGTGCTTTACGGAGTTAGAAAGAGTTCCCATGGTCGTTGAGCGTATCGCAGGTTTTGGGCATCTGTCAAAGGATGTGTCGTACAAAAGCTAGTGCATCCACAGGAGGTCTGGCTTTTCAACCCCCGTCAGAGCTACTTGGTATCTCCAGAGATCACGTAATCCGATATGTAGAGATATGAAATAGAAATTCTCGTAATAGAGATGGAATTTTAAGCTCGTCGATATACACCTGCTCATATCTACAGCTTCCAGTCCTTGTAGGTCCACTTCTCCGTGGCCTTGCGCTGGGGTTTCTTGTGCTGGGAGATCCGCTTCCTCGACTCGATTTTGCCCCGGACGATCATGCTTCGGAAACGGTCCTTCAATATGTTGCCTTCCGGCTTCAACAGGCGGAGGGACTCCTGTAACTCGTCGGCAAGGACGAGCTCAAGCGGTTGATCCGGGATTCTGATACTGTTAGCGATGATCCAGAACGATAGTGGTTGATCCACTTACTGTGATTTGCCGAAACTCTTTCGCCTCAACGTCTCCTCGTCCGCGCTATCCTCATCACTAATCTCGCCCTTCTGCCGCAACTTCTCCTGCCTCGCCTTTTCCTTCTCGCGCACCTCCTGCGCAAACGCCTTCACCCGTCGCAACTGCTCATCCTTCTGCTTCATTTTCTTCTCGTGCACCGCTTTTCGCTCCGCCTCCTTCCGCCGATTGATCTTGTTCCGCTCTGCTTGCGACTTCAGCTTCGATGCCTTCACGGTCTTCGCCTCCCCCTCCTCATGCTCGCTGTTGAACCCCTCCCACTCGCTCTCCGTGAAGTACGCGTCCTCCTCCGCCTCCTTCCGCTCCGCCTCCGCCGCCGAAGCCGCCACCCGCGCGAGTCGCTCCTGCTCCCGCTCCTCGCTGGCGAGCCGCTGCCGTTCCTTCTCCACCTCCTTCGCGCCCTCCCGGTCGAACAGGTTGGTCCAGTCGTCGAACAGGGGATTGTAGCTCCGGCCCGGGTCCGGCTTCGCGACCGACCGTACTGGTTTCCCGCTCGCGGACAGCGCAAGCGGTGCGCGCTTGATGGTGTTGGGGGCCCGCGTGGGCTTTTTCTTCGGGAGGAAATCGAATTTTTCCGCATCCGTGGCGGGTTCCTTGGCCGGCGCGGCCCACAAATCGCTCAGTTCGTTTTTGCTCGCTCGCTCGTGCAGATCCGGCTTCCCGATCTCGTGAGACGGGCCTTGCGTCCCTGCGTATGCGATCTTCCGCAGCCGTTCTAGCTCCTTATAGGAGATGCCTTCCCCGCGCTGCTTCTTCGTCGTCCGCAAGACGCCATCAGTGGTCTGGGCCGGTCGCTTTTTCGAGCCGACGGCCGGCACAGCCGAGCGTTGCGCGAGGATCTCCTCGGACTTGAGGGGCTTCTTCAGGCGATGGTCACGCTGGTACTGGAGTCGGGCGTGCGTGTCGCCCTTGGTGTCGAGGGCGAAAAGGTCGGCGAGGTCGCGGGAAGCGAGCGCCGTTCCGCTGAGAGACGAATTAGTTTCCGTGGATAGGCGCCGAAGCAGCGGACCCAGACGATATATACCCTTGAATGATCTCCTCTCGGATCTCGTCCAAACCGGATTGCACGTCGGAAACGTCGACATTTTTGCGCCAGGCCTTCTTGCCCTTTCTCGACGGCTGCGAGTGCTGCTGTGGGGGGAGAAGGGAGGCCATGATGGGATGGATGGGATTGATTCCGTCACGGCAAGGACAGAAGGGACGAAGGCAGTGGTTGCAGTGGCTCCGGAGAGGTTATACGGTGATTTATGAAGGAAGTGGGAGCAATATCAGAAGGATGAAGCGTCTGCAAAAATTATCGATTTGGCGGTGCAGGGATGTGGCGGATAGAATTGCCCGCTGTGGGCGGTGGCTCAGGCGGGGCCCCTCTAGGCTCTACATAATAGTGCATAGTCACAATAGTATTCTGCACCGTTAAGGAGTGCCTGTCTTTTCTGTGGGAGTCTTGCTTGTGTGATTGCTAGTTACTTAGTTAGTGGAGTGGTGACGGTACGTAACCATCCCCCAATCCAACAGAATCATGGCAGTCTGACACAGAGTCACGGACGAACCGACGAAGGCTGTGTCGACTGTCCCTAAGTAAAGTCAGGGTAGACCCGCTGCATTGTTCCAATTACCTGTTCCGATTACCTGTTCCAATGACCTGTTCTAATCCCCCATCCGGAGGTTCAATTTCTTTTCTCTTTCTCGCTCCCTTCTTTGAACTTAATATATCAATTTAACGTATATTCAATTCTCCTCTCGTCCTGATCTCCACCCCCTCTCCAACTACTACACGCTCCCCATCGTGACGCCTTTGTCCCATCCCCATCCGCCTCCACCAGGCGCCAACGAAACGTGCCTGGTTATTTCCCGTCACCATGGCGCAATCCACATATTCCAATCCGTTGAAGAAATACAAGTGAGTGCATCGAGGACGGCATGTCCGGACGGTTGGGCTGACCGCTGTAGATTGGTGTTCTTAGGAGAGCAGAGTGGTGCGTGGTGCCATATCGAATCCCGCAGGCCATCGTATTAACGGACACATCTAGTTGGCAAGACGTCGCTTATCACCCGCTTCATGTATGACACCTTCGACAATACCTATCAAGCCACGATTGGCATCGACTTCCTATCCAAGGTATGGGATCCGGATTCCGCCACCGCGTGGCTTCGTACGTTGACCCGTTGCCAGACCATGTATCTCGAAGACAGGACCGTCCGGTTACAATTATGGGATACGGCCGGCCAGGAGCGGTTCCGCAGCTTGATCCCCTCCTACATCCGGGACTCGAGCGTCGCCGTGGTCGTTTACGACGTGACAAGTAAGCACGCCGCCCGCCTTTTCGCCATCTCCCCCGTTTCCTGACCCGTGCCCGTCCCCAGATGCGAAGACGTTCGAGAATACCAAGAAGTGGGTGGACGACGTGCGCGCCGAGCGCGGCAACGACGTCATCATCGTTCTGGTCGGCAACAAGACCGACCTGTCCGACAAGCGCGAGGTCACCCAGGCACAGGGCGAGGAGGAGGCGAAACGGAACAACCTCATGTTCATCGAGACGAGCGCCATGCTGGGCCACAACGTGAAGACTTTGTTCAAGAGAATAGCCCAGGCACTGCCGGGAATGGAGGGGGAAAGTCGGGGCGAGAGCCAGAGTACGTTTCGTCGGACCAGTTCACGAAATGATACTAACGCCGCTGCAGTGATCGATGTCAACATCAACCCGAACCCTCCCAAGGAGAGCGAGGGCTGCGCTTGCTGATACCATTTGAGCGAGGTTTCCGACTTGGACATGGCGGTGCGAGAGACCCCGGATTTGAATTCCGGGCGCATTGGGGTCCTGATGGTGTGACTACTGCTTTGATGCATGGCGTTCCGGACGGTGATTGAAGGAGAGCATGGAGAGCATGGCATCTAGAGTCGCGAGGACTTGGCTACCGCCGATATTGATTTGTACCCCAATCCTTGGTTCGTCGAACTTGTACAGATACATGCATCATTGGTCGTGGGGCAGGGGTTGAAATAGCGGATTCACCATGACAATGATGTGTGGGATTCCCCCATCTGCAAGAATCGCAGAACCGTTACTCCGGCTGGCCAAACCGCCTAAAATACACCAAAAATCGACTCATTAGAAGCGCCTCTGCCATGCCACCCACAAATGCTTCGCTGCACCCAAGTAGTTATCTAAACTACACACCTCATCCACCTCACCGCAATTCGATCGCATCTGGTAAGCCTCGCGGCTTCGGCGGGTCGGTCCCACTCCTCCGCCTCCGTTCCCTCTCCTTGACGCCAATATGGTCGTCGCTCCTCTTAAACCTCGTGCTAAACGGCTCCATCCACCTCGCCTCCTCATCGTCCGTCTCCTCCTTCCCCAGCCAATACGACCGATTCACCCCGACGAACGCCCGCCCCATTCTCCCCTTCCATCCCTCCCCTTCCGGTCGCCCCGCGCGGAACGGATCCTCCGCGATCTCCGCCGTTCCGCTCCCGGACGCAATGTCGAACGTGTTTTCCCCGCTGCGTGCGACGTGCTTGCGCACCACCATGCGCGCGTACGCCATGACCACGAGGATCGAGTAGATCCGCAGGCTCCAGAGGATGGCGACGATCATGATGCTAAAGATGCTGCTGCTGTGGAGGAGCACCGTCCCGAGGGACGCGTCACCAGTCGGCTGCCCGTCGGGCGCCCCGACCGCGACTGCCTCCTGCCCCGGTGTGAGGCCTGGTTTTGGGGTCGCGAGGATCTCGACCCGCGACACGTTGAGCTCTGGGGCGGTGAACCCCGCATTTTGTTCGACGCCTTGGGCGCCGGGGACAGGCTTGCTGTCGTGCTGGGCGACGACGAAGAACCAGGCGAAGGCGAAGGCGACGGTGAAGAGCATGTTGACGAGGGCGTCGAGGGCGTAGAAGTAGGCCCAGAGGAGGGTCTTGAACGGGTCGGCGGGCGTGGTGGAGGAGGTGGCGCGGATGTGAGGGACGAGGTAGAAGAGGACGAAGACGAGGCTGAGGACGGAGTAGATGTACATGGTCGCTTGTAGCGAGGAGAGGGGGGCGCCGGTGAGGGGCGCGAGCAGGCCATAGATGCCGGAGGCCTTGTTGAGGAGGAGGACGAAGAGGAGGAGGGTGTTAGCGGTGGAGATGGGGAGGAGGAGAAGGAATTTCTGCGGAGGTGAGCATCGTCACGGACAGCGGTGATTCGGGGATGGGAAGGTTACCTTGGGGCGAGGGACCCGGAGGGATCTTAGACGAGCCATTTTGAGGGATCGATGCGATTCAAGGGCCGGGTCGAGACCACGGGAAACGACGTCGAGAATTAAGAACGGATCACTGTTGGCACTGTGGTATATTTCATGAAGTATGTCGAAGTTGAAAGGGAGATTCTGGTATTCAGAGGGTTGGCGGAGTTGAACGGATCTCAACTCTCAACTGGTGGCGTGGCTAATTACCGGCGCTTGCCTCATTGGGTTAGAGGCCGCGTGAGGGTCTGGCTGCTTTTCTCCCTTGAACCTTCAACCTTCAACCAAGTTTCAACGAACCAAAACCCCTAATATTGATATTGATTACTTCTAAGTTATGCCCCAGCAATCCGTATTTGACCATCCGCCACACCGATTTCGTCTTTCTTGTCGGAAATCATGTTCGACTAGGCGTTAGAGAAGGGTGATCTGGACTTGATGGATGGCTGGACAATTGCTGTGTTGCGGTTGCACTACATAGTATGTAGGGCTGCCAGAGTACGAGTACGCTAAACCAATACGGAATGCTGAATGGTGACTCAAAGAGTCGGAGTAAGTAACTGTAGGGCACATCTCGGCATCAAAACCTTCTCAACCATCGACATTTAAATCCTTCCCGTTGCCTCGTTCGTTTGTGCCGATCTTGTAAATGGCTTGAGATCAGTACAGCGGAAGACTACAGTTCCAAGATCCCTATACGAACTATCAGTCTGTATATCGAACAATTCAAACCATAAAGATCAAGTCATCAGTATGCCTCTCCCGTCTCTCGATCACATCATCATTCTGGTCCCCTACAAATTCCTTGCAAACTCTCCCGACTGGCTACCCAATCATTTCACCATCTCTCCCGGTGGAAGACATGCGGACGGGAAGACTGAAAACAAGCTCGTCCTCTTCAGTGACGGCAGCTATCTTGAACTGATTGCGTTCGTGGACGATGACCCGAAGAATAGAGAAGGGCATTGGTGGGGGGAAAAGAGCTATGGAACCATCGACTTTGCCTTGACAACGTCCGACGGTGCTCAATTCAACTACACTTCCATGACCCAGCGCTTCGGCGATCTCGACCAGAGCGACCCCTCCATCGGCTACAACCCTCCCAGGGCCGGTGGCCGGAAGCGCGATGACGGAGTCGATGTGAAGTGGGAGATCACCTTCCCCACCAACTGTCCCCGTGGAGAGATGCCGTTCTTTTGCCACGACGTGACAGCGCGGGACCTTCGCATCCCATTATCGGACCGGGCCACGACTCATCGCGGGCAGGCCGAGGGCACATACGGGGTCGAATCCTTGGTGGTCACCGTCCCGTCGGATCGATTCCAGTCGGTCACTCAGGCGTACGAGGCAGCGCTTGGAGTCCGCAGCTCGTCGGATGAGCCGGACGTCGCTGTATTCACTGTGGGAAGAGTCAACGAGATCGCTGGAGCACCCAAGCCTGTCATCCGGATCCAAAGGCAGGGCAGTGGGGATCGAGCGCCGGCGAATCTTTTGTCGGATTTGACGATGGGCCGAAAGGGTGATTCGCCGGCAGGAGGGCGCGTTCAAATTGACTCTGGCAGCGATTCGTTGGGCGGGATATTCATCCGTACAACCAATCAATAGTTGGCCGTGGTAAAGGTTCAAAGACACGGTTCAAGTCCCGAGAACCCAGTCATTGACAATGGCCACCATATTCTAATGACTAGGACAGATTCAGCGATGAGAAGAATGATAGTGCATCCAGAGAAGAGGATTGTATGGAATAAGGATGACTGATATAGTCCGTAAGTCCGTAATATATGATACTGCGGTGTATGCCCAACGTGTCTAGTCTCTGTGATACCACGTTCTGGCTTGTCCGATGGCGAGCGTCAACTCATCATCTATACCCCCATTCAATATTTCGTATCAATGCCCTATCAATATTTCAACAGCAACTAGGGTACGCAGGAGCCGGATGCCGGGCCAGGCCCGGCCTTGTACGGCACATTCAACTGTGTAGCCTAACTCGTAACTACCCGGACGATAAGCCATTTCGATGACATGTGGGAAATGAAGATTAATATTAATAGCTTTAATGCACCACCCCTCGAGTTTGGCTGCAAGTTGAGTGTCACTACAGTATGCAAGGCGTTTCTTGAATGGGTTAGAGACAGAGAGAGATAGATAGTGAGTGGGCGGCAAGCTTCGCCGTCTTCACCGCGTCTTCAGAGTCCAGACTCCACGGCTTCACTACTTCACCTCTTCACCTCTCCACCTCTTCACCTCTTCACCTCTTCATCCCTTCACCTCTTCATCCCTTCACCTCTTCATCCCTTCACCTCTTCATCCCTTCACCTCTTCATCCCTTCACCTCTTCACTTCCGAAATTGCTACTGACAAGTGATTATACACCCACGAGCTTGTGATGCTCGGTGCATGTCCCTGTCCGCCCGCATCCCACCACATCCCACCAACCACTCCTCCGCGCCATCCCACCGAACACGATCTAGAAATGCTGCTTTCTTCAGTTAACATGTCCAAGCCTCTCTCCATTCCTCCCATTCAGTTGCCATCCTGTCTCCAATAGTGGTACTCCAGCATCCTGCATGGAGCCATTCCCAAGTTCAAGCCATCATGCTTGGCCATCTGCTCAATTCCTTCAATCCCGCTCGACGGAACACCGCCACCCCGCGGAATCTCTCTCAGACTGAGCTATACGCCGAAACCGCACATACACAACACCTCCTGTTCCCGGACACTCTATCTCGTCCCTTCGAAGCTCTCGATGGCCCTTCGCTTTCCGCGTCGTGTGACGGCAATGACACCCACGATGACTTACAGAATCCCCGAGACATCCGCATAATCATTGCTCAAGGGGAGTTCGGCGCTCTTCCGGAAGTGGTCCTGTTTGATTCAAACGCCTCATCTCCCACATCCCCGGTTCTTCGCTCGAATAAACAGGTCCCTCGCCCTTCCGATTCCAAATTTGCACGCGGACACATTCGAAAGTCCTCCACCGCCTCCGAAAGCAGCGCAATTCGCTCGCCTACCACTCCGACAGCGGGGCCGCTACAATGGGGCCGAACGCGAGCTGGTTCCATTTCTTCGGCGCTGCCCAATATCGACGAGGGATCACAGAGCAGAGCGAAGGAGTCGGAAAAGATAGTGGAAGTGGCGCTGGGATGCATGTTCGAAAATGCATATTCCAGGTATCGCGGGGTAAGCAATAAGATCAAAGTCATCCCACTCGAGCCTAGGCAGTATGGGTCGGCCGTACAAAGCTCTTCTCTCGGTGACGGATTCGGCTCTTTCGGTAGAGCTGATGGTCGGAAACGCAGTAATCTCGCGATATCTTACACTCCCGCGGACCCCCCCGCGGACAAAACTTCAGCGGGATTGGGCTTCTCCGCGCAAGACCGAAAGGACCCACGACGAAGGACGGTGCTACTGATGCGGACCTTCTCGATTGCTCTACCAGAATCCGAGGATGGTGCCTTGGCCGATGATCGCACACCAACGCCGTCCAACTCGCTCGGAAAAACACATGAATTTCCATTCCCTACAATGAACGCAAGAGCTGCTTCTAGCAGGAGGAGTTCGATAGCCGGAAATACGACCAGAACCCCGATGTACGGTGTATGCATCGCTATCCAATTGCCGGTGGCGCAATCTCTGGCGAGTCGTTCCGCAACTCGATGGAACGCCAAATGGCCAACCTCTGCCCCTGGTCCCGAATCATTACCTTCTTCATTCGACTCCGACAGGAGAGCTGGGTGGATGCTCGTTGACCCGATCTACGGCTCCGACTCCTTCTCGTCGCCATTCGGGAGTGATGTGGATGACAATGTGGACCTGGTTGGAAGGCACTGGGATGTCATCGTGAGGAGTCTAGCTACGTTGCACGAACTTGCTGCAGAGAAAATCGTAGCAAGACTAAGGGCGGTGGATGTTGGCTCGCCCAGCCCGAATGGACCTCAATCTACAAACACACGATATCGTAGACGAGTCTACCTCAAGCCTTATACCCTTGCCTTCGACGACGACTTGAAAAGGGCTGCAACGTCTGCCGGTGAGAGAATCGTTCGAGGCATGATAATCCCTCGAGTACGGACCGGCCAAGGGAAATGGGCGCTGTGGCGAGAGGAGGCCAAGTGGCTTAGTAACCTCAACGGGTCGAAAGATGACTTCCTCGCAACGTTTTTAACTTCGTTCCTTGGAAGTCACACAGAGTGGCTTGATACGCTAGGTCCGAAGCAGTACCGCAAGAAGCACTGGGAGCGACGACGTTCAACTGGAGACAGCCAGGACATCGCGTCAAGAACCGTTATCGTGTCAAACAATGCCATCGCAGCTCGGCGGTTAGTGTTCTTTCTTTCTGAGTTTCTGCCATCGTCTCCCAAACCAACTGGTGCGTTCTCACCGCGTCGGCCGGCGACGTCCGCATCTTTCCGAGCATACTCTCAGTCCCCGCCTATGAATGTAGGACTCTCCCGCAATGAATCCCTTCGGCGAACGATCAATCGAAGAGGAAAGAGTGCATCCTCCATGGCTCCGCAGCAGGTTGGAGGACGGAACAATAGCACCTCCACCATAGATACCCTTGACGAACGGAGTCCTGCAAAGGTCAACGACCGGGAGGCAGCTCACGAGACAGGATCCCGTCCAGCGTCGGAGGGACGACCAATCCTGCCTAAGTTATCTCTAGCGGCTGATGTCGATCCATCCGTCCGAAAGAGCGGCGCTGCCACACCATCGACGGTTACTCCGACCTCTTCTACCCCTGTCCGTTTCGCTATGCCACGTACTCCCTCTGCAACCTCCATTTTGCCTCGCCCTGGTAGCAGTAGTAGCCTCGCATCTGCGAATCTGATGAGCAACCTCAATCGGTCCACCTCAGCCCATGAAAGCAACGAGTCCCAATCCGCAAGCCGATGGGGCAGTTTCAAAAGCTTGTGGAGTCTCGGAACCCGTCAAGACTCTTCTACGGATTACGGCGACATCATGCACACACCGGACGAAGGCCTCGGAATTTCCACGGCGAACCGGAGCGCGTACCGCCAACCAAACGAGCTTGAACGTATGGTCGAACAGCTGTCCGGCGTTGATCGCGATCTGTATCCCGAAGATCTGCAAGATTCGGTTGGCGCTCTATCTCCGGATGTTTCGGCCCTCGACCCAGAACAAGACTCGCCGGAACAACGCATTGCCACTTCGGATACAACTTCAAACGTGTCGGCGACAGCAACCACCGGGACATCCGCAACGTCGGCGGCTCGTGCGATACCAGAGCGCAAGCGCTCTCAAAGCTCTTATTCGCCCCTGAAGATGTCCGTCAATGAGACTGATGGTGTTATCGACGTCGAGATACCATTCTTCGACTCGACACTCGAAACGGGCTTCGGGTTGGCCTCACCAGCCCAGTCTCCTTTCCTCCCCGGTTTCAATTCATCTTCAAGTGCTGGAGGGTCTGATTGCGTGGATCCTGGCTCGTTCGGATCAGGCAGTCAACTAGGTACCTTCCCATCGATGAACCCATGTCTTCACAGCAAGGATATCAACGCAGTAAACGTCGCTGGATGGCTCAAGAAATTCCACCCGGACTTCGAGCTGCAATCGGTGTTGCCATACTCCGATCTCGAGAAAGACATCCGCAACACCATGAGAGCCGAGCCTACTCCAACCAACAGCCTTCCCTGTACTAGCCCATCGAATACTCCCGATCCCGCCGAAGTCAAGCCACATGAGCGGTGGGTCAATGTTTGCTCGACGATCATTGCAGATACGGCCACATTTACCGTGCGTAAACTCACGTTGAAGCGGCTGGTCAAGCCATCATTCTCCGAGATATTCCCGTTGTCCATGCCCGTGACCCCGGCATTGAATCCTACTCCAGGAATCGGCTTTGGGGGCATGCCTCACCGTGGTTTCCGTCCGAATACACACACAGATGCACCACACTCACTATATTCCAACTTAGGCGAGACGGTGGTCGAGGAGAGGTTTTCAGAGGAGAATCTGACGGATCGGGATCCAATCCTAACCCGGTGCCTTAAGAAGCTACTCTCGCCGGACAAGCAACATTTGTCACTTTCACTTGCTTCCTCGAGATCGAGCTCTCGCCGCGGCAGAGACCAGACTCGTCAGTCCGAGGATACCACCGTGCCCACTCCATCCAACGGCATCGACATCGGCCCTCCAATGGAGACCGCAGTCCCAGGAATCGAGCCGGACGTCGGGCCGGGCGTCAACATGCTCGGCTTCACCAACTATGAATGCAAGCAGCTCGTCATGGATGCTCTCGAAGATATCGTCAAGAGCGTCGCGGCGGACATGGCGCGAGGAAAGGGCGAGAGTGTCGAGGCCGAGGTGGTGGGGAATCCGGGTCATCGCCACAAAGTGTCTACCAACTCCTCCATTTTGCGGGAGGGGGTGCGCAGGTGGATGCAAGATGCGGATAGATTCTCGTCGTGAGCAGGATGCTGATGTCTTTCTTTACTAATACAACTTTCCCTTCGTTGAGGTCGGTGGCTCGATACGTTGGGTTATAGAGGACTTTTTCACTTTGGCGTTCGACAGCATGCCTTAGGGCTTGGCGTGGCAATACCACTAGCAGGAGGGGCAGTTGCCACTAGCTTGATGATTTGGCGTTATGGGTCGGTACAGCACGCTTCCAGGCGAGCTTAGAGTCGCTTTGCGAGAAGATGGTGACGCCTTTACGAGCTAATGACCTGCAATGCCTTACGCGGAGACATCCAAGTAGAGGGAATGTGTATATTAATCATAGGTAGTGAAATAACGCTACGTAGTTCATTCAACATGGTCGTGAACTCGTGATAAGACTTTGCAATATGAAAGACTACTCGTTATTATTCCGAAACTAAGCGTGGATTCCCATTCACCTCACTCATTTTGATGCCTTTCCTGCCGCCACTTCTTGATCCTTCGGAAGAATGTCTGGAAGGGGTCCTATAGGGGTGATGCTCTGCACGTCATGTCAGCCTTCGCGCCACATACAGTTAGAACGCGCCAACATACGAATTGATTGATCTGCTTATGGCTCTTCGTGTAGTGATATTTGATGTGTTCGAACTGGGTCGTCTCGCGGAACGCCGGGACGTCCCAATACAGCTTCCGGAGCCACGCGTGAATGGCAGGATATCCCGATCGGATGTCGCGGATATTGCACTTGAAGTGCTGGACGTACACGGGGTCAAAGCGGACGATTGTCGTGTACAGCCGGACATCTGCCTCCGTGATCTCGGTGCCGAAATAGTAGGGTCCGGGAGATGAGGAGAGATGTGCCTCAACACGGTCCAAAGACTTGAACAGCTGTGTGCACGCCTTCTCGTAGGCTTCTTGTGAACTGGTCAAACAATTAGTGTCCTGAATCGTTTTGGCGGAGGTGTTACTTACGTCGCAAACCCGGACTTGTAGACACCATTGTTGATATCGTTGTACGTCCAATCATTCGTCTCCTCAATCTTTTGCTGCAACGCTTTCGGGAACAGATCGAGATTCCTGTGCTTCTCCGGCAGCAACGCGTCGAAGGCATGGTAGAACATGCGAATGATCTCGCTGCTCTCGTTGTTCACGATCCGCTTCTGTTTCTTGTCATACAAGGTCGGCACGGTGAACCGTCCACCGTACTCCTTATCATTCTCGAAGTAAATGTCCCGCAGATGCGTGTACTCCGGGTGCAGCGGATCTGGCACCGCGTTCTCCCCCGGCACCGTCTCGTCCGGCGTCACGAACCGCCAGCCTCGCTCGCCCATGTGCCAGTGCACCGCCGTGAACGGGATCAGCTCCTCCAGGCCCTTGAGCTTCCGGACGATGAGGGTCCGGTGGGCCCAGGGGCAGGCATACGAGACATAGAGATGATACCGGTCCTTTTCGGCGGGGAAGGCGGCGTTGGGATCGGAGGAGATGACGTCGCGGAATTGGGACTGTTGGCGCCTGAATTCCCCGCTCTTGTCTTTGGGGTCGACCCAGTTGAGGATGTTCTTCTTGGCTGGATCGTGTGTCGACATCTTTGCGGACAGGATTATGGTGGGTGGAGATCGAGGTGTTAACTGGTTTCTTAGTTGTGGCAATCGGCGAAGCAGACTTGACATTCCAGCGATTTCAACGTTCGTACAGATCACCTCTGTGTTTTATACAATTCTTCCCCTCTGATTTAAATACTCCAAGCCAGTCTTGTTAGTCAGGACCCTGACCGGTTGATATTACTCATTGTGTGGTCATGAAGATGTCGACTGACATCAATCCAGGGATCAGCACTCTGGGAGACAGGAAACTAGTCCAACCTTGCTTAGCAACGCTTACATATCTCGATATATTAGATCCGGCCACAATTATTGGTGCACCCCGATTTCTTGATTGTTGATGTTCCTTACAAAGCACGGAATTGGATTTTGGAAATCCCACCCGATTCAAGTGACATCCGATTGAACTCTTATTTCATTCCTAAAGTCGTCCTTGCCTAGACTTCACCGAATCTCAGCAATGGTCAACACTTGTTAGGTAGCTTCTTCCGTCCCTCCTGTACAGTCATATCACTCTATAAGCGAAGATCGCTCGGCTCAACACGAAGATGTCGCGTGACCGCTTTGCAGCTGGGCAAATCGCAACTTGACCAAAAATGGTGTATTGAAGCTCCCCTATCATATGTCTAAGTCACTCATTGCAAAACAAACGGAGTGTCCACTCCCCTCATTGATGCTGCATACACTTGCCATCTAAGTCCTTCACACGCTTCCCATCCACGTATGTTCCGTTGACAAGAACTTCTTTCCGCTCATTTCCTTCCACGGGAAGCTCATTCAAGAATCGCCAACGTAGCTTCTGTTTCCATCCCAAGTTGTGCCAATCGTTAATCGTGCCTTTGGGAAAGAAAGAGATGACGTCCAGCATGGCCAAATCGTGAGCGATCAAGACGAGAACCCGATCGTCGGCATCAATCACCTTCAACTTCTCGATGCTCTGCTGTGCAAGTGGCGGGTTTTCATACCACGAGTCGGACCCGCTACAAACTTTGTAGTATGGCGATGTTCTCGCATTTTCCTGCTGTGGATGGCAGGCAGTGAACTGTGTGCAACACAGAGTCGGCGATTTGTCAGGGCTCTGTCCCACATCGTATGGACTAAGCATATATGGCATTGGCAGGTATCTTGTGGCTCTGAAAGAGCCGCCGAAATGGCAGATATCTCCCCCCAGAAACACGAAGGTGTCAATAGCTGCTATTGAATCGGTGGTTCTCACTAGGGCTGAAATATGTCCAACTGCATGGCCCGGAGAATCCAGGAGATACAGACTCCCATCTTCGAAATAGTCGATGGCGCGGAAGCCGACGATGATGAGTCCGCCCGAGAAGTCGAGCTCGCGCACGTTCCGATCGAAATCGTTCTCGAAGAAGGGGGATGTTGTAATTGTTGGGTAGCCAGGCAAGAATTCTTCGGAGAACCCAGGACCAACTATAAGATCTAAGGATTTCGGGAATGTACTCGGATGGCCAATATGATCGTAGTGATGATGGCTGAGTATCGCTGCTTCAATGTTTGCGATATCGCTACCACCTTCGACCAAGACGTCGATCAGATTTTTGTCAACTCTGATACCAGGCACCTTTGCCTTGATAGTTTCTGCGATTGGAAGAGGCAGATTCCAGAAATCCTTTCGACATCCTAGATCGAAGAGCACCTGCCGCCCAGAGGGCTGATGCGTGATCAGAAAAGCGATCGTTGGCAAATTTAGTAGGTTATGGTCGTCTATCGATGGTTCGCACAGCGTATCGATAGGAACCGTCAAGTCGCATGTTGTATTGATAGCGGCGATTGTGCAGGAGACGACCCCTTTCGGCAAATTGAGTCTTGGTGCGGCTTCTGGCGTCAACCCCGCTGTGGCCATTTTTTATTTTTCCCCTTTCCTGTAAATTTGGACGATGAAGCGGATAGTAGGCTCAAGAAATAAACTTCAATCTCCACCTCTACGATCCTAACTCCAATCTCCATCTCTATATCCTACCTGGCGTGGCATGACGCTGCCATCTGAAGAGCAATTTTGATCCACTGTGTCTACAGTCTAACAGACCATGGACGGGTTATAGACCGCTGCCGTACAGGAATGCACGGCAAGTCGGCAAGTGGCCATCGGCACCATCCAGGTAGTATTAACCAAAGATCCGGGGCACACGAGTCATGGGTATGCAAGCGCGAAATCATGATAGACATTAGACATTACTCATGTTTGCGGATCCCAGTATGTACAGCCGTTGACGACTGGTCCCTGTGCAAGGCGACGTATTCTCGATGTGGAATGGGCAATGGCAGTCGAATAACATGGTGTCTAGAGTGGCCACTCTAGTGAGCTACTAATGCGTTGTTATATTTCCAAGTATACTCCGTGGTTTACCCCATACTCCAAAACTTTTACTGTGAGCATCCTTCATTCGTCTGAGAGTGACCGATTGTGCTGCAACAGCTCAAGATGACTTCTATTGACGCGATTATCATCGGCGGCGGGCCGTCGGGGATTGCTATGGCGCACAAGTTGAAGCAGAAGCTGGGATTCGACAACTTCACGGTTAGTGAAGCCTTTCATGCAAGAAGTTCTGCTAATGGGCGTCCAGATGTATGAGAAATTGGATGGACCTGGCGGCACATGGAGGACCAATGTTTATCCAGGATGGTGCGTATTCAATTGTCTGACTGCAAAGGCGCCAGTTGAGGCTTATCTTGTGCGCAGTGGTTGTGATATTCCCACCCATTTGTACTCCTTCAGTTTCAATTTGAATCCTCGGTGGTCGAAAGAGCTTTGCGACCGTGAGGAGATTCTTGAATGTAAGTGACCCAGCCTGTGCCTATCGTTCACACGATTGATTCCATGGGCGTAGATATGGAATCAACGGTAGACAAGTTTCGCTTGCGGCCCCATATGGTTTTCAATACATCATGCGAAGGTGCGACTTGGAATGAGAAGGAAAACAAATGGGAAGTTCATCTTCTGGACGAGAGAACAAAGCGGAAGTACACGAAGAAGGCGACTATCTTCATCTCGGCTATTGGTAGTATATCAGAACCCAGAAAGACGAAATTTCCAGGCCAAGATGAATTCCAAGGGACCATTTTTCATACCGCACGATGGAACACGAAGTATGATTATAGGGGCAAGCGAATGGCCGTTATCGGTAACGGCTGCTCGGCCGCCCAGGTAGTGCCTAGCGTCGTCAAAGACGTGAAGCACGTTACTCAGTAAGTCCATGACCTATGAATATAGATGATCCGTCTAATTTTGACGCAGATATGCGCGAGGCCAACAGTGGTATCATGAACGACCGAATCGCGAGTTCTCAGCCATCGAGAAGTTCTGTTTTACCTATGTCCCCCTCTGGCAGAGGTATCATCGGTACCAGATTTTCAGCTCAAGTGATGCCTTGATGACAACGTACGGAGCTTCCGAAGCCTCTCAAAAGCAGCGTGAGGCCACGGAGCGCGCTGCGAGGGAGTACATTTTGGCAACGGCACCAAAGAAGTACCACGATATTCTCATCCCGAAATTTCCACTAGGTACTTAGAACACTACGCAGGTCCATCCTGGGCACAATTGGCTAACAGTCGTACAGGCTGCAAGAGGCGAATTTTCGATCCCGGCTATCTCGAGGCCTTGCACACACACAACATGACTCTTCGTGCTGAAGGTATACAGAAGTTTGACGCAACTGGTGTTGTTAGCGAGTCTGGTGTGCATGACGACTTCGATGTGATTGTCCTCGCCACAGGCTTCGAAGTCTCGAGCTTCCTCGGGCCATTGAAAGTTGTTGGGAGAAGTGGTATCGATTTGCATAAGCAATGGGATGCACACGTTGGTGCGCAAGCCTACATGGGCATGCACATCCACAACTTCCCCAACTTCGCATTGATGTGAGCCTATTGATGGCCATATGTTAGAAGAAAGCTGATCCGATTTTAGGTTTGGGCCAAACACCTTCCCGGCCCACAATTCAGTCATTTTTGCTTCGGAAGTTCAAGTTGATTACCTTGCAAAGACACTATTCGAACCCTTACTGGACAGAAGAGCGAGGACTGTGGAGGTTGAGAAGGCCGCTGAAGACTACTTCGTTGAAGGCATTGATCTCGAGCTTCATGATACAGTCTTCTCGGCTGGATGCTCCAACTGGTACATCAACAAAGCCGGTAGGAACTCCGCTTCGTGGCCTGGTTACGCGGCTACATTCTGGCGACGGACTCTCTTCCCCAAGTGGAGTGACTTCAAACTCAAAGGAGGAGACAGCTTTTGGCGGTTGAGACGCGCCTGGAGATCAATTGTTGGGTTATTGCAATCGAAATCTGCCATCGTGTGTTATGCCGTAGGCTTGGGGTTTCTGGCTAAGGAGCGGGACCTTGGGTTGTTGTTGCAAGAAGCCTGCGTACAACTGCGGAACTAAATGCAAAGCACCTAAGGACCTGACATGGCTTTTGGTGCATCTAGGTATGTATTTGCTGGCGCATCTTCACATGGAGTACGTACCATAACTTCGTGTTAGCATAGTAACAATAACATAGTATGTCGCTCACACTTTTACTTTCTCCATTCCTTGCTAGTTGCTAGTAGCTGCACTCCTTTGGATTTTCTATGGAGCGATATGACGATTCCCCAGTCCTCGCAGGGCAAGTGATCACATGCAGAAACGCCGAGCCCCAGCCATTGACATTACTCATGCGTGGGCAAGCCGGCAAGGACCAGCTGGCCCTCATTCGCGCTAGTCCAGCCCAACGCCAATGTTCTAAATCCCGAAGGATAGTTGGTGGCCGGAATGCGAACTGCGGATCTTCGATGCTCTACATACATAGTACATTATTCTCAGGATCTGCATCTTGTAGATGATGCCGTGCGGGGTAATATGGAGGTCGTTTGAGTAGCGAGCATACTGGGTTGGAAGAGCCGAGATGTTATCCGCGTTCGGCAAGCACTCTCTGTTGGACCCAATACCTAGTATCGGCATTCAGCAATGCCTTGCGATCGGGCTTGTCTATCAATCTTCATGCTCTTCCGTTCTTTAAGGACCCGCCTGCTGAATCATTCGCCACCGATGGTGGCTACATCGTCAGTCGTCTTCTTGCTTAACAACCCTTTTTGTCCACTTCTTCTATGCGGAGCTGTGGCTGTCTACACAATTGCGTGTCTAGTGTGACTGAAGTGTGAAGAGAAACTCCTTCCAGAGAGTTCGGTGCGGAGGAAACCCCCGATTTTGACCTCATCTCAAAGTCCTTGTCTCCGCTTAAATCCAGTGGGTGTTGGCCGAAGTTTGAATTGAGGCCCGAAGCTCTCCGCAGAGGGTATATTCGGTACAACGCTGTCGCTGGATATGATTTTCCACTTTCATTATACATAGACCAGTTCGTGCCCTTTGGTCCTGATGTGTTGGAATGGTCCCCGTTTCCTTAGCCGTTCGGCAGGGCCACGCTGTGGGGTACCCCGTCCCCGCAATTTCAGAATCACGGACCATCCAACGGAAAGCTGCACTCAACCTCACAATCCGGATGCTAATGGCTTCTTCTGTGGACGGTAGTTATACATGACAGTCGCCAGGCTGTAGACGTCGGCGGTGGCTCTTGCTTGAGACCGTGGTGCGATAATGGCTGCAAATCGGGATGCGAGCGATGCAGCAGCCATGGAGCGTCTGGCCAACCCAAACAAGAGATCGAGAACGATAGCCAACCTGACCGAAGAACAAGTTCAACACAAACGTCAGGTGGACAGGAAAGCTCAGCACGCTTTTCGCCAGCGAATGAAAGACAGTATCATCAGCCTGGAGCAAGAGAACGCTCGTCTACAAGAGGCTTCCAGTCAGAGGGAAAATGAGCTACAGCAGCAGATAACCATGCTGCGCGAGCGGGTTCGAATTATGTCTCAATCCCTCGGGAATATCCTTGATACTACCTCCACGGCACTTGGCGTGACGACCTCCGAAGATGCCTTGACAAGCCGCTCTGAAGGTACGCTCTCAAATCGGGTGATCTTCTTAGCAATACTAATGTACGTCGCAGGTAGCCAAAATGATGGTTACGGGTCCGAATTCAGGCATGAAATCGAATCTATACGCGATCGGCTGGAGCAGAATGGTATTGTTGCTCCTTCATCTGGAGTCCAGGGTCTACAGATGGCAACTTCGCATCCTGATGAGGACACTAGCCGTATGACCGTCACCGACTCAGTTGTTGCCGGCGGTGCTGCTTTTCATCTGTCAGCGGGCATTATGCACGATGAGAGAAGTCACCAGGAAATCCAGCCTCGGACAAATTCTATGTCTATGCACGTCAACGCGTGCGAGCGAGCCCCGGTTGCAGATCCACATAGTGCCGGTCCTCATGAGACTCTGGTAGGCCGAGGAAGTTGGGCCTTCCATCCATCGCCAAATGCATCACAGAGCGCCAGTGATGGGCACACATCTACGACGCCAGTTGGCCATCTTCTCTCTCTTGTGCGATCAAGTGACTCGCATCTCTCACTGGGTGGTGAATTCGACGGGACCATGAGCGAGGTGCCTCAAAACGATCCTCCGGTATCACTTCCGACCCCCAGCAGCACAGTAACCATCAATCGACCCGATATTCCCGAGCGGAGACCTGAATCCTCACCCAGTCCTACCATTTTCACCGTCACCCCTCCATTTACGTCCCCCGTATGTCCCTTGGACGACATACTACTGAACTTTATGAACTCTCGTAGAGCAATGATAGCGAATGGTGAGCCTGTTCAAGACGTAATTGGTCCGCAAAGGCCAACTCTTCGAAAGCTGCTCAATCCGAAAACGGGGGATCCCACTCATGCTCTTGCTGGGCTCATAGGGGAAATCTTGTCGAAGTATTTGACAACGAAAATGGCGGAGAAGATGACCTTCTTCTGGGTGATGAGTCAGACGATGAGGGTATGGTGCTTGTCCTACTTCATACTGTGCGAATCATGCAATACATACTCACAATTTCAGTGGCTGATATCGCGCGATAAAAAGGATTACCTCTACATGCCGCCCTGGCTACGGCCTACCGCGATACAGATGACGGTACCGCATGCTATTTGGATCACCAACATTCCATGGTATGAAAATGACACGCAATTGTAAAAGGCGCTGACGATGTCAAGGCCTGGAGTACGAGATATGCTAATCGAAGAGCCTGAACGGTACCCTTACGAAGTTGTCGGTAAATATTACACCGAGCATGTCACTGTGAACTGGGGCTTCGATAGCCTTGACGCAGTGGAAGACGCCAATGGTGATGAGCGAATACACTCCATCTTCGAGAAGCACCTTCGAAATCTTAAAAACTGGACGGTCTCACCTACATTTCTGGAGGGGTTTCCTGCAATGGCATCAGCAATTTATGGTACATGAGCGCGACCGCTTTTGTGTAGTTCGCGCCAGTCATCGCATCTGTTTAGACTGCACTGGGTGACATCGGTAACCAGACAATTGATGACAGCATGTCTCCCAATGTTCTACTGGAGATCTTAATGGACTGGGCAGTGGACGTGCTCATAGCCATTCGCTGCCATGCGTGCATGGTACACTTCTTGTGCAATTCTTGTACATACTGCAAGAATTGCTCATAATTCAGTCCTTTCATTGTGCTCGTATCATCCAGTGCTGGTCAATCGATGCCCATGACGATTTTACACGCTAATGAATCACGAGAAGGCACAATTATGGTAACGGGTGGAATAAATAACAGAGCAAACAAGTGTCCCGGCCCCAGCAGGATCCCCTTCCGACCCCGACCGCACGAGAAGGCTACTTTTGCTCCGATGGTTGGCAAGTATGGACGCTCTTGCACATGATGCACATGATGCGCATCAAATGATGAAAATGTATATGTTATATAGGGGCTGAACGAGCAGCGGCCTACACGCTGAACCCTTAATTTACTACAAGCTCATTCTCTACCCTCTGAATCGTCGTCATAAAAGCTTCATCCTCCAACCGCGTGCAACTGATCATCGAACTGATCAAAGAGCGTACCTGAAGAATGGACTGCGGTCTCCCATATCGAGCAATTCCTGTTCAGAGTAGCGACTCTTCACACCCACCTCACCGCCGAGCTCCTCCACCAATCTGTCTCTTCGAGCATTCTCCCGCCCATATGACAAGCGCAAGACAACGGTCATGATAATTGAAACACACAGAAAAGCCAAGCAAGCTCCGAACCCGAGGTGGTACACGGGAGCTTCACGTGCAAGATAGACATTCGAACCAGCGATTGCACCCATATTGCCCACAGAAATGAGCAGCGCCTGGTCGTAGCGGTTAGTTTTGTTGACAGCAGAGGGCCTACTAACAGCTGAGAAGGCTGGTATCATGGAAGAACACCAAAAGGTGACACTCTGTGTTTTCTGCTTTCTTATGGAAATTTCGGAATAACGTACCATTGCAACAGCTCGCTTTGACGAAGGGGCTAAGTTGTTGGCAACCCAAGCGACCGTTGGCGGGAACCCAGAATATAAACCGCCTGCGATTCCGAACAGGAATCCGAGAGCTACACCAGGGTATCTAGGGTGTGGGATAGCAAGCTGAGCAATGAAGCTGCAGGATGCAATAGTATAAGGTATGATAATAAAGATCCACCTAACCTGATAATGGTCGGATAGGAAAGCGAAAACAAGGACCAGGATAACAGCAAAGAAGTAGATTGGAACAGTAAGGAGTTGCGCTTGAGCTTGTGTGTAGCCCAACTCGTTAATCACTGTCGGTACCGTTGCAGAGAAGCTGGAAATGATAAGCACGGTACACATCGACGAAATTATCAAGAAGAATCTCACCCATATACACCAACACTATTGCCCCAGTATACTAAGATCATAGCCCAGACTCGCCACTCCTTGAACGCGCTGTAAATGTGGTGTTTCTTGATCCGTTCATTGTTGGTAACTCGACCCTCTCCTGATCCGGTATCGGTAGCTAATCTTTCGATCACGAATCTCTTCTCGTGCTTGTTTAAGAATGTCGCTGTCTCAGGGGAATCAGGAAGAATCTTCCAGAGGACCAGAGACGTGGCGATAGGAACCAAGCCTTCGAGGATGAAGATCCATTGCCATCCTTTCCGGCCGCCAACTCCGTCCATCTTCTCAATAGCGAATGCAAGTAAACCTGAGAAGGCTCCGGCCATAGAAGCCATGGAAAAGAATATCGCGAATCGCTTTTGATATTCGTATCGCTTATACCAGATAGTCAGAAGATAAGTCGCCGCTGGGAAGAATCCCGCCTAGAATGCCGGTCAGTTTCCGTGCGAGTGAGTCTGGGTAACAACGAACTTCAGCGACACCCAAAAACCACCGAGCAGCTAGCAAGCCCTGGTATGACTCTACCAACCCCATGAGACTGTTATTCAAGTCAGATCCATGTTGAGTTGCGACATGGCAATTGAAACCTACGTCATTACCAGGCCCCAAGTGAACAACAGGATCGATATCCACAGCGAGGGCCGCATAAGCTTGAGTACTATGTTGGAAGGGACTTCTAGGAGTGTGTACGGCACGTAGAATAAAGTGACGGCAGCATTGTACTGCAGACCATGAAGATTGAGGTCATCATTCATGCCGGCAATCTTTGCATTGCCAACTACACAACAGCAATCAGTGCTGTACAGTAAAGGTTTAGGTTGGGAACTTACTATTGGACCGGTCAATGAACGAAACAAGGTAAAGAAAAGTGAGTAACGGCACTACTCGCCAATCAACCTTGCGGATAGCCGCCTTCTGTTCTGCTTCCGAAAGGTTGACAACGACATCGCCCTCCTCCACTTCGGTCTTGTCTAGAGAGAGCGAGTTTTCAGAGGCATCCTCTATGATCGCGGGCTTATCGGAGAAATCCTTCACGATCGTGGGCTTCTCAGAGACATCCTCCACCCGCTTGACGTTATCAATGACTTTCTCTGGCATTGCTCAGAAGGACATGTAAACAAGAGGAGAATATGTGACGCGCTGGAGAAGGAGGAAAACGGTGAATATGAAAATCAGACGTTTGAATTAGTCTCCCATTCCAAGATACAGCATCCGTCCTGTGCCGATCTCCACACATGCGGATGGTCCGCTTGTCCATTATAAGGGAGGTTTGCTGTTGTGGCGACAGCATATGGCGCTTCAGCCGAATACCCACGGCACACACGCTTACTGTGAGCCTCCCCATCGTTTAGAGGTAGCTTGCCTGCATGGTAGATGCCCAGCCGTGTTCCGAGAGGAGAATGAGCTTTGCTGCCGGCAATTGCCACGGAAAGAGTCAAGAAAGTGAAGATCAAAACCTGGGGAAGGCTCCACGTCGTCGAACAAACCCCTGATTCCAACCGTTCGGTACACCTTTCCCCCCATATCCTTCCCCGCATAGCTTTCCCCGTTTCCCGGTATATCTTTCCCCGCACTGTTATCATACATGACTCATGATTCGAATTGGGCACTCTCTCCCTGGCTGAATATATTTCTGGGCTTGATGTGGGAAGGGGCTGAAATTCGCAATAAAATCGTGCGTAAATGCAGGGAATAGCTCACTTAATGACGTGACGCTGTGGGTAAGTTAGTCCATAGCTTATGGACCTTAGAGTTAATTGAGTATGGTTTCATGCGCGTTAGCCTAGCCTGACCCTCTTCAATTTTTGTTGTGGACTGACGTGCGCCATTATTGCAAGTCAGATCTTTTTACACGTGCCATCCCGGAGATGGACATTGGATGGATGAAAATACTAGAGATTACATGAGTCATTCCCCAACGCGGTTGACCTCTTGTGTACCTCGCCCAGATTGTCCGGAGGTAAGGAACTGATGAGCAGACTTAGTCATGAGTGACATGACTAATGTCAGGGGTACGTAACTCCTTGAACTTTTCTTTATTTTTGCAGCTGCTCTCTGCCCCTATTATTATTAAGCGAAAACTTCGACTAACGCGTATGTGTACAACAATTACTTCGTATGGACCGTGGATCATACATATTTCCCTGGCTACTGTGGAGAAATTCAAAAACCTTCTGAAATTGAGTGCGGCCCTCCAGACTTGGACATGAAAGATGACCATCTGGTTTAGGGCTAGACACGAATAAGGATTTTGGCTATTCGTATTCGACTTTTCCTCTTGAACGATTATTCGTATTCGACTAAGTTTTGAGACGTTTTATTCGTATTATTCGCGAATATTCGTAAATAATGCCAAGACTTATTCGGCAAAAGCCGAGCCAATGAATGAATGCCCAGCAGTCGCGACTTTTGTTTACCCGAACACGATCTGGAGGATTTGAGCTCTAAGAGATACAAAGCATATCAATAGCGTCGAATTGATCACTCCTGACGATTCAGCAAGCCAAGTGACCCCAGCTCAAAGCTCTCTGTCGACCATCTTTCCGATGCGAGATACATGGAAATAGCTTCAGAGATAGACGAATAATTACGAATATTAGTAAGCGGAAATTCTAAATTTTTCGCAGTCGAATATTCGTGTCCAGCCCTAAATTCTGGTTGGCCTTGATAATCTTTACAGTGCCGAACTTGCAAGAACTCTTGATGTGTTCATTCAGCTTTATAATTTCATACACATATAACGAACGATGACCTGCGGAGCATATTGCACCTAAATATTGCCCCTGATAAGGAACTTGTCGGGGACATCGACCAGTTTGCAACGCAGATATTCTGCTAGATTCTTGCCTAGCACATCGTATGTCGAGCTGGACGATACACCTCGATCAAGGTGATCTTTCAAAAGAAAATGTACGGCTAGACTTAATCAGTAGAATTCCAACTTCAGATGAGCGTGTTCACTTACCCCAGATATTGGGAAGTTCGAAGCGGAATATCGGCTTCCCTGTATCATCTTCGTTCAAAAATTGGCGGACTTTGTCCACAGTCAGGAGGCTTCTAAGCCACTCGTACTCGTCAGCTTGGCGAACGAATAGCCCAACATTGCAATCCGAGCCTTTGTCCCCTGAACGCGCATGGACAATGTAACCCAGAGGCACCCGAGTCGTTGGTCCGAATTCAGAAAGCTTGCGAGGATCTGCCGTCTCATATGTGCTTTGAACATACAGGAAGTCCTGTGTACTGGTGGGGGCAGCAATGGGAACTTCCAGTTTCGCCGATGGAATATGGCACACATGCTTCACACTGCTTTGGGAAAGCAACGCTACCCAGTACTCGTAGTACGGTTTGGGAATTGCTTGTCTGGAGTCGACACCAAATGTGGCTCCAGGATAGCTCTGCATGACAGTGTTTGTGATAGGTCGGAGGAACTTTGCAGTAGCTAGATCCGCTTCATTCCTAGCTTGCGCGAAAATCCGGAGATCAACGGTAGCGGCGTCCTGATTTTTAGGATCGACCGGGCATCGGCCACTGACCCTGAACTTGAGGCAATGGTATTTCGATTCGTCTAGAGACGCACGCACCTGTCTCTCTAGCATGCGGGCCTTCTCCTCGATGTCAAGGCCACAGAGGAAGTAGTGTGCCTCTGCTTGGTAACCACCTTTGGCCGTGATGCCAACCTTTGTCGTTGGTGGAGGCCGCAGATAACCCACATTACTAACGTGTCTGTAGGAAGTCAGCAGCGCGATTTGCGAAATAGAGACAGACTCACACTCGGTTTTCTCCGTTTTGCTCGATCTTAATCCCGTCCAACACAGCGACTACATCTGAATTGTAATAGAGTGGACCTTGAATCTCGTACAGCAGCTGCGCCTTGCATGTATCAATGGTAACCATACCATCACATTCTTTCTGCATCGTGACATCGAACTGGCCGTTGGCGCCGATTTCAGCAATGGGATATCCAAGATTTAAGGACGCGCCTGGTAGACTTTTGAAGCCGGAGAAATTTCCGCCTGTAGTGTAAGTAGAGCATTCGATAAAGTGTCCGGCAACAAAAGCATGAGCGAGTTGCTCGTAGTCTTCACGGCCCCAACCGAAGTGGTACGCTGCGGAGGCGATCGTTGGAGAGGCGTCGGCAACTCGACCGCACAAGACGATATCTACGCCATGCTTGAAAGCTTCGACGATGCCCCAGCATCCCAGGTAGCACTGAGCATAGATGGGCTCGAATTCCCAGTCGCTCAAGACCTTGCCTGGAAATACGTTAGTTATATCCAAAAAGTAATGCGACAAACTCAGTACCGGTGGTTAAGTTCTTGAAATCGTTTCCTTCTTTCGAGGCACTCTTGACCAAGTCGATGACCTCGTCGCCACCGACCCAGGCAACTTTCAGGTCCAAGCCGGCAGCCTTGACCTTTTCAACCACGATATCGTATAGCTTCTGAGTGTCGCTGGCTCCGGCGTTGACAGCGACCTTTATCCCCCTCGATGCCAGATATGGCAAGGCTGGCTCGAGTGCTTCCAGGAATGAATCCTCGAACTCGTCCGAAGCTCCGCTGTTGTTGATCTTGCTACCACCGCGAGTGGTCATGTTGTACTCAGACATCCAGTCGCCAACGATGTACTTGACATCTTCGTTCTTTGCAAGGTCAGCAAAGCCATGACGGCGATCTGTGACCGCGCCAGAGGCTGAGGCAATGCGTAGTTTGAAGTCTGTGACAGAGCCCATCGCGAAAGTTCGTTCATTCTCAAGAGCTCAAACGCTGTTGCGAATGAGCGTATCAACTATCAAGTTATACCACTGGCAATCATTCGCACGGCAAGCATCGTGCTGCGCCGAATATCCGTCTGCTATCCGTAACTCACTTTGGGAGAAGGAACCCCAGATTCTCCATACGCCGATCTTTTTAGCGCATTGCATTACTCATGTTCAGAGCCAGCTCAAAATCGGCCGATGCTCGGAGTTGCCTCTGACGTGCAGAGCTTCATCGATAATTTTTATCGGGTAATCTGATACGATAATCGGTATTAAATATCACGACGATTGTGAGGGCTGGGGTTTATTGGCTGGTGAGATTTTCCCCCCTGTTTTTGAGATTTTCCCCCCTCAGAAGTACCAAAATCACCAGTTTTGAAATTTACAAGGCAATGTAGCCACATTTTCACCATTATTTTCAAATTCAAAACTCAGAGAGAGTTCTTTAGAATTCCCTCTTGCTCTTGGACCCCGAAATTTGATTCTAATAAGCTGCGGGGTTGCGTGATTTGGAATTGAAGTCGTCGTGGTAGTTTTTTCATACAACTCATCAAGTTCAACACACAATTCAACCACAACGCAACGGGGATTTGGAGCTCTAAAATAGCAGGATCGGTTATCCAGGCTTTAGTATTCTTCTTAGTTTTTAAAAATTATATTATTTCGAAGCTAGCGTTGAGCTGCTTGGAGTTGAAGTTGAAATATGATGGTTTTGATACCTCTGAGGGGGGAAAATCCCAAAAACGGGGGGGGATTCTCTCCAGCCGGGTTTAAAATAACGATACATGCGTAAACTATCGTGTATTATTAGATAATCGGTATCAGGAAGCCCCGATAGCTACTCGATAACCGTATCAGGCCTAAGTCAGCGACCCCCGTTTTCGTGCACCCCTATTTTCGTGCACCCAACCAAGATAGGTAGATTTCTATAGATCTATCCTCTACTTCATCAATTAATTCAACAAAATGAGATGCTATACTGAAAATGCCTCGTGTGAATGAAGTCGCTATACAGCTCGCTATACAGGCGTTTCATGATGAAAAATTCGATTCCTTAAACCAAGGTGCGGATGAATACGGCATCAAGAGATCAACGCTTCGCTCCCGACTGAATGGCTCAATATCCCACCAGGATGGAGCCAAAAGGTTTCAAAAATTGTCTCCAGATCAGGAGAAATGGCTCGTCGAATGGATTATAGAAGAAGACGTCGCCGCCAGGACTCCCCTAGACTTCCCCGCGGACGAATGGCGGCTTCTAGTGTGCGATGGACACGGTTCTCACGCTACAGTAGAGTTCATGAAGTTGGCCAAGGAAAACCAAGTATTTCTTTTGTTTCTGCCGGCTCATACGTCTCACCTCCTGCAGCCCCTAGATGTTTCGGTGTTTTCGCCCCTGAAGTCCAAGCGTCTCAGAGTGGACGTGATATTCCGCATTATTAATCATGGCGGCAATATTGAGCTGACAAATTCGGAAACCAAAAAATGCTCGTGTGGAACCTGAGATGGGTGAAATTGCTAATGTGTATATATCTTCTGTGATTTCCAAGATGAAGCAGACATTTTTCCATACACGAAAGCGATCATGGCCAACTCACGACTTTTCGAGCCGCTTACCGTTGGGAGGGTGGAGTTGCGGCATAGAATGGGCATGTCTCCTCTGACCCGATATCGAGCTTCGGATGAGCATGTACCTCTAGACTTAATGGCCACATATTACGAGCAACGCGCCTCGGTGCCAGGAACGCTCTTAGTCTCAGAGGGTGAGTTCCCAATCATCCTATTGTAACTGTAAGCGCACAATAACTAAGACGACTCAAGCTACATTCATCTCACCGCAGCAAGGCGGATACGCCAATGTTCCTGGGATCTATAACGACGCACAAATCGAAGCATGGCGCAAAATAACGAAAGTCGTGCACGCCAAAGGAAGCCATATTTTCTGTCAGTTGTGGGCGCTTGGGCGCACCGCCAACCCTGACGTCGCCAAAACCGAGAACATTACCATCACGAGTTCAAGCGACATCCCTGTTAGCTCAGCGCATGCAGTCCCAACTTCTTTGACTATCGAGCAGATCAAATCTACCATCGAAGATTACGCGCAGGCAGCCCGAAACGCAATCGAGGCCGGCTTCGATGGCGTTGAACTACATGGTGCTAACGGCTATTTGATCGATCAATTCCTCCAGGACAAGTGCAATCAGCGAGCGGATGAATACGGCGGTAGTATCGAGAATCGCTCGCGGTTTGGCGTACAGGCTGTTCAAGCTGTGATTGATGCGATCGGTGCTGATCGCACGGCCATTCGCCTCAGTCCTTGGAGTAGCTTCAACAGCATGAGGATGGACGAGCCAGTGCCGCAATTTTCAGACATTATACAAAAATTGGACAAACTCGGTCTTGCCTACCTGCACCTTGTTGAGTCGAGAATTTCTGGCAACGCCGATGTAGAGGCATCGGACAAGCTCCACTTTGCATATGACATATGGAATGGACCACTTCTTGTTGCTGGTGGCTTCCGGCCGGATTCGGCTCGTCGTCTTGTGGACAAAGAGGAGAAGAACAGGAATATTGTTGTCATGTTCGGACGATTCTTCATCTCGACACCAGATCTGCCTTTCAGGATCCGGTCCGGAATCGAGTTGAATGAGTACAACAGAGACACATTCTACACGCCCAAGCACCCGCATGGATATATCGACTACAACTTCAGCGATGAATTTCTTAGCAAGGGTTAGGAAAACATCGGCGTAGATGATAATATCATTATTATTATTGGCAATTTTGAGATCAGGACAAGTGACTGGCTCGTAATGCTGACTTCTAGCCTCTAGGACTGCTCTTCTGGAGGCGCCCGCTACCATCTGCAGTCAATGGGAACTGTCATCTAGTTACATAGATTTAATAGAACATCGGTGATATGTTGTCGGGCAAATATTTGCAGAGTGCTCCATTGTTTGTCATGTACTATGCCGTGGTCTGCCGCCCCTGAGTGACCCCTGAATGATCCCTGACTGGTAGCACAGCAGTCCCTGATTTGAATGAGTCATGCCAGACCATATGGATAAGCCCGGACTCAAGGCTCCACAATCAACCTCCAACGTCCACAGACAACATGAAGTTCTGGTCGACAAACAACTTTGACACAGGATGACCACTGACACCTCATGCCGCGGTGCGTACACCAAATATCTCTTCTTGATATACCAAGAGAAGCTCTTGAACCGATGAAGAAACCTAGAGTGCGCCGTCTTCCCTGCAACGCGACTAACTAACCCCCGATAAGCTACACCATGATTTATGAGCATTTGTATACAAGGTTACATACGATCTTCGCTTCATGTGCTTCGAAAATTTGCAAAATTTGACTTTATTTGACTTTACCCTATGATCTATAGGTCCATGCCCCCTACAAGTCACATCATCCATCGATTGGGGAGAAAGGTCTGACTGGTGCCGATACTCTTTTGTCAACATTGATTCAGGCCACAGTCTCTTCTACTCTTTTTTAAACCCGAGTAAACTAGTTAGTATGGTTCAGACGCCCTCGACATCCAAGGTATGGCTCGTCACAGGCTGCTCGTCGGGACTCGGACGTGAGCTTGTCACTGCCATACTTGGTCGAGGAGATAAAGTCATTCCAACGGCACGAAAGCTTTCGGACCTAGAATACATGTATTCCCTTGACGGCGCAGCCGACAATGTTCATCCGATCGAGCTGGACGTGACCATGCCGGAGCGCGAACTCTACATTAAAATCCGCGGAGCAGTCGGACATTTAGGACATATCGATGTCTTGGTCAACAATGCCGGTTTTGTGTTCTCGGGCGTCTGGGAGGAAGTCAGGTATTGATCCTATCAAGGACGACAGTGTTATTTCACTGACCTTCGTTAGCGACAACGATATACGTAGACAATTCGACACCAACTTTTATGGTTCCCTGAAAATGGTGCGGTGCGTGCTTCCATACATGCGGGCAAGACGCTCGGGCGTCATACTTTTCATGGGAAGCATAGCTGGGTGGCACGGAGTTGCAGCAGGTGGACCATACAGCGCGTCAAAATTCGCTGTCGAAGGTAGCTTCTGTACTCATTGTGTGTAGCATACACTGACATGATTATCGGCAGGTGCTGCCGAAAGCCTTTCGCGAGAGATCACACACTTAGGCATACGCGTCCACGTCCTTGTGCTTGGAATGTTCCGTACGGGCATTCTGAGTCCCTCGAACAAGAATAAGACCATAAATTTGACGGCGATCCCGGACTACGCTAATGTTCAGGAAGAACTACGATGCAGGCACCGAAACAGTGACGGAAAGCAGCCGGGAAATCCAGTTCTCGCTGCGCAAAAGGTGTTTGATGTGGTGGCTTTGATGTACGCGAGTCCTGCTACGTTCCCCTTACGAATCCCATTAGGAAGCGACGCTTTGACGGTAATAAAAAGAAAATGTACAGACACACTCGAAGAATTGAAGGGATGGGAGTCATTCGCATCGAGTACAGACTTCACGGACGGCCCTTCGCGCTCAACTGTCTACTCCAGACTATAAGAAAAGCAAATAACTACGGGTTTCATTGAGTATCGAGTTCTGTTGCAAGATGGAGGATACCCTATACTTTTCTCGGTAGACTATGTTCGACGTAGGTTAAATGACTACGTTTTCGACCTTGGTTGGCTTTCTTTTTCGCCGCAATGTTGATGTCACTTTTGCTGAAAGCCTGATCCGATCTTGTATTCTCACTGGTGATACAGGTGAGCTAGAACTGAAGACTGGGTTCGTAGCTTCAATGACGGCCAAAACAATATTCTAAGATGGAGTGAGGAAAGGTTAGCATAGAAAATGACATGCAATATTATTGATTACCTACCGATTGCCCTTGCGCATCAGAATGCTGCCCAAACACGACGATCTGACCTTCTTAGCATTGTTCACGCCAGCTTGATTGCTAACCGCTGTTCTACTATCCTCCTCACCGGGTCCCTCTTTGCCATATCCTGCAAATCTCCTGCAACCAGGTTCGGACGTTCCCACGCGGCGAAATGCCCACCATCAGCATGCCTTCTCTCAAAGACCACCTTTCCTAAAGTTCTGCCCCAAATGGTAGGTGGAACGACGAGATCCCTAGGAAAATAACTTAATCCCAGCAACACGCCTGCATTATATTCGAAGCACTTGTCATGCTTCTCCAACTCCGCGAATCGACTCTCGTGATAGATTCTCGCACTTGCACCGGGGCCTGCGACTGAGAACCAATATAACGACACCCATGTCAGCTCCTCGTCTAGATCCCATTTATAATTGTCCGTCCACTGCACCAGCCGTTCATGCAACCAGGCTAGCAATGCGAGTGGCGAATCTCTTAATGCTATCCCAATAGTATGCGGGCTATGCGCCTGGAGGTCGTTGTACGCAAAACCGGGGCCACAGAACCATTTGGTGCGCTCGATTCCATTTTTCTCGGCAGCGGTGTACGGTGTCAGGGCGTGTTGAAGGTAGAGCAACGGATGTGCTGTAGGTGAGGGCGGATTTGCACGCACGAAGTTGAGGTGATGGAATAGCAGAGAGGAGGGATATAATTGGGCGAGCATGCGGACGATAATGAAGCCCCAGTCGCCCCCCTGCGCGGCGTAGTGCGAATAACCGAGCTTTTGCATGAGGGAATGCAGGGCTTCGGCGTATTGGGGGATCGAGAAGCCGGGTTTTTGGATGAGCGAGCTAAAGCCGAAGTTAGGGAGGGACGGCGCGACGATGTGGAAGGAGGGTGCTCCTGGGGCAGTAGAGGTCAAGAGGGGGAGGATGCGAAGAACTTCGAGAAAGGAACCCGGCCAGCCATGGCAAAAAAGTAAAGGGATGCTGTTCCCATTCCGGGTCTGCTGATGGAGGAAATGAAGCTCGACTTCGCCGAAGCCATCAACGTTGACACTCGTAGTGTATTGCGGGTATTCATTCAGCTTGGCTTCCTGTTGCCGCCAGTTGAACTTCTCGCGCCAGTGTTGGGCCAGGTGCTTGATATCGGATAAGGGAGTGCCGTATTTCCAGTCATCGGAGAAGGTGGTCTCCTCGGGAAATTGGGATGCATCGAGTTTGTCGTTCAGCGACTCGATGGCAGACTCGGAGACGTGGATTTTGAACGGCTGAATGTCAGGTGCCATGGTGCTCTATTGAACTGGAGTAGTACCGTGCCAGACGTGATAATAGGGATTTGACATGAAAAATGTGACTAGAGCAATGATTAGAAACGCTCGGGTTGAGAATGAAATATGAGTACGGAATATGAAGAGACAAAGAGTATTCAGAGGCTACCCCCCGGAGATATGAAGCGTATAAATATTTAACGGAGAAATCACCGGCGGAAATCGTGGTACGCCCTTCCACAATACCATCTCAATCATCTTAACAGATCCAACCATTCCATTGTGCTTGTTTTGGTGAGATTGGATTTCTAAGCGTTTTGCGTCATGGATGAAGTGATTGAACATGTGTTGGTCGATTGCTGAACCCAACTGTTCGGATTCACGCTCGCGCCCTACAGATCGCAGCAGGTTCCATATATATGAGTCATAAGATTCGCACTTGTACGGAGACCAAATCTGGTCTAGGTTTGATAGTCTCCATTTCAGGATTGAAATGCAGGACTATACTTGGTACTTGGTATTTGGTACTTAAGGCACATTATAAGTACAAAATGAGCACGGAATATATGCCGAAGAAGAATTGAGGATAGATGGATGTCGCAGAATGACTCCTGGAGATTCTTGTACGACGTCTTGGTTGTCAGGTCCATCCACGCTTGTCCAGCACATGACTCGTGGATCTGCAACACCTCATCTCCATTCGAATTTCTACACATTTAAATTTTCAATTCACAGTTCAATTCGAACGAGTCAGATACCTCTACACTCCATGACAACGAGATGGCCTAGCCACCTAGGGGGTAGGGGATATCACATAGCTTCTTGCTAATCACGGTTCAAATTTCCGTATCGGGACAATAATGCTAATCCGGGCGCTTCTGGTTCTGGGTATTAGTACACAGTAGCAGAACTTGAGCAGCTCAGGAACAGGGTGCTTGAACTTCAAGCTGTCGAGAACCGGAACTGGAGAACCATCTAGCATCGAAAGTATTCAAACTCACAGTCTAAGATCACGCTTTTCATGCGTGCCCCTTCACCACTGCGAACCTGCGACTGTTCATGCATCAATATCCAATTCCCTTCCACCCGACATGAACCAGCTCATCACACATAGCGATCCCTGCGCCAACTATCAATCCACGTCTCTCCACTCTGCCCTCCACCGCTACTTTCATTCTTCCTCTCCTCGGGCCTTGGAGCCTCCTGGAGTCGAACCATACATTGTTCTACCTTTTAGCTTCCGGTCCATTTGCTGATTTTCTGAACCGTTCGCGCCCAAAGGCCCTTGCGTCACCCCATAGGAGCAACGTGATGTCCCCTTATTCGATGCACCGTGATATACGTCCGCATGGATGATTTGTGGCTGCTGGTGATTGGACCGGCACGAGAAAAGTCAATGTGAACGCAACGATGGAGCAAGATGGTGGTCATGGCAGGAGATGGCGCGTGTACGTTTCCATTTTCTTTTTCTGCTAGCTGTACATACAAAGCATGTGGAATTGTGTACAATCTTTCGGCACCTTTCTTTCCATGATATCTTGACCCTTGAGTGACGATTATCGTACAATGAGCATTTGAGATCACTGCATGTTTTTTCTTGAAGGAGAGTAGAGTAAGTCCCTTGGAAACAACAAATCTTCCAGCAGTAGAGCTAACAATGAGTTCGCCAGGAGATAGATATTTGACGCCACAAGAGACTTCATTAGAATTGCACATCCCACTTCTATTCGAACATCATTTCTACGAGGGAAATTGCACGAGAAGCCGAGAGTCGTACCGCCCAAAATGGACGGCCCAGTATCAACTTTGGAGTCGGCCGCTCATGGTCTCAACCACAAGCGAACGAATAGTCTAAAGAAAGCATACCGGTTTGTGTTCGGACACAAGCAAAGCAAATCTAAAGACTTGTCGGCGGTTGAGCGAAAAGGGGTGACTGAGAGATCCACGGATGCAACCAATACACGAGCAGTATCTAGAGCCAGCAAAGTTCCTATTGCCGATGGACTGATCGAATCGAGCGTATCCCAACACGACTCTGGTGGCACGATCGGACAACGGCCGCAAAGCCCGAAGCCCGCCCAAACTTCCGGTTCACCGACAGATCCGGAAACCGAACAGCACAACGGGAGCGAAACCATCGTAGAGAAAGATGAGCGGTTGGCAGAGTTGGAGAGTCATGTGAAGACGTTGGAAGCAGAATATGCGGCCAAGGAGAAGGCGCTGGAGGAACGGAGAAGCAAGCTGGAGGAAATAATCGCGGCAGATGTGGTGGAGAAAATTGACGAAGCAAAGAAGGTGGAAAGGGAGGCGGTGGAGGAGAAATTGAAGGCAACCCATCAAGAGGAGCTGGTAGGTACCTCCTGGCGATTTCATTTTTCACGAAACGTGGTGCTGATGACAAACAGGATCGCGTGAAGCAAGAATACGGGGAAAAGCTAGTTGTTTCCGATGGAGCTGCGCCAGATGCCTCGCGTGAAGCGGTGCTGAACGGGGACAACGTTGAGGACAGTCCAGCGAAAGCCGAACTGGACGAAGCGAGAGCGGAGTTGCAGACCATCAAAGATGAACTGAAGGCTGCGAAAGAAGCGCTCGAATCGTTGCAAGTTTCATCACAGGCTGCAAATGCAGAGAACGCCGAGTTGTCCTCTCAGAACGCGTCTCTTGTATCCCAGGTTGAGTCCCTCACCATGGAACGAGGATCGTTAAAGGTTCAACATCAGGACGCTTTACTGAAGCTAGAGCAGGGTTCCAGAGAGCTTGAAGCGAGCCAGAAGTTTAAAACGGATCTTCAGGCAAAAGCTGATGCATTGGCGTTGGAGTTCCAGTCAATCAACGAGGAACTCGAATCCAAACGACTCGAGGTTACTTCTCACGCAGATAAGCTCCAGTCTTTGGAACAAGATCATGCGAGAGCCCAGATTACCCTCAACGACGTGCGAAAGGAGCTAGAGGAGACGAAGAAGCGGTCTGCGGAGAAGGAAGCGGAGATTGAACAACTAACATCGACACATGCGGATGCGGTTCGAGCCATCGAGGAATCGAATCAGAATGAGATCTCGGGGTGGACGACCAAGCACGGCAAAATCGACGCAAGACTTGCCGAAGTAACCGGGGATCTCAATAGCACAAGAGAGGAGCTCGCAAATGCAAATACGAAGGCGGGAAGTTTGGCGTCAGATTTGGAGACGGCCATCAAGAGCGATGATGCGGCCAAAGCGGCGCTTGAAACAGCTCAAGCGGATATAGCGAAGCTGAATGAGACCATTGCGAGTAACTCTGTCAATGGCGAGGCATCAAGTGAACAACTGCTTTGCGCAAAAGAAGCCCTCTCGAAAGTGGAGGCCGAGCTTAGTCAAGTCACTGCTATCCATGCCACTGCAAAATCGGATCTCGAAGCTGCAAATGTGAAGATCAGTGAGCTGGAGACAAATCACACTAGTGCTACCGCCGAGCTTGCTACGGTCAAGGACAAGCTCGAACGGCTCACGAAAGACTACGAACAGGCGCAGACCATTCATCAAACGAATCTTTCCGAGGAGACGACACGGCATGCCAGCACGAAGGTGGAGCTGGAGACTGCGAATGAAAAGTTGGGAACATTGAACGGAGATCTGGAGAGCCATCTTGCCATAAACACTAGGCTCCAAGCCACCCTCGACCAGATCAAGAGCGAAGCGCAGGGCCACGCAGCTGTCGAATCGGACTTGAAAGCGGCGAGGTCACAGATTGAATCCCTGAAGAGCGAGATTGAAGCCGGGAGCGCCAGCCTAGCAAACATTACCGAACAGTTGTCCCAGTCTGCTGCTGCGCTGGGCGAGGCACAGAAAGCCCATGCAGAGGCCCAAGGGGAGCTTGAGAAAAACACTGCCCAGCTCCAGACGCTGCTGAAGGAGCGCGATGACGCAACAGCGGAGTTCAAGAAACTCAAAGAAGCGGCAGATCTGGTAGATCAATTGAGATCACAGCTGGCTGAGCAGTCTACGGGCGTCGAAGCCACGAAACTGCGGATTAAAGAGCTGGAAGACGCCTTGGAGAAGGAGAAGGAGGGAGGAAAGGATGGTTTGCCCTTGGGCGAGGCAGCTGCTGTTGCAGGCGCCGGAGCCTTGGGAACTGTTGGTGCCGGTGCTGTGGCAAAGAGTGCTACGGATAACACGGAAGATGAAGAACCTGCCGGCTCGGCAACTCCTGGAAATAAAGAGGTGGATGCACCCTCTCCAGGTCAACAGGCTGAACCTGGGGTTGATGAATCTGTCGAGGCGCAGACACCACAAGGTTCCCAAGAGCACAAGCACGGAGTAGAAGATTCTGCAGTTGCGGAACCGACTGCGGAGGAACCAGCCGTGGGGGAGCCAGCCGCGGAGGAGCCTTCTGCTACGGAGGAGCCTTCCACTGCAGAGGAACCTTCTGCAAAGGGGCCCACTCCCGCGGTGGAACCAGCTACGGAGGAACCAACCGTAGAGGAGCCTTCTGCTGCGGTAGAATCTGTAGCTACGGAGGAGCCTGCTGCTGTGGAGGAGCCTGTTGCTGTGGAGGAACCTCCTACTGTGGTGGAGCCTTCTGGTACGGAGCAACCGTCCGGTACGGAGAAAACTGCCACTGCCAGTGCAGAAGACAAAATTGCGGAGACGCAGCCTTCATCAGCTGTTCAAGGCGAATCAATGCGGGCCGATGATGAGACGCTAGCTTCAAACCACCCTCTTGAAGCGGATATTGTCACGGAAGACGACAACTTACTTGATGGCCCACCAGACCATTCTCAGAGCAACGGCGCCGTGCCTGATCCTGCATTGGAGACAGACATCGACCACACTTCAGACCCCGGTCTAATCGTAGTAGACGGTGCCAAGGCAGAAACAGCTCCAGTGAATGGTCAAGAATCGAAGTTACCACCTAAAGAAGTTGATTCCAAGGACACTGAGCTAGTCACCGTTGTCACAGAGATTATACCCGCTGATATATCCGGGGAAGAATCTGGCGAAGGTTCTCCAGGCAGGAAACAAGTGCGGTTTGCAGAGGGAAACATCGTCGAGGGGGTGACAGGCAATGTACCCGGTCCGGAAGGCGAGGCTGAGAAAGGTGATGCGCTGGACACGATTGAGAATGGACATGAGGGGTCTGCTGATCGACTGGATGGACCTGTTTCGGAACGCGAAGACAAGCAGGTCGATGAACCTCAAGCACCACAGTAGGAACATGCGACTGAGACTAGACAGGCCGAAGGGGACGTTCAGAAACTGGGGGCAGCTGCCGGACTAGACACATGTGGAGGGTAGTGACAAGGAGTCTGCACTCTCGAATGGTGTGCTGTCCCCTCTGGGCTCAGAGGCTACATGTGTTGCAGCGATTGAAGTTGCGGTGGTTGACCCTCCTGTCCTATGACCAAGGGTCACATGATGAGGGTGTTCTGCCTGCTTTCATGGTGAACTCCAAATCAGCTTACATTTTCAAAGGCTTCATATTCTAATACATACGGTCAGAATTCCTCTTCCTAGCTCGGAGCAAGAATCCAACGTTTCGAATAATTTGGCAAGGAATTCATTTTCAACTCTGAGCAAGTCTACGCTCATCCTAAGATCCTCCATCGTATAAATCGTAGACCGGTTCGACCACCTCATTTCGCTACGACGTAGATCTCGAACCAAGATCTGATCAAACTATGTGCCTGTTCCAACTTCCATGTAACTTATGTTCGTCTTAAATCCCGTTGGTCTGGATTTCGTTCCCCCGCAATATGGTATCAATCCTGGGCTGATTTGCGGCTAGCACACCCGCGATTATTTAAGGGAGCTCGGTAGGGAGCATACTAGGCCTTTTATCCAATAGCGACAATATGATTCCGGTATGTGAATCGGGATGCCATCTTATGCAGCATGGCGCTGTGATATCTAATCCAATGCTTCCATTCGAATGTCCTTGATAATTTTGTTCGGAATGTCACGCTGACTCTTATCGTTAGAGTACAGTCAACGTCTGGTGTTAAGGCCAGCATCTCCCGAATTTCGTTTTGTTGACAATGATATTCCAAATTCCCCTCTACGTCTTGTAGAGAGTGTCTAATCGCCCCATCAAAGGTCTGGGCTCAAACGCGGGAAATAATGACAGAATGAATAAATAATGTATCCCATTGCGAGGTTCCGGACTAGATTGCTGACTGGCATACTCAGGTACAACCTTCGTCGCCCTCTCTCTTCGCGAGGCCGGATACAGCGTCTGGGCCAACCAGGAGGCATCTTCAACGACGTCGACATTCATCCGAGACGAAGCAAACCACCGCATGAGAAACGCTGGAGTGCAGGTTGTATCGTTGTTTGCCCTTTTTGGAGAGCTGATGCGCGACTGGCGCAACACCCCAGGATCCCTGGAGCTCTGGCCATATTTGGACAAATACTTCCCTTCGGCTGCCATGGTTGCTCGAGCCCATAAGGAGGCTAAGTATAACGGATCTCTCTTGCCGGGCCAGGACCTCCTCCCCTAGGAGGACGATAGAGGATGTTGAGGTGACTGTGATGGATCAGAGGGCTGTGGACCTGGATGTTTTGTGGCCTTGTGGCCCGTTTGCTCTGCAGCACGAGGACACATAACGCCTCGCGCACTTTAGATAGATGCCTCCTTCATAGCAACAATTTTATGTTTGCCTCACGATTGGAGATTCCCTACAGTGAGACCCTTACAGTGACGGGCATAATCGTTTTCAATTCTTATCGTTCTTATCTCGGGAGCGAGAACAATAGTTATGATTCATTCGCTTGGTTTCAATTTCGACCTAAGATGGAGACTTGGATTTCACACTGAGAGAATACTGGCACTCGGTGCCAGCTAACTAGATTAGGAAAACACGCTCATTCTATTCTTTATAGGGAAATGCTAGAATGACCCCTTCTAATCCCTCCAATAACCCCCCTTGCACAGATAAATCACGTGACACAAAAATACTAGTATATTCTGATTAGCCAAAACCGGAAATTCCAAAATCTTGCATAACGCTATGGTTTGGTTTGGTTGTGATGATGATTGATTGATTGTTCTGTGTGAGAGAGAGAGAGAGAGATTCAAGCTGTCACGGAACCAATAGAGGTGGAGTAAATAGAGTTATATTAGTAAGTCTACCGCTACGTCTACTAGCTAAGCGTGATAGGTTCAAGACGTTGCGTGAAGAAGAAGACAGAATGTTTACGAGGTCAAAGTTGAAAATAGAGTAGAGGAGCTCAGACCGTGTGGCTTGAGCGATTCAGGGGGTCGTGGCTTGTGTGTCAGGTGAGCCCTGAGCAGCTGGGAACGGGTGAAGCTCCTTTCACACCCCGCTGTGCTCCATTCACCCCCACATGGGCCTCGCTGAGAGGCCTGACGGGCGTATGAATCTCTCTCTCTCTCTGTGCTCCATTCACAGTTACCTCAGACTCTCAGGCCCTTCGTGGGACGCCAAGGCGCTAACCCAAAATGGGTTACCCACACGAAGTGCCTGAGAGTCTGAGGTAATAAATGGAGCGGGGTGCGGGTGTGAATGGAGCACAGTAGGATGTGAAATGAGCCTCACCGGCTCACCCCTTTGTTACCTCAGCAAGCTCAGGCCATTGTGGACTGTGGTAGTGCCTGAGGCAACGAACCGCGCTATACCTAATTGGTATGGTCCTCTACCAAATAGCCTAAGGATCCTGTCATTGATTTTTGGCCCAAGTCGAGATCGTTTGTATGAGAGCAATTTTATCACTTCAACCTCGTTTTCCTCCACAACGAGCTATCACACAGTAAAATTGACACGTTCAATCGAATCCTCTATCGTTTCTTGACAACCCAGTGAAATTTGGACGATTTCAGATCGAACCTCCTCTCGGCGCAGCGTACGACTGAACCCAACGTCTCCAGAGAGCAGAGAATAGCTACGAACTGGTACTCGAACTGCGGTGGTTGGTTGACGATTCTGTTGCAGTTTGGTTTCTTACATATCAGCTTTTTTTGCAAGTCACAAGCATCCGGAGTGGAAAAAATTCAAATTCTAGATAAAGTATATCTTGCTGCACAGCCCAGTGAATTTAAGGGCAATTATAATAAGTCCTCGTGTTGTTATTGAAGAATATGCAAAAGTGAGGTTTCCAAAATTGTGAAAAACACATATAAATTATCGAACAGTCAGTATGCGTCATTGACAGGATCCTCACGCTATTTGTTCGAGAACTGCATTTACCGATTAGGTATAGTGTAGTTAGTTGCCTCAGGCACGACCACAAATAGCCTCAGCTTGCTGAGGTAACAAATATGTAGCCTGAGGATTCTGTCCATCGTTTTTGCGTGTGTGCGGGCAACTTTCATCCCAAATGGAAGACCATCTTTAACTCCATTTTTATCCACAACCACACAGTGCTCCATCAATTAAACATAAGAATTCGATTCCCCTGCTTTTTCTCCATAATTGGTTTAATTTTGGGCCATGTCGGCCCAAAACCAGCATTGTCAGAGCGTGCAGTTGAACCCGCTCACCCTGCCAGCCGCTCCAAGTCCTCAGCATATTGCACCCTCAAACACATCTAATACACCTCGTCAGAAGGTAAGAGGGTCTCAAAGACGCAGTAAGGCGCAGAGAGTAAATGAGATATGCCAATTCATGCGGAAAAAAAACATTACATTACGAGAATTTATCCATGTCTACGCGACGACTCAAGGGTCAAGTGGTTATGGGGAGCGCCCTGCCACGCGTGCTAAACGGCTCGCAGAGGCCGTCTACGGTCAGCCAGAGGTCTTAGACGCACTGCGAGAACATCCCGCGTCTGGTGCGGCAGGAATTATCACTGTAAAGGCTCTGAGGAAGGAAATGAAGGAACTGGAAGGAGCCGGAGGTATGTTTAGTGCCTACCAAGTCGACCGTGTCCAAGAGGAGACTTCACCTGCCGGTGTGGGGAGGGAGAAACAGTCAGAGGGTCAGAAAGTCAAGGACTACGAGCGCATGCTAGGCGACATGCAGTTTGGGCAGATGTACGAGCAAGTTAACACTCGTGCTCCTCTTCTATGTGGATTGCTCAAAGGCCTCATGGCGCCCAAGACAGAGAGAAAAGATCGACCACCACGGGATCCTGCCAAGTTCAACCACAGGATTGCGATAATCACGTCCATTCTCTGCTATTCTCGGGCGTCAGAAGGGAGCAACAAGTTTCCCCACTTATTTGGTGTTTTTCTACATTCAAATGGCGTGAAACAGTGTATCCTCGATCTTCTTCACCAGTTTGGGGTTTGTGAAGGCTACAAGGGAGTCCACAGGCATCTCGAAACTGTGGCAGAACAAGCAGAGGCATCCTTACCGCCTCTCAGTATAGATGTCGACTGATTATAACTTGGGGACGGTCCATCGATATAGTCAGCAACTGAATGCCTATATTATATATTTATATATGATAATTTTGACTATCGAGAAGATATTAAGCACTAGCTCATTTCAAATCACGCAGAAATGCGCTCTATGACAATGGGAAGGGGTTTCAGAGGGGATGGTATCCCTTGTCGTGGTTTAAAGCAGTCAATGATGCAGCCCGAGGTTTCCCTTTTAATAGAGGATCTTCTATACTCTTCTAATACAGCAGTTATGACGAGACTACTACTAAGATTGACATACATGCTGTAGACGGATACTACTTCCCCAGAAGGTCACCAAAGAGAGCCTATCCATAGTCGCGATATACACGCGCTTCTTAAAAGTCGGGTTGCTTGCTATCGACCGAAACCAACCGGCGGCGATCTCTTGGCCCATAATGAGATGAGTATACACTCCCATTTTGATATCTTGGGCTAATTCCTAGGTCTTCTCCGTCCTACCATTTATGAACACGGATCTCGCGCCCCGAAGCCACTGCCTCTGTCCAATTCGATCTAAAGGGATGATGAGCCCGATGCCACCGCGGCAAAATAACGGCACTGCCTAGAATATGACACTTTTGCCAAAGGGTGTCTTAGATGCAAGAAGGTCCTCCAGAAATATTAAATGCTATATAGCATCCACCTTCGAAAGATCGCCTTACTTCGAATGGGAAATATGAACATAAATCGTGCATAAAAATGGGATATTCGCGTGAATACCGATCGAGAAAGGCGTTATATGACATCTAATGCGTGTTTTCCAGGTGCATTTGACCGTAACTCGGGAACCATGGCTAGATCACGGTTTCGGCGCGGCCAAGTTCACTACATATTAGCGTTTTCCACTAGACACAAGTATAGACATGTAAAAAAATAAAAATTATGAGGTAGAGCATACTTTGATACACAATTGATTGAATTTTGGAGTACACACGACGTGTTTTGATGTAGTTATTAATGGATTGTGATTTTGACGAGAAGTACATAGGCGCAGCATGTAGAGTTCAATATGGTATCATTAAGAGATCATTTTGTATCTACTTGATCTATTTACAGAAAATAAAACCACCTTCTCCATTCAAAACTCCAATGCCATGCGTTTGCCAAATGCCGTTGCCGAAAACGACCCAAGCAACCGAACCAAATGAGATCCTTATGAAGGAGGGTTATCATATAAGAAAGTAGACATTACAATTTCCCAGCTCATCCTAATTTTCATACAAATATCCAACCGAGAGCCTTTTAAGGCTTGGAAAGTTGTTCCCTTCTGAAGAAGAGGGCAAATCCGATGCAGATCGCGATTTGCATCAGTAAGCAGATCCAAAACCAAGCGTTGGCCAAGCCACCTGCTCCTAACGCAAAATTCGGGAATACAGGGCCGGGACCGAGGTTGTTGGGGGCGATAGCGCGACCGATGATGGTTGCGATGGAACCGAGGAACTGTGCCGCGATGAGGGCGAAAGTATTATGAAACCGGGTCATGGTCTGTAGCAAGATCATACCGAACCCGACGCCCTGGAGAGCATCGAGCACGCCGAGATAAAGCCACAGGGCGCGGGCAAGAAGAGCGGAGGTGACTGGACTGGAAGTCCAGGGGAGGTAGGCGGCGACGCCAGAAGTACCCCAAAGCATCTGGCACCAACGAGGAGCGCCGAGACCAATGGCGAAGATAGGGAGGATCCAGGAATGCGCTTTGGTGAGGCGGCCCAAGACCCAGAGAGAGAAGGCCCAGACGCCAAGGAAGAAGAAGAGGAGGAGAATGAGGATCTGCCAACTGTGGGTGTTGTGGCTTGTCCAGAGGAAACGCCAATTGCGACCGTATTGGGAGGCTAGCCAAAAGTTCTGAATCACGACGGCGACGAAGAACCACTAGAAACATGTCAGGATACGCCAGGAGACACATTGGAATGCTAAAAACTTACCAGAATGATCTTTCGTCGGTAGATGGACTTATAGAACGACGGCACAGCGCCAGGAACTTGATGGTAGTACTTTGGAAGCCCCATGAAGGTGATCACTGCTAGTGCGAATAATAGGACGGCAACTGGCAGACAAACACCAGCGATAACTGCCGTAGGAGCCACACTGGTCGTCTCGACACCTTCATCAGATAGGCGACTAAGCGCCGATCCCCAAAACCAAAGAGCGCTAACGTAGATCTGTTGCGTTCCTTGAATGATGCATGCCCGGAGGACCCATGTTTTGACAGGTGCACCACCTGTATCGAGTTAGCGCTGGCCAGATGGAAATATAGGGGGAAAATAAATCGACATACCTTCATCACCGAAGTTTAGGGCGAAATAAATACTACCGCTGGATGATGCTGTCGTGTAGAAACCAGACGCGACCTTTTGGACCCAACCACGACCAGCCATACTGACGAACGGCGCCACCCCGATGAAAAGGAAGGCGACACCATAGAGGGCGAATGGTAAGGAAAGAACCCAAAGCGATTTTAGACGACGGAACGCGAACCACCATAGGACAGATGTGATCGCATAGATGCTAGCAATAACGTATAGCGTGCTGGCCCCCTGACCGACCTCACCAGTGAGAAGCGTAATTTGATACGAGTTGGCAGCGATGATTTGCCCGAACGCAAGAACGAAGGTGTAGATGGGCCAGTCAAGGACCTTGCGGAGCATGAAGCGACGCAGGCCCGTCGGAGGAATGTAGTTCTCACCGAGTTCAAACTCCTCATTGTATGAACTGGTGGTGCTCATCGTGTCGTCGAGCTCATCGTCGGAGTAATGGTGGAAGAAAGAATCCTCTCCACCACGGCCATTACGGCTGAACGAGCGGATGGAAGAGGCAGATGATTCAAGTCCAGGACTCGGTCTCTTCAGCCCTTTGTGCAGCGAAATCGACGAGGCGTTCTTGGACGACTGGCCCAGCTTCGCCCCTCTGTATTCCTCGAACCATTTTTTCTCGCTCTTTGTGATAATTTCCTCAATGCAGAGGTCTGTCTCAGAGTTCTTCGGTCCAAGATTGTCGAGCTTCTTCTCGAACTCGCGGTAATAGTGTCCGCTGGAATCGGTGAAGAAAGGGTCAACCTTCTGAAGGGCGAAATCTGTCCGCTCACCGACAACGGAATGGATACTGAGATTTGAAAGTCGCCTCTCCCTCTTCTGATCCGACGTCACGGAGCCATAGATGCTAAGGCCACGCTCGGAAATGGGAGGAGGCGCGAGGTCGCCAAACGAGCTTGTGGTCGCCACCGACAAACGAGGAGACGGATTGTCGCTGTATGGAAGTCTCGGGGTGAGGAGTGGAGAAGGAGGTGCGGACATCAAGGCTTGATCTTGGCCAGGGCTGCCGTGTAATGGCCAGCTGATGTCCAGCTGGCTAGCATTTGGCGAACCTGCTCGGCTACCGGGGCGACTGGAGAAAATATTCCTGACAGAAGATGCCTTTGACTTGTTCCAATTCTCTCTGGAAGTCCTGATCGCAGTAGATTGTAGCTTGCTGAGATCTTCGACCCATTGAGCGACTGGGAATCGTTGCTTGGCAGATCGAGCACGCATCATCGAACGAGTCTCTTGGGAGGAAGCCAAAGCTTCATTAATGGCCGTCTTGAACTGCTTGATCAAGTGCTTCGTTGCGTTCGACTCAATGGTGAACCACCAACCAGGCATTTGACCCAAACCACCGACTTTGCTGCCAACACCGAGTGCGCCTTTACGACCGAATTCGACAGCGACGAGACCAAAAGGCTCATCACGAGACGGGATGAGAGCAAATTCGGCACCGCTGAAGATGTATGGAGGGAGTTGTGTGAACTCAGGACGGGAGAACACACGGCCAGGGTAGAGCTTCGTCAGTTTCTCAAGCTTCAGCGCCGCAAACCGGCCGTACAAGTCAATGACTGGACCGATTGCAATGATCTGGGTATTGGGATTGTTCGCCAGAACCGATGGGAACACATCCGCAATGAGATCCACGCCCTTCTGCATCGACCAACGGCCGACAAACACGAATAGCTCCGCGGTCGGATTCTGCTCCAATCCTGCCCATTCTTGTGCCTGGCGTCGGAGGTCCCCTCGGCCTGCCTCGAATTCGCGATCGACGGTGATGGTTGCCCCGGCATACTCATTCGGATTCCATTCTCCTGTATCCGAAGGATCCGGGTTGGGAAGACTGCGAATCTTGGACAGACCCCAGAAAATGGGATAACGCGCATATGAACGCTTACCATACTTCTTGGAGACACCAACCGCGCCGAAACCTTTCTGATGGACGCGGATATAGCTGGCACCAGCGTGAAGGAGGTTGAAGACCTCACCAAACTGGACGTACTTGGCAGCAGTGTCAGGGTCGATGTTGAACACCTTGCACACTTCGTCCTTCTCCTTCTCGGTACGCATCGGCCAGAGACCTTGAAACTCTGCGTTATGCAGAGACAGACAGGCAGGGATGACCTCGGGAAGAAGGTGCAGAGGTGCCAAGGCACCGTGATAGTCGTTGATGTGGTAGATATCCACAGGGAATCGCCGAATGGCTTCAGCGATACACGAGTTCCATGCGGAGTAGAGAATGGCACTGTCCAAGTCGTCCATACGAGCAGGGTAGGGGTCGTTCTTTGTCTGCTGTCGGAATAGCGGAGCGTCAAGAAGGACGTACGTGATGTTGCGTAGCTTGTGGTACTGGACATCGATTTTGTAATCTTTGCCTAGGATGGTCACATACATGGGTTCCGCGACTTGATCAATCGGGTAATCCATGCCACCGACACAAGGGACGACCCAGATGAGGTCCTGGTGACCGAGATTTTTCCCCATGAGCTGGGCCATGACACCAAGACCACCGATCTTGATCTTGATCTTCCAGTCCTCAATGTCGTACTCCATGGTAGCAATCAAGACGGTGCGACGTTCAGGATCTCCAGCGTCTGCTTGAAGAGCACCAAATGGACTGCGGTGAGAGTCGAAGGATTCCCGGATGCCAGCACCCAACACCCGGTCCTTCTCCCGACCATCGGATGAGAGGCGACGGAGCTTGTTTCGCAAAGCAAGCGGGATGAGGGCACCACTTTTTTCCTCGGCACCGATCTCGTTGAACTTCACTTGGTAATAGGACTTGATGAAGATATACACAACGGCGGCAGCAATTGCGAGCGGGAAGAACCACAGTAAACAGAACAGAGCTAACTGCGCGGAGCTTGACCCCGTAGGTAGGAGGGTGTACTTGAAGGCACGATCGTCCAGGACAATACGCCAAGCAGCGAAAGGAGGTTTAGGAAACTCCGTAATGTTCACGACGTTGACGAGCAACGATCCAGGGGGAAGGCGGTCCAAGACCTTGTCTTTGTTGACGTCACCGTAGATCCAGGTCTTGTCAGGCTGGCCGCTGGGATTCATGCCCCAGATGTTGAACTGGAAATTGGTGGGCCAGTCCGCCATGAAGTCGAAATTCCAAAAGCCAGTTTTGTTGAGTGACATCTGGTTCTTCATCCCGGAGTCAAAGCCAAATTGGTTGAAAAGGCCATTGATGAATACGTGGGGGAACCGTCGCGGTGGAAAGTCTTCAACATTGCCCTCGATCAAGTCACCTTCCTGTTGATGATGGCTGCTCCCAGCAAGGTGACTCCAGTATTGAACGATGATGTGCTCCTCCTCCCAGTCCTGCTTCTTCGTTCCGGTCCAGTTCCGCGGCGCCGGTTCATAAGGAGTATTACCGTCATATGGCATCCAATCGGTCCAAGAGGATTGGTAGTCGCGACTGACACGGAATTTGGTCGCACCGGGAGCGCGATGTTCGACACGAATTTTGTCGCCACTCTTCTTGACGAGGCTGGTGGAATAGTTTGCGCCTTGTGGGAACACCATGGGGTTGTCTACTTGTCCCACTCGAAGAAAAAAGTTGTCTTTAGTTCCAGATGGCTCTCCCCCCTTGCTCGTTGCGTTCGTCAGCGTGATCCTGTGGATACCGTTGGCCAAATTGTCAAGGTTGGTGATAAATTGCCAAACACCCGCTGGTTCTCCTGAAAATTCAGGCATATCGATCGCTGGCAAAGTCAGGCACTGTACAGTGGCTCTATTGACGATCGGAACGGAGCCATCATGGGTCTCAGAGGTGAGCGAGATGGAGTCCCTCACGGAGTCACAATCCATTATTTCTGAGAAGTGGAATTCGATCTTGATAGACTCCTTATCGTTGGGGCCCACCCTCGACTGGAGTCTGTAGTCATGTCCGGGGAGAAATTTGGTGACACTCGGTGCTGGTTCCTTGAACGCCTTCTTTTGAACTAAGGCTTTAAAACCCCACGCAGGAATGTCGATGGCCGATAGGCATCCAGAGCCGGTGGTATTCTCGAAGTTGTGCTCGACACCCCCAGATTCTAGTGTGTACTCTTCGTAGGGATAGAAGAGATTCTTGACCGTGGTGCCGGCGTCGAAAGGGGCAACAAGTGTCTTGTTGTCCTCGCGGTTTGACTCTTTAGTGGCACAGTCGAAGTTGAAGGTCGTCAGCTGGTTTTCGTTGCTGAATAGAAGCCAAACCATTTCGTTTCCGGCACCCTGTCCGGTGAAATCTTGGAGATCTGGCTGTCTTCGACGCACGCTGCTCCACATCCCGAGCTCGGTACCAGTTCCACCGGATCCGGGAAGGTAGACCCAATGTGTTTGAGTGGACAGTTGTTCCATCATAAATCCATCATTGACCGTTGGAAATTGACGACGGATCTCGTACATACGCTTAATGACATTGCGGATCGGGTGCGAGGGATCGCGGTGATCCAAGCTGACATTCATGTCCTCGCAGCCATACAGACACTGGTCGAAGGGGAAATTGTCGTATTTCTCGGAACCCACGCGGTAGCAACCGTGGAGTTGCCATGCAATCGTGGACGACAATGGCTGACGGCCGAAGAGGTAATTGCCTACAGTGTTCTCAAGCACATACATGGCTTGCTCCTCGCCCCACATCAGAATGGGAATGCCTGGCATGATCATAGTCGTCACATAGTTTCCGAGTAGATTCTTTTTAGTTCCGTTCGTGATGCCAGGCCAGCGGAAAACGTCCTGATTCGTGGTTCCATAAAGATGGAGTGGATCGAATTTGCCAGTGTTCGTGTTGATCATGTCGTTAGTCTTCAGGATGTCCTGCCAACCTTTGGCCCAGTTGATCGCGATATCCATTTGAGCACCGTAAACACCATCGATCCCCAGAAACCGAGTCAAACTTCGATAGACGGAATAATGGAAGGTGGCTGAGTCCATTGCACTGATGTCCCGAATGTTGGTGGCGAGGTCGGTGTCGTTGTCAGCAAGGAAAGCATCCTCTACTTCGCGGTATGCCATTTGGGGTTCCTTTCCTCGGCCGAGATACAGAGCGGCGAGGGCATTACCAGCGACGATTTCGCCCGTGATGAGGAAGTTGGTTTTCCCAACTTCAGCTGCGCACTCCCTCATCCGTTTGCTCCACTCGGCTTGGGCGTCGAGGGTGATGGTTAAGGCTTTATCGATACGGAAGCCGTCGATGTCCAACATCTGAATGGTAAGGCAGGAGAATCGAACGATTTTATCCATAACAGACGGCTGCCATTCTCGTAATCGGTCCTGTACGAAACCGAACTTGGAGAGTTGCTTCTGCCACTCGGGGTATTCACCGAAGGAGGCGACATCACCGTACTATGTCCATGTCAGCTATTGCTCAAGATCGATGTAGAAAATGATCATACCTGATCAAAGTCGCTTCGCTTGCACGAGGTCATCAGGTCAGTGACGTTGCTGCCAACGCGCTCACCACGTTCGTCCCAGAAGCGAGGGTATTCGCAGTCTTCCATCTCGTCTTCGTCGATCACAAAATCGAGATATTGTCGGTCGGTTTTCCATACAGCTTTATGTTCCTTGAAGCTGAAGGGTGTTGAAGTGTTCAAATATCCATCAAATCCAATCAGGTCGCCCATACTTAGGCAAGTCAGCACAAGCATTAGTTGAAGACCATGAGGAGAGACTTACGTCGATATCGTGTTATCCAGTACGACATACATCCCACGGGCGTGCATATCGTCTATTAGATCCCGCCACGCAGTAATATTACCATAGTGCCAATCGAGCATCGTAAGGTCCAAGGGACTGAAACTATCGGCCGACCAAGGTTGATTGATGTGAGGACTACCTGCTAAGTAGATACCCTAAAGACAGCTTAGCATAAGGCGACTTTCATCAAAGATAGATGTCGCATACCTGGACACCCATACCCTGGAGGTAGTCCAAGGAATTCTGGAGACCGGCGATGTCCCCTCCATTGCGCAGCTGATTTGAAAGTATGTCCACCTCGAAAGCCGTTCCATTGATATTGTCGTTAGAGGGGTCGCCATTGACAAATCGATCCAAGAAGATGGTGTAAAATGGAAACCGCCAGTTATCAGGCGATATGTGGAAATCATGGTTTTCCCATTTCCCTGAATAGTCGGTCGGGTTGGTCGCGAACTCATTCGTGTTCAGGTTCCAATCCACGTATTCCGGGTCGTACCTCAAAGCATTGATACCAGAGGCGAATGTGAAGAAGCCGAAAAGAAATGAACGGTAAAACATGACCAGATCGCTTGAATGCCTCGCCTCTCCTAGGCGAAGCAAGATGCTCCAAATATTACACCGAAGAGGCTCGCAAAATGCAACAAATCCAAGAATAAAAGACGGAGAGTGTATAGCGGTTAACTTGTCAAACGACAAATGGCATTTCGCCCGATATCAGAAGGTTTAGGGAAGTTGAAGTTGAAGGTTGCGACTTGCGAAGATTGTCCAAAAGACTGTAAGGAAAGGTGATTACCTACCTAACCATCAGATCTCCACTAAATGAAATTTGATATGAGGGGACAGGCGGACAACAGACATCAGCTTTGTTGTATTTTTGGCTCAGCCCTGAGCCTCTTGGACACTAGCTTTGGGTGGCTAGTCTGTCCAGTCTCCATGTTGACCGACGAGTCCGCGTGCAACAGCCATAAGGTTGGTGACATGCCAACTTGCAGAGGGCGGTGTCGAGACCAATGTCGAAGCGGCTGAGAAGTAGCAGGGATGGGTTCGGACCAATGTGACGGATCGCTGGAACGCCATCTGCCCGTCTCCCTGTAGCGGGTGCGAAAATTGGTTAGGACCTTCGAACACGGGGGATGCCCGGATCAAGGTTTGCAGGGTCTATTCATCCTTATCCCAACCGGATAGAGCATGGCTTGTGTATATCACGTTCTGCGGCGCACGATCTGCTTGGAACAATAAGGTGCTGACGAGGGATGAAAGGACTCGCTGATTACGCTCTCCTGGGTGAATATCGTGCTTTGCTTTACACAACGGAGCTCGCGACACGATGCCCTAGCTCCGGACTGTATTACAATAGCTATGTGTTGTGTTTTTCCGGATGTGGAGTTAGACAGGGTTCACGTTGAGTGGAAAAGGGTCTTCCCGCTGCATGATGTTTACTCAGCTTGCCACAAAGCGGAGAATTCCTCAATGTCTAAAGATCAACTAAGGAGTAGTGGCGGTATACTAATAGGGCATGGACGGAAGCAAGATGTTTGAAGAGCTGTGCTAAAGCGGGATAAGAAAGTGTATGGAAACTGGCGACAGCAACCAGCGTACCAACTGAAGGGCTCAGGGGAGTCTCAATAATAATCATCAAAAGACAGAGGCGAGTGAAGGTCCAACAGCACAGAGTAAATGTTCTCGATATGGCAAAAGGGGATTACGCTAGAAACTTTTGGCTCACCCTTGACCCAGCACCGGTGTTGGTGGAGATGTCAGCACGATGGTGTCGAACCATTCTCGAAGTTGACCAGATCTTCAACTGCTCATACAGGGGGAATGCAATAGACTTGACACAAGGACCGGGACCGATCGAAAACATCCAAGGCGTCCCGGCGGGGCACGGCGGTGAAGCTAAAACGGGATACTTAGGATTACGTGTGTAGCTCCCGCTCACTGTGGCGAGGGTATCAGCAAGGCCAAGCACCAAGCACTTTTTTTCTCGATCAAGGGCTTGGATGAGCTTGGAGTTCCCAGCCCATCAGGCTCGGCTTCCTGGTAGGGAGGTATTTTAGGTATTTTAGGGACCCGGGCGGTGCATCGTCGAAGACGAGGGTAGGGAGAAATTATGGAGCAGGGACTAGACCCAAATAACTAATAAGCAAGTTCCGTAGCGGAAAATAACAAATTACAGCCGAAAGGGACCTGGCCAGAATAAGGGGATCCATGGTGGATATTCAGAGATCAGACTCAGACGGAACTACATGCAGTTTGGAATCACAGAGCACGCTCCATGACATGACAAACATTTAATGGTTGATACAATCATACTGAGACAGATAATACGATGAGGAGCAGAAGAGTATTTTTGTCGTCAAGTTAAACGCGAACTGCTGGTTCGCTTGCATTCGTTTGGGACCAGAAGGCAGTAAGGCTGCCAGGTTGTTAGGCAAGGGGGTTGGTACAATGCTGACTGCTGACGTATTATTATGTAACTTCTAGTATCTTGTACCTTTTTATTACCAGTCAAGCAATATTGGCACGCTACGACCGTAATGCCTGTACGGCCGAAGGCGAGAGTCCCGAGAAATAGAATGAGTGGCGCGGGATTAATGCGCGTTAGTCCATTTCCATTGTACCAAGCATGCCAAGCTAGTACACAATGTCAGCTTTATCCCGGTTCAGTTCTTGCCTGACCCACTATACCTCCGACAGAACGGCGGCTAAGGCCGTTAGCGTGAATTTCGTGCAAGCCGCACTGGGTAGTGCTTATCTTCGCAAGGAACCGCCCTGTTGGATCCTCTTTGTTGAGCTTATTTCTCATCTGTCATTACCACTACTGACCCTGGGGAGAAGCTAAGGTACTGAAGCCGGGCCGTGAGAGTTCCATTCTATCCGAATCGCACAAGAGTCCAGAATCTTCATTGGAGTAATTAACCCATTCTCTTCCCTCCCGTTCCTTGATGTTGAAACCGATTTCCGTATTTCCACATGTAATGTAGGACATCAGCATATCAAAGGTGGCAGATCTACATGTCGGGTTTGCAAACGTTGGATGGCCATGGAGATCACGACCATTATTAATAGGGCAGCACCCCAGAGTTCTCACGTCCCACTTCCCAGGAACATCCCCTGATTTCCGTCAAGCTTGCCCTCATCTGATCATATGAAGAGGAACAACAAAGCCCCTTCTTCCTGAACACCTGAACGCCCGAACTCAGTTGGGGTCCGACTTGCCTGGCGGTTGAGCGTCGGACCCAGGCATAAGCCAATGAATGGATCATCACAGAGCAAACCGAATTAATTCTCTGTCTCTTCGGTCTTCCGACTCTCTACCTAATACGAACGCCCTGCTGCTGGTCAGCGGGCATTCTCTATCAAATTTGCCCTTCCATTATCGCTAATTCGCTATTCGCCTTCACAAGGAGCCCCCTTCAAAGTCCTCCTTACCGCTTTGGGGAGAGGCTAATATTAATGGATCCAATCGATGGCACTAGACTTCGCTACTGGCTATTGTATTGGCTACCTGGCAACCGACTGTGGCATGGCATTCGATCCTTCAGAGTTCAGAGTTCAGACCTTCGCCAATCACAATGGGGTCTCTTCTGGTAGCGTGTGATCCCCTTCTCTTTGCTAGAATCGCAGGATTTTCCTCGTGCTTTGTGGTTTTTCATTGTGACCCTCAGTCCAGTTTGAGCCTCCTACCTCTTCAGTCTTCACTCTTCAGTCGTTCCCTCGGTGCTTTTGGGCCTCTTTTGATCCACTTGTTTCCCGTCTTTCGTTAATACAGGTCCTGCTTCTGAGTGTTGACTTTTGAGGAAGAGTCGAGTTTGGTGCCAGTGCTTTTCTTCCCAGGATCGCCCATCGTCTTCTCCAGATTTGTGCTCACTCGTATTTCATCTCTCGTGGTGGCTGTCCCACTACCTATAGCTCCTCCACCCTTTGGTACCTCCGGGGAACTCGTTTCGACTCAGCATATCTGCGTGATGACCTGACGAGATATCAACACGATGGTATCTGCTTCTTCGACGGCTTTGTCGAATCCATTCGTTTTATTCAATGTTATTTTAATACTATTTGCCTTAATCCACAGCGCCAGCGCGGCATCGCCCGATGACTGGCGAGACCGATCAATCTACCAACTTATCACCGATCGTTTCGCCCGCACTGATGGCAGTACCGATGCCTTGTGCGATACGCAGGCCAAAAAGCGATGTGGAGGATCATGGCGAGGTATAATCGACCACTTGGACTATATCCAAGATATGGGCTTCACTGCCGTATGTTCCCCAGTGCAACTACCCCTATTCCTAATCTAACGTCAAACGAAAAGGTCTGGATATCGCCAGTTGTCAAAGGTGTAGATTCGCCACTGGCCGGAGAGAACTATCATGGCTTCTGGCAGCAAGATGTCACGCAACTCAACTCACATTTCGGGACCGATGAGGACTTGAAGGACCTTTCGAAAGCGCTTCACGACCGGGGCATGGTGAGTGGACCTGCCAGCAGCTATCGATGCTCATCGCTTATCATGTTTCCTCTAGTTTTTAATGGTCGATATCCTAATGAATAACCTCGCATGGCCTGGCCCGGGTAGTTCAGTCGATTACGCCCAATTCCCCGCACCTTTCAATCAAAAGTCTTCTTTCCACACTTATTGCCCCATTACCAATTACACCGATCCCACGGACTACCAGCAGGTACGCATGTCTCCGCGCAAGGTTCATGGAGCACAATCTGACATAGAGATAGTGCTGGCTAGGAAATGACGAGGTCTCCCTCGCCGATATCAATACCGAGTCCCCCGTAATCCGCAAGTTCTTCCAGGATTGGGCAAACGACTTCATCCAGAAATACGCGAGTAAGGACACCCGGCGGTTCGAGCTTGGGAAACATACTGACCGATTGAAGTCGATGGATTCCGAATCGACGCGACGAAACACGTGCGAAAGGACTTCTGGGAGGACTTCCATGACCACGTCCAAAACACCTATACCATCGGAGAAGTCTACACGGAGGTTCCATCAGAGGCCTGCGAATACATGGTCCATGGGCTGGACGCCGTCCTTAATTTCCCTCTCCTGTACCGCATCGTGGAGATCTTCGCTCATCCGGAGAACCCCGCTGGCAACTTACAAGGAACGTTGGACGACCTAAAGGCCAACTGCACGGACACGACCCTTCTCGGCACCTTCAGCGAGAATCACGATCTCCCCCGTTTCGGCTCCGCCATCCAGGACATTTCGAACCGCAAGAACGCGATTGTCTACGCCATGCTGGGGGATGGAATCCCCGTGGGATATTATGGACAGGAACAGGAATTCGTTGGCGGCTCCGATCCAGACAACCGCGAGGCGCTCTGGACCTCCGGTTACGACACCACAAGCCCTCTGTACCAGATGACAAAGCGAATCAACTTGGCGCGCAACTGGTTTGTGAGGTGGGAGAAGAGCCCCCAATATAATGGTTACTGGAGGCACAAGAGCAAGCTCGTTTATTCTGACAACAACGTCGTGGCGACTCGAAAAGGGTTTGATATGAGCTTAGTATCCATTGTGACAAATAAGGGGTCCACTGCGCCGGACTTCGGTCCGTTAACTATCAGTGACACCAACTGGAAAGACGGCCTTCCGATTGTCGATGTGTTGAGCTGCCAAACGACCAAGACGGGCGCATATGGGTCGTTTTTGACCACTCTGACAAAGGGGGAGCCTCAGGTACGCCTGGACACCGCGCACTTGTTACCCAACGTAATGCTAACCATCAACCAGGTCTGGATTCCCATTGACATGGCCGGGGCTGATCTGGAGAAAATCTGCCCGTCCACCAACGCGTCCCCTTTATCCCCCGCCACAACAGGTGACGCATCGGTGGCAGGTCCAAGGTTCATATTGAGCCTGGCTTGTATCGCGATGACGTTCGCAGCCATTTTGTAACAACCTCATAGCGTATGGTTCTTTTTCATCCTTCATGTACATAAGTAGCTGGGACCCGGGGCATGATCATATTCGGATTAGGTATTACACCACATCAATCGACCCCGCATGAAAGCGTTTAATTCTACATAAACCGACTTCCTGGTGATACCGTAATATTTTGCATCCTCATCGGCATGGTAATATTTCTCGTTCGGCATTTCAAATTCGTATCGTCGCGACGCTGCTCCATGCCGACGTGTCCATGATTCCAAGTGTCGTCCCGTCACGCCGTTAGCCACGGGACTATTGTTCCGCACTTCCGCTAGCCGGTTCCATCGCTCAAGTGCCCAACTCATTGAGAACCTTGGTTTTCTACCCCTGAAGGACACTTCCACGGCCAGCGGTCCACTTCGCCTTCTGAGTTCCGCCACGATTCGGGATTTATTTTACGTGGTGGGATCGGATTGTCATCACCATCAGTAGTTGATAACTTGATATTGCCCGCCGTCACCGAGTCAAGGCACGATACTGAAAGAATCGATGCTCCTTCCGGCTTTCACATCATCAATATTTCATGCCAGGATTCACATTCGCCCCGTGGCATGCAAAATGCAGGGGGCCAGGTTCAATTGCTTCTTTTGCTGATGGCGTGAAGTTGGGAGCATCATTTCGGACCTCTCGTTGGCGCTTGTGTCCCGCTCGCCCGCCGAGATTGTCCATCGGTCTTGGATCGCAACTTTCGCAAGCTTGCCACCGACCACGGCGCGTCGGCACCAGGTCGGGGACGACTTGCCGACTTGCGCAAGCTCACGTTGGAGGATACCAGATATTGGACCATGGGTAGGTTTCGGCCGTGAATTACCCCGTCATTATTGGCGAGATTTGAGAGCGACCCCTTTTTAGCCTTTCAATATCCAACCCCTTTTCACTTGCATGAATCATAATGTGGACAGTGGGATTCTTCTGAATTGTTAAATTGCGGTGTCATTAGTTGGAGAAAGCCGAAGCGAAATACGGACAGTAGGATACGAAAGGGTTTGCAGTGGTGGAAGGAATCAAGGACTGATTGGAAGTTCGTACAAAAATCGTTAGAGTGCTCCACATCGCCAGGTACCGTGCTCTTTGCCGACAAGGACAATACGGAATCCGGAATAGGTGGTACGTACTACGTACACAGTATGTAATGTAGCTTAAGCCTCCAGTTCTGGCATGTTGATCATTGATGGACATAATAGGAGATTGCCCATTGAAAGAACAGAACCAGAGTTACTAGCAAATAGACGTGATATGGGTGTGCATGATACGTCTGTTATAACTCGAATGACGAATCCTGATTGATATGTATTCTCATATCGGTGCCTGGCCGGAAGAGGGAGGGGATGCTGTTAGTGCCTGGGAGCCTCAGGCGTTCGCATTACCTAACATTGAAAATTTTCTGTGATGAGTCTAAACCACATACAGCTTAGCTCAATGGTCCACACACCGCACAGACCGTCCTCCTCGCACATAAAAGTCGCGCTCCCTCCCAACTTTTTCTAATTCTTCAGCGACTGTGAGTACCTCCAAACCACCCCCCAAACAATGCGACGATGATCAGAATACTAACTGCCCCTTCCAGTTACTTCATAGAATCATTTCTATAGTAAACGTCTTCTTCTGAGCTTCTTACAAAAGCCACAGAATCCTCAACCTGGCTGATGATCGATAACCTCGACGCCCAAGAGTGATGCCGGCGTGGCCCTTTGGCACTGCACTCTCTGCTTCGGCAGGAGTTTTGCTTCGGTAATCTTGGCGATGATCTCAACCTGGTATGGATGTCTGGCTTCGGTCGGTCCTGCTGGGTGGGTGTCGATGGTGGTCTGACAGGCTCTGACACATTCGAAATGTTGATGGATGTGTGAGATTCGACGGGTACGCACCGGGGTGCAGAAGAGAATCTTAGTCGATTGAAACCTGTAGATAGCAATGAAAATCTTTCCACTCACTCTGTAAATTTATCTGTACATCGTGTGATCATGATCCATGTGACCCGCTTCCTCGCCTCGACACTACTGTGAGCAAGATTGATTTTAATTAAGTTTTGAATCAAAGAACTCTACAGAACCAAGAATGCAGCCGAGTGATCATATAATCGTCGATTGATTTTCCCTTCGGTGACAATAGTCCAGGCAATATGTGACCTATCTCTATGCCTCTACGATACCGTTCGCCATTGGCAAGATCGGTTCTGTGTTTTGCACCAGAGAATATGCCCAACGAGGCGTGCACCCAAGTGCTTGAACAGCTCGTCGGCCGACTTCCATTTGGTGACAACAATCCCGATAATTTTGACTTGGATAGCCTACAGTACTGCCTCTATCGCTTCACTTCGACCGCACAAGAGGCAAACAACCGGATTATCAAATTTTCCTGCCGCCAGGCTACGCCTTGTTCAACCCTTTCAAAGCCCCTAAGCTCAATGCAAGACCTTGCGACCGACTTCGTATCCTCACAAACCCGGTGATGGGACCGTTCTCGCCTTGCTTCTCAATGCTCAAATTCGCTAGGGCGTCCTCGCCTGATTGCGGTTAGCGTGCGTCTCGTCTGCGGCCAAAGGGTAGAGGACTTACCGAAAACACTCCGCGCGTACAAATTGGCGCTCAAGAACTGGCAATCGCCTTGCATGGAAGCTTCGGGCGTGAGGCAGCTCATATTGGTGCAGTCCATCAACTTCTTGAGGAACTCCCGAAGCGTCTTCGCCTTCGAGTTAATGTTCACCTTGTTCTCCCACTCGAACTCGGTCCACATGTTGCGGAACTCCGTCTCCGTGCAGTGGGCGGCGTGGATGTAATCCATGATGTCGACCTGGACGTCGTTCAAGATCACAACATTGGTCTCGGTCGAGCTGGATCCGTCATAGACGACATTGCCGAAGATGACACCCGTGTCGGTGGACGAGACCTTGATGGTGGCCTGGACATTCAAAAAGTCATGCGGCGCAAGGTTCTGTGTCGTGGGCTTCTCCACGACTTTCAGATCACCCAGCGTGGCGAACTCCACAGACAGGTTCTGCAGGGTGTCCATGGTCTGATTGACGAGCAGGACATCCAGGACAATATCAAATTGGTGAACCTTGACATAGGCTTCGGCGTAAACAGGATCTGAGAAACCAGTCAGTTGAACGACACGGCTGAGCTTGGACGACAAGTCATCCGTGGCCGTGTCTCCGCCAGTCGCCGCCTCCAGATCGTGTTCGAGATCGAGGTCGCCATCCGCAGTGCTTCGTTTCGAAAGCTGTCGGATAGTGACAACGTCGTCCACTTGGACGGCAGTCTTGGCTCGTTCGGCTGCATCCTTGGCGGCGCGCTTCTTCTCCTCGGTCTGCACGATGGTTCGGAACGCCTTGCGGGTGTCATCGAGGAACACCGACTCCAGGTCCTTCCTCTGACTAAATTGCGACAATGATCGGACGCATGACATGATTCGATCCACCGAGTCTTCGTCAATCGGAGACTTGCCGAAGTGCGATTGGCCGACGCGAATGATGGAGATCATGATGAGCATTGCCTCTGCGCGGAGGGCATTCGTGCGAGCGGTATCCTGTGATATCTCGGAATGTCGCATAACGAGCTTCGTGAGTGTCGACGCGAGAACGGTTGCGAGGTAGTAATCGCCGTCCAATATAAGCTGGCGCAGCGGCGGCTTTTGGGCGGCCTTGACGGCGTCGAGGTGGGCTTTGCTGGCTGCTTCGCTGGTCAACGCGCTTTCGGTAGCGTAGGTGCCGTCCGCAAGCACGCGTCGTGATCCGGTAGGGGCTGATGGCTTCGCGTGACCGTTGACTTGATCTTTCGTCTCCTCCTTTCCTTCTTGAACCTCATCCAGCAGCCTTTGCTCCGAAGCAAGAATGGGGATTTCACCAAGACTGGCTCTTATTTTCTTCCATGCTTCCCGTATGTCTTTCTCGTCAAGAGAGTATTCTCCGACAATCCAAAGGACTCCGCGGTAGACTTTTCCAGCCCGGACTTCAGCGAGCGTGGACACCAGTCGCTCCATGATCGTAGGCCGCAACTTAGGGAATCTTTCGACAACCTCTTTCACGAAAGATATGACATCGACAGCAGAGGCGTTGTTGAAGTCTGCGATGAACTCCATCAGAGAATCCACAACGCTTGCTGCGACTTCGGAGAACTTGATGGCGCAATGATGGATGGCGTGGATTAGAAGGGATCGATATTCGGTGTTCTATTGTGCAATCCGTCAGTCGCTGTTCGTCTGCAAGAAAATGAAGCTCGCAAATACCTTTTCGTACTGTTCGTCCACAGTCTTCGACAGCTCCTTCTTGAGCAATATCACCACTTCCTCCACATTCTTGCTCGAGACCATCTCCAAGACAATAGCCAGGGCCTTCTTCCGGACGTCAATGTCGGGACTTGTGAGTACCCGCAGGATTTCCATGGTCAGCTCATCCAGGATGCCTTCATTTTTCTGCCGTAGTTGGTCCACTTTCTCGAGTACAATGAGCTTGACATTGTTGTCTGCCTCCTTGATTGCAAGCTCGATGAACTTTCCTGCAGCGGCTTTGACAGCGACAGGGTTATTGGTAAGGGCAGTGAGCGACGAAGCGGCTTCGTAGATGACAGTCGACGTCTTGGCTTCAAGGAGGTCGAAGATCAGTCTAAGGTACCGCGCCTTGTTTTGGGCATTCGTGATGGCGTCTTTGCGGATGAATTCAAGTTCAACCAGCTGGAGCAGCTCATCCGCGTTAGGGATGCCATCGAAGCGCTCAGTGAGGTACTCCAGTGTTTTCTCGTGGCTGATGCTCATCAACGCCGCGAATGCATTCCTCTTGCAGGTCGGGTCGCTTTCTTCGTCTAAGAAAGTTGAAATTAGATCCGGTGCATCGGGGATAAGTTGTTCGAGGTGTTGGAAGATGGTAGCGATCGCAAAGACCGCATTCTTGCGGACGTATGCATGGCGATGCGTCAGACACTGTCGTGCTGGCTGTAGTAGGGGTTCTATAAGCTCCGCTTCTCGCAGCTTGCAAAGAAACCGAAGGGTATTTCCACGGACGTATTCGTTAGGATGCTGAAGATCGAGTCGGATCCCGTTGCTGTATTGTACAGTCAGCGCATGAACGCTAGACTTTTGTCTTCTTCTCTTACCAAACCAGAATCCATTCTTGTCGTAGCTTCCCGCTAGCATCTAGCTTCGGACACGCTTCGTAATAGAGGTACAGGAGCTTCTTAAGAGGCTTGCTCTTCGACGGCATGACAAAACGGATAATGTGCATCAGAAGGCCCGGCATAGGATCGCCATTGAGCATAATGGTCAATATCCGCTTCAGGGTCTCCACCTTGGTCTCATCGGTCCCCTTTTCGAGCTGTGTCTTCAACTCCTGCTGCGTAGGCTGATCCGCCGTGTTGTCCTGGTGGACCATGCTGTAGGAATTGTCCATGGTGGGCGAGAGATGCGGGTGAAGAGACTAGAGGTTCTTTTCGCTCCAATGCCTTTTTGGCAAGATGACGGTTGACAGCCGTGTGTGAGGTGTATATATTCCAAGGCTTGTTCTTGCCGACCTATAGCTCAGCACCTTGGGGGTCGGTCGAGGGTCGAGGGAGCGACTCAAGAGGCAGAGGGAGGTGGGATGGAGATATCGGGATTCAGGTGGTCCAGAGTAAGCATTGATGAATGGAATTCTGTATGTCGGAATGGTTTGACCCGCGGGCCTTAAATGATAAATGCCAAACTACGCACTCGACAAGATCACCGTCTTCGCAGTTGGGCCACGTCTCGGTTGTAGTATGAAGTTCAGCGCTGGTTGTGCGACAGGGACATGGACACCTTGACAGTATGACAGACAGCAGCCAGCCCCAGCCAGCAGACTGGGTGGAATCAGGGAACCAGGGATTCATTGCAGCCTTGCCGCCTTGTAGCCTTGGCGCCTTGCGACCATCCACACCCACGCAGCAAGTGCCAGGACTCCCCACCAAACTGCGACCTCCATGATCCATCACCATATGCACTACATAACCAGCCATCCCGTAACAACAGACACATCCAGTATCCAAGGATCCAGCAACCCAAGAATCAAGGATAAGACATTGTTCCTTGGGCGTAGCATATCAACCTTCAAATCTAGCCTAAATTGACTTGCAAACCCGATTTTAACAATGCCGGACAAAGACGCTGCTGAGCCTTTCTACATTCGCTACTAGTAGGCACTCCTCTACTGCCGTGCTTGCCTCTGCTAACCTCCTCCAGTTCTGGGCATTCTGGTCGGTTTGGCCATGAATTCTTAGGTACGAATACGACTCTTCATGCTCGAAGCTTCACCTAGCTTACATACCACAGAGTTCGATTTCCGCGTCCTTGGTGACGGACGAAGCGCCTCTGCTCGATATGCCAACAATTCAAACTACCGAAATGATTCTCTCATTCGCAAAGAGAGTACGTCCCTCGCTATACTTGCTCCTGGAAGGACCATGCTGACGACTGATGCTTCTTTGGATAGTGTGCGTGAGTGATCTCATGATCTCGGAGATCAAGCGAATCATCAAGGAGAGCGAGATCATGAAGGAAGACGACACCAAGTGGCCACAGAAGAATAAGGATGGCAGGCAGGAATTGGAGATTCGCATTGGAAATGACCATATCTCATTTGAAGTACGTCTCCTATCGATCCTACCCGATTCCGGATACCCGAAGGGCTGACAACTTCGTCTAGACTGCAAAGATCGGTTCCCTTGTGGACGTCACCGAGTCTGCGGACCCCGAAGGCCTTCGTGTGTTCTACTACCTCGTCCAAGATTTAAAGACTCTGGTCTTCTCTCTCATTTCCCTACACTTCAAGGTACACGACTTCACGCAATGCTAAGAGGTTGGGTTTGCCGTTGCTAACAGGTGTTAGATCAAACCGATTTGAATGACCGGTCCGATGAAAGCTTCTTGAGCAAAACCCCCAGAGCCCGTACCACACGGTGCCTTTCCAGGCCTCCATTCGTGGTAAAAGGAGGCCATTGCGTTCGCAATCGGCGCGAGGTACGTGCCGTCTCCGGCTCTGAGACTCTATTTGGGCATCGTAGCTGAGACTCTGGCAGCATTTCAATAACCTGGACGGATTGGGTGCAGTTTCTATCCTGCCTCGTTCTGAACGCGTGGCGGATTGCATGATCACTTTACTCAACCCTCCGATGGTCGTCGTGTATCTCCAGTTTTAGTCGCACCGTACCAACTAGAGTGCAGAGAGATTGAATAAAATTTACTTACTTTGTATACATGCTTACCATCCACGACATTCGATTTCAGTAACCATATCTAGGGGCTTCAGCGGTTCCCAGATTTACTATAACTGCCACCACGAATGTGGCTTCAACTGAAGGGAGGAAAGTCGAAAGATGCCTCAAGTAGGACCCTACTCGGGCCCCACGCCTATTAGTATTAATAGGTACTAACGGGCGTGGGGTGCGAGTACTGCCAACGAAGGGGGCTGATTTTGAAAAGATGATGAATAATGAAGCAAACAGTAATGCTGTGCCGATCGCCCCGGATCAAGAAGCTTTAGAAACCGGGTCTTATTGTTGCCTGTTGGGACTTGGGAAATTTGGAGTCTTTACAGCCCAGAGTTGCCATCTGAGTTCTGACACTTGGTTTTGAACGAGACTCGACAACGCGGAGGCAGCGCTGTATCCATATTCGTAGTTTCGTACCGAACTTTTTGCCTTCTGGACAGTGTATTATTATTTATTCCGCCCCAATAGGGCACACAGCGAGACCACACACACAACGATCATTGCTTTCCTCTACGGAGTTCAGGTCGCCGAAACTGCTAAACTCGTCTCCCCCAATTAGTTCCGCCCATCGACGCTCGGGCTCCAGTCTCCGAGACACCAACATCAAACGGAGTTGCGCGGATCGTCAGGGATTCCCCTTTCCCACTTGGCATGCTTTTGGCCGCCAATGCATGTCGCAGAATGACAAAATCGAGGGCAAATTCCCATACCTTTCTCAAGTTCGCCCACTCCCGCGTCTCACCCTCTCTCCTATCTCCCCCAAGGGCCAAGTCTTATCTCCAAGGCGGAGGGGCTCCATGACGCTTCAGCGTCAATCTGAGGCGTAGCCAAGATCCCTGGCACGAGGCGGGATGGAGCTTGCTTTAACAATCCGATAGTGTGAGCTTGGTTAATGGAGATCTTCTCTCATTCTTCCTCTTGTCCCCAAATTATGCTCCAGAAGCGCATTGTTTGGTATTTCCTCACGCTCGAGTCTCGACGCGTGGGGTGTTTAACCATGATCCAGTTGCCGTCTGATCTGCGTTTCTGCTCATGGACAGACCCTTTTTTCAGCGTGTCCAAGTTCCTGCTGGAGTCGTCGGCCATTGTATTTGAATGCTGCGGTTCGTCCTTAGGCCGAGAGCCACGAGCTTGTCCTATTTATTTCAATCTCTAGATCTTGGTGCCATGAAGAATGAGCAAGCCTTGGCCGATTCATTTTGATCAGTCAATTTCCTTTACTGGCTACTGTGATCTTCGCTGTACTCGTGGGGATTATCCTTAATCATTGTTCTGCTTTTTATTCATTCTTACTTTGTAAATACTCAGTTTGCTTTATATACTCCGACAAACCCATCGTACTTTGAATAGCCTTGCTGGACGAGGTACAACCGTCTTTCCTGACAGCCAAAGAATACACTTGCATACCTATCATTTTGTTCTATTCACATCAAACCCATTCCTCTCGAACTCTTTGGATACTTGGGTAGAGAACACCACTGGCTGATAGAAGTCAATCCGACGCCAACATGCCGTCTCTCGATGTGAGCGAGCTCAATGTCATCTTGGCAATCCTAGGTCTGCTATAATGTGATCGTATCTTGCTCACTGGCCACTGACTGCCTCCGGCAGGTGCCTTCACTATACTCTATGGATTCATCTCAACAAAGATAAAGATGAAGTGGTACTTGGGGGAAGCTTGTACACGCCTATTTCTTCCATTCTGTGGCAACCCTTCCTAACGCTGTCGTGTAGTGCCCGCTGTGGTTTTTGGTATTATACTAGGTCCAATTGCATCCAAATTCATCGATGCGACGCGATGGGGTGTTGCTGCCCCTGAGCAACAGAATGCCATCACTTTGGTATGTTCCTGCCGTCTCATCTGTTAGAGTATCCTGACTCACGCTTCAAGGGTGTCTGTCGGGTTGTGATTGGTGTCCAGCTGGTCATTGCTGGTTACCAGCTTCCAACCAAATACCAGCTCACACGGTGGAAAGAGATGTTCATCTGCCTCATTCCAATCATGACCATCATGTGGCTTTGTACCACCGGTTGCATCATAGCTACTGTTCCAAATCTCACCTTGGTACCTCCCCCTTTCCAAGAGACAACCAGGGATATGGATGCTCATTTTTTACGCAGCTTGCGGCTCTCGTCATCGGATCTTGCGTGACTTGCACCGATCCGATCCTGTCTCAAGCCATTGCAAAGGGTCCTTTCGCCGATAAATTCGTTGCCCGCGACTTGCGTGAGATCATCTCCTCCGAAGCTGGTGCAAACGATGGTTTCGGGTTCCCCTTCCTCATGCTTGCCGTCTATCTGATCCGATATGCCAACGTCCCCGGCGCTGGTGTGCATAGTGACGGAGCAGTGGAAAGTGCTGTTTTCTCTGGCATATCCACCTCTCCAGTATTCTCCAGCGTCGCTTTTCCTACAGTCCCCGTGGTCGGTGTACCCTCCGCTCCGACGTTTACGAGCATTGCTGCTCCAATTCCGACTGCTATGGCTACCGGCTTGCCAACCATGAACCCTTCTTCACTCCTCAAGCGCGAGGCAGATGTCGGGAGGTTAGGTGGTGGGGTCGGAAAGGCGCTTCTGGCCTGGTTCATTGAAACATGGCTCTACGTCGTCCTCATGAGTGTGGCATATGGCATTGTTACCGGTTATGGAAGCTGCTTGGCGCTCAAGTATGCACTCCGCAAGAAGTGGATTGACGCTGAGAGCTATGCGCTCTGGCCCACTGCGCTGGGGCTTTTCATCGTTGGCACCTGTGGCGCCCTCGGCACCGACGATCTCCTCGCGTGCTTTGTCGCTGGAAATGCTCTCAATTGGGATGGCGGCTATCTCGAGGAAATCGAAGCTCGACACGACGAAGTCAACTCTTGCGTGGACGTGTTGCTCAATTTCGGAGGCTTCATGTACATTGGCTCGATCTTACCCTGGAGCGAGTTCCATCAGCCAGACACCACCGGCATCACGTATCCTCGCCTGATAGCTTTAGGTGTTCTTGTCTTGATTCTCCGACGCATCCCAGCTGTGCTGATCACATACAAGCTGATGCCGAGAGTCTGTAAGAATATCAAGGAGGCACTCTTCATGGGCTACTTCGGGCCAATCGGTAAGATCCGCTTCCTATTGCCACCGCTCTTGTTCCCTAATATATGTAGGCATCGGTGCCGTGTTCTACCTTGAGCATACTCGTCACCTCTTCCCTGAACTGGGCAAAGGCGACAAAGAAGAGAACAGCATTCAAGCCGCCATCGGACCTATCGTCTACTGGCTTGTTCTCTTCTCCATCGTCGTCCACGGGTTGTCGATCCCTGCCCTTAACCTGATCTATTCTTGGATGGGCGTTAAGCCCATCCAAGAGGACGCAGTGGAACTCAAGCGCCTCTCGTTGAAAATCTCACCACCCCGGAACTCCGTTCAAGGTCCAACGGGTGACACATTCATCCAGTACAACCGTTTCTCGCGTCCAACGTTCCCTGATAACGTCGTTCTCGGCATCAACCAGTCTTCTACTTGGGACAGTTTCGACGGCGAGGACGATGAGAAGCCGCTCCGACCATCCACGCAGCGTATCCGATGGGGCGAAAATACGCGTCCTGCACCTAGGCCCGGTAGGGGTAGAACGGTCTAACACAGCGCTTTGGATCTTGGCAGTTGGCTTGAGAAATTAAGCAACTCGAGTTTGGCGTACAGGGTTGAATTGGCATTCTCCCAGGAATACTTACATATTCCTTCCATGTGTACCTACTTCTCTCCCCAATCCACCAACAATCCCTCCGTGGTGGCCTCGTGTAGTAATGTGTCTCGCAAATGTCACTAACCTTGGTTACGCTAGGCTAGTCACCGTATTCCCTTCTGATCATCTCCGCTCCTTTCTCTGCAATCATGTACACCGGACCAACAATATTCACATCCGGCAATAAGGGAATCACACTACAATCCACGACTCTCAGGTTATCCACCCCATATACCTTCAATTCAGGGCTCACCACGCCACCCTTCTCAAGTGGTAGCATCTGGTTGGTTCCCGAGGCGTGCCAGTTGGGGATCGTGTTTGACTTAACGTACTCGAAGATGGCATCATCGTCATCATTGCTGACAGATGCACCTGGGCTGACTTCCCCGTTGTCGGGACCGGTGGTGAATTGGGCCAGTTCAGGGTCGGCAAAGATTTTGCGAAGGTATTTGAAAGATTGGATAGCGATAGAACGGTCGGTAGGGTCGACATAGTACTAATGGAACTGTTAATAATTGCGTGCCGCTGCAAGATATTGGTGGGACTGACATTTGGATTGATGTTGGGAGCATCGGCCATCGAACTTGACTTAAGAGTAATATTGCCGCGAGAGAGAGCAACAAGGTTTGATGCAGTAAGTGAAATGTAAGATTCGTTGCTTTTAGGTATATAGAAAGGAGTTGGTCCGCCAGGGTACCAGATCGATTCGTATAGGTATTCGACGTGGGATTGATTAGTGAGGCCTCGCAGGATGATTTCACCTGCCCCAATGGCCTTAAGTTCAGAGTCTGACATAATTTGAAACCCGTTTGTAATTCCAGAAGGTGCAGTGTAAGGTCCCGAGAGATTGCTGTAAAACTGCTCTTGGGCCTGATCAAGAGAGTCAAATGAAGCAGCCATCTGAGACGTGGAAGCTTGCGGTTGGGCTTTTGCCATAATGCTGAAAACAGAATGATCATTCAAGCTAATATGTAATATTAGCCGATTTCATCGACGGTTCTGCCTAATGCTTACTGTTGCCCGATATTCTCGTTGATCAGTACAAGGCTTATCCCGAACTTTTCTAGCTCCGCAGAAGGTCCAATTCCCTAGCTGACCATTAGCACGTCCCAAATCGAGAAGCCGCGTGTCTTAGAACTCACAGACAACATGAGGAGTTGAGGAGAGTGGAATACACCCATGCTTAAGATAACCTCTTTCCTCGCCATCACTTTATGAATCAGTCCTGTTTCTTCGTCGATGAAGACAGCTCCTTTTGCTTTAGGGTTCCTTGCCCCAGTCTCGGTAACAATTTGCGTGACGGGCGCATAATGCAAGACATTCAAGTTCGATCGGTTAGCAGCTTGCTGGTAAAAGCTATCGTAGCTTGAGCTTCGACGGTACCTTGCGTCAAGATTGCCCGTTCCTTGTTTCACCCCTGTGCCGTTTCCATTATTCAACTCTTCGACGATTGGGATGTTAGCAGATTTACAAGCACGGATAAACCCAACGCCAGATGGTGGCACATAGCCCTGAAATCCGATTTGAAGAGGACCGTCGGAATATGCACTTGGATCCCAGGTCTGGTAGCTTTGGTCGAATCCACTCTTTGGATCTGGAGGGTTGAAACTAGTGCTCTAGTTCGCGTATGAGTGACCGACCTGAAATGCCTTAGAAGACGAGATGAACCTTCACGAAATGAGGATAGACATCATCCCATCCCCACCCTGGGTTTCCTAGCTTGGCCCATTTGTCATAAATGCTGGCACTTCCTCGTCCGTAGTAGAGGCCATTAATGGTGCTACTTCCACCAAGACCACGGCCGCCTGTCTTCAGTCAGAATAAGTTTCAAATGACAACACCTGCAAGTTAATCGGCACGAAATATATTTATGATCTGGATACTTACGATGGTATGGTAGAATGCGCCTGCCAAGGTGCTCTTGGGGAAGAGTGTAGAAACTCCAATCAATTGCAGTGCCTGCGTTATGTCAGTGAAGCATTCCAAATGCACCGAAAACCAGAAGCATGCCTGCTAAAAACTGATTGCCTCCTGGAGTTTTGTATGCTGACACCACCGTAGGTTCGGGACCTGCTTCTAACACCAGGACAGTGTGTTTACCAGACTCGGATAGTCGGTTAGCCAGGACAAGGCCCGCAGTTCCGCCTGACAAGGGTTAGGACATTATCTGCTTAATTAACCTTTGTATATTATGACGTACCTCCACAAATAACAAAGTCATATTCATCTTCAATGGTTTGCCGTTCAATGAGTTTATTAGGAGTTCCAGATGATCCACTGATGGTCAGTAGGACCAAAAGCGTACAGAACTTCAAAGCGCTGCAGAACATATTCGCGAGACTATCGTGTATATAACATAGTAAGCGAAATGAAACTTGATGCGAATGAAACTCAGAAGATACTGGTATTGATTGACGAAGTTTACATCGGAAAGTGAAAGTATATCCTTTGATAGAAGACCCAGAATCCAGGATCAGAAAGAATGGTAGAGCTATTTACACAGGCTAGACGCCTTTGGGAAGGGAAGGCACCAGATTTCCCACCCTGGTGAAGGTTACTCCAACATGATTTACCTCCTGGCTTAGATCCTTCCAGCGCGATTCGAACAGGAATATATAGTGGCTTCCTTTGGTGGCGGTGGTTCGAGGAAACTGCTGGGTGTAACTTATCCTGCTCCAGTTATATATAACCATGAATCGATTTATAACCACGCTCCCAGTTTGAACTGCGTGATCATGCATCATGGGCTTGCTTAACTTGTGCTACAGTGTGAGATTAATAGCGGTTTCGCTAAATCAGGTGATTAATGCAGCGACACGGTGGGAAAACCCCGTTAAATTCCAAAAGAGCGTAGATAGATTGAACTTGATCCTGAAGAGCCGGGTCCTACGAAAACAGGCTGTTCCTGCAGCTATTTTATATGGTTTACAATGGTGATCTATTCCCTAAAAAGGGAAAGAATAGGGGTATATAATCGAATGCGGAATGACCGAATGAAGCCGTGGGGAAACGCCAAGAAACACAGATATTCTGTGACATACAGACCCTCTACTTCCTCATCCTTTGAGGCATTATGTATTCCACGCCTCCATTGCTAAGTTGTTCCATGTCTTGTCTCTGGTTGTTATTTTATTTGTTAGAAGGATGTCATCCTATGCCCTTAGTTTGGCACAAAAGCGAAGCGTCCAGGGAAAATAACCTGCAAAACTCCATCTAGAAACTTGAAAATTTCCAGGAGATTTTCCCTACAGATATATTTAAGCAGGAGATTGCACAAGAAAAAGGGTAACGTGTACGAAATACTTCATTATGGTTGGTCTGGATTTCTGGGCTCGTTGTATTGATCTATCAGGTCACTACCATTGAAATCGAGCCATCTCCTAGTTCAATTTCAAATGTACATCAATTGTGTTTCATTAGGCCGACCCAGCCCTTAAGGCCTTTGCAGCAACATTATGCTAGTCAGAACTCCAATTTCGACGAGGATTTAAAAAGGAAATTCCGTGGAATTGCTAGTCCTCCTCGCCTCATGAGTCTGATTGATCTCTACTGAGACTCAGGAACATAAGGAGTCTCAAATGGGGCCTCTGCCTGGGGGGTAATGCGAGCCAAATGTCGTCGCTCGCCGGTCGTCCAATCGAAGATGGCAGAGTGTGTAGTAACGCGGTTCTGTCTTTGTTAGCCACTCTATTACCACTCAGATCTTGATGGAGTTGAACTTACATCCCAAACCACCACAGTCCCAGGGGCCCATCGGACGCGAGCCTGATAGTCAATGCCCCGGCCAATATGGTCGAACAAGAACTTCAAGAGTGCCTCGCTCTCTTCCTCCTTAAATCCGACGATCTTTCGGGTGACTTAACGCCAATTAGCTAAGGATTGAGAGTATTGAGCAGCAGGATATGAAGACTTACACCCTTTGTTCACAAATAAGGCTTTCTCGCCAGTTGCCGGGTGAGTGCGGACGATAGGATGCTCCGAAGTAACTGGTTCTCGTCTCACTACTCCATCACGTTTCTTGCTGAACTCAGCTTGTTCGAATCCAGAATGAATAGCCTTGAGTCCATGCAAACGCTCCTTCAGGAGGGGTGACAATCGATTGTAGGCCTCGACCTGGTTGACAAATCCAGTGTCACCACCAACTTCCGGAATATCCAAAGCGTACAAAAATGTGGTGCCCGGTGGTTGCTTCTCGTAAGAGACGTCGGAGTGCCATGAAACACTGCTATTCCGATTTGCCAAAAAGCTGTCAAATTCGCTCGCATTGCCACTTCGATGCACTATATGGAGCTCAGGATATCCCTCGGGGGATCCGCTCGTAGGATGGATGTGGTGACGGCCGAAATAACCTCCAAAGTCGAGGGCCTCCTGGATGGGTAGGTTTTCAAGGTCTTGGTTGCGGAATGCGACAACCTTTCGCTGGGCAACGAGCAATGCAAGCTGGTCTTTGCCAGCGTCACTGAGCTTGCTGAGTTGGACCCCAGTGACTTCTGATCCCGTGGTGGGTGTGAGGTGTTGGAGTTTAGAACCTTCAGTTAGAAGGTCCTTGAAGCTTGGATCCGCGCCTTTGCCGTGCTCGATATGCTCGAATGGCTCAAGGGGTGCGTATTTCTCGCCATGGTCCCAGGTTGGCAGATAAGGGGGGTGCTATGTGATCGTTAATCCACGTTAACAGCAATTAGAGTCTGACAACATACACTCGCAGTAATCGTACCACTCTCTTCATCAACTGCTCTCCGAACTCTGGGCTTTTCCTCAGTGGGCTGAGAATTGGCCTTCACGGAGATGGGGAGATTTTGTGTTTGGGTAGATGTCACGGTGGCCATTTTCGGTCGATGGAAGATGGTGATCTAAGTGGTCTCGGTCTTTGGCGACGGATTAAAAGAATAGCCTTGATCTTGTATCAATCAATAGCAATGGTGTAGGCCACTGGGAATAAATACTATATGCCCTTCGAAGCAGTCATCACTATAAAGCATCGATATCGGATATAACGGCACCGACAGCGTTTCAGGGTATCATCACTTGACCATCCTTTGTGGATTGATTCGTAGGTTGCTCCAATGGTTCAGCATTCAATTTCGGCGTCACCTTCAACCACGATGGCGTATGAGCGGTACAGGATTCCCTCATTTGAACAGACCAATTGGTAAGTGTGCTCAGATGGAACAACCCCGTAGTCTCACCCACTCCTGATCTAGTTATCCGATAACCCTGTTCGGTGTATTTACTGCTGCATAGATTCATATATCAAATCAGTTGATGCATCGGTTGCGCAATCGACACCTGAAGGATCGTGCGAATCCCATGCGCAAGAGACTCATCAGTGATCAGCTCATTATCAGCTCATTATCTTACCAAAATAATCATCACAATGATTCATGCCCTGGTTCCTGGCAAGTAGGAGTGTGTTGTAACGTTGATACTGCTAATGATCGATGGCGCTGTGGGGGAAGATTGCGTTATGCCGACCATGAAATGATACAATCAACGTGTCGTGGTGCATGATCACTCATCTTTCCCCTCCATGCTCGACGTTCCGACTTCCGAGTGCATAGCCAAAAATTTTATAATGCGAAACCAAGGAGGAGATTCGAAATCAGTGAAATAGATTTCTCAATATAACAATTTCGGATCATTACACTGAATGGAATCGGAGTGACAGAGAGAGAGAGATTCATACGCCCGTCAGGCCTTTCTGCGAGGCCCATGTGGGGAACTACGTAGGCTTATCTCAGTTGGGACTCAGACGGGATCTGCAAGATGGTTGTGGCGGTGCAGGCATCTTCAGATGCCGTCTGAGGCCCTTCTGCAGCATTTTGGTGGGCGGCGTGGGCGGGTAGGTAAAAAGAGCGGATTTGGCTCCTACGGCGCACTAAACCCCACCAAAATTGGCGACCAGGGTCGCCCCAAAAGCTCAACTACACCAGCCCTTCGAAACCGCCGATGATAATCCTTTATTATAGGCTTATTTGATATATTTTTTAATATACTATAAAAGAGCGGGTTCCTTTGCCCTTTACCTAGCCCCACATAAACTTTAAGCTGATTTCGAGTACTGAAAGTTAAATGGTTGACTGAAACGACTGGGAACTCTGAAAACTTCAACTACACCACTACGCCACTACACAAACCTTACAAAAGGACCTCAGACGGTATCTGAAGACACCGTCTGAACTTGCTGAGAATTGAGATAAACGTAGGCTGACTAATTACATGCGTTGGTGCCTTGTGGCCTTGTGCCCTCGGAGTGACTGAAGTACGTAGTTACATGCTGTACTATGTAGTGTAGGGGATGGGAAAACTTCGGCGAATCACGTGGTTGCTCTTCAAGGGGGGGCCAAAAACCACTGTCTCCAGCGGGACGATATCTAGATTCTCAAACCAAACATGAAGGATCTAACTTCATCCACACTCCTTCAGGCATTGGCCACCATGATATCTGTGATTTCCTATGGCAACGCTACTATGTTAGGTGTTTTTGAACAGCTTTACCTGATTGGGTAAAGGAGTACTATATTCTTTCATCTGTGTGTGTATCCAATCTCTTTCTCAGCACAAGCATATTGGCAATATCAACTCTTGTCAGATCAGGTTTACACGATATCTCTGTTTATGGCGTTTTCCGGTTCCTTACCCGTGACCCCGGTCTATGGTTTGTTTTGGGTGGGTTAGACCCCGTATTCCCCCCGGATGCGCGTCACGATCCTGCGATATATCCACCACGCACTTCTTTACATCTCCGCTCGAAATCAACGTCTCCGCGGCCATCAAATGTACACAGAACTTAAATATGGGCGTATTCCCGTAGTTTTTACGCTCATTAGGAACAAGATCAATCAATGTCTCAATTCTTGGTCAACCACAGAGCTCTCCCGCTGTGACCTGTATTGCAGATCACCTGATATGGATGTCAGGAATCGCTGTTTTCTCACAACTTCAGCTTCGTATTTATCTGGAGAATTCGACTGACGGTTCACAACACCTACCAATCGCGTTCCCCTAATATTATGCTGGAGCCCGAATGCTTTTCTATCCCACGTGGAGGTAGAAGAGAGCGACCATGAATCTCAGATCATGGTTACAGCAAGCTGGTCGATCACATCATACTCATACCGGGATGACATATTATTCCCGGTTACTTTGCGGAAAAAGGTCATTTCTTACTGTGCATCATTAAGACTAGACGAGAGGGAATTTGACCTTGCGCTCCAAAAATGGTTACCGAAAGCCCATCAGTCACCTCATACTTACGAGAGATGCTATGTCATTTCTGGTTACTATGGGGAGACGATGAGGGGATCACTCCTGCATCCATTGCTACCGAATCATTCCTTATCATGCATCATTTGAGGCCAGGGAAAGGGACGACTTAGCCTGCGCCTTCGAAAATGATTTCTAAAACGCCATTAATCACATCATACTTACTATGGATGTCATGTTATTCCTTGTTCTAATGCGGAGGAAGATGGGAGCACATGGTTCTTATATTCGTTGCTACATTAGTTGATGTAGAACCGCATCAAGACTTTAAGAATCTCGAGAGGTATATTTGACCTGTCTTTCCTCCCCTTTATTCATCTACTTAGAAGTCGAATTGGAACGCATCCCCATTTTTACCTGCGCAACAACAATGGCAGACAAACTCCCCAAGGACAAGCGGGAAGATGACTCCAGCATATGGTCCGAATCCGAACAGCGTGGAATTGAAGTGGGCCCTGTGGCGACAAAAGTTGTCTTGGACAATGCAAAGTTGGTGACAACGAAAGGCAACATTATCACCAAAGATGGAGCTATCGTGGCCACTGGAGATCTCGACTCGAGCGATTCGGCCAATCCCTTTACGGATCCCCAGATCCGAGACTACTACATTGGTGTCTATGAGAAAGCAAAATACGAGTGTCGACATGTCTTCGACGCGGATGCCACATGGACAGAAGAAGAGGAGAAGAAGATCGTCAAGAAACTTGACTGGCATGGTATGTACACGATTTAGTATCTAGAGATTCGGCTGATGATTATTTGTAATAGTATGCTTGTGGGCATGTATCATGTTCTTCAGTCTACAGATTGATCGTGGAAACATCAATCAAGCCGTTTCAGGAACCTTTTTAAAGGATCTTCGCCTTAATACTAATGGTGGGTAGACCGACACTTGCCTTGAAAATGATCTCTGACTTAAAGTGTTAGATTTCAATCTTGGAAATACCGTGTTCCTGGTGTCTTTCCTTTTAGCCGAGCTACCATCTCAATTAATCTCGAAGAAGCTTGGTCCAGACCGCTGGATTCCTATGCAAATGGTTTTATGGTCCATAGTCGCCATGTCGCAAGCGGCCCTTCGAGGCAGATCCGAATTTCTCGCAACTCGTGCTCTTCTTGGAGTGCTTGAGGTGTGTTACCTTATTCCCATAATGCTTCCCCACTGATTGAATCAATCTAGGGTGGTTTCATCCCAGACTTAGTACTTTGGCTCTCCTACTTCTACACCAGTCGGGAGCTCCCCATGAGGTTGAGTTTCTTCTGGACAGCTTTAAGCGTCACTGGTATCTTTGCTTCGTTGCTTGCTTTTGGAATATTCCATCTCGAAGGCCACCATGGTCTTGCAGGCTGGAGGTAGAGTTCCATTTACTTCATTCTTGGATAATGATTGACATGATTTTAGGTGGATCTTCTTAATCGAAGGAACGCTTACACTTATCATTGGCATCGTGTCATTCTTTTTCATGCCGGCGTCTGCAGTCCAGACCAAGTCGTGGTTTCGACCTAAGGGATGGTTCACTGACCGCGAGCTTACCATTGTGGTGAACCGAGTGCTACGAGACGACCCCAGCAAAGGTAACTCAGACCTATATCTCGAGGTGAGCAGACACTGATCTATTGCAATAGGAGACATGCATAATCGGCAGGCAATCACACCAAGTCGACTATGGGCTGGACTGAAAGATTATGATCTCTGGCCGGTAAGTATCTACTTAATTGGGACCCCAGCGGATGCTAACTTTGGATCAAGCTTTACATGCTCGGTGCCATCTGCTTTGTTCCGCAGGCGCCACCCGCTTACTATCTCACGCAAATTCTTCGGAATCTCGGGTTTAGCACTGTAAGTATTCTCCCTAACGGGTGTTCTACCAGCTGATGTCCTTAGTTCCAAACCAACCTTCTTACTATCCCATCGTCAGTGTTCCATATGATCACTCTTATCAGCCTTACCTGGTTAAGTGAAAAAATTAATCAACGCGGGCTTGTCGCCATGCTACAAGGCGTATGGACCCTTCCTTGCATTATTGCTCTCAGAGTGTGGCCAGGTCTTATGAAAGAACAATGGCCAACCTATGCTCTACTCACCGTGTTACTAAGCTATCCATATTGCCATGCTATTAACGTGTAAGTATACCCCACTGTCGGATTAGCGCGAACTCTCGTGACTGGAGCTAATGACTTTCGGCATTTTATAGGGGTTGGATATCGAAAAACTCGAACAACGTTGGTTCTCGCAGCATATCTGCCGCCCTATACAATAGTAAGTTATATTCCTTTCGACTTCCAGTGCCACCAGGCCTAATGGCACCACTCCAGTGATGGCTCAAGTTGGCGGCATCATCTCGGCGAACATTTATCGAGACAATGATAAGCCGCTGTATAAGCGAGGGAACCAAGTCTTGATTGGAATCAATATACTGAGCATTGCTCTGTTCCTCTACGCAAAGATATACTACGTCGTCAAGAACAAAATTCGTGAGCGCAAATGGAATGCGATGACCCCTGAGGTAAGTTTGCCAAGTTTGGTTTCATGGATCCTGTCTATTTAGGATCAAGACTGCGCGTCGTTTGCTGACTATCATCCCAGGAGCGTGTTGAGTATACATACAATACTACGGATACTGCTAGTCGGCGACTCGACTTCCGATTTGCCCATTGAGACTCAATGTCCAATATATCGAGCACTAGTCGGCTTCCCTTGTCCGTGTGGAAGCGCCAGCCAGTGTACCCGAGCGGAACTGCGGACTGGCAGGCAAGAACTTTTCCAACCTTACCTATAAATTCAACGCCATTCGTTCCCAAACGGTATCGTGTCGGAGATCGGAGGATATTACGTAGCCATCACATCCTGTACCTTACATAAGCTTGGGTATATCTACCCTCTGAGGTAAACAAGCATCTCGCTGCCTCCGTCAGGTAACCTATTGCTTCCGTGATTGATTGACACGCCTAAACAATCAACTTCGCATTGATCACCAACCCTAGTCGATGTTCAATGATTTCATTTGCATTATGGTGACACGACCTGATCCTCTACTGACAGTACTGAGTCTACTTGTGGTCTGTGGCTCACGTGTGGCTGGTGCCCGCACTCCAAGCGGGATTGTGGTCCAGACGGGATTACCTATATTCTCATCATTTAAATTGCTTAAAATTTATAAGAATGATTTCTAAGGTCGTCTAAATGCCTGAAATAATCTTGTTAAGTATAATTTTAGGTATTATAGCGCTTAATCCTGAATCGTAATTTGCCATTTGTATGTATATCCCGTTTGGACCATAATCCCGTTTAGAGTGTGGGCGCTCAGTGCGGTGACTGGTGAGCGTCCTCCGGTCCTCGCTCTTCAGTCCTCAGAGTTGAGGATGAGTAAGCGTTAGTTAACGAACCAGATGCGCCGATATAGAACCCAAATTACGGAATAGTATTCAAACACCTGCTTATAACCACATCAGCAACTCCTAACTCCTGAGATGGCTAAAAGCATATTCCTACTGCCGTTGTCGCTGCCAATTGCAGTTGCATAATTAATTGTACTCTTCTCGTTCCTCGTGAAGTATGAACATGAAGTCAAAGCTCAATTGAGCCTCATCAAACGACCTCATCAATGATCAACCTGCCTCATCAACCTACCCAACTTCAAAGTTCGGTGCAAGAAGAAGCTTCCATCTTGACCTCCACCCGCAGTTGCTCAAAATGGGCTCATCAGCATCTAAAGCTGCAAAATCAGCAGCAGGACAAAGTGGCAGAAAGCTTCCACCACAAGTGTCACCTTCGTTCCCGAGGACTGGTGCTCCATCATCACAAGTAAATCCGCCTACTCCAGGACCCCAACAGTATGCCGGACCAACCGTGCAACCGTCGTCCAACGCGAGTACATCAAAGACAGATGGTATGACGGTCGAAATATTACAATCAGCATGTCTTCAGTTCGCCTATCTAACTTCTCACAGATATCAACCGAGATGCCTCAGATCCCGCCTACCTCTCACAGCTTCATGCGCTCGGAACCGTAGCCCCAAACCCTTTCCTCCCGCTCACACACCAAAATCCATCCGATCCACAACTAGCAAAGAGCCAAGCTGCATCATCACAGCGGTCTCCCGCGAACCACGCCGCTACCATGTTGACCGCCAGGCGGCGTTTCCAAGAAGCATCGGCACGAGAGGAGGCAGAAGTTGGCCGGCCCAGCTTCGCGGGCCGAGAGTTCCTTGATGTGTTGACTGTACAAAAGGCATTAGCTATGCGGAACAAGGGTGTCTCGGATGGCGAGATTGAACGTCAACTAAAGTTGAAGAAGGGTGTTGCGGGCAAGGTTGGCAATGGGCATTTCGCGGCACTGGAAATGGAGAATTGAATTTTGCAAGCGTCATAAGAGGTTGAATTACATGAGGCAGACCCCAGTCTCAATAATCCTAGCCTATCCTGTTCCGCTACGGGGCCGCTACGCAAGATCCAATGGACAATTTCGAATATCAGCGGCAGCCATTACCATGCACTGTGGCCTCCGTCCATGCGGAGATCGCTCGCAGTCTAGACGAAAGTTAGCATGCTGGATCCTCGGCAGGCTGCTTTTCACTTGCCATGAAACTACTGGCATTGCTGAGAAGGAATACGGCAGCGCCACGGTACTCCTGTGGTTTCGACAGGCGTCCAAGCATGTTCTGTTCCGGCCTGACTTTCGGTCAATGCTACATTAAATCATACGAGCGCAGGAAGGAGTACATACCATTCGTGCTCCCGCTCCGGGAACTCTTCAAAAAGCATTTCTACCATCTTTGTCACGATATAGCCTGGAGAAAGAGTGTTGACGCGAATGTTGTACTCTCCCCATTCGGCTGCGAGGCTTCGTGCCAATTGGAGTACACCTGCTTTCGAGGTGTTGTATGCAGGGCATATGAGTCCCTTAAGGGCTATTAGCTCCGGACGAGAATCATTCCGTGACCACCGGCTCGAATTCGGCTTCCTTCAAGCACTATTGGAAAGGGGCTCCCTTACCCGATTGACGACGGTGCCGCTCATGCTCCCGATGAGTACAATCGACCCACCATTCCCATGCTTAATCATCTGCTTCGCGACCGCCTGCGCCGTCATGAACACTCCCGTGATGTTAATCAAGAACATGCGGTTGGCGTCCTCAAACGTGTACTCAAGCGCGGGCGTCTCCTGCTGGACACCAGCCGCTGCAATCAACCCATCCAGTCGGCCATGTTCCAAGCTGATCTCCTCAACGACACGATTCAGTTCTGGAACGTTGGTCACGTCGACCCGATGGTGGTGCAGAGCGGTGCCGAGCTCGTTCTCAGCGCGTGCTTGGACGGCTTTGAATTCAGGGGAGACTTCTTCTAGGCGGTCAAGGGCGTACACTATAGTACACGGTCATTCATCTCCGCGATTGAAGAACTATCATATATTACACTGACCTGTTGCACCGGCTTCGAGGACCGCTTCCGCTTGGCTCAACCCAAGCCCTCGACCTCCGCCGGAAATGAGGACTACCTTGCCACTCAAGTCAAACTCTGGTAGCTTTTGTTTTGTGACGGACGTGGAAGGTTGGGGCTTGCTATCCTGCCCTTTCGTTGAGTTCGGAGGCATCTTTTGCGGCGTGGGAGGAGTCTCGCGAGATTGCGAACTCCAGGTCGACGAAGTTGATATGTCCCGCGAAACATATCGGCCTCTGGAAACCGACGGGAATGTTGATTTGAGAATTACTCCCACGGCTGATCGAGCGGCTCGTGATCCGACTCGTGCTGAGAGCATCATTCTGAGAGTGGTGAGACAGGTCTGGTGCATTTCCTTAAACTGAGTGTGCGCGATATGCTGGACCGAGCATAGATGTGTTCGCTCGACTAAATTTGTTGTCGCAGTAATTATTTTCACTTATTTCAACTATTTTCTTTGTCATAAATCCCAAGTTTTGCTTGTGTTGAACTGTTGATTTGGCTTGCTCACATGTCATAAGACGCCCATGTCTACACGGCATCGTGACCGCGCAGGTTCCACGGCCCACGAGTGAGAGTGTTGTCGGTGATGACTGATAAACTTATGCTAATACCATCGAAGAAATGGGGTGAAGAATAACCACTCCGCTGATATTAGATAGCAGGGATGCGATCTCACGGAACAGATTTAGGACGATCCCAGAGGTTCTAGTTTCCCAGGTAAACGGCGTCAAAATGTATTTATGAACATCCTGATGAGGGGTTTCTCACTTGCCGTGATGAGGAATGATTACGTACGTGGTAGGTAATTATGTGTTGGTCGAGAGGAGGGGTAAAACTTGGCTGAAGCTGAAACTGATGTGGAATGGATTCTGTTGGCTGCCCGACGTGGATGTTGGGTGGGTTACATACTATCATCTATTTCTAAGTACCTATAACAGAAGTATCGTGCGGCAAGTAGTTACGGCATTCGCCATAGTTATATATATATATATAGGCAAGGATACCATTAATTCGGGTCATAAGCTATTCATCTGCAGTATCTTGTACACCTATTTCCAGGGAACTACCCTATGATCTTAGCATTTATTTCTGTACTAGTCATTGTTCATGTCATCCACTCATCAAAATCTCTTCTCAGTTTTATGATAAACCACATTGCGCCTGCGCTGACCCTGTATCATGTCCAGTCCAACCAAGCAGCCGATTTGCAACGTCATTCACATAGCTCCTCATTGAACCATACGAGGCAATATCGAGGTTTCCAGAAGGATCGATCCGCCCGGAATTATAACAACGTGCCGCGGCAAATGGGTTGTTAGGCCAGCGGTTGTTGGTATACGAGTAAGATGCATCGTTGTTCAGGTACTGCACATACCCAGGTCCTTCCGTAGTACCCTGAATCCCTTCCGCAATCATTTGCTTGATGCTCTGTCTTGGCTGCGATGAGTCAAACGACGTACTTCCGCGGTTAGCTTGCATGAGGCCGCAGTTATGACCTCCTGTGCAGGGTGAGTTGGCTCTGCCAGTGGACTAAGAAACATTAGTAAAGCATATATCGCACTAGAGGAATGCCGTCAATCATACCTCCTGCATCATCACCACAAGAATGACGCGTGGATCAACAATAGACTCTTCCGCAACCGCAATAATCCCATCGCGGATGTAGCCGATTTGGTCTTCCGTGTTCGTCAGAGCCAGAGCTGGACGGTTGATCTGCAGCAGATTGTCGAAAGACAGCCATTGGTGAAGAGTCGGATATTTTGAAATGTCACCCCCGAAACACTGATATTGGTAGGTGCCTCCCCAGGAAGCACCTGAATAGGTATCCGCACTATACCAGCGCGAGGACGCGGTGTTCACCACTCTGCTAACGCCTCCGTACGCCGGTGAACGCCTTGGTAATGTATAGAAGGCCAAGTTACTTAGGAGTGGTAGAGCAGAGGAGGATACAGTGAATAGTGCAAAGGCAAGAGACTGGAGAATCGAATCAGAACTGGATATCCAATGAACACAGCCCAGGAGTACCAACCGGGAATGAATGCATCGCGACCAGAACCTAGAAAATACCTTAGGAGTCGGTCGTGGTTCAATCTTCTCGTATAGAGGATAGTGGTTACGGCAGACAATCAGTCAATGATGCCATATGAGACAACTCTAAGGAATGATTTGCGAACTGGGGAAGCAAAGAGTCAAGCAATACATGACTCTGAGAATCCAAGGGCTATCCAGTCTTTATTATACTCAGTGCCAATTGGTATAGAATCCAGCTACACGTCCTGGGAGTGTGACTATTCCAACTTGTCGGACGACGATATCCAAATTAGAGAAATAACACTTACTCTGTAGAATTCATTGCTGGCTATACAGCTCAGCTAGCCACCAGTTCGTCAGGGCACCCAAGATGGAACTCCAGAAAACATACGATGTCTTGAGATAAATGCCCGTGGAACATCGTATCATTCATCATGAATGCGAGATCAAGGTCGGACATGAAAGCTTCGTTCCGAGAGACGTATGCAGTCCCGACGGCTGATTGGCCATTTGGAGTGCGCCTGATAGCTTCGTGTGTCGTGCATGACCGACGAGTCGGAGTTCGTAAATAAAATTTTCGGACTAGAAGGGCTTGGAGTGCTGGACAAAGGGATAATCAGTGGAGGCGGAGAAGCCGAGAACTGAAAGCTGGCGGCAGCTAAATTTGGTCAGCCCTCCCGAAGCTCAGCCATGCTTCGGGTATTTCAGCACTGGGCTTAATCCGCACCCATTCTTGTTGCCTTGTCACAACATATCGGAAATGGTTGTTGTTAAGAATAGCCTAAATATACTCTACTTAGAGACCTACACCAGCCTTAAACATATCGTGAAAGACTCATGTCCTCGTCAGATCTACGAGCCAGCCTGGATGATCTATTCCGGGAACAGATATCTTCGAACTATCCTTGAACTTCAAATCGTTCGAGAATGTGATTTGCTGCACGCTCCCATCTCCCTTCCGAGTATATCCATTCGGCACACAATTCTGCACATTGTACTTATCACCACGATCATACTTCAAGTTCAGGTCGCCTCCAACGACTGTAGACCCCGAAAAGCCCGTAGATGTCTTTAGGTACGGCGCTGCTTCAAACATCAATGCCTTGCATTGAGTCATCGCTGTCGCCTTCGTGGTGTTCAGATGCGTCGTGCAAGCGAAGTGATCGCTACTTGCTGCAGCGCAGGCGAATGATCGCTGCTCATTGCCTCCGTCTTGTGCGACGTAATGCCCGCCATACGCCTTGAAACCGGACCATTTGCTTGCAGCCACCCTGCCGATGACAGCGATGCCGTACTGGTCGCCGTTCTTGCATTTATACGCGCCGTTAGTGCGTTTGTCGATCGCCGGTTGGAAGACGTAGTAGGTATGATCGTCCGGCCATGATGACGCGAATGTTGGGTGGAGGGAATTCTGGATATCTTGGAGACAGATCTCGTTGAGGGTCACCACGTGGGGCGTGGTGAGAGAGATTGCAGAGTTGCCTTCTCCGACTGCCTTCCCCTTGCTATAGCACTTCGCGAAGCCACTGTTGCAGAGATTCAATTGGAGAGCCTTGAATACTGTGCTTGAGGCTGATTTTCCGCCGGATTTCTTAGGAGTAAACGACTTTGAACAGCATTGGAGAGAAATTTGATACTGGGAGGGGCGGATGAGCCGCCTCCGCCGGGATCCAGCAAAGGAAACGCCGAGGCGGTAAATGCAGCAAGAAGATATAAGACAGAAATTTGAGAAAATTGAATCAGCATCTTGCTTATAGATTAGATGGTGCATCCGAGGGTCAAGGTAGCAGAACGGTTGTGAGATTGAAAGAAGGTCAACAACAGCCAAACAACTCGTGACGGAATGGAGACGACCTTTAAAGTCGTCGAGCACAATTGGAACGACTGACAAGGGATTTTTCTACGAACGCAATACGAGACTTGGAGTCGCGATGGCCAACATCCACAGCCATTTTCAGGCTCCAAGTCCATCTTGAAGTTGGGGATTCAACTTTGAAGAAACTAGAATCAAGAAATGATGTCGGATCATGGATAGAGTACGGGAGTGATGGCTGAGGGGAACCGGGGTTCAGGGCCATCAAACACTAGCGCCTGCTAAGATTGGAAACAAGGCATATTTCATGGTTCGTGATTCGTGCCTGGTGAGCTGGTGAGCTCGTCCTGATGAGTGATATCTGTGTCTGTCTGATGACCTCACACTGAACTCTTGATGAAATTGGCATGGTATCACTGCGGACGTAAGTACTGTAGGCATGGTTATCTCCATGGAAGTGACATTGATGGACTGGAATGACAGAGTAACTGAGTAAGGTATGCGAAAACCCGTGTGAAATAATCAGGGGTATGGTAGGTAAATTGTAATTATGTTTTTGGCATCCTTGTCGTCCAGTACGTATCCACTGGGAAAACACCAACCTCCTCCTTTCTCCTTGGATTGATTTAACTACCTATGGGCAATCATCTTCACAGATGAATTCTTCCAACTTTCCTAGAACTTTGCTTGACTTCTATGTCCATCATCCAGAGACTAGCGTGTTGTCAGCTCCAGGCATTATCGACATGAGATGCTCTCCATCTGCTTCCGACCTGGTGTCGTCTTCATATTCCACTCTGCAGTGTCATTCTGGTCCCCTGTAGTGTAACAACAATCTCGTCTCATCCAGATGGTCTTTACGTAAAGACTGGTCCCCTCCGAGACACCCATCCCAGGGCCCTGTTTAACAGGAGTTCCTTTCTTTGAGGTCTTCTTTGGTTGACATGTCCTTCAAGTTTGCCTTGTAATCATGGCGTTGAATCCGCTGATGTCATCCTTGATCCCCATATCCTTGAATCAAGTGTTTCTCAGGGAGTATATCTATCCATTATGAGTCATGTGGAATTTCGGAAACAAAAGATTATCGATAAACCTTCTGTGCGCCTGCACAACTGCAGGCGCTAACTTAGGTTCCAACATTGGGCATTTTGGGGCTGCAGGACCTAATAAAACCACTTCCGGCGGATGAAGTTTACTCCCGAGAGTCGTTCATTCCCTATCCATACAGCCTTGGATTCTCGACTCCTTTGGCGGCTCTGGAAGGTGCCTTAGGGTTTAGAAGATATTAGTTGGATGGACCTCCATCAGAGAACATGCACGTTATCTTGTATCAAGTTGGGCCCTCTTCAGTTGGCATCGGACTCGGAGAGACCTATCACCTACCATACTTATACTTGGCTGCACCCAACACCCTGTTTCAAATCATGCTAGGAGATCTGGAGCATGTATTCAATCACTAGTTTGCCTCCAGTCGCGGGCAATGCAAGGGGTTCTCGAGGTGCATCCCCCTATCTCCGCCAGTCACCTGCGTTGACCTTTCATACCTCAGGATATCAAGCTTGACAGCTCTCAAGGTCCCCTTCTTTGATGCTAGTTGCACCACAGTGAGACAGCTCCTCCGGCTCACTTTACGGTAGCGCCATGCGCGACTTACCAGACCCTCATCTTTCTACATGCAGTGTAATTCGCAATTTCCACCTATCCCCCTGGAATCGGCGGGAATGAAATCATCACCATTGGCGAGGCGTTGTGAAGTTGTTCTCATTGAGAAGTATGTTGTATTATATGTAGCAATCACATTCTCCTTACCTTCGAAGTTGCCGTTCATCCTTTCTTTGTGCTTTTCTTCACCATAGTCCTTTATATATCTTCGAGATTTGCTACTTTCGCTGCTTGATCCAGTAAATCCATTCTATTGACCACTGTCATTCCGTCTGTTGATCTATCGTTCGTTGCACTACAGCCGCCGAGCGGTCATATTCCTTCTCAAAGTACACGAGTTGCATATTTTCCCGATCATTTGTCCGATCATCATGGCTATTCAGACGAAATATTTCTTGCTTGCCCTTGCAGCTACTCGCCAAGCAATTTCACATACCGGGTTCGCTGAGTTATTTGTCAACGGCGTCGGCCAAGGAGATGGGACTTGCGTCCGAATGAAAAACGACCCCGGAACCGTAACAAGCCCGATTGCTGGCATCGGCAGCAACGACATGGCATGCAGTAAGCTCTTTACTTCCTTCAGATACTAAAGCGACCGTTGTGCTCACCACTTCATTATAGATGCCAACGGGGCAACCGGTGTTGCTCGTGTCTGTCAAGTTCCAGATGGTGCTACGCTGTCCTTTGAATTCCGCTCGTGGATGGATGATTACACGAGAGGCGTCATTGACCCAGGCCATAAGGGGCCATGTGCGGTCTACTTGAAGAAAGTCGACTCCGCCATCGATGACAAAGGAGCGGGGGACGGCTGGTTCAAGATCGCGGCTGATGGCTATGACGAAGGCGCTGGAAAGTGGTGCACCGACAAGGTCATTGAAAAAGGACATTTGGACGTGGCCCTTCCCCAGGGTTTGGAAGGCGGTTACTACCTCGTGAGGCCGGAGCTGCTCGCCTTGCACTTTGCGCACAGGGGAGAACCGCAATTCTACACCGGTTGTGCCCAGATCTTCTTGAAGTCGTCTGGAAATAAAAAGCCGAAAAGTACCGTCAGCATCCCCGGATATGTTCAGTCAGGCGACAAGAGCTTAACTTTCGACATCTATGATTCGCCACTGAAGCTGCCGTATTCATTGCCCGGACCGGATGTGGCATCCTTCACCGGCTCGTCGAAACGCGAAGTCGGTACGATCGATCGCAGAGCAGTACAAAAGACGCAAACGGAGGGGCTGAAGCCGGAAGGCTGTATCCTAGAAAATGCAAACTGGTGCGGTGTTGAGGTTCCGAGTTACTCGGACGAAAAATCTGTAAGTCCATCTCACTCCTCTCCTCTGCTTTGGCTGATCTTGTCAGTGCTGGTCATCGTCCAAAGAATGCTGGGCTCAGAGTAAGAAGTGCTTCGATTCTGCGCCTCCCACTGGCTCTGCAAACTGTAAAATTTGGGAGAAAAAATGCGAAGCGATCAATAGTGCTTGCAACTCTCGAAATTTCGATGGGCCACCAAACAAAGACAAAGTCCTTACACCGGTAGCGAGGAGGGTCAAGGCGAACGGTGTTAGAGCCGCATCTCCTTTGAGACTGACTGTGTGATGGAGTCCACTGAAAAGGTTCCCCGGCATCACTGGATGCAAGGATAGGAGAGATATCGCAGATAATCGAAGGGGTATTTGACGGCCTATTCTGGAAATTAGTCCAGTGTTCATCGCTGCTCCTTATCTATTGCTATTCTTTAAAATAACGCATCTGCTGCATATTTGTCTTTTTGGAGAGCTGATCCTGAAGAGCGGCTGGAACCCGTTTATGAATGGCATAGCAATACCTGTAGGAATAGTCAATGCGATGTGAAGTGTGAACGACTGAATGGATCGGCATGAAAACGCACTAAACCAAACGCGCTAATTAAACGTAACGTGCTAATTAAACCAAAAACGATTTATTAGCACGTCACGTGTATCATGCCTCTCAGTACTCTTCGTGTCATTCTCGCATCTTTGTCACATCCAAACGATATCATCAACAATTTCTAACGCGTCCGTTCGCCCGCAAGCGCCTATCATCACACTTTCTGACTGACCATAGACATTTGGTTCAGTCGACTCTTTCATATCAGCAGATTTTCCACAGTTTTATGCAATCAGAGTCTACCGAAATCTTCCAAAAAGCTTCATCCAATTCATCCCACGTAGAAAGCTCCAATACTTCCACCCAGCATGGATCACCGGACTCTAGCATCCCAGCTCCCCCTGGATTCCCTCGGGAACCTCGAGACGGTGACGGTCAACATTCTAGACCGGAACTTCCTTCGGTCGGGGGGCGGATTGCCGTCGATGGCACCCAGACCGAGACGCGTCCCGTAGTCGATTCCTTTTCGTCAACGCTGACCGAGACGGCTAGTCCCGGCAGACACATTGTAACGTATGAAAATGCTCTTGTCCTATCCGGAGACGAGCGATGGGAAGGACCGGATTTTCAGGTCATTTCCAATGGATCTGCATCCGCTCAAGGATCTCTAACTGACTCCCTGCCGAATGGTAAGTTGACTGACTCCGTTCCGTGTTCCGGATATTGGTTTGCCATTACGGTACTGACTTATTGACTGATAGAAATCCTCATCCATGCGTTTTCGCATCTCAGCGCTCCTGACCTCAATACGTGCGCTTTGGTTTGCCAGCGATTCCATTCGTTGCTGAATTCGCCCTACGTATGGAAAGCGGCGTTCATCCGATATTTCCCTGGAAATTTGCCGAAAGACCGCCGCAAGAGTGATAGTGGCATCGATGGAGTGGCTCCCGTCTTTACTCGTCTATCAAACCGTTCGACCTGGCGAAAGGAATACATCTTGCGAACGCAACTGCTCCGAGCCATTGCGCGTGGCAAGCCACTGAGCGTGGAGGCGAACACCAGGGACAGGACCAACCAATCTCCAATACCATCGACTCGGCAATACCAGAATCCTCTTGTAACCTACGATTCGGAGCTATTATTCAACATCGACCGGATTGATGGGACATTCGGAACTGGCTTGGATATGGGACGGTGCAAGTTCATCCATGGCCAATCCCTGACGGGCTTGTCCAGCAGAAGCGATCCTGCATCGCGTAAACTGGACGGCTGGGGAAATCGATGGGCAGTGAGTGCACAGTTTTCGCAGCTGCATTCTGGCGAGGCGGAGTATGGCCTTGGGTCCGGGTCTATGGTGGGCTGCCCGAATGTCATGGATATCAGCCAGCACTACGGCGTCATTCATGGGGTCGGGAGTCCGCGGGGGTTCACGGAGTTCTATTCCACCCATAACCGCGAGGTCCGTCGCATCTCCTCCGAGATGCCGATTGTGGGGGTTCTTGATGAAGGTGTGCCTCAAGTGGAAGATCTGGGAGCGAATTGTGCGGTTTGGATCACGAAGTCACGCAACATTCCTTTCCTCTCTAATGGACTTGCTGGGATGCTGGTCGGCTCTGCCTCTGGGATCGTGTCGATGTACACTGTAGGCGGACCGGACGCCACGCGAGAGGCTCGCCTTCAGCGTGGGGACTTAACAGCTCGCTGGGTCCTCTCCCCTGGGGTTCCGATCATTGCATTCGCAGTCGATGAAGAGTACTCGCTGCGTCGTCTAAACCAGAATCGAGTGTGGGCGGTCGCTTTAAATGCGCTCGGAGAAGTGTTCTACCTGTCAAAGTTTCCCGTCTCCCCAGACGCCGCTTCATGGCGAGACGCAAATGAAGTTCGACGGGAAGCCTTGGCTTGGAAAGTGGGACGGTCCATCTACTGGAACCTCGTCGAAGCAAGTCGGAGACGCGCTCGGCCTGATCCCTACCACGACGCTGAAACCGACGGCAGCTATACTCCTCGCAGCTCGTGGATCGGCATGTGTCTAGATGGTCAACAACTTGCAGCCGAAACACGGGAGATCGAGTCCTTCCTTCGTCTGAAACCGATGGAATTCCGCAACCGTTGCGTTGGTTGGGAGATGAGACGCAAGATGGAAGTCGACTTTGCTGGAGATGATGGGCGTATGGCTGGAGAATCCGTGGTCGTCTTTATGAACCCAGAAACAGATGGTCTTCCGGACATTACTCGATATTGTCGAACCCGCATTCTCGTTGGCTCCCTTGACATGGAGAAGACGGTTGTTCCTCACTCAGCGATGGACCAGGAGACACAGAATGGTGATCACCGGTCCGTCTTTGGCAATCGTGTTGTCTCTAAGTCCAAATCCCCTGCTCCTGGAGAGGATCCGATGCCCGACGGTATTCTTTCGTCGAATGTCGCTTCCAACCAGTGTTCTGAGGAATGGAGGCTATCCAAGTTGACATTTGGTCTGTTGCGTAACGTCTCCATTACCGTCACGGCTCTGGACATGTCAAACCCCGCTCTGACCACGGCGTCAGAGGATATGTCTGTGTCTCGTGACGACAATTCCGATCCACCCTCATCATCCGGATCGTCGATCTCAGAGCGGACGGCGTTTGACAACGGTATCAATGTGCCAGGCAAAAATTCGCGGTTTGTCGGCGTCGGAACCACGAATGGTGTCGTCTTTCTTTGGAATATCCGCGCTTCTCCTTCTCCTTCCATGGAACTTGTCAACAATATTGAGCCAGTATGTGTTATCAGGACGGAGTCTCCCTCGATTACCAGTCTAGCCATGACTGCACTCTGTGTTGTCCATGGTGGCGAAGATGGGGTGGTGCAGATCTGGGATCCTCTTGGCTCGAGCACAAGTGCTGTACGCACGCTGAACTCCAGGTTTACTGCTCGGTATCATCGTCAGCGGTATCGACGGCTTACATTCCCCATACCCGATCAATTTTCCAACTCGACTGGGGCTACCGCCATCCTCCTTGACCCCAACCCCACTGTTCTGCGTGGAATAGTGGCGCTGGGAACCGATCTCCGGTTTTGGAGCTTTAGCTCTGATATTGCCAATGACCACAAGAGAAGCAAACGCCGGTTGCGCCGTGGAGATCGAGGTATCAACGATCATGGCGATCGATTTGCGCCTTCTGCTCGGGGTTCCAGCTTCCAGAAATATCTTGCCCATGAGGTACGTGAGCTGGAGCGTGAGCGCGAGGAACGTCGCAAGGAGCGTGAACGTCTGTCTGGAAGATTTGGTGTCGGTCTTCTCGATAACGAGGAAGAAGCTTTGGCCTATGCCGCCATGCTCTCTGAGCAAAGTCTCCAGGAAGATATTGACCGACGCGAGAGCGAGTCGAGCGCATATGCGAGCGATAGTAGCGTGCCAGTCTCGCAAACTGCGGGTGCCTCGTCCCCGTCCTGGGTCGTTGAAGGCGACGACGAGTTCGAGGCTCAGATGGAGGAGGCTATGCGGCTGAGCCAGGAAACCGACCAAAGTATATCCGAAAGCATCGACCAAGCTTCGTCGTCTCGTCCTCAGGCTTATGATATTCCCATTCGTTATGCGAAATCCCGGAGTCCAAGTCGCCGCCATGCGGATATCGGCAGGAGCCCCAGCCTTGAAGCAGATATCGAATTTGCGAAGCAGCTCAGTCTTGCAGAGGAAGAAAGTCGACGAGAAGCGGACCTTCGAGAAGATGAAGAAGAGGATTTTCCCGCTCTTGACCCACGCGGCGGTAAAGGTAAACTAAGAGCATGATGTGTTCTTCACATGTCGTTTTGTTTGACTTTCTTTGAGGGGATGACGATCAATGGATCGATTCACTGCGTTTTGCTTCACCCGTTTGAGGCAGAACCCCTGTCTTTTGACGACGGTCCTGTATGGTGCGGGCATTTATATACTAATTTTCGAAATCACTTTGCATCAAATTCTGCGCACTCCGTGTGCTGGGAGATGTGTTCCGGCTTCATACGCAACTTATATCAAATGCTGTGACTTTCGCTATAAACCCCAGACTACAATTTTCTCTTAGAGACCATCATTATGGCTTCGTCAAGCAAGCCTCCAACTACCGCATCCAACCCCTTTGAGGATGTGACAGCCATCCTCGGAGATGATGTCCAGGAGCATATGAATCCACTGGCTGGGTTGGTACGCCTCCAAGACAAGATCATCGTCCGGACGCCCTTTAGCAGCTTCGAAGAGAAGGCGGGGCGTCTATCGCCGAAAGTCTTTCAGTGGGCTCTGAATATCCTGGAAAAGAATTCCGACCGGATTCTCTCAGTTGGCACTGATCAAGGAGGACGGGCCCGGAAATGCACTGGCATTTCAATTCGGTAAATCTTCTCCTATTCCAAGATTCATATAGGGTTTAACCCAACCGACTTATCCTCTAGTGAGATCCCTTTTGCGTCGGTTAACTTCGCGGCGGCCCTCCCATATATTGTTGGGGTAGCCAACTTCGAGGGAGGCTTCCCCAGTGTCTTTCGCCTTCGCGTCGACGCCCACGACTATACTGTACGTTCATTTCAATCAAACTATAACTTCCTACCGTTCTTTCATGTTCACTTTTGTGGGATAGCTCGAGGGAAGCCCCCTCTACCTCAACCTCGGCCCCCTGCCTAAATGGAAGTCGTCGGCGCTGTGGCTCCAAGCCAAGGAGAAACAACGTCCAGAGCCCAAGCTAGATTACCATGAGTGGCATCTAGTCAACCGGAAGGACTGGGCTAAAGACGACGGTCCAGACTACGACCTCTCGGACTTCGAGGTGGATTAGGAGCAAGCACTGCCAGTGATAGCGTGCAAGTGGGGTGAGCAAGAATCGCACCTCTTTTTCCCGTCTGTAGGTGGGATTGCTGAGGCTTTAAAGGAATGGTAGCAGGCACTTGATCGTGGATAAAGAGGTAATTGAGGAGGATGCTGGAGCAGGATGCTGGAGCAGGATATAGCTTCTTTAGAGCAGGGAAAACATGGGCACTAGACGATTTGGATACCCCAAATAAAGCAAATAGAGACTTTCGACTCGATACAAGCCCATCCACTGGTTTCTGTTATTGCGTAGTTGATGCGATGCAATATATCGCAGTCTAGCGGAAGAACATAGAACTACCACCCAGTGCTGCCAGTGAGTTGGATAAAGCAACTGCCAATTCCACCCAAAATCTCCGTCTAGAAAATGCCGTTTGATATTCACATCCGTCATTGTTTCAACGGACGATGTCCAATTGGATTTCCTCCCGATCAAACGGACAAAGACAGGCCTCGTTCGAGGAGGACGACGGAGCCCTAGTTGAAACGGTAAAAAGCACAGGATGGTCCTAGTTGACATTTCATTAAATGTGGACTATAATACTCGGGGTATATTTTCATTATTCAGCATCGTCATCTACCACATCCAATCCAATCCTCTTCCCCACCTCTCTCACTACCCCCCTCAAGGCCACCCCCGCCTTACTCTCAGGAAACGCCTCCAAGAAATCCTCGCCAAAATCACACGCCATCCCGATCCTCGGATCCAGGGGAACCGCCCCCAAAAACGCGATCCCTTCATCTTTCGCCAGTTTCCTCGCGCCCCCAGTCGTGGGTCGGAAAATCTGGCTCTCGCCCGTACAATTCGGGCAGACGAACCCCGACATATTCTCCACGATCCCAATGATGGGGATGCCCGCTTTCCGGCAGAAATCCACCTGCCGCCGGACATCCAGCAACGCGACTTCCTGCGGGGTGGAGACGAGCACCGCGCCATCAATGCCTGCGTCCCGCATGAACGTGCACAGCGCGAGATGCTCATCGGACGTGCCGGGCGGGGTGTCGACGACGAGCATGTCCAGATCCCCCCACTCGACGTCGCGGAGGAATTGCTTCAAGAGCCCGGTCTTTTTGGCGCCGCGCCAGATGATCGCCGTGTCGGGGTTGTTGCTGGGGAGCATGTTTTGGATCGAGATGGCGCAGAGGGTGTCGGTGAGGTAGAGGGGCGACCAGCCAGTGGAGGTGACGTGGACAGGTTCTTGTTCGAGGGAAAGCATTTTAGGGATGGAGGGGCCGGTGATGTCGGCGTCGAGGAGGCCGACCGTGAGGGGTATGGATGAAGGCGAGGTGTGGCCGTTACCGTTGCCATTTGGCGTCGATATAGGATGTGCGGGTCTTGAGCTCGATGCAAATGCGTGGGATAATAGGACTGAGAGGGTGGATTTTCCGACCCCTCCCTTGCCACTGAGGACGAGGATCTTATGCTTTATAGACGATAGTCGCTCTGTGATATATGGGATATCGGGGTCGGGTCCCATGGGCTGGCTTGACGAGCAGATTTCTTTATTCGGACAGCCTACGCAGGCGTCTGATTTGCCTGCATCATTAGATGTCGGCCCAGGGCAATGCTCTATGGGACAAAGTGCGTTAGAAAGGTCATGCCGGATACTTTGCGTTGCCTTGACAGGAAGAGAGAGTCCATACCTGGTTCCGGTGCCACAAGTTGGGGATCTTTCGTCTTAGAAGGATCCAATGCAGCGTCGTCTATCGGCTCTTCTAATGACGGCGCCATTGTATTCGCTTTTGAATCCTTTAAATATAAAACGGGAGTGTAAAAGTTCAAAGGCAATCCCAACCTCTAGATAATTAGTACCATCGTCCTGAGGTTGATGACCAAGCGTGGCGACATCAGATCCGGGTTGCCCCACCCACCCCCACCGAGCCACCAGCCACATCCCGAGCGCCGATCTCCTCCGACAGGCGGGGACGATCTCCTCGGACGATCTCCATCGGGGTATTTACTGTGGTAGAGGCCTGTAGAGGTGTTAAAACTAGTCTGATGCCAATTCCAAATCCATTTCTACACAGATATGCTATGCTATGATCCCATGCTTAAAAAACATAAGCCACGCCACTAAACAACCTTCCTTACGGCACATACAGCCTGGAATACGCCACCACGTCCGTCCTACAACAAACGCACGTATTGAAATTCCGCGTTGCCAAGCCCACACGACAATCATCGCAAAGGCTAAGGCACCCGCATGGCCACAGCAGCGTTGTCCGTGGACTGAACTGACACACCACGCACTGCGGCCCTGCGGCCCCCATCCCCTCCGCACCACTCTCCCACGCACCATTCTCGCCGGGAAGATGCTGCTGCGCCGCGGCATCGCGTCGTTCGAGGATGAAGCGTTCAAGGATCTTCTCCTCCTCTTCGGGGGATATCGCGGTCGGTGATGGACCGCCACGACTCCCTAGCGCCGCGCCTCGTCGTGAGAGAAGGACGCGGGACCGTTCGCGGTCGAGTTCGCGGCGGTATTGGGAGCGGGTCATGGGGCTGTCGCGGAGGAGGCGGCGGGAGAGAAGATGCGCCTCGTGTTGCTCTTCGGAGGATTGCGGGTTGAGAAGGGAGGCCAGGCGCGTCCTGTCAAGGAGGTCGTCGTTGATGGGGGTGGATTGGCGGCTAGGGAACGGGCTAAGTTGGGTGGGTGTTCGGCGCCCGTCTTCGTCTTCGTCGACCAAATCATCCACACTGCTCAAATCTGTGATGGTTGAGACGACACTGGTGAGGTCGTCTTCTTGCTCGGGGGTTTGATAGTCGCCGCTCGCATCAATGTCACCCCACCAACCCCCCCGTGTCCACCAGTTGTAGAGGTCGTGGTCGAGAAGACCCTCGTTTTCTGCGCCGGACATGGCGCCCTCCCCATTAAGCGTTCTTCTCCTCATCTCAGCTTCAACATCCACATTACGGTCCGTCGGTGTCCTCAATTCACCATCCTCAGTTAGGACCCAAAATTTTAGAACCTGGGCCGTAGCATTCCGACTCTTCTCCATTGGCTTCCGTCCCCTTGACCGTGTCCCCGCTACTCTTCGGAGCCACAATGGAACATAGCTGATGCCCAAGGTATTCATGACCGAAATGAGTGCGCGAGCATGGAGACCCGCGCAGAGCCAGAATATGCTCTTTAGGAATCTAAGAGACAGAAGCCAACGCCCATGACGCTGGAAAACTCCGACACCTCGATCACGGATAGGAGCCTGTGCAATATCAGGGTACGCTTGGCCCCCTTTAGCCTTCCGTTCACGGGCATACCCAGAGCTGGACGCAAAACGTGCCGCATCCTCTGCGGTTTGGTCATCAATCGAGCTCAGACCCTGGGCGATCATATCGGATCGCAGTCCGGCGGGCACGGATTCCATAGCGCGTTGGTGAAGGCCCTTCGAAGCCGCCAATTCGTCCAACCGCTTCTCCTCCAACCATGTAGCCCGATGGACGTTGACGGTTGATCCTTCATTGAGATAGACTGCCTCACTTGCGCATGTTAACAGCGTGAATCCAGTCTTCAACAGTGTCGTGTAAAAGTCATCCTGCCACCGCAGTACGATCGGAGTCCCAGTCGAGAGGTAGACATTCGCCTGAAGGTTCTGGTATGCGAATTTGAACCGTTCCTTGAGCGTTTGCGGACGCTCTCGTCCTAAGGGGGGGGCTAGGGCTGTGATCAGGAGGGCCATGGCATAGATAGTAGCGCAAACCGAGATTCCCCAGAGGATAACGAGATGCGGGACGAATCCAATGATACAGACAGTTGGAAACCTCAATAATCCTAGATTTACCGAAAGTTCTTCCGACATCGTCATGCTGAAGAAAGACCAGACAAACGTGCTCATGTATGCCATGCCCCATATACCGGTGTTCAGGAGGCGGAATCGGTTCCGAATGCCGAGGACTGCGAGAATGTGACTGGATAAATGGTTGAGGCTCGAAATGAGGGAGACTGCGAGAACCTCAGGAGCAACATTGAGGATCTGCATGGCCAGTGCTCGTGTCAGCTTCGTGCTCACACTCGAATCCGGGTGCAGCTCAGTTGGAGCAAGTTTCGACAACAGTTCGAAAGGCCTCAACACCGCCGATTCGGCCTCTGCGAAAGCAAGGGAGTGCTCAAAGGTCGTCATTCCCGTCTCAGCCATGGGCTGTCGCCCCTGGAGAGCACAGGCTAGGTTCTCAACGAATGCATTGAGACCGAACGACAGGAAGAGCGGCCAGAGCATAGCCAAAGAACCGGATAATTGTATAAGGTTCTTGTCCTCAAACCCTCCCATATTAACTCCTCGGCATGAAGCTGCGTCGTCCTCCCAGAAAAGTGTCGTAGAGCTGATGGAGTATAGAATGCCTCCCTCTCCTGCATAGTCCGTGCCTATATGTTTGGTCGCATTGCCATATCGCAACTCCGACCAGTCCGGAGATGTCTGGCATCTAATGGCTTGAAACAGGATATGTATCCGGTGTATCATTACGAGAATGGGCATGAGGTAAAGGGATAACCGCATTATCCAGTTCAGTCGGAGAGGTACGCGAGAGGACGCGTAGAATTGGGTTCTGTTCAAGATGAGACCCTGTTCAAGGGGTCGTCAGCCTAAAGTCAGAAGTCTGAGGAAGAATCCCTTACAACGATAAATGTCGTCAAAGCCCACTTGGATGTCACGTAAGAAAATAGTCCACCTAGATTCCGGAAGTTCTGCAGACTGAATATACCTCCCGCAGACTCCGCCGTGCCTCCTCCCGCAGCAGCACTTATTGCCGGGGCCAAACCTCCTGTAGCGGATTGTATGAACGTCTTTGAACCGTTCGTGATCGTGGCATTTATTGTGTTCGATGTCGTAGGGTCCGCGATTACGCTCCCTCCATCTCTGATCTTGCCCACGAAGCCATCAAGGTGCTCAGGAACATAGTAGAAGGCGAGTGCACCGGCTCGTCGGGCCAGGCGCGGGATTGCCATCAAGAGGTCCATGCCAGACGGAGCGAAGTACGAGGTCGCGTTCATCGCATTGGTAAAGCGATCTGTCGATGTATCTAACTCCATTTCGACGTAATGGTCGCTAGATGGGTGACGCTGACACGCTTTGTATAGTAGTCGGGTTGAGATCGTAAGAAGCGGGACGGGATCTCATCGTTCGGGCATATTTGGGACGACTCCAAGCTTTTCCTTAAAAGTAATTGCTCATGTTAGTGTCACCAGGCTTGAACTGACTGACCATCAAGGAAACGATGGAAAAGTGCTGTGCTGTGCAATCTACAGTTAAGATACGGAATACAATAAGAGGACTGCCCGGAAATGACGCCAATGATGACCGGGTGTGGCTACTGTGGCTTGAATGGGGTATTATATACCTTACGGCCTTGTTGCCTCGAAATAAAGGGCGGAGGGGGCGTGGGGTTGGGGCGGAGGGTCTGGGGCTAGAGGGGAGGGGCTTGACAAAAGCATCGAAAGTTTCTTTTTCATAATATTGCCATTCATCTTCTTGAATTCATTCCAGTCACTGTGTTATTCAAGCTCGCTTCAATATCATTGTCCCGTGGTAGGTCAAATGACACATACGCCATCATATCTTGCGGGTGTCTACAAGGCACCTTTCACTAAGAAGAGTACAATAATAAATGGTATCAACGCCTACCTCCATGACCGCATCCCATAAGCATCGCTAGAAACGTGTAGCCGTCTTTCTCAAGATCTTATATCAGTACGCGTATTCTTTCAGTACGCGGACACGAATACCCGGACTATCTGGCATGGATTCGCCAAGGAAGCAATCCCGTTGGTTATCAACATCCCTCTCGCGAATTGTCTCATACAGCTCCAACTCAAATCGGCGGAAAACCACAGCGAGCGTGACGCGGAGTTCCATTGTTGCGAAGCTGTTAAGGCTATACATCAGCCACAAGATTCTTTTATTGTTGCGAGGCATTTCGCAGAACAGACGGGGAAGAATATGGCACTTACACTTGCCCTTGGCACTTCCTACCTCCTTTCGAGAATGGCACGAAGTACTTGTCTAAGTCGGTGCGGAGAGGACCTTCTGATCCGCTTTGAGCCTCATTGTCTGCCAACCATCGCTCAGGCCTGAACTCGCGAGGCTCTGGGAAGATGTTGGGATCCAAGAGAATGGCGGCTTGTGACATGGCAATTGGTGTCTGGCTCTCGGTTAGTTTAGGTGCCGCATGGTAATCTAACTTTGGAGCGGATGCCCAGATAATCGGATTACTAAATCAGTGTCGACTTACTCCTGCTGGGATTACCCATTCTTGGTAGACCAAATCTTCTTGAGGAACGAGCGGGATTCTCGAGCTGATGATCGTCGAGATACGGAACGTCTCTCTAACAACAGCACTCTATTTGAAGGTCAACCCAGCCACAGATTGACGAATACTAGATATCGGTACATACCAGCCATGGGAGACTCTCCAGCGCTTTCCCTTGCGGGATATTGTTAATATTTGGGATTGCCTGGTTGAGTTCCTCTTTGAGACGCTGAAGGGCGTCCGCGTTGTTTAACAAGAAGAACACGCCAGTGGAAAGAGCACGGGACATCGGGCCGGATCCAGCGAAGAACACTTCCGTCGCCACGTCTGCCATCCGCGCGATGGACTTCTCTTGTATGGGAAGCGGGCTGTCCTGCATCGCTTGGAAGATGTTTAGACGGGGCTCGTGCTTTTCTTCGAGCTCCGCATATTCGTGAGCCATAAACTTGGCCGCCTGATCGCGGACGCGCTGTCACACAGAAAGTTAGCGGTTGGCTCAGTGTGTACGAATGGGCTCACTACCAATCTCATCTCCAAGACCTTTGACAAGTGTGGAGCAAGCAGCTTCGCAACTGGCAGCGGAACCTGCTTCACGAGCGATTGGCACCATGGAAACTGCTTGATGAACGGCGCCGCACTCGTCAACGCATTGAAGGTTTGATGGCAGTTTTCGGCTGCGTCTTCATCATCCTGGATGCCGAACGTCTCGCCAAATGCGAAGTCAGCCAAGGAGTCCGACGTGAATGCGATGAATCTCCGGCGAAGCTCGATGACCTTGCCGTTAGACGAGCGGAGGACCTCACACAGGCGAGCTAGATGCTTGTGGATCAGGGGCTCAGATGACGCGATGTTCTGCAGCGTGTATAGGGCACTGTTGGCGGCCCTCCGCTTACGATGCATGTAGTGGTCCACGGTCCCGAATGTTCCAAGGGTCGTTCCGAGCATCATCGCCGTGGCTGGCCATTTGTCCCTTCGAGCAGGCTGGCCAGCATACAGAAGTTCGAACCAGCCTGGGTCACTCACGTGGATCTCATCTGGGTTGATGCGGACGATTGGTCCGTATTTCTGGTGCATCTTCTCCACCTCCCGGTAGTATTGGCCGCGGATGCCTTTGAACATATCGATACATGCTTCATACCAGTACGTTGCGGCTACGATCTTGGGCCCAGGGAAGCGAGCAAGCGGATGGAAGTATAATCGGTAGATAACCAGGCCGATCAGATATCCAATCCCAAGAACAGCAAGACCTGCTGCTACTGTGACGGGAGAGGCCGCAGCAGTAAATCCTGCCATGGCTACTAAGGTAGAGAATGAAAGAAACTAGTAATGAAGTCTGTCTAAAAATGATTATATTGACGGCGATAGGAATTTGGTCTTTTGCACCGGCCTGACAGCAGAGATATGTACAACTCGGTTCCTAAGGATAGGACTATGAGATAAACTCTTGCCGTCCAGCACCTCCGAACAATATCAAGTCTGATATGGTATCCATGTTTCGGCTCGAATCCTTGTCCCTGAGCCTGAGCATTTTACTGCTCTTCGGAATTCGATCTCGTCGGAGTTGGTCGCGTCGAACGTCTATGACCGCCACCTCACCAGCCTGCCAAGGAGACTTCAGCCGCGGTGTCAGCGAGAACCGCCTGATACACGATGCAACCCGAATTCATGCTAACCGGAGTTGTATCTCATTATTTCAGTAACGGGTACGGACGGATGTCCTTTTCGTACATGTGTCTGAATGGTAGGAAATCATGAGCATAGGAGGGCTTGGTGATGTCTGCTCCACGCCTAATCCGGTTAGTGGCTGTGTACGGAGTCCGAATATCCAACGTCAGAACTTACAACAAACTGAACAACAAACTGAACAACCAATGGTTCTTCTCCAAGCTTGGGTTAACAATATAATGCCTTGTCCTTTTATAGAAATGCGGAAGGACGTTTCCTCTTTGGCCATCGTCTCTTCGACGAATCGATGGCTAGTAATTGCAGTCTAGCCAACCGAACCATTGTAGCATTGTTTCCACACCAATGGAGTCCATGAAGACCTTGGATAGACTAAGCGAAAGCTCGATTGATATTAATATAGCAACAGTATTAAGGATAAACTAACATAACTTTGGTTTGGACCGCCAAACCATCCCTTCGGACCTTGTCGAAAACAGGTAATCCAAGGAACGCCCAGATGATACATATCTCAGCACCCATGGACTAACGGAAATATTCCTGGTATGCGTACAAGTTGCGGAGAGTTAGCCAAGGCAGACCCGCCTATCCGATCCGAATGTGGTTCTATCCGAGAACCCCAGAGCCAGGTTCCAAGGTGCTGATCTATGTGTATCAAAGTGGCGAATCAGCCCGAGACCTCGAATTAAACCATGAAACGGAGGAGACCGTGGTGACGACCAGGTCTGGCGGACATATCTAGTGCACTGGCAGCGCTGATTGTTGGGGGTTGTATACCTTCTCATAGATATTATTATGTGAAAGTTGATTGTCACTATGATTCTCGATAGGCGCACACAGCTGCTCGAAAGCATCCGAGGCCAGAGGGCTTACCTCCCTGACCTGCGACCTATCTTCGCAGGCTGGCCTGGTGCGTACAGTGAGAACGTCAACGAGTACTATGAGCTTATGATCCCGATTGCCAATGCTCGGTTGGACAGGTATGATTATATCGTCTCGAGGAGTCGACAGCCCCTATCTATCCTTAATGGACTGTCGGGACTAACTGTAACACAGTGTCTACGAACAAGGGATCAAGCTCTCCAAACTCAAGCGTTCGGACTTCGCACTGTTCGCCGCCTCATGGTGGCCCCAGGCCGATTTCACGGAGCTCAAGATTATGCTGTACATGTCCATCTGGCTCTTCACCTGGGATGATGAGATCGACGAGCCTGGTGGATCGTGTACAGACGATTTTGATGCGGCACAAGCCTACCGCAAGAATACCATCGAATGGGTATCCTATTGTCTCGGGTTGTGGAAGGGCGAGAGCGCCCCAGTTCCGCAGAACCGCATCATCGAGAGCTTCCAGGAAGTGGGCGAGGCGTTTAGAGATGTGTATTCAGTCGGTAAGCTGTCACCGTTCCACATTCTGTGACGGTTGTAAATTTTGCACGGATCATTGACCGAGATGCTCAGCACAACGCCAACGCTACTACGACGAGATGATTCAGTTCCTGGCTCACTCCCAGGTGGAACAGGAGATCCGTCTAAGGGTTCAAATCCCTGGCATCGATGAATACTGGGCTTTCCGTATGGGCACCAGCGCAGTGGGCATTGCTGTGGCTGCCGTGGAGTAAGTAATGCGCCGCCCGCGATCTGATCAGTATTAAACCCGATTCAAGATACGCCGACCAGGTCCGAGTAGGCGATCTGGTCATGCAATCGCCCAGTATTCGTGCTATCCGGGATGAGACCATCATCATGATCTCAATGTGAGCCTTTTTATTCCACCTTGGATTTCTAGCGTTGTCGACCGTGCTAATCGGCCTTCAGTACCAATGATTTGTTGTCCCTGAAAAAGGAAATCGTGCGTCTCAACATCTTTCCCACCTGATACTTGTTTCCCCCTCTCCCATTCGACGCCAGTATGAGTCGCACTAACGAACATTCTAGTCCGCCGGCTGCATCGACAGCATCGTACCTATCACCTACTCTCGGGGCAGCACGCTGCAGCAAGCGATCGACGTTGCCACGGAAGCGTTGCAGGCATCGAAGAATCGCTTCGAGATCGCCGCCGATCGTCTGAAAGCTGAAGCACGGCTAAACGAGAAGGCGTATCAGCATGTGGATGCGTTCGTGGAAGCGAACCGGAAATACTGTGTCGGGAATTTGACTTGGAGTCTTGCGACCGGCAGGTATGGGATGGCAGGGATGAGCCAGGATCATGGGAAGATTTGGTTGACGCTATGAGTTCCATATAGTACGCAGCGCTTTGAAAGTAACGATGCTGATGCAAATGATTCTTGTTGGAGGTTTGGATTTCTTCTCGGTTTCCTGGCCAGGCATTGGGCAAGTGGAGGGGCTTGTGTAGTGTGTTTGACTGGAGTTCCAGTGGTTTTCGCTTCTTCGTAATTATACCTTGACCGTCTAGAAATAGAAGAACACCAAAGATGTGGATCGTTGAACAACAGCTGCTTACCTACTGCTACATTGTGAGGGACTTTCGGTATACCATAGTCGAGTTCCGTGAAAGATGCCGTTGTAAGGATCGCGGTCAATACTGGGATTTACCAGCACTAATATCGGGGCACTGGTTGACTTTCGCTACTATCTAGGAGACCGACAGCCAGAGACCAGAGTCGTGATGTTATAAAGAAGGTGAAACGCGATACGCGATACACTATAATATTCCTCTAGGGTAAAACTAGGTCATTTGAATGCTTCTAGTCGAGCACTCCGCGCCATGTTTAGTGACTGAATAGGAATGAGTGAGAGGACCCATAAAGGCTTTAATCCTCATTTTTATTATTTCCCCGCAAAGATGCATCATACGTATATCCCGTTTCACGCCAACAGGGTTGCAACATTCAGTGCTCTCGACCATTCGAAAGCAGCTTATTGGAAAGTCAATGGTCGGGGATTACCCCAAAAGTCGCTGGGGCAAAACCGCCAGGCGCCAGTATGTGAACGAGCAAACCAATAATGCACAGCATAAGGAATGAAGAACGGCCATGGCGGGAATTCTTTGTGGATGCCGCCTTCATATGTCTTGTCGACGTTGCCCATGACGCAAGGCATGATCATCTCCTATGCGATAGTCAGCCCTCCGAGCCTGTTTCGGAGCCACTCCAAACTTACAAATAGGTGAGGATGCTTTCCTCCTTTCGCCGCGTCCTCGGTCTTCCCCCAAACCGTCTTGACGCCGTCCGAATCGTACTGGCGCAGATCAAGCAGCGTCTGGATCTCCTCCCTCAAATGCGTGTAGAGCGAGGGAGCAAAGGCGTCGATGACGGCCTTCATTTCGTCCCATTTGTACTCGTCCGGCTTCGTGTTCTTCGCGTATTCGGAGAACTTCTCCATCCCATCGTGGAACGCATTGTGCTGCGCCTGGTTGCCCGCCATGATCCCTGGCTTCTGCGTAAACTCTTCCAGGTCGGGGAAGAGGGTTTCCTCCTCGGTTTCGTGGTGGTGATGGACCATCATGACCCAGGCCTGGCAGTAGAACAAGAGGTCCTCGACATCCTGGGGGTTCTTGACAAGCGGGGCTTGTTGATAGATGCTGTTGAGGCCGCGGATGAGGACGTTGTGGGAGTGGGTCATTTCAGAGGCCACTACGATAGCATAATGCGAGCTCTAAAGGGCTCACCGTCAGATATATCCCACTACATGAAAAGATGAGGTAGAGGCGTCCAGAGCTGTCAACATACCTTGTCCATGGTCTTCGACGGCGTCTCCAGCAGAGCGAAGGGCTCGTCGGCCCATGGTTTTGGAGCCATGATGCGTTCCTGCTAGGTTGGGATGAGAGAGTTTGATGTCGACGATGGCTACGGCAGGATCCTTCCAAGGTTGGCTTGCTGTTGAAGAAACTCAAGCAGGAGTTATCAGAGGTTGGAGAGGTGGGAGGGGTTGGACGCGGGGCCACTATTCGCTAGGTGAGTTAAGTAGCAGGATGGTGATTACGATATGGCACAGGTGGTGAGGTATAGTTTGCGGAAAGAGTAGGATTGGAGGAAGGGTGCCTCCTCAACTAAATGACAGCAAACGACTTGACGCAGCGGCGGCACAGCTACGGTACGGGTGCCTGTGCTCTCATCACAAGGTCCCACCACAGGGCCAAGCCCATCAATGATTTCCCAGAAGTATCCATATGGCAATCGCTGACCAGCCAGAAGCGGTCCTTAGCCGAAGTGAATGCTGAGATGCAGCGTAGTCTGTTCTGACTATACTATCGCGATGGACTGGGAGCATAAGCTTAGTGAGATCAGTTCTTGGACCCCGGATGACCCCGGATGACCCCTGTCCGCCCTGCATGGCGCCTTCCTCCACAAACGGAGACTCTTGTCTCTTGAGAGTTGAGACAGATCCGATGCACATCCATGACGTACTATGTACGGAGTACCGTTCTTTATCCCGCTGGTCAGCCAATGAACGTGAAACCTGGGTCCTCATTCCTCAACAGTCAACGGCCCGGACCCCACGCTCGGTTCTCCACTAAAGGATTCCGAAATCCCTGCAGCGCTTGCTTTGTCACCTCACTGTCTGGCGTTGGACTCTCACCTCTGCTTGGTACTTGGTAGGCTGGCATCCCGGCACAGCCTCGCCTCCTCTCCCTATCGCCCTGTCTGCTCTTCCTGTTCATGTTTGCATCGTCTTCCGTCTTCCGTCTGAACGTCTTCCGTCGTCACCAAAGATGCCTACGGAGTTCAACCTCTTGGTATTTGAGTGATACGAGCCTGTTAGCTGGAGCTCGTGGTACTCGCCGAGCACATTTATTGGAGCCTCAAAGTCCATAATTGAGGCTGAACTGCCTCGGTCGGACTCGTCCGTCGTCCAGACAGGTCCATGTTTGTCAACTACTAGCTACTCCTTACGATGCTCTGATTAAAAGACTGCCTTGGGATGTCTGGGCAATATCAGGGACTCCCTAGGCTTAAGATGGTCCTTAGGTATGAACGGATTCCATTCGATTTCCTATGTCCTGATATCAACCCCGAGTCTCCGACGTAGCTCCCGTGGCTGAACGGAGCCCGTGCAACGTCGCCGAGATCATGGATCGAGATTGCCATCAGCCTGGGGCGATGACATGGGAATTGAGATTCAATTGCCTCTTGTGCATGTATATTTTGCCGTCCTTCGTGTTGCGGAACTGCAGACTGCTATTGGTCCACAGGTCGACTTGCCTAGTTGATCTGTTTTTAGTGCACATCACTTACTCGATCCGTTCTACCTCCGACCACCGCCGCCATGTATCCCGACGTTTCCATGCCGGTTGTTCATGGAGCAGAACTCATCCGCTGATCGTATGATAGCGTGTACTTCACCTTCCAACTAGCAGAGCCAACTACCGCAGCACCCTCTGCGGGAAAGTGTAGCATTGATGTATCCTGGCCTAGCATACGAGCGGAAACTGGCCAAAGATAGATTCGTATCAATTGATATACATCAATCGCTTGACCCGGGACGACTGTTCGGTCTTTTGCCGTTTCGGTGGCAGATTGGCGGTACGTGAGGCTGTATGCATGCCTCGTCTGAGTTCTTCATACAGTCTAAGATCCCCATTATTTAGCCATTCCTTTTCCTTTGTGTGTTTCATTGCCTTCCAAGTCTTATAATCCTCCCACCTCACTATCAATTCCAAAGGTTTGGAGATTCTTGTGAAAGGTCTCATGCATCGCCCGCTATGGCTACTCCACAGCTTCCCCAGGCGGTCGTCGACCACCAGATGGCCCGTATCCATGAGAATAAGGGGCCGGCAGTCATAGGTGTCTCTGCAGCTCTTACGGCTCTTTCCTTCGTCATCGTCGGGCTTCGATTCGTAGCAAGACTTAAGATCAAGGCACCTATCCTCGCAGACGACTGGTTATGTCTTCCAGCACTGGTATGTCTGACCTGAATGGGCCCCACGAGGTGTTCAGGAGTCGAGTTCTAATAGGCAACAGTTGATGATCGTTTTGATGTGCGTTCAACTGGGATACTCTGTGACATATGGCATTGGAAAACATCTCGTGGCCACCGATCCCACTCGAACATGGGAGATTATGCGGGTATGTTCGCACCTTCAAGTGCTCGGGGTGAGACTGCTAATTCCGCGCTAGATCGGCTTCTTCCTTTCCATCACGTATTCCCTCGTCCATTTGTTCATCAAGATGTCTATCCTCTGCTTCTACATTCGGGTTTTTGGCCTCACCTTGCGGTGGTTCAAAATTGCCGTCTTCACCATGATCACTTATAGCGCCCTCTGGACGGTTTCCATGATCATTTTTGTTCCTTTGCAATGGTGAGTGAAACCGTAACGGAACAATATACGGAACTAATCAGGTACTGGTAGCCGACCGGTGGCCCATTTCTGGAACCGATATAGGATCACCGATCACCCACTCGACGGGGTTTGCTTTACCGATCCCAGCGCCCCGCCCATCGCAACTAGTGTGCTCAACACATTGGGAGACATCATCATCCTGCTCCTTCCGCTGTTCGTACTGAACCAACTTCAGCTTCAGTTGAAGAAGAAGTTGGCTTTGTTCTCGGTCTTCCTTGTCGGCGCCTTCGCTTGCGTTGCCGGCATCATTCGGTTATCATCGATCATCATGGTCGTAAACATCAATGCGGACGTGCCATGTGAGTCCAACCCTCCCGACCTAGCAAATGCGACGAGATGCTAACCGTTTCAGGGGTCACCGGCGACACCTACATGTGGACCTCAATCGAAGCGTGCGTTGGACTCATCTGCGCCTGCTTCCCCGCGCTCTGGCCGCTGATCCGAACCTTCGTGGGCGAGCGGTCCGCGTCGTCGCGATACGCCCGGAGCAATTCTGGCAACTCGGGGAAACGGGCCTCCAATACCATCGGGGTCCTTTCTCCGACGTACCAGGAGGGCAGAAGGTTCCCCAATCGTACCAGTGATATCGCACCATGGTATCGGGAAGCGGAATCCTATGAGAAGGAAAAATCGTCAAGCGATGATGTTTCGATTCGCCCATATGAGAATGACTCTAGAGTATGATTTGTCATATTGGAAATAAATGATGCAGCGGGAAGGCGTTCGGTTTCCGGGTGGGGGTTTCGGTTCTCGTGCTGTTGTTATATACCACTCCACTATCAGTAAGGCCCTGCAGCGGCGCCTGGTTGTTACGAGCGATGTAGAGGGATTATGTTCTGGTGGTTATTATGACTCTCATCCGTCATCACCCTTTGGTTGAGGATATACCAAACTGCATAAATTCACTGAGCGAAATTTATTGCCTACCTATGCTGTACAGTACTACAGTGCTGGAATTATCCTGAAAGCACGTGGTCGTTATCAGGACCAAGGAAAGGGATGCAAATACTCTATAATTACTTCTGTGCTCCTTCTGGGCGGAAATGTTGACATGAGGTCGCGATTTCATGATGAAAATCTAGACCCTTGATTGCACCAACAGTGCACGTGACTGCGAATGGATCTCGAAATAAGTAACTTCGAACAATCCCAACACGGCACTTACCCTTCATACGGTCCACTATCATCCCATTGAGTCTGCTCTCTCCCATTCGAAGATATAAATAGTGTCCCTCTGTTCATCTACGGCCATGGCGACATCAACGACTACCGCCATCACGGCTGAGAACATTGTCCGTCTCTTCCCAGAGATCACCGTGATCGGTACCCCTGGAGCCTCCGCCGCGAACGATTCGGAAATGGCGGGCTACGATGCCGAGCAGATCCGCTTGATGGACGAGGTGTGCATTGTGGTCGATGAGAATGATGTACCTGTAGGGAATGGGAGCAAGAAGACATGTATAACCCCCTTTGTTCAGGACGGTGGAGAATAAGGATGCTGACCAGCGTCCAGGCCATCTGATGCAGAACATCAACAAGGGACTCCTCCACCGAGCGTTCTCAGTATTCCTCTTCGACTCCGAGAACCGGCTACTGCTACAACAGAGGGCGACGGAGAAGATCACGTTCCCTGGTTCGTTTTGCGAGGACCTAGGGGGATTCCCGCCCCACTAACACATCGATAGACATGTGGACCAATACCTGCTGCTCGCACCCGTTGGGAATTCCGGGAGAAACGGGCGTCGGATTAGATGCGTCCGTCATGGGCGTGAAGCGAGCAGCGCAGAGAAAGCTCGACCAGGAGCTGGGGATCAAAGGTCAACAAGTACCGCTTGATCAATTCCACTTTCTGAGCCGGATACACTACGTTGCTCCTAGCGATGGAAAATGGGGGGAGCATGAGAGTACGTGACGGTTTTCCCCGTTGAGTTTTCGTGTCGGAATTGGAAGAATCTAACAATCGCTCAGTCGACTATATCCTGTTCATCAAACCCACCGGTCAAGTCGATGTGGATGCCAATCCAAACGAGGTTCGAGACGCAAAATACGTATCGCAGGAGGAGCTTAAGGCGATGTTCGAGGACGAGTCGCTAAAGTTCACCCCTTGGTTTAAGCTCATCTGCCAGTCGATGCTGTTCGAGTGGTGGTCCAAGCTGGATCAAGGAGTCGATAAGTTCGTCCCCGAGCAAGATATTCGGAGGATGCTCGAGCCACCGATCTAGGTTTTGTTAATATTGGGTCTTCAGCTTCCTCAGATCGAAGCGATGTGTTTTCTTTTCTGAGAGCTCACCTGTGCTTTCGCTTGCTTCGTTGCCAAACGGTTGTATGATATTATTGTGGGCGAGCAGGATGGGTGTTTGGCGCCCGGATATCCCGCACTTACAGTGAGCATTGGTCACTATAATTGCATAACTAATCGATAGTTAGAAGCAATTGATCACATATCTTGCCATCGCAAGAGTCATGCCATAGCCTCCCACCACGCTTATCCGAAGTGACCGATTATCGAGTAGGGCATCAGGGAACCGAACCAACGATTACAGTGCGCCGGAGCATTTGGACACAGGAGAGGGTGCCGATTAATTGGAAGTATTTATTGCCCCTCCGTGCGACAGCCGTGCAACAGCCATGGAGTCATTTGCCTTCAATCGCTTAGTGAGTGGATGGTCGACAATCCGAACCATAGGCTCCAAACCTCTCTCCAAGTGATGGTCCATCTAATGACAAATATAAGGGTCCTCCGCGGCCCTCCTCTCAAACTCCAAAATATAAGAGTGAGAAGCAGGTGTTTCGATTCTCGTTGAGGCTATCCACAAACCCCACCCTCAGGAGGCAGCAGTCCGGTCTGTACGACAAACAGCTCCGACACCAATTGGTCTTCCTTGGTTCCGAAGCCCATAGCACACACTGAGGACTTGAGGGTCGTCCAGTGGTTACGCGCCAATGTCCCGAAATACCTACCATTTTCTGTTCGCTTCAAGATCCTGTGGTGACTCCGTACGTGAGCTAGGCGGTCGCTAGTCGCTAGATCTGCTTCATCGTTTGTTTCATTGACCTCCCCATTTGCATTGCTTCTCCTTGCTTCGTCCGCATGTCTCCTCCGGTTCCACTTGGGCCGGTCTGCGTCTATGATGAACGCTAGGTTCCCGGGGCACATCCGTTTGAGTGTCCTGTCTCTTTCTCTCCTCGCGTATAAGTCTTCAAGTTCGCGAAAAAGTATCACATTATAAGTCGAATTAGAGTTCAGTGGCTACTCGTTAAACCATTTTGTCGCCACGATAGATACACATTGGAGGTTGTCAGGATTGTGACCAGTAAAACGATATAATTCTCTTGCGGAAAGTCCGACAACTGGACCTCCCATCGAACGTGCCCCCCGCTCGGTATCCAGACAATAACCATCGACTTTACTTACAAGTCTAACAATAGACAGGTCCTATATCGCCTCGAAGCTGTTCAGCGCCATTCTGGCCAACACCGCAACGCTGGCTTGGACTCAGGCTATCCGCTCTTTCAAACGCTACGGACGATCTCACAGCAACCTGAGTAGTAGAATAGGTCGAACAGTATGCTCACTGCAACCATGGCACATACGGTAAGCATCTCGAACAGCTATGCGACGTTCAACGACGCTCCACCTACACAGGTTTCCGCGTCCACCAGCGCTCCCGCTGTTCCAGCGCTCCCGCTCTTCCTCCCGCAACGCTGTTGCGAGCAGCGAACACCATGATAGAAGCAAATAAACCCGTGGCGAGCGCGAACGGCCATACAATCCGCCTCGTGGGCAAGGACGAATATAAAGAAGCAGCTGAGTGCCTCGCCGAAGCGTTTGTGGACGACGAGGTCGCCCGCTATTTCCTCGATATGCCGGACACGGCGCGCTGGGCGAACAAGCGGAAGTGGGAGCTTCACGCTTCGATCTTGGAGTACGTCACGTATGCTCTGGTCATGGGGGAGCGGGACGAATAGTCGTGGTATCTGGTGTACCTTGGAACCAAGCCGTCGCAGCGCGGCAAGGGGTATGCGGGGGCGTTGACCCAGCATGTTTCGGGGTTGGCAGTCGCGAGTGGGAGCCCGTGCTATTTGGAGTGTAGCAATGATTGCAATTTGAGGATGTAGCAAGAGACTGGGGTATGAGCTGGTGAAAAGGGTTCATTTGCAAAGGGGGGAGAAGAACGCCGGGTTGGATATCATGGCAAGGGAGCCACAAGGGAAAAAGGCGGACGAGATAGTGGTGAGGACATCTCATTTGTGAGGACATAAGATGATGGAAAGATGACGGCAAGTGGAACTGCATTTATTCTTTGAGAACGGGATTCTTAACGGCCAATCCCTTAACATCAGTTTTGGTGGAATTCGGCAAGAAAGTGACGGTCACGAGCGAACAACGGCCCCTTTTCCTTGATTTGCGTATCTTTCATTCAGCGTTGCTAGGTACAGTCACGACTACTGAGAATAATACTCCATAACAGTATTCGGGGGCGGTTCCCCTTCCCATAAGACCTGCCAACCGAACTCTGGGTACATTGTGCTGTAACTCCGAAAATAGCATAAGAAAACCCCCACAAAATCATCATTGAACATAAACATTTTTTCGGCCTCCCCATCGACCACATGCGATCAGTTCACCGTCGTCCATCCCATCTTAAAACTTCCCTTCCGCTGTCCAACGGATGGTAGCGAAGACGGATGAGAGGGAGCATAAGGCTCTGGCGAGCGATACTTATCGCGCCGCTGTTGATGATATTCCTGCAATTTATCACCGGGTTCGATGGGGCCATCATCGTGACGCCCTTCCTCTCCAGCTTCATCCCCGGTCACGGAATCTGTCTCATCATCATCGCTATTGGTATGACCATTCGAATGCTGAGGTGGATCGTACTGGAGAATTGAACGCATCTCGGGGCTCGTGATCGGGACGGGAGGAAGCGGATGGCTACCGCTGGTGGCATCAGCAGCTGACATCGTAGCTTGAAGATCTTCGATGTAACGGACCTCCATCAAGGCGGAAGAGGCAATGTCCACCGTATCATGGACATGAGGGGAACTTTCGAGTATAGCATCAGTATCAGCGAAAGAGACTCGTTTCCTACTCGAGTTCGTCGGCGTCGACGGAAGGGTGGCTGATTCTATGTTACTGTTTGGTCTAGAGCATAAGAGGTTCTGCGTAGATTTCCCCTTACCAAATTGCTGCTGCGGGTCGTCACCACGAAGAGTTTCAACACTATCATCATTTTGATAGGTCTGGCCGCTCCAATGCATGTCTAGGTTCATGTGAGCGATACACTCCAAGCTAAAAGGATCGACTCGCTTACTCTGTTCACCACTCAATCCCATCTCGTCCGCCAGGGTGTCGACCATCTCATACACACGATTGTCACTATCCATAAACTTCGGCAGGGTTCGGGAGTTTCTGGGCGTTGAAAGCCAGGAGCCATCTTGGCTTGTGAATAATTGATATACTGTTGGCTCGCGCGTGTTGCAGCCTTTTGGCTCATCGTCCCTATCCTCCTCACCTGCGTGGTCAGACATGATGCTGTTCGTGATGGTCTTCGGGTTAGCAACCGGAGACACCCCATTGTATTCCTTTCGCGGCATAACTTGAAGCTTGCTAGGCATTTTGATGTTGTTGCCATCATTGTCGCTGAATGAACTGGGACCTGAATGATGGAGGTCTTCGGTTCTGGTTTCCCACCACATATCACTGTTCATATCGCTGTCTTCAAATATCGGAGTGTCGCTCTTCGGAATTGCGTTCGATGCGGCACACTTCTCACTCACTGGGGCGGTTGGCGTTCCAGTCACAACAGTGTGCTTTGAATGAACAATGATGTCACTCCCATCATTCTCCGATTCACCGCCGTACCCTATATCCTCCTCCGAGTCAGGGATGGCTTCTTTGGTTATGGCTTCGGCCGAGGCGACTGAGCTCTGCTCCATGTCACTGCGTTCGCTTTCATCCTTAGAGTCAGGGATGACTTCTATGGTAATGTCTTCGGACGTAGCGATTGAGCTCCGCTCCATATCACTATGTTTGCTTTCGTCCGGGATTACGTGGTTTCTGGGGAACCTATTCGGCACCACTTGGCTCGTCTCGTCATCGACCCCACTGTCTTCGGAATCTGGGATAACTTTGTCTTCGTTGTCAAGAATCTCCATCACCTCTCTGGAGAAGGTATACCTCGCCCGCGAGTCTGAATCCTTAGCACGTTTTGATAGCATCCTCCTCTTCGGTGGCGTCGAAGGTTGGTTCGGCTGATAGGTACCGTCAGTCTTGTCATCTTTCTCCTCGAAAGCTGTTGTAAAGCCTCGCTTCCTAGCCTGGGAAGGGCGAAGGACGGTATCCATTGGATGGAACTTGGTACTATACAAGGGAGCAGGCCCTCGTGATCTCGGTTTCGTGATAACATTGTGAGAATCTAGGCCACGCAAGATGCTCCCGTGCTTCGCCTTCGTCATGGTGGAGCGTGCTTTGATCCACGACCTGGGCTCCGAGTATTCAGTGGGATCGACCGGTGACTGATGGATGACAACAGCTACCAAACGGCGTCGACCACTCATTCTTATACTAAGAAAAAGAAGAAGCTATAACCATATACTGGTAGCTTAATGACAAGAAGGAATAGAATGAGTGAGAGGGGTTGATAATGTGAGGGAAGAAGAAATACACTCCGGATTTCAGGAGGTTATAGGGGCTGAGAGAAGGATAGAAGACAACAAACATTAGTTCACTGTTGATTAGAACCGGCCCTAGGACCTGTTATGAGTTCAATTCGCCGACACAGCATCTCTAATGACGGGAGTGCCAATCTGGTCAGTCCATGTGTACTCTGCTTGCTCGGCTCCCACATGATGGATATCTGCTGGGAGGTCTGGTCATGTGAAATGGAAGGAACGCGTTCTGAAAAAAAATCACGCTCAGTTGCCACTGCCTCTTAGCACGAAGAAACGTGACCGGCGTCGGTGTTGCGGAGGAAGGAGCAGAGTCGTGCCTTCCTCCAGTCTGTACATCCCATCCGAGACGACAAAAGCCACGTCAATTGAGCTGAATGCGCACGTGCACATATGAATTGAGATCGCGTTAGCAGCATGAAAGCGATTGCGCTGTGAATACCAGTCCCGTACCTTTCACTATCGGTACACGGGCCATGGCTGTGATGTGTGGAGTCTCGACGTACCAACTGGGTATACGGTTACCGAAATGCACCGTGTCGAGAAACGCGGCATCGGCCCGGTCCTTCATCCATTCCATCAGATGGCAACAATGTACCATGACCGGGACGATATCCAGCTGTTCCGTTGCTCCGCCAGAACCACCGCCGAAGTGCCGAACAGAGCCCGAGACCCTTCAAAGTTCAATCCCGAATTCCACGCTTGCCTAGCACTAGCTCCCGTGCGCCGTGGCCTGTAGTTAGCGTACCGAGATTCGCGAACCGTCGAATGGATGGAGAGCTGGATGGTGTTTTTCTTTGGATGCCAAAAGTCGCCGCGAGTGAGAGACGAGGAAGGCCGGGAAGGATGTTCAGATGTCGATGAGCCAGGGAGAAGGGGTTAAAAAATGCCATTGATCGAGACGGGCGGCGAACAGTGAACGGTAAATAGCGAATAAGAAGCATCAAAGCAGATGTGGAACGGAAATAATAGAGAAAATTTCATCATCATCTGAGCTAGTAGCGAGTAGTTACTGGAAGTCCGCGTGTTAGGTACAAGGAGAGCTTCATTTGGTGGGATATAGTCCATCTTCGGTCTTCATCCGCTGACATCCTCACCCCCTTTTCTTGTTTCCGTATATACCCGGATGTATTCTCCCATCCACCCAATTATAGAGATCGTGACCAATCGCAAACAGCCAGGACGTCGAACAACGACGTGGACAACATCCGGTCGTTTGTATTGTATGGCAATCGTTTCGATTCGGAGCGGAGTCCCATCTTCCATCTTCCGTCTTCCATCTTCCATCGAGTTTTCCCAATTCCCTGAAAATGCCAACCCAAGGTCGAAAACGCCGTGGTGTATACTGTGGTTCCGTGTAGTATTCCCATCATCATGCAACCGCTGAAACGCGGTCAAAGAAAAAACCCGTGGAGGGCAAAAAGCAAAAACTCGCCAAAAAGCGCAAAGTAAGCAGAGAGCAGATGGACGATGCTAAACCCAAACCCCAAACAAAATCCAGAAATTCCATCCATCAGGTCCCATTTCCCAACCGTTCATCGTGATCAATCTCGTCATGTCCTCGCAAGCCTCCGTATCGGCGGCAACTTGATTTCAAATTCCTCGTCAACATCGGAGTCCACCTCGATGGTTGCGATGGCCGTCACAGGGACCTGGGCAGTCCCGGGCGTCGTTCCCGGTAACTCTGCTTGAATCTTGTTCAAACTTTTCCCTTCCCGTTCACTTTGCCCCCGTTCGGCCTCGACCCGAACCCCTTCCACACTCACTCTTGCGGCCGCGTTCTGGGACACCACCGTCATCGCCGCTACCGCGTCCCGACACCACTCCAACGCCGCCTCCAGCTCAACCCGTATGCCGGATACCTCGGTTGGACACTCGCCTTCCCGTAGGAACTGGTGGGCGCCTTTCTCTGCAAGGCTCTGCGCCTGGTCGAGCCGCTTGTCCAGCGCGTCGTAGTGGCCTGTCGCCCTGTTCATGTCAGGAATGACGCCTGGGGTAGAAGTAGCAGGGGAAGAGGTGGCGGAGGCGAGGCATGGACGAGTCTTGGACCGCCCGTTGGAGAAGGGGAGGGGGTTAATAGGAGAGCGAGGCGCGTACTCGATCTTCCTCGCCGCGGCGTTCAACGCCCGCGCGGTGTCGGCGTCCGCACCGGCGACTCCGGACATCCCCCCGATGCGTCCGAGGGCGGACATCATGTTGTCCATGCCGCCGGTGAAGGCGTCCATACGGGCTTGCATCTTGCCTTTCCGGAGCATGTTGCGGCCAGTGCCGATGTTGCGGACCAGTTGCTCGAAGCCCTTCTGGACTTCGCTGTCGTAGTAGACGATGATCATGCTGCGGGTGCGGTATTTGGTGGGGATGGAGGGAGCGTTGCTGATCAAGGAGGCCGGTTTCCGTTTGCGGTTGGAGAACAACGGGGCGATAGAACGGTCGAAGGGTAACGGGTTGGTGCTTGGGGTTATCGGTGCGACGGCGGGTGCGGATGTGTTCTCGAGTGGGGAGTAGGCCGTCGGTGATGGCCCATGAGGAGGATGCCTTGTTGGGCCATCGTCATCGTCGTTGATGCGTATTGATTCATTGGAGCCGGTTCGTTTGCGTGGTGAGACGGGCACCGTGACCCGGGTAGCTTCATCTCGTCGAACCTTGATCTTCTTTTCGACGTCGACGACGCCTTCTAGCCAGTTGGGAATATTATCCACCAAGAACGGAAAGCATTTGGTAGATTCCGTCGACTCTAGGAGCGACATTTGTACAACTCCAGCTGAAACGCTGTCCAGATGCAAACGCACTGAAGGGATGAGAGACGGGACAGGATCCGTGCGAGGGAGGACAGAAACCGAGGGGGATAAACTTAAGGCCCGTCAATGGCAACGCATCAGATCCAAATGAAGCTGGGCAGGAAAAAGGCGTTCGTTTGAATGAGGAAAACCAGCCGGTGATATTGGCTGGACACGGCGGGTGGTGAGAGAAGACGGAAGGGTAGCAACGTCGGAGCACAGTGCTGGGGGGCGGGCGGAGGATATCAGATGGCGATGCGATGCAGGCCGGTCAGGGCAAATGCGTGCGGTGGAATGCAAAAGGAAGGTTGCAGCGAACAGACGAAGGGATATGGGAGTCCTTGTGTGCTGGCAACTACTTCAGTCTGCACTCTGCAGGTAAGCTTCAGCGATGCTCGGATACGGAGTGGAGATTGTTGAGCGAGGGTGAGGGCTGCGAGCTTGTGAGGGAGTGAGTGGACAGGATGGTCGGGTTCGAAAGGGTCAAAGGGGGGGCCCGCCTTTTGTCGAGTTTCGAGGATGCGACGATGCCAGGCTTGGCAGGCTGGCTAAGGGCTTAAGGTGCGTTTTCTAAGTTCTCACCCTTGGTCCTTAGACCACCAATTGGGGCCTGGAGGACGGGGGTGCTGGGGTGAGGGCACAGCTAACAATTTGCGAGCTGCTAGTTGCGTGACAACCTGGCCAGGCCGCTATGTGCTATGTGCTATGGCCTGTGTGCTCACTGTGCTGTGTATGCGACTGTGGGCCGTAGAGACTGGGGAGAGAGCGTGTGCTGGGGATTGGGAAGATGAATTCTGCAGGGTCCTCGCATCTGGTATTCAATGGTGGATTGGGTCGTAAAGAAATTGAAGAAACCAACGGCCGAGCGACAAACCCAACTGATAGAGATCGATAGAAGTGAAGAGCTGGAGGAAGTTGACAGTTGGTAGGTAGTACTGGGAGAGTCGTAAGTACGAAAATACTAACTTAATGATTGTAATTCTACAAGTGTATGTATGTTGCTTCATTCACTGTTCAGATTATCCGCCCCGAGTTAAGTTAGTGCTTGTCGGGGATGTATTACATGGCTGGTCCAAGTTCTTCTTGGCTTGTTTGCCGACCTGCGACAGCTGATTTGATTCTTGTTTGATGCTGTCAAGTCCCCCAGAGGCCCAAATTGCTGTGACCTGTGAGCTGCCTCCCCTTCCTACCCATTAGCCTAATATGGACTCAATTATTCGACACTCCAAGCACAATTTTAGTTAACGGATGGATGAGCAAAATGATGCCTCGATAACCAGGACTCTACGTAGTAGAGGCCCTCCCAACTCTTACGCCGCTTCTACTGCATCCCAATCCTCTTTGAGGAGACCGAGCAGGGTCGCCCATGCTCAATGATGAGATACTATAGTATTCATCAGCATCCGGGAAAATCGAACGAGAGGGATGACTGGGGAGGACGCTGTTCCTCGCCGGGGGCAGATCCTCCAACCACTGTTTTGCTGCTTTTTGCTGCCATTATACAAAGCCCGACGGGTACCTAACTGCTTATGGACTCACGATGGAGAAGGACGGCTTGGCAGGTTCCCCGTCACCACACCGTCTCCCACTCTGCATCGTAGCGCCCCCGCAGCCGCCGCCTCCAATGTCCATTCTCAATCCACTCTCCAGACGTTATGGACTCAACTCGGAGCCACTCTTCAACGGGTCATCCCACAAGCTCCACCTTGATGGTCGAAAAACTCCATATGGGGATCCAATCACGATTATCGTAGAAACATCGGTACTTTGGACCGGAATGCATAGACCGGAATCGACCCTTCGATAGGATACTCAATATTTCAAAGTGATGGTGGAAAGCCAGAACAGCCGTCATCCAGGCGAGGGCAAGGAATGAAACCAGGAGCGTAATTGGCTCGGATGCTTTCTTGCATATTGCCCTCCGATTGGCTCCTTTGGCCCTGTCATCTGAGGGGGATCCGACTCTGCGTGAACCATCGGGGCGGGTTTCTTGCTTCTTTATTATTCTTGTTGAAGGACTTGAAGCAGGCAAGCCAGCAGTGACAGCACCAGCACCAGCGACCATTAATTAATAGCTCATAAGTCTTATTGTTTTAAGCCAATAATTATGATGTCGGAGACAACCTGACGAATTGGAGGTGGTCTGCACTTTGGACTTCGACAGCGTTAAACTGCTGAAGAGCAGCGCGATGTGGGGCTGCACGTGGGTGAGAACGCCCACGAAGTAGCAGATCTGCAGTCTGACGGGAGAGGCCTCGTCTCGTTCCCCCATCTCCTGCAGTCCCAGCCTCCCTTCGGGCCTTCATGTTATCAGTTGTTAGTTATCAGTATTTGTGACTGGAAATTGGGCTGATGTTGTCGCCTCCGTAGTGAAGCCCATAAAGTGTTTCCGTATCCTGCATATCAGCATACTGGAGATGTCCATTTTCAGTCCCACAGCCCATCCATACGCCTGTTCGTATTCCATGGAGCCGTTGTTGTGTTCCAGAATCCAGAAGTCACTGCTAGACTGCGTGGGGGATATTCATTTTTCCTTAGCTTGCAGTGGAGACTGTGAGGACTGAGCCGCCACTTTTGTTCCTTTGTTCCTCGAACCGTCTGACGCCTCTCTCTCACTGCTCACACGATCAGATCAATTCATCCACTGTCCTGGGTCATCTCTTCCCGTTCGAAGTCCATCAGTATCTGATCCCCATCGCATCACAGTTTCTGATCCCCCACCGGTTCGCTTTCACGCAAACACAGACCGACTCGGAATTGCTCCAAGAGAGGGAATGCCATGGAGACCAATTCCTTTAGGGGACTCCGGCCCGGGCGGAAGGATTGAGGAACCCCTGTTTAGCGTCTGGCGCTCTTCCTAATGGAGGAGATTCTTCGTCTTCCGTGCCGCCATGTATTCACTCTGCATGAGACGACGAGATGGTACTTCTAAGCGAGGAGATTTCATCACCTGATGAAGACGAGCCTTCCACTACTGCGGACAAGGTTGTCCTCGGACACCAGGCGTTCTAGCATTCATTTCGTTTTGCTTTGCTAAGAACCATCCCTCGTCCTTGTATTGGAGATAAGGTCAAGTCCTAATTGCCCCCATATAAGCTCCGGCGTCTGTTCGCCGCATCGGCGGAGGAGTTCAAATAAAAATGTACATATCCGCGTCAATCCGTCAAAGATAACGCGGAAGATGAAGTCCGCGGAACCACGACTGAGAAAGCATTCATGATCAGGATGGACCGTCCTCCGTGGTGTTAGTTCTTGAAACCAACACAGCACCTGATGACCAGGACGAACAAAGCAAAGAGCCCTCCAAAATCTGTAATCCCAGTTTAGGGTCGATGTCGGGTTACATCTCGCTGTCTCGCATCAACCGCATTCCACCAGTTTTCCACCAATGGGTTCGTAAACATGGCATAACTTGTAGGATCGACAGTTCGATTTCACAGAAAGTGGGTTTCTGTAACGAGGGGAGATATGTATTTGTTTTAGGTAATTGCATAAATAGCGTGTAGACTGTAGAGTACACGACATACTTCAGCACTGTGCGTTGCTCCATCCTGCTCCGTATAAAGTCCAGGTACTGTACATAGTATGTAGTCTGTAGGTACTATTCACCTCGAACACTTGCCAGACAAGTCATGGGGCAATGAAATATCATTTACCAATCTGCATTAATATACATAGTAGAGAATTGTGCATTTGTGGTTTTGTAATCGGTACGGCGCGGAGAAGTGTTGGTTTCATTGGTCCTTGACTGAATCATGACAATAATTGACTGACTTGACCGTTGTTGACTCGATTGTGTTGACATCGTATACTGCTGAGTCAGTTATTGGTTGACTCTTGTCTCTTAACCACGCCCTGTCCCGACGGCCGAAGCTTACTATGTATAGTGCAGGTCGTGCATCACGGTGCATGTCCGTCGCTAACGATTTGACAGCCCCAATATTATTGTATGGATGTTGGATGAGGTGTGAGGACGGAGAAAGAAACCACCAGGATCCAGAATCCATCATTCAGGTTGGTTGGTTGATTGCCCATGCCGCTTCAATTCCTCTACTTGGCCGCCGTTGAATCCAAACCATATATAGTATGCCCGTATCATCGTAGATCAGGAGGATTCAACCCGGTACACGACATCATGATACTGGTGTGGTGCATTCATAACCGTGTGCGGGGTTAGGAAGAGGCGAATACGACCATCATGCAGTAGGCTGTAGGCTACGGGTGGCTGCCACATGGTTTTAATGAAAGCGGCAGGGAATCGGGTCATAGATCCGATATTCCGATATTCCGACGGTGCATCCGGAAGTATAGAAATGCTTACCTTGGGTTCCGTTCGCCTTTCATCGACTCTCTTGAGGTGGATCTTACCCTCTTTTTAATTAGGGAAGTCGATAAGTACACGGCGAGTCGACAATTCTCTGGCGACTTAGGCTGGGGGACTTCAAAGGCGAACGACCATCAATCTCTTTCACCCGGGCTGGAGCCAATGCGAACTCGCCTAGGTGATGCAGAATGGGTTCGCTCAGATGGACGAATCTTTCGTCGGAACAGAGGGAACGTGGTGGTAGGTGTGGAGAGATTCAGTGGACAGTCGCGGAGGATCTCACAAAGTCGTAAAGTAGAATGATTTTCATAGTTCGTTGATCATGAACGGTCGTCTATCATTGATCATGACAATCGTGTTCTGGCGTTCATCGTACCTCATATGCCATGATCAGAATAATGGACCGGTCGTCTATCGTCACACTCCTGTTCCCTTTCAACCATCGAAACATGTTCCTGACTGAATCACACCGCGTGCTTCGCAGCTCCATGCCTTCTGCAATCAGGAGTTATATATCATCCCAAGCTTGCTCAGTCCCGTCCCCGCGGAATTGATCATGCCGTCCCCCTCTCGCGCCATGAAGTACGCATACTTCTCGATCCAGTCCTGCGAATCCAGCCATTCCAGCGACTGCGTCAAGAACTCCACGCGCTCGGGGAGGTCGGGTGTCATGTCGCCCAAGTTGCAGCTGTATTCCGTCACCCACACTGGTCGTCGTCCACCGGCCTCGAACATCTCCCACACGTGGCGCTTGAAGCCTCCGAGATCGTTGCACCAGCCGAACCAGTGCACCTGGACGAAGTCGATGGGACATCCGATTGCATTGCAGGCGCGCATGAATTGCCGGAACCAGTTGATACCTTTGTGCGCTTGGTCGCCGTTCGTAACCGAAGGGGAGCCCAGGCGGATTCGCCCTGCAAAAGGGGCCACGAGCGTCTGCCATGTCAGCTTGCTGAGTTCGATCTGACCAAGATGGACGGAACCGACCTTGTAAAGCCACGCGGTCTCGCCGGGTGCGGGCATACAGGATCCTCCATCAATGCATCCGTCGGGTTCGTTGAACGCCATGGCTGCGTCCGAGCCTGTCTTCATGGCCAATTCGACATTGTTATTCCAGGAATTGGTCAACTCTGAGTGGTCGCTCCACAGCATGGGGACAAACATGAATTGATCAGAGATAGGTCCCGTACTGCGCGACGAGCCCCAATTGTATGCCCAACCGATCTTAGGACAGTTGAACATGAAAGTGTATGCAGGGACATTGTAGGCAATGCCTCGCTTCCCACCGCTTGGTGGAACCTCGGGAACCGATGGGCGGCCACTCGGCGGAAGCTTAAGCGGAAGAGCGGCCTTGCTCACCGACATGGATTCGGTCTCAGGTTGTGCCGGCACGGGAGCGAGGACAGGAGGGCTAGGATTCGACGGAACGCTCTGGGTCGGCCGGAGAACGGTGAGAGACCCAGCTGTGTGGACCGCGTTATAGTCCATGAGAGCATGATCTAGGATTCGACACGCATTGAGATCGGCAGTTGGCACACCACAGACCAAAGTGGTCGCGGCCACCACGAGAAGGGAAGCTCTAGCAATAGCCATGTTCCTAGCGAATGTTCTGAAAACTATCTTGAGATTGTCGTAAAAGGATTCGAAGACGGAGGCTAGAAGGGAATGATAGAAAGACTCAAATCTTGAGACCTAACGGGAATTATTATCGAAGCGATTGAAAGGTTGTACTGAGAGAGCGCACTTAATTTGAAGCGAGTGGCAGTTGAAGAAAGAAAAAATCCAAAAAGAGCGTGGGAGACGGATAAAGCAGCGAGAAGATAATGGATATTCATGCTAGAGGTGAATGGATATGAACAGTGAATGCGCAACAGATGGGTCTCCTGAGCTTCATTCTCAAATCTTTCGAGGCTACGAGGACGCGACACGCGCGCCATATCCACCCGTTTTCCATTCCAGTTATGATGGGAATTTGTCACATGAACATAATGAACCAGCCGGAGACCAAGGGCTCTACTACATGGAAATTTCCACGAAGGTGCTGGCCAACCCGAGCTCTTGCACACTTCATTTAACCTGATTGTGCTATGAGCACATGAAATTTCCTAGGGCTCGACCGTTGAAATCCCAGGAAGGGAAATCCATCGAAACATAGCAGCACTGTAAGAGTTGGTCAATACCTGATCTTTGGACGATAGACCTTCGTGGAAGGACCTCGAGCTGGCATCGAGCATTGACTGGAAACCCACCAGGTCTCTAACTCCGGCAGCACAAGAGGAAGCACAAGAGTCGCGAGACTAATATCGCAGACGTGCTCATAAAGGCCATGATCGTTCTAGCAATGAAAGGCTGCAGGGCCGGTTGTCATAGTGCTCGACCGATGAACTCCTGAAGGGGGAAAGCCATCGAAACATCGCGGCACTGTAAGAGTGGTCAATACCGGATCTATAGACGATGGATGTTCGCGGAAAGACCTCGAATCTGATGTCGGGGATCGAGTATCCACTGGCAGCCCATCAACATCGAACTCCGGCAGCACAACGGTCGGGAGACTGCCATCGCAGCCTTGTTCATGAAGGCTATGATCGTTCCCGCGATGAAAGGCTGCAGGGCAGGTTTCCATTACCTGCTGGGCGGATATGGGCAGATGCTCATGATGTGCAGGGAGAACTGGATACATGTACCGTACGGCACAGTCGACGTGGATATGGAGGCTTGTTTCAAGGGCCAAGACAGCTAATTTCTTGACGACTGGTTGAAGGGCTGAGCAGGCCAACAGAGACTTCGCGTCAACATCGGAGGACCGAAATTCCGAGAAGAGCGTCAGCAATCGGTCCCTTCTTCTCTCCATCGCGACATCGATTGGGACGATGGGGGTTTTAACTTGGCGGAAGTCAAGGGATGAGCAGAAATCGAAGGCGCAGAAGGCACCTGCACCTGCATTTGGGAAATTGGACGATGGCACAATGCCGCTAATGTGCAGTGCATACGTACCGTAGTCCGTATGGAGTATGGACTCAGCTATTATGGAGTCACCTCCACCTTACAAGTGCTGACAGTTTGACTCTAACTACTTAAACCTCAAGTGATGAATCCTAGGCTCCGCAGACCGGTCGAGTAAGCAGGAAGAATTTGCAAGCTCAAGCATAAGGCTGTAGGACTACACGAAAGATCTGCATGGTGAAGGAACACTGGTCTCTCGACCCGTCACTTCTACTGGCAGAAATTTGTATCATGTATAAACTATAAATGCGCCCTACCATCAGCCTTGGTCTACCGTATATTCCGTCATAGCGACTATCGAATTGCTACAGTTTTGCCAGTTTTGTCATCTGTCGGTGAAGATACACCAACCTCAGCTGTGTCATTATCTCCATTGATGTGCTGGCAGATGCTAGTGGCAGTTACATCTGGAGTGAGTGACAAGTGTTGAACAGACGTGAGGTCGAAAGTTGAAGTTGTGAGGTGAAGTCACCACCTGATTATTGGTAATAGATTGGTACCACCTCCAGCTAATTCGGTAGCCTTTCTTGATCGGTTTTCCTTCGTCACTGTCGTGCTTCATCAAATACTGTTGATCGGTTGGACCAGACTCCTGTTAGAGGCCTAGAGCCGATAGCTACGGTAGCTACGGGGCTTTTATGGCGCCACTGCAATATTAGTACAATTCTGTTACTACAACACCAATTCCCAATAAGGGAGTTACGTACCAGACTAACCAGAGCCCAGAGCCCTGTTCCGACGGATTCTCATTTCTACCGGCCGCTCCGGCCATGAATAATGCCGTGAATGCCGTGTCTCGGTCTTGGTCGGGCGGCTCACGATATTGACTCACAATTCTACACAACACTCATGCAGTGTCAATTGAAGTCCTTCAGAGTTCAGACATCTGACTTGCCAGACGTGTCTGGGCTAAGTACATGGGTAATTCTAAACTCACCAGTGTTTTCGGTTAACAGGATGGGCCGATGGGGGTTGGATTACTCCATAGGGCGTCGGCCCTTGAAACTGGACCCCTTCAGCCTTGCCGTTTCGCTTCCTAGCAAGATTCCACCGATGTTGTACGATAAGTGAGGCTCTTCTCTAGGATCCCTTGCTAGCCATTGATTTTTCCCTCAATGTGGTGCACTTTGGTGCGGCTGAAGACTCCGTATTAGGGGGCCCCTATTCCCAAAACGGTCAAGCTTTGCTCGCTAATCACTTCAACCCAATCAGGCAGTGGAGGCGACGTGACATGGCGGAAGCACATCACTGATTCACGGCCGCAAGCGGGTGCTTAGACTGCTCGACGCCCCCTCGGCTGTGACACCAGATTGGTTATTCTTAGCAACGTTCTCGAAAGTCACAGATTCATCGCATGCCCAGGCAAAAGGTCTGGGAGTCCCCACTCTTCGATAAGCTGATAGGCAGCGACCAGCGGAGACTTTCAGAATTGGGAGTAAGATTACGAGCGATGGACACGGCTCGCCGGTCAACAAGAACAAGATGAAGCAGCTTAAAGCGCCCGAGCCCTGCCTGACCGATCGGTGGAAATTAAAATTTGGAAAGAGCGAGGAAATCTTGGTGGTCGATAAGAGATATATGCTTATCTCATCCCACCCGCTGTGTGGCCCTGGCCGTCTCCATCGCCAGCTTCCGCCTTTCAACTCTTGAGGAGTCTTGCCCTTTCAAGAGATTCAACTCCTGAGGAGTCTTGCCCTTTCAAGAGATTCAACTCCTGAGGAGTCTTGCCCAGGTGCGGTACACTGGATTTTTGTCACAGCTCTGGATCCTAGGCCTTCGACTTGCTATCGACTCTTCCTATCACGGCCGTTGCTCCAATGTATTCATCCATGGCGAAGTTCAAAGAGTTCAATCCACAGCATTCAATCCCCAAGATCATTCTTGAAGACTCGGATGATACGGATTCAAGCGTGAGCAGAACTGTCCGCTCCTCACCCTGGTCCCTTGTAACTAATGCACATATCCAGTCCACAGAGTCGTTCGAGTACAAGTTTAAACCCGAGCCTCCGATGCTCTCCCTCGAGGCAGTCAAGGCGGCCTCAAACTTCTCAAGCCTTAACCGTCCTGCCGACTCAGGAAAGCAGCAGGATGTCTGGAAGAAACCCCGGAACATCCTGAGCCAGCTCGGATTCCGCCCGTGGAAATGACTGGCCGATCGGCCTCCTCCGCCCCGCCGTTGTGCACGGGATTATCATGCCAGCTGGCCAACTGAACGATTCGAACAATCCAATGAATCCATTCAATCTTCCACCTTAGACTCCGGGCGAGAATCACCTGACCGCGCCTACCTGCGCTAGACGCCCGCGATCGATTTCTTCCGTACGATACCGAACTAGACCTTACGATTTGATGAGCATGCACGATGGCGTTTAGCGACACAGTCTAGCGTTGAGGCTGGGGTGAATGGCTATGGAGTTCTGGTTATTATATTTGCTGAGCGTGTCCTGGAATATGGAATGGCGTTCTAAACGGGGATATTGATTCATAATGTGTATTCCCGACGTTCTTCCCATGAGCTTTCTACATCTAGTACATATTTTACTGCAGAGAATCTGGGGTACACTTCCTTGAGAAGTTCAACACAGTTCCTCAAATCGTACTATCATATACCTAATACATATCTCGAACCAAAACGGGCATTGTCATCCTCTCAAACGTGTCCGGCGGGTATCACACCAGGCTGCTGACGATTTTGAACCAAGCTTTAGTCCCTTGAACGCTTGCAAGCATTGAAATTGCGATGAGCTGTGGAATCTCCCCAATTGGACCACGTTTCAGCCCTGCGATGAATGTGGCGTTTTTTCCAACCGCCTTCGGCTCTGCTCCTTGATCGGTTGATCCTTCGGCATCACTGCACTGACCATGGGCTGAGCGGCTGAGCCACTACTTACGCCTGTCCTCATAATTCATATCAAATCAAGATGTATTCATGGATTCGCTTCCTCCAGGCAGCCACCTGTGAACGAGCGGAATACATGGTCGGTACTTCCAGCATCCGGATGGGGAATTAGTAATTAGTAACTACTCAGCGCGGAAAACGGTAGGTACTCCACCAACCCGTGACTCGAGGCGTTAATCGTTCGTCGGCAATGAGCGAGTCGATCAGTCAAAGGACTCGCCTAATCACCCAGCATCACGGTATTGGGTATTACTGTGGATATCTGCTTGAGAAGAATCCGGGCACGATTCTTGGCTTCCAGTACTGACTCTAGGAGAATCCGGAGCAGATGAAGCTGTTCCAATTTTCCGGTCCATTTTCCGCAAGGAGTAAGTAGTTGATTAGCCTACCTACCTACTCCATAGCCATGCGCCGGGCTAACCTTTCAAGGCGACCTACCGAATTAGATCTCAAGTAATAAGGGTCAGTGACGGTTTGAGGCTACAGGCCGGAACTGCTTCATCTCCTCAAAACACTCGGGCGGGCGGGGTGACTCCCTCTTCGCCTGTATGCGTGCCTGCGCGGAGAGTATTAAAATCTCACCTGGCGTGATCAACATGAGTGCATGCATGGTGGGCAGGCTGGAGTCTGCCTGCATGCGCTGTAGTGTCTAATACGGCAATGAGCCCGGAGGGTGGAGGAGGGTGGAGGCTGGAGTGGACAACAAATGGAATGGGGATGCCTAATACGCCAGTCATGCACGTTTTAGAGGGAGATGAAGACATGGAGAGCTATTGAATCGATAGCGGCTACGGAGTATGTGATGTGATATCATCATATCACAGTTGACCCCACCATAGGCACGGAATACATGTAAATCGAATCGGCGAGCTCGGGAAGAACTTTACAGCGCAGGTGAAGAGGTAAGGCATGGAAAGAGCGGTCCAAAATCGTCGAAAGGGGGATTTCATACCAAGTACCAACAGATGAAGAGAGCCAATAATAGCTGAGACAGATGAGAGTTTGGCCCCAGTTATCATGGTGTATTATGAGATCCTCAAGATTAAGCACGATCGATCGAGTTGTTTGAGAGACAGGCAGCTAGCAGTTAGCACTGAGCAGTCTAGTACGCATAGATAACGAAAGGTCACCAAAGTGCAAAGCCGTGGGCCTGCGGCAAATACATAAATAAGCTGAGGGACACGTAATGTCCGCCGTTGGTACTGAATTCTATGTCAATTAGTAAGACAACAAGCACCCCTATTAGAAATTTAGAATCGACGATTGTTATTAATACCGACCGCCTGTGGCAGAGATCTGACTCCGCATTTGAACCGTTACACTTTGAACCCACCCTTCAGGAACCTCGTAAACACCCTGGTCGGATCGTACGCTTCTCTGATCGACATCATGCGCTGGATATTTTCCTCTCCATAGCTCTTGACTGGGTCCTGCCACTTCGCTGCATAGTTCATATTCACAAATGGATGAAATGATCCTCGTGTCTTCGCAGCGTATCGCATCTCGAGATATATCAGCCACCCGAGATTCTCGTAATATCGGTCCAATCCCGACTGGAGCCAGTGGAGCTCGACATCGATCATGACGAGTGGGCTGTCCTGGGCCCGGAGTCCGAGAGGATTGTTACCATGCGAGAGATGAGATTCCGTGAGTGGGTGTAACCCCATGGCAAGGATTTGTAGGGTTTCTTCCTTCTTGAGGCGTCTGCTCCAGCGGGAGAAGATATTGTAAATCGTCAAGAGGACTTCGTCGTTGAGGAGTGTCAATGTGAACCGGACTTTGTGGAGAGGACGGTACACGATCTCGCTTATGAAACGGGACATCTCGGAGAGCGAAGTGATGTGGGTGCGATTCTGAAGGACCGGCTCATGGAAATACCGGTTCGCCACGTCGGCCGTCCCATCTTCGGCGTCCACATAGGCGAATGCCACGCCTTCTTCCGACGTACCGCCTCCGAATATTGTGGCGAATTGAAGGAACCCGCCCACACGAGTATTCGGAAGCGTCTCGTTATTGAACCTGCGGAAATTGTAAAGCAGGTCGTCGACTTCCATAAGCTCCTGGTCGAAGAGCATGTAACCACCGAATACGCTGCACAGTCCGAAGGTGGGAAGCGTGATTTTGGTGACAATACCGAAGTTGTTTCCACCTCCTTTTAAAGCCCAGAAGAGATCGCTATAGTGAGAGGCGTCGGCGGTGACGATGAGCCCGTTCGCGAGAACCACCTCGAACTCAATGACGGTGTCACAGGTCCATCCAGAATAGCTTGCATACCACGAGAGACCGCCTCCGAGAACATATCCTCCAACTCCCACGAAACCATCCCGAGCGCCATTAACGCCGAGTCGGAAGTGCTCCAGGTGACGATAAACATCTATCCACCTTGCTCCAGGGCCAAGCGTCACCGACTTGCCATCGTCGGCGAGCTCGATACTCTCCAACCGGCCAAGATCGATTGTGATCCCTCTGTCCACATTGGACACGCTCTGAGCATTACCTAGCTTTCCACTGCTGACGGCGAACGGAGCAGAATACTCTGTAACCGCAGATATCGCTTTCCGAACTTCTTCGGTTGTCCTCGGAAGGACGCGACATTTCGGGTGCAGGTTCCGTTGTTGCTGGTACCAATAATCTCTTTGTTGGTACTTGTACTGCTGGTCATTTTGGAAGAAGACGGAGTCGCGGCCAATTCCAAGGGCGAGGGAGTGGCACTAATGAGCTAGGTATCAGTGAAAGACAACTGGGGCATACTGGCATAGGCGGCTAGAGAATAGGGACGCTCGGAAGACTGGGATGGAAGCTAGGGATCAAAATGGAATTCAAAACCAACTCGACCACGACACTTTCGACATCAATGCACGCAAAGGCGGGATATTGCAGAGTTCAGAAAGGAGACTCCCACAGGCTTACGGCTTTCCTAACATCCTCCTCTTCACTCTGCTTCAACACATGCTGACCGGGCAGACCATATATCGGCCGGATCCCCCAAACAATCAGCGCGGACCAAAAGGCCAATCTCATTGATAAAAGTGATGTTATCAACATGAAAATATTCAATTGCAGGTGAGTCGCTCATGGGACATGTTAGGAGACGATGGCAATCATTTGCAAAGCTCCGCGATGGGATCGAGATTCACGAGCCATGTTGGTTTATCTGACTGCTGCCTGCTGCCTGCTGTGGCGGAGGAATGACAGGGCGCTTTAATTGCTCCTTGGTATTGCCCGTATTAATATGATCCTTCGAGCGACATGGAGTGATAATGCTGTTCAAGCAGGAATCAGGCGTGCCAGGATCAAGTGGCAGGCTTCATGTTCGATGCGGATGTGGCATCTACAGTCCGCCAGTCTTTTCCATTATCCATTTGGTCGAGGAGGCAGGAGTTGAACAATGCTGAATGCATCATCCATACGCCTGTGAAATGTGATACGAGCGTTATAGCAGTTTGCATTAAGAGTTTGAGACTGCCGCTAAGGTTCGCTGGTCATAATCTCCATCCTCTAGTTCCGCAGGACGAAAGCATTTCTCTAACACCCTGACACTGGTCGAGATCCTTCACAATTCCACCATCGCGCCCCCCAACTGAGGCGCTCGCACGCGTCGCAGCTCTCCGCCATCACCTCCTCCCTCCCGCTCCACCAGCCCGACACTTTCGCACAATGTCCTTCTTACCTTCCGCCCCCTGGCGCGACGCCTTTCTCTCCCACATCTCCAAGATGCCCATGCCAACCTTTGTCCTCTCGACGCTCCACCGCGCACCGCCTGGTTCATTGACCGAGTGGCTCCCACGCGCACGCACCTGCGTCTTCCGTGGCATGTGGTGCGCGTTGCCGGAGAACGATCTCAATAATGCAGAGAAGAACCCGGCCGCGTTCGAGAGCGATTGCGTCACGTTCACGACGGATAAACGGATGCTGAAATATGGAGAGATCTTTGCGTCTGGGGAGGCACCGGCTGGCGAGGGTGTCAGTGGAGGAGGGGGGCCGGTGGAAGCGGTGTGGTGGGTGGAAGAAGTGGGATTTCAGTGGAGGGTGAAGGGGAGGGCGTATATTGTAGGAAACGACATCGACGATGGCGGGCTAGGCGCGGCGAAGGCTAGAGAAGCATTGCAGCAGAGAATGGGCACCAAAGACGAGAAACAAGTAGCTGAGTGGACATGGTCAAGAGAATTGACGGCTCATTTTGGCAACCTAAGCCCAACCATGAGAGGTAAGCTCGACTTGTTATGCGACCACTTATTGATTATCACCGGACTTGCGCTTGAGATGATCTATCCCGTACTAAACAACGTAGGCACGTTCAAGAGACCTCCACCAGGAACACCGGCCGATAAGCCTTATGACGATAAGACCCTTCAGCTTGGTACCAAACTCAAGGGCCTCGACGACGCAGTTGCTCGAGAGAACTTCCAAGTCGTGGTGATCGTGCCCGACGAAGTGGAGAAGCTGGATTTAAATGATCCGGTCGAGGGGAGGAGGCATAATTACATCTATCAGGCTCAATCAGGCCGGTGGCATATGGAAGTATTATGGCCTTGAGGTGGTGTCCGAAATTGGATATGCCCAAACCCCTCAGATCGAAATCACAAAGGGCGTGGTGAGAGAATGTGGACATCAGGTCCCGCTGCCTGCAGAACAAGAAATCCAGACCAATCCTGATTAAGTTAGGGTGTTCACTCATCAATGGCTCGCTGCTGGTTTTTTCTTTTCGGTGCATGTACGGACTACGGAATAATGCGGATTATTAAGGTATGACTGTTGGATGTCCCTGTAGTTCGTACTACCTAATGGCTACTATCATGGTCAGTGGTTAATATTTCTTGTGCTAGTTATCTGCACGACGGCATAACTGAACCATATACACCTTCTTTTGCGACTACCAGTATATTAACTCTTACTCTCCAAGTCTTGGATTACCTCTCCTCTTTTTGCATCCAGTTATCGGCTGCAGTGATTTACTGGTGCCCGAGCTCGGCTGCGGGGCACCACATTGCCCCACGATTTTCCCGAGATCGATATGCCTTCAAAGACCGGGTCTGGTGGCCATATTGTGCCATACGAGGCGCCAGCAACAGTGCACAATGCAGCCAATTCCCCGGATAATGATGTCGAAAATGCGATTGAGTGGACAGAGACCGAAGGCTGTGAAGATGCGGTTGCCTACGATTCAGAAGATTTCGTTCATCTGGACTGCTCCTTGTCTGGGGGCTATCGGCGACCCAGCATGGCGGCTTCGGGACCACGATCACTGGGCTTAGGCGGACCAATTGATGATCATGTGAATCACAGGCTCTCGGAGAGAGAAAGACACTTAATGCACGCGGAAGAGCGCCAATTGTTGCTCGACAACCATTGCATTGGGCCGAGGGAAGACCGGAGTGGAGGCGAGGGCAACGCGATCCAGCAAGCTGGCGAGAGATTTTTACAGTCATTCCCTAAGCTCTCTGGTATAAAGGTCGTCGAGGAGCCTACAACGCCTAAAAATCTACCCTCCGCCAATGAGCAATCCCCTCTCCTAGGGCGTCAAGAAGAGAATCTTGAGTCCAACGATTCCGAGAGCATTGACAAGAGATGGGAGGAGGCAGTAGCAGAGGGAAAGATTACAACAACGTGGCAGCGAGAGACACAGGTGCTGTGGCAGTACTCTCGGTCTCTCATCCTCACGTTCATGCTACAATACTCCTTGCCGATGACATCCATCTTCACGCTCGGTCGAAAGGGGAAGATCGAGCTGGGAGCAGTCAGTCTCGGCACCATGACCGCTAACATCACGGGCTACTGCGTATTCCAGGGCTTGGCCACGAGCCTTGACACCCTGTGTCCGCAAGCCTACGGTGCGGGCAAGAAGAAGCTCGTGGGATTACACACGCAGAGGATGTTCTTCTTTCTGCTCTGCGTCACGATTCCGATAGGCGCTATCTGGTTGAGCGCAACGCATATCCTCAAACTCATTGTACCGGAAAGGGAGACGGCGGAGTTGGCCGGTCTATACCTCAAGGTCGTCCTCTTCGGCACACCGGCATATGCGGCGTTCGAGAGCGGTAAACGGTTCGTCCAAGCCCAGGCGCTATTCAGTGCCACGCTATGGGTATTGCTCATTTGCGCGCCGCTGAATGTGTTGCTGAACTGGCTGCTCGTGTGGAAATTGGATTGGGGCTTCATTGGGGCACCAATCGCTGTGGTGTTCATCCAGTATTGCCTGGCCCTGTGTCTATTCCTTTACGTTCGATTTGTGAACGGCATGGAATGTTGGGGAGGGTTCGATCGGCGGGCGTTTGCAAACTGGTGGCCGATGGTCAAGCTTGCCATCCCTGGATTGATCATGCTGGTGGCCGAGATGCTTGCGTTCGAGATCTTAACGTTGGCAGCAAGTTGGTTTGGAAGTACGGAGCTGGCGTCACAGTCTGTCTTGAGTACGATGGCGGCCTTCGCATTCCAGCTACCCTTTCCACTGAGTATCTCAGTAAGCATCCTCTCCAGCCTGTACAACTCAGTTCCCGCTTCTGACACGAGAACTCACAAGGCCTCTACAAGAGTGGCAAATCTGATTGGAGCGACGTTGGTTAGTATCTCATCCTCGATCTACATACATATTACTGACTATGCAGGTCGATGCCGCTAAAACGGCCGCGAAAGTCTCTCTTGTAAGCTAGAAGCCCATTGTGGAATGCCATCATTACATTTGCTAACAATCTCTAGGTCGCCGCTGCTGTTGTTGGCTGCTTCAACATGGTCATGCTTTCATTGCTTCGGGAATATATACCGAAGCTCTTCACAAACGACGTGCGCAAGCCGAAGGCCTTCAATGTGTTGGGATTACGATGCTGATACTAACTCCAGCCCGATGTCACCTCCTTGGTCTCCCACGTTCTCCCCGTGTGCGCAGCCTTCCAACTTTTCGACGCCGTAGCAACGATGTGCAGTGGTTTGCTAAGGGGACTCGGAAGACAAGGTGAATGGATTTGTTTGCGCCTGCGGAACCAAGCTGACCGAATGTAGATGTTGGCGGGTATGTGAATCTGGTTGCGTACTATGTGGTAGGTCTTACGTGAGCTCTATATATCATAAGTCTGACAAAGTTAGATCGCCATCCCTATCTCATTTGGACTTGGATTCGGGTTTAGTTTAGGCTTGCCCGGGCTATGGATTGGCCCGGCCATAGCGCTCGCCGTGTAAGTGGTTACCTGAGTATGCCCTTACATTACCGCTTTTGACTGACCCTTGGATAGAGTTGCAATCGTTGAGGGGATCTTCCTCTATTGCAGTAATTGGCAAAGATCGGTAGATGATGCAAAAAGAAGGAATGCAAGCCATTGAGAGGTGATAGCGTGAAACGGTTGAAGGAATATGAAGTGATTGCGCGGTCCATTACTGCTACTCGTCGACGATGTGGTGATAAATACGTAGGGCAATTAATGTAAAGAATGATTCTTCTATGGAAGATTTTTTCAACCTTGAACTACTTAGCTGGAACAATAGTAAAGGATAGTAGCTAATGGATGTTCATAAATCTGTAAAATCTGATGGATGATTTGATGTCACAGCAAGATGGAAGTGAACAAATCGTGTGTGCTGCATCGTCAGATGTCGCAAGGAAGAGAACACATTCAACTTCACTTCACAGACTTTGCATCAACTCAATCTTTCATGCTCATCAACGAACCGTCCATTATCCCCACATACAGTATTAAAGACAAATCTCAATGCAATATCAGCATTTATGCTTTAGAAGATACAGGTAAGTGCAACTGGGCCTTTGCTGCTGTCAATATCTCCTTCGGATTGTATCACCGTATTTGTCTCTTGTCGATACGGGACCTACCATAATCATTGAAATTATTCCGAGCGATCGATACCTCTCCATTGCCAACTTTATCATTTTAAACGACAATAGTAACATGACCTCCCAGCCTGCAAAGCTTAACCTTTTCGAATTCCTCCACCTCATCTCACCAATCCAGCCGACCACCCCAAGTGGCTATCCATCCCCATCATTCATCTGGCTCGGCATTTGCGTCGCCATAGTCATTTTAGTCTGCATCTTCGACTCCATTAAAACCTTCCGCCGGTGCTTCTTCTTGTAGCACGATGAACGACGCGGAGAAAATTCGCCAGCGCCTGGTCCAAATCGGAACCTCGCTCAACGATCTCATCAGAAGCATCGAAAATGCAGAGACTCTGCCGCCATGGTGATCACCATTAACATCCTATATCAAAAATGCGATTTGCTGACGAAATTCGATTTTAGGCCGGCAATTCTTAGAACAGTCCAGCTCCTCACAAATCCGTTGACATCTCTAAGACCTGCCCTGCAGGCGCAAGTGCTGAATTCTATGCACGTGTACCCTGCGTCAAAGTTCCCGGGACGCACAGAAGAGATGATGCTGCAGCAACTGCTACGCAAGAAGCTTGACCCGAAAGTTGAGGATTGGATTACGTCCATGTCAAAAGAGACAGACGGCGCACCACTCGGTGAGGGAGATTCGACACAAGGTTTCAACGATTCGATGCTTGAAGAATTGTGGGACTGGGCTGGGCCGGCCGCGAACGAGGTTGCCAAGGAGGTCCTTATGCCCGATGAGGAGGATGAAGAGGAAGAAGATGAGGAAATGGCGGACGCGGATGAAACTCGGGCTGGAGAAGCGCAGCAGCAGCAAACCACCGTCCCCGGAATGTCTTTGGAGCAGGTGTTACGGTTCACAGTCATGGGCCAACAATGACGAGGTTTCAACATATGATTCCCGTTGGAACAAGGTCTTTGCATTCCAGCCACGACGCCATGAAAAAACATCATGTCGAGCCCATCACCTGGTGAGACACCTGCTAGGTTGGTCCTATCGATACCTGCGACACCTGGCCGCCTAGTCAACCGTGACGCTGACACTGAATTTTCCAAGTCCAGTTGGACCTGCTGTTGGTTTCCCAGCCCTACCAGTCGTAACGGGGAAGAATATTAGGCCACCGGTCACTCTACCGAGACCGGCAGTGCCATCGCCAATAACCGTCCCCGTTGGAGCCGATTCCTCGCACACCATTTTGGTAGAGACCGTGAAGCCCGGGTTTGTGGTCGTGGACGCACATGATGTCTGCATAGAAAGAGATGGTTGTTAGTATCAGGATAGGAGGGCTCAAACTATTCTGAAAGCGAGGGTCCGCGCAGTCGAATGGTCACTCGTTCTATACACAGCCATAAAGATGCGCGGCAGACAAAAGCGATGATGAAGAACTCGTCGAGATAATGGGAAACTTATCCGAAGATTCATACGCGGTCCATAGCGAAAACCCGCCGCATTTGGTAAAAGACGTATATGTGAAGGTCGTTGCTGTGACAGTTCAAGGGACCGCGGACTGGAACACAAGCAGCGTGCAAGTTGGGGTGGCCATTCCACGTTTCTCTAGCCCGAGTTCATTCGCGACTGGGCTTGCGGAACTGCGATATCTCGTTAGTACTCTACATTCTATCCTGCGTTCATATCCCCACCCGTCGTCAGAGCCTTCTCCGAGACCTCGTTGCGAAACCTTGCGATCAAGAAGGGCACTCACATGAGATGGGCGGCAAGGCCGAGAATCAGAGTAGTGTACTTCATCGTTTATTATGACAGAGTCTTAGCATAGGTTGAGGATGTGATCATGAACCCCTTCCATACTCTCAGGGCAAACCTGGGTGATTTTATGCTACATGATCTCATGACATGAGAGAACCAGTCTGCGAAACCGCTATTTTTGTGTCCATTAATAGCGAGCCATGAAACCATCCTATATCCGGTTGAAGTGCTCATAGGGCCTATCAGTTTCCGCCACTAGGTGGTTCATTTGGATGAACAGCTTATCCTGAGCGCATGTGAGATCGTGAGCCGCTCTAAATGTTGTATGACAGGCCCAGGTATCATCCTGGACTATTCCTGGCCGAGGTTCATGCAAGATCCCGGTGTTCATCAACTTAGCCGGCTTAGCTATCCATGACACGCTGGACAGTCCATGTCAGGTTTACTAGCCTGCCTCGATCGTTTTTACCTTCGCGCCACCCATTGTGGTGGAGAGCCCAATGGTTAGAACCAAGAATTGTACACATAACATATCCGGAAGACGAAAGGAAATTCACAAATAATTTCCGAGCGGCCGATACTTGACAGTCTTGCTTCAGCATTCAAAGGCAGGATCAATATATGTAGAATAGGGACTCAACAGTCACAGGGATGAGGAGAGTCGACGGAAATCCCGCTGGAGTACGAACATGCCCGGATATACCAAATTACCGCAATTAGTTTAGATAAGGGTAGAATGGGTTGATGATGATAGGACACGGCGAATCCGAAGAAGAGGAGCAATGTGTGAGGTTGATATCTAGTTAGTTACCACGGTCATGTTCCAAAAGACGGGATATGCCAGAGTGGAGGCAGGATCACTTGAAGCCGAGTTTCGATAGACTTTTCATTGAGTTATCATCCTCGTCATCAAAGATACACTAACACTAGCGGCTGATATATAAACATGGTACATATGCAATTCAGACGCCAGTTGCTCCAAAGCTCGATCGGCCCAACCATCGTTGTCGCAATGGAAACCAAGGAGGCTAGAAGTTTGTCGATTGGTTTCGGCGCATCTAGTCGGTCACGTGGAAAATGACATCGCCACACTCAGCCACAGTTTACGTCATCATATCCAGTATCATCAAGCAGTCATGACTGTTTAAATACCTTTGAACTCCGGTGCTGATTCAGTTATAGACAATATACATCAACTATTGAAGTCTAACCCTGACTACTAAACATCTATTCTCTTATCCCTTCAAACGATACATCCCAAACACACGATCAACATGGGTCTGCCGAAGAAGACCATGGAAAAACCCTCGACCTCCGAGACACGGGAGGGCGTCGCCAAGGCCATTGACAACCTGAAAACCCAAGCCCAGCAAGATCCCAAATCCGCATCGAACACGGCACAGAGCTCACAGGCATCAAAGAGCGAGGTTGAACGTGCGGCCGAGAAGTTGTACGAGGAACGGATTGAAGAGGAATATGCGAAGCGGGAAGGTGGCGCATGATGGGGGTTGCTAAGCGTCTCCCATCAGTCCCAATACCAATCTTTGGTGAAGACTGTCAACTACGAATGTACTCGGGTATCACAAATGGATATCTGGATATAATGATTAATATCAATAATGTGAATTGATGTCTCGAGTTGTTTCATGTTCCATCAAGGGCCCGTTTTAGAAGCCGCTGCGCATCCTCCGACATCCCCGTGGCCAACTCTTGTGCAACTGTTCTGCCCTCTACCGACATCTTTGCCCACGTCTTCCGTAGGATGTCGACAACCTTATCGTCTCCTCCTTCCTTATCGTACCCATTCTTGAACTCCTCGAATTTGTCTTCGAGGAACACCAGACATGCCACATCCTCCAGCAACTGTGTGTCCGCATCGCTCTTCAGATCTTCCTTCCGTATCAACGCCGCCACCCTCTCCGCATCCGCTTCGCCGTATCCCGCCTCCACGCAGAGTCGACTGACCAGTTCGGCTTGCCGCTTCTTCAAGAACGTTCGCCACGAGTGGTATCCCACTCTTGTCATCGGGTAGGAGGATCGCGGGACCTCCCAGCGACGGAAGTGCTGGGCGCGGATGGCGAGGCGGAGTGTCTCTGGAACGTCGTCGAGGGAAGGGCGCAATTGGGAGAGGAAGTGCGTCATTTTGCGCGAATAGACGAGCTCATATGCTACTTCATCCCCCTCATGGTCGACTTTGCGAGGGTCGAGGCTGTGAGCGCCATCGATGAGCTCTAATGCCGTCTGGAAAGGTGTCGATGAAGTCGTGTCTGCTGCCATTGCGATTGGCGCTAAAGATCGCGAGCTGTCTCTTGCAGAAACGTATCTTCCTTGGGTGGTGCTGAGGCAAGTGATCTTGTGCCTAATTGGATGCTCGGAGGGTTGGGATAAGTTAGTCAGTTAGTCGCTACACTGCGTTGGCGGTGAAGGACTAAAGAGGAGTTGACAGAGGTGACTGGAGGAGCTAGATTTTGCAAGCTGCAGGTCGCCACCGGATTCTTGAGGCTTCAGGGCTTTAGGCTGCCTAAACTGGTGGGGTTCTTGCTTGGGGAAATGCCGATGAACCGATAAGAATAAAGAAAGAAGGGAGACAGGGCGGGTCGTCTGAATATTGATTTCTCTATACAGGTAATTAGGTATTTCCTTTGTGGCCTCACTGCTTCAAACTTGGGACGTTCAAGCGAGTTGTTTTCCGTTAATACAATGCGATTTGCGAGCGGGGCAGAGCCAAAAGTTATGTCTTCGTCCAATGGTCAGGCCTCAGAGACTTCACCTCTTCTACCCAAGGTACTATCAGAGAACAATGGCGAGCTGATAGCACCTACATTCGACCCGGGAGCTGGTCTCGCTCCGGAGGGCGCAGATGCATTCTATGAGCGAGATGAGGAAGAGATTGGAAACCAACAGGATGCCAATGGAGGGGGCGATGATTTGGAACGTCAGAGAAGCAATGATAGCAGTAGATTGAAGCAATTCCAAGGCGATCTGGAGCTTCAGAAGAAGATGAAGTACTTTTTGCCCGCTGTTGCAATTGGAGTAAGTTCGATTATATAGATGTGGCTCTAGGAATTCACGATTAATCCGGTATTCAGGTGTTCCTCGCTTCCGCCGACCAAACCATCATTGTGACTTCGTCTCCAAAGATCGGTACTGACCTCCATGCGCTGAACAACACGTCGTGGATTGCCACAGCATACTTCCTGACCCTCACCTCGTTCCAACCCTTGTACGGAAAACTGTCCGATATCTTCGGCCGCAAGCCATGCCTTCTCTTCGCATACGTCGTCTTCGGACTCGGCTGCCTCTTCTGCGGCCTCTCGCGCAACATGACCGAGCTGATCGCCTCCCGTGCCTTCGCCGGGATCGGAGGCGGAGGAATGGTCACAGTGGTATCCATCATCCTGTCGGATACCGTGCCCTTGCGCGAACGTGGCAAGTGGCAGGGCTACATCAACATCATCTTTGCTTCGGGTTCGGCCGCGGGAGCGCCCCTGGGAGGCATCTTGGCCGACAGTATCGGCTGGCGATGGAGCTTCCTGATCCAGGGGCCCATGTGCTTCATTGCTTTCTTCGCGGTGCTGTTTGCATTCAAGGCGCCGACACGGGATCACTCGCACTGGGCCGAAAAGCTGAAAAGAGTTGATTTTCTCGGAGCCACCTTCTTAGTCCTGGCTGTCTTCTTCATGATGCTGGGATTGGACAGGGGCAGTAACGTTGCCTGGGCTGACAAGTACACCATCACTGCACTGGCGCTGTGTGTGCCCCTAGCGGGCATTTTCCTCTATGTCGAGATGCGAGTTGCGGCGGAACCCTTTGCACCGGGACACATCATCTTCGAACGCAGCCTCGTTGCGTGCTATCTGGTCAACTTCTTCGCCTATGGCGGATGGATGGCTACCCTCTTCTATGTTCCGCTCTATCTCCAAGCCGTCTTGGGGTTTACCGCGACCCAAGCCGGCGTGATGCTGATTCCCGTCATAGTATGTGTGGTCTCCGGGAGCCTTGTGGGAGGCTTCTACATGCAGCGAACCGGACGATACTTCAAGATCACCGTGGTTTCCGCTACTACGCCAGTCTTCGCGCTGATCTCCATCGTGCTCTTCCTCGGTGTCATCCAGACCACCCCCCTCATTCGCTCCATTGGCATCATTGTCAGCCTCTCCATCTGTGCGTTTCCGCATGGCGTCACCGTCACAACCACCCTGATCGGGTTGATTGCAAACGCTCCGCCATCCTCCCAGGCCGTGGTGACTGCATGCTCGTATCTGTTCCGAAGTCTCGGCTCGGTGTTCGGCCTTTCCCTCGCATCGACCGTAGCGAACGCGTCGCTCCGAACGTACATCGCTCGGGCGATCGCCGAGCACCCCGGCGCTGCACCCCCTGATGTGGATCCGGCTCAGCTTGCCGCTATGATCCGGCAGAGTCTGGATACCATTGCGAAGCTCGACCCGGAGTTCCGGGCAGTCGTCAGACAGTGCTTTGCGCTTGCTAGCAGAAATGCCTTGGCTTGTCAAGTGGTTTTCGGTTCCTTTGCCGCTGTAGCAGTGTGGGGAATCAGGGAGAAAGCACTGAGTAGATGATCAAAATCATGACCCTGCGGGCAGAAGCCATTCCCATTCCGCTATTAGGGGATGATTTACGCAGCCGGCTAAGAAGAGACACAGGGCTAATCATGGTGAATGAAGATAAATTTGACGAAGGCTTGTTCTAACCGGATCGGGTTGTCCGAGCTTGATGAAGACATGAACAAGATACCCAAATGAATAAAGGCCATACATGCATATACCCAAAGGAATGTTAAAGTTACAAACTTCTGATACTAAAGCGGTTCCGTCGCCGCTGCCTGGAACCAACCCTCCGTCCACGCAACGCCCCCTTTGCCAGCACCTTATTCAAATATGTCTGAAAGCTGGTATCATGGCCTCGGAAGAGCACATTGAAGATGCGCAAAAAGTACCGGATATCCTTCCTCCAATGCTCGTCCTTCGGTAGTCGGGCGCGATGCCACGCCCAAGGCAGCGCGATCCGACCGACGAACCGTGGCAGATCATCCAACATCGCCACCACGGCGTCCTGGAACTGCACCTCCAGCTGGACTTGCGGAACGTACCGCGCGAGGAAATAGATCGCAGTCGGGATGAAGAGATCGTGGGGCCAGAGCTGCTCCTGCTGGACGCATCGTTCATGCAAGTAGCTCCCGGCCGCGTCACGGGTCGCTGCCGCGATGTCCTCGGTGCGGATCCAGTGGGTGTAGAAACTGTCGATGATTTCTGGCTCGTAGGATGGCTTGGTCTCCATCTCAAGTAGCTTCATCATCGCGGTCTCTAAGTCGCAAGGCTCCGGGTGCTTGTCCCATTGGATGTCGCTCTCTTCGATCCATTTCATAAACGGCAGTCCTATGGTGAGGTGTGGTATCCTTCGGGGGTGAGGCGGGCCTGACCTGTTCTTCTTGATGCGAATGTCACCTATCAAAGGATTCCAACACATGGCGTACTGTGCTCGTTTTCTTGAAACTTCGGGCAAGGACATCGTGAGATCCGTCGTTTGACAGACTCTCAGGTTGATAAGAGCCCACTTGATCTGCGACATGACGAATCGACCCGGCTTGGTGGTACCCGTTGCGTCGCCGTCTCTCTCCATCGGCCTCCGCTTGCGATTGCTGTATCTCACACTGTTGCTGGAGCTACAGTCGACCGCTCTGAGACTTCGCCAATGATGGTGGTCTTCCGGAGTGCGAAGCATCAGTTCTGAATCCGGTGACTCTGTCGGGTCGCTGGGAGCGGCTTGTAGGGCGCGGACTGAACGATGTCGCATTTGAGGCGGCTCCCCATATTTCTCTTGCGCTTCAGACGATGTTGCTGACGATGAGGCCCGATATGTCGAGCCTGGCTGTGTTGACCCGCCTGTAGTGCCGATGCTACCATCTGAGGGCTTCGATCGCAGCGAGTTCCTGTCGCTTCGTAACCTTGGAAATATCAATAGCTCATCTTGGTGCGAGCCCGGTCTACCTTTAGATAGCTTGGAATGGCGTCTCTTCAGAATGACAGAAAGAGATGGTGAATCCGGTGCTGTCAAGAGAGGGGTTTCCCATCTCCCGAAAGCGTCCCATGCTTTTTGAGGATTGGCATTGTCTTCAACCCGCTGCAACCATCGAACGATCTTGGCTTTCGCGCTTCCTTTCTCGGCCTTTTCTTCTTGTTGGGCGCATTCGAGTTGCCAGAACTTGACGCGGCAGTCAAGGCAATCGCTCGCGTGGATATTGAGGGCGGTCGACTGATGATACCTGTAGCCTGCGTGGGACGGTTGGCTTCGGTTGGGCATGCTGGATATTAATTGATCTTTAGCGAGAGAATAGGGTTATGATAAACGATGGATGAGTTGGGGGTGCCTGATATGCCAACGGTTAGCGATGAATCTTCGAAACCGGTAGACATAAGCATCGTCGAAGTTCCTACAATCACCGTGTCTCAGCTGTGTGTCATGGTCGTGATGCCCTTTCTGGTACGCGTGCGTCGAAAGTTCCCTCTTTAGCTGCCCGAGATCCAAGCCAGGAGCCACTGAAGGAGCCATGAAGCAACGAACCAAGTCCAAGAGAGATTCCGGAGAGGTGCCCAGGAGCGATCATACCGCCATACAGTTCCATATCATCTGGGTGATCGGTATTCGATGGATGGAATTGGTACACCATAATAAGACAAGCGATTTGCTGAATGTGGTTTTGGCGAGTGAGTCGAGTTATTAAGCGAATTTGGGATAAACGAACTTGGATAGAATAGAGCGACTCTCCATATTTGATCAAATGCTCATCTTGCCTAGAGCTCGGCTGTGGGTATCATATACAGAGTGCTGAATTATATCCGATCCCCAAGATCTTCGAACCATAAAAACAATTGCGAAACCCGAATCTGCCTGTATATCGTGTCCATGTGTCTCTGTCAATCCCCATGATGATTCCGAACCATGACACACTATCGCAGAAACCAGGATTTTCCTCCATCGCCCAGTCTCTCACATCTCTGCCCTTCGCCGAATCTTCTCACATCCACTCGCTGATACCCGACCTTCGCAGTCTCGCCAGTAACCAGCCAAGTCAGGCGCGCTCACCAGCCAACTTCAACCTCTCCAAGCTCCCACCCCTGAAGAAGGAACTCGAAGCTGTCCGACCGAGCACACACTCCTCCTAGGCCATCATCCCCGGGAGGCACTCGAGATCAGCAAAAGGTGGACTTTCTCGAAGCAAGGAGACAATGCAAGTTGAAAACAATCAGGCGTCGACCAAGCTCCATCCCTCCAAACTCCCACCCATGAAGAGATAACCCAAAATCCGACCAGACATACACCTTCTACCCCAAGAGAGCTCTCGGTAAAAAGGGAATTTGCTCACAAGAATCCACAAACTGTGAAAGCGGGAAAAGAGGAAAAGGATTGGTTGAGATACCTTCGGTTAGTAGAGCACAATCCACAAGACGCTGGCCAGGCTATCTCGTAGAAGTGACTACATCACTTCGAGTCGATCTCCGTCTTGAACATGATGTGAAACATTGGGAAAGTGGAAAGGGTTCGAAACCAATGATAAAACTCCGCTGACAACGACACCAAATTTTTGCGCCCGTAGGCTGATGGATATCCTCATGATGTGTCTGAGAACTGCTGCTCTCTGTTCATAGTCGTGGAATGCTGGCAGCCTCCAACGCGTCCAGCTCCATGACCTTCTTCAAATCATCCCAGCCAAGATTCAACTCTTGTTCAAACGGCAGGGCAAACTCACCCGTGAACCCTCCATTGCACAGGACCGCCTTGAGCCAATATCGGGCGTTCGGCATGCCCGCCGCAGTGACTTCCTCTATTGTTGATCGGCCCGTGACGGTCGCGATCGCGTTCCAAATGGAGAAGACCCCGCAATCATTCCCATTGGTCTGCGAATTGGTGGGACCGTACGAGACGCGCCACTGCACCCGCTGCTCGTAGATATCGTCGTACAACTGGCACTCAAGGATGTCGTGGAGTGCCTCGATGACGTCCGCGCGTTTTCCGTGCATGCTGTCGAAATAGTGAATTCGCTTCGGCAATGGCTCGATAACCACCATGACCCAGTGGTTCCCAAGGTGGACAGGAAGGACGAGGAACTTGCAGTAGAGGAGGTTGTTTTTCACGAGTTTCGCCCGGTTGAACCAGCGGCCCATGGTTGCTGCGCCGGCACCGCCTTCTTTCTCTTTCGTCTGATAGGTAGTGAACCACTGCGTGCCAAGTGCTCCGACGACAGGAGGGTTGTTTTTGCCCCGAGGAGGTTTCGTGGTTGTTGCGTGCTGTGCGGCAGCTTCGGTGAGGTATTTGAGGACGGTGTTGATGACATTGTCGTTCAGCCACTCTTGGTCGGACAGGGTCTGGAGGTCTCTCACAGTGACAGCTTCTCTCTCGCGACTTGAGATCGGTGCGTGGATCTGGAGATGCGTCTCGACGTCCTCCACCACCTGACGTTGGGACTCCGACAACGCACAGATGAGTGGAGCACGCTCGACTGGGGACTCCGAACCAGCAGAAGGAGATGGTGAATATTCTGACACCGATGATGCTGGCGATTTCCCCTTCGCCTGGTCTTGCTCAGCCCGATTTGTAGGACTCAATGCGGCTGGTGATGCTCGAGACGATATCTCGATGGGCCGGAAGGCGAGCGGTTGGAGGCTGATTCTGCCAATCAATGCCGGATCTAACGCGTCGACAAATGAGGTGGCGGGAGAAGGGGTGTTTTCAAGGACGGACGGGGCAATCTGGCTCTGCTGTGAATGTGGTGTGGACGGCCCTGGAGCTTGTTTTGGCTTCGCACGGGCTGGAGTCGCCGGCTTGGGTTTACGGAAAATAAGAGATCTCGACTCCGGGGTTGATAGCTTCACTGGTCGCTTTGCTGGCTGCGGGGCGACAGCTGGAGTCGATGCCGGCGTCCGGGTCTCCGGTGTTTTTATCGCTGGAGTTTGTACCTTGGGAGCTTTTGTCGCCGGGGACAGAATGCTTTCGCCGGCTTTCTTGAGTGCGTGGGTGATTTGGCTGACCAGCCCGGTTTTCGGAGTCGGCACCACTTGGGCTGCTCGATCTTCCCCATGTCGTGATGCTTCAGCATGGTCGCTAGGCTTGATCGCCTGCACTTCCTCTCTCTCTTCCCCAAGTACTTGACGGCGAGGAGCGCGACGAGTGAACAGTCTTGACAGGTTCTTCAGGTGGATTCTGGTTTTTCCAGCCAGCTGGTTGGTGGGTGTGTAAACGATCGGGGTATGGACGTCGAACGGTTGCCTCGTCAGAGGTCTTTCGGCGGGAGTTGGTTGCCCCGACTGTGTCGGAGGTTTTTCGACGGGGGTTTGGACGTCGGCGGGTTGCCTCGACTGTGTCGCAGGTCTTTCGGCGGGTGTTAGGATGTTGGACGGTGCAGCTGCGGCAATCGAGCAAGGTTCAATCGCAGCAGCTGGAGTGGCAGGCATGACAGATGCCAAACTAGTCCTCCCCCAGAAATCCAGGGCGCCTTGCTCTGTCCACTCCAGCTGCTGGATTTCTTCCTCCTCATCGGAGATGTGGAAGCCGGCAACATCATCGGCGAGTTTGTCGGCGCTCATCTTGAGCGCCCTCCGCCACCCGTGGACGCGGCCGTTCGTCGAGCAATGCCGTTTGCCCACGTCTGGCGTGAGCTGGTTTTCTGTCTCTGGCGGCGACTTCTTTCGCTTCGGCAATGAGGGTGGGGAGGGCGCCTGTGATGGTGAAGGGACTGGGGTTGAGAGGCATTTCCTGTCGATGATGCGAGGTCCGGGAGGTGACGATCGACGCGTTCGTGAGCTGGATGCTGCGCGGCGACGCTTGAGCAGAATGCGAGGGTCGGGTCCGTAGCGTTTGATTACTTCCGATGACCGTCCCGCGTCAATAATCGCGTCATTCAGCATGTTTTGCACATTTGACGATGCGCAATTGCAAATGACGGGGACAATGCCATCGGTTGACACATACGGCCGTTTGCGCTCGTCGACGGCACGGAGTTGGAGAGAGCGACCGACAGATGCAGCTCCGGCGGCAGCGACGTTGAGGATGGCAGGGAGCCGGCCACTTCCCATGGTGACCATGAAGAGCTCCCATTGGTGGGGGCTAACACTCTTGGCGCGTCGCCCCCGCCGCCCTTCGGCCCGGTAATCCATCGGCACCCCGAACACGAAGTCCTCGCAGTCCCCTTCCTGGCAACTCGGCCCGAAGGCCATCTTGACATCCCCTGCTCTGGGCGGGACAATGCCAACCAAAGTGGCCGACCACCACTCCTCCTTTTCCCCAACATCAACATCTTCCTTCATCTCCACTCCCTCCATCTCGACAGGAAGGTTCCCTTCTTCTTCAAACTGCTGGTGTGAAAACATCACGTTAGTTGTGTGTTACTTTCAGTGTGTTGCTCTCAATGAGTTTTTGTGAGTGACTAGAAATTGGTGAGGAATTGATGTGAGAGAACTGTGTGAGAGAGATTTAAAGATGAGTGAGAGGAGAGTGAGAGTGAAAATTAAAGTGAGTGAGAGCTGGTAACCTTTCACTGGGAAGTTTCACTTTGGAAATTCATTTGTTGTTGCGATAATTGACCGACTGGCTTCTGCAAGTGAATTTTGACGACCACATGTCGCCTTGCTCGCAATCCCGTGAGACACCGACCTCAAGTTGCAGCTGGTGTTGACTGACAGGCACATAACCTGACTCTGAAGGAACCACGCTACCCCCAAAACATGGAGGTTGTGAAAATTGGGGGAAGAGATGGGAATTGGAGATACTCACCTAGAAGTTCAGTGAGAGAAGACAAGGAAGTACATGATGTTCTCACTCATGCTGCTCAGGGAGTGAGAAGGAATGCATGCTCAGGGCTCAGGGCTTGAGTCTCGAGTCTCTCAGAGACGGTAACATTACCTTCGCCAACCAGGCCCAGAACAAGCATACCAGGGAATGAAAGGGAAAGCAGAGGCATGACAGAGTGTGAAGACAGTATAAAGTAATTAGTTACTCACGTAGATATTTCCTGAAGGCAAGTCAGAGTCCATCTCCATCTCCATGGTTGGTTGCTGGTTTGCTAGTTTGGTTGTTTGTGGAGAAGTAAAGATGTTGAGGGAAGAAAGACGAGAGAGGATAGAAGAGAAGAAGTAAGAGTCTTAAAGGTAGATCAGGATTCGGGACGGTTGAAATTGCTGTGTGTCTCCATCAGTACCTACATCACCTTCGTCTCCTTCTATTCATATACATCCCTTTTCGTCAATAGCAGGAACCATTCACCTCAATCCTGCCTATTCCCGCTCCTCCATGACTATCAAGACCATCAATTGAATTTAATTGAACCTGCCTTGGTGCCCACACTTCCAGCAATACCACCAGTCCCCATTCTATAACTATTGGTTCTCGAGAATAGCCCCAATGAGCTTGGGAGGAGGGTCGGGCCGCTCCATAGACATATAGCACGCTCCAGTGTCCCTATTCAATTATATATGATGCAATGATATCCGAAATAGGTATACAACACAAGAGCTCGATGATCTGGGTCCACGCACCGGCTGCTTTCAACAAACGAAGCCGGTAGACTTAGGGATGAAACGCAAGATTGGAAAGCCTCCACCGGTATGTGCCCTCAGTGCAATCCGCTCGCCGCTACAAGCCTTTGACCGTCGACATTCTCACTCAGTTATATTGAACAGACGACCAGTCTTCGAGCTCGCCGAATTTCATTCTGTCAACGCCGTCTCTTGACTAGCTTGAGGCGCCATTCTGCCAGTGCGGTCAGTGTCGGATGGGGCGGACGATAGACATGTCGATCAGGTCGTGACTTCCATGACTTCCAGTACTATTCTCGAGTCCTCTGACCGGTTCTGTTAGCATTGTAGTTCGTTGTAAGGTAGTTGAGCGGATATCAGCTACCTTGCCTCCATCCGTACGGACATGCAGGAAGAGTCGGTCTGTGTATGTTCGCTAATTCCATACTTCTATACCGGAAAAATCAAATCAAATGCATTATATCCTTTCTTGAGCTGGTGACTACTCTGGAAGCGCACTTGGAGACCAGTATACTGCCCAGCAACGCAGTTCTGTGTCTTCGCCTGAATGGAAATGTCCCATGCCCAGTATGATGTACTTTGCCGTCCACCCTTTGCGAAAAGGACTTCTAATGACCCCTCGCCATTTCTTTTGTTTTTGAACTCATCCCATATTGAAAATTTTCTGGGCAGGAATAGATTATAGATGCCCGATTTGCTGATTGATTTTCATTCTAGATTCTACTGTGTCCGTTTCTGGCCAAAGCGCAAGCTTGATGCATTGATATGCAGCGGAATTGAAGGCATTGTCGCTTCTAAAATTCTCCAGTGGACAACTCAGCTATGACACACCTTAATGCTAGTACCGGAAAGGCATGAAGGGGTAGAGGGACTTCATCATATTGGTGTCGCATGCGATCGATGGAGAACTAGATTGAATCGCGTACTTGGATACTAGAACGAAGATCCCCCCAGATATACCTCATCATACAACATAACTATAACAGCCATTCAAGCATAGAACATTCGCTTGGCAGGCATTGCAAACTTGAAGCTTCTATCATTGACTTGGATAGATGTAACTACGAATATATGCCCACATGGCGAATTGTAAGAACACTCGCAAGGGACTCAAATATACCATAAGGTTTGCAGAAAACTTTTGTCAAGCCGGATATTGCCCTTCTTGACAAACATGAGAAGAAGCAGATCGATCGCTAACTAGTTGGTTGGCTACTACGGGTAAGATGTGATCGGGAATCCGGGATGTTTCGAGTGAAGCTAGGCGTTGTTTCATGTTTGCACCTGCCAGCACTGGGCAGGTGGTAATGTCAAGAATTAGTAATAACTCGAAGATCTGCCAATTGGCTAATTAAATCGAAGTCTTAAGCTTCACCTACGGAGTTTATGGAATACGGGGAGATACACGTGAGAGAGACGCTAATACTCCGTATTCCGTACCTAATCTCGGGTTGATGGTTGACAGCCGGTGATTGGTTGAAATGGAGTTAGACTGATGAATGTAACCACCTCCTTTGTTTCCAATCTCTCCCTTCTACAATGCTCATACTCACTGTTTAGTCGCTCATTCGCACTGCATTCGTTCTTGCTTTCTGCTCTCTCCTTCCTCCTACCCGTGAAAGGAACAGCGACTCCCTCTCGCTGTTTACCTTTCATCCGCTCCTTCGACCGCGACATCCTCCCCCTGTTTGCTTCTCTCTCCACCAACACGGGGTAGTCCATCCAGAAATACACTCAGCGACATCACGGTCTGATATTCAAATCAAAATGAAGGTAGGTATCTGTCTAGCATTAGTCTCCTCCAGCTAGACGCGCACCCCCTTCCCGTATATCCGATGCTGACCCCCCATTAGACCTCCCTCGCCGCCGGCGCACTCGCGTCCCTTGCGACGCTCGCCGCCGCGGTCAACCCCGTCAAAATCGCCGGCTCTCAATTCGTCGACTCCGTCACCAATAAACGTGTCATGATCATCGGCGTGGACTATCAGCCAGGCGGGCAAGCCGGATACAAGCCGGACGAGGACCGGGACCCGCTCAGCGATGCGGAAGTCTGTCTGCGTGACGCGACAATCATGCAGCAACTGGGCATCAACACCATCCGGGTGTACAATGTGGACCCGACCCTCAACCATGATGAGTGTGCGAGCATCTTCAACTATGCCGGGATGTACATGATCGTCGACGTCAATGCGCCGTTTGGCGGCGAAAGTCTGGATCGGAGTGATCCCGAGGGGTCATACCATGTGGGATATCTGTCCCGGACGTTTGGGGTGGTGGAGGCGTTCAAGAATTATCCCAACACGATGGGCTTCTTCGCGGCGAATGAGGTCATGAACGACATGGATACCGCCGAGAAAAACCCTCAGTATATCCGAGTAAGTCATGCCTTCGATGAGTGACTGGAAACCGCACTCTCTAACAAGTTCGTGTGAACCTAGGCCATCCAACGCGACATCAAGAACTACATCGCCAAGAACAGCGAGCGCGCCATTCCCGTTGGTTACTCGGCCGCTGACGTGCGTCCCATCCTGCAAGATAGCTGGGCCTACTTCCAATGCAAGATCGGTGACAACGACGTCTCGCGCTCCGACTTCTTCGGCCTGAACTCCTACAGCTGGTGCGGTGCCGACGCGACCTTCGAGTCCGCAGGATTTGACAAGCTGGCCACGATGTTCGAAAAGACCAGCGTTCCCGTCTTCTTCAGCGAATACGGCTGCAACGAGGTGACACCACGGTCGTTCAACGAAGTACAGTCTTTGTACGGGACTAAGTTGACGGCGTTGTCTGGTGGTTTGGTGTACGAATACAGCCAGGAGGAATCCAACTACGGCCTGGTGGACTCGTTCGACAACGGCACGGTCCACTTCCGCATCGACTACGACAACCTGAAAAACCAATATAGCAAGCTTGACATCGGCCTCATCCAATCCACCAGCCCGTCCGCGGCCTCGCAAGACCCGCCCCAATGCGACAAGTCCCTCATCACCAACTCCAAGTTCTCCAGCGAATTCAACATCCCCGACACACCCGACGAGATCACCGAGGTCATCAACTCCGGTCTGTCGAACCCCAACCAAGGCAAGCTGGTTCCCGTCACCAAGACGGACGTCGTGGGTGACATCTTCGCGGTCGACTGGACCCCGATCCAAGGGTTGAAACTCGTGGAGGTGAAGGACGGCGAGAGCAATCTCCCGAGTGGGGCGAGTGGGAGTGGGACGGGCACCTCGGGCGGGCCGGAGCCGACTAAGACGGGTGCCGCGAGCGCGATGACGGTGAATTCGATGTTTGCGTTGGTGGCTGCGGCCGTGGTGTTGGTGGTGAGCTTGTGAGGTTGATGGGACATGATGAATGGAAGGGAAGTGGCCTAGCAAGGAGTACATAAGGTCGGGATTCTGCTGTGCATGGGATCTTCGGCTTGTTCGTCTGCGTGGCATGTCGAGGTAAAAGGTTTTGATTCGTGTAATATTCTTCTAATTGTCTGCTAGCGACTTTCGAGTAGCGAAGCATGGTGTATGAGACGGCATGGCAAATCATTCGAACGACTATCTATTCCTTACCATAACCATTGAACAAGGACCGCTTTTCTCTACTACTAAAGGCCTTGTCAAGATGTGATTCCATCCTTGCACGCCTTGTTGCGGACTTTGTGACTGCGTCCATGTACGGCGGTAATTGGGCGTATCCTTTCCAATTAAAGTCTCGAATATACAGCCGCATACGCGTCTAGAGATACCCTCCTTATCGCACCGGCAGTCATCATATCTTGTGTCCCATCTTGAACACCTGTACGGTATTGTGGCGCTCCCGAATGCGGAGGTTCGGCTGCTGGTGGAAGCCTATCTTAACGCCGCCTATCTTTAACGCCGATAATTCTGCGATCCGCATGAGAGCGGGGATATTACGTTTTCAGACGCCATAGTTAACCTGTAGTATCACATATACCCCGAGCAGACTGCTCTAAGCAGAAGTGTAAATTCCGAATCTATTCCTCCTAGCGACCGATAGCTCCGCAATGCTCATTTATAAGTGTTGTGTCCCTCAATTCGCCCGACTAACCCCTCCGAAGCTCGCAGTTCAGTCAATCCTCCATCTCGGATCTTCGAGAGTACAACCGTTCTTTCTAAGCACCTTCCCCAAAGCGTCAAGTCCTCCTTTTGGCCCTCCTATTTCCTCTCATTATTTCCATTCCTCCATCATGGCATCCAATCCCATCCCATCCACGATGGCCGGTGTGCAAATCGCCGAGAACGGCGACACCTCCGTCCTGCAATACACCACCCACCTCCCCGTCCCGGAGCCCCAACCCGGACAGATCCTCGTCAAGAACGCCTTCATCGGAGTCAACTACATCGATACCTACTTCCGAACCGGCCTCTACAAAGCCCCCTCCTTCCCCTACATCCTCGGCCGCGAAGCCGCTGGCACCGTGGCCGCGCTCGGCTCAGGGGAGACCTACGGACTGCAGCCCGGGGACCAGGTTGTCTTTATGCAGGAGGGCACGTATACTGAATACGTCACGGTGGGCGCGGACCGGGCATACAAGCTCCCGGACGGGATGAAGCCGGAGATCGCGTGCGCGGCCATGTTGCAAGCGCTAACGGCATGGACGATGATCCGCGAGGCGTACGAGGTGAAGAAGGGGGATTGGGTGCTCGTGACAGCGGCGGCGGGGGGCGTGGGGGGGTGGCTGTGCCAGTTGTTGAAGCATATAGGTGGTCGGACTATCGCCGTGGCGAGCGACGAGACGAAGAGGGAGATGGCGAGGAATTATGGTGCGGAGGTGTCGGTGGGGTATGAGGAGGAGGAACTGAGGAGGGTGGTGAATGAGAAGACAAACGGTGAGGGCGTCAAAGCTGTGTTCGACAGTGTTGGTGCATCCACGTTTGATTTGACTCTGAGCTTGGTGGCGCGGAAAGGCACGATGGTGAGCTTTGGCAACTCGAGTGGAGCGGTGCCAGCGTTCCAAATCGCGTAAGTACCTGGGTTCATTGGATGTTGAAACTACATGCCAGGGCTAACATCGATCCAGCCGGCTCAGCGCGAAGAACATCAAGCTGCTCCGATCGAGCTTGTTCCCTTATATCCAGACCAGGGAGGAGTTCCAGAAGTACATGGGCGAGGTGGTCGACTTCCTCATCCACCACAACATGGGATGTAAGATCCATGAGATCTATCCGTTGAAGGACGTTGCTCGGGCACACGCGGTAAGTTCAGAGACAACGATGGCGTGGATTCCCGCTAACATTTATAGGACATTGAAAGCCGTAAGACAACGGGAAAGCTCCTTTTGAAGCCTTAAGTGGCATGGAATCAATTCAGCCGCTGGTGCGACTATCTTCGCTCCTGTCTGTTGAAGGATAGGTTTATCTTCCCCTTCTCCAGTGTTACCAGTGACCCGTGACTCCCCTGAAGCAAATTGATCGTGCGCCACTTATTCCGCCATGTTATCCTTCCGCTCCGCCTTCTCCTGCTCCTCTCTGCTCTTCAGCCATCGGGGCTGCCTCCACTTCTTGACTTGAATGTCATTTAATAGCAACGTATAGAAGCTTGGAAATGCCGCCAACACTTCATCCAGCCACCAGTGCCCCTCTTCTACCATCCGAATCACCCCGCTGATCTTCATCCCCACGAAGCAATGCGCGAGAAGGTCGTCCTCGAGGTGAACCACGATCTCGCCTGGATTCCAGCGCTTCTGCTCGGGCATATCTCGCGGCCGGAACGTCTGAAGGTCCCAGAGCTTGCAGCGAAGTGTCCCTAGTGGCTTTAGGTGCATCTTCTTCCGGACTTCCGCGTTATGCTGGTGGTAGAGCTCTTTTACCTCTTGGCTTGGCGGTTCGATCGCGGTGATTTGGAGGCCCACTTCGCGGCGAACGTTGGGGATAAGCGCTTTGGCGCGCTCGACCCAGGTTTCTTCAGCGTCGGAAGATGGACCATCCTTGCACTCGCCATTGCCGTTGTTCTTCTCCGTCTCATCACCGGCAGGCTTGTCAATGATAGCAGCGAACAGCTTCTCCGATGCAATCGCGGCCAACCCAGCCAAGACGCTGACCTTCGCCATGTGATAATTCATGATGATGCCGTCCCACGCCTGTGCGCGAAGCTCCTTAATGTCCACCATCTCATCCCCTTCCCCGTAAATGGGGCCGTAGTAGCCATCAAACAGCGTCGACATGGCGATATTGAAAGGGCCGGGAAGCTGCGGGCGAAGGGGGATCAACTTTTGATATTCCTCGTACGCCAACCCGCAGACGGAGCGAGCGGCGAGGATCTCTTGGCTGTACTCGGGGCATACGTTGTGGTGGAGGAACCAGTTGTACATGTTCATCATGACCTGGGTGGCAGTCTTCACATTGTCGGTGGATAAATGGATGATGTTCGGAAGGCGAGTAGAGCTATCGAAGGTCAAACGATTGCATAACCAATGGAACCAGCATGGCAACGTACAGAAACCCCTTCGCCACGCCCTCGAAATCCACCACCCACTTCGTCCGATCATCTTTATCCTCGCCAGGGAACAACGTCGATGTCATCAGCGCGATTTCAGGCGCGTCGTAATTCTCCAGCTCCTTCGGGTCGTTCCCCTGAAACTGACGCTGACCGGCATCCCAGCCACTGTAGCGAAACCACGCGCTAAAGATCGCCCTGGTCGTTTGATGGAACTTCCTCCGCGAGCTGTAGCGCTGCACCGCCGCCTCCATGCGCGCGTCGATCGGGATGCTCGAATCGTAGCACTGCGCATCGTCCTTGTACTCCGCCGGCGTCACGGGCGGGTCCGCGTACCATTCCTCGAACCCGGTCGGCTTCAGCATCCCCTTGGTCATCAACGGGTTGTTCGACGTTGGTCCCTTAGGATTCTCGGGGAAACCTAGATTCGGTGGAGGCTTCTTGTACGTGGGCTTCCCTTCCGCATTGATTACCTCTTCGAGGATCACGGGGATTTTGCGCTTGATGAGTTTGTCGTCGACGACGTCGAGGTAAATGCTCTTTTTCAGCGCGGCGACGACGGCGCTGTAGGGCTTGTACTTCCGCATCATGGCGAAGCTGCAGATTTTCTTGATGGAGACGGGAAGGTTCTGGGAGCCGCAGCATTTTTCGAGGAGGTACGCGTCGTTGGGGAGGTTCTCATCGGAGAAATAGTACTCGACCTGGGGGACGTCAATATTAGTGCGGACTGATATGTTGAAGATAAAAATTGGCACCGGATGGAATAGAACAATGCTCGCTGCGTGAATACCAGCCGCAGATATTTATGATACGACTGAAATGGAAACCCTTACCTGCCGACGAACATCGTCACCTTGAGGGTGGTCCTCGATGTGAGGAAGCTCCTGAGTCTCCATCCTTGGAAGCAGTTGCGCTTGATCTGAGGAAGAAAAGCGCCCTCAACTACACGATTATGAAAAAAGTAAGAACAGGGGTGAGAGGTGAGAGACAGAAGATTGGCCTCTCGAAGTGAAATCGAAAATCAAGAAGCAACCATTTCACTGAGCGACTTCTGCAGTACCGGCAGGCTGCATGTGAGAAAACCGAACGTGAAACTTCAGACGGAGGCAAACGGACTGGAAAATCCCCAGATTGATGATGATAGCCTCTTTCAGTGTCATAGAGACCTATTAGGTAGGTATTGATTCCGTGGTGCTTCCATTGTCATTCGATGCTGCGGATTTGGAGCAGCATATGTATGCCTCAACGCCTCGATATTCCTATCGCCAGTCAAGCATGGACAAGAGGAGCTTGACCGAGTGACCAACTGCCGTACAAACTCACCAACGCCGGCACGCTGTTGATATCCTCCAATACGCCGTCAGTTGTCCTAGTCTAGCCCATCAAACGCCAATTCCGCCACCCCCCCGTTGGGCAGATTGCCCTTCCTCTTCGGCTTCTTCGTCGGCGATGGTTTGTTCCTGGACGGCATATCCATCGAGCTGTCCGAATCGTCGTCGGAATCTTCTTCATCCTCGCTTTCGGGAGCCCGCTTGGAGTGGCCATTGGCACTGACTGTAGCCTCCTGATCCTCCTCCTGCTCCCCCTCCTCATCCTCCTCCTCATCTTCCTCTTCGCCCTCGCCTTTCTCATGCCACACCTTCAGCACGCACCCCCCACCAGTGATCAGCCTGCCAGCCACGTCATACCCGATCGCCGTGACATCCTCCTTCACCTCATGCAACAGCTCCCCCACCACTCTCCTCGCCTTGATATCCACTAACTTCACCCTCCCCCACCCATCATCACTCATTCCCATCCCAATCGCCGCCACACTCCCCTTGACTCCCCCGCACCCCGCGGGCAACACCGCGAACGTCTCCACCGTCTCGTTCCCCCCACCTAGATTAATCCGCTCCCCCCAGCTATCCCAATGGCCCCGCTCCCATATCATCACCTCCCCTTCCCCAGACCCCACCAGGATCTGATCCCCGCGCCCCTTCCGCCCGGAGTGCGGCACGTACGCCGAGCACATCAGCTCCTCGCCTACGTCGTCGCTCTGCGCGAGCACACCGCGCCGCAGGTCCGTCACGGCGACGGTGCCGCCGCCGGTGCTGAGCCATTGCTTGCTGTAGCCGGAGGTGCTGGTGTCGGAGGGGGGGAAGGGCGTGATGGAGGAGATGTGGGAGGGGGCGTGCGGGCGGTGGGTTTGCTGGGGTTTAGAGGAGCGGAACCAGGTGGTGGAGTTTCCTGCAGGGGCGGAGGGGATGCGGAGGTCGTAGAGGTGGAGGGCGGAGGAATCGGTGCCGATGAGAAGGGTTTGTGGGGAGAGGACGTGGAGGACGGTGGCGGCGTCGATGGGGGAGTTCCTATACGACATCGAATTAGCCAATTGGTCGATCCATAGGAAGAACCATCATGCATAGAAAAGGTAGAGAGATGCATACTTTTCCGCCGGCAACACAATCTTACTCCTCACCACCCCCGTCTCCGTCTCCGCCGCCTTCACCACTCCATCCGCCCCCGCCGAAAATAGCGTCCGCCCATCCACGCTGAACCCCAAGCTCCGACAACTCTCCTGATGCCGCCGCGTCCGCCAGATCGTCTCGATCGTCCCGGTCCCGGACTCCGTCGTCGCCGCACTGAGCACGCTCGCGTCGCCGTTGTCGTCGGCGGCAGGGAGCCGCAGCGCCGCGACGTGGCCCGTCAGCAGGCCGACCGCGACGATGGGCTCGGTGGGATGGACGGCCTGAGCGAAAAGGTCGGAGGAGAGGGGGAGACTGCAAACGTTGTCGAACATGGTGGGCGATTGTGACGTGTGGTTTGGTTTTCGTGTTGTGACTTGTGAGGCAATTGGAATTTTTTTGGAGATCGGATAGGATGGGCGTGCAGGGATTGTGAGATGGCTAATAGCTTGCAGGGACAGCAGGGTGGAAAATTCGAGCTGAGATGGGCTGATTTGGAGCTACACGAAAATGCAATAGGACAAGTGCTACACCAGTAAGTTGTTCATGGTATTACATAGTTAGATACAACACGTCGCACCTCAGGGTGCGTATTTGGATGAATTGTGAATTCGTTGTGGAATTGATTCTCTATCGCTCATCATCAATGAATTTGAAGCCAAATGCCCTCCGACGCCGAACGATTTTTCCACTGCCTGTGGTATATCCCATATCCTAACCTCACAACTGGTTATCAAACTCCGCAAACGCCTTTATGTTTGGTCGTGTCTCAATTCAGAACGCTCATCATCGGCATCGAACATCCTACGCCCACTTCCCTAGCAGGGCCATCAACCCGGCACCTAGGGCCATCAACCCAATCGCGCTCATGACCGTCTTCGCCGGGGCCTTCGACATGGTCGGGCTAAACATGAACTCGTGCGCCATCAACTCCACCAGTCCCGTGTAGATCAGGATCCCCGCGCTGATGCTGTCGAACACCCCGTTGACGATCAGCGTGGTCTGCGACCCGGGCGCGTACGACGTCCGCACCCCCAACCCGGCCGCAATGGCGATCGGCGTGCTGAGGCCGTACGCGATAGCGAGCCCGTACGGCATGAATTTCCGGTGGGCCGGCCAGGGGATCATGGCGAGCCGGGCGCCGAGACCGAGCCCTTCGAAGGTCTGGTGAAAGACGAGGACGATATACAGGATTTTAAACTCCTCCCCGGCGACGGCGAGGGTGAGCCCAATGAAGATGCTGTGGAAGATGACGCCGAATTCGAGGATGAAGATGGAGGTCATCTGCGCGGCGAGGCTCTCAGGGGACACCCCGCCGTGCTCCGCGTCGCTGTTGTCGACGTGCGAGCGGGCGTGGCCGAAGTGGTCGGCTCCAGGAGAGAGTGTGTTGATTCTGCCTCCTTCGCGGGCCGTTCCATTGGTGGCCGTTCCATTGGTGGCCGGTTCATTGGTGACGGTGGTGGCGGTGGTTTCGGAACTTTCCACCTTAAGGGGGATAGAGGCGTCTCCAGTAGGGTGCTCGTGGTTATGCGTGTGCGTATGGGCATGTCCACCTGGCATCCCGTACCGCATGGCTACAATCTCCAAAACGAACAGGGAGAACACCGCCATTAGGGAGATCCCTTCCACCCAAGGGTACTCCGTGATGGGGCCAGTGAGACATGAAGCCGAAAGCGCCTCATGTGCGGGAGCTAGGAGATGAACGAAAGCCGTGGCGATGATCACCCCGGAGCCGAAGAACTTGGAGATGAAGAAGAAGGACTCCGGAATCCACGACCCGGCATGTCGCTGAGCGAAGACGGGAAACCATGCGCCGAAGAGCGAGCCGACCAGAATGACGAAGATGGCGGATATGCGGAGGCCCATTTGACCGTCGAACTCATTACCGGTGTCACACTGCCCGGGTTCATGGTGCTCATCGTCCATCGGGACGTGCCTGGAGAAAAGGGTCCATGTGGAGCTGAACGGATCCATGGTTGAAGAACTTTTGAGGCTAGGCCAAGATTATACAGACAACTCTGATGGACGCCTAGAGACTGGACATAAACTGCGAGGACCCAGTGCAGTGGAAGTAGATGGTAAGGACCAACAGATTGCAGTGGAAGGAGGACGCCGGACGAAATATATGCACTCAGAAATATATACGGTGACACTATAGCCGGCGTTTGTCGTGCGCAGGAGTCTCCCAATGACAATAAGAAAACGGACAATTACAAGAACAGAATTAACTGGACGAGCGTTGAATAAGAACTTTCGAATGAGGGACCGTGGAAATTCCAACGTCACAGTAGCGACCCATTGTATCGCAACCAGCACTTACCTTGATGGGTAGCTGGAGTTGACCAGTGACAGCAGCGGGAGAAATGAGTGAAAGATGAGCAAATGACATTGGACGAGCCCAGGAATGCCGCCTCTGAACAGCGGACGAGCAAATGCCCGAACTCTTGACTCCGATAAAAGAACTCTGATCTCTATGCCCTGCCCACATACCTTGATGGAAACCCAGGTAGCGCGCGCGAATAATCGATGGGGATTTATCACCCGGTGGCCAGGGTAGATGCGCTTATTACACTAGACAGCTAACTCGATAAGATATTGCAGATGGGCGGATCCGGGACCCAAAGATCTTCAAGGGCGGAGGAAAATTTAAGCGGCGAAACTGCGAAAGCCTCGCCGCATGCGTGTTGCGTCAATCTTACTACGTAGTATGTATGTAGTTCCCGCCTAAGATGAAACAGGCCTTAGGAAAATGAAGACAGGCCAAGGAACTGACGACTTGGAGGCTTGGGGAGTTGGTTCATTTGAAGACTGCACTGGTTCCTACCAATTCGTCGTGTATATCAAGATTCGACTGCAACTGTATTGTCATTCCGAGTTGACGGAATCTAGGTGCCCAACAGCACGAGGCGTACCACCACGTCCACAGTCCAACGTTCGGGCCCTTGCATTGGCTGGGAATTGAACAATTCGTCACTCCCGAGACGTTGGATAGCAGTGTGAAAAGCAAACTGCTACCGTGAAATGATAAGAAATAAATCCGCCAACCCACGTCCCAGTCCCAAGCACCGATTGGGCTCCGCCAACTCACATCTCGAGTTCTGATGGCTTCGATGATGTTGTGGACGGCGTCGACTCGGAGTTCGGCTGGGAGGTTCAGGAAAACCAGGAATCGCCCAAGGTGGCGTTGGAGGCGTCCAATGAGGCGGCGATATCGGCTGGATTAGCTTGATTAGCAAATACATTCCGTACAGCATGCAGCCGCTGGCCATCAAGGTATGTATCATCGAATGTCTATCAACGTCCTCTCATCAATTCATATTGTTTGGCAATGCACCATCAATCGGCTCACTGCATCAAACAAAGAAATCAGCTGGACAAATGTGCATGCAGTAGCTTCCACAGTGGCATACACGTATCCCAAACTCAAGCCACATGTAGGTCATCATCAAATTAAATCACGGTTTTCAGAATGTCACTTTGGCAGATGCTGTGTGATGTGTAAACTCTTGATTCATTCCATGCTGCGAGCTTTAGTCGACAATCGCGGAATTGCTACCTCAGTAACCATGCTGTGATGATTCATCCATCAATTCTCCAGGCATCCCCATCTCTGATCAGTGCTCTCTATCCTTCCTGCACTTGATGAGAAGATGTGTGAGGCAAGCCAGCACCTATTTCTTGGGTGCCTCAGCTGCCTTCTCGCCAGGCTTGCCCGGGGAAGCCAGGGGAGCCTCGGGGGTGTCCTACAGTCCATCGTGTTAGCTGGTGATGGTGATCAAGGGAAAGGAAGGGAAAGGATAGAGTAAGGGTGTGTTGTCATACCAGTTTATTGTCAATGTCAGCAGACTGGTCAGGGTTGGGCGCAAGGTTCTGGGCCTGTCAGAGAGTGTCAGTGGTCAAACCATCGGGGTGGATGCAGGAAGGAACATACCGGTGAGGCGGGCTGATGGGGGGCAGCCGCAGGGTCGGCGTCCGGGGCACTAGTGCCAGTGTTGGTGTTGGTAGGAGCAGACATGATGACTGTTGAGAGTTGAGGTAATTGGTTGGTGGTGGAGGAAGTTGGTTGGCGATGGAGGAAGTTTGACAAAGTTGGCTGATTGCTTTGAAGCTGTTGGGATTGTAGTGGATGAGTGAGTTGATGTGAGTTGTGACGAGGAGAAGTTGAAGAGAAGTGGGAGGAACAGCTTCTTAAATAGACAACGGGGAGGAAGTGATGAGGATTTCCCAGAGACCGTAAGGCATGTGGTCACCGCGACTGCCTTGGAAATCCGTTTGCTGTGGGTGAATTACACCACTTAGTTCCGTGCAGTGACTATACTGCGTAATTTCAAACGAATTGAAGGCCTAGGATTGGAAGGAGGAGCCCATTTCACGTGGAAAGACCGCGATGCGGTGAGAGCACATTAGGCAATCGCCGTCAATGCCAGGTACGGCAGGCACGTTCTCAAAAGTTCCAGAAGCCGGAAGTCTGATGAGGGAATAGTCCTCGACTGCACTCTGCTGCACACGTAAGGGCGATGAGGGCGGTGAGGATTATGAGAACTGAGGATTGTGGGGACTGAGGGGACTGAGATCACAGTGAGAACGTCACAGCATGAGGAGACAATGGTCCATGTTCCCCTGAGGGAGAGCAAGAGATTACAACTGAACTGCAATACGATGGATTCATACTTATATTCTGTGGCTAGCTGGAGCATTGTCAACTGGGACCCTTCAGGGGCAACCTGAGTTGAGGGAGTACTATTTGTACGCAGCAAGAATATGGCCGATAGAGGAGCAACAGCACTCACTGAAAGAACCACAGATATCTCCATAGCGGCACTGGAGTCAAATATCCAATTGCCCTCCAACCCTGACGATCTAATTCAAGCAGCCAGACCATCGGACTGCGCGTTGTCAATCCTCTCACCGACTCCCTCATCCACCTTCAACTTGCCCATCTCCCCAACTGCATCAACATCCCCCGTCCCCCTCCTCATCTTCCTCCCCTTCTTTCCCCCCCTAGCCTTCCTCCCCTTCCCCGCCCCCTCCGCCGGCTCCGGAATTTCCACCACCCACCGCGCGATCAGGTCCACCCGCTCACTCGACCGGAACCCCGCCAGCGCCCCACCGCTATCGAACGTCGGCGTCAGCATCGGCTCGTCCCGCTCCAGCTTCCGGATCTCGTCCGTCAGCCCGTTATCCGTGCTCTTGCGGCTGGGTTCCGTGCCTGCGGATGCGGACGTTCCGCCGGGACCGCATGGCTTGGCGGTGGCCACAGCGTGCGTACGGCCATCTCGCTCCGCGGCCTTGCTGGGGCTGGGAACAGCGTCGCTGACGCTCGAGAGTCGACACAGCCCCTCCCAGCCGCCCGCGCCAGTGGCCACATCGAGCCAGTTGTTGGTCAAGTTGAGCAGCTCGACCCAGTCGGCGCGGGCCGGGCAGCGGGTAGAGGTGGCAAAGACGGGGTAGCCGTCCACGAGGTTGGAGAGGCGGGCGACGTTGTGCGCATGTCGGCGGAGTTCCGTCGGGGGCGTCTGCGCGAGGCTGTGGGCCAGGAGGAGGGAGTGGAGCGCTTCGGTGAGCAGGGGGTGGAAGGTGAGGCTTTCTTGGAAAGGTGGGGGGAGGTCGAGGCGGTGGCGTGCGGAGGTGAGGGGGAAGGGAGGGAGATCGGAGGGTGGGGTGGGGGAGAAGAGGGCGGAGGCGGAGTAGATTTTGGGAACCCATTCCTTGCCGTTCTCGTGGGTGAATTGGGCAATTTTCTGGGTGAGCTCTCGGTGGGTGGGAGGTTTGCGATACGGCGCCAGGGAATCGGGTGACGACGCTTCTGAGTTGACGGAGGTGGAGGCCGGGGAGGTTTGAGGTGTACTCGAGCCGTTAACCGGATGAGATGTGTAGCCAAGGACTTGCTCGACGAAACGATCCGCAACGTCAAAAGCGAGACCCGGCGTATAATCCAGTAGGTTCAGAAAGGAGACTAGGTCTCGGATCGCCCTCCTTGCGTAGGTCCGGACATGGGTTTGTGCCTCCAACTTCCTCTGCAGAGCAGCTCCCTGGGCACTGCTCGATTCACTATTCTCTGGCAGATGTCCGGTCTGCTCCTCCTTCGGTGGTTCCTCCAGCGCAATGTAGACGTGCTGACAAGCCAAAGCAAGATAGACATATGCCCTGTGGAACAGCAACTGGCCTTCCAAGCTGCTAGGCTGGTCCACCTCCTCGATCTTATCGCGGTGCATCAGCCGTTCCCTCTGCTCTTGCCCCTCCGTTTGCCGCACAAGTTGACTTCGGTTCGCCCGATGCTGCGCTTCATGATGCCGATAGATCTTCAATGCGGCCGTAAAATCCCTCGCTGCACCCGCATAATCCTCCTTGAATATCCTCACGAGCGCTCTCGTCCGGAGCGGCGCCGGATCCGCCGAGCAATCGGCACTGACGTCGTCTAGCACATCCAGGGGCGAATGCTGCGCCATCATCCGCGACGGGATCTTCTCGTGGAAAAAGTGCACGTATTTCGCATCCGCCTCGTCCGAATTCCGCTGCAACACCAAGTGGGCGACTTCGTCGATCGTGCTCGTTGCCTGCATCGTCGCCACGCTCGTCGCGATTTCGTCGGTCCGATACGCGTGCGCGAGCTGCCGCGCCGCCATCTCTCGCATGCGGTATTTCCGTTCGCGGCTCAGCTCTGTGGATCCATGCCCATTATACCCCAATCCAAGCGCCGCGGCACCCGTGCGGTTCACCACCCCTTGGGAGAAGTTCGCCGAGGAGCTCATGGCGGCGGAGGTAAGCCCGCTGGCGGCACGCACTGCCAGGTTGGACGCTTCGTCGACCGCATTGCGGATCTTCACCAGGTCGAAACAGACCGCGGGATCGATGGTACGCGGGCGAGGGGAAAGGTAGTTACTGTGGGCGATGGTCTCGAGGATTTCCGGGGGGAGTTGAAGCCATGGCCCGTGGTACGCCGAGATATATCTCCAATGTCTGTATCCGCGGAAAGACGCATTAGTACGGATCGAGGAGGAAGTACGGCAGAGATCTAATCAGATAAACGGCAATCAGACTCACTCACTTATTCCGGCATATCAACAATGGAGGAAGAGACTTCGAGCTCGGCTTGCTTCCTCGTGATTGCCCGTCTATTTTCGTCGCATTGGGAACATTCTCGGCGTCCCCTCCTGGCGAATCTTTCTTCTTTTTGGCCATTTTAGGGAACGGACATGGCCAATTGGCTCATAAAATCCGCTTTCCACGGGCTTCGTACTCTCCCGTCATGCAATTGCGGGATATCTACCAAAACCGAACAAAATTTGAGGTCTTGAGAGCAATCCGTGATAGAAGGTCCGAGCGTCCCCGAACAAAACAGGTTACAGGTGCAGCTGAGACGAATCAACTCCATCTCAAGGAGATGATCCAACTGCATCTATTTTGGTATTGTACATCGCATCTAGGCAAGTATCGGTATTTATAGTTGCTCTCATAAATATGGATTGTTTCGTTGGTACTTGAATATTATCCGTCATCAATTTTCTGACTGCACCATATCAAAGCAGATCGGGAGACCGCGAGAGCAGAGGATTCGAGAGCAAAACAATTCCATCTATATTTCGCTCTCTCCGAGCGCTTTCAAGACCCCTCGGACAATCTCCACAGCATCGACTTCTTCGAGTCCGACGATTCCATTATCTGCCTCTTCTTTCGTCGCCACCACCGACCTATGCGCTCCTTTTTGGAACGTCTGCACCGCAACAAACCCCTGAACGGCCTTCCCGGCTTCTCCCAGGCGCATTGCTTCCTCCGAATTTTTTAGCACATCGTTCGAGCTGACGAACTCATTCGCCCATTTCACCTGAGTGGCGTCATTGAAGGCGTGCAGCAGCTCCAGTTGTGTGGTCTGCACTGACCGAAGGCGAAGGAAGCGGTTTGCCGTTTTGGAGGGATTTGCAAGACTCCCCGCAACAGCTAGACCGATGTCCGCGATTCGTGTCCCGGTAAATGGTTCTGTTCCATCGTCATAAAGACGAGCTGTCCGGTTGGGTATGTCGAAGCCCATCGCACCTGGGAACTTGATAATTGCCTGGAACAGATCAGTTCGATGCCTCTTGCTGTAATTTCTACTCAAGTTGACCCCATACAGATGGAAAGAAGTGGAAAATGAAGCTGGCATTCTATAAATCTTTTCGGGCAACAGAAAAAGGGATCGATGGTAAGTATCTTGTATCCGAAGTATACAAGAACTCTTGGAAACTGAACCGAAACGAATGATGCTCGACTTACCCAGTCAATAATACTCCCCACTGCTACAGCGCTCCACTCGAACTTTCCCTTGCTCTCATCCACTCTCATCTTTGCATGATTCAGTACCTTCACTTTCATTTCCCTCGCGGCTTTCAAAGACGGCACATCCAGCCGACCTTGCACATCTTCCGGCGCATTGCCGAACTCACTGAGCATAAACCTTTGCACTCCCACATCGGCAGCCGCATCGATCATTTGGATCTGCGCGGAAATGCCCCCTATCGAAATCGCGGAAACAATGGCATCCTGTCCCGTGAAGGCGGAGCGGAACGTCTCGGGCGTGTACTCGGCGGCGATGATCTTTAGCTGGGCAAGAGTCGCGGGAGGAAACACGGATGTGGAGGATGCAGAGCGAGTGAGAATGGTGACGGTGAAACCATGTGAGAGCAGCGCAGCGATGATAGATCGACCAATCTCGCCTGTCGCCTATTGAGACTTAGTGATCGTCCTGGGGATGGGTTTGTAGATGGGGTTTCTATTCTTCTTACCCCAATCACAATGACTTTCTTGATCTCAGACATTTCCGAACAGGTTCTGCGTGGAAGGGGAAAGGGATAATTGACTTGAGGAAGAAGTTATTCGGCTTTGACCAATCAAAACAACTCTATAACTTTGACTATGAGGCACTAGCGGTAGTGAGCGCATAGAGCGAGGTTCTAATTAGTGAGTATCCCATCTGGCCTTCTTATATTCCAAGCATCGCCAGTTGATGCTCTGGACTGATTTCAAAGCATCCGATGAGGTTCATCATATCTGCTGGGTCGAGTCACCGATGCATAGAGGCTAGTCCGATAGCGATGGATCAACAGTATCTTTTAGGCATCAGTCGTAGTTCAAAGGTCCCTCAATCCTCAGATTGTTTGTTGCCTGATACTTCCTGAGTACACTAGTTGCTAGCTGCTTATGCGCCCAATCACATACTATGTACGTACGTATCAGCACTCCAGCAGCTAGTGGTCGCCGAGACGTTGACAAAGTCAGTGACGAATACGTCCAGGGCTCCGGGGTACGAGATTCCATTCTCCAACCGCTGCGATAGCGTCAGGGGCAGGCTGAGGAAATTTGGAATCTCGGTCAAGCGACCCGGAAATATATATTCTTGTGTTGGTGCCCCGGTGCCCCTGTTGAACCGTTTAGTAGCGCAAAGCCCAGCGGGAAATCTGTGGGGTGTCAACTTGTGAATTCAGAATTGTGACTGGAGTTGTGACAGATTTGGCAGTGACTCTGAGTAAGGGACATGGAGAGCTTCGGACGACGGTGGCGTCGGGATCCAGACACCGAACCACCCGCCAGCTGTTCTGGTTTCGTATTGAATAGTAATACAAAGGTACCACGCGATGCACTCTAATATCCTAATCAAAGGCATTCTATTACCTTTTAGAATCCATCGTCTAATCAGTGGTCCCATCGGCCTTTGCAACCATACGACACACCGAGGGGTCATCCATCCTTTTGTGCTTACTCCTTCTGTCCTGCTCATTCCTGCAGCGCTCAAACGCCGGGAAAGTTTCTGCGCTTCGAAGGCTTCGAAGTTCGCAGTCGAGGCCATGATGAAGGACGAACGATCCAATGAGGTTTGCAGCTAGCAAGCACGGAAGTCTTATGGAACGTAGGAAGAAGTTAATCGAAGACAAGGTACAGCCCGTGGCTGAGTGGCACCATGGGTTGGTGCGAGGGCAAGACAAAGAGGGCAAGCGGTGTTTCAACCTGCGAAACATGCGCAATTCTGGAATTCCTGATGGCTGATGATGATCCGATCGAATCGTCGGAGGCTCGGAGCCCATAATTTTGGATGGTCGTCGCTTGTCGTCCTGTCGTGGTCTCAATGCCAGTGTTCTCGATGTTTACGAAAGTACGAGGAGTAATCAAGTTACGTAATCGAAACCTTTACTCCTGAATATGTACAGCATTGTACTACATAGTACTATTTTCTAATAGTAAGTAGGAACTAACTAGTACCTGATAGTAGAGAACACGGCCTCGTGGTTCCATGGATTATTGTAACGTTGACTGGTGTGGTTTTACAGGACCAAGGACCACGATCCACGATGACTGGTGACCAACCGATGGATCGTTTCTCTTAACCCCTGACCGGCACCCGATATCCTGGCGAGGCATTACACTCCCCTTCCGTCTATTACGACTTATAATTTTCATAACTATGATTATTAACTAGTTATTACCCAACAGTCCAACAAGTAGGCTACCTCCTATCCTTTCTGTGGGCTATGGTCTTTTCTCCATGGCCCCAACAAATTCAGCTTTTCCGAGCATGTAAGATTATCACACACTCGATCAGGGCTTGGCCGGTGTCATCGTGCCATCTGTGGCCTGTCCATCGGAATACCCCCGCTTGAAGGCTTGAGGGTTACCAGGTACTCGTTACAGATTAAGGTGCCGGTTGATTATCTCATAACTCTGTCCCTGACAAGACAATTAGGTCTCGCTCGGTTCCTGGATATCCATCTGCGACGATATAAGTGCCGCCATGGTGCCCGTGTCATACCATGCCTCGGGGACAGCTCCTTGTTGGCTGTTTCATTTGGACTTACATGATGAGATGCTCATGGTGCCGATGCGGATCATCCTTCAAGGAAGCCCGGGGAAGGAATTAGGAAACTCATTATTGGTACCCCTCAAAACGGTCGAAAGCTGATCTCCTATGACACCGAATCCTGCGAATCCAGAAGGCCATCGCAGAATCGTGTCTGCAGTGGTAAGCGTCATCGTCCACCCCACAGGCGGTTGACTTCAACTGGCACCACAAAGGATTTTATTGGTTTCCGAGACGGAGAGTCACTGCATGCGCCTAGCCTGCCATAGATACAGTGTCCAACCCTGTTCTTTCTCTGTCAGACTGTCGGATTAATGTTCGGATATGCTCTATAAGACCTGAATTAAATGCCCAGTTGATAGGCAGTCCAGTGCCCGTGGCATAGGCTCTCGAAACTGCTTATATAATCACGCCACTTCCTTGGCGAGCAATAACTTTTGAAATGGACCTCCGTACGGAGTAGAGAGAAAGTCTTTGCCTCCTTGGAAGGGGTTCGATTTCACTATTCCCACGGCACCCAGGAGATAGGATTTGTTCCTCCTCGGAAGCTTGTTCAATGCTGATACTTTTTGACCTAGTTAGTTAATGTCTAGCTACTGTCTACGATCTATCTCTTAATTAGCGAACCAGGCTAAAGAGAATTACTGTACGGAATGCCAATATTCTGTTAAGAGCGCCTCTGCCACATGCTGGGCCACCGGCTTCCGCAACATGAATACAGAAATACATAAGGTACCGAGTGCCCACTATCCAGATGGTCGGTCGCATGCTGGTAGTTGAGAGATCGTAAGCAGGGTGATCCCCGCCATCCGCGTTATTCCCAAACCCGAGCACGAAATTCGGCTGAATGGGGTACTGATGAATGACAAAATAAGGAATAAAGGAAAAGCCAGAAAAAGATGGCGCTTGCTCTTGCAGTGAGTGATTCGAGCAGCTGGATGCTCCCCAAGGTGTGACAGGAGTTGCATCGTGAGCGAATCAGGGCCACCCGAGGACCTGAGCAGAGAGGCTTGGTCCAATTAAATATAAGCCCTTCTTTTCTTCGGACTCGGACGGTTTTCGTCATGCTGTCATGAAGCGACAACGAGTCTCGGGCTTGAAAGCCCTGAACCGAGATCAGGATACAGTCGATGCCACTATGCATGCTGAGCTTCCGCATCGCCTAGGCGAAGGCCTGTGTTCAGGTCTTCCAGAGCACGGCATGAATAGCATTCATTCACCATGGATCATATGTGCCCACTGGAAAGCAAGGTATAGGTAGTCGACCCTGCAGTCTATCGATTACCACGAGTGTACAAGTTCTACGGAATAGTTATTATCACTGGATGGACGAATCTCACAAATATGAAATGGCAAAAGATGCGCTCCACGGATACGATCGTGGTCTACGGGCGAGGCCGCGCTCTGAGCTAGCACCGATTCTCATTGGAAGAATACGACTGGTTGATGTCTCAGTTCTTGGGGTGGCTGGCGGGTGAAGGGACCCTGGAGGAGAGGGTCGAAGCGTTTGGGAATTGGGATAGTGTCGCCGCGGGCACTGGGGAGCTTCTCGGAGAATTGACCCAGTGCCACTGTGCCAGCGATATGATGTTGGATCCTTCTGGTCACTGACACCACAACTCCAAATCGGGATTGGTGTGCGGTTTCAGAGCTGCGTTTTTCGGGGATTCCCCTGGACGAGCTCGTAGCCAGGGCTGGCGATGATGCTCTCTGCTTGCAGTCTGGCTGATTCCGTACCTCCCCCCGCTGGGGCGCTGACAGATGAGAGATTACAATTCCCTCCTGTGCATCATCGTTTTGTACGGAATAAGTGCTGTCTCATCCTTTCTTCTCCAACTTCTTCCCCCGAAGGATTCTTATACCAGTCTCCGACACCCAGTCTAGCGCTCCGGAGTCGAAATCGCACTATCTACTACCCGCTGTCCCGCATCGTTAGCCTGTAGTCGAACACGTTGCTGCAAAGTGTAACCCTTAGCCCAGACCACATCCAGGTTTTCCGTAATCGATGCCCCAGACAGACCCTGGGGCTATCCTTGATGTCCTTCACGCCCGCTGGCTCCCCCAGTCTAACTAAACCGCTATTGCTTCTGCTGGTGCTGCTGGACACGGGACGCTGGTGGTTCTACTGTCTCTGCTGCTGCAACATCCGCACAGCTTCGTCTGCTGTCTGCACGCGCTTGGGAACCGCTTCGCTGGGCTCTCTTGTTGCCAACATCATCCTGATCCCGCGCCTCTCATAATTCCCTGAAGCTCCCTCTCGTTTTTACATTCTCTTTTCGCCCATTGTCATCCTCAGGTATATCACTTCGTCGCTCGTTTTAGAATTTGATTGCGCCTACCCGATCGTTCCGTTGCCTTCGATACCATTTCGCGGCTAACATACCCGCTCCGCCTCGATCATCCAAGTCCACATCTCCAATCCACTCGTCGACCTTTGCTTCACAAAAGTCCGCTGCGATCCGCCGTTGCGGAAAGGCAAACGAACTCACCCGCAATCGTCTGGTCTTCTGCGCACCGAGCGGGTACCTGAGCCATGGATCACCAACTCCACCACATGCCTCCGCCCGTCGCTCCGAAGAGGACCGCATCTGGATCCATTCGTCCCAACAATCGCAGCGTCTCCGAACCTCACCAAGATATCTCATTTCCCATCCCGCCAGAAGTCGCGCCGCATCTCCAAGCGCTTCGAAGATTTGACCTCGAGGCCGTCATTCGATGGATCACGCTCGATCGGCAGCAAGGTAGGCGCCCTCTCCTCCATGACCGATTCTCCGAGTGTAACCACGTTTGGGATTGCTCATTCCAACATCGAGAAGTCAATACATACGTGCACTGCTAACTATTGTCTCATGTTTCAGCGCTCAACAACGTCTCTCCTGGTGCCACCTCGCAATTCCCCCATGGAATCCCTCACCATCAGCCACGTCTCTCCGTTGCGTCGTCCATCGGGAGACAGTCGACCACCTCGAGTATCTTCTCTGCGCCACCAGGCCATCGCCAATCGATTAGCTCAGCAAACACCAACTTCACCGTCCTCTCCGGGCGATCCGATCAATTCTCCCCTGCCGGCGAGTTTCAGCAATGGAACTTCGAAGGTCCCACTGCACTCCCTCAAGTGCCTCTCGCCTCGCAACAACAGCCGCAACGTCGGAATCCCATGAGTCCCACGGCAGCGCCCATGTCTCAGACGGCCAACATCGTTGGGATTCCGCGGTCGTCCCCTCGTCCTGCACCTCGAAGCGACCCCGAAAAGAAGCAGAAGTACGTCTGCACGTCATGCGAAGTCAAGTTCACGCGACGGTGGGATTGGAAGCATCATGAGGAAACCGTTCATGAGCGATGGAGGAAATTCCCGTGTCCGGACTGCAATCAGGAGTTCTGGAGCGAGAACTCGTTCAACCAGCATCATAAATCCGCCCACAATTGTAAGAACTGCCCACACGCGACCTCCGTAAAACAGGATCTCGAGAAGAGAACGGCATGGGGCTGTGGCTTCTGTGCTGCCATCCATTACGCATGGGAAGAGCGCTGCAAACATGTCGCAACCCACTTTGACAAAGGCGAATCCAAAGACGATTGGAAGCACTCCAACGTCATCTATGGCTTGCTTCACCAACCGGATCTCCTGGAAGCCTGGCGTGCGTTGCTCATCTTCAAGCACGGCCAATTCCCCGATCCTCAACCTTGTTTCAGCTGGAAAGCGAAGGTCACCGGTCGTCAACAAGGCTTCCGGGAATCGGGTTGCGGCCAACTACAAGACTTGCTCGAGTTTGCCCGTACCAAGGAATCGGTACAGTCCGTTGTACAAATGGCTTACGATAACGGCATACTTCAATCGACTCCTCCCGTCCTCAAACTTCAACGACGGAACAGCAATTTCCCCATTGCTCTCGCCGACTCCCCTCAGGCTATAAAATCCCCCCAAATGCAACCTCGAACAAAATCCGAGCCAACTCCCTCCGTGAGCCCCCCCGATGACTCTCCCGCCGCCCCCACCCCAACCACGAGCCTCCAAGACGCCTTCAACCCCGTCCAAGTCACCGTTCCCGCAAATGCCGACCCATCCGACACTGCGTCCGTCCCCATGGACCATTCCATGTCCGGCACCGACCCCAACGACGCCTTCACCGTCTACTTCGACCCCAACCAAATGCATATGAACCAATTCGGAGGTCCTCTATCATCCCACCCATCCGGCATGCCTACAGCCGCCTGGGCACAGCAACAACACCTGTCGCAATCGCAGCATATGCACCCCTTCTCCCCGTCCGGACCGTTCGCCATGGGCAACATGGCTGGCCTTTTCGTGGACAAGGACCTGCCTCCGCTCCCCCCTCACGAGATCCCGCTCACTTTTGAAGGGAATGAGGAGTGGAGTAGTGCCTATTCAACGCAGATCGGGGACGATGACAGCATTATTCAACCGCAAATGCCTACGTGATGCGAGCGTGCATCCGCGTCCAGAAATCCGATAACTCGGACCGATTCCTGAACGAGGAGGTCTGGATATAAGGTTGGTAGTCCAGAGCGCCTGTCGCTTAGTCTCGCAACCTTCGTAGTTAGCGGGAATGCGATGCGATTGCGCATCCGACAAGTCTGTCGAAGTAGATCTCCTGCGCGCCCAACAGTTAAGCTGGGTCCGAGCTTGAGCTCCGCAGGTTGGCTGATCGCTGGCTCCTACTTCCCTCATCGTGTTAATTTCACCGATGCATTAGGCGCTAGGTACCGACGAGACTCCGACCCCCCGCTTGTTCGGCGGCGGACGGCATCGTCCCCACGTCCGCTTGGCTTCCTTTCATGAGTGTCATGTATCTTATGTTGCGACTCGGCGCTGGAGTTTCTTGAATTTGGGCAAATGCAAAATATTTGGGATGGTGCCACTGCAATCTGTTTCCACAATCGGCGTTATACACCCTATCATTCTGTCGTCTCCCCAACACCTCGCCCTTCACTCCAAACCCCGTCCCAGCTCCGCGGAACTGTCGTCACGGATTTTTATATCCCATGTAAATTCCCGCTCCGATGGAGCTGCCACGGCACTTCTCTTCGCGTTCTCTTAATTATTCCCGAATCCATCCGTTTTTTGCGTAGGTCTTAATTTTGGTACCTACCTTTGCCATATCTATTCATTCTGTTCCTCACGGTGCAGCTGAAGTGAAAATGCAAGTGGCACGCGGCGTACTAGTCAGGAAGACTTGCTGTCATATTATTCTGCGTTCACATTGTACTTGTATGTCTCTTCTCGGCCACATTTTCTAACAATTGGACTTTTCAAGAATCTTTTACAATGTCATAGGTAGAGATTGGAAAACAAGCACGTAGTTTCTTGGGTGGACGACGATGCGTTTCAAACCTAGCCTGTCGACCATGAATAAGGAGGCTGAGTCGATTTTTGGTTTGGTGGCTTTATTGGATCCATGAATGCAGCTATTTGGATTCATCGCCGTTACTGTTTCATGTATTTTTACACCTGCGACTGATATAGGAGCGCAACGTCATTCCCAGACGTGTCTTTTCTGTCCGGCTTTGATTACCCTCCTAGTCGGAGAGAAGTGTCATCCACGGCTCTCAGGGATGTCGATAAATGAATCCAGTTAAGCAAACTGCTGCGTGCCGAGGGTTGATGTTCTGTGTGCGAATCAGTAGTTATTATTCTTTGCGAGCTCGTAAGCTACCCTCATTGTTAGGAGGCGGTGTGTGAGTTGAAAGATGTCAGTATGTCATTAGATGAATGTGCAGTGAGCCAAGATGAGGCTAGCATGAGCTCATGGCGAGGCTCGCAGTTTATTCGCTGTTGGGCAGGGATGATCTTATAATTCCACAGCCGCGCGCATTCCCTTCAGCGAGTTTGAGAGCACTTCCAAGTTGAAGCTGTGCAATATATCCCCCTTACGACCGAGTTCAATACCACCCGCCATGCGACTTTTGAACACCGAGACTCGAGAACTGAAGGGGTTCGTATCGGGCATCCCCCGCTATGCGATTCTATCCCACACTTGGGGCGAAGAGGAGGTGACACTTCAGAGATTGAATAGCGCGACCTATGCGGATTGGTCGAGACCTCAATTCTCCAAAATTGCGATGAGCTGTGACTTAGCCCGAGGTGACGGGCACCAATGGATATGGATCGACACTTGCCGCATCGACAAGACGAGCAGTGCCGAGTTATCTGAGGCCATCAATTCTATGTTCCTGCGGTATCACGGATCAAGGATCTGCTATGTTTATCTGGTCGATGTGCCGGATGGCGATGACCCACATCAGGAAAGCTCCGCATTTTCTAGGAGCCGTTGGTTTACAAGAGGCTGGACGTTGCAGGAGCTTATTGCCCCCGAGTCGGTCGAATTCTATACAATAGACTGGCAGTACGTTGGTAGCCGAGAGGATTTATCCGATGTCATCTCACAGGTCACGGGTATCTTTGAGGACTTTCTTCAGCTTCATCTCAAACTGGGGACCCTGCCCGCCAGTCGCAAGATGTCCTGGGCGGCAAGAAGGAAAATAGCCCTGGTGGAGGACGTGACCTATTGTTTATTAGGTCTGTTCGGAATCCACATACCTTTGCTCTACGGCGAGGGGACCAATGCTTTTCGGAGACTGTAGGAGAACATTATGAAGACTGCTACAGATCATACGATTTTCGCATGGCGAGAATTGGGAAACCCGGGCCCATTGGGAAGATCTTGTGGGCTGCTAGTCCCCGAAATAAGACACTTTGAGAGTTCTGGCGAACTCGCACGCTTGCATGGTCGACGGGACCTCCCCTATTCCATCACGAATGCTGGAATTTCCATGCGTGTCAGGTTTGTGGATCCGAAGGATTGGACTGACCAGATGCTTGAGCAATCTGTGCAACACCTCCCAGAAACCAGGGGGATGTGGTCTAGGAGCGAGTGCCTCGCATTCGCTGCTCTTAACTGTACCCCCAAAGGCGAACCCGGCACTGTGGTCTGTATTGCGATGTACAATGCCCATAAAGCCTTAACCATTGCCAAATCTCGAGAGAGCGGTAAAAATATTTCGGATCAATCTCTCACCCAAGGGACCGAAACCAGTCCAGCCGAGCAGTATGTACGTATTTTTCAGGGTTCTTTCTTCCTGTGCGATATTGCAAAGACTATGAACAGTCCCTCCGAATCGATATTCTCCCTTCCTTAAGAGGCAAATGATCACCATTGTGAAAGCTTCTGGACGGCTCAAAAGTTTAACTTGCGGGCAACGCGAGCCAGTTAATCATTTTCGCGAATTTGACTTCTTTCTCTTGCTTCTGTCAGCCCGTATCTATTTCTCCAAGCAGCCATCACCAGTCCGGAAACTACGCTGCGTCGTCGTCGAGTCGGATCCTCCCCTCACCCGACAGTCCATTCGTCCAGAAACCACCAATGTCGACGTTCGTCTCTGCCACACGGGTGTACGTCCACAGCAGCCAGAGACCGAACACAGGCTTGGTCAGGATATCAAGCACCACATAGGCGATGATTTCCCCGTTGACGGCGCTGGTATGTCGGGAGCCATTCGCGACTCCCCATACACTGCAGTCGTTTGTCAGCACGATCCACACGCACGGTGTCACTCGGCTTCCTTCATCGGTAGACTTACACAGGATACGCCGTCCAAACGATTATCGTGTATCCAGCAATGGCAACGAAGAAGTTGCCGACCTTGCTGTTTCTCGCGTACGCGGCGGCGCGGCCATGGATCGCCAAATGCCAGATGACGACCAGGTACGCGATGCATGCGACGGCGTACCAACCCCATTTCTGTCCGGTTCCTTCCGCCCCAAGCGCAGAGAAAAGGCCGCTCAGGGCCATGATCATGCTGGCGAGGACGGTCATGAGGATGTGACCGCCGCTCACCCCGGCGAGAAGGGTCAGGTCGAGGAGCAGGAGTGGCAAAGTGAGGAACCAGTCGATGTAGCGTGCGTAGTAGAGCTCGCGGTAGATGGTGTGGTAAACCGGCGGGATGCCGTGTTTGTGTTCGTGGACGACCACGGTCCTGTGCAATGTCTTGCCTTGGCCGAGGGCCATGGCGAAGTACGAAAGCGTGGCGATGATGGTGACCAAAGTAGTGACGACATGGAAGACACGTTTGGACTGGGTAGGGTGGTCAGTCTGGACACCGTAGGGTTTCGTAGGGGAGAAGCCAACTTACAATAGGCACTTTCCATGACAGTCCGGCGAATACGGCCGAGGAAATGAGCATTATAGCAACTATAAGCGAGATCAGTTTGCCATCCCGAATTTATACGCAAAATCTCGCGTACAGCCGATCCTATTGCTGGGTTAGCCAAAGGAGCTCCGGGTCAGCAGGATCAATTTACATACCAAAGAGCAATCCCGCCTGCCCTCGTCGCAGTCTGATATTCCGGCATATCTGGAATGACAGTAGGAAGCGGAGTTGCACTCTTAGAAACGCTTGATCCGGTATTGGTGGGAACCAAGAGGCTCTTGGTCGCCTCCGCAATCACGGATTCAAACGACATGGTGGTTGTTCGAAGGGAGCGGTTGAATTGTAGGCCGTCGGAATTGGTCCAATGTATGAAATCAAGGGGTCAAGATATCCCGTTCAACATATAGGCACAAGCACTGGCATTTGAGGAAGGATAAGAAAGCCGACAAATTCAAAATTTGAAGGCAGCAGACACAGGTCATCAAATTGCACGTACGACTGCAACACAAAGGACGGTTGTCGTCATGGATGCGAATGACGATATCGGCAGGGGTGTTCCGGGTTAGACGGTGCTTACCTAAGATAGTGCTGTAGATATTGACCAATAACAGTGTCGACTCAGCAGAAGGATACAACCAATGGCCAATAGCATGACCCTATGGGAATTGGCGGCAAACGTCCATGTACGTCGTGCCATGCACCACATCGAACGATGAAAACAGTAGTGGAAATCTCGATCCTCCAATCCCCGACTGAGCTGGTCGGATCACCGCGTCTTACGATACGTAATGTCGTCGGGAGGAAGGCCAATGGTTAGTGTCTGTACGTCTCAGGACGGATTCATTTACGGCAACTCAGCCAACTAGGTCGATGGGACAGGTAACGCTTGCGAGGAGAGCAAGAATGCACCAATATAGTGGTGACGGTTGCTCCGGCCCAAATCATGGATGTAACACATATTTCCTGCCGACAATGCCTTCAAAATTGAAAGATTCCATAGAACATAGAGAAGGATGATTACGACAAGCACAAAAGCGAGATTCTATAGAATGAGTGTGGAGAAGATTAATTCCCTTGAAATAATAGCGAAATAATTGGAGATATCCCAAGGACGGTGTCGATGCATTTGCGTCTGATTTACCGTGCTGCATCTTTGGTGTCTCAACCCTCAAACTATTCGGATGATATGGTCTGGTCATGAATTGATTGATCAATGGAGGGCAATATATTAGGCATTCTAGGCATCTCTAACCCTCCCTCAAGCTCAGTCGTGGTGCGGGTTTCAGGTGTATCGCTGCAATAACTAACCAAACATTTCGATCCTAAGGTATCCCGGCCCCAAGTGCCTAGGTCGGAAGTCGGTTGGCATGTCCACTTAGCAGAGACGGGAAGGTTTCTCTTGACCCCAATTCTATTACTCAGCTGTAGGTACTTCCACAGTGCAGGTAGAATATCAGATGAGGCCTTCCATTTCGGTACTTTTCTGGGCTGGAAGCCTGGAACTGCAGTGAATTGCGGGAGATGGAGTTGACTGGAGTGGACTCTCTTGAGAACGGTAAGTGGGCCTGACTGTGGGGATTTCGCCTTGATTAGCGCCTGCAGCCAACTTGGAGTTTGCGGGGTAACTAGCCCAACCCACGTGAGCCGACCTATCCTTGTTCATTACCTCATGGCGATTGACGAAGCTGAGCGAGTGTTTTGGTGTTGCTAAAAGGAAATGAAACGTGTAACAACTAGGAAAAGACTGTATTATGAGGACGAGAATACGAAAAGGTACAGGATGAAATGTAAGACGGTGTACAGTTGGGAAGAGAGGAGGTGCTTGGAGCTCTGGTGGCGATCATACGAGGCCCTGTTGGCCCTGTACCGTGTCTCAGGGAATACCTATGTACTCGGTACGGTACGGTTACGAACCATCCCAGGGAGAAGCGTAGAAGACCTCATCAAGGGATACTTGTCAACATCGTAGCGATTGACCAATCTTCAGAACAAAGCCCATCTATCATCACCTGACTGTATGATGACTGTGGCGTGTATCGTAACGTGACCGGATCCGTCAGGTGCACGAACAAAGCCCGCGATATCCGATGCTGCTGAGGAGAAGGAAGAATCGGAAGGTACCCGGTACTTGAGGTCATCAAATGGCTCAAACATCAAACAAAGATGGCAACTACCACAGGCAGGGGTCATGCGGATTCCTAATGCAGGAGAGGCGCCCCTCTCTTTCGCTCGCTCCTTCCTCCGTCTCCCCCCCGCTGATCACGCCTCCTCATGCTCCTCCCCTCGCCCCAACGTGAAGGGCAGGTGATCACGCCTCTCCAATCTCCTGCTCAGTTCCTCTCGTGCTCTCTCAGCTCCTCTCTTCTTCCCCTCTTCACTGTCACTGCAATCTAACAAGTCTCTCAACATTACATCCTCACCATCATCGTGCATCAAGGTCTCCCACGCTGCTACCATCAGCAACCCAATCCTACATTTGAGCTTCAGCTTTATATCGCTGCAGCTCACTTCACTCACCACCACCTGTCACCTCTACTGTCATCCCGGTAGAGACGCGTCCAAGGCTCATCTCGTCTTCCCAACCTAAGCACAGTAAGCGAGAATGACGACCACAGAACCATTGACCAAGGTCGACTCGGCCGTGGATTCTACCTCCCACGCTGAGGAGAAGAAGCCTTCTCATCGGCGAACAAGTAGCAGCGCTTCGAACGTCTTCAACATCAACGACCTTGGTAAGTCACATCTCCAGCATCCGCAACGTGCCGAGATCTCCGGACAACTGCACCGTGGTCATATCGAAGTGACTTGATGCTAACTTGACCGCAGAGAAGGAGAACGTCGACCTCAAGATCGCCCCGGAAACACAGCAGCTTGGCTGGTAAGTGATCGTGCCACCAACCATACCTTCCTCCCCTGTTCATTTCCACCAGAGAGATCGTATCCTATCACTCATAGTAGCAACCACTATCTCACCCATGGACCGACCATTGCTGACACCTGCGATAGGAAGATCAACACCTCGCCTGCAACAATTGAGGACAAGGATGTGCTCAAGAAGCCTCTCTGCACTCCCATGGTCAAGAAGATCGACCTGCACTTCAAGCTTGGCTTGCATGTCACGGCACGGAACCTCAAGGGCGTGACCATCAAGGATGCCTTGGACGTCATCTTCAAGCAGTACAAGAAGAAGGTATGTCTTTGCACCTTCATGCCCTCAAGCGCACCGCATCTTATTGGCCTTGTGATCCCTAAACCCGATCACTCACCTTGTATCTTCAACACCCCGTGAATCAGGTCGTGCAATTGTATCGTTCGTCTTGATATGCGCATCGGACATTGCCGCTAACAAGATTTCATCCAGGCCGACGATGAGCTAGAAGACCCTTACCTCGCCGGATTCGAGTGGGATCGGGAAGAATGCTACACTAAATTCATCGTGCATCTCAAGAAGGAAGCGAGCAAGCCGGCACCTTCAGGCAAGAAGTCGAAGAAGAAGGCCGGGAAAGAGTAATGAACTCATATTCTCCAATGCCCGTCATCTCAGCGATGGTGTGCCGTATCCGGTTCATCGTGGCGAGTGACCTGGCGAGATGTACTATCGTGTGGAGTCATAGGGAGGCATTAATCGATGCTGGCACTCCGCGTACGGATGCGGAGAATGGTTGCTGGCCGGAGGGTCGGTGGATGGTGGCTTTGATTCGATCCGAGTGGAGGGCTTCAACTGGGCTACCAAGTCCAACTCCGAATTAGCAGACTTAAGATGACAAACAATTCAATACTAGTGGATGTGGTTGAAAACCGTCTGAGGCTCTGAGTGTGACACGTCCACCAGCTGAGACTCGACCGGGCACTTTCATACACGTGTGGGAGCTGCAGATGCATCTTGAGAACTCCCATCTTGCGTGTATGGTTTTGTAAGGGAGAACTGAGGAGGTACTCTGTGAAGTTGTGAACTTCGAATACGTGAGTTTGTCGAAGTTATGTGAAGACTGGCGCCATGAATATTTATTTAGGCAAGGCGTGGACCCACTCGCTCTCCGAACCCGCAACGGCACTTCTACTGCGCTTAGCCCTCAGTCAGCTCGCTTCTTCCTAGACGCTGCTTTAAACCGATCTATCCATTAATATGTTTGCCGACAATTTCCTAGAGAATTCTGTAGGATTGAAAATATGTTTGGTTTCTTCCTAAATATGGTTTTCGGCGTAGAGAAACTGCCTTGGATACTGAAGCGGTATGCCGGTTCGTTTTCGACTTCAAGAGTTTGTCCTTCGCGTTTCTATCTGGTCCGATTCAAGCAGTACTACTATTGTATAACGTGAATAGATTACGAGCCTTAAATTGAATCGCCTGTTTGTTCAAGTCTTGATTCTCGTTTCTCAACTCCATCGCTCGATCTAACATCCGAACTTTGTATCTCGCGCTTCGTCTACGTCCATATCAGTCTACCACTCAATCCACGCATCTAGCAAACAATGCGCACCACATATCCAACCACTCAATCCGCCCTCACTGCTCCCTCCCCATGGCAGCCATCCTCTTCCACCCCCATCCCACTTCCACCTCACTGTCTCGATAGCTACAATAGCATCCTCATCATCGGGTCCGGCATCACCGGCGCCCTCCTCGCGTACCACCTCCTCACCCACTCCACTTCCACCACCTCCGCCGCCCCCATCACCCTCCTCACCTCATCCACTGCCTGCACAGGCGCAACCGCACGCAACGGCCGCCACACGAAAGTCGCCAGCCACCTCACCTTCCGCGCACGCGCCGAGCGGCTAGGGTTAGACGAGGCGGTGCGATGGGTGCGGATGGAGGAGGCGAGCGTCGTGCGGAACATGCGGTGGCGCGGGGGCTGTGGAGGGGATGGGGTGGGAGTGCGAGTCGTGGGAGGGGGATACGGTGGATGTGTATTTTTCGGAAGGGGTTTGCGAGGGGGAAGGGGGATATGGAGGTGTTGCGGGGATGTTTGAGGGAAGGATAGGAGGGGGGGCAGTGTAGGGTGTATGAGGATCCGGAAGAGGTGAGGAGGGAGTTTGGTATGCGAGGGAGGCTGGTGGGGGCGATTCGGTATCCCGCGGGGAGTGTCAATGCATATCAGTTCACGTTGGGGGTGTTGAAGCGGTGCGTTGCGATGGGGTTGCACTTGTATGAGAACACCACTGCAACGAGCATACGCCGGATCGATCCAGATGAACCTGTATTGGGACTGATTCCACCGGGACTTTGGACGGCTACCACCGAGAGTGGGGATGATTATATCAGTATGCAGATTGTCTCTCATAAACTCCACACTACCAGATCATGATCACATTTACTTACTCTCCCCAGGCCGACGATCTCATCCTCGCCACCAACGCCTTCACCCCCACCATCTTCCTTCCCCCCCGCCCCATCCTGCGTCCCTTCCGCGGACAGTGCATCTCCCTGCGCCCCCCGCCCTCCACCTCACCACCAACCTCCTCCCGCCCACCACCCTCTCCTTTCTTTACACCTAGGGCTACGACTACCTCACCGTCCGACGCCCCCTCTCCGGTGTCCCCTCCGATGCGGTCGGCAACCTGATCGTGGGCGGCGGCATCGTGCAGGACGCGGACGGATGGGCGGCCGCGATGAAGGAAGACGCGCTCTGCGTGTTGGATCCGCAGATCGAGGCGTACCTCGTGCGGGCGGGGAAGAGGTATTTTGCGGAGGAAGGGGAGGAAGCGGAGGGGTGAGTGGTCACAGAGTCGTGGGGCGGGATCACGGCGCGGTTAGTGGACGAGGCGCCGTTGGTGGGGAGGGTAGGGGAGGAGTTCGGGGGCGGGGAGGGGCTGTGGGCGGCGGTGGCGTTCGATGGACATGGGATGGCGCTGGGGTGGAAATGCGCGGATGCACTGGCGGGGATGATCGTGGGGGAGGGAGAGGAGACGTATGAGTGGTTTCCAAAGGCGATGAGACTGCATGATCCAGACCGGGTGAAGAGGCCGCTGCGATTGATTAGGGAAGAGATGGCGTTTCCATGAGGGCCAGACGCTCGGTCATACGTATTCATAACACTGGAGATGAGAAATGGACGTGTGACGGACGGTTTGAACCTGGTTGGATTCAAGGCTGAACAACCCACTGATAGTGGTTCCGTGATAACATTTTGCGCGTCTCTAAAACCATGATAATTGATCCTGAACGCTCTTTGATGCCCATGGTCGAAGAAATATGCTCCCTTAACCACTCCGCTCACACAGCCGCCGCTTACTCCTCCGCGATATTCCCCCGCTCTGAGACGTACAAGCCGTCCAAGAACTGCTCGAATATTAGCAATTGTTCCGTTTTTCCATGCACCTTCGATCCACAGAGTCCCTTACCTTTCGGATATCCTTATTTCGCACCTTGCAGCTCTGCTGCAGATCGGCGGCGCTCTGGCTCACGTCCTCCAGGCTGATCCCGCTCAGGAGCAGCTCGTCCTTCACGTTCTTGCTAGCCTCGACGTCGACGCCGGCGCGCATCGTGATCCTCCGCACGATCTTCTCGCCGATGAAGTTGCGCACCTCGACCTCCTGCAGGCCGGTCTCGCTGTTCTTCTCGATGTTGACGTTGATGGGGAAATGGGCATAGACGTAGCGCATCTTGTACTTGAAGCCCTTGGTGACGCCGATGATCAGGTTGGTGATGATGGTGCGGACGGTGCGGAGGGCGGCGATGTTCTTGCGGGCGCCATGGTGCAGCTCGATGCTGATGACGGATGGCGAGGGCTGGGAGAAGGAGACGGAGAGATGGCCGAGGTTCTTGGTGAGCTTGCCTGCGGTGCTGGTTAGGATCGCGGAGCATTTCGAGCGGTGTTGCTTTGTTCCATACCTCGCGGGCCTTCGACGATCACGTTTCGGGTCTTGATGGTCACTTTGACTGCGTGGGAGTTAGTATCCGGGGGATTGACGCGGGCATCGTTGCATTGGCAAGTACTCACCCCCCTCCGGGATCGTCAGTGTTTCTTGTGACCGGATGAACCTCATTTTGGCGATGTGGTGTTGATTTGACGTCTGCGTGCGATCGCTGAAATGTCGAATATGTGAGCGGAGGAATTGCAGACTTGCAGTGTGGTGTGGGTCTTGGCGCGCATAGGCTCGGATAAATAGTTAACCCGAGGTTGAACATTTGGTTTTGGTGCCTTACAGCCTGATCGCCTGACGACTTTGCTTCAGCTTTGTTTACCCCCTTGGGCCCCTCACCACCCGTCCTTACCTTGACACTTCAACTGATAACGTCTGGAAGGTGGACAGGATTTCTGTAATTGAGCTATCCCGGCACAGTTCCCTTCCAAACTGGCCCTTCTTGATGCTATTACTAACCATTTATTGTTGTCATTCTTTTGCCATTCTGCGATCTTGTTTTCCCGAAAGGTATATTTCCCTTTAGTCCATTGCCTTCCATTTTCATGCCGAGTCGTAGTTGATCAATCCGGACCATTTCCGCCACCATGAACGCATCTTCGACGCATATCGGATGACGAGCTCGATTACTTGGTTTCCATATTCAACTTCGTAACCGGGCTATCCATTGGAGTAAGCACAGCCTGCGATCATTTCCACCTTTTACTCCTCCCTCCGCCTGTTCGTGGCAGTCTATTTGCCGTGTGATAGGCCTCTGGTGCATTTCGAGCGGGTCTAAGCCCAAATCAAAAATGGAAGACCCCATTGCCTACAGGCGCATTCTCTTACCGCACGAACCGAGCGAAATAGAGGCACCTAGATTATCACACAGGCCATTTTATGTTGCGCAGTATTTCGAACTGGATACGTGTTCATCTGGTCCGGCTTCCTTAGAGAACACATTTGGCGACGTTGAGGATGACGAACGACATACCCGAGGACGAATAGGCTTTGCCCTTGTGCGAAAGATGGTAAAATCGAAAAGCCTTCGAACTCTTCCTAGGACGCACAGCTACAGACTAGTTGCGATTCGAGATAACGACGAATTATGAAACCTTCAAGCTAACAACGATCGCAGGAATAGGCTTTGGGTATATTTCGTGAAGCGATAGCGAATGCTAAAAGACGGTGTCCGACCAAGGCTGTATCTTATACGGAACGTGATGCTTCGCACGCTTTGTGGTATCTACGAATGCATTTCAGGGAACACGTGAGCAGTTATATGGACATTTTTAGTGCTATGGTACGACTGTCATGGATTGCGTATTTCCCAAAGTGCGCCTTTTGATGCAATCCTCTACTTGTTTCAGTTCAAGGAGTTTGTATGGTTATACCCCGTTCGGCCGCTTTTGGCACGTTATATCCTCCGGGGTTTGCTTGATAGAAGGTCGCCATCCGCCGACCATTTCCTTTCCTCCTCCAAATCTCTCGTGCATGTGTCATCTTTCGCGACGAATCTCTTCAAGGCTCTGCGACAACAAAGCGATTTTGGAAGCTTTTCATAGCACCGCACTCCTTACGCATATGGGTGGCGAAATGTGTCCATTGATCAATGGCTACGGCCCGCATGGTAACGAAGATCGACTTGCATTCATTTACACCTGGTCGTACGAGATTCCTTTCCGTATATGTAAACGCTAGGTGCTCGAAATTTTCTAGTTGCTAAGATGGGTAGAAGAGAGAACGACACACAGGAAGGTCAGGGGTAGGATGAAGCATCACAACCGGACATTTTCTAAATGGTATTGGGGTTTCGTGGGCGACTATAGAGATCTTGCACAGATTGGTAACCGTCTCTTATGCTCCGCTGAAGGATACATAGAGCCTTAATATCCAATTGCTCTTAACGCTCGCCTAGCCTTTAAGCGGCAGAGTTTAGAAAGATTGAACCAGTGGATGGAATTGGACCAAAACCCTTCGAGTGCTCTTGCCGACGCTTGCTTCTTCAATCCCCGTCAGAGATCGGAAGTTGTTTCCTCATCTGGAATGTCTCCGATCCGAGAAGTTGTCAGTCTACAACCTGCACAACGTGGACGTCAGTGAGGAAAACGGCGTCGGTAGTCCAGAAGCGGGTCGATCCCTACTTGAAGCTGCCGGTCAACCTCTCTAAACCTCGAGGTCAAATTAGGTCTGGAATCAACTCGCACGGAAACTCGGTTATAACCATAGGGGGTTGACCGAAACTGTTGTTGGCAGTCGTCGACTTCGGCAACTCCGTTTTCATGACTGGCTTGAACCATTTAACGCCTGTACCGCTGTCAATTGGACTCTATGACACGAGGAAGGGGTGCATCACGCGTACACATGTGGAGGGGCGCTCAGCCGTTCCCCGAATAGGGGATGCTAGGTCTTAAATACAAGTATATTCCTTGATATGGACTCTTCGCTGGCGAGGGTTGTTCAGACACGCCATAACACAACCGTAGAATGATGATGGTCAGTATATTGGTACTTATAAATACTGTCGAAGCCGAACAATAATCATGCAAGACCGGGGTATAACCTCCCTCACATACAAAAGCCTGATATCCCGCCCTAAACGCCTTTTCGTGCAAACTTCGAGCCCCAAATCTGGCCGTGATCATCGAAACCGTTTTGCGGATCCCTATAGTATGCGGTCCAATAACTCCACAACTGAGGAATCAGACATCGACCAATGTCGCTTCCATTATTCGTTTGCCTCCCATGCTCTTGACGGTCTCAATCAGCTTCCCCTGTTCATGGAGCTGAGCCACGTCGTCTCCGCCTCCGATACTCTTCCCGTTGATCAAGATGTTCGGGACCGTTCTCCTCCCCGTGCTCTCTCCCAGCTTTGCCTGAAGCTTCGGGCCCAGCGGATGCTCGTCGAGCTCAACAATGTATGGTTCCGGGACGATCTTGTAGGCGCCAAATATACGTTTGGCATTCATGGAGAAGTGGCAGTAGGTCTTGGAGAATATGATGACTGCGGCACAGCACTCGTTAGTTCCCATGCGGAGGTCTCATGTAACGGGCACTTACTCGGACTCTTCTTCAATATCGTATTCAACTCTGCCTCCACCTCCACGTCCTCCTCCGTCATCGGCTTCTGTTCCCTCCGCTGCTGCTCCCCACCTTCCTTCCCATGCACCCCCTTCTCCTTCGTCTCCCCAGGCATCATCCTCCGCCCGGCCACGCTCCTCGGCTCCCCCTGCCCGCCCGCCGCCCCCCTCCTCTCCTCCTCCCGCTCGCCTGCTCGCCTCTTCGCGAGCTCCTCCGCCTCCTTCAGCCGCCGTGCGACGTCCGCGTCAGCCTTGGCTTGCTCGGCGGCCAGTTCCCGCTGGTGGAGGGCGGTGGAGGTGCGTTTGTAGAACTCCGAGTCGCGGGTCATGTGGGCGCCAGAGGTGTAGTAGAAGACGATGAAGACGGTGAGGGCGACGAGGACGACGAGGAGGCGAACTTGGCGGACGCGGGGAGAGGATGGCATGGTGAATGGGATATGAGAAGACGGTTTACTAAGGAATTGAACTGGTGCGGTGATGGAGAACCGATTTAGTTTGATGGGAGTTGAGGAGAAGTTATGACGACAGCTCAAGCTAGATCATGAGCTGCAAATGTGGATGATTTGAATCTTCGAACAATCGAAGGACAGATATCATGGCAATAAAGGAATCCAAGAGCGAAGATTGAACATGGAACAAAGTGATTTATTCAGCTGCACGGTCGATCGGTCGCTGGCGGTTGCGGGACGTTTAAAGGGCTGGTCTGTGTGGAAGTACGGAAGCTGACGAGTCTAACTCGATTCGGAAATGGAGGAGCTGGGGGACACGCAGGGGCGAACCGAGGCGAATCCTTCCCTCGTACGGAATGCCGGTATTCCGTATTGTTAGCCCCGTTGAATCACAGGCAGATTCACATTTTACTGTTTCGACGTGGCTTGTGCCAGACGGAAGATTCATATCGATATTGGCATGTGGGTTGTATATTGTATATTCAGGGGTTCTACAGCTGCCCAACAGTTCGCTCAGACTTGCCTTTCCGATAAACATGGTCTCCCTACGGATATGTAGGTAGTCCTGGTTTCTACAGCCTCGAATAAGGAGACGACGCAGCGTACCAAAGACCACGAAGGAGGGCATTCATAAGTATCTGTGTATCATCATCGCGAACTATGAGCAGCTTGGACACCCTGTGGCTTTGTACTGGACTAGCTCAATCTGTTGGACTAATAACATGAGTACCTTTCGTCTTTGACCCTTCCATCTTCGCAGTGCGAGCACCGAATTGGATCTTCGAGGGGTTAGCAGACACCCTAAGATACCATAAACTGTACGTACCGCTCGTTTCTTCTCCATGGCAACGCCGCGAAGACCCAGGTTCCAAGCCAGAAGCCGCAGGCCCTTCTTCCCAGGTTCGATCCCTTTCCATCTTTCTTCATCGGCTAGCTCTGCCATATCCGCGACTTGCTGACCAAAGCCGCACTTCTCGTCCACCCGAGCGGCCAATGCCCAATTCACCAAGTCTTCGTCTAGGAATGGGTATCGGACTTCTCTTGACCAATGTGATGTGACCCGGTCGTCACGGCCAAGGTTTCGCTTGCCGAGACGGTTAAAATCGAGATCCAGCTCATCGATGAGACCGCGGTAGCCGTGGCGTGTGAACGCGGTGGCATGCCGTTGGTATCCGCCGAAAAGCTCGTCAGCGCCGAGGCCGGACAATAGGACCCGAGAGGTCGTTGTATATTCCATCTGCTCACCGGACGGAAGGGCAATAGTCCCACAACCACGTGCTGCGAAATGGAGTGCCGCGGCGATAGACAAATCCATCTCCGTATTGTGCGGGCTCATCAGCGAAACAATCGTCCCCCTATGAGCCTTAAACTCGCTGAACGGAATATCGATCTCTACAAGCCGCCACTCTCGTGATGGACAAGCTTCTTGAAGCTCCCTCGCGGATGATCTGGCCGTCAATCGATCTGGACAAAGATCAAAGACACTACGCTGAGGACCAGCTGCAGCGGAAAGGTTCTTGACTAAACGGGGATTTTCGAACGCAACGTTCAGAAGATCGATCGGTTCGTTTGCCTCAAGGATATCATTGGACATCCGTGCTAGCACAGTGCAGTCTAGGCCGCCAGAAAATAGAACGGCGAGTCGACTCGGCTTAAAGATTGGGTTGCGTGGGAGCTCCAGCACTTTAGGTATTGAGGATAGCCGTAAATATAGACTCTTGCTTAAATGGTTCTGTAGAGCTTCTACTGGGGCCGAAGGCGGCGAAAGCTGATGGCACATACTATCGGGTATGCTGCTGTTGAGCTGAACAAAAGGAGATGCCTGCCATTGTCTTCAGCGGACACTCTTCGGAAGCAAATGACTTACCTACTGGGGATGGGCCAGTTTCTGCGATACGGCTGGGGGGTTGGAAAGGTATACGAGTCGTGAAAAAGTTCACGGCAGATGAAGAGAATATCCCAGTGGTATTTGAACACAAAGTGAAATCTGCCATATAAACCCCATCCGCCTCGATTTCGATCCAAAGAACCGGGGATGGTTGATCGCCAATATTGGACAGAATCAACTGATTTCCGTGACTTGAATGAAGAAGAGACCTTCTGCCTAGGCAATCTCTACCAAACCACAGCTTCTTCGCCCTTCCATCGTAGAAAAGGAAAGCAAATGGACCGCGGATGAGACTTAGAGTGGTCAAAATAGCTTCCGTGGAGTTACCGTTCTCCGCATCCTTTGCGCATGCCTTCAAACATTGCGCGAAGATAAAATCGGTATCACTTCCGGGGATGCTGGCTCCATCGAAAAGCCATGCTTCTCCGTTCCAGCACAGCACCGAATCTGATACCTCATCATGGAGTGGCTGTGGAACGACGTATGCGCCTCTCAGGGACAGAACGGTGGCATAGAAGGAGAGATGTAGGGTTGGCATCAACGCGTGATCGCGTGCCAGTTGGATCTCCACATGATGGCTGGCATCGGGTCCTCTCTGGCAGAGACGAGATCGAAGGGTCTCGGTTGGCTTCTTAAATTGTTCTGTGCTGATGGAGCACCAGATGCCGCACATGAGGAATCAATTTCATGGATATATGTTTGGGTTTAGGATGATCATAGTTGAGGAAATAGATGCGTGAAAATGATCTTGCCATGGTCATGTCCTTGTACCGAAATTCTATATATGCACGTGACCTTGTATTTCTATCCTATTTTCTATCCGTTGTGACGCTTCAATTCAGACCAAGAGCCATTAGACAGTGAATTAGCTTGCTGTGTACTGTGATTGTCATTCGTTATTGCTCCCGGCACTAATACTCAATCCCTTCGAATTGTTCACGCAAGAATGTCGAGGTGAACTCTGGCAGCAACAATCATTTCATCATGATTATGCAGCATTAGCCATCGCAAGATTTACATCTTCTTCCACCGAGTATAATCCATAATGGCGTTTCCAGGTCTCTCCCTACCGGGCCTCAATATCACCCAATCACCCCCTCCTACCAATCTCACCACGACCGCCGCTTCAGCTCCACCACGCACAATCTCCCTCGCCGCTACCTCCGAATTCCGCTTCGAGGCTTCCCACAACTCCCCGTTAACGATCACTCTCACCTCCGGCACCGCCGAAATCTTCGGGACCGAACTTGCCCCTTCCCGCCGGTACACATTCCGCGGTTCGAAATGTGCGATCTTCACCTGGGAAGGATGCACCTTGACCGTCGAAGGGACGTCGGAGAGCGAATACACCGCGGAAGAGACGCCGATGAATGTGTACGCGAATGTCCACTTTGCGCTGGAACGGCTACGCGGTGGGGTGGAGAACGCGAGGGACGGGGAGACCAGGCCCCGGGTGCTGGTCGTCGGGCCGGACGACGCGGGGAAGACGAGCTTGGTGAAGATGTTGGCGGGGTACGCGATCCGGAGTGGACGGCGACCGGTGGTGGTCAATTTGGATCAGAAGCAAGGGATGCTGAGTGTGCCGGGGAGCCTGAGCGCGATGGTTGTGGGGACGGGCTTGGGTGGATTGGACGTAGAGGAAGTCGGGGGATGGGGAAATAGTCCGATCAGTGGACCGAGTGCGGGGGTCGTGATGATGCCAGTGGTATACCACTATGGGTGTGAAGGGGTGGAGAGCGAGGGGCCTAGAGGAGAGGTATGGAGGGGGCTGGTGACGAGACTGGCATTGGCCGTGATGAGCCGAGTGGAGAACGACGAGGAGGTGAAGGGAGCCGGATGTATCATCGATACGCCTGGATTTCTAGGCAGTTCTAAAGGGACATCATATGAAATGATACAGCACGTAGTGTCCGAGTTCTCCGGTATGTCCCTGTGCAATTCCTTGGTATCTGGGTTCGAGATATACTGACAGCCGTTTAGTCAACGTCATCTTAACCCTCGGCTCCGAACGTCTCTACAATCACCTCACCAAACGATTCTCCTCGTTAGGTCCATACGACGACCCGATCACGATCCTCAAACTCTCCAAATCCGGTGGCTGTGTCGACCGGGACGCTGCCTACCTCCAATCCCTCCGCCATGATCAGATCCGCTCTTATTTCTTCGGCACTAGCCCCAGCGCTACTTTATCGCCGTACACTCAGCTCCTCGACTTCTCCTTCCTCTCCATCTATACCTTGGCCGACCCCACTGCCGCTACTAACACGGCCTTCTTACCCGGCGGAGTCGACGCTGAAACAGCCGGAACGGAGTCCGATGGCGCGCTGTTCGTCAAGGTCACACCCAGCCTGCGGATGCTGAACAGTTTGCTTGCAATCTTACACTGTCCGAAAGAGGCGGACGATGAGACCCTGAGACAAGCCAGCGTGGTGGGATACGTGTATGTGAGCGATGTAGACGAGGCGAAGAGTCGTGTCAGCCTGCTGGTGCCGGTAACGGGAAGGGTGCCGGAACGGGCCATGATTTGGGGCGAGTGGCCAGAAGGCGTGGCAGACCTGGTGGGATGAACGTGGCCAGTTGAATGGATGCAGAAAATGTACCGGATGTACTGCGCGAGACAAGCCTAGCCTGGAGAGGGGCAATGCCGTTCATCAACGCGGCGGCACCGAGGGATTCACAATACAGGGATTTTCTCTCTTCAGACCAAGTCTTGGGAAGGCAGTTGCAATCTAGCCGTGGTAGCAACCATCGGATTAGAGCCAATGCCAACGGAGCCCTAGCGAATAGGAGGACCTCTCTAGACGGTCAAGAAGACCCAAAAGAAGGGTACCGTGGACGCGGGCGATTACGATGATGCAGCCAAACAAGCATGGATGGGATTGAACGAGTTTGTGTTCCGATCAGGATGCAACCGCACCTATTGAAGCTGAATTTTTATCAGCGTTGCCTCCAGCTAGCTCGCTAGCTGATCCAATACAAGCCAAGATATTGCCTCCTCGACGGATAAATCTCAAAGAATGCGAACGATACAAAGGATATTCAAACGCTGCTAAAGGTCAACGGATAAGTGATGAAGATGTTCCTGCTCTTCTCGCTCTTCCTAGCGTCGCTATTATTTCCTATAACCAATTCCATGACGTCGTAGTAGTCATTTCCATATCCTAGTAAATCGCTTGTGCTGCAAACATGACGAAGCAGCTACGCAGCCAGTAAAAGTGAAATCCAATAGTAAGTCGCAGCTCTGCAGAGCGCGTGATCGCAAAAAGGGTGCGAGATGCCGGTCCGCCATGCGGTTCCCATCCTTCCAGAGGAATTAAGTTCCTTGCACCGTCCCATACCAATCCACCCCCGGATAAAAGAGGCCCTTCCCCTCCTCGATCAACCCATCCATCGCATCCAACCCGTCCGTCTCCAACGCCTGCATCAGCTCCACCTGCTGCTGGGCCGTAAGTCCGGCGTTCGAGTCCCTTCCGAACAGGTCTTGCTGATGCGAGCCTTGGTACGTGGGCCAGCTGCTCTGTGGGTAGAGATAGTCGGTCGGCTGCAGCTGGAAGGACAGCAGGTTGGTAAGCGCGTCGGTGGTGGGTGCGGTGGTGGTGGGGAGTTGTTGCTGTTGGGCGAGAGAAGCTGCAGTGCCACCCATGGGGTTGGATGCATTATTAGGACGGTGAATGTCGGAGGAGGACCGGTCTGGCGAGGATAAGGGGTCGGTGGGGGGATAGTCATTGGGAGAGGTGTGGGATTGCTGATGGGTGGCCGATTGACCGCCGTCAAAGCCGAAGGACGGGTTCCAAGGGGCTGATGAGAGCTCGAAAGACTGCGGGAGAGTATTGAAGGGCAATGATGGATCGCGGGCCATGTCCGTACCGTAGGGACTACGCTGGCTCGACGGAGCAGACGAATGGTTCGGTGAGAAGTTAGAATGCTCTGGAGCAGAGCTGGTGGGTGAGGTCTGGGATTGCGTGGTTGAGGTTGCCTGGGCGAGATACCCAAATGTGCCCATAGTCTTCTCTGGCGGCGTAGCGATTGAGCTGGTCGAGACAGTGGCGGGACTAGTGGTCCTTGATCTTGAAGCGCGATCGAAGGTCGATGTCGAGAGGGTCTCTGAAGGAGAAGCGGCCGAGATGGGGATATCGCCAGCCTTATCGAAGACTCTAAGACACGCCTCAATGAGTGTCTGATACAGCTCAAGTGCGCTGGTGACTCCTGGCCATCGGTCCGAGGCCAGCGAAATGGCTTCCATGGCAACCGTCAGGTGCTTCTCAACCTCTTCCCGTGGGTGTGCACGCCGCACATCTTCATATGACAAAGCCCAAAGAATGGTGTTGACGGTCATGAAGATCGACTGGGTGAAGATCCAGGTCAGATCGACCGACTTCGTCTCAATCTGCCGGCGCTGCATATAGATATTGTATTCGCAGGCATCGTAAGAGAGGTGGGCTGCTCGGACGGAAGGTCGTGGAACCTGTGGAGAGGGTCGGAATAGGAAGACGATCATGGTATTGTAGCGACCAATGAACCTGCATGGAGTCAGTCTTCTCAGGTCAAGGCTACGGCGCGCGATCTAGCATGAGAGCACTAGCACCGAATAGTCGAACTTACCAAACCTTATTCAACCCCGAGCCAGCGTCCATCTCAGGACTCGTATCCCTCCATTTTACCAATTTCGCCTCCATTTGTTTGAACCACGGATCGTTATCATCTTTCGGTTGGGACCGCTTCACCTGGTACAACTTCCGCCGAATTTCCAGCTGTAACAGTCTCATTCGGAAAAAGTGCACCGCGATCCACTTCTTCAACGATGGCGGTGCTCCTGGCACGACCCCGTCCTCGCGAATGTACTCGTCGTCCACTTGTTCGGGGAATTCCACATCGATGTGCTCTTCTAGCGTTGCGATACAGCTCGGTCTCCCCAGGCTGTGTGCGAGGCCGTAGTCCATGGTCAGGATGATCCAGAAGACCCGCCGACTCATATCCAGCTCCAACGCGTTCTTCAGCTTCCCGTCTCGTTTTCTCGCAACGGTCTTTTCTTCGTGGAGCCCTAGGGTCTGCACTAGTCGGACTGCCAGGCCAACGACGTAGTAGACTGCTGTGCGCGTCGGCGTCAGGAGGGAGTAGCCGCCGATCAGCGCGAAGCATTGTAGAGTCTGTAAGTCCATGGGCTTGACGCAGGCTTCGAAGTACTGCAGGGCGGAGAGGTAGTAGGAGTCGGCAAGGCCGGCGTACTGGGTATCCATCTTTTGGAGTGATATGGCAATGACCACCCGGAGACAGAATTGCTGGTACGGAGAGGCAGAAGCGGGCGAGGAGTAGACGGTTTCGACGTCGCGGAGGAAAGTCGGTTCGTGGAAGATGGGATACATGGGGTGGACTATTTGAGATCAGCGTCTAGTACATACGGCTTGGACACGTAAAGGGCGACATACCTTTAAGGAAGAAGAGGAGCACCAGCCGATTTGTCAAGTCACGATTCGGCAATTCCTCCGCCGCCACATTGCTGATCAGAGGGTATATCTTACTCGTCGGTTTGTCCTCCTCAATTAGGAACCGACTCTTGATGAACTTCTTCCTCTCCGCATTCACGATGTCGGTGATACTCTTGCTATCATTGAACTGCTTCGCCAACTGCATCACCAGCCGCGTGATCGCAATCCCACTCGACGGCCCCAGGAATTTCGATTCGTCGCTCTCCCCCAACCGCACGTTGGCCGGTCCCCGCATCATGTCCTCCGGGTCCGGTTCCTGCTCCTCCTTCTCTAACTCCTCTAGCTGCTGCTCGAGCGCGCGAACCTTGTGCTGCAGATGCACGACATAGTTCCGAGGGATCTTGACGCCCTTGGCCGGGTCGAAGTATTCGCAGAACGAGTTCGTCCGTTCGCAGGGGCCGCAGCGGGGGAGGCCGGGATCGCATCGGGTTTTGCGCTGCCATCGAGGGTTAGCATGGAGGCTTGCAGATACGCAGTCGAGGCGCTTTCGGTCGGGTCTGCCGTAAGGCATACGAGCAGAGGGAAAACTTACGGTCCGACACCGACAGCATGCCGTTAGGGTATGTGCGATCCGTGGTGATGACTCCTCCGAATTTTCTGTGCTGCCTTCTCTCCGGATCTGCGATGTTGGAAGAGTCGTCGTGGCCGTGGAACCGTTGGCCATGGCATATGGGGCCATTGAGGACGGAGCGGCTTGTCTTGTGTTAAAGTCCATGTCTTCGTTGGACAAGTCCTCGTAGTCCGCGAGGTCGGGGACGAGATGGTTGATCTAGTCTCGAAATGTATACGGTTATTTAGTGTGGATTATTCGGCGTCATGGGCGAGAATGGGCATCCGGCCGGAGAAGGGCGATGGGAGGTGCAATTGCAATCATGTCGGTTGCGCGGGAAGATCACTTTTGGAGGCTATGCTGGCCACGTAAAAGGTTTGAAAGCATAGCGACGGGTACCGTGACAGTATGAAGCAATGCAGGGTATCGAAGATGCCCGGATATGTTGAATTGAGCGTGGATGTGGATACTTGGAGGGAAACTACAGCGAGGTCAAATATCAGATGGCGTGGATGCAGGGTGGATGGTGGACTGGTGGTGCACTAGACACTACTATGGACCCTGCAGTTTTCCACCACATTCATCATTCATCCACTGACCAGTGACCACCCTTCCGTTCGAGGCTTTGACCGAATGTCGGCTCGTTACGGTTCGGAGGAGGTACAGCCACACTGCAAGAGAGGGCTCATTTGGAACGCCCAACGCTGCCCGACTGTGATTCTCCATGTGCCCGTGTCCGCCTCTGGTCGCCTACTACGTTATCCGTCCGAGTCTCCAAGACAGGCTCAACCTGGGATTTGAGCGACAGCCCTACCGCCCCTAAGCCCCTACGCGGTACGCCCCTACCGCTCTGATCGACTAGTTACATACAGCCTGCAAGATGTGCAGATATGCCGCCTTGTGCCCCTTGCTCTCCCGATAGATTCGTGCATAAGTGCTGGACTGCTGGAGCTGACGATATTGCGCAAGCAGACGAATAACTAGAGGTTCGAGTGTGCATGCTGCTGACCGTTGAGAGAGGCGGAGGGAGGGTATGAGTGGGAAGTGGTAATCTGGCGCGCGATGGCATTGGCACCGTTATCGTCAACGGGCCTATTATTCGGTCTAGTCCCCGTCGTCATAGCGATAGTATTTCTGTTCCAAGGACGATTTTTCCCTGGGAATATTGTCATGTTGCATGCAGCCTTGTGTATTCCGTCCCTGTCCTCCAGGTACATTCGTACTTCCGTTCGTGCGGTGTGCATCAACGAGGCTCAGAGGCTTCGTGGGGAACTCCCCCTCATCACGAACCCGATCCCCCTCTTTCTGGCTCCCCATTGGCGTGGACGGGGCCCCGCTAACCATACTCTAGTCGAGAGCCATTGGTTGAACCTTGGACCATTTCACCCAAGCCACGAGCGATCCGACCGCTGTTTCGGAACCCTTGTTTTTCTTTTGTCGTACTTTTGCATTTCTCGAGTCGCTCGGCCCAATTTCACGGGAATCGCGCATCGATGATATCAGATATGAAGTGAAGGAATCGGATGCTGGGCCCGCCCTAGTTCTCTCGATGAGTCTCGAAAGTCTAGAACGTTGAAGAACATGTAAAATGAACTGAGGTACATGCAGCCGCCCTTGTGCCTCGGCTGAACAAATTGACGACCAATAGAAGATGGCGGATGAACTAAAGGGTTCGAGCTTACGTAGTAGACATTAGACTTTAGAGTTAGTTACCCGCGCCTTGGTAGGTAGTTCTAACGAATAAAGTTTGCTGGTGGGAGGACATCCGACCACCGATGTCGAAAAGATTGCTACCTGCGTTGAGAAGATCTGATTTGTGTGAACTGTGAAGCGACGAGACAGGACACCGAGAAGACCATCAACCACTCAACAATGATAAATACAGCACTCTAGCCAGCCTTATGCCAGCCCTACGATACCCATGACTCAAGCCACTGATTGTCTAGACCGTGTGGACTATGATTCAACTCCCCTCGCTGAAGCCGTCATGCATGATTCAATGCTTTGGAACGGCATGTTCCACCTTCCACCGATGGTTTCGGAACTCTGTAATCTGCATAATGCTGTACCCCTAGAGGCTGTGAAACGGAATATCAAACTCGATGACATTTGTGACCTGTTTAATATGGCGTATCCGGAGAAAGTATTAAGAGAAAGCAGATCTGGTCACGCAGTCGTGAAGTTTAGTGTGGCCTTAGGCATCCAGGGATCAACAAGGATGCCTCCACAGCCACACCAGGGCGCCGGGTCCAGTCTCCACACCGCCAACTCTCTCACGTCTTCGCCAGTTACTCCTCATATTTTCTCGTGATAGTGACGGTCAGTTCGAGTCTCTCTCGAATTCTGTCATGACCTCGTCCTCTTCCTCATCCATGACATTCCCAGCATGCTGCTATAGATCAGGTCCTTACCTATCCTCACATTATCTTCTCTCCATCGAGATCTGACGACGCTGTTCGAACCGTCCAGCTCATCCTATTCATCTTATTCCAGCACATCCCTACCTTGTATATGACCCATTGTTTGCATAAGATAGTATCAACCCTGACTTCGATATCTCAATTCAGCTTTTTGTACGCATATTATAGTCGCCATCCCCAACCCCCCAACAGCCTTCCTCTTGAACTGCCGGATACCCTGTCTTGGAGGCTGTGCGTCGGTTCAGCTCTGCGTCTCTCCGGCTCTGCAGCATCGCTGAATCCCCCGTCCCTCGCATCCCTCCACGACACTGCCCCTCTCATTCTGTGACACTACCATTCTGACCGGCGCTTCTGGGACCAGTCCCCCATGCGGACAACCTCCTTAACCGGTCAGGAAAGCGAGCGAACCCGGTTTATTTGAGCCTGGCCCTGAGCACACGGCCAAATCGGCCTTCCGGCTGAGGACCCTGCAGTGCGCTTCTACCCATAACTTCAAGGTATGATCTTTGTCTACTCAGCGCTGCCGACTTCTTTGGTATTTTGGTTCTCTTCAGATCGCATATACTTGGGTCTCAAATCTTGTCATTCAGTCCTTCAAGTCAGACCTAATATCTTGCTTCACCTTCTCGGAGTCGCCGCCTTTTGTTACCCCTATCCCCCTTGCTCGAGTATCCAGGATCCGTTATCCAGAATCCGTGCCTGATTTGATCGATTAAAGTTATGCTATTTTCTAGAGTAACATCGTATAGATGACTCCATTCCTTTAATCGACCTTCTTGAAAGCCCGTTACATTGGAAATATCAATTTCGATTGTTTTCTCGAACATCATTCTTAATTTCTTATTTCCTGGTACTTTGATTCACTTCCCAGTATCTAAAGACTCACCATGCCGCGTCTAGCTTCCCGTTCCGACCCTTTTACCTTCCCTGACGCCTCGGATCTCATGGTCCTTGAAACCCCCCTTTTGCGGGTAAGCCGGCCCGTGGCAGCCTGCATGCGATGCCGTACTGCCAAGATCCGATGTGACGGAAAGCTTCCTGCCTGCACTTCGTGCGAGCGAGCCAACAAGGCGGCCGAGTGTTCCAGCACTAATGATCAGTTCGCCAAGGGCAAGGAACGAAGTTATGTGGCGACCTTAGAGAGCAAGGTGGAGAAGTTGGAGAAGCGGTTGATGGAGGCCAGCGCACGACGGAAGAGCTCCACCATTACGATGATCGATTTGGCTGCAACACCACGAAGAGTATCTGCCGCAGCAAATGTTGGCGGTGTGGCTGGCGCGGATAGAAGCAATCCCCAGGACAAAAGAGCGGCGATCAGGAAAGAAGCAAGCAACATCGATGACTTGGTGTCGGACTTCGGATTATTGTGAGTCATTTCCTCTACAACCTCCTGGGTCTCGTCTGATGCGTCTACAGAGCGGTAAACTCGACCGCGCGGGACTTCTATGGATTTACATCCTCAATGACGTATGCGAGGCTAATCCTGTCGGCTGCAGCCCAAGAAACGCTCCCGAGTGGAATGACGAAGGCGCTTCCCCAGAAATTCGAGGCAGTTCCTTTAGTCCAGCACTACCTTAACACCCTTGGCCTAGTGCTTCCTTTCTTTGAGGAGACATCATTCTATGCATCCATGGACAACGTATACCAGCCTGAGGCCACCAGGGCTTCCCCGTTCGATCGCTTCCTGGTCCGAATGGTCTTGGCTATTGCTTCCGCATCCATGTCAGATCAAAGGGGTGACACGCCCTACCTAGATGCTCTAGGCCATCTCTGCGAAGCCCTGGAGGACACGGACGGTATATTACATCCCGGATCCCTCCAGAGTATACAAGCCATGTTGCTCTTGGCTGTGTATGCGACATTCGACCCCCATCACTTCGATAGCTGGACGTTAGTTGGAGCTGCCTCACGGGCCATGGTCGATTTGGGCATCCATCAGGACCCCTCCAAGTCGGTCAAGATGCCGAAACAAAAGCTAGAACTCCGCCGACGGATATTTTACTGTGTATATGCCCTCGATCGGTATTGATGTCTCATGGTTGATGTCTGGGCTATGCTTACTTTTCACAGATCAACTGCTCTGGTCCAAACCCGCGCATTCTCCTTCTCGGATGACTCAGCTCAAGTGGCTTTTCCGTTCCAATCTCGAGCCTCTGCTTCCGTCAAGAAAGACTCGCCGCCGAGTCCCCTATGGCAGCCAGCCTCGGTATCAGCCCTTGAATACTTTCGATTGCGCCAGATTCAGTCCCGATGGTACACCCTTTTCTTCCAATCGGGTCGTACGCCGATGGACAACCCCTATGCACATATTTGGCAGACATACCACGAGATGACGGCATGGTATGATGGCCTGTCGCCGAACATACCTACTACTGTCCGTCAAATCTTCCACCTTGAGCTCCTCTACTCCTATGTTTACCTGCTATCCCCATCGGCCCGCTGTCCGGCCATCAATTCGTATGCACAACGCCTCATCTTTGAACATTGCATTGCATATGCTTCTAAGATTGCCTCGATCGTTGCCACGATCCAACGAGACAAGAAAGCGGCCCTGATCCCCCTTACTTTCTACGATGCCATGCGCGTCTACATGACCGGTCGGCAATTCATCGACGTCCTTGCCCGCAGCCCCACCGAGCTCCTCAACCCAATCCCACCCACGCCCCCCGCTGTCCTCGCGCCGTCCCCTCCCGGCGACGATGGCGAAATCGACCCTCTTGCGCCCGCCACCGAAATCGCTCCTCCACGCATTCCCGACCCGTATATGGATCCACCCCACGCCACCTCCGCTCACTCCACGGGTAGCGCTTTTACTATCAACGACCCCACCACGCGATCCACCCAAGCTATCCAGGACTTCACCGACATTCTTTCCTATTTCGGCGTTCGCTTTGGATTCATCTCCTGGCGCGACCGCTTCTCCCGCGAATCCGCTCCACTGCTCGCAACTCTCCTCCGACAATCACAGCAGAACGAAGCGAGCGCCAACGCTATGGGCGTGGGAAACATGACTAGCTATGCGGGCATGGGGAGTCACGGCCACAGCCCCAACCACGGCCTCATGCAGGTACCAAGCCATAGTCCAGGGCAGAGCCATGCCGCCACGAACCTCCCTCCTCATGGAATGATCCACCCGCACCAGCAGCACCCGCAGCAATTGATGCAAACCCACTCCCATCAGATCCCGATCGCTCCGCACACGAGTCCCGCCCAGCTCAGCCCGGCCCAGCTCAGCCCCGCCCAGCAACTCCTTAGCACCAGCCCGGGTCACCTCAACCCCAGTCCGAGTCACCAGCCGAGCTCAAGTCCAGGCACCATGCACGGCTTCCCCCCGCTCAGTCGCGCCACGTCGCACGGATCCGCGACGTCGAGCCAACCGCCGAACTACTGGAGACATCCGAGCCCCCACCAACCCCCCCAACCACCGCAGCAGCCAATATACACGACGTCGCCGCCGCCGGCATACGGATATGGGCAACCGTGGACGGGAAATTCAGGACATGGGGTCACGGGCGTGGGACAGGGCCAGACGGAGCAGGGGAACGCGTCCGGACCGCCGATGAGCATGGCTGATCCAGCGTTGGGCGGGATGGCGGGGTGGGATACCATGCCGAGTGGGAATCAGAACACGCGGTTTGGGTAATGGATGCATTGAATCCTTGCACTGCAGGGAAGGGGATTTAAGAGTAATAGGAGACGTGTACGAGTGAGGAGGTGGTGGATTGCCGTAAGATATGTTGAGTACTAGTTCCTGTAGCTACAATATCGGCATGCCACAGATATATCGAGAAGGAAGTGTCCTGATCAGATGCCGTGCATGCACTCGAAAGGAGCACTGCTGATGAGAACTTGTGCTTCAAGTAATCCCCGACTGTATACCCATTAAGTCCGACTTCTCCAGCCGGCCAACCGGGAAAATCACTCGTCTAAGCTCGGCGGCAATATCCCTCAAATCTTCCAAGACATCAAATCTACTAGCTTGAGACTACCGTAGCTACTCTCTTCCTCTAGCTATTGCTTTCTAGATGAGCGGTTGTTCCTTCCACAGCCATTAGCCATTACCAGCGCTTTCGCCTTCATTAGCACCCTACTCAACCAATAGAGAGGGCCTCCATAAGGACTGATAAATTGGTGCTTCTGATGTTGCATCGTTGATTCTGTGCCGGTACTGCTCCCCAACAAATATTGCACCTACCCCTATCAGACAGAAATTGCCAGGATGGATGAAGCGGATAGGCAAAGATAGATCTAGGCGTGCACCAGGCAACGAAGGGCTAACTCGTCAGGCAGCACCGCTTAGTTGCTCAATGCCAGACAGGCATCCACCGCTTGTCCAACCCTATGATGTCATAAATCAGCGAACGTCCATGCCTTCCGTCCTGGACCAACGTACCTTCCCTCCTTCATCCTCACCACATCATCAATCACCTCCCGATCCAACCCTGGAAACATCCCCGCCAACGTCTCTACCACCACCGCATGCTCCTGCAACTGAATCCGCCGCGCATGCTCCATCTCCACACTCGCCTGCCTCGCCGCCGCGTCCTCCGCGCTCAGCTTTGTCGCCACCGCCCCCGGATCCTGATCCGCCCGCAGTCCGCTCGCCCCGTCATCCCTCGATGCATCTCGCGGCCGCTCCGCCGACCGCCGCGGGCCGCCGTCCGAGCTGCGCCGACCAGGCGTCGTCGGCGGCGCGGGGGCGAGTCGGGGCGCGGGGTCGCTGCTGGCGCCGGCGTCGTCGGAGAAGATGCGGCCGATGGAGGAAAGGGGTTTTTGGATGGTGCGGAGGAGGGCGGGGACGGTGGTGGTGGCGGGGTCATCGGGAGTAAGGGGACGGAGGGGTTGCGGCCGGCGGGGGGAGGGGTGGACGACCTCGTCGAGGGAGGGGCGGGGGCTAACTTTAGGGCGGGAGGGGGTGGATTTGGTGGAGGTAGAGGTGGGGTGGGGGGAGGCATGGTGTTTGCGGGGGCTCGATGGGGGGGGGTTCGCGTTGTTGAAATCTTCGGCGTGTCGTTCGGCGATGACACTGACGGCGGCTTCGACGTGCTTCTCGAACTCCTCGTCCGAGATGGTGATGCTGGTGCGGTCGAGGTTCTCGATGAACTGGATGGTGCCCATGAGGCTGGAGATGTAGTAGCCGGCCTCACCGCCAAGCTTGTCTTGGTCGCGGAAGCGGAGGATGTATTGCACGTTACTGACTAGGTGGTCGGGTCGGGCGTGTAGGACCACGTAGATGAGGAGTGGAACGAAGGAGTCGGCGGACTGGTCGGCGGAGGGGGTGTTGCGAAGGAAGCCGAAGATGACTTTGCAGCAATTGAGGATGCAGATGACTTTATCGCGTGGGGCGCGATAGGTGTTGATTTTAAGGAGTTCTGGTTTCGCTGTCAGTCCAGCCTTCGATGTTTACGTCGAATAAGCGGAAAACATACCTTGTTGCGCAAGTTTCAGAAATTTCATGCCCTTTTCTCCAACAGGTTTGATATCTAAATGCGCTTCTCTCACCCAGCCATATATTCGAACCTTCTGGCCCAGGACCTCGTCTCGCTCCACATCTTCCTGATGTTGCCCCCTTCTACCATATCGTATTGGAGACTGCGCTGCTCTCCTCTTCCCTCTAGACTCAGCGATCGGTTCCGGAGATGGGATGGCCGGCGAAAATGTCTGATTGTACAAGCGATTCATCACTAGCTTTTCCATGCCCTCTTTCGCATTATCAAACTCCGCATCCGAAACCGTCCGCCAGACCTCGCATTGCGCCATCTTCTTGCTGATGAACTCCAGAAAGTCGCTAATGATTTTGACTTGCTCATGGACCATCCATTGCTTCTTGCCGAACTCCAAGAGGAACGAGCGGAGGAATTTCGCTACCGGATCCGCTGTGCGATGCCGTAGCTGTTCGAGGAATCGATGGAAGTCGAACGGCAGGTCCGGCTCCGGATCCGGCTCGGGGGGAGGCGGCTTGAATATTGATGAGGGCGGTTTGGGAGAGCTCGTCTTCTCCGATGCCGTCTCAAGATGTTGCAGCGATGAAGACCTGGGCGGTGGGGACTTCAATGCCGGACTCTGTGACGACGTCTGCGATGGTGGAGATGATATACCAGAAGCGGCAGTACTAAGCGGCTCCAAGCTTGACCTTCGCGGTGGATGCAATATCGGCGAGTCCAGCAGCGGGTTCGCGAGCTCCATTCGCGGGGACAAGATCTCGTCCGCTCCGGGACCCTCATGACCCTCGTCAAACTGTTCCATAATCGTCTGGATCTCTTCCGACCGCGCATCGTCGGCCCCCTCGCGCGACGGCTTCCCTCCGGTGCTCTTCTCATTATATTCTTCCGCGTCCGCCGTCTCGGCCTCTGCTTCGAATGCGGCTTTCTCCGGATCGCGATACGATGACGGCGAGTACTTCTCGTCCTTCGGGGGAGGAGGCGGGGGGGAGAGGTTGGGAGGGAGTTCTTTCTCTTCGAGAGGGGTGGTGGGCGTCTTTGGGGGTTCTACTGCTAGAGCTTGGAGTCTCTCGATGGTATCCTGGGTTTCATCACCAGCGGAGCTGCCCTCCGGCTTGTCTCCTTCGCTCTGCTGCTTGGATGCACCGGACGATTCCTTGTCTTCATCTTTCTGGACGCCTCCGCTTTCTTCTTGGCCGCTGCCTGTTATCTGCTCGTTGATAGCCTCGGACGACTGCATCTCTTCCCCTCGAGAAGCGTCGGCCTTCGAGACGTCCGGGCTTGGGTTCCCACCGAGCTTCTGGGTCTCCAGGCCATTATCACGGGCTATCTCCGCTCCATTCGATTGCTCTGTAGGCGGCTCGCTCTCAGGAGGCATAGGGTGGCCGATCGGCGGGGATATTTCGAGGCTGGACTGGCTTTCAGGCAGTCACATAGACTGTTGGAGGACTTTGTTGGAGCACGATCTCAAACGGAGTCGGAGCCCTTAGCAACCCTTCGTCTCGGAGCTTGGTCGAATATGGGGCTCTCGATTTATCGAAGGGGCGAGCAAGTGGGGTCGGATCGGGTACAGGTATTGATGCAGTAATCCAGGAATATTAGATGGTTGGAGCAGCAGGTTGGAAGGCTCATGTCTGCAGCATGACGATGATCCTAGAGCTCCAACTCGAGTGTTCCGCTCGGATAGAACCATCCCACTTCCGCTTCACTACTAGTCTTCACCACTTCGCCAACACATCGATCTCATATGTACATATTAATACTACAGGTGAAAAAGACCTTCGATGGCAAATGGACTGGTTAATTTCTGGCACTTTTTAAGGCAGTTTTGAGTGGCCACCGAGAACCCTCCGAGGTGAATATCTATATGGAGATTTGTATTACATGTTCCGAGTCTGAATTCCGAGGTCGATTCTTGGAGCTTGAAGCTTCCACAGCAAGGCACGATTGGTATGGTTCAGCTACTGGTACTGGTACTCCTTCCTGTGCGTGATAAACGCCTGGATTCTGCAGCTATTTCATTCTTGTGGAACGCCCAATTTGTCCCGGGAAACATACATCAAAGTATGTGGTACAGGTTTGTCGCTATGACCTCGAAGGACCCGCTGGGCTTGCGATAGGCGGCCCTGCGGCAGGATATTGAGAACTGTGCTATGAAGGCCGAATAAGGACTTGATGTTGTCGCTGAAGCCGCGTTGGACTTACCAAGCCATGAATGCTCATTCTGTTGGCTGCCTCCCAAGCTCCTCCGGCCGACTGTCTGCCACCTTGCCCCGAAGCGTCGTTGCCACGGGGGATACCATTCAAGAGGATCAAAACAGAGAGGAGCATGTCTCTCCATACTCCAAGATTCCGTTCTCAAACGATCCCCTCACTCCTCCATAGCATCGGGATGCACCCCTCCCGGAATCCTCCCCTCGTTCAATTCTTTCTCCAACCGTGTGATCTCCGACAAGCTCTTCGCATTCCGGATCAGTTCCTCCACCCTCTTCCTCTCCTTATCCGTCAGCTTGACGCGGTTCACTTTGCTCGACGGCTCCCCGTTCATGTCGGCGGACGGGATGTCGAAGGTTCGGGATTTGACTCCCATGATCTACGGAGGGTCAGGTTCGCTGCAAACGGGATCTGTTGGTCAGGGGTCCACGCACCTTCGCCGCCAGCGCCGAAGGCTCCTCCTGCGTTCCGAAGAGCTCGTCCGCCTTGTCTCGCTCCGCTTTTTTCACCTTTTGGTAATCCAAGAACCGAACGTTTCGACATCGCCAGAGTACCCAGTATCGGTAGTTCTGGAAAGAAACGACTCAGCTTCACACTCCATCGTGCGCGTCCCGGCGTGCATCACTCACCTGCTTTGTTGTGACGGGATTCTCGGTGAGGACCAGGTGTGTAAGGTATTTGAAGGTCGCGAGCGGGTCCAAGTCCGCCAGCTCGGCGAGGTTGTTCTGGGCGAGGACCAGCGTCGTGAGGCCCGGTATCGACTTCGGCAACGTCGACTGAACACTGGCGATGCGATTCCGCGCGCACATGAGCGTCCGTATTCTCGGGTTCAGCGGGAAGTTGCCGAGTATGGTGATGTCGTTGTCTGTGAAGTCGATACAGTCATGGTCCTACAATTCCCGTGGGAGCTTAGCAAACGAGCTTGGGAAACGAAGATTTGTATTGATCACGTACCTGTGATGCTGCCCCTAAATTCTCAATGGCTGGAATTTTATGCCCTGCTTGTGCCGAAAATATTCGTATTAACAATGCCGCTTCATGATACAAAGTGGTGCATTTGCTCTGCTCAGGTACGCACCTCGTAGGTCAAGTTCTCTTTCTTGGAGGGGATTGATGTAGGAGAGGGACCTATTTATGAGGTCGGCCGTCAACCTCATTGCGTCGACTATATTCCGAAAGAGTTTCCGTAGGTCGGGAGGGAGTGGATTTGGCGGTGCGGTTGATGTGCAGGTTAGATATGTGTGTGATACGGAGTATTTCCATTGACATGGAAATATTATTGCCATCTTCATGTTGACGATATGCGGTGCACGGACCATTTCATCCACCGACAGTTCTAGACAATCAATTCGACTTCTGTTCCTCCCATTTAGGACGTGCATAAGGAAGGAAACTCATCATTTTAGCATGGTATGGTTCATTAAAGCTAACTGCTACGGATCATTTCAATCGTTGCAATGGTTCTCGATCAAGCGAATACATAGACCGCACCCGACCGATCCCCAGATACCACCATTCCAAATGGTGATTCCACCAGCACCACATCAGTAATCGTGTCCAAATGGCTTCTCAAAAGCTGTTGCTGCTGCAAAGAGATCATCGAGGATCGTGGGAGTTTCCCCGAGGTCCTCCTGGATCCATCGTCCTTACTCGATCCCGCTTTCGACGATTTCGACGATCCCGGTGAAGGGGAAGCACTCACCTCCCTCGGCTGGGAGACGGGGGACCGCTCCGTGATGATTGTCAGTTCGTTCGGCATCTGCGATGCACTATAGCCTGGTTTCATTGCATCGACTTCGTGTCCGCTGACAATCGAGGAGTATTCGGGACGCGCTGGATCCCAGAATCTGACTTTCCAGTCCGGTCCTGCCGATATCGCGAAATATTGCCGTGCCTCGCCATCATCATTGACATGTGCACCGACGGCCAACGCGCGGACGCCGTGGTCACCGATTGTTGTGTTTCGCGAATCCACGGACGTCGCGAATCGTCCTAGCATGCCCCCCGACTTGTCGTCGTCGATGTCAACCAGCTGGTAGCCCTTCGAATTTTCCTTCGCGCTGCTGATCCGGAAAATCTCTTTGCACTGCGGCTTCTCAATGTCCCACGATGTGACCTCGCCTTGGCCAGTCCCACCGGCGATGAGGATCCGGTTCTTCTTGGCCCCGCGGACGTTTACCTGCGTAATGCGGTGGATCGGCGAACCGCCCTGGAATGCCCACGCCTTCACGCGTAGACGGAAGCGGAGATCCCATAGGTCCAAGACACCGTGACTGGATCCCAGTAAAATCCAGTGATGTCTCCGGTCGAGACAGAAACTTGTGATTGTGCCATGGCGGAGCGGGTTATGAAGCTCGTACAGAATCCCCATCGTCCGTAGGTCCAGAGCGATGACACGGGACTTATTCGTAGCCATGATGAGAACAGACTGATTGTCTTGTTTGAAATGCTCGGACCAAATAGCATATTGGTCATCATCAAGGCTGAACTCCCGCATAGTCCGTAGCTTGCCCAACCGTGCGGTTGTTTGGTCGAGAATCTCGAGTTTGACCACGGTAACACTGCCGTCCGAACCGGCGCAAGCAAAGCAGTAGGTGTTCTCAATAAACGTCAGACTTGTGACGCGGACGCCAGGGTTGAGTCGGAACGTATGCTTCGATCGGTGGGTGACATTGCGCTCTAATCTTGATGTTTCCCACACCTTCACGAACCCATCATCAGATGCGGTCAAAAAGAACAAGTGATCCGGTGCAATGGCAATCTTATTGATCGCGCCTGTATGCTCGGACAGAAGAGCAATGAGTATTCCCTCCGGTCGCCAGGGGGTGATCTGTGGCTGCAAGCGGCTCCTCTTGATCGTTTGCTGCCGGAGAGGGGTGACAGGAGGGCCAAATTCAGTCCGATCAAGGGGGTAGTGCTCTAAGTAGAGTGAATCCAGCAGCTTGAGAACCGTTGGATCATTACCACCGTATGAATGCGCGGCTTTGAATCGCACTTCGTTGGGCTGCTCACGATGTTGCTGTCGTGCCGCGTTTAACGGCGAGAAGGTCGAAGCTTTGTTCGTTTCAGTGCGAGATATCGAATCGACCCGGCCGAATGCGTTCGTGGAGGTAGTTCCTATCTCAGCCGGGGCCTTTGATCCGCCCTCTTTGCTGTGGATCAAGCTCATTGCACTACCTCGCCTTTTCATGCCAGGTGCCTCATCCAGACGCGTACTAGATACCGACGAAGGGTACGAATTGTCGGCTCCTGAATCGGTATTGGGCGCGCCTGCGCGTGCTTTGCCCGTGGCGACTCCACGAGGCGGCGTTAATCCGGGTTCGGCGCCTTCATTGCCCATCGTGGATGAATGGCTCGTATTTATCCCAGGTTTGGATTCCCCAGTATCAACCCGTGCTAGGTTCGCCATGGCACTGTTTATGTGCGACCTCTTACGTCGAGCGAGTGCATCGTCGCCAGTGGTGGAAGCGTCCAAAAGTGCATCAGCGAGACTGTGAATTCTATTCTCCTTTGGAGGCTGCTCGCTTGCTTGCGCGATAAGCCCCGGGGCTGGGTCGAATAGTACGGTTTGCATGGAAGCATTGTGGTCTTTGAGGGCAACCATTCCCGAAGGCTGGAAGAAGGCAGTTTCCACATGCTTGGGCTTTCGATGCGCAACTCGCCAGATGTACTGCCTCAGGCAAAGGAATTTGAATTCATCTTCGGGGCTCATCCCACCCCCTCGAAGTCGGGAGACCCATTGCTCGTCCTCCTCGTTTTTCGCCACTTTGTTCAGGGCTTTGCTTTCGATGTCTTTGCGTGCGAGTCGAGTAATCACTTCGTCAACATAGCCGAATGATCCGGTTTTTCGATCCTTCGCAGACTTCCAGAAAATGCCTTTCTCAGCCTTTAGCGCCCATGTCATGCCCATGTCCAGCACCAGTCTCGGTAGTGGTTTCTTTAATGAGTCCAGGATTTTCAATTCGGTGGTCTCTGACGGCGCCACCCTGACATAAGGAGAGAGAATCGGGATTATGATGCTGTGGCAATCAGACACCGCCAGATGAGATGACGCCGCCTCGATGAATTGAGCAGATGCCTCTCTTATCCAAATGTTCGGGTGCATTGTGAAACGAGCAACCAAGCTGACAAGCTTCCAGGTTCTCGCTCTTTGGAAAAGGCCGACCTGTGCCAATGACGAGAGCGATCGTAAGACTCTCTCAACCACGAATTCTTCGGGATCGGTGAGCGCTTGAATCATTAAAGGGAGCACGAATTCTTCCAGGCTCGCGCTTCCAACATATATGCCAACGCCGACGACGGTCTCGAAGAAGGCGCATTTCAGCATCCAATCAGGGTCGTTCACGTATGTATTCAGGTGGCTCAGGACTACGTCGGCCGCCTTGGCCTGTCCGAAGAAAACGCAGAGCGTCGCAATGGACCCGAGGAATGATCGTCGGACGGCGGAGTCACGGTCCGTGAGAATGGCCTTTGTTTGGGCCTCGAACTGCGCCGTGAGATCCTCTTGAGCAACATCGTAAAGCATTTGATAGACGGATTGGCTGATGGTATTTGCTTCAGCCTCGGGGTCTCCCGCTGGAAGACTCCCGTCCGCCCGCAAAGCCTGCATCATGTCCAAAAACTTTGATGCTGTCGAGGCTAAGGTGGCCACGCAAGACGCGTATGTAGCGCGGATGAAAGGGCTAGGATTTGACGGTTGACCGGTGACGAATGGCTTCAGCCGCGGGAGTACATATTCAGGGAACACGTATGCGTTAATGGGGGATACCGAGTTGACAAGAGCCGTTATCTGCGAGACGGCTCGAAGCGCGGCTGCTTTGACAAGATCAGAGGCGTCGTTCAGTAGAACCATTGCGTAAGGGAGAATGCGGTCCAGTTTCGCTTCGTCCGTAACTCTTTCAGCGAATGCCATCATCAACTCGCAGGCTCGTATTCTGCTTGTAGCTCGAGCGGTACTACGCACGGAAGCAACCACAAGGGTAAGAAAGATCAGGGTGCCGTCATCGGCCGCCCGTTTGATGGATGCTCTCGCGACATGCTTGTTGTTCGGAATATCCAAATGTAATGGAAACTGGAGACCAGGGAGGTTCGATTTGTACGTGGAGGACGACTGCCCACTCTGGGCGGACGGCAATTCGTATCCAAGAGCGTATGATATCGAGTCGAATTCCTTATAGACCCGGTCGATGCGTTCATCCGACTCCCCAAGATTCTCTGGGCCGGTTGTGACAGGAGCTCTGCCATTTGCCGGGTCCGTAATGAGATTCATGTATTGGTGGAGAAAGTTGTAAAAATAGTCCGGAAAAGCTCTGGAGCGCCAGAAATTCAAATATTCTTCAGCGGAATACCGTGCCTCTGGATCCAGCTGAATCATATGCGTCACCAACTCACGGATGTCTTTGTCGGCTATGCGGTTGACATGCGCTAGTATGGGATCATACTCCCCTTTTTTGTACTTGAACAGATGATGGAGCTGAAAGATAGGGGTCTCGAGGAACAGTTCTGCAATGACACAACCGGTACTGAAGATATCCATAGACCAGTTAACGCCGCCTCTGTTTTCAGGTGGAGAATCTGCGCTTAGGAACCGCTCAGGGGCAAGGTAGCATGTCCGTCGACCCGACGTGTCGAAGTAGAACGAGAAGTCGGCGGGGTTATCCTCAGGGAGGTAGGCCGGCTTGAACGACGAGGAGAAATCGGACAAGTAAAGCCAGTTCCATGAGGTGACTAAAATATTCTCGGTCTTGATATCGCCATGGAATAGGTTCTGCGCATGGCAGTCTCGAACGGCGCAAAGAAGCTGGAATGCCACCCATTTCTTCTCGATATCCTCCAGAAATGGTCGGGTGCTTAACCGGTCGTACAATGAGCTGTGGATATATTGACGGACAAGGAACCCATTCGTTCCGGTCTCTACAATACGATGATACCCAATAGCATTCGGAATATCAGCCAAAATCTGACGCTCCTCTAAGTCACGTGGTTAACGATTGTATTGTTCGAAAGTGTGAATAGACTTACTGTGAAGAATACGAACATATTCATCCAATTTCATGTCCGCAAAGGGCTTCATTATGACTTTGGCCACGGCCAGGCCATCTCGATGCCTCGCACGGATGCATTTCATAAACCGCGCATTCCCAAGAGACTTATCGTAGGTTAGATCTGCCAGCTCCGGTACATCGATGCCAGCTGACCCTGCCGACAGAGTCGTAAGAGAATAGCCTTGACCCATCTTGGTCGGATGTTTGGGTATTAGGTTCGGTGCAATATTAGGCACCTATCAAGGACCCAGTGTCATCTTATGGGCAGTCGCAGGAAGGTGTGTAGCATCTTGCGAAGCCCCTATTCCTGAAAAGAGGCGAGGCTTTCTCCAGGTACTGTACTTGAAAGCCGAAGTAAATATCTGGAAGGAGGATGCAAGTTGGTTTCGAGGTGGAAGTTAATCACAGCATCAAGTCGGGAAGTCTGGTGGACGCGTCCCATGGCGCCACAAGTGCATCCGATTGAGGCTTAGCGTCCTGTCAACTGTACAGTAATAGAGTACCTGACGCCACATAGTCACCTCCGTCCTCCACCACATTCTTTGGATAATTTCAACAACTGGATTCCACAACAACCAGGGGGTTAAGAACTGGAAGGAATCCTGCTGCATCTCCTATCATTGACAAGGATTGGGTTTACGGCAGAAACCGTTTATTATGAATCATGTCTAAGTCGCGCCGAGAAACAGAGCGCGAGAAAGCAGGGAAGAAGAGCTTGGTGTTCATCCATCCGGATCTGGGGATAGGGGGAGCGGAAAGACTCGTCGTCGATGCGGCGGTCGGCTGCCAGAATTTGGGCTATAAAGTTACAATATTCACCTCGCATTGCGATCCGAAACATTCCTTTGACGAGGTACGACAACGTACGTTTTCGCTGTCCCCGGTCTTTGTGGGGCTTTTGATCTTTCCCCCATTGCCGATATATGCTTTATGACAAAGTCACCTCCATTTCGGCGGTCATACCCCCAAAAGCCCCTATCGTGCATAAGGCCAGACATTGGATTTTATTGTACTAAGAGCTGACCAGAAATAGTTGATGTCCGAGTCCGAGGTGACAGTATAGTTCCCCCATCAATATTAGGGGGGCGTTTCACCATTCTATGCGCGATCCTGCGACAACTTCACCTCATCCTCCAAATCGCTCTTTTCACCAATGAGTTAGCCTCTATCCAGCCTGATGCCTTCTTCATCGACCAACTAAGCGCTTGTATCCCTCTCTTGAAATGGCTTCTTCCCCAACCAAAAGCCACAATTCTCTTCTACTGCCACTTTCCAGACCAGCTACTGGTACAGCGTAAAAGCATTATCAAGCGACTATATCGCGCTCCATTCGATTGGCTCGAGAGCTGGTCAACTGGCTGTAGCGATACCATCGTTGTGAACAGCTATTTTACGAAAAGTGTCTTCAAACAAGTTTTTCGAAAATTGAAAGACCGAGACCCACAAGTGGTCTATCCTTGTGTGGATATCAATGCCTATGCCCCCGATCTCGAGGTTGCGGGATTGCTGACAAAGCAATGGAAAGACAAGAAGGTGCTTCTGAGCATAAATCGGTTCGAGCGGAAGAAAGGGGTCGATCTAGCCATAAGAGCTTACTCACAATTGCCAAAGGCTCTGAGGAAAACGTCTCGACTCGTAATTGCCGGTATGTGAACCTACAATCCGCTTTTTATATGGCCGCTAACATCCTCCAGGGGGCTATGACCCTCGTGTCGCAGAGAATGTCGAGCACCATCATGAGCTTCTCACTCTCAGCGAGGACTTGGGTCTGAGTTGTAGCACGGAAACCACCGTCAGGGGTGCCATTACAACCGATGAGGACGTCAACGTGCTTTTCCTACTCTCTGTACCGGGTGATTTTAAGTGGGTGTTGCTTAAGGTTGCCCGTCTCTTAGTCTACACTCCAAAGGAAGAGCATTTTGGGATTGTGCCGATTGAGGCCATGCTGGCACGAACCCCTGTCCTTGCTGCAAATAGCGGAGGTCCGATGGAGACGGTTGAAGATGGGGGATGGTTGAAAAATCCCGAAGATGTTGACGAATGGGCAAAGGTCATGTTTGGCGTCTTGACCAAGGAAGCATCATGGATCAATGCGATTGGAGAGAAGGGACGCAAAAGAACAGAGATGTTTAGTAGAGACAAAATGGCCGACGCTCTCGCCAAGTATCTCTAGTTACATTTACTTCTCGGACCAAGACGACCCAGGTATGCCGTTTACGTTACATCAACACAGGTAGCACTTCATTAGGGTTGGACAGTCCATTGGTCGCCCATCGTGTATCGGGGTACTATTAGAGTCCCAACCCCTTGATGACTGCCAGTGCTCGTTCACTTTGCATCCTCGGCCAGCACTCTCATGTCTCAGCAGCCTCCAATGATACGACAGTGCATAAGCTGCTGCAAATTATCGACAGCCAGGATAGTCGTCCACGAACATATTAGGTCACACCCCAGGAAACAACGGGAGGAAACGATGAATCTCCATTCTAAGGAAATATGGTTCTAATACATGACTCGTCAATATTTCTCTACTGACAGATCCTGACTCGGCTCAACGTCATACCTGTGATGGAGTTCCAGCTCCCATGAACCTCAATAGCTATTTCGTACGCAATACAGGTAGTTACAATGTTGAAACCATTAGACAAGGCAATGGCTTTGCAAGCGTCCTGGCGACTACGCGTAGGATTCTGCAGCACATCGAATTTCGTGCTCAGACAATGTTGCCGTCAATTCTCAGCTACCAAACCGGCACCAACGCCGAACCGGATCTACACCTCGTAAGTCGGGATTTAGTACCTGCTACAACCGATACGTGCGAAACTAATGGTCTCGGATAGTGTACGAACACCTGACGAGCTACATACGCTCACCCTGCTCTCCGCAAGCAGTCGTCGACCATTGATTACCCTTTGGACCGCCCGCTACAATCCCAACTCCATAGCCGTTGCTCCAACTATTCTCGAGCTCATCGAAACAGAAGGCTGTGGACAAAGTGAGGGTGGCGTTGGATATGCGGAAGTAGAGTTTGATTCCGTGATCATCGGAGATCTGCCGCTCCAAATTCAGGTATGAGGTGTCGCTGTTGCATATACCATAGACAACAGTCACGAGCATATGCTCACTATACCAGGTTGCAACCGTACCAACACTACTTGCTTTCAGTAGGCAAGAGCCGCAACTGGACACCAAGGTTACTAGCTTGGAGCAGCTAAGAGACAAGACTTTCCTCCGTAAATGGATTGAAACGGAAGCAAGGCGAGGGGGCGAAGGTGGTGCTGGTGGCCGACTTTGGCCCTTTTAACCCTGAACGGGTGCGTTGCAGCCCTCTTATTCTGTTACGAAGGTATGAATTACCCGACGCCGGTGAAACATCTGGTGTCTGGTGCCATTGGCACGATATAATGCGATGGCTAGCAAATCAAGCAGTAGGTGAACCGCTGAGCAACGTAGTTCAATTCTCTAATGTCGTCTAGATCTAGGAAAGCTACCGCAATCTCGTCCATGAATGAGTATGGGGCATGATTACAGTGCCCCAGTCTCCGCGTAATTCGTCTTCAGCGCATAGGATCGTAGCTACATAAGCTGTAATCCTTGGTAAGCATCTCCAAAGGCTGGATATGTTGTGCTGGGCGTATTCTCTCCCCATGACGGGATTGACCTCATTTTCGACCCTCTTCTTCAGCATGTCATAAATGACTCGACTCTTCTCGGCAAGTATGCCAACCGGTACTTTTGCGCTGACTAGGACATCAATATGCCTATGTTCGTTGGTGAGAGTCAAATTTGCCGGTCGTGGAAGCAGACGAGGAAGTGGATGGGAAGGAATATTGAGCCAATCCGACCCAATTGAACCGAAGCTCGATGATTTAGGATGGTTCTTGTGCTGTTATAATCGGTTCTGCGAGGTTGTGGACCAATGCTGAGTAGTAATGCATCAGACCCGAGTGATCTGACTCCTTCATCCATCCTCGTCATCCACCAAGGTTTCCTGCGCAGCCTGCGTGGACACCCATGTCTCCAGCATCTGCTGGCTTGATCCAAACTCTTGTGCTTTTTGGCCACGCCGCTTGACTACCAGGCACAGGATTCGTCCGTAGATACTGAAACCATCGTATTGCGTGTTGATGGACGGTTTCTTGCTAGCGGATTCTCCTTCATTGTCCGGACTCTCAGCCGCGGCAGGCGCCTCCTCGGCTACGTTTGGGGTATCCGGTATGTTTCCCAGGCCGGCTCCTTCGTCATCTTCCTCAAGGACGACCACATCTGGCTCCGTGGCTAACCGCTGCTCGGGCTGCTCCTTTGGTCCTCGGGTGACCCACTCGGTCAATCTGCTGGAGTTGCTTTGCAATTTCCCCTTCTTCCCCACGTTCTTCTGCTTCGTAAGCAAAGTATGCCTCGAAGAGTGCTCCGTCAAGAAGATGGATACTTCAAAATCATCTGTGCGAGTCGGGGTTAGCAAGTGCCCTGCTGATGAAATAGACAGAGCCTCCGCTGAGTTGTCTCATGCTATGTACCTATCTAAACGGAATATAAAGTAGAACAGGGTGTTTACCTTGAACAATCACGTCCTTAACCCCTTTCTTCTTGCTCTTCCCTTTCGCTCGTTCATTTTCTTCACGCAGTTTCGGTAAGACTAAGGGCTGTACCGCAGCGATGATTCTAGGAAGAGCTGGATCATGTCTCCGCAACAACCACGACTCCGCGGTAGCGGGATTCTCCAGATAAACCCGTACTTCAAGGACGGAATACTTCGTAATTCGGAGGTATCGACGAATTGGTGCCATTGGATGGGAATGATATATAACTGAGGCGCCTAGAAATACCTGTAGCTGTATATGCTGCCCGCCGGGCGTTACGAGCAGCAAAATTCCAGACTCTGGAGACTTCACAATTGAGCCTCTGGATTGGTCGTAATTCCGGTTGGGGGTTCAGGATTCTTCTTGCGTCTCGTAATTAACTGGTTTGTCTACCTCATGGTACCTGAATAAGTATGAGTTTCAAATTCAGCCGCTCTGAGTGATCGGTGATCAGATGTTGCGCAATAATAATGCCGGCCCCGCGAAGAGCTTCTTCCCTGGACCCCTCCAGTCCCCCTCCCCCATGAACCCCTGGCGCTTCGGCCCTTGTCCAGCTTGTCAACAACCTCAGCTTGACCTTCTATCACTTCGTCCTCATATTATTGTGTTCAACACCTAACCCGTCTTCAAACCTAGAGCTCTTCTTTAGAGCTAGAGTACGCCATTATTGGTCCAGGCCCTCATGCCATCACACTAGTGCTAGTCTTTCACGCGTCATGACTCGCAAGGGAGCAGAGCGCACGCATCTCTCCCCGAGCCTATCCACCTCCAGCGGACCTTCAAACTCGCGATTGACGCCGAGCGATTCATCCGATGAAGCCGTTGTGGGTTCCGAACAAGGCGATGGGGTCGAGCAGAACATTGAGATGACGCTGCTGATGTCAAACAAACCGCCGTTGAGGAGGGAAGAGGGAACGGAGTTCGAGGAGGAGGATCAGGACAAGGAGGACGCCGAGCTCTTGGAGGATCAGGAAGAGGGTCTCGAAGACGGAGAGGGAGTTGGAAGTGCTCGTTGTCGGGGGAGGGGCAGCGTTGGTGAACGCTTTACATTGTATAGCCCCGAGGAAGAGAGGAAGGTGTTGAAGCGGTTGGATTGGAGGCTGGTTGCATTTATGGCGTTGTTGTATATGATGAGCTTTTTGGATCGATCCAGTACGTGTCAATTTCGATTCCTGGTCGTCCCTTTTAATAACCAATCGACGCGTTGTGACAGTTTCCTCGACTCATTGAAGCCGCTAACAAACCGGGGCAGATATTGGAAACGCACGAATTGCAGGCCTGGAGAGCGACCTACAACTTACGTCGTCACAGTATGACTGGCTATTAACGGCATTCTATGCCACTTATATCATGTTTGAGTGGATGGTACTGTTGTACGTACGGCCTAAATTCATCACCATTCCTCGCCTCATCTGACGCCCGACCTAGATACCGCCTCATCCCAGCCCATATCCACATCTCTCTCTGCATCTTATCCTGGGGAGTAATCGCCTCTCTGCAATCCGTTGTCACTTCATATCGCATTCTCCTAGTCCTTCGCGCCCTTCTTGGTATCGGCGAAGCCGCCTTCGGCCCAGGTCTCCCCTTCTACCTCTCGTTCTTCTTCCGCCGCGATGAGCTCGCCTATCGGACGGGTCTCTTCATCTCCGCCGCCCCACTCGCTACGTCGTTCGCGTCCAGCCTTGCATGGCTGATAACGAAGTTCAGTGAGGGGGGACCGATTGCGCCATGGCGACTGCTCTTCCTCGTGGAAGGGTTTCCGAGTGTCTTGGTGGCGGCATTCGCGTGGGGCTACATCCCTGATAGCCCGGAGACAGCGAGATTTCTGACGAAGAGGGAGCGGAAGGTGGCGGCGTTGCGGATGCAAGATGAAAGGGAGACGGAAGCCGAGGTGGAGGCGGAGGCTGCCATGAGCGAGAAGATGGGCATTGGACGACGGCAGAGTAGGTTGTCTCTCCCTGAGATCCGGCGCACATTGGTAGATCCAAAGAGCTATCTAACTGCTGTGAGTACTTCCCCCAATTTCTCCGTTCTTCATTACTCATTCCAATTCTAATGTCTACTTAGCTGATGTTTTTCAATTGCAACGTCGCTTTTTCATCTCTTCCAGTCTTCCTACCAACCATCATCAACGACATGGGCCACTCTCCCGTCACTAGCCAACTCCTGTCCGCTTTTCCTTCGCTGTTGGCCTTCCCAATTCTTCTCATAAGTGCCCATCTATCGGATCGGTCTGCCTCCCGCTCCCCTTACCTGGTATTCACCTCCCTCCTTGGATTCCTCGGATACACCATCCTGGCTCTGTCATCCCCATCGGTGCTTGCTTTACCATCGTGGTTGCGATATGTTGCAATCTTCCCGGCAACTGCAGGATTCTTCTCCTCCATCACTCTGATCATCAGCTGGAACCTGAATAATCAAGCCTCCGCGACCGGTAAAGGTGCGGGGCTGGCTTTGTTGAACATTGTGGGACAGTGCGGGCCGCTGCTGGGAACCAGACTGTATCCCAAGAAAGATGCGCCGTATTACACCACTGGAATGACAGTGTGTGCGAGCTGTATGGCCGCCGTAGCCATTCTGGCACTGGGCCTGCGGTTGGTCCTGCGAATACAGAATGAGAAGAGGAAGAAAACGTCGCCATATGACGGGGATGGAAAGGCTGAATTCCTGTACATTCTATGAATGACAGAACTCGGTATATCTATTCGCCTTCGATCCATTCGTCCAACTTCCCCGAGTATATCATTACATTGGGCTCATAATGCCGCCTTCTCCAAATTCCCCGCAAATGTCGACTCCTTAAACGGGACCGTCGCATCCCCGAAATTCGTATTTTCCAACGCCGACCTTGCTGCTCCAGGCAAGCTCTCCCAAGCGATCAACGGCTGCTCCCCTCCCTTCTCCGGTGTGAAGATCATCTGGTGGTTGATCGGCCAGATGCTGAGATAGCCGACCAGCGGCCTCGATCCGCTGGAGAAGAAGTCTTCGCTCTTCTGATACCCGCCATGCTGGGACACCGACATCCCTGTCGCGGTTGCGGACATCGAGGCCTCTGACAGCCAGACGACGACGTTCTCCCATTCGTGGCGGTGCCCGAAGCCGCTGGAAGGCGAGTCCTTTGGCATGTACCAGGAGTACATGATGCCGCTTTGGCCGTTGTGCGTGCCAATGCGTGCGTAGACCTGGCCGATATTGTTGCCGCAGCGTTCGTTAGGTTTTCCGGTCTTGGCCAGACCGCCGCTAGGAAAAGCTTGTTAGCACCTTTCGGATAGGCTTGCGAGACAAGTGTTGGGTTCCGGTCTCTCGTATACAGGGTGGGGTACCTTGTATTCCCGTCCGCGTCAACAGCTGCGAACGGTACGCATCCAGAATAGACTTCCAACCACGGTTGGAATTTTAGGTACAGCTCTCCAGCGGTCCCTGACGGCACAGTCTGTGGGAATCCCACGATCTGGTCATGGCCCAAGACCGCACGCCGTTGGAACGGCCAGGCGCACACCGCGTTGGCGGCGACAAGAAGCGAGAGGATGTTTCGCATGATTAGGAATATTAAGGGAATGAATAAACGACAGAAACGACAGAAAAACAGGTTCTAGCGGCTGAAGGCATAATTCGAAATCAATTAATCTATGAACGGGACTTTATATACCTCCGACCCTGTTGTACGCCGTATAGTTGCTAGGGCTCGCATTGGATGCCATATGCAGCGCCACCAAATAACCCGCCTTCCCATTGTTCACGGTCCGAGAATTAGACTCGCGTCGGCCCGCCGAATGAAAACCCCCGAGCTGCTCCTCGTGGTAAAGTTCGATTTCGGGCATTCCAGAGTGGATCGACTCATCACGTCAATTGGACCTGGCGCTCATCGAACAATGAAATGGTGCTTTCCATACATGGAAGTGACCGACGCCAAGTCGGAGTGTCCAAGGAAAACCCTTGACGCCGTCGAAAAGATTCCTAGAATTGCATTAATAGGGGGGAGAGTTCTAGAGGGGGTGGGTGATGATTGGTGGGGGACCATACGCTAGAAAGGGTGCGGAAGGTCTAGAGGCACCCCAGATGGATGGAGAAGGTCATGGTCTCGGCAAGCTATCTCATCCGGTGGCCGGACAGATGTCCGGTTGAAGCCCGTTGAAGGAGGTGACAAAGAGCAGCATGTGCAACAGTGCGTCTACTGAGCGAGACAAATGACAATGCAGCAGTTATTACGTTGAGGATATCTAAGGATCAATGCTTTTGGCTGCCAGTACTTCCGAAACGTTGAATGGGTGGTTTTCGACATCAGTGATATCCTGTGCTCCGTAAAATTTACTTGTTCTGGTTTTATCTCGCGAAGTAGCAAAAATTCCAAGCGAAGGACTTATGTATGCAACAAGCTTGTCTCGATTCGTTCCTGTCGCTCAACTTGACTCTGTGGAACTTACTCTCATAACAGTCAGCGGGGCCTTCACAGCTTCCATCCTCGGCTTCCGCTGACGGAAATCCAAGCTGGAATATATCGGCTGCTCTGCTCTAGAGAGGACGAATACCGCTATTCCGATCAGGCCATGATGGCCGGTGAAAAGAATGCTTGTCGATCGCATCTGGCGCCATCCATGTATACTGGTTCGAGATTTCGAACCTACCTACGAGTTGGACATTCTAAACTACCGTATGAGCAGGGTCGAAGGGCTCATCCAGGATATCTCCAGAGCAGGGTGAAACTCCGTTGTTCCAATAGAAGGGCTGCAGTGCTGCTTTTCGTAGGTCGCATCTTTCGATGAGGTGGCCGAGAAGGACCACGAGAGCCAAGGGCAGAGCAGTATTGTTCACTTATCCCACCGTGTCCCCATGTTGCCTTCCGATTTAACTGTGTTATTGGTCGGATTGTTTGGCTTATCCAGGCCCTGCCGTTCTTCGGCCAGAATATTCCTCTCCAGGCTAATCTCCAGGATGGTTTTATTCTTAACGGCGGGGATTCCTGCCAGATGATCGCCATCCTTGTCGTAATAGACGGCCCAAACTCCGGGCTGTTCTTCAACTGCAACGAACGCCTCTTCTCCGCCAATTGTCATGCCCTCTTGATCTTCGGTCCAATCCCACGGCCCGACGGTGTGCTCGATGGATTGACTGCGGTTACCGAAGCCAAGCGCACCCGTGGTGGAATCGGCGTAGAGCCAGTTGAGCATCGGAGGGTCGACGGAGATGGTGCTGACAAGCCCTCGTGTCGGTTGGCGGTCATCGTCGGGATACTGAATATAGAATCCTGTAAATTGATGCGGTGGTGGCGCGTCGGATTCGCCTTGCCGTGGTTTGCCTGTCTCAGCATCTTTGGGCCAGATGAGGACCTTGAGGGGATCGGATCAGCGAAATCAGAGAAAGCGCTGAGGAATATCCGCACCTTGTTATCTTTCATCACCACAGTCGTCCCGTGAACTTCTTTCGCCTTCGGGTGATTTGCTTCGCAGAAGATGTCCAAGTTGAATTTCGTCATGTATCGCTCATCGCCCATCGCAGCGTTCTGCTTTTTCTGCTCGCTAACCGCCTCTGCGACACCCGTCACGACAGGGATAGAGGATACTACCAGAAGACCCAAAACCATCTTGGCGCACTGTTCGAAGGTAGTTTTTCATGGGATATGGACGCTCAGACAAGGAGGACGGAGGTGCATATATTCTGGAGGAGCATCCTGGCTGATGTCATCGCCTCCAGTTCGCCCCAATTGAGGGTCCGATTTTTACGGCAGTCTGGCCGAACGTATCCCCATATTATTAGCTAGTCACACGCTCATCCTCGGACTTCAGAATTCAACTCTTGTTCCAATATCCCCAAGAAATCACTAGGTAATTGCGTGCATATCGATGAATATATTCATATTCAGACGAAATCAACCTATAAACATCCCGGCAAGCTCCAGCCGGACCACCAACTCCGGGCACCTACCCCACGAGGTATCAGATCCGGAGGCGCCAAACGAAATGGTGAGCGAACACCTGAGCAGACGGCAGTGAGCTGCACTCCAGCACCATAGGATCTGAATTGAATTCTACTATATGGGTGCTTTGGTCCTCACAGAATCGAGGTGTCCCTTGGGTTAGGATATGTGGGTGATATTAAGCCAGTATGATCTCCAGTTGGGCAAGGTCAAACAGGAACCAGCTCCGAGTGTGCCTATCCCACTCCCGACTCTCAAGAGTCAAGATGGCGGTGTTCTGGTCGTTGATAATATAGGCGGACATAGAAATGCCGGTCAATACTCTCATGTATTCTGGCTCCGTTTCAATGGGACGATCACCGCCATCGCTACCTATGCGGATGCCTGTGTTGATTTCATCCCAGATCCGGGTTCTCATAGTCACTTGACCAATTGTTCTCGACTCCTTTGCGTCGGATAATGCCCAGGGAGACACGAAGCTGATCAGGACATTCACGATACAAACACTCGGTCTTGCCGAAACAGACGTGGACGCCAGGCGAGTATGGCAGTTGATAGTGAAAGTAGCAAGACGTGTTTAGATATAGTCAACCACCGCTATAACGATTACCGCTACAGCGATATTCGCGTTATAGCGATAAGATTCCCTGCACGGATTCTCAATCAATGCTGCCAAGAAAATTCATTTTAGCGATATCCGCGTTATAACGATTGGATTCGCCTGTACGGATTCAATCGTTATAGCGAAGGTTGACTGTAATCCTCGACTTTGATATTCCGGACAATGGTTCCAAGCCTTCCGTGATGGTTTTCAAAATCTCGGATGGTCCGCTACCACGTTCCAACACCCAGCTATGGAGAAAGGGGTGAACAATAAGGCGGAAATGTGGGGTCGAAGAATCACCCAGGAGGTAAAGTCTCCATGTCGAATGGACCTTCGGAAGTATAGAGATGCATCAGAGAATGCGAGGCATTAAGTCGGGCCTTAATATCCTCACTCGAGAGACAGTGTGCATACGACGGGTCTGCCGACTTCAGGAAGGATGTCATGGTGGATAATCTGCTCCCTCATCTCTCATTCTCATGGATTTCCGGTCGATGGAAAATCCGAATCGGAAGAGCTGAGAACTTGGCTCCTTTCTCTGGACGCCCACTTTGCGCTGTTCGGTGTTTATACTTGCCATTCCTATATGTTGTCCTGGCCTTGGATTCCTTCAATTCCTAAAGGAAACGGCAGCAATAGAGGATCATAGCTTGTGTGATGGCAGGAATCAAGCTCTCTGGCTTCTGCTTGAGGGTCGCAATATTTGGGTTGGTATTTTGTTAGTTCCCATCGAGGCTACCATTCCGAAAGTGTTAAGACATACTTGAGAAATGGTACAGCTGCTCCTATCGTGACTGTAGTACTATCTCGCTTGATGGCTTTCATCGGTGAAACCTGTAATATGGTGAGCACCCGTAGGTTCAGGCTGTGTTACCGGATTAGAACCAAAGTTTAATGTTTTGGCAATCTAGAATGTTGCTAAAATATCGAGCCGGAATCCGTGATTCTGTATTCCGTAAGTACAATGTACAGACTACACTGTAAATAAGGCCAGTGGAGACGAGGATGGGTGGTAACTAGCCATATTCAGTTCGTTAACTACTAATAATTTGAATTTTGATAAACCGTGAGAGTAAACCAACTAGAGAATACCATGGACCAAGATACGGGACGGGCCCAACCGATTTCGATGGAATCCACCTCGAGTTTTCGACGACTCTAAACAATTTTCACCATCATACTAGTACTATCACACACGCGGGAGTGTCGATGATTGAATCTACTCTCTTTCACGTGGATGGATGCCAATAATTTGAGGGATAAAACCAATGCGCCGAGCTTCGGAGTGATCGAAGAGGTGGTGTGGAACATCCTCCGGGAGCGCTGCATTCGTATTTGGGGCACCAAGCGCCAGCGGATTCCAGCAGCGGTCCGAGAAGCAGGTAGAGATTATTCGAGGCCATTTCCAATCTTGTCACCGGTCAGATGAATGTGATGCGGACCATCCTAGGCCGAAACTGAGATACTGGCAGACATTCGGCTAGTTAATTGAAAAATGAAGGACGCAGGGCAGTCGGTGATTGAACAACGTCACTTCATCGTGAATACGAGACTGCAGAGTCAACATCATCGACTTCAGACCATCTCAGACGCTGATATTAGCAGCATCCGTCAATAGCGCCGACAGATATTCGGAGTGGAACCCGACATTTACGAAAGATGCAAGATCCCAATGAAGGACCCTAGATTCCTTGGTTGCATACTACATCCCCGGCCGGTGATTGGAGCTCTTTTAATATCATGGACATGGCCGGGACATGGCTTGCACGACCGAGCAGGCGAGCACTTCGTGATACCCATGCAGCATGGGGCAGTGCCTGAATGGGCCCAATTGCCACATACGAATCTTCAGCCTTGGTGGTTTCTATTGTCGTCGATCGTAGCCATCTTGCTCCGTCGTCCTGTAAGGCACCCGCCACTCGCGAGATCGATACGATGATATGAGGCCCGTTGCGCGCCCCGCCCGTCTCAAATCCAGTCCGCCGTCCTTTCCATTGAACGTCCTCCGGATCTTCCCCCATGTCCTATCCCCTCCTTGCGGTTGCGTGGGATGTGGTTAAAGGCCGTCCGGATATCGCCAACATCGTCCAGGAAATCGTCGGCCAGCACGTGGGAGATCTGTCGCTGCTGCAACTGCAGGCCAATGTGCTCGACCATATCAGCAGCGTTACCCGAGTCGTCTCGTGGATCCGGATCCTCTTCGACCTTCAAAGGACGTATCCCAATGGCCCAGGACCCGGCATCGACGCCGCCACATCCCCACTGACGTCCACCCTTTCGTCGGAAAACATCATCTCGTGCATGTTGTATCTTATTCAAATCAAGTCCAAGCTATTTCCTGCGCAGTCAACAGTAGACTTTGAGACGGCGAGGTTTCGGTATCACGTTGCCTTCACCCTACTTGCTGGGGTTCGAATATTACTGTTGAGGAACGATGCACTTTCTCCAGATCAAAGAGGTGGTTTGAAGCGGAGCATTGTTGCTGCATGGCAACACACTAGTCTTCCGGAGGACGAGAAGTTCCTCGTATTAGAACTACTTCCGGCGGCAATATCGCAAATTCGATCCGAATCGCACCCGTCCCCACCGTTCGAGCCACATCCAACCGTGGCCATGTCACATGCTCTAGGAAATGTATAGCCCATCCGAATGGTTCATATATCATCTACTGATGCAGTGACAGCACTATTTCAATCTTCATCCCGACAAATTTGTGCCTTCAGCGTTGGCTCGGCTGAGCAAGTATCCCCTTGCGAACCTTGAGTCGTTCTGGATCCTCTTTGATTCAGTATGGACAGGAGAGTCCACGCTGATCAAGACCTATCTGGACAACAACCAAACTCCATCCAGTCCATCGACTGAGGCACCGCCAGATGGCCGGGCCCTCCAGTCAACATGGGCAATCGAGGACCGAAAGCGGGCACTAATTCGAGCGATCATGCAGCCCCAAGAAATGAGTTCAAATGTGCTCAGTGTCCTCCAAGCAATTTTTGCAAATATAATTGATTGGAAAGATCGAGAGGACACCAAGTACCGTATTCCTGAACTGCAGGACTACATGACGGAAATGCAGAGCGAATTCGAACAATCGGTGCAACATCTAATTGAATGGTTGAAGAGCAGAGCCAATCAACTATGGGCTTGCAATGGAGAGATGGAGACTCTCTACTACGATATCAAGAGGTCTGCAAAGTGTTGGGTGTTGGGTGCTGCGTCTGTTCAAGAACGGTTGGATATCGATGAGAACATGGGGCCTATATATGTCTTGAGCTGTCCTGCACTTCATCCTATTCCTCATAAGCTACTCGCCAGGCACCTGCGAGATACTGGCTCTTCCGCATACGAGGTAAACTAGGGCACACCTTCCTTAGGAAATGTGACTCCATGGCGCTGACGGCGATAGGAACTTTTGCAAATCTCAAATTTCATAATCTTGGAGACGCAATGCCCTAGGTGTCCCGGAGGACAAACCGCGCAAAGTGCACGTCTCATTGAACCAATCGAGAATCTGATGAGCTCTTTGTTAGGAGGGTGGAGCGTTACGGATGAATCTTCGAGTCGGTTCTCGAAGCCATCGAACTCCATTGAAACGTCTTCAAGGACAGGGTCACTGAGTTACAATACCAGTCATTCCTCGACTCGTCCTGACCCTGTAGACCCTCCAGCAACCCCGCTCTCTTCGGTGGTGTCTCCCACTCTGGACACTCCAATCCGAGATACCCCGATCCGAGATCCTCCAATTCGAGATCAGAAAGATATCCCAAGTCTTGATCGACTCGTATCTCCACTATCCCCAAACCCTCATTATGGCTTACAGCCCGCCTTTAGCTCACAGTCATTGCCGACTTCACAGCCAGCGCCGAGTCTTCGCAAACCATCTTTCGCCTCCTTGGCAGCCGAGCCTGCTGCACGGCCGCGGACCGAGTCGTTGCCATCCACTGCTCCACCCTCCATCTCTTCAGTCTCCAGAAAAGACCCGAAACCTCGTATCATGCTTGGAAGAAGGACTGCGTCCATGAAGGCGAAGCCAACGAAGCCAACGAAGCCAACATCAGGGGCACCTACATCTTTCACATTTTCGATTATGGGTGATTCAGTGCTTGTATGGGGAGCGCCGAATAGCGGAATCGCGAAATTGGATATCGGGACTTCTTCACATGCTCTAAAATCGGCATGGTATAACATCCCCAATGTGCAATACGCAGCCGCTGGAAACCACCGATCAGCTATAATTGCTTCAGATGGACATGTAAGCCAAGGTTTGTATCCAATAAAAGTACCTGCTGACGACCTCTGTAGCGTCGCAAGATTATCACGGTCACTGATGGGAGCAGTGAGATTGAATCGGATCTCGACATCGAACTGTCTCACCGACCGATCCCGGAAATCTGCATATCAGTCTCAAGGGACGACAACTATATAGCCATGACCTTAAACGATGATATCCATATCTTCCAGGTCCAGTCACGCCGTGTTCGAAGAGTCATCTTACATGACCGAGAGCAGGCTTCTCCGTTGCATGGATCGCACCATCCAAAGAAGAATCAGGTGCTTTCACCATCCAAGAAAGCTCTTAGTTGGAGAGAGGTGACACAGGAGACTGCACGACAGAATGCAATCTTGGAACGCAAATTGAGTTTCACAAAGAACAACAATATGTTGATCGTGGCCACTCATCTTGCGGATCACTGCGTTTATCTAGATGTCTGGGAGGCCAACTCAGATGGACTCTGGGGTGTCAAAACTGACTACAACCGCTCATTCAAACTACCCCCGGTAAGGCTCATCTAGGGCATCCATCCATACCAGCCCACCTCTAACATTCCATGCAGTGGACAACCAACGATGGAGACCTGACCTCTATATTCTACGACTCTCTCCACCGGTCCGCTTTCCTCACCGCCTTCCTCGGCAAGACTTACCCCCTCATCATCCCCATACCCGGGTATGACCACCTCCATCCCGACGATCTCTCTCCCCGTACCCTCTGCGCCGCGCAGTCACCGTCCTGCATCCGCTATGCCGCCTTGACTTCACTCACCGACCTTCATCTCTTCGACTACAAGGCCAATGGTACTCTCAGCCCACGGCGCATCAAGAAAGCCACCGCCAAAATACCGAGCGTAGCACTGAAGGTCGGCCATGTCGGCTTAGCAATGCCCTCTGACACTACCGTGCAGATTTATTGGACGAAAGACACAAAGCTGATGCTGCGGACCGTATCGCTGCGGTCGGAGCAAGAGACTGTTACGGATCGAGACCTGCGGTCCGAGTACGATCGTGTCGTGGCCGAGCACCGCGATATCGGGCACGAGCCGTTCGATTTGTCCAAACCCAGTTTGCCGAGTATCGACGATGGCGCTGCGGAGCTCATGGGCAAGATTGACGAGGGCCTGGAATTCACGATGTCTGGTGCGCTACCAGGATCGTCGAGCCCCGGGATGAATAGGAGGGGGACTCTGGGGAGTAGGAGGGTGATTGAGTTGGACTCGACAAGTGTGCAAGAGCTGCCAGGGGATTGGAAGTGATTGTGTTGGTCGGGAAAGGTACTATATACAGCAGCTTTATTGAAACTTCGGGAGATACCAGGACACATGGATTTAGGAGGCTTGCAAATTGGATAGACATTATGCTTTGAACTTGCGCCACATATACACTGCATCGTGCCACTCGTAGCCAATCAACCAAAGGACGCTTTATCCGATTCAAAAATGACGCTGAAACTATAACAGAACGCTCAAATCGACCAATGTTTACTTCAACCACACCCAAATCCACTCCAGCAGGGATTTCCCATTGTCCGAAGTGAATAATTCTTTTTGGTCGGGAAATACCAACTTCCCCCTCCTTCTTCCACTGACCACCACTTTCGGCGGCGGTCTTTGGATCTGCATGCTTGCACTCCACCTCCAGTTGGCCGGATTCCACCCATCGCTCTTGATGTGGTAGAACAGAATGAGGATCAGGAACGCCACCGGTCCGACATAGCTGACGATAAAGTCCTCTACTGCAAATGGTGACAAGAACGCCTGCCATCCGTTCAGGAGGATCAGCAAGATGCAGAACACAAAGCCGTATACTGCGCGGAAGAGCTGGCCAGATGTGCGGTAGGGGTATTGTGGGTCCTCGCGGTTGAAGGCGCTGCGGTTTTCGAGGGAAGGGTCCTCGGCCGCGCGCTTGAGGCGGTGAAAAAAACGAATGTAGGAGAAGCAGATGACTGAGTAGACGACGAGGACCGAGACGGTGGCATTAGTAGCCATGCGGCCGAGGGCCTGAATCTTTGTTAGCCAAGCGCAAACATGTGGGGTGACTTTGGGGTGACTTGCTAGGGATGAATTGGGCTGCACCGAAAGGAAGGCGAGGAAGCCGATGGACCAGCTCACCGTCACCGTCGCGAGTGGCACGCCCTGGCTGGTCGTCCGCTCGAGACGACGGCGCCAGCTCTGGGCCCAGAGAGGCCAGGCTTCAGGGATGCTGGCCAAGGCATGAAGCAGACGGGACGAATTGTATACTAAACTGATCGCAGCGCTGGTGCAGCTGAAAATGAAGAAACCATTGAGGAACTGAGGGAGACCTCGAATGCGGTTACGAACAGCGGAAATGACAAACAAGCTGTTCTGGCCACCCTGGATCGATCCCCATCGTGCTTCGATGAGGTAGGGGTCATCGTAGGGGACATTGAGGCCCCCTGTGAAGCATGCTAGACAGTATAGAAGGCTGACCCGCATGACGAGCTTCTTGCTGGACATTTTGATAGTCTCCCACTTCTCAAGGTCTTTGTTCTCAGGCCCCGTCATCGCAATGGTTTCGAAGCCGAGAAGGCTGAACATGACAGTCGTCATACCTGTCCATAAGCCTACCAGCCGGCCAACATCGCCTGTCAGCGCGTTGGTCGGTTTCAGCTCGCTGTCAACCTTGAGGACGAATGCATCGGTCGAGAATCCCCACGGGTTGTTCCACGTCCAGAAGTTCGAGCTATGGGGGACGAGCTGCGCCGCCGATACGATGACATTGAAGATGATGATCCCGGAAATAAACAGCATTTTGCAGGTGCCGAAGAAGTATTCGACTTCGCCGTATATCCGGACCGGCAGAATGTTCACCGCGAAGATGATGATGAGGAAGATGAACACCCAGGCAGCTGGTGATACACCGCCAGTGTTCCAGGAGAGCGTTTCGTCCGGGTATCCCACGTCGCGAAGATACTCGGGGTCGAAATTGAACTTGAACAGCCGGGAAATGGTCATGATCTGAGCCGCCATTGTGACCGTAAGCGCGAACCTTTTCATGTCAGTCGGCGACTTCTTCTACTAATTGTTTGAACGTATTCATACCAGGACAGCCATCCCGTAGCATATCCTACCGATTCATCCAAGAACCGTCCAGGGAACTCGAATAGTGGACCCGGAATGGGGAACAACGCCGTCATCTCTCCGACACAACCAACAATGGCCCACATGATTGTGCACGCCAATGCGAAAGCAATGACAGCAACACCAGGTCCGGCCATATTGATGACGATACCGGACTGCAGGAACAACCCGAATCCTACACATGCGGTAAAGGCCATCATGTTGACGTGCCTCTCCTTGAGGTTCGCACTGAGGACGGTACATCTTAGCGAATTGCTGGTGGACAACATGCTACCCATTTTGGTGTGTAGGGTTTCCAAATGGTTCTGAGACGTACCTTAGCACTGTCTGGCGTGCCATCTTTGCGGTTTATAATATCCAGTCTTCTCGAAAAGGGTTCCAAGATACGATCAACAGCGGCAAACTGCAAACCCGATGGAGGACAGCACGAGGCGATTTTGCCATATATGCGATGCAGAGAATCGGCGCATGCAGAAGTGGATGGGCAGACTTGAGATCTGCATGGCCAGGGCCCAAATGGGGGAGAAGGACTGGCAGCCAGCAACCAGGGCAATCGGGGGGATATCTGGGGCTGAGGTAGTCAAGCTGCATTATTGGCTCGTGTTAATCGGTGCGACATTTCGGAGAAATCGCACTGCAATTGTGCGACCTCGTATTCAGAGAATGGTTGCACATGGGCCTGCATTTTGATATTGGACTTTGGCCCTGTCTTGTTAGGGAGGTCGCTGGGGTAAATGCTGGCCCAAACGGTCGTGCAGAAAAGGACTGGGTTCAATGACCGGAGGACTTGGAACATGGTTATTGTGGGAGGGAGCTTGCATACATGTGCAATATCGAAGCATTGGCGAGGCTTTCTTCCACCCTCCAGGCATATAGGTGGACATTGAAGGAGGATCGGGAAGCGAAAAATCCCATAGGTATTGACTTTGACCAATTCTTCAGAAGAAGCAAATGAAAGAACTCAGACTGATTATGATGGGGTTCAACACCTCGAATAATTGTTCTATGGTTGATTGCCAAAGCTCGTCTACTAACTCTGATTCTGTTCGTATTGCTGCGCTGTATATATTGAAGGATCGAGAACTCATAGACTAAGATACATGAATTGGTGCAGAAATTAAACCGAAGATAAAGTAGACAGACGTTGAACAAGCGTACGCCCCACAACCCCCCACAACGGGCCGCACCTGTTGGCGCAGTCACTCGGCCGATCTTCGCTCTCTGTCGGAGACTTTAGGAAGGGAAATTCAGGGTTCACTACTATAATTAGTCCCAATTCAAACCGCCCATCAAACTCAATCTATTTATCTCGTATCGAAAAGGCCATCGATCATCTCTGTGCTATTCAAATGGATAGTGTGATCTATGCAGAGTACATCTCCGCTGTAAGGCTGCATTGGAAACAGGTAGATTCATGACTGAGCACGTGATCAACTGATCAACAGAAATCATTCAACGTCACATCTTGCGAACTAGAACATTCCGACATAACTCTATCATATACGGCCATTCCGAGGAGTGAAAATTCGGGTTGAGGCTGTAGAGATTCTTAAGGGCTTTCTTCCTGTTCCTACTATCACTTGTTCTATGAATCAATGTTACTTGGGTGTTGCATGAGGATGGGTCAGATTCCGTCTGAGTTCTGACTGACAAAGTCATGTCTATCATACATTTGAATGTTGCGCCACTTCTCTCTTCACTGCAAACTGCGTAGAATCTCTATGCTCAGTGAGCCTAGAATGGGATAATTGAAAGAATCATAAAGGGGATGTTTGCTTCCGAGACTGTGAGCAGGCGTCGCGAGCATCTTGCTGAGTAATATTTGGGATTTTCCGATATATCACGTCACGACTCAATTTACATTTCGACAATGGTGATCTGGTTCTGAAATCTTCCCACTGTCCTTCACTTTTTCTAAACTCAATCTCTCAAGGCATAGTTCGAGTGGCCGCGGAGCAATATTCTGGTTCTCTTCGTCATGTAAAACAGTGAAAGTGAAATTGAATATTGTTGGAGGGATCACTTTTCACTCCAGATACAATTGGGCAGTTTTAGATGCCTTGTGTTAGAAGGTACTCAATAGTGATTTGTGTTAATCACTGCCAGTCAGAATTGAATCCACTCTCAATACACTCGAGTCTTCTCCGCTCATTGTATTTAAATTCTCACCTCGACACCCCACCTCTCATTCACCATTTCCACCCGCCAACTTCGTTCACAGACCACCTCCACGATCGAGCTGCTCATCATCTCCGCCCCACTCTACCCCATCCTCTCATCTCAATTGCAACTCCTCCGCATGATATACTATTACTGAATGGACTGAGACTGCCAACATGGCTGATACCAATGGAACCAAGGCCACCAATGGCACCACCGCCACTAGTGCTACTAGCACTATCCCTACTAAGCCCCTCTTCACCGAAAATGAGATGAAGCTGCTTGCGTGTGCTTGGCAGTGTATCGAAGGTGACATCAAGGTATGAACATGATCTCACTCCCTCACAATCATCGCGGCTGACATCAATCGCTCTCACACTAGGTTGACTACGAGAAGCTAGCGAACCTTGCTGGTTACACCAAGGGCTCTGCTGCCACTCTCTTCAATGGGCTGAGGCGCAGGATTCGAGACCTTGGAGGTGCCGCCAGTGCTACCACTCCTGGAACTCCGAAGACGAGGAAGCCGAGGGCCAAGAGTACCAATGATGACGGCACCCCCAAGTCATCATCAGCCAAGAAACGAGGTCGCCCTAAGAAGGTTGATGCTGCCAACGATGACCAGGCCAACGGTGATGACGTTACTGGCGATACTCCGTCCAAAAAACGCACCAAGGCCACCTCGAAGTCCGCAGCGATCATCACCCCAGATGATGACGCCGAATCAGCGATGAAAGAGTCGACCACGGGTGAGAACAGGGACCTAACTTCGGCGATTCTCTCCAACTCTCTCAAGGAAGAGCTGGAGAAGTCTGGTGGCACGGGCGAGTTGGGAGCTGACGTTTAGCTCAACGTAAGCGATCTCTCAATTTCTGTGACTGTGACTGTCACTAGCACTGACTTTTTGACTTATGCTAGGCTACCTACACTATCAGTCTCTTACAACACCCTTCCCTTCCAGAATGAACCCACTGAGCTGGTGTCCTTTCCCTATCCCATTTGCTTTCTTCACACTTTCCTGCAATTGGCGGCAACCCACATGCAATGGGATTGGACAACAGCCATTATGTGACTGTGGATGCATTTTTCTGGATGAACTCCAAGTTGGTGAAGGCTGGCAATCATTGGGTGAGCAACTCTGGGCTGGCTTGCTTCTCTTGATACGTTTATGGTTCGTGATGGCAGCACAATGAGAAGCTTGAGGTATGAGAGGCTGCTGATGCTCTCTGTCGAGTGTTGATTACTTGCGAATATGTTCATAGCTGCATCAAAAACACCTGCTCACAATCGTGCTTTCACTTACATTGTTAAACAAAGTGAATTTGTTACGTAGATCAAAGTTCTTGACCATGCCATTTAAAGTTGTCCGAAATGCTGAATAACTGATATTGTCTGCTCCCATGGCAGAGCCGCCCCAACGCCGACAAACCTAAACACTGACATAGAACCATCGCTTCTGCCTTTTGAAATGGAATATGGCAAATACCACACAACTCATAGCTCCACTGACCGTATAGTCCCGAGGATCCCTTACAGAGCTTCAATCGCCTTGACCAAAGTCTGTAGTCCTCGTTTACCCACACCATCCACGCCATCTCTCAACATCCATGCGACATCGCTTAGCAACCCCAAGGAAATCTCCACTGTCCCATCGCCATTCCCACCATCCTTCAGCCGACTCGTACTCTCCCACTCCCTCGCCGCCACCTCCGCGCCCTCCACCACCTTCGCCGGAATCCCACACATAGCCGCACAATGCATCCCAAAGCTCCCATCCGCGACCCCATCCTCCAACTTATACAAGAACGTCACCCTCCGCTCCTCCTCATCCACCTGGATCCGCATCCGCTTCGCCGCGATCTCCGGATGCCCCGCGAACTCCTTCGCCAGGCTGCGATAGTGCGTCGCGAACACCGCCAGGCACCCGACGCGGCCGGCGATGTGGTGCAGCACCGCCTGCGCGACGGAGAGCCCGTCGTAGCTCGACGTACCGCGGCCCAGCTCATCAAGGATGACCAGCGAGCGCGGCGTCGCCTCCGCGAGGATCTTGCGGGTTTCCGCCAGCTCGACGAAGAAGGTCGACTGCGCGGCGAGGATGTTGTCCGCGGCGCCGAGGCGCGACATGATGCGGTCGATGGGAGTGAGGGTAGCGGCGGTGGCGGGGAGGTAGAGGCCGATTTGCGCGAGGATCACCGCGATGCAGGTCATGCGGAGGATGGTGGACTTGCCGGCGGCGTTGGCTCCGGTGAGGAGGTCGACGTTCGGATGGGTGCCGCCGAGGACGATGTCGTTGGGGATAAAGTCGGAGACGGTGTGGACCATGCAAGGGTGACGGAGCTCGGTGAAGGAGATAAAGGCGCGTTCTTGGTCGACAAAGGTAGGGCGGCAGCTGGGTTCACCAAGCGACGAGGAGGCTTTGGCGAGACTGATGAGGCAGTCAAGCTGAGCAACCACCTTGACGGCTGCAAGCCACGTAGAATACTCCTGATCAAAGCGCTTATAGAAGCGACTAGAGACCTCTTTGACGATTTGGCTGTGAGTTTCTTGACCTTCCTGCAATGACCGGACAAGCGCCTTCAGCTCGGGGAAATAGAAGCGTTTGACTTTGACCGTGGCGGACATCTGGTCCCAATGCTTGGGGATGCCCTTGACCTTGACGGGAACCTCAAGTTGATAGATTTCCTTGCCGTTATCACGGAATTCGATCGCCGAGCAGTTCAGTTCCTTCCGCCATTTGTTTCTAAGTTTGTGTAGATCGCCCAGGATGCCATCGATGTTTTCTTGACTCTCGTCAAAATCGCTCTCGACGCCCGGCTCCGGAACCAGCACCCCACTGTCTCGAAGTAGGTTTCGGTCAAAAGCACCCTTCCACGGCTTCAGATGGATTGATAAATCAGGCATGGAGGAGATCAGCTGGCCTAGGACACCGTCTCCGTCGCCGAACTGTTTTAGGAGACTGAATGTGTATTCGATCTGCTCAAACCCCTCCAGGACGCGAAGGAAGTCCTGTGGTTTGCAGCGCCCAGCATGGACTCGAGAAAGCAATCGCTCCAGATCCGGAATTTTGGCCAGAGAGGACGCGAAGTTGTCCATGACGCTAGAGTCTGCATTCAGAGCATCGACCGCGTCAAGTCGAGCATTGATCTTTCGCGCATCCGCCAAAGGATGACAGACCCATTGCTTCAGCATTCGCTTTCCAAAAGGAGTCACACAGCGGTTGAGCATTTGGAACAGCGTCCCGTCAACGCCACCGTCGAAACTATTTGCGAATATCTCAAGGTTGATGAGGCTTTGGCCATCCACCACCAGGTTGGTCGCTTTCTGGATGGGATCATACCAGTGAATATTGCCGAGGGATACTAGCTCCCTCTCAATCTTGAGGGTACGCAGGTATTGGACAAGCGCTCCGAATGCAGACATGGCCAGTTCCTTCTCCCGCGCCTCTCGGAGTGCTGCAGGCCACGTATCGGCACCCTCCTTGTCTTCGTCTTTGAAATACTCCGAAGCGTCGATCTCGCGGCAGGTGTTGTCGGCCGCCCAAAACTCTTTGACCGGCTTCAAATAGTTCCAGATCGTAGTCGGAGAGGTGTTATTCTTGAGGATGCGGAGCGCTTTGGCAGATATGCACGACTTCTCGAGCAACAACTCTCCGGGGCGTGTCTGAGCTACGAACGTCTCAAACCTTGTCATGCTGATGTCGTCCACGAACTCTGCGATGTGGAACTGAGCCGTTGCGGCGTCGACGAAAGCGATGCCAAAGGTTGGCAGGCCGTTCGTCTCGATTTCCTTCACGGCAGCACAATAGGTGGACATGTCGTCCTGCAGCATACCACCGTCAACGAGCGTACCAGAAGTCAGAACAGCGGCTAGTTCCCTTCTGATGATCTTGTCGTCTTTCTGCTTCTTTGCAGGTACTACGCCGTCTCTCTCCCTCATCTGCTTGGCCAGCGCCGACTCCATTTGATCAACTCGAGCGATCTTGTATCCTTTTGCCACGAATTGATTTGCCCAGTGATCGAGGGACGCTTCGGGGACGCCGACCATCCGCATGTTGACCCGATCTGTCAGCTTGAGGTCGAACTCCTGGTGGCCAACCGTGGCATCGTTCTCGTAGAGCTCGTAGAACTTGCCCTTCTTGAAGAAGACGATGGTATCCCAGTATTTCTGCTTGATCTCCCAGTATTGTTTCTCGAACGGAGAGAATTTATTCCACGCCATCGGTGGGATAAACACCGTACGGGGATCATAATCCGGATGGCCGACTGGGTTCCGGTCTGCGTCCAGAACATGTGCCAACCACGGATATCTTTTCTCGGGCTCCGTAATATGAACTTTGGGTTTCCCCTTCTTCTCGCTTGATGCTTTCGAGATATGCGGTTGGTGTTTGCGAGGCTCGTTGGACACGGGTGCCTCCGGATCAAATTTCCATTGCTGAGCGGTAGATGTAGAGTCCATCACGATGTCTTCATCTTCGATACGGGGGCGTGGCGGTGGGGACGAAGATATCTTCGTCTTCTGCTTTTTGGAGGTCGGGGGCTTCTTGTTCCGCTTTCGAGACGACCCATCTTCTTCGTCGGAGTCATCGGCAACGATAAAGTCATCCATGTCTAGTCTTTTAGTTAATAGCGGCTATGTTGGCTGAAGGGGTCACATACCGTCATCTTCATCGTCATTGCCATCTATGGCATCCGTGGCGCCAAAGTCATCGTCCGAATCCTCAATTGTGACTCGCCTCCGTTTCGCACCTCCACGATTGGTGTTTCCGGAGGATGGCCGAAGGACCTCTTTTTCGGAATCGGACTCTGCATAGTTGACGGTTCTCTTTGACTACACAATGGTAAGTAAGTAGGCGACAAGTCTGATGCACTGCAATGATATACCTTTCGAGTGGGGCTCGTGTATGTCTTCATATCCACGCCTTCTTTGAGAAATCCCATATCAGCACATGCTTCTTCAGAAGATACTGGAGATGGCAAACCATTCTCCTTGTTCTTCTCGTCCTTCACTCCGTTGACGGTTCGGTTTCCTAGCGGACTTGAAGGCTGTATCGCGTCGCTGCTCGGCGCAGGTGTCATGTCCATGGGACGCTTGGGAGTGCCATTGGATGCTTCCGCTTTGACAGCGGCACTGGCAGGCGAGGAAGCTGCGCTGCCAGCGGCTTTCTTTTGGAAGAAACCGAGAATGGACTTCTGGGACCTGTCCGTCTTGATCGAATTGGACTTTTTCAGAGATGCAGATTTTGGCGTGGCCATTTCGTTTCCCTCGACGCCTCGAACCATCTTGTCTGAATAGAGTACAATATCAGAATTCCAGTCATGAAGCAGAGCTGTTCAATTTCTTTATCGAGTTGCAGTGGAAAGGGGTTCCATACAGATACAGGACTGTTGCAAATTACAAGTGAAGCCTGAGTGCTCGATACCGATACCCTTTCTCCACAAATCGCGTCGCGTCCACGACCCCTTGTAGAACGCGTGTGGTCCGAGCGTCTATTTCATCATCAAATGATCAAATTATTCAAATGATCAACCTTATTCAACCTTAATAACCATTCAACCGACAACCATCAAGACAAATTCACGGACCGCATGATCGCATCGCAGGTCAAACTCATTGTCCATCATTCCATGCCATTGAAAGTTCGAAACGCCATCCATTCACACTTTAGACTTGCAAATGTGTCGCCCATTTGCAGACCCTTCTGCTTCTTGAACCATTGTCTCCCCAAATCTCTCTCATCACCGGAAGTCTTGCCACGCCGCAAAAGCTCCTGCTGAAAACGCTACCAGAAGCTTGACCTCCATTTCCCTGCATTCTGTTTCAGTAGAGTGGGCTTCTGCTAAGGTTACCTGTACTTGGGTTAAAACATGAACAAAGCTCTGCGCGGCTTCGCAGATTGAGGCGTTGGAAGAAACCGGTCTCCAGCCTTGGAGAAAGGTGTAAACCATCCTTTCAACCCACTCCTTGTCACTCTCGGCTGTTATTCCAAACAGCAGGAGCAGTAGCGCCAACGCAATTCCCACGGACTGGTTGAACTCGAGGCGGAGCCGCTTCAGTCTGTTATATACTGCGCTCCCTGAGATGCCACTTCGGAGAACATCCAACCGAAGGAAGTCGCTAACATCTGGGCTTTGCCTTGCCAACTGCTCGATGTCGCGGAAGCCAACACCGCTTATGACGCTTCCAGCATCGATACTGCCCCAGACCAGATATTCCCACTGGGCCCTATAGTTCCACCGACCTGCGAGCTTTCTCTTTTTAATCTCCGTCACTAGAGTCGCCCCGTAGAAGATACACTCTTCTGCTTTTATTTTCTCAGTTGATATTACAGCCACGGCCGGATGTTTGCCTGGCTCGGATTCCGCCGCGAGAATCAGTGGCCACAGTATTCCGTTGCTCCCAGATATGAACGGGGAGGAGAAAATTTCCCCATTGAAATGGTCAGCTACTTTTTTGAACAACGTGTCCGCATCGACATCTGTATAGTGCCGCAGAGTAGCCAGGTCTGATTGAAGTGCTTGTGGTCGAAATCCTTTGGTGCTATTGATGCCGGCACTGCTATCTTTGTAGAAACGGAATATTAGTGTTGGAACGTCCTGTGATATAGGAAGCCCGCCGAATGAGGATTCAGTGTTCGAGGATTCGCGATCAACCGGCCTAGGAAATGGATGGGCGATTTCTCGGCAATTATTCCTCAAATCATGCTCTTGATTATAGTCCTCATCCTCGTCCTCGTCCTCGTCATCTGAGTTCATGGCCACATCATGGTCTTCATCCGCTTCTTGCTTCATAGCGTAATTTTCAAGTCCGTCTAACATCGTTGCGTTTTCTTGGCTGCTGATGGTATTTTCCAGGATTTTGCAAAGTGAACGACAGACAGCGTCGAGGCGAGATAATTCGGCATTTCTAGCCGTGTGATCAGTTTCGATAGCCATCGACTGTTTTTCTGCATTGCGAGGCTTTAGATCGATGTTATGGGATTTTGCGATCATCATCAAGTGCTGATGAATGCGAGTGATTCTGTCCCCTGGACTGTGAAAGGGCGTCGTATATACTCCGACAAACAATTCCGACGGCTCCCTGTGACCGCTATGCCACATACTGCTGACTCGCCCCTTCTTAAACTTAACATCAGTCTCTGCCTGTACGATGAAGGCCCCGTTGAGGAGCTGGGAGACCTCCTTCCAGTCGTTGCTCCACCACCGGTGGATGATGTATAAAGCGACTCGCTCGTCACTCTTCCAATCGTGTCGATCGGCGCGGGGAGTCGGGGCCAATTGCTCGTGGTCGACGTCGATATCGCTTTCGATGTTATTGCCCTGCGGCTCTTCTCTTTGCCTTCGCCTCGATTGTATCAAAACGGCCAACTCTGGGAGCTCATCAGAGTCCTCCGACAGACCCCTCACACGCCTTCTCCGTGGACAAGGTGTGCGCTCGTAAAAGTCAGAGTCAGAATCAGAGTCATCAACGATGCGACGTCGTTTATTGCCGCCGGACCTTGACTTTTAAATGTCAACTATTCTGTGCGTGTGAGTTTGTCTGTACAACGTGCTGAGACTCACCGGCGTGGGTAATCCCCATCTACTTGGCGTTGGCATGGTGACTCTAACAGACTGACTCCCAGTCGTAGATCTCAATGGGTTCTTGCGGTTGATACAGGATTCGTACAGTTATAGGAGAAAGCGAAAACTTTTAGGAACTCATGGCACAGAGCGAGATGGTTGCTCGACCGTGGATAGAGAACTCGTAAATTTGTAGGAAAAAGTGAACACTTTAGGAACTCATGGTACCAAGTGAAGTGGTTGCCAAACGGTGGCTTTCAGTCGTGTAAGGTTACTTCTGGGATTCTGAAGGGTTGCAGTTCTCTTTCAGAGCTCCGAGTGTCGAAAGGAGAGGTAGTGCCAAGGGCAAGATGATGTGAGGCGTGATTCAGTGTGGAGACCGGATGTCAAAAGCCAAAGGCGGTGGTACAATTCAGTGCGGAAAGTGATATCAAGGATCATGGGTGGTAATCCACGATTGAATGTGGAAATTGATATCGAGGATCAGAGGCGGTGATCCATGATTCAGTGCGGGAAGCGACGTCGAGGATCAAAGATATTGGCCCAATTCAGTGTGGATAGTTATTGTTAAAAGGGATGGAAGAAGTATAGAACCGAACAAGCTTGAACTGATGTACAATAAGTACAGTTCGCTTCTGGAAACACAATTGGGGATGAGTGAAGATGGTTAGTTGTTAGTAGGAAAGAGGATCGCACTACAGAGCAGAAAGTTCTTTGCATTAGTCGATATAGATGACTGACCGACTGATCTGGGCGGGTGGAGGAAGTATCAATTCAGTCGATATATTTGTCCTCTGTAGAAGTGAAAGGTGCATTCACAAGAGTTGTTCAACCCGTGCTGAGAATTGGGATATACTATTCAACCAGAGGGTGAAATTAATTGACTAACGGGCTGGAGTCAGTACTACTCTTAAAAGACAAGTAAGAGACCAGAATTCGCTCACGATAGACTGAAAGAATCAGTAAGCTGAAACTGAAGTGGAGAGGATATGTGACTTACTGGTGTAGTATAAATGTTTCGAAAGCTGAGTGTGATGTGCCTATCATTCAGCTTCCGATATTGTTCTATGCCTCCGCACATAACTATATCATTTCTTCACTTATGGTTGCTCCTATATTGCCTCCCCATCGGTACAAGGTTCTGTTCACATTGCCTTCAGGTCTCTCGTCATTCCTGCACGTGCCGTTTGGATGCTGGTTACAGATCTTTCGATGCACCTGACAGGACTCAACATTACAAGGATTCTTAGGAGTGGTAGGACTTTGCTTCCCGCAATCGTCCTTCAAAACGCCTTTCTCGTCGACCCACACTTGCTCCTCCAGACCAACGGGGACCGGCATCTTCCGATCGACTCGCATTCTAGACTTCGAGGCGAGCTCAGGATCGCGGTAGATACGGCCGATGCATTTGAAATGCCTTAGCCACGCTGCTTTGTTCGCCGGCTTCTTGTCATGCGCGCATTGAAAGCACTTCCCCGGCCTCTTCGTGGGCCGGTCGTCGAAGGTCCTGATTCTCGGTGCCCGGCACTCCTGCTTCGCCCGTTGTACTTCGTTCCATGAAGGGGGTCGTCCGGGTCCGCAATGTGTTGCCCAGTCGCACCAGTCGCACATATTGTGATGTTCCAGGCCGAACACCACCGGGTCCCTATGTCGTAGACAAGAGTAATGGCACTCTTCGACCTTCGTGACTGGGTCGCCGCACATCCATTGCTGGGCTTGATAGGCGTGCCCGCAAACCGTGTGGTATACGACGTACAGACGGCACATGGGACTTGAGCGGATCGAAATATTATTCCTACGCTCTTGCATATCCCCAAGCACCCAGAATGGGGAGAGGGAGGGGGTGGATATATACCACGCCATTATTCGGCCCTCATTCCACACATGCCTTAACCTGGGGAATACCCGAATGACTGTTCTTGCATGAGTAAAAGGCTGCAATAATGTACTTCGATAGTTACCGCAATTTTATTGATCACGGGTGATGACCTTGTGATAAGAGAGTCCACCTCTGGTGAAGAAATGGTGTTTGCTCTCAGTCGCTTCCATGATGCGAATTTGGTAAATTCTTGTATGCTTTTAAAGCTCCATATTCTGGTACATACGGCCATGTCAACTTGAACAAAATGAGGGCGATGGAGCAAGCCCATCCATTTCGCGAAGGCAAGACCCTACGAAAACTGGTTTTGCCCCTACAAAATTGGCTGCTTCTGTTCAGAGACGATAGGCACGAGAAAGAGTGTGAATGGGTTGCAGGGGTGAACAAGTAGATGGTACCTGTATGGACATTAGGCTTCCAGCGCCCATGACAGGCTCTTACAGCCCCTAATATTTGGGAGGGTGAGACCACACCTACTTTCCTATGGCCAGTCCATTATCGAGTGCCTCATACTGATCCCGCGAGAAACATGTAGTGTCAGGAGCTAAAAAGGTTAGTTAACCTATGAAGTAGTTAAAGGAATCGACAACACTACTCTCCATTGCCTTTGAAACTTGCAGCGCGGCATCGTCACCCGCTGTTATGGTTCTATGCCTACGTAGTATGACGCTTCGCCTAGGCGGAAAACCCGCAGAAAACGGCGTCAGAAACACCCGTTCTTGGAGGCAATTTCGGTAACACACAACGTTACTCCATAGAACATTTCCGCTGTAGTCACTGGGAGTGTTCGACAAAAATATTGACATGAGGAATTTCTTTAAGAAGCCATTATAGCCATTGGACCTTAACTATAGGTAGAGAATAGTCGCGTATTGCTTGGGAATGAACATGGTCACAGCCCTTGAAATTGGTACGGGTGACCAATATCATGCAAGCGGTCTCGAGTCGAGGCCTTGTAAGAGGAGAGGTAGTACCACTCCGTGATCAAAAACAGTAGTTGCCAGCCGCGATACAATATGGCTACAGAGCATTGCAGTGATGGAAGCTACGTCTTTGGAATTAGCCCAGCCCGACGATGGTCCTAATTCCTCGTTTGGCGAAAGCAGCAAGTCGAATGGGGAATGTGAAGGCAGTTTGAGATGCTCGCTTTCAACATTGTGTCAACAAATAAATAGTCTTGGCCTTAGCTCCGCCCTACTTTGCAGCCGACAGCTCAGAACAGGGCACTCGTGGCCTGCATCTTCTGCCAAAATCCACGGCTTTCGAGACGATGACCAATCCGAATGCGGAAGAGAGACAGTGGTACACGTCTAGTGGACTGTCCGAATCTCAAAGAGCTAAGATAACAGTTTCGGAAGAAGATAGGAGACGCTTTCAACAGTACCACCGGAATGCTTGGAGGGAAACCTCAGGACCGAGGAAGAACAAAGGGATAGATAGTTGACAGCGATGTCCTAGACGCAATGCTTGACTTTGCGGAAGCATCTAAGAGATTCACATCAAGGGCTTCAGGGCGGCCCCAAATCAGGGGTCGCAGACATGGTGATCACCGTAGGCCTTAACGAGGCAAAAACTTCGTGTATGGTGCGGTACAGGTAAATTAGCTTAGGAAAGATAGGCCTGAGTAATGGTAGCCTGCATATCCCACAGGAGAAGTTAGCAAGACTAGGATATCTTCTGACAAAGAGCTCTTCCCTGCTCACCACGCACTTGTGACCATGGCAGAATTTGGACTGTAAGTTTGACGTTCACATGGCAGAGAGAAGACTCGGAAGATCCGACATCAAATGCAGGTATAATTTATTAATATCTTGTAGGGGACGTAATACAGACGCTATTGGCACAAGAAATGCTCGACTGATTGAGGAAGTACATATAGTTAGAGACAAAATGTTCTAACCCACACCCTTTACGAAGATTTAGGTTTTTTGTGGAATAACGGAGTGTCCGGCTCGCAAATTGTGCCCGGCTGTGGCAGTGTTCCAGTGAGGAAGTAGTCGGCAATGTGCTTCGAGGTGCAGGTAGAGGGCTGCGCAATCGTCATGTGCTGCGGGATGTTTAGCTTTCTCTTCGTTCTAACGTCGTTCCTGCACTTACGCCATGGCCGTTATGCTGCAAAAGAGCCGATCCCTCAAACAACTCGGAAATGGTCCGAGCCGATTTTAATGGCGTCACCGGATCCCACGTGTTCCCGATGATCAACGCAGGAGAACTGGTCTTGACGCGGAAGTCGCCACTGTACCGCTCCTTGGCCGCGAAATGCCACTGTGCGCAGGCAGTCATGGTGTTGGTGGGAGTGTCACCGAAGATAGTGCTCGTCCTGTAGATCTGGCCCTCGAGTTCCGCACGGACGAGCTCGAGGTTGTCGGTTCTCGGAACCTTGTCTGAGCATCGGATGCCAAAAAGAGCTTCGGGACTGGTGGCCGCGGCGACAGTTTGTGGGTCTTCTATGCCGCTAAGGCCTGAGAATGCCGTGATATTCCGGGTGAGCATCCATTCGAGCTGATCGGCAAGGTCGCTGTATTGGGACGGATAGTAGAGTTTGCCGATCATGAGGCCCTTGATCTCCGAATAGCCGAAGATGGACTGTCCGGCGGGAATAGGCTCTTCTTTGAGGTTGTCGATGAGGCGATCGATCTTCTCACCAAGCTCTCCGGCGCTCGATGCGTGCTTTGCCAATGCGCAGGCGTTCGGGTTTTCCATGCAAGCTTTGAGGAACTCTTGCCATGTTTCGTCGGAATCCGTGTACATTTCAGGGTCACCGCTACGAGGAAGCGTCAGTCTCTGGTCCCGTGAACGGGGCGGGAAAGCTTACAATGTGTGATAGTGCTGCATAGGATTCTGAACGCCGTCCAGGATCGCCCTGTCTATCCGATCGGGGAACATGGCCAGAGCCGTCGCTCCAAGTGTAGTGCCATATGAAAACCCTAAAGGTCAAATTAGAATGACACCAATCGCCATTTCATCGCTGTGAAGCCTTACCCCAGTACCGCAGTTTCCCGTCCTCTCCAAGAGCGTCAACGATCTGGAACATATCTCTGACTGTAAAAGCAGTGCCGACAAGGCTGCCAATATCTTTCAACGTCTCAGCGCAATCATCCGCAAGAATTTTGCCCTCAGCCCACGTTCGTCCAAGAGCAGCCTCGCTCGCATTAGCAAACTGTCCATGGTGCCAACGGACAGTTGCAGCTCTATCGGTGGCGTTGGGATAGCAGTTGTAGGCGAGCGTCTCACCGGTACCTCTGTAGACGCGTCAGTCCATCGATGTAGAAATGGGCTTCGGAAGCGAGACATACCGAGGATCCCAGCTGATAAGGTCGTGTTCACCACCAGTCATACTTGTAAGGTCAGTATAAGCAGCAAGCGAATAAAGCAGTTAATATCTTACGGCTGAACTATCGGTGATGCGCTGGCCATGTTGAAGACTCCATCGCCACCAGGACCGCCCCAGTTGAAGAGGATGCTCCCCTTCTTGGACTCTTTCATTGCTGGAACCTTGAGTAAGTCAAGCTTCAGAGTGCCAGGGATTTCTCCTGTATAGTCCAAGGGAACTTCCAATGTTCCGCACCCGAACGTGCGACCATGCGGGTCGAAGGCGTTGAGTTCTGGTGGACAATCGGCCCATTGGATACCTGCCAGTCGGTTTTGGAGCTGCCCGTGGGGTATGGCATAGCTGCCCGTGAGAAGGGCGAGTGCGAAGATTGACGAAGTCGTGCGCATGGTGGTTATGATAATGATATCTGATTGTGGTTCGAGCCAGAGAAATTCATCCAATCCAGCGGGTCAACTCCTTTATATAATGCTGAGGCAACATGATGATAGTGGACGTAGCGCCAGTGCCAAAGGCCATCATCATCAGGAAGCGCAACATCACCCCAATTGCGGTTGGTTTGATCTATCTTTACCCATCTGCGAGACTTGTGGCTGTGATTGCAGGAATGCGGCTGAAGAGTCAAGGCCCGAGATTTGGGGAAAGCGGAAAGCTCCACAGCGCATAGTGGTAAAATAATCAGCACCAAGTACCAACTCCATGGTCGACTCGACATCTGTGTATGCGATACCATGTCATGATGCCACAGTGCAAGTTTTCCGCAGCCACAGCGGCCCACAGAGCGCGGTGTATTTCCAAAAGGGGAAATATTACATGCCTGTGCTGACCGTATCGGTAGCGGCCAGGGGTTCTGCACGTGCTGCGCAGTGTGAACGGAACCGTCGGAACGCGAAGTTCGTCCCTCCCGCTCCCAGATGTGGATCCGCCAAGAGGCTCTGCTCTATAGCGACGTACTGGTCAGTCTCACCAGTCGCCACAGCAGCACTGAATCACCACGAAATGAAGCGAGTGAGGGTATAGAATAGATGACGCAAAACATGACGATAACCGGAAACCGGGCTGCCGGTTGTACTTAGAGCCAAAATTATTAGATTTTAAGAAACACCAATCAATGACGCTGGATTCAAACAGGCATACCAATTACAAAAAAGAGAGCGATTCGAGTATATTCCGGTAGAGACCGGCGGGAATCTCTATATTTATTGATCTAGAATCACGAGACCGGTTTCCAGATGTCGTCAGGTTTCGCAGTGTCGCGATGTTCAGATGAGTGTATATCTATCAGAATCGGAAGTTGAGAATATACTGCCACGTTTCATTGGTTGGCAATATTCAGCCACCAGACTCCATAGTTGATAACTGGAGCTTCGTGAAGATACGTCTATTAAAAATTTCATGTTGGAGCTCTCATTCCCTCTACATGGTCGAACACGCATCTGCTACAGGGCCCATATCTTTTAGTGCCCTGGTTTTCGAATTGTTGTTCATTCGACTTTCCAACCACAGCGAAACCTGTTGCCAGCTCGTCGTAGGGAAATCGGACTTGTACTCGGTCATAAGCTCTTCAACTCGGGTCTGCTGGGTGGTCCCTTTCGCTGCCGGCCATACAGCCATCAGCCTTATCAAGTTAGCATTCCATCACGTTCGTTCGGGTGTACGACGTGATACTCACATCAGTGGCATTCCACTCGATCCTAGAGGCCGGTATTGGGTAGCATCTTCTGCGAGGCGGACGATGCCGTCAACCAAAGTCAGGCCTTCAGTGGTGAGGATAGGGTTGTAAGGCTCGAAGCACCGGCAGAGTATGGTGTTCAAGATCGTAGCATAGGACAATAAAATGCTATAGATAACTTGAAAGCGAGAACGCATTTTTACGGTCTGGTCTGTTTTCGATATTTTAGGGAGTATTACCTGCTGGATCCTGTGCAGGTCGAACCCTAATTGCTGATAAGTGAGTCTGATGTCTGCTTCATGGGCGTACGGATCATTGAGGAACTGCTGGATCTTTGCGAGCTGGGTTAATCTCATGCTCTTCATTGGAATGGCCTGCTCGCGTTTGCCCACCAGCTTGTCAAGCCAAGGCTGCACGTGAATTCTCGGGTTGCCAATGCTTTCGACAATCTACAGGTATCGGTGAGTAAGCCCGATCCGAAAGCGTTGGGTGGATATGCAACTTACCACAGGAACGCACAAGGTGAGCAGTACCTCGTAGTCGAAATTATCATCCCAATTTTGGTTCGCTACGGTTCTCAGCAGCTGGGACAAAAGTTCTCCGTGTCCTGTGAGAATGAAATCGCCCATCCAGGCCTGCACTGACATCAGTATCTGAGCGTCAGGGCACTCATTGCTCGTACAGACCTGACATATTATCATCAAGTAAATTGCGCATAATGTATTTATTGAGCTTGCCTCACTAGGCCTGTCCAAGCTCGTTCTGAGCGCAGCTAAGGCTCGAGAATAACTCTCCACCACATCCGGGCTCTTCTTATGAGAATAGACTTGAGGGAACGCCACTGAAAATGTGTGTACGGAAGCATCGAGAGCGGCATTTGTCCCAAGCCGTCTCGGGATGTCTTTAAGAAATTCGCCATAGACAGTCGGGTCGAAGCGAATGTCTGTCACCTGAAGGGTGGAGAGGAAGGCGGCGGTCACCAAGGTCAATTCATTGCTCGGTGCCGCTGGCATAGCAAGTGCAGGCTGTGCAGCGGCCTCCAGGGAACGGCGTGGAGAGGGGTTACTGCTCGAGCGGCGGCTCTCCAGATGCTCGATGGTTAGATTCTCCGCAAATTTGAATCGCTGTTTGCCAGCACCAACGCAGGCAATCTGAAGGCGGGCACATCTCGAACACGCAGGTCGTTGTTGATCGCACTTCGTCATGATTAGCGGCGCGTGCGGTGCTCGGGATTACGTGGAATGGAACTATACATTTTTCCTCTGTTTGCGGCATGCATCGCATGCTCGACTGGAGGGAACCCCAGGCATTTCCTTTGTGGTGTCACCGGTGTGGAATCGAGCGCGACATAGAGCCCGAAGGGGAAACGATAGATGATCGGAGACGTTCCGAGGGGGAGCTTGCATGCGGTGATGGAGCGCTCACATTAAATTAGGCGTGATTATTAATATGAGAGAACAGCGTCAGTACCATAGGGTAGTCGATGCGCGATGACGCCGCAGTATGATCAAAGCCAAGGAGTTGCCCAAGTATCGGTACCTACAAGTATGATACACTGTCCATCATGGCGAAGGAGCTCAGAGCCGCTCTCTTAAAGCTTTACATTATGACCCCTCTTTGGCCATCTATGATGGTGAGGGATGAGCAGAGCAGCAGACTCTCCGACTCAGCTTCTGAGCTCAGCCACTGCACGGAATTCAACCTACCATGGGCTCATTATTATCGTTCCTGTGCGATTGCATGGGGTTCGGGTTCGGGACATGCAGTGCAGTGGCACGAGTGGTTGGAGAAGTAAAGTTGTGAAGAAGGGACAGGGAACGGGAAAAGACGCGACGCTTTATATGGTTAGCGTAGCGCAGAACCACGCCTGTTACGGTTAGCGTTGTCCCAGTCCCGTGCATCAGGCCATAATTAGCGTCCACTGGTCTGTCCTAGCGCGGATGGTGTTGGCAGGTTGTTCAACCCGCGCCTGCCTTGGCTGACGTCGATCTCTTGGCTCCTGGCTCCTCCACGGAATTTTTACCAATGATATAATTATTCACTAATGATCTTGATGTCTCAGACTCCCAGTGCAGAGTTGCAGTTGATGAGTTGAGCCTTGCAGTGCTGACAGGATCAGGAGTTCGCACCGGGATGGCACGCCAGCAGGTAGGGAGGGAGGTGTCGATCGATCTTTTAGCATGAAGTTGAATATTAAATTCGGTTGTCGCGAGATATCTCCACCACTGGAACGAACAGGATAACTCCCTCTACCGTAACCAGTTCCTTCAAAGACCTTTACAATATTGAGTCAGAAAGCCAAACCAGCCTCTACCCTGTCCACACTGAGCCCAACCGTCTCTCACGAGAAAAGATCACAACGCCATGGAGCATACGATAGAGATGCTATCGCACCAAAGAGCCTCAATGCAGGGTCGCGCTCTCCACGTTGACTTCTTCTGGAAGAACTTCAAAGCGAAAGTCGTCGAGAAAGACGATCCAGAGGCAAAACCAGTCTACCTCGTCGACTTCAAATCGCTCAAGCCCCATCTGGTTTTCAAGCGTGCTGAGGATGAGTCGACCTTCGGCCCCGGCTCACCTTCGGCATCGATGCCGACTGCGAGTTCTACAATCAGCCTATCACGCTCAAAACACAGAAGCGCTTCAAGCTCGAGTACACCCACCAGTCCCGCACCTACTCCGACACCGACGAGTCCGTAACCATGCACTGGACCAGCGACAGCGACTTCAAGGTCTGGGATTTCATCTGCATGGATGCCGATCAGAGACCCGTTGCGAAGTATTCCGCAAACTTCTGGGCTGTCAAGAAAATCGGCACCATTGAATTCATGGGGCCGAAAGCGAACAATGAGGCCGTGAGGCAGGAGATGTTGGTTATGGGATTGACGCTCTTCTACTGCGTTGCACTACGATCGACCAGTATTCTGTCATTCTTTGGCGCCATCTTCTCGCAGCCGAGCCGCAAGAGCAAAACGGAGCGAGAAGCACTTGTGAAGGCGGAAGAGGAGACGCAGCGGGAGAAGAAGGAAGAGGAAGAACGAGAGCGACCTGGACAGGTGCAAAATATATGATTTCGAGATTGGACTTCAACATCATTTTGATTCCTCCTCACTCATGGTGTTATGGTAGATAGCCATACCATTAGGCGAAATTCCATATCTTTTCCTTCTCTTTCGAATCGTCCTTCTTAGCCAATTGAAAGACATAACCCCATTGCCTACTCAGGTTCTCCACAAATGCCTAAGGAGCTTGAAGGAGGGACTCAGACTCACAAAGTAAACGTCTAGTCGCTCTTTGCCACTAGGTTGGGACGCAAAACATCAGATGTAACAGCAAATGTTGAACGTGATTTGAAGCGGGAAAAACACCACTCTCACCACAAAATCATGGAGTTGATTTTCCGTCAAGATCGTACTCTGAGTCAGCTTCCATCCGGACCGTTTGGTCGTCCAACGCTGACGCGATCGTCTTGCCGTCCGGCGAGAACGTCACGGTGACGATCTCGTCTGCGTGGCGCTCGAGCGTCTGCAGGGCCGCGCCCGACCCGGTGTCCCATAGCCGGACCGTCTTGTCGTCCGACGCCGACGCGGCCACCTTGCCGTCCGGTGAGAACGCCAGGGCAGTGACACAGGTCGCGTGGCCCTCGAGCGTCCGTAGTAAGGCATTCCAATGCTTTTGTACGTGAGGTAGTTGTTGTATCCATTGAGCTACCTGGGCATCAAACTGCCGCCTTACTATACTCATTACAGGTGCGTATATCAGCGCACTGCAGTATATTTGAAGAGGAGCGCACGTTATCACTGCCTGATTATAAAGGGCGAATCGTTTGGCATCATGGACAAACTCGAACAGATGGGAACAGTCACCTGTCCAACCGAAGTTTAGTTGAAAGTTTCGCGCTATACCGAAGGTAAATTTATAAGGATAATGGACTCCTGAAAAGTGATTGCATAGATCCCTTCAGAGACCTGCATCCAGCTTAACGCCTCAAGCCAGTGTAGTAAGTGTGTCAGTAGGAACTGATGCATTTTGTCGTTGTTATAAAGCTGAGCGTCGCTTTTCTGAAGATGCTGGACTCAGTAGAGACAAGCATATTGAATCTCAGGAGGAAGGTCCAGTTCTACTTGGCTGCATTCAATGTCGGCTACAAGCGCACCTGGTCGGCGAATTCCAAGTATGTCCTGCTTGAGAAACCTGGACATGAGCTGTATGCATTGCACGGCAAGAGTTTGATGAGCTTGCTTCTCGTCAACTCAGAAATCCGTATCCTCACATCTCCTCCTATCGAGAAGGAAGTCGCGGAATGAAGGATGATGTTAATCGGATCGGGCGGGTTGCGTCGTTTGGAACGTCTAGAATGGCATGAAGAGCACCCAGAGTTTGATCTATTTCATCTTGCGATGTGCTAATTAGCTTGCTCAAGGACTGGGTAGAAAGTGGAGAGAATGGAGATATAATGCTTCCCAGTAGGCTTTTCAAAATAAGTCGTAGCTCCTCTGCCTCTTCGTCTGTGTAATCTGGCGAGATGGATTGGCGGAGAACGGTAACATAAATCTCGCTGAAGTCTGTAGGTTTAGCCATGTCGAATATTGTGGCTTAAAATCGATTTTGTAACGTTTCGGTTCGTGCTGGGTACTGTCAAGGTTGCGTAAAATTTTAACACATCACTGGGAACAGTGACAAGGGCGTATTCCCCAAGAGACGAGGTATCTGGGCAGGATAGGACATAAATGAATAGAGTAACTCATTCGTAATAGAACAAATGGCTGCTTCCGTCGATGGGTGGAGAAGTTTAAGGATGATCTGAAGCTTAAGTTAGGTAAGCCCGGCAGCCTAAGGGGTGGTAGCCCACTGGTAGGCCTCGCAGTGACCTAATCTGGCCTAGGACTTGCTCAACGCCTGAACAGATATGAGTGAGCGAAGGTCAAGCCCCCCCGCGGGAACATGAGTGCTGGAGGAAAGTGGTGTTGGGAAAGCCAGGCTGTGATCCCAAATCTCTGGCTGGAGAGGAATTTTGAGATCACGGCGCGCTTTTCGCCGCTCTTTCTATCATCTTAGAAGACTATTTAGGAAGGAAGACATGAAAGTCTCAAATTAAGAACTTCCCGCAGAACGACAAAAGAACAACGGTCAGAAACTTGGTATCACCGTGAAACGAGAGCGCGAATTATTGAGGGGTTGACAAAATGGCAGCAACAGATAATGAGAGACTGAGTTCTGTTAGGGGCTGGATTCACAACTGGTAGCATGTATGCCGACCAATACCAATCTATATAAAGAGGGGTATCATGGATAGAGCATATAGGCGGTGTTGTAATTAGAGAAGACTTTCAGCGATACGAGCTGGACTGCGGGAGTATAACTCCAGGCAATCGGTATGAACGAATCTGATGGAAGAGGACGGCTGGGGGCCCACGACCCACTGGGCAAATGCACCATTATGTTCATCATCGGGCCGGAGCGAGTACGGGAAGACGGCGCCGTAGACCCCCGTCTCTGGTAGATGCGTGAGGTTGCCTGCTGGAGACCCCGAAGGCTTCCGTCTGTCGCTGACATGGGTCCAATTGTATCGGAAGGATTTTGGCTTTTTGAGCACCCCCACCCCGAACCACATCTACCGATTCGACGACACCACAGAAGTCACATCCGGCCGTGTTGCCGGCCATGTGGAAGTAGGTCCCCATCTTGTGGTCATTAGGATTCAGGGCCACGGCTAACATACGCGCGAGCACGTGGTTCGGTGACGGCAGGGGTAAGCGTGGCAGTGGGACTGTGGGACTGATCGAGCAACGGCCATGGAGATATAGATAGCTGTCACAATTTCCGATTGGATGATTGCGGATTGAGTTTTTTAGCGGCGACACGTTGAGGTCTTGAGGATCGATTGAATGGGGTCAGAATGTCGTCTTTGCAACAGGGGGCCTCATCTTTCGGTAGGATTGACCCCAATTTTCATGCAAAACTGGTACAATCACGTTCAGTTAACTTATTTCATTGGCCTATCTAACTCTAGATCGAAGGCGCTGGGGCGGGTGGCTCAAATCCCAGGGTGCTGTCTTTACTGCGACAAATGGTTCGTGATTTCTCATGAATATTGACATCGTTGCTCCTGCTCCCACTTCTTAGGCAACAACACAACAGTCAACAACAGACTTCTTCTCTGCAACATACTTCTTCTCTGCAACATATTTCTTCTCTGCTACCGACCTCTTCTCTACAACGGACTTCTTCTCTGCAACGGACTTCTTCTCCATGCCCTCCACATCACATACACCCCTCCACATCACATACACCACTTGATCCCCAGCAAGCTGATTTTGGTGCTCTCCGTACAAGTCTTCGAGAAATCAGCAACAATTGCATGAGATTTGCAAGTGAATTCGACAAGCTACAGAATCTCCCTGTGATTGACGCTGGTGCTTCGATTCTGGCTGCCTTGAATCGCATGGAGGGCACTTTGAACTCGAGATTCGATGCCTTGGAGGCGAGATTCGATGCGAGGTTCGATGCCTTGGAGACTAGACAACTTGCTTCGTATGTTCACTTAAACTTAAACCTAAATCAAGATTTAGTGTTCCTTCACTAACTTGGTAGTGAACAAAACGCTATTTCCCGCATTCAAAACTCCTACTTGGAATCTCCGAACTCTCCTCTTGCGCCGTTTCACAATGTCCAAACGAATACTGTCATTCCCAATTTTCCATCAACAACACATGACCTTGGACGATTGAACGCTGGTCAGCTCGATACGATTCTCGAACCGCTGGGGCTCAGTATAGGAGGGAACACAAGTCAAAAGAGAGAGAGGTTGAGAGTCTACATGGGCCTAAGGAGAGCAGCGGTTTAGCGAGGGTTGATTTTCAACCCAGTAGTGTTGCATCACTTGGCGCTAAGGTGGAATATTGTTGTTCGCACATTGGTAAGGCTTTTCGAAGTCCATTCGTTGCAGTTGCGTGTATAATATTCAGTACGTCAAGTGCCTTCGAAAGATCCTAGGGGCTTATAAACGGACACCGATCGCCGCGCTTGAGAGAGAGGCGGGCGTTCCCCCAATCGAAGTCTACGTCCAAGAACGGGCCGCTCAAAGAGCAGCATCGACGAACTCCCATAAGGCCACTACCCAGATTGAAGGAGCCCTAACGCAAGTCTGGGATGCTGCTTCTGCTCCCCCGAGACTGTTACGGCACGGTAGCTGGATGCACACAACATACACGTAGCCAAAGATATTCTAGATTAAGCTAAAGAAGAGAACAAGAAAGGGAAACCTTCTTGTTTACATCGGAGAGGTTGGACTCTGATTCAACCTTACCTAATCAGGCTTAGGCTCCTAGCCTTAGCCAACCAAGGGTTTCAACCCATAGCAGAGACGAACTCGAGGCCGACCCCGCCGTGTCCGGTCTAAACCTGAACCCGCAATATATACGCTCCGGACTCGGTATGACAGACTTCTGTTCCCCCGGCCCGAACCAGCTAGAGGATATCAGACACAACAGCGACAAGGTCCATACCGGATGATCCAGGATGAGTATCGGGCGAAATGGAGGGAAAGATGGCAAGCCGAAGCAGCTAGACCAGGAAGGAGAGCAAGGCATGGAAGGACCCGTGGGAAACCCAGTGCCTTAACCGATTCGATGGCCTTCAGAAACACGAGGCCTCGGCGCTTATGGCACTCCGGACTGAGATAGTTGGAGTTAAGGGCCGACCAGAGGATTGCGCTCCTCCAACGAGCTGGAACAACGAACTATAAGAGGATATTGCATGACAGGGACAAGGTGCGCCACGCAGCAAGGTGGCTGATCGATGCGGGAGGCCTAGAGCAATACCGGGTGGCCAAGGAAGTTGAGAGGGAGGTAATAGAGGGCTGGAAACCGTTCCAGCTCCTCCACGACGTGCCAGAATAAGCTCTCCGCGTAGGCGGAAACACCGACTCGTGCGGAAAGAAGAAAAGGATTGAGATACTTGTGAAGGATTTATCTCAGCAAGCTCAGACGGTATCTTCAGATGCTGCACGTGACTATAGTGTGGCGGTGCAGGCAAGGCATCTTTAGATGCCGTCTGAGGTCCATTTGTAAGGTTTGTGTGGACACGTAGTTGAAGTTTTCAGATTTTCCAGCCGTTTCAGTCAACTATATTAATTTTCAGTACTCAAAAGTTTATGCTAGGCTAGGTAAATGGTAAAAGAACCCGCTCTTTTATAGTATATTAAAAAATATATCAAAATAAGCCTATAATAAATGATTAGCATCGGCGGTTTCGAAGGGCACGCGTAGTTGAACTTTTGGAGAGACTCTGGTCGTAAATTTTGGTGGGGTTTGGTGCACCGTAGGGGTCAAATCCGCTCTTTGACCTACGCGCCCACCAAAATGCTTGCAAAAGGCCCTCAGACGGCATCTGAAAGATGCCTGCACCGCCACAATCATCTTGCAGATCCCGTCTGAGTCCCAACTGAGATAAATAAGGGCCATATTCGTATTCATTTATTCATTTCGGAGCTCTAGTCTTGGGCTTCGTCCAGTCTGTGTGTTGTGGCCTTGCGGCCTAAGGCAGAAGGGATGATAGGTAGACCGTCTGCCCATAGATGTAAATAGCAGATCGCAGTGAGAGAGATCTTTTCCTTCTCTCTTTAGCAATTGGGGCAATTCATCAGCGTTACCAGCATACCAGATCCTTCGTGGTTTGGGCCTATGACAGTGCACAAATTATACACCCCTGCGGTCGCGTCACCTGATCTCGAGAAACCTTCTGTTTTCTGACATTTCCAACGTGTTCTCAAGGGGTATTTTCACGAATGAATGAGGCGAGCCCCTCGCTCCATTGGAAACGGCGGCCATTACGGATAGATCTCTTCGAGTAGGGTAGGGTCAGAGCACTCAGTCTGCTCGACAGGCGTGCTGGTGCCAACACTGCCGAACTGAGCCGAGCAGCCGTGGCGAGGCAACAGCTTTTGAGGTCCACTTTTCATGAATACTGCAGACACATAGAAAACGAGACAAAGATCATTAATGTGCGTGTCACGGTGACAAAGTATAACGAAGAGAAATGCGTAACACGCGACGGCTATCGCTCTCCAGTAGATGACGGGTTGCCTCCAGGATGTCTTCCTCTCAACCCATCAAGATTCTCATAGCCAATCGATCCGAGATAGCATGCCGCCTCATCAGGACATACTCGCTCTACTCAAGCATCCGCACAGTAGCTCTGTTCACTCCCTCTGAGAAGGATGCGACACACGTGCGTCTTGCAACCACATCAGTGGCGCTCCCAGGAGAAGGTCCACGTGCATATCTGGATGCGGCCAATATTGTCAACATTGCGAAGAAAGAAGGATGCTGGGGTATCGCACCGGGCTATGGTTTCTTGTCCGAAGACGCTGGGTTAGCGAGACTCTGCGAGGATGAAGGCATCATGTTCATCGGACCATCGAGCGAGCAGTTGACACAACTTGGAAACAAGATGAGCGCGAGGTCATTGGCGGTAGATGCAGGTATACCGGTTCTAGATGGCACGAAGACCGTACTCGATCGAGGTTCTTCCATCACGGATGTACTCGCGTTTGGAAAGAGCCTGGGCCCAGCCAGCAAAATCATTCTGAAGGCCGCAGCTGGCGGCGGAGGGCGCGGCATCCGCATCATTGATGACAATACGGACGAGCAAGCCATTCGCTTCGCTTACGAAGCTTGTCAGCGAGAGGCACATGCATCCTTCGGCAATGGAAGCTTGTTCGCGGAGCGATATCTGCACGGTGCTAAACACATTGAAGTCCAGCTTCTTGGAGACGGCACTGGAGCAGTTTGCCATTTCTGGGAAAGAGAATGCTCGCTTCAGCGCAGAAACCAGAAAGTCGTGGAGATTGCGCCTTCGCATTCCATCATGCCACGGCTTAGGCAAGCCATCATCGAAGCTGCGGTGAAACTGGGAAAAGCAGTGAAGCTGCGAAGTCTCGCCACAATCGAGTTCCTTGTCGATGCAGCAACCGAAGACTATTATTTCATGGAGGGGAATCCCAGGATACAAGTTGAGCATACCATCACCGAGCAGATCAATGGCGTTGATTTAGTGGATCTACAGCTTCAGGTTGCCTTGGGACGAACGCTAGCAGACCTGTACATAACACGGGAACCCCCACCACCTCGACTTACATCCATACAGCTACGGATCAACGCCGAAAGCTTCAAGCAAGATGGCACCGCGCAACCTGAAGCGGGGACTATTCGACAAGGACATTTCCCTACAGGAGCAGGCGTGCGAGTCGAGACAGCTCTTGAAGGAGGCCGGCAGTATGCTGTGAGCCCTTTGTTCGACAGCCTTTTGGCGAAACTCATTGTCACCGCATCTTCGTATGAGTCTGCACTGCGACTGGCTCGTTGGGCCATCGACGAGACGAGGATCGTAGGATGCAGGACGAATCAGGCGTTCCTAATGGCTTTGCTGGATATCCAAACCGTGCAAGAGGGCAAGAGCAACATTTTGACCATCCAGGAGAACTTCGAGGCGCTGTACAGCGCCACGCAGCAGTTCGAAGACGCGTTGCGGGCTAAAGGTGACCGTACCTCCGAAGAAGCTACCACGCTAAAGGAGAATGCGGCTAAAGTTGAGCGACCTGCAGGCTCTGAAGAGCTGCTCGCACATGTCACGGGCGTTGTCCTTTCCATCAAAGTGAGTGGAGGTGACAAGATCATTGCTGGCCAAGAATTGGTCGTTCTTGAGGCGATGAAGATGGAGCATTCCGTCAGGAGCGCCTGCAATGGTGTTGTGGCGAAAGTGGCCGTCACGCAAGGACAGCAAGTAAATGCCGGCGATGCTCTTCTCTTCACCATCTCGGACGGCGACAGTTCACTCAACAATACACACGACCTAGCCGAGACCGAGAACCCAGAGAAGCTGCGGCCGGAGCTGATGGAGCTGAACGAACGTAAGGCCTTTCTACGGTACGCTGGCCGCGAAGAGGACGTGGCCAAGCGCCATGCAAACGGATACCTCACCGGCCGGGAAAATCTCGACTTACTCGTAGACAAAGATTCATTCATTGAATATGGAGACCTCGTAGTTGCGGCACAGAGGAAAAGGTACCCCATGTCCCATCTCATCGCTCGAACAAGCGGAGATGGTATCATCGTGGGCTGGGCGAAGATGGACTCTCATCCAGTCGCAGTTGTCATTGGCGACTACCTGGTACTTGCCGGCACGCAAGGACATTTCCATCATCAGAAGTTAGACCGCATCTTCCAATCAATCATTGATCATCCTGCGCCACTGGTGTTGTACGCCGAAGGAGGCGGTGGAAGACCAGGTGACACCGATCACTTGGGGACGGCGGGCCTAAAGACGCCATCATTCTCTCTGATGGGCGAGATCAAGGCAAGAGGGATACCTTCTGTTACAGTAGCGAACGGATACTGCTTTGCGGGCAACGCTGCATTCTTGGGAACATGCGACATTGTCATAGCTACAAGAGGCGGATCAAAGGATGCGCCGCTGAGGAAGTCCACCACGATCGGCATGGGTGGTCAAGCAATGATCGAGGGTGGTGGCCTTGGCCGATTCGAGCACGAACATATCGGTCCCGTCGATGTCCATATGCGCTCAGGTGGCATTGATGTACTTGTGGACACCGAGGTCGAAGCTGCGCAGATTGTCCGCAAGATCGTTGCTCTGTTTACACATCCTCAGCTGCCACCAGCGGAGAGTCCTTGTACATCGGATCCTCTTCGCCTACGCACCGCAGTGCCGCCACTATCATCTCGTCGCCGAGCCTACGATGTTCGTCGTGTGGTCAACCTTCTTCTGGACGACGATAGCTTCATCGAGTTCTGTCCCGAGTGGGGCCTCTCTGTGCTCACAGGCTTTGGCCGCATCAACGGCCACGCAGTCGCAATCATGGCTTCCAACTCCTCATCTCCCCTAGGCGGCGCTATCGACGTCGCATCCGGAGCAAAAGTCAACCGCCTTCTCCGTCTCCTCATCCGCCTCGGCGGCATGCACCTCCTCAGCCTCTGCGATACCCCTGGGTTCATGGTCGGCCCCGACTTCGAGCGCTCGGCCGAAGCTCAAGGTGCCGGAAGCACATACCGCTGCTTCGGTGACTGGTTCGGCAACTCCCAAGAATTTGCCCTCCTCGGCGGTCGCGTCCTAGGAGTCGTACTGCGAAACGGTTTCGGACTGGGCGCACAAGCGATGCTCGGTGGTGGAAGTTTGAAGAACAGCATGTGCGTGGCGTGGCCGAGTGCCGTCTTTGGGGGCATGGGGATCGAAGGCGCTGTAAGGCTTGCTTACAGGAAGGAGTTAGAATCTATCAACGATCTTGAAAAGAGGAAGAAAAGGGAGCAGGAGATGATCGATGTCATGTACAGCGAAGGGAAGGCTATCAATATGGCTATGGCGGCTGAGATCGACAGTGTGATTGATCCGGCTACGACGAGGAAATGGCTGGAGCAGATGATTGAGGTGTTACCGAAGAGGGTGCCGAGGTATGTTAAGGCAAGAAGAAGTGCGAAGATATGAGAAAAACAAAGTTCATCGGCGAAGTTGAAAAATTGGTGTGATGGATAGGTGGAGCCGTCCAATAAATTTCGTACCTAGTAGGTCTACTCTACCTAGCCAAAGTGCGGAATCGAATTTGCTTTGTGCCTACTTTTGCAACTAACAGGACACTTCGTGGGCCTCACGAAGTAAAAACACGGGTTGTTCCAGTAATGATGTCCAAATCGGCAATTTTCGCAAGCCGGACGGCCGGGGAGAGTGCTGGCGATGGTAGAGGCAGTGACATATCGAAGCTAGGAAGGGTAAGTGGATCGAGGGTTATGGTACAGCGTTTTATATCGTTGTAGTCATTGCCATGTTGGTAGGGTCTTGGATGAGCCGTTTCACTGCTCTGGGTAAGTACAAGAACGCTCTTGTTGAGGCTCCAGCAGCATATAGGGGTCTAAGAGCTAAGCCACTAAAGACTTTATAGCTTAAAAATAGGACCAGTTAATCCTACTCGAGTAGATACTTAGCATCTCTATAAGCTGACAGGGGCCTAATTTCAGGCCTCTTTATACTACTTAGGGATGAAATTAGGCACAATCAGGAGGAGCTCAGGCTTAAATCAGGCCTTAGTAACCCCCTTTTGACGTTTTCCCTGTCCAAGGCGAAAGACGCTTTCGCCGAAGTTATATATATTCCGAGCATCGATCTTATACTCCACGACCTGTTCCTTTAAGAGTTGGAACCAATGGTGAACAATCCCAAGATCCTCGGCGTAGAGACGGTCCTCTTTGATTGGCTTTTGATCAATAAGAGGAAGAGAGTGACGTTTAATAAAGTTATATTTCCACATCTTACTAACCTGAGGCGGCTGAGTCGAGTCTGGGGCGTTCCGGCGGAGGATAGAATTGGCGCAATTTTCGATCTCGTTCGGTGTCGGAGGCGCTCCCCATGTATCGAGAAGATGAATCCATTCGACAAGAGCCTTTTCTTGTCCTTCATCGAGTTTGGTTGATCGTTGGTAACGTGAGCGGTTGGAATATGATATATGGGTGCCCTCAAGACGGCCCTTAATGACCAACCGACCGACTTGGAATTCGCGCTCCAAGGCCGAGAAGTTGACCCTTTTCCCCTTATTTTTTTGCTCTCTGGCCTTCTCAAGTGCCCTTTGAAGGTTTTCCTCTGAAAAATTGCCGCGTTTCGGCATGTTGGATGGTATAAAATTGAAAGAGATGTGAAGATGGTGGTGAAATGGAAAATATGGTCTTGAATGAAAATATGGTATTGGTCCACCCACACCTTCGGTGTGGGTCCAAGGGCCACGGATATAAGTTATGATAAGATCAATACCTACTTTTTAAAGAGCCTCATAGCATAGCCGCGCTTGTATACAGTGCTGTTCGAAATCGGGACCGTGTTGTCGAAAGGCTTGCTCTGTACATCGGCTAAAAGCTCCTTTGCCTGTTGTTCTTTTGCTTCCCCATTTTGAATGGAGCGTCATGGGGCAATTTCCCAAAAGGCTGCTTGATGGAGATAGAGAACGTCTGCTGCCATTGGAGAGTTAAAGTGGACTGCGGCCGAGGTGATGAAACTGTTCACTGAACGAGAGCATTGAGCGAAGGGTCGAAGACGACAGCGACTGAAAAGAGAAACGGTAGACTGAAAAAAATTGGAGCAGCGTGCGATCTACGGCACGATCCTTTGGGAGTTCTATCGTCTGGGTCTAATCTACGCTCCGGGCCTCTTCGCGTGGGAGAAAAAGCATCTTTACCATCTTTACGACGGCGACAGAGAGGATATTTTCGACCGGCCCTCGTCTTTCGGCGGTATTGACCCCCTGTTTTCGACCTCGTTTATACCGCTGGGAGAGTATAGGGAACTCATTCGCCGTTGTGCTCCCCCACTTGCCCGCCGTTGGCCAGGTCTGTTGCCATACGTGCTGAGTCAGTGGGTCGATAGAGGGAGATAGTCGAATCGGTCGTCGGTGCGCTGTTACTGCGTTGCTCCAACTCCAACCTCTGGCCTCCATGGGAACCACCGCCATCGTGGGACCGTGACAAAAGCCCATGTTCTTCACTTCTCTTGACGTGGAAGCCCAAGTAGGTACATATTTAGCATGTCCTGCTCGCTATCGTTAGCGAGGAAAGTACTGAAATCCTCAGTCCAGAGGAGAGGCCAGGATTCATCCAGGCTGGTCATATATGCGTCCAGGTCGATTTCGGCCGAAGTTGCGCCCATTGAGATATCTAGACCATTGTTGCAACTGGCAATGGCAGAGAATTGACCGGCTGAAGATATGTGCTCTGAGAGCTGATCCCGAAGGATGGCAAGACCTAGACGAGTTAGCACAAAGTGCTTTGCTAGAAAAAACATGTCGTACCTCTTGAGAACTCAGCATCCTGTCCCATGCTTATAAAGTCTTTCTCGGCTTGCTCGGCGAAAGTGACGAGTAACTGATGGTGTTTCGTTAGCTTAGCTTAGCTGGTGTAGAGCTGATGTTGCCTACCGCAAGATCGGAACTATTCATTTTGCTCATCGGAATCTTAGTCGCATATATTCCCAAAACTAAGATAGCAAGCAGAGTTTGGTTGACGGTGATGATCCTTGACGGGTTTGCATACATCCATAAGTCGTTCAGTGCCTTCATTATTGCCCGAGCAGAGGCAGCTCCGATACAAAGACTAAAATGCAACCTGTCTTTCCACGGAGTTCCGGCACAATACTCATTGATTCGGCTGCGAAGGAATCCAAGGGCTGACATGAGTGCAGGCCGGTGCAGAGCTATCATGGTTTGGTGGTAATGAAGAGTGAGGTACGTGGCTAAATGAAGTTCTTCGGCACCGCAATGTAGATCGTGGCCAGGACTGAGGAGCATTAAATCTAGAATTAAGGGAAGGGATTACAAACTCACCGAATAGAACGAGGAAAGTCATCTGCCCAATCTACCAACGCTCGATCAATCCGACCCATTTCTATCAAGAGTTCCTTGGTATTCTTGCGCTGATGTTTATTCCCGCCATAAAGAAGATTGATTGCTCTAGTCTGTATCCTGGAGAGGCGGATAGAAGCACCAAAGTAATCGAAGTCACAGTTACCACTAGTGATGGGGTTTGGCAAGATCTGATCACATTCATCGTCACGAATCGCGGATGGTCGTCCGGTCTCCAGTTCCATCGTACGCTCCAGAATGTATGCTGCCCACCAGATGCGAGAGTGGAGATCCTCTACTTGGGAGCTATGGGACGCTGTTCCGCCACTGATTGATGATGGTGAGGCTGGAGTTTGAACATGCCTGTGCAGTCCGATGGATTGAGCGATCCGAATTGCTTGGCCTAAAGTTCCCCAGCTGGCACCGTCTTTGTTGCGATTTCGTAGGATCATGGTGAGCAACAACAGAGCTTGGACAGAAGTGAAATATGGGATGGCGACAAGATGAGCGTATAGGAAGTATGCGCCTTCTAGGAACTGTGTCCCAGCTTGAGTCATGAGGCCGTCAGCTTCATCCGCCCCGGCGCTGAAGACAGCATATGCGCAAGCCAGCGCAGGGTAGTCTTGAGATCCAAGAGTCGGCGGATTTTGCTCCAGCTTCTCTCGAAGCCGATATTGTGAGGTGCGAAATGAGTCTTCGTCTAACACGGGAAAGATCGGATGGATGCGGGTAAAGTATGTTGAGATGTATGTTTGCATCGTCTCCTGTGGGGGCAGTTGTGGTAACGACATTGGGAACGGCAGTGGCATCTCAAGAGAATATGCGAGCCCCTGTTGGAAATACGGAAAGATTGGAGCCCAAGTATCATGGTTGGCGAAGAACATGTCTAGCCATTGGACTAGAACATATTGGCTACTTCCACTACCGATGACTTGACGTCTTGAGTAGCTCCGATCTGTCACCAGGGTCAGGTTCGAAGCTGTTGTTGATGGTTGAAAAGACGATCGACTTGATGCCCTGTTTGTCCGAGCGGAAAGTTCTGTAGAGCCTGGTGTTCCACTCCGCGGACTGAGGTGTACTGGCAATGTGACATCGGGATCATTTTGCGGAATGGTTTGATCAAATGGTAAGGCGAAGATAGGCGGCAAAGGTCCACGATCTGCTTCCAACTCTGCTGACGGCCTGACTTGTGACGACGGATACGGCTGCCTGGATTGCGGTGATTCCGTGAAAGACAATGGCTGAGGAATAGAATTTTGTCTTCTACTCTGTCTGCTCCCACGGCGTCCCAGAGGCTCAATCCGGCGTGCTTCGGCACCAAGTCTGCGGAGGTTCGTGGTGACACAGGTGACGCCTCGCAGTTGACAGTTCCGGCAAGCCGGGTGCTGCGTGTCACATTTGAGCTTGTGTGAACGACACCACTCGCACGCTATGGCTTGTCGAGGGCGTTTCGACGATGATACTGTCGATATTGATCTTGGTACCAGTGCCATGGTAAAAGCATTTGCTGATCTTGGTTGACCTAGGAGTGTCAACATCGGGGACCAAACATTCAGGAGACAATCCGCAGTGGAGCGCTATTTCCCTGTGTGATGGATCCGAGGTCTGTAGACCTGGATGCCTTGTGGCCTTGTGGCCCGTTTCACTGTTTGCTCTGCACCATGAGGACATTACGCCTCGCATACTTTATTACGGAACCTTCAGTTGAGTAATGTGCGTGTTGTTGTTCAATCATGATGAAGGCTCCCGACTCCTGAATCTAGCGATTGACAGTCGCTCGCATTGAGCTTTCTCACTTATAAAATCACACCTTCAACGGCCCTCATGGCCTCGATTGTCCCAATCAACATTAAGAGGAGTGGATGGGAAATCACCTCGGACAGCTATCAAGTGGGAATGAGCCACAAAATGCATTCGACGGCAATGCCGCTACTTTCTGGTACACTCACTAAAACTCGGACTCGAGCTTACCCCACTGGCTCATCATTGACATGCAAAACCAATATGTCCTCAATGGTTTCTCGTGCACTCAGCGCCAGGACGGCCAGACCATAGGCAGTATCGGCACTCATTCGGTCGACTACAGTCTGGACGGTACCACGTAGAAAACCGCCGCGCAGGGCATATGGGCAAACGATTAGACGGTCAAGACAACTTTTTCACGGGCTGTAATTGCTAGTTATCTCGGCCTGAGCGCCACTAACGAAGCATCCAACACCGGACAGCAGTGGTCGAGTGCCGCCGAAATCAGCGTCCTGACAAATCCTCACGCTACTCTTCTCCGAGAAAGTTGGGTCGTTATCGTAGACAGTGCCGAGTCGAGTGAAGTACAGCAGATTTTGCGTGTTGATTTCCTCCTTGAGGCATGTTTATACTTGAAATCTGTTGGGTGTGTCTGGACTTAGATATCCTTTGAGTCCAAAATGGTGGCTACTGTGTCAGCCAACTCCGCAAGTGAGACCTGCACACATGTTAGCTCCGCCAAAACTCCACCTTGCCATGTGTACTCACCCGAACAAGCTCTTCGGCATTGGCGCCCGGAATGTCTCTATCACCGACAGCGTCCCGTAGCACAGAAATGTCATAACCCAGCTCCGCCCCAGCTCGAACAGTGGCTGACACACAATTATGCGCCATATATCCAACAACAACAAGCTTCTTCTTGCCAGTCTTGGTTACCTGCTCCTGGAAATCGGTGCCAGTGAACGCACTCGCATGGTGCTTGTGGACGACCTGGAGCTCGATCAGCATTTGTTTGATACTCTATTCGCGTGAAAGACTTACCGGCTCATTGGCCTTCGGTGTCAGTTCTTCGAAAATCTCTGCCAACTCTGTTCCCGGCGTAAAGATCGGTGCCCCCGGTGGAGTGTCCGCCACGACGTGTACGACAGACCCGTTAGAGGCGCGGTACTTGTCCAGCAGGGCCTTGATCACCTTCTGGGATACCTCCACATCAGCAACCTTCAGCTTTCCGTTGGCATACCTAGCGCAGCCGTTAGCTCCAGGACCTGCTAGTCATGAATACAGCACTTACTCATTCTGCGCATCGATGATCACCAACACCGAATCGGTGACCGAAGGAGCCGAAGGTGATACGCCAATCAAGGAACGGATGGTTTGTGGCGACATTTTGAATTGCTTTTGCGAATAGTTGGTAACTTGGTATCGAGCGAGAAATACAAGTTTATCGAGTCGCCGCCAAAGGAGCTCTGCTTTAAAGTGTGTTATGGTGCTTCGGGTGGGAACTCGGACTCGGGTGGGGATAATGCTGCCGGTTCGGGAAAGTGAACCCTGTAGTATACTCGCGCTCCGATTGGCGGATTGGTTGACTGCACGAATGCGGGTCTGCGCCTGTTGGCAAGCCGAACATCCTCGCAAATATTTCATTTCTAGTGGAAAGATAGGTTTTCAATCATCTATTTTCAAACGATTCAGTAGCATTCGTCAGCATTCGTCTGTAATTCCGAACCGAAGGTTTGAAAAGCGGTGGTTTGGCATTCCGATATGGGGTGACCTCTACGTTTTTAGCCAGCCAGCAACTACCGTATCCCGATTCGCCATCAGCATGTTGTCTGCATGTAGACTTCGTGACAGTAAATCTCGCGCCCTTTTTCTTTTATCATAGTAACGGATTTAGGCTAGGATTGCCTCCAATCGACATCAACCCGCGAATACCACTCCTGCGAAAAATATTCGGTCTACTCAACCGATATGTATAAGTTGGCTATGTTAGGGAATCAGCGAACGAGATTTCGCCAAGCCTCCCCAGCAACAAGCAAATCAAAACAAATCAAAACAATCCGCAATAATGAACCCCACTCACTCTGCCTGACTTGCTTATATTGACCTCTGTCTTCAGCGCTAACATCGACTCAATTGCCCGTCGCCAATTCGATGCAGGCTCAGTTGTCCACTAACGGTATTGCTGTTCAACCCCGAGATGCCTACCCATCACCATCCCATATTGGGGGGCAGCGGTGTTCCCGATGTCAACAAAGCTCAAAACTTCACCTTTTTGTCGCAGGCCAAAGGGTTAGATCTAGGAGCCTGAGGCTTCAAACTGCATTAATAATCTTGCCATGAGTCTCGTATATCTGCAGGGCCAGGGAACTGGACATTCACATAGAACAAGCAACTCACACAATACAATAACTTTGCTGCTGTCACCAAATCACCTAACTCCCAACCATTTTAGCACTAGCCAGTATGACAATATGTAAATACATCGGGGATGAGTGAGCTGTCTTAAATAGGCTTGGTCTAGGGGTAATGGGCAGAAGAAAGAATGTTGCGTGGTAGTAAAAACGAACAGGGGCATCATGCGATACATTCATTGTGGCTGTGTAATTAGCGGCTGGCCCAGCATGTCTCTGGAGAGCCTTGCAAGAGAATTGTGATCTGCCAGTCTTGCGCAGCATCTTAGGCGATGATTCAGAGCAGCAACTTATGATGCAAGGTTGACCAGAACAAGACATAGACGTTAGCCTCGATGTATTACCTCCCCACTGCGATAATCCTTTACAGAACCTACCGCTCAGCAATTTGGTGCTCTTGAACGACCAAATGACTGACACAAGCCTGACATGCAGGGTGTCATTGACCACTCAAGGACCCCTTGATATTAGCCCAGCAGTCCAAGATCCTGGATTCAAGTACTCGTCCCTGCCAGAGAAAAAGGCAGTGATTCGACTTCTCAAACTTCTTCCAGGCGAACCTGAGGACAATATTCGATGCGAGCTCATGACTACAACCTTCAAGGTGCTAATCAAAAGCGATATGAAGCAATCTCCTATGTTTGGGGGGCAGCAGAACACTCGACTAAGGTCATTGTTAACAATGAAAGGGTGAAGGTTCGACAGAATCTGCACTTAGCATTACAAAGTCTTCGATACCAAGATTCGGCTCGAACTGTTTGGGTAGATGCGATCTGTATTAACCAGAACAACAATAAAGAGAGAAGCCATCAAGTTGATTTGATGAGGAACATCTACCAAGGAGCGGATCAGGTGGTCGTCTGGCTTGGAGCAAGCGCAGAGTAAACCGATATTGCCATGGACTCTCTAAATTATATGAGACATGTGCTTGACAAATGCGGCGTAAGGCAGAAGGAAAATTTGAAAAGGATGTCTCTCTTAAGGATCAATATCCATCATCAAGAAGCAATTGAAGGCTTTCAGGACCTTCTTCAGAGACAAATGGTTTCAAAGAGCGTGGATCATCCAGGAGATTGCTCTTGCGCGCGAAGCTACAATCATGTGCGGGATGAAGTCAATCCCAGCAGGGATATTCTCCTCTCTGTCCTGGATGCTTGGGAAATCTATCGAAATATCTCCAATCGAGCCTGTATTAAATGTTATGCCCGGATTCTCAAAATACACGAAAGAGTCCTGGTGGAACATGGAACGGGACCTCTTTGCACTTCTTCTTAAATTTTGTAGCAATGAAGCTACTGAATTGAGGGACAAGATCTATGCTTTTCTTGGTATTGCAAGCGATACTAGGAATGGGAACTTTGAAGCGAGCTACGAGGTCAGTGAAGAAGAGCTTGTTCAAGACGTTGTGTCCTTCCTCTCATTTGGTGTCAAGATTGATCGCTCCCTCTTTAGTGCTCCGCGATGGACATTGCATGATTTCTTCAAGAATTTAACCTTCCTTCCATTCATTGTTTCAGACGGAGTCAATTAATCAACCACCATTCCGCCAGAAGCATTGAAAATTCTCTGTATAACACGCTCTACGGCTGTTGACCACACCCAAGCTAAAGGACGCGCATCTCGACCGACCAAGAAATTGAGGCATTTATAAACCTTTCGAAGAACTCTAAGGAGGGTTCCAGTATCCAAAAAGGTACTAGGTCAGTCAGAGTGTGTGCTTTCGACGGACCCCCGTCTTTCGGCAGTATTGACCCTCTGATTTCGACCTCCTTTATACCGCCGGGTGAGTTATGGGGAACTCCCATTGCTGTATGTTCTTGTGTTTTTGGCTATTGTGTCGAATTATTTTGATGGGATGTCGGTGATGCCTCCATTTTATGCACTAACTACATGTATGCAGTATTAGTAGCGTAATGTTTAGTTCATCCTATCGACAACGAGTCCAAGACTGACGACAAGGTGTATTTCCGGTCGTGAGGATATTAAGCCTTCTAGCCTAACTATTTTCCATAGATTAATTAACTCGTAGCGCTAGGGAATATCTCTTTGACGAGCATCTTCTTATTTACTGTAGATGTTAGCATATACGACTTTGCGATCGGGTTTGGCTGTCTTACTCTTTCCCATCGCGTTCTTTGGTATACTCTCCACCACTTTCATCTCTTGTGGGATCTTGTAGTTAACCAACCGATCTTTCAAAGATCTTCGCAAATCGAGTGCGCTCCAAGCCTTGCCGCCTCGTCCGGCCGTCTTCCCCTGTTCTGTCAGGACAACGACCGCCGCAACTTTCTGGCCCCATGCGTCCGAGGGGAGGGCAACCACCGCACACTCGGCGATCTGCGGCCTTGAAAGCTGCGTTAGCATCCCTCGTAGCTCTACTAGGGTGGTAGACTCACAATGAGAGCATCTCCCGCTCAACTTCTAGAGCACTGACCTTCTCACCCCCCGTCTTAATGATATCCGCGCTCTGTCTCCCCTGAATGAAATACATCGGTCCCTTTGCCCAGTCCTGCGCACTCTTCCCCGCGCTTTCGACGACGCGGCGGACAGCGACATCCCCGGTCTTGAACCATGGACCCTTGCCGTCTTCATCGGTCGTGAACTCGGTGGCAGTCGCCTCTGGATTCCGCCAGTACTCCTTGAATACCATTGGTCCGCGGATCTGAATTTCCCCTTGACGTTCCTTTCCATCTGCGCCCAGCTCCTCGCCAACCGGGATGACTTCTTTTGTGTCCGTATCGACAAGACGGGCTTCGACGGATGCAAAAGGCCACCCAACGCTCCCATCAACACGGTCATTGATATCAAGGCCGCAACTTAGTCCCATCCCAATCTCTGTCATGCCATATCGCTCGAGCAGGACGTTTCCTCCGCTCAGCTCCGTCCATTTCGACTTCACCGGTGTCGGGAGCGCCGCGGATCCTGAGATATTCAAACGCAAATTCTCTGGCGAAATCGCCCTTCTAGTAGCTTGTTGAAGATCCTCTGGGAGGTTCGGATGTGACTCTAATAATCTAGTGTATATCGTTGGCACAGCTGTGAAGAATGTAATCGGTCGTTTCTTTGTTCCTTCGCTCGTAAAAGGAGCTCCGATTCTTTCCCAGCAAGTTTGGGCGGAGAAGGGAGACATGAACTCGATGGTTGACCCAGCGAAAAGGGGCGTGAGAACTGCGTTGGCGAGGCCATGGATATGGTGGAGCGGCAAGATATGGAGCAGGTAGTCTTTCGGAGAATACTTCCACGCCTCGAGAAGCGTTTGTGATTGGGCGGTAACCGCGGATTGAGGCAAGAGTACTCCTTTCTGTTGGTTTCGAGGGATGTCAGCTTGGAACTCGCTTCAAGAGGTGTCCGGGACTCCTACGGGTCGATTTGTCGTCCCCGATGTATATAACATCAAGCCTCCGGAATTGGAGCTCAGGTGTTCGAGCTCTATGTCGCCCGATTCAGATCTTATGGACCCATAGTCCTTCGCTACCCTTGTTTCCCACGTCGCGTGTCCTTCCACTGTCTCCTTATTCGGCGCCTTTGACCTCAGTGACTCGGATGTCATAATCAGCTTCGCCTGGCTTTGTTCTAATATATACCGCAATTCGGAGCCCGGGAAACCAGGAGAAAGCGGAACAGCTATGGCATTACATGCGAATATCGACAGAATGGTGACTACCGGGCAGTTAGTATCGTGGTTCCCTCTCACAGTTCCTATGAATCGTCCGCACCCACATACGCGTAGCTGTTCTCCATAAGGAACGCTATCCGCTCCCCCTCGAAAGCACCCTTCTCGTTTCTCTGTGTAATCTCATTTCTCGCAGCCACAACGTCTTGCAATAGCTTCCCATACCGAAACTCTTGCCCTGTCGAACTATGGACGATGGCGACGCTTTCGGGGTCATGCTTGGAGATCGCCTCGAAGATGGGGAGGTGGGGAAGCGTCGAAGCCATACGGAGAGACAATGTATGCAGAAAAGGGCCGAGCGGTCGGAAGGACTTGCATCGTAGAAAGCGGGAAAGACTTCGACTCTGCATAATGACAGATCAGACCCCGGGCGGAATCGCGTCGGCTACAGGTACTATCGGATATACGAAGGTCGGTACGAGCTAAACATTGATCAACCGCGAGGATAGACGTAATTGAGGACAGTGTAGCGAGTGCTACTCATTGCTTGAATAGACAATTCTTGCGAGATATAAATATACCTTATAAGAAAACATTTGAGTAATCTCGGAATTGAGCAGGAGTTGGCTAATTTAAGGTGAGCGGAAGCTCGGAGGTCTTCGGAGGTCGGCAGTATCCATAAAGTCTTGGGACTTCGAGTTCGAACATCGAGAAATATTGGAATACATTATTACATCTCCTAACAATTCTACCAAATCATCCAAAACGCATCCTTTAATGACCTAATAGCTTTTCCACCATCTGCCGAACGTCAATCGCTTTGCTCCGTCGGAATCGCTCCGTCCGTATGCTCCGCCGCGGAGGCTTGAACCTCTTCCGTGCGTCAATGTCAACGATGTCACAATCCGTCGCGCCTATGGAAGATGCGATACGGTCCAAGGTAAGGGCATTCTTCCTCCTGCATATAGCGGTCTCCTCATGCGGGAATCATATAGATCACTGAGGCATTGAAGCCCACGTCCCTTGATATCTTCAACGACTCGCATCTCCATGCGCACCATAAAGCGATGGAAGGAAGCACATCAAAAGAGGTTTGTACCGCGCTTCTTCTCTATCCCATCACTTCCGAACTGTTATTATAAACGTGCAGTGCAATGCTAACTACTCTACGCCTTTTCCAGACCCATTTCCGGTACGTTTTCAACCCCACTACCCCTTCGCGCTGAGCGCTTACATCCCCCAGCGTATACATCACCTCCGACGCCTTCAAGTCGAAGATGCAACCGGCGCGCCATCGCATGGTGTACGGGCTGCTAAAGGAAGAAATGGCGAGGGAAGGAGGATTACATGCGCTGCAGTTGCAGACGAGGACGCCGGAAGAGGAGGAGAAGAAGAAGGCAAAGGAGGGTGCCCAAGCCCAAGCCTAAGCCACGTTCGATTGACGGAATGTTGGAAATAAGCGAAAGAAGAAGGGAGTTGAGGTTTAGCCATCGGCGCCGGGAGAGCCGCCAGCTTCAATGGTGAGGGACATAGGGGTGGCATTTCACCTCGTTCCACGCCCAGGGTGAAGATTTTGCAAGAAAGTTGGCGGTTACGCTTCGCACGCCACCAGGAGCTTGACGTTCGAAGAGAAGGGAACCTGGCGCCTTTGATCTATAGAAGAGCGTATCGGAGGTCATCTCTGCCAGCGTTTGAGAGTCATGCGAAATGATGTAGTTGGGATGTTTGGCGAGGGCGGACGATCCCAAAGAAGCTCGAGTTCGTGGCTGAAACATACTCTTCAGAAGCAGTTGATAATTCCTGCCAACACGACTAGAGTATGCCGGAAGCATGACGACATATCATTACCATTTGTGCTTTACGATTGGCTAGAGGTATGAAAATTGTTGTCGAATGGAAGTGCTGATCAGCGACCGTGACTCGTGTTCCCCGCACCCGCCATGACGTCTCCCGGTTTTCCTCAGATCCGAACCGTAGATCGAAATTAAATCTCCAATAAGAGTGCTATTCGACAAAGGCAAGCGAAATGGGAAGGGATATAGTACACGATATTACGAATAAGTCTTCACGGCTTAGGCTTGGTGCTCCGGGCTCTTCTGGATGTTGTTTCGCCTCTCACGGCCAGTCTCAGACCATGGGAAGTGCAGTACAGGAATGACGAAGAAGCTAAATTTGATGTTAGTATAAGTGCATCACATCGACTTCGATGATCCGAACGTACCTGTTGGTGGAGTCGGCAAGACCAGCCAGCGCGTTATACCATGCCATAATAGCAGACAAGCAAGCAAAAGCACCACCCGCCCGCTCAAGGCCAACATGCACATGACCCGCGTCGGCGTACAAGTACGAGAGACCGAGTAGGAGGAACGCCATGTCTAGGAAGAAGAACAAGGAGAAGAAGGCGACGGTCGACCGCAGCGTGCAGAGGAGCAGGAGGAAGGTGAATATGAACCAGCCCATCAAGTACAGTCCGAAGGAGTTTGTGAACGGCGCTGGGCTACTTTCTTCCAGTGCCGCTACAATACCGAACCCCCCCGGGGTGAGGATAATTCCGAAGGAGATCCAGAAGCCTCCATAGGAGGAGAGGGCGGTGGCACCGAAGGTGTTTCCGCAAGCCATCTCCCTGCATCGGTGTTAGCTCTCTGCTCGCCGTCGGCAGGACTGCGATCCAGCCGCGGATCCTACATACCACATGCCCGCCAGCAACTGAACCAATCCGCCATACCCATACGCAAGCGCAACCACAATATTCGGCTCGAGGATGGACCGCGTCCCCATCTGGATGACGGAGAGGACGAAGGTGGTGAGCGCGAAAGCACTGAGACCTAAGGGCGCTGGGTTCGCGAGCGTCCTCGGTGGTGGGCGGTAAAGACCCGGCTGAGCAGCACCACCGAATGGTCGCAGTCTAATGTCCGGGTCATTGGTCGCGTAGTGGGCAAGAGGGTTGCCGCCATAGTCGTATGAGGTTCGTTCTTTCGATACGTCCGGATTTATGGCAGCGTGGTCCTGTGTACCAATGCTGCCGGTATTTGTAGTCGCTGTGTTCGCTGTGGCACCGTTGGCCGAGGTGGCGGCCTGGTGGATGTCATTATTCAACACTATGCTTAGCTACAAGACGGGCAACATACGTTATTGTAAGGCTGGGTAGACATGTTTTTAACCTGTGAATCTCTATGATATACACTGTATGGATGTTCTGCTATGTCCAAAGGATGACCGGCTAGAAGCACGACATGAACACGTAGACTCGGAAGCAACTTTAGGAGAACAATGCAAAATCTAAAGCAGATGAGAAATCAAGGCGATCGATGATATATGACAATGGGAGAACACGGGGACGCCATGTGGTCAGGTCCCAGACAAAGCTCCAGTCGGACGCTGCTTCTCCGCGCCTGGATCGCCCAATGCTCACGAAATGATCGGTCAAACCTTCTTAAGGCCAAGACTAAAGCTAGGCAAAGGCAAGCCAACAAGCTCAACCATGTCATCCGGACAGATTACTGGAGCATCATCTCCACGATGGGCGGGCGACGAGAAGGGTTGATCCGCATATCCCGACTGCATTGGTGGGACTGGGTGATGATCCTAGCGTATAACAACAACTACCGGCATCGAACCGGGAGTCCCATGGGGATGATGGATGTCGGGGGGTTTTTGATTCCGACCAGCAGACGGAGACCAGCCTGTTTTGGTGGTCAATTAGTAACATAAATCATTTGCCTCTACCGCACTGCTCCACCATGGCAAAGCGACGGCCGACGACCGCGAGGCAAAGTCCCTGGTGTACCGTCCAATCGATGTGGGATTTAGGGGCATTACCATGCTCAGAAATTTTCTATCACAGGTATGATTGACATGCAAACGTCACGATCGCACCGTGTGGCTGGCATTCATCATGTACTGGCGATATTATTACGGTTTTTAGGAGTTGATCACAATGTGGTGTCGTCATTTCATACAACCAGTGTGAAAAGAAGCTTCGTTGGCACCCCAGTTCGGCTTAGCCTGGGCGTAGGTGGCTTACTCGCAACTCCCAGCGACGCCATTTTGCCTCGATCATCTGTATTTTTCCAGACGTTTCTGGCGTTTCTCAACTATGGTTAACCACGCACCAGGGATTACTGCAGAGTGCTGACAGACTACGGCAGGCCGCGGACGCTAATCGAAGATGCAGTTTGCCAAAAACCTACAATTCGACTCCAATCCCATCCATCCGGCAATATTGCTGCTGTGTGAATGCAACGTCAACGACCAGGTTAGGAATTGATCTCGTCTTCTGTGAAAGCCGAAAGGGTAGTTCTGATTGATCACTGGGTCTTCTATAGCTTGGTGACGGATAGGTCGGATGCTTCACGGCATGGCGATATTGACGGCCGGCGGCATCGGAGTAAATTTGTCCGTCACCTATATAGTAATAACGATATCAAACCCCCAAATTGGAAGCCTTTGCTTCTTGATGCTTGTACGTTTGAAGCTCTATCAAGTGTCAACCGACACAAGCGCGAAAAGGAATAGGTTACGTTTGACCGCCGATGCCTCGAAGGGTTACATTTGACCAGTCCCATGTAGTACGTTCTGTTGTGCTTGTGGTTTCACCGCGGAATATTCATTGAACTGACCATGGGTCTCTGAGGGGGGCCCGACTTTTATGCTGATCGACATGGCTTGACCAATATTGAAAAGCGGACCACTCAGTCCGTCCAGGGATGCTGCAGAATTCTGCCAAGGGTCACGCTGACGCTGCTGAGGCTTGCTGACATTTATTACCAATGGGAGACCTCCATGCTCCGTGTAAGCTTTGCACTAACTAGCCAGTGGCTGCGCCTTATCCCCCCGATTGGGCATATCGATATATGATGATGAGAAATGCTGCAGAGTAGGACTACTACTAATTATGTTTGTTAAAACCCCAAACCTCTACAGGGAAGATTTCACAGCGACCCAATAGAGGTGTTGATATTAAATAAGGCGGCCCGCAATGCTCTAGCCTCTATGTTAGTATATCCCGCGACTTAGGGTCCGGGGCTCAAGTGTTCCAAGATTCACCCCGGGCTCCCAGGTTCAAGATGTGGGTGAAAAAAAGGAGCCCACAACGATGAAATAGTTTGGTGCAGAGATACCTCGGCAGTTGGATATCGGATGCTGCTTGTTTCAGGGAATATCTAATGCTAAGGCGACTGTTATGAAAGCTGATATACGCAGTGGCCCCGGTATGCGGTCAAAAGGGTCCCTGAAACAAGGAAATAATTCCGATAGTTGCTAGTTGAAGATGGGGCTCTTTCAGGCGGGCAGTTTTGTAATTGAAAGGATTGAAATACGCGATCGAAGACCCAGAAAACAGTTGAGCATAATGCAATACTCAAATTTCCGAGGAGAGCATTCTGTGGAATGCCGAACAAGCTCTCAAGTCTCAACCTGTCCCTATTAAATGGACACGGACAAGCGAACATAAGAGTTGAGACCCTTCACCCTGCCAATTTACATCCCTATTTCGTGAGGAAATCGAGACGAGAGTCATCGCGTTCAACCACCTCGTTTCGATCCTGCAAACAAATCCGAAACTGCGACTATTATGATGCGGTTTCTGACTGATGCCATACTCAAAAGTATTCCCATCTCTTGATCGATTCCCTGCAGCTAATTATTTCATGTCAAAGCCATCAGTAGATATACTGATGATGACAAGGTACAGAGAATCCGATCTCTTGAATGAAGCCCAGATGGCTGCTGGTGTATAGTCGAGGATTGGGTGAGGAGCGCCAAGACCTGGCGGTGCTGCAGGGCGGAACTGCCTAGAGATTCCGCCCTTTCAGGTGGAGCGGGGAAACCCTGGAAGTCAGTCGGGCAGATCGTCATCATCAACAAAAAAAGTCAATAAACACTGCCTCCACATCGTCCTTTTCAATTCTTCAATTCTTCGCCTTCCATCTGCCTAAGTGCTGCCTCATTCTTAGGCTGACTTTCGAAAAATTCAGCCCGGCCGCAGACCGCGCTGGCTGTGAATAATCGGGAGATGAACTGGGGCAGAACTCTGGCTTCGGCATTCTGCTGCCTGGTGCTAGCGCGGGTGCATCAAACCAGATCACTTGATTGACCCGCGATCCGATCAATCATATTTCTCAACTTCCCAACGGTCAAGCTCTTTGTGTGATCATCTTCCTCTTCCGCGTCACAGGCGCGTCGGTTCGGTCTGTCCTAGCCTCAAAAGGCGGTGCTTGCCCGCCTCCCGCGACCGTCGGATCACACGCATTCGTTCATTCGTCCTATTTCCTGTCCAAGACGACGATGGCTCGACGTTTGTGCCTAAGACACCTCTTGGGCCCTTAGATTCGAGGATGAGCCCCTCCGGATGGCTGTGATGGTCGGAATTCTGCCTTCCTCGGCGCGGTGCCATCCCCGATATGGCCGTTCATTTGCTGTACCACTTCAAGGCAACTGTTGACATGGCGGAGGTGATAGGAAACAAAGGGCGACGGTGGATCCGTTGGGGTTGTAGAGGCGGCCTCAAAGTGAACTGCTATAGTATATAAGCGGGAGCAACGGTTTGGTATGAGCCGTTCAAATTCTCCTTCGTTCTAGAAGTCATTCCTCGAAGATCCGTTGTGCGAAAGTCGTGAGCTTTATACTTTGACTGCAAAGCCCTTTCTGTTGCCTGCTGAATCCACTGAGTCACTCTATTGTCCGACCAAGTCAAGCCACACAACACATACCCTCTAGGCATAACTGCCTCCAGACAATGGCGTCAAGTAAGTCATCCTCGGCCAATGGTGCCATCTCCAGCAGTATGAGTGCTGGGCGCCCTATATAAACATTGGTCATCGGTTCTGACTCGAGATAGACTTCTACCGTTCTTATGCCTCTATCGACTCCACAGTTGGAGCCTCGTCCGCCACTCCAACCCAACACAATTCACTCAACCATTCCAAGGCACCGGTGGTGGTTCACAACGGGGGTGGACCGCTCCATGATCCTATCACCAGCTCATCGGGGACGGATGGGGGCCACCACAAATGACGAGTGTCCCAATACAATCTCGCGTGCTATTTGGATCGGAGTCAACGGTTGATTTAAGGAATGGATATTCAACGAGCTAGACGGAGGGATACATGGCTTCATTGACCAGCATACCACGGATTGGAGTAGGGGGGCTGTCGATCAATATCATACTTTCATGGCTGTCTTATCCAATTTATTATTATTGGTTCTATTCCATGCCTTGAGTTGTACCCATGATGTTGTAGTAGGACTCATAGCAACCCATGTCATGTCTCAATCATCAGTGCTGCCTCTGCAGGGTTCTACCCACCTCTAGTGGGAGGACACGACCAGGCTGCATGAGTAGGCGCTATTTCTAAGATATAACTGGATGCTTTCGGAGTCGATGGTCGTATTATTCTTCAACTGAGACCTGTAAAGGCCTAGTTGCCGGGCTACCTATGGCATAGGACCGAAGGGGCCATAGTCCAGGCTGAACATTTAGACACATCCGACCAGAAGCTCCACGGTGGTGAGCCTGAGACGTGCTTGAAGTCATTGAAGTTTAATAGGTGAATTAGTGTAGTTATCATTATGCTTTATCTAGCTGTCTGCTATAACCCAGGAGCTACATATACGTTGGCGGCATTAGCGACGTACCATTCTCGGGACTCAACGCCAGCCTGAAGAATAGCAGAAATCATCTTCCATGAACTCGTAACCAAACATAGCATCATAATCCATCTCCGTAACCGGTTCACGTAAGCGACGGAGCCCCACTCCCACCCACAAGCGCCTGCGCATCCGTATCACCTTCCACCTCCTGTTCCTCAATATCCGCCTTCTGCGGCTCCCACCGCACCGCCGGCACCGTCCTCCTCTGCCCCATCCCCTGGTGAAATGGATGCCAACAATTCGGCGCCTCCAGAATATAGCTCGCCATGGCGATGCGGAACCGATTCCGGTAATCCTTCGGCGACGTGATCGTCGGCTTGTTCTTCCCCCGATCCTTGATCCACGTCTCCAGCTTCTTGTCCCAGGTGTACGTGCGGATGCAGTCGATGATCCCCACGATGATCTCGCGTCGCTTGTCGTCGAACCCAGCCATAAGCGAGTAGTCCATGACATTCTGCTTGCCGAGGAATAGCGTGTCGTTGAACACGGACGCCTGCAAGAGCTTCTTGGTGTGGTCGCGCACGAAGATCGGCTTCTCGAAGATGATGTCGACGAGATTCTCGTCGAGCAGCACCTCGTCTTCCTCGCCCGTGCTTTGGATCTTCCGGTTGCGCATGCTGCCTTTGAGGTCGAACCGGCGGTTCGGCTGCCGCTCGTAGAACAGGTTCTCCATCACGAGCATGAACCAGTTGAATTCGGTGCCCGACGCGGTGTTGCGGATCGTCACCTGGAAGAGGCCCAGCATCTTCGCGATTACGGACGGCAGTCCTTTGAAGAGGTTCTGGTGCGTGAAGGAGAAGTAATTGGGGGCGAATTTGAAGAACGCGTTGACCTCGATGGGGGACAATGATTTTAGCACGAATCGATCATCGAGCGTTTTCAAGAAGAGCGACTTCGTCTTCCCGCCTTTGGAGTCCCATTTTAGACACCGAGAAAGCGACTCGACGAACCGATCGGCCACGCCGCACTTGCGACGAATCGCGTCGAACGACTCGGCATAGAAGATCTTGCATTGGGCCTTCACGTTGCGGTTCTGGAATGCGTATCGGATGTTCGTGTTCTTCTGATACAGCAAGTTCCGCTCGATCGAGATGTCCTCGTCCCTCTCGCTCCACTCCTCATCGCTCGGCTTATCCATCGCCGGCTCTCGCCGGAACGATTCTAGCTTCGCAAGGTAGTCCGCGCTCGACAACGCCAGCGCGATGATGGAACTGGGTTCGTCTTCGCGAACGATGATATCGGAGTCTTCCCATGTGTGTTCGCTGGATCTCAACGGGTAGTCGAGCGGCGCCCACCCGGATGCGGACCGCTCGGACCAGAAGGATGTCAGCATCTTGACCAGGGAGAGCTTCTCATGCTTGGGGAGCTCGATATTGACGTCGAGTTGGGACTCGGTGGGCGAGAGAACTTGGCTGGACGGCCGACTTTCTTGTGCTTCGACGTCGTCGAAGGGGGTTTGTTCCGCATCGGTAAGTTCCGCATCAGAAGGGGTATGAACTGCACGGTGCTCAGATGTCTCCTCAGTGACCGAGTCCTTAGTAGAGTCAGTGTCCCGCTCATTCGTCGGAGAGTGCGAGACGGTGGTTGGTTGAGTGCCCTCCGCTGTCGTGATTTCGTCCAAGGTACTTGAGCCAAAGGTACTCGCTTCGGTGCTCGGTCTTCCTTGAGAGATCTGGTCATCCTCGCCCACGTCCCGCTCTCGCACTGCCTCGTGTGCATTTCGATACACTTCGACGATGGGCTTCGACGACGCCAGTGGAAACGCCCGGGTCGGACGCCCGCGCGCAGTCTGTTGCCTCCGTTCACGCTGACGCTCCTTCTCGAACTCGCGACTCAGCTGCTCGAAGTGCTTCGCTAGGGACGAGACGTTCCCCTTCTCTGAAGGCACCGAGCGTGGAATCATTGAGCGGGCCGGATATTTCATGTTCTTATAGTGCCTCAAGTTGAACCGTTCGGACATTCGCTGGGTGAGAGCGCGCATGTCCTCTGTCAAGCTGATTTTAGAGGAAGACTCCCCACCTCCATAGATGGTACCAGCATCTTTTGCTAGGGTGTGATTGGGGGTTGATTGCGTGCGTGGGAGTGGTGGCGCATGGATGGATGTCGGTCTCGGGATCTTGGACTCAGGTAGCGGTTCAGGTGGTCCAGGAACTGTGAGCGAAGGCAAGGGTTCTGGCCGAGCCTTTCGTTCTGGACTAGACAGCGAACCCGTAGCACCAGTGTCGGTAGCCGGGCGCCTCACCTCTGGCGGCAACAGCCCCGATGGCCTCAAAGTACTATCGGACGCGCTCGACTGTTCCCACTCCAACAGAGAACCCGGAGTTGGCGTCAGGTTCGACGCTCCTGCGCTCACAGCAAGATCCAGATGCTTGACACTCTTACTTGACATGGGGTCTAGCGCCCTCGGAGTCGCTTCCTCCATACCTAAGTTATAATGCTGCCTATCAGGGCTCAGGCTCTTCTTCGGCGTGCGTGGTAGCCCGTCCGCATCCTTTTCCACATGTGTTGGAGTTGGCGGCGACTGCTCCGCAACTACGCTCGTCAACATTTTCTCCGCCTCCTCCGCGCTCAGATCGCTCGGCTTCGGCGTCAGCAGAATCCCCTCGTTCTTCTCGGCACTGGTGCTCTCGATGCCTTGACTCTCTGTCTCCTCGATACTGGGCGTACTCTCATTGGTATCGAGGAAGAATTTCCGCAGCTGTAGCGCCGCCATCCGCCGGATGTCTTTCTCGGACGGGAAGAAGTTGCGTTCGAACTCCGCGAAGATGTCGTCCCAGGTGATGGCGCATTCCTGCATCGCCTTGATCGCGCGGTTCATCGGCACGATTTCATAGTATTTCGAGTTCATGTATTCGTCCTGCAGGCGTTTGGTGAGGGCTTGCTGATCCGCGTCGGCTAGCAGGGCGAGCTTCTCGAGCTCGGCGCGGCACTCCTCGGCCTTTTCGGGGACGACGCCCTCGACGTGGATCCCGTCGATCCGGACGCAAACCGATTGCATGAAGCGATCGAAGCGCGCTAGGCTTTTCTGGAACAGTTCGTTTTTGAGACGCAGATCGGAGTCGACTTTCCAGTTGATCGTAGGCCGCGGGACAATCACTTCGTATAACTCAATCTTATCGTATTGGATGCTGAGCGCCATGTTGTTGAATCCGAAGTATCGCACGTGGTCGCGGTGGATGTCATGATCGCAATCCTCGGAGCGCGGCTTCAACCCCGTGCTCCAAAATGTGAGCTCAAGGTACTTCGCGAAGGAGTATTTCCAGGTGTTATCAGACATGGGGATGACCTGCGTTTCCATGCCGCAAATGCGACAGCAGCTCCACATTAACACGGCGTTATGCAGGCCACGGATCTTCGCTAGGTACTTCTGCACCAAGATGCTCATCTGTCCGTTGCCATGGACATATTGTCGATGGTGGTTGTAAAGCTTCTGGTCGCATCCGCTGATTTGGCAGGTGAGGTTGGCGTCGTTACAGAGGTGCTCGACGTATTGGCCGAGCGTGATATCTTCGGCAAACCCTTCGTCCAGGTCATGCTGTGTATAGTAACTGAGGGGGATGATCTCCGGTCCGACACACGGAGTTGAGGTAACCGTGTTGACCATACTGTAGAGAACCGCGATCCGCTGATGCGTGAACGGATCAAAGATGTCCAGATTTCCACTGACATACGTCTCCCACTGCCTTTTCTGCGTCCGATAATTGTGCAATGCCTTGTCGTACTCCGCAGCATGAACGGCGAACAAAAATTCCCGGACTTGTCGCGACGGCTTCTCGACCACGCGGTGAACCATCTCGGGTTGCACTAGCGCAAACTCTTCCGGCGTCCCATCTCGTTCGTCATCGCCCGCATCGCGATACTGATCGCGCAATAACTTCAGATACGCGAGCTGCGCCTCTTGCTCGCGCGCTCGGGTGAGCAGATAAGGCTGCATGAACTGCACGAACGGAGAAGCAGAGAGGATCTTCGTTTTGTGCTTCTCTACCATGTCCGTGTACAACGAGGAGACTGCGCCTTGTCCCGATTCGCCTTGCGCAGTCGAAAGGGACTTGAACGTCTCCGAATCAGAAGGTTCAGGGCCGATCGACGGCCGACCTTTGTCTGGTGATAAAGTCCCGCCCGCAAGCGACGTAGGGATTGCAACGAACTCATCGCGCATGAGGCATGTCTCCAGCTTGAGATTGTAGACCACGTAACACATGAACTCGGTTACCCGCTTCAATCGACGAAGACCTTCAGTGGATTCGCCGCGAAGGACAATAGTGCATCCCAGATCGCGCTGACAGCCGGACAGGAAAACATACCTCTTTTTCGCCCTGCCATGGACGTACGTCTTGACATCAAAACTCCCACACTTCCCCAGCGACGACGGATCATCGTATAGCTTATCAATGCTCGTAATCAGCCGCGCCTGGGTACATCTCGAGACGGCGCTGATCACCGTCGGTTTTACATTATATATCACCGTGATTTTCGCCGCGTCCAGAAACTTCAACGCCAGCCCCGCGACGTTCTTCTGCACCAGCAGCAAACTCGGGTTCAGCGCGGCGATCCGGCTCACGAGATTCCGTAGATACTCCCGCTCCTGCGCGATCACCGGGTCCAAGCTCATGAAATGCTGCTGCGCGCGTGCGTACTCGATCGGAAAGGTGACGATGGCAATCCGCGGGTGGGAAATGTTGGTGCGCATGCTCTTGAGCGCGATGTTTTTCGAGAACACCACGCCGGACACGTACGACGTATCGGTCGGCTTGCCGCCGAGTACTTTCTTGAGCTTGATGTAGTGCCGGATATCGATGTCGTCGTTGCGGCGCACGTCAGGGCTGACGTCGTCGGTGCATTGCAGGAGGATGGGCATCAGCGCCTTTTCCCAGGCCTTTCCGTTCGTGATCTCGCTGTCCTGGAGCATTTGCTTGAGCATTTTGCGGACGTGCTGGAGGCTAGCTTGGTTCAGTTCGACGGAGGGCGGTTCGAGGGATCGGATCGACATGCTTCGTGACGGTCGAGGGCCGTCTAAGAACCCAGCGCCTGGTGAGCCGATGACAGGGGAGCTGGGACTTCCGGCGAGGAAACCTTTCAAGAGACTGTTGCTCTTGCTCTTCTTAATCGACAGTCCCGGTTGGTTAATGCTTGAGGTGCTGAGGTTCCTTCGTCGCGCATGTCGAGGCGGGTTCTTGCTCATACTACTCGAATCGTACTCCCGGCTCGTCACACTCAATGCTGCATTGCTTCGCTCCGCTCTTTGAGATTTCCCCCTGCGGACCGATGCGATCAGCCCCGAAATGCCTGAGCGGTCCGCTTCCGGCTTCTGCCCCGGTTTCGTATCTCCATTCAGCGCAGCAAATATACTTGGATTCTCCTCATCACTAGACCCATCATCAGACATGAACGGAGCGATATCCGGATCGATGATGTTGTCATGGTGGAATGTCGGTAATGCCGTCCGCTGTCTCGGATCTCTCTCATATCTCTGAAATGGAGCCCTGGTGTCACGCGTGGACATATGATTCCGCATGTGCTGGTGATGTGACTGATGTCGTTTGTGAGCAGAAGTCGGGCGCCCGCTAAGTGAGCGCAACGAGCGGGAGGAGCTGGGCCGGGCGAGGGTCTGTTGGCCTTCGAATTCAAGCACAGCCGAGCGCCGTTTCGATTCGTTCGTTCTGCGACTGACTGGAATTCCGAGTGTCGGCGTGGCCAGCTTGGTATGGTCTCTATCGACATGCTGTACGTTCGAATTTCCCACATTCGAGCTTTGAACTAGATCTTCAGGATCTCGTAGTCGTTTATCATCAGGTGCCCTTGGATCGCCCTCGTCGGTGTACACCGATGAGTCATCATCCGTCCCGTGGATAAAGGCCTCACATGGCTTGCATACTCGGAGATTCCCGTTGTAATCAAATGGTCTCCCATCGATGATAGAGGTGCATTTGGAGTCGAAGATTTGACCACATGTCCGACAGTGATGCTTGCGTCGGAAGGTAGAGAAAGTATCGCCACAATTGAAGCAGTCCTTCGCATTGACATCTCTCATCCAATACGACTTATCCAGGATCCTGCGACGTCCCTGCGAGAGTTTGCTTCCGATATTGAAAGTGGTTGGATCAAGCGGCGCACTATCCTCCACCGTTCGCAAATTTGGTTGCCCAGCGGCCGACACGGTGTTTACGGAGCTGAAGTCCCCGTCGGAAGAGGCAGCCCGAGATAGACGAAAGCCGGAAAGGTTCGATTGGCTGACTTTGATCAATGGCGGTCGGCTCGACGCAGTTGGATCAAGTGGAGTCTGGTCTGCTTGATATGTGGGCAGCTCCGGTGGAGCTCCTCTGTTGCTCAACTCTCGCTGTAGAAGGGAGGACGCACCCTTTACCCTATCAAATCCGAGGGACTGATCATTTGCGAGCACTGACAGATGGCCAACGGTAGGCAACGGAGCAAATTGGGAAGAGGACGTCTCTAGGCGAGAATTCTGAGACGGAGCAATATCGCTGGCTCTTGAACTTGATTCTTCGGTGCCGTCTCCACCACGAGAGCTATCGAGTGTCAAATGCCCTGAGACATCGGAGAACGGCTGCGAACCGGCCCGTTGATGGAAGGTTCTATAACCGCGCTGGGTATCCACCAATCCAGTATGCTGTTGAATGTTCTCCGAATTCAACATATCCAAAGGCCTCAAAGTAGCCAATCGTTCATTTCTCCCTGTGCCATGGCCTCTTTGCGGTGCATCTGCGAGTCTACTCCCGCTTTGGCTTCGATCCAGCTTGGTTGATCCCGGCTCCTTTTGAGATGCAAGGCTACGCAATGAAGGATGCCCTGAGGACGGCTCATCCCCGATCTGAGACGATATGCTCCGGGGTCCCGACTTTGTCGATCTTGGAAAGGAGTCCACAGGCTTGGTCTCCACGAAATTGGAAACCAAGGGAGAGTGTATTCTTGACGTGGTGGTAGATTCGATAGCTGGCGGCGACAACACGGTTGATGGCGGCAAATTCGCCGTAATCGGCGGGGGTCGATGCTTCTGGTTCTGCGTGGATACCTCCTCGGTGCTCGCTGCTTCAGCGGTTGAAGCAACATTTGCCGGGCTCGGATCTCGCGCACCGCCAACGGTTGCTCTTAAACGGCCATACAGCCCGCTGAAGCCCCCTTGCACAGCTTCGGCAGCAGTCTGCTTGCTATCCACACCAACGGACGATCTAGGAGGAGAAGCGAACTCTTGAAAAGTCGTGAGCGTTTCCGAACGGGATGCTGTGGTATGTATACGGTCGAGGTCCAAGTCTGGACGAGAGGCCGTCGAAAGGGACGAATCTCGCCGATGTCTATTGTTGGGGGAGAGACGTGGGGATGCTCTTGAGCTTGGTGCATCACGCGGAGCACTGGGAGCCATGGCTACCCGGCTATGTTCATGAGACGGGTTGAAGCAAGATGTCTAAGTCGGGTCGGTGGTGGAGAGGGAAGGGATGGGAGGAGACAAAGAAGTAGCCGGGTCGGCGTGTAATAGGACGTTGACGGCATGGGACTCGTAGATATTTCCGGTGGGTGTACAGTGGATTCAAGGCTGAATATATATCAGATCCAAGGCAAACGAAGGTGGAGGTGAGCGATCCATCGATGTAAGGTAGGGATTCATCCACTTGTGACGTGTGACAGCTTGAGCTCTCCATCACGAAGTGACGACTGACGTTGACAGGTTTGGGCGCCTTATTGCCTTGATGCCTCCCGAGTGTCACAATCGGCTGTCGGCAACTTGGGTCTTGGGATTCTGGGGTACTTCGATACGCGGCAAGTCACTTTGACCTCCCATCGCTCATTGGACATTGGTTCTCGAACCAGTTCTCGGGCCGTGTCGTACAGTCAGCTGACCGCCCCCCTTCCCCGCCGAAACGCGTCCAACAACGCGTGCCGTCCCTCTCCTGGCTCTCATGCAAAGGCTCACCACCTCAACGGCTCATCATTTCCGTATTACTGGCGTATTATTGTCGCATTATTGTCCCTAATCTACATTTTCTCCAGAAGCTCGATGAGAGTGACGTGAATATTCAATTCACCAGAACAACTTTCCCTTCATCCTCCACCCTCCACTCTCCATTCTCCACCTTCACCCTTCACCCTTCACCCTTCACCCTTCATACTCCACCCTTCACCCATCCCTTCGTCCCTTCCTACTTCGAGTGTCGCCGGCATCTCATCTCCTTGCGTTCCTTCCAACCCCCTGTCATGGACCTCCCACTCCTTTCTCATCTAACACTGATCTGCACCCATGTCTGAATCCGGTCATCTACGGAAACCTTGGTTGCGAAAGGTAGTCTCGGACGAGCTGGGGAATGCATCTATCTGGCTTCGACAACCACCGAGTACATCGCAAAGTTCTCAAACAGCGGAAAAGCTATACGACGACAACAACAACTACCTTCGGGTTACCGTTAGTACGGGAATTTTGGCCTCCCGTATAGTCCAAATCCACAAGGTATTTTCAAATGTTTGGTGGACTATACATGTCGCACACTTACAAAACCTCTAGGTCGTCAACCAAGGCAGGTCTCTAAAAGCAAAACTATCCGACGGCGATCACTGGGTCTCGGCCAAGTTCTCTCAAGACTGCATCACACGGTGGACGTCCCTACACAACCGTCCATTTAGCGACACCACATGGAAGGGGTACATCAACCTGAAAGCCCTCGATATCCGATCCTCGAAGCTGGTTAGCGGTACCGACCAAATATCTCTATTCGTAAAAGACTTTGAGTGGGTTTCTTCAAGCGAGCACCTTCACGGAAGTCCAGTGTATATAGGAGAAGATCGGGAAATAAAGGAGAAACTTCAGCGGATGGAGGATCCGTATTCGCTTATGTCTGAGCTATCTCCTGAACACGGGGAGGGAGCAGGCGAAGATGCGATGGCAGACGATGAAGGGAGCCCTGGTCCCATTGTCGGCACACGGGTAAAACATAAACCCAAGTCCCGCTCGCCTTCCATGTCTGCAGACGCGCCTGTTATGGAAACTCAGATTTCGAACATGATGACCCAACTTCCACCGCGCTCTCCGGAATTTCGACCCATTGTTCTCTCCAGGCCTCCGAAGAACGCTGTCACCAAAGCCGATCAACTCCTCCAACTCCTTAAGCCTCGCCTACAACGGGCACGTACTCCCGAACTTCCAGCCGCTCGGGAACGGTCTTATGATTCTCTCTACGACGATTCTGATGAGGGAGATAGGCATCGAGGATCCAACGCTGGATCTCCTGTCCACGTTGCTCCTGATCCTGCCAATAGCGATGCCTCATCCGATGTTCATCGAGGGGCTAACCAATCTGGCACAGCCCCTGTCTCCGAACTTGAGCCCGAAATCATGGCATTGGTCGAGGAGATCGATAACGAGCACAACTCTTCCAACGCAGAAGTGATGGACGTGGACGGCGACCGGTTGCCAGATCCTGGCACATCCACCCAAGAGAATTCGCGCACCAGGCCATCTTCAGCACCGCTGACAGGAACGTCGTGCAAGACGCCACGAAATGAGACGAAGGATGAAAGCTCTTCCGAGGATCAACTAAAACAAGTGAATCCAGATCCCAACACATCCCGTCAAGAACAGTTACAGCCATTCTCAGTCCCTCTAACACGCATGTTATGTGGAACCCCTCGAAAGGAGATGAAGCGCAAACGCTCTGCCGATGATGACGAACCAAGGCGGGCGAAACGGGCGAGTATAGAACAGAAACAAGAGCGCAAACACTTTAATGTCCCACTTACGCGCCGTATATGCTTGGTCCCGAAAGATCAAGACAAATTGCTTATTGAGGAAGCGTCCTGGCTGCGCAATCCCGGCAATTTTAACCGGATGAGTGTCCCGGACGCTGTGATTTTGGCAATGGAGGGTCGTGGAAACGAGACAACAGTTACAAAACATCCTCCCAACAACGAACTGAGCAATCAGCTTCGGAATGGACACGATGCTCGCAATGGCGCCACGTCCGGTCCACCTCCCCACGAAACGCAGCCCGTGACCCAAGACTCGACCACCACCACCTCAAGCGAACTAGAATCCGAAACCGACACCGAGGAGGACGTGATTCGCGAGAATGCCGAGAAAGCAGATGGGCCTCCCCCATCATCCGCATATAGCTGGACACCTTCTCCTACGCCTAAAAAGCGGAACGCGCTTCCTCCCGACAGCTCAGTCCCTGCAATCGAACCGGAAGATACTACGGGAGGAGAAGCGATGCCGGATGCCAGATCCATTGTCAATGTGCCAGGTACTCCGAACAGGCAGTATTGTCGTGGATCAGTCGACGAGATTGATAACTCTCCGCTCATGGTAGTCGTCACTCCAAGCAAGCAGCTGCAAAGCGACAGTATCTCTGACGATGAACACGAATGTGCTCCATCCAACCGTGGCAGTAGCCGCATGGCAGATGAACTAAGCAGCTCCGATATCATGGACATTTACGGCCCCGGTGAACCATTTGGCTACGACGGAGCCGCGGTCTCCAAAGGACACGACTCGATGGTGGCCAGTACGTTTCTATCTGACATGGAAATCTCCATTCCCAGGCCCTTGGTAAAGGAAAAAGCAGGACCAGTCCTCAAGACTGTGCCTGAGTCTTCCCACAAGTCTTCACCGACGGTTATGGTACGTGGAACACCAATGTCCTCGGCGGAGGAGGCGGCCGAGGAACAGCTTAGGAGTGGCCAATCGACCAAGAAGCTGGAAGTCCGAAAGTTCTTGCCGAGAGATCATGCTTTTATTTCTCTTGAGTCGCAGCAACAAGAGGCAATCGATCATCAACTTCGTGATGGTGGCCACAATGACGTAGCGGACGATTCCAATGTCATACCAAATAGCGATCATGCGGAGCATGTGCCTAGCAGCCATCCCCATCTCACGCAACCGCCCACGATTTCCTATATCCCCAAAGTCACACGAAGCTCAATTGAGGGTCGAATGGCGACGGTCGCCCCTCGTGCAAGCAGCGAGAAGAGCCCGCAACCGAGGGCGGCTAAGATCCGAGTCGGCCCCCCTGAAATGCACCCGGAGAATCAAGCATATGTCAGCCGCTCGGCAAGTCCAGGCACGCCTCCCCCTAACATAAATGGAAGGTTCTCAAGACCGAGCCCGGGCAGCGCCAGGAACCCGTTAATCTCAAGGGGCTTTGGTGGCAGTCTGCTTAAGCCCAGGCCTTCGGGCCCCGCTCCCATTTTGGTTCAACAGACGGCAGAGGAAGACCTACCGGAACCCCCAGCTGGGGTTCGGTGCAGTCCCGACATCGTGGCGGAGACGATTCGATCGCGCCGAACAGAGTTCGTCCTGACGTCAAGCCCACCATCCACTGCGCGGTCATCCGTGTCCACATCCCCCCGGCCTCAGGAAGTGGCACCAAGACTTTCGACGCCTGCTCCCATGTTGGCGGAACAGGCAGGGAAGGACGACCGGTCGGAATCTCCGGCTCGGCCCCGATACACTCCATACGTTGTGGGGGATAAGGGGCAACCCAACACCATGAAGTCCAACCGCATATTAACCCCACCATCCGTCCCGCGCCAACCCTCCGTGTCACCTGGACAAAAAGGAGAGGAAGACCGCCATAGACCCCGGTCTAGGCTTCGGTATGGTTCAGACGTTGTGGTTGGCAAGAGACAACCCAACCCAATGGGGTTCGGCCGCATATCAACCCCACCATCTGTGGCGCGCCAGTCCTCCATATCAACCGAACAGAAGAGAGGCGAAGACCACCATCCATCCCCGTCTAGGCTTTGGTCTGGTCCAGCCGCCCGGATCGGCAAGATACAATCCAACAACGCGGAGCGCCTCTATACATCAACCCCACCATCCCTTCCGCGCCAGTCACCCATGTCGACATCTCTCCCCAAACGGTCCTCGGCCACCAAATCCTCCCCGTTCCAACTTCCCATGTCCCAACCCGTTGAGTCTGTCGACCTCGTTTCCGAATCCCCCACACCCGAACCTTGCAAACCGAAGTCGAAACCATCGGTCGAGGTCGACCTCATCTCCAAATCACCCACACCCGAACCTTCCAAAGCGAAGCCGAAACCACAGTCCAAGTCCATCGACCTCATCTCCAAATCCGCCACATCTGACCCTTCCACACCGGAGTCGAAACCACCGCCCAAATCCATCGATCTCACCACCGCGACTCGGGAATCTATCCGCGCAGACTTTTGCCGAGCATACCCCGCGTCGACCACGCTCCTCAAATCCAGCGAATTCAACCGTATCTGCGATATCATTCACACCAGAATCTCGCCAGCCGAGTTCCCACCCGAGCTCTACGACAGCATCGTCCTCGCGAACAAGGGCTACAAGAAGTACTCCGATGCCTGCATAGCAAAGTCGACGCCCCCCGAACACCTCCTGAGTTATTTACGGCGTATAGAACTCAAGCCCGTGAGACCCGAGAATCCGGTGATAATCGGCATACCGAACAACGATGGGAATGGGAGCGGATGGACGGATACGGACATGGCAGCGCAGACGGGGGTGCTTACGCCCGAAGTCATCGCGCACATGGCGGCCTTGAAGGCCACGGCCACCCTAAAGGCCAAAAACAAGCGCGAGAGCTCGATGAGCGCGGCCTCGAGCAGACGGGGCAGCACGGTGATGAACGCAACGCCGCAGCGGGGGACGATGCCACGGATCTCGAGCAACTTATCGGGAACCAAGCGGGTTCGTGACAGCGCAGAGACGCCGGGCGGGACGCCCAGCGGCGCGAAGAAGCGGAAGATCATTGAGAAGGGGAGAGGCTCGCCTGCAGCTATCGGGGCGTTGAATCCGGGAAAGAAGAGAGATGATAAGTCCGTGGAGAGGAGTGTTGAGAGGCGAGAAAAGCCGACGGTGCGGATGATGCATAGCGGAGGTCAGGCAAGCGGATCAAGCTCCTCGACGCGGCACACGGTAACACGGCCGCATGCGCGAGGGCCCGGAGCGGAGGCGTCGCGGGCGCGATTGTTCTCCGAGGCGCCGCGTGGGTCGATGCTTGGGCTGGTGGCGGATTACATGAACTCGGAGCCGGTTCGAGGGAAGGTGAAGGGGGACGCGAAGGCGGAGGGGACGAAGGTGGATGTGTTGGGGTGGAAGATCTAGGGCGAGAGGGGGGAGGGGAATATAACCCTGAACGCGGCTCGGTTCATGGAGATCTGATGACAAGGAACTACGAGCGACGCATGTATTTCAGGCATCACGAAGACGGACTGGATTGTCCAGCATTCGGCCCCGGGGCTACGGCTATGGTTACAGGTGGTCTGAGAGAAGGCCTTATAGCAGTATCAAGCTGCCACTATGAATAACAGCCATTATTCGACAGGGTTTCGAGTTGTTCAGATGAATTTACTTTCAATGACGATGGTTTGATAGTAGCCGTGGCCTTCGGTAGCGTCGCACGCATATTCGGAGTTACCACACCACACATACTCGCGTAGAACATCCCCAGCGGTAACGTAGGACAGTCCCGGGAGCGGGACCAATTCTATGCTTCCTTAAAGTAAGCTTAAATCCTGTCGGCTCACATGAAATATCCAATCGTTTCAATTAACGATGTTTGATTATGGAGTGACCGCCTAGAGTCACTTGAGGGCAGCCATCAGGCGCCATATTGAGCAGTATCACCAATCTCACTTCAAACCTCGCCAATAACGGCTCAAAAAGGCATTGTAACCAAACTGCGATCTCATGGACAAGTCGAGGGGGAAAATTGAAATGTTACACCCAGATCTGTAATACACGTCAGTGCATGTTTCGTCCGGTATTTCGGTGGACACAGGGGATTTCCATCCGCTTCCACCAGCTTCGTGTGCGCTCTGGCTGTGCAGTGTTAAGTTCCTTGTGTGGCACTGCGACAGCAACCGCCTAAACAGCCTCATCATTCGCCATTAACATTTCGAGGCACTTTTCACCGTCTTCAACACAACTTCCACACAAACTTCCACAACCACATCCCCTTGCAAATTTTGGTTGCGCGTTTCATCACAACAGGACCAACTTTCACTTCTCACCCATCACCCATCTATTTTCCAACAATCAAGACACTTCTCAAACCTATCCACTCCATCAACCCCACAATGTCAAACCCCACCGTCACACCTGAAGGTACGTAGAGCTTCGGTTCAGCCTTCTCAATTTTCACTCCATGGCATCCGGGGATCGGTCGCATGAGGAAGAAGTGCTGAGAGGGTGACAATGATCACAACGATCTACCCTCCCTCGAAAGAATATCTTCGCCGTTCCTTAGTCGTCCTTCCGATCCTCGGACCCAGCTCAGCTCCATCCGACATCAACTGATATGCCTTTTCTTCCCCCCAACCGCTAACACCCCCTCCAGTCCTATGGGCCCAGCGCTCCTCCAGCAGCGATGCCACCAAGAACCACGTCTTCCTCACCATCTCCGCCTCGGACGTGGCCCCGGCCGACCTGAAGCTGGAGATCACCCCGACGAAACTGACCTTCACGGGCCCCTCCAAGACGAAGAAGGTGACCTACCACGTCGAGCTGGAGTTCTTCGCCGAGATCGACGATAAGGAGACGAAGATCAACCACACGTCGCGGGACGTCGAGCTGGTGCTGCGCAAGAAGGAGCTGAAGGAGGAGTTCTGGCCGCGCTTGTTGAAGGATACCAAGAAGGTGCACTTCTTGAAGACCGATTTCAATAAGGTGAGTTTCGTGATTCCATGGCGCAGCTCGTCCGAGCTCTCATCCTCTTCCGGAGTCGAGCCGAGTGTTCCGGATGAGCGCCGCTGATGTCACCTCCCACCTTTCTTCGTTCAATGGACCGCTAACACCAGACCAGTGGGTCGACGAGGACGAGCAAGACGAAGTCGTCGACGACGACTACCTCTCGAAGATGGGCGGCATGGGCGGCCCGGGCGGCCCGGAAGGCATGGAAGGCATGGGCGGCATGCCCGGCATGGGCGGCATGCCCGGCATGGGAGGCATGGGCGGCGGCGAAGGCGGCTTCGGCGGGATCGACTTCTCGAAACTCGGCGGCGACATGGGTGGTATGGACATGTCCGCGCTGCAAAACATGGCCGGCATGGGCGGCATGGATATGTCTGCGCTACAAGGCATGGCGGGCGCCGGCGGCGCGGAGGGCGAGGACGAGGATGACGATATGCCGGAGCTCGAGGGGGAGACCGCGACGGAGGACAAGAAGATCGAGGTGGTGGAGTAGAGATGTCCGGGACGAGAGGAAATGGCGCAACGATGGATTGACGGCCGCAGACATGATTCCTCAAGCGAGGGACCGTTAGGGCCCTCGGTTGCCTGGCCTGGCTGGATGTCATGATCTCTGGAACTCGGGTTTAGGCGGAATGGATCGTCACATATTTAATATACCGTACCCGATGAAACGCTTCCTTTGGCGACGCTGTGGATGTAGAAAGCAAAAGTACCTTGCTCGTTGACCATTCAACCGCTCCTTGACCTCTAATTTCTGTCTTGAACTTTAGTGGTATTTAATCATCCCGAGTGCTCTCTCTCTTTCGCCCTCTATTTGCGTTCCTCAATCGTTATTCCGTACTCATGGAACGGGAACCCCTCCAGTGTTTCCAATCGTCGTCCCCAAGCGTCCCCCTTCTTCCCAGGCCACCCTCCACTCCCCGTTTCCGCCACCACCTCCGCCTCCTCCACATGTTCCCCCGTCAACCCCGCCAACACCTCCCCCTCCCTCCCCTTCACCTCCCCCCACAACCCCATATGCGGCACCCAGACCACCTGCATCCCCGCCCGCCTGGCCGCCTCCACCCCCGGCACACTATCTTCAAACACCAAACACTCCTCCGGCCGGATCGCCTCCTCCCCCTTCTCCAACCCCTCATTCACGCTCCGCAACGCCACCAAGAAAATATCTGGCGCCGGCTTTCCGCGTCCTTTGGGGATGCGCGGGTCGTCACCCTTCACCAGACAGTCGGCGGGGAAGTTCCCGAACACGTGGGCGAGGTGGGTGGTTTTGAGGGCGAAGGTGCCGCTGTACGAGCTAGTGGCGAGAGCGATGCGGGTGGGGGGCGCGGTGCCGGTGGCCAGGGTGGTGAGGAGGGGTTCGACGCCGGGGAGGGGGCGGCAGGTTGGGAAGAGGGCGGTGTGGTGGGCGTGGAGGAGGGTGGTGTATTCAGTGGTGGAGAGGGGGAGTTGGGCCCAGGTGTGGAAGATGCGGGTGGCCTGAAGGGAGGGTTAGTTGCTGTTTGATATGTACTGCCGGGGCTTTGGAGATCGATTGGGCTGGGTAGTCTCAGGGTTCACATACTTCAAGCGCGGGTCGGCCTTGGAGCTGCGCTTTAATGTGCCAGGGAAGGTTGGGCTTGCCGTGGGCGGCGAGGATCTTGTTGACGGCGACGGTGTAGAGGTCTTCGGAGTCGATGAGCACGCCGTCCATGTCGAAAATGCAGGCGCGGATGCGCGGGAGGCCTCGGGGGGAGGTCATGGTTTACGATGGGGGGATGAGGAATAGGCTTTGGTATAGATCACAATTTGTTTTCTGGCTATGGTGTTGAAGACAGTAAGTCTGGGGTTTCTTAAAGGGGGGATTGAGTTCACCACTTGAGGATCTTGAGCAGTGACTGGTGACTAGTAGTGGTGAATATATCAGGATACCTTTCCATGATAAGACATCGATGTGGCGGATATATTTCCGGATTCGGGAAGGCCTCCGTGGCCAGGAATCGCATTATTGGGGACGTCCACCATCCATGATCAACCATCCAACATCCCATCTCCAACTCTGGAAACCCTAAACTCATATCATATACCTATCCACGGGTAAATATCCACCATACCACCCACCCACCATGTCCTCACCGTCGTCCCAACTTCCTGCTTCCTACGCCCTCCTCCCCCCCACTTCCGAATCCCCCCTCCTCGCCACCTCCACCACCCAAAAAACCGCCGCCAACCACCTCTTCACCACTGGCGCCTACGACGCCGCCCTCACCGGCTACCTCCGCGCGCTCGCCCCGCTGCCCGCCTACCTCGACTACGAGATCGCCGTCCTGCGGAGCAACATCGCCGCGTGCCATGTGAGGCTGGAGCAGTGGAGGGAGGCGATGGAGAGCGCGGAAGGGGCGCTGGAGGGGTTGGCGAGGGTGGATGGGTGGGTGATGCCAGGGAAGGGAGGGGTGGAGGAGAAGGGGGTGGGGGATGGGGAAACAAAAGCAGAGGTTGCGACGACGATTGTGGAGTCATCGGAGGCGGAAGAGGAAGAGGAACAAGTGGAGGACGGAGAGGAGGAGAGCTCGGAGGCTAGAGAGACGCCGATGGAGACGTTGCAGAGGTTAGGATGGACCGTCGACGATGTGCAGCGGATTCGTACCAAGGCGCTCATGCGGCGGGCGAACGCGAGGATGCAACTGGGGAAGTGGGCGGATTTGGAGGGCGCAGACCAAGGTACGTCGCGTATCTCACGATTCCATTAATAAATCCACCGCGGCAATGTGAACACGGCCGACTTACTCCTCTATTCTAGACTACACCTATCTCTCCACCCTCTCCACCCTCTCTTCCCAGGACCGCAAAACGCTCGACCTCGCGCGCCGCGCGCTGCCGGCGAAAATGGAGGCGGCGAAGCAGAACGAGATGGCGGAGGTGATGGGGAAGCTGAAGCAGCTGGGGAACGGGATCTTGAAGCCGTTCGGGCTATCGACGAATAACTTTCAGTTCGTGAAGGATGAGAAGACGGGGGGGTATAGCATGGGGTTTGATCAGAATCCGTAGGGGATTCGTGGTTGGTTGGTTGGTTGTTTGCGCGCAGGTGGTTTGCAGCGGCGTTGCTTCAGTTGGTGGAGAGCGATGTGCTCGGCTCCGACATGTATATAGGTACATGAAGTTCTGTTTTAAGTCCAGTCGACGTTTTTTCTGCAGTTGGGCTTCACCTCGTTCGTCTAACTGTTCACCCCACCGCCGCCAGCGCACGAATGACCTCCTGCCCCACCCCCTCCTCGGAAGTGCACTCTTTGATGATTTTCACGACCATATTCCGCTTCAACCCGCCCCGCGGTGGACTCCACACCTCTCCGCGATCGAGTCCCTCCCGCGCGACAATCGCTTCCGAACTGGTTGCCGCTGTGCCGAAATCGTCGGCGCCGGTCTCCATGCCGAGCGAAGTGGGAACGCCGGACGATGTGAGATGTGATGGCGGGTCGATGGTGCGTAATGACAGAAGCCGTAGATTCCGTCGCGATTGTGGGTTTGCTTTCTGTTTTCCAGACCGGGCGGCTGGTGATATCGATGGTTCGTCTAATGATACGGCCACGACGGACTCCGCGACGGCGAGCTCGTCTTTACTCGGGTCGAAGATGATGTTCTCCCCAATCGTGACCACAAGCAGGGTGATCGGCGGCTTGTCTCCGGCCACCGCGCCAGTTCGCGGGTACAGCAACGTCGCCGCCGCCCAGTCGTCGCTGAACAGGGGATCCTCCTCGCCCTGCGATATCAACAGCGGGACCCGCGCGGACAGGAGGGCTAGGTGTGTGGTAAGTGAGAGCAGCGGAAGGGGATACGACAGTGGCTGCGAGAGAAGGAGGATATCGACGTAGAGCTTCCAATGAAACCTCCGGTTGATGAACAGTCTCTGCTTCAGTTCTCCGCTGGCGAGCAGCGCCTCCGTCAGAATCCCAGCGAGGAACACCGGCAGCGCATCGTCCTCTCGATATCCCGGGATCTCAACGTGCGTCTCCACCCACACATCCTCGCTCAGATCGGCTTTTCGCCTAGAGCCTCTGCCCTCCTCGTACTCCTCCCCATCGTCCACGTCTAGCGCCGCGTCCGCCGCTTTCCACGCATCCTGCGTCTTCTCGACCTCGATCTTGACCCCGGCTACCGCCTCGGTGCCGTCGGCGAAGCAGACGCGCGCGCTGCCATTGGCGTTCGAGAGGATGTCGGCTTCCGCAACCAGCGGTCGGAATTGGGTGGAGGAGCGGCCGTCGGGTCGAATGGCCGGGTTCAGCGTGAGCGAGGAATGCAGATACGAGAGCTCGGCGGGGGAGAGGAAGACCTGGGCCTGGGCGTTAATGGAGGCTTGAGTTGGCATATTGGACACGAGCGGGTGATTATTGGATCATCTTCTCATTTTTAGAGACCGGATATCAGGAGTCAAGAAGCAGGTGGCCGGCATTAATCGCATTAGTACTTCAGTCGTCGTGATAACTGAACCGATATCTAAAGCTTAAAAATGGAGACGCATCTCCATTCCAAAGAAAACATGAAGTGCAGGGGTATGATTTCGTCCAGCCAATCAGAACATCGTTTTAGCTGGCCATACATATTTGCCCTGTTGCCTGAGGCGCACTATATCAACATTTTCCTGACTGCCTGAGGCATCTATATTTCTCCATGCGAAACTTCAAACGGCGCAGGGATGATGGAGAACTGAGGAGCATGATCCGGGGATTATGCGGAGGGCATGTCATGTACAACCGAATGGCTTCATTTCAAATTATTTCTCCCCATTATATACAATAGTCTGGGACCAGTCAATTATTCGGACTTCAATGTAACGCCATCCCCCCAAGGGACCCCTGGTACAGATCGGATTCTGCAATATACATCGTACCATAACTGCTTGTCCTCCATCTCGTTCTCCATTTCCCATCCCTATTGTAGTTTCGTACAACCGCGCTATCGTACGCATGGCTTGCGGAGTCGAGGCCATTGCATCACTTGTCCGATTCATACTTGGAATGACATACGAGTTTAGGGGGGAACGGATCCGGAACACCCAACACGATCCTGTCTTTCTACGGTCTGGAATGGGCCGAGAACCAACAAGAGCGAGGAAATGGCTGAAATCAAGCGGAATTCCCCGTATCCTGGTCGAATGCATCTTTCCGATACGATTTCCATCATGGGAATGGGAGACTGCGTTTACAGGACGAAACCAAGCAGAAGAAGAACCTGCAAATTGCAAATTCCCCACTGTTTTCCGCTGCCAATCCACTTCTTCCATATTCCGAAATGGGAATGCGGGAGGTTACACCAACGCCCCAGTCTCCGTTTCCCGGGTCGCGCAACATTCTCCGGAAGCAACCGAGAGTATCTCGCAGTCTCTCGCTCCAAACCACATTTAGAATCGCTGGCATGGACCCGTATTTGCCCCTCCTGCCGTCGACCGGGACATTCTCCCTGAGGCCTGAGTTGATCGGTTGCAAATCGCACGCCTCGTTGCCATGATCCACGCTTGCCCCTTGGGAGATGCTGAGATCTGCCAAGTGGTACACCTAGCTAATCTATCAGCATCTATCCGAACCCTTGTCTCGCTCAGGTTGAAACACTTCTGCGGCTCTGGTGTTCACCAATATGGAGGATGGTACCGAAAGTGACATGCAGGCCAACGACATCTGAGACAAGTACCTAGATCCGATGATTTCCAAATTACTATCACGGTAAGTGGTTTGAAGCATCCGGCAAACACTGCATGTAGGATCTGAACGGCCAAGTCCCCTCCAAGCTTTCCTATCATTTGTTGATAACCGTTAAGGTTGGTCGGCAGATCATCACCCACCTAGTACACGGTGAACTAAAAGATGCTGCACACCCACATCAAGCCATGATATCTGTGTGAGACCCCGAGCGTCAGGTTGACACCAAGCCAATCCGACGCCATCTCCACCTCTCCCACCAACCCAAGGACGGCCATGTCATGCGGCTAACCGCTGTAAGTCGCGCTATGCACATGGTCCGGACCTCCGACCTGGAAAACTCTCCGTCAACAGGGAAGACGGCGCACAAGCTCCCCGGCACTAAGTTCGGATGATCTCATTGAAACGGCGAGGCGCTTCCCATCCGCACGCAGCAAAAAGTAAGAATCAGGGTGACCTGGCCCGGCCACGATTTGGTACGCACCATTCCATTTTTTGGGTGATGGGTGTGGTCCCTGAGGAATGCACATCAGATCCTCGAAAGCGGCATTGTGCAACCACAAGTACACTCCAGAACCTTTCCATTTCGGGATGCTCGACGGTAGCAGGATCATGGGAGCATCACAGCATATCTCATGGCGGCTCCGTCCAAATATTAACGACCGGATATTTCAGATCTGTCGCTCAAGTGGATTCATGGGAACGGACCGACCCAACGGACTCTGATGACGCCATGACCGCATCCTAAGGAGATTAGTGGCATTGCCACAGGCCGACGCGAGATGGTAGAGTCCCACCATATTGGTGAACTCCATTGGATATCCTCCGCTCCCTTCCCTAGCTCCGATATACCCTTGGCTCTAGCGTTTCGTCAAGTTGGAAGATCTGCAACGCGTCGGTCCGCGCAAATGATGCGAAGACTGCGATAGTACGAGCAAGCACCTGGAGGACTGTCTCCCACTGTAGCACTTCCGCGAGGAGGCGTCCACCGAAAAACAGCCACAATCATTCCTAATGCGGAAAGTGACCGAAACCACCACGAATGCGGCCCACTGCGTAGATGGCGGCCGTCTTCAGTCAAATCAGAGGGATGCGATCATTTTGGTCACAAGCCGGTCGACTTCGCTCTTGCGTCGGGTTGTTTTCCTACAAATACTTGTCAATGAAGTCTTCCGTTCTCAGACAAAGGAAGCTCATATTACTTCTCCCTCTTCCCTTTCTCTTGCTTTGCCTTCACCAAAGTTTTCGTTGATACTTTGCCCCCGACCCAACAAAGGAGAATAGTACCAAACCGCTTCTTTTCATCGTGTTGAAACAACGACGCGTAATTCTAAGACACTCGTGACTGTGGCGGGCATGAGAGGAAGGGTTGCATAGAGGAGTGAGCTTGACTGATCCAGAGGAGCGCGCTGCCGTTGCTGTGGAGTTGTCAGAGCAAATCGTGCAAGTACCCGGGACAGGTTCGTTGTAAAGAGTCTCTTCTTGCGCATCTCACAATTGCTTGAACATGCATGAGAATGAGGTAGAATCACAAACTGTTCCACCTGCAAAACATGTTTACTAGAGTTAAATCCGCTCAAGTTGACCAACATCTTTACTCCTGCGATGTACCTGCAATCGATCCAGTTCTGACCGTTTCCAGGGTAGCGCTCTATCAGACCACCAGAGACCATCTAAGATACCCAAGCAGCACTTTGAAACCCTTTAAAGCAAAGGTTCCTCCTGGCCTGGGGTCAGTGACCAGACTCAATCCTTTACGGCTTTGATCCAAAAGAGGCTCAACAAGTTCGTCAACAAGTTCGTCAAGTCTTTTCTTGGCTTTCTCGGACTTTGACCCATTTGAAAGAGCGCATCTAAGTCCACTGTCTCCGCCTTTGAATTAGTTCATGAGCACCGGGAAAAGAGGCTCGGTATCGTCCGAGAAAATGCTCAGCACAGTGACCATGTCGCACCCCCATCCACCGACGCCACCATCCGCGCATCAGGACTACGATCTGCATCATATTATTGAGCACAATGCCAACCATCAGTATGCGTTCGATATGAACAATGGAGACGCCGGGCACCAGGTTCCTATGTATGGACAGTCAACTGCAGAGTCCTATCTTCCGCATCCATATGACGGACAGTATGACGGCCACGATGTCGGACTGGGTATTTCGATCGAGAACTACGGTCATGGAGACCATGGTTTTTATGATGGCCACCACTCCTACACCGCATCGCCAGTAAGCATTGACGCAGCCTGTTTCGTGATCAGTCTAACCTTCCAAAGTTCCCTCATGGCCTACAGAACACTCCCCCCACACCGCATTCCACCACCAATAGCGAGATCGGAAGCCATCATATCCGATCCGGGACCGTACACAGCTTTCCATCCTCCTCGCCTCATGGAGATGCCGGTACCACCAAGTCGTCTCCCGCGCCTCGCTCCCGGAAGACCAAGGCCAAGGGCGAAAAACGCAAGACCCCGCGCCTCACGGAACCTCTCAGCGAACTAACAAAGCATATGGCACATCTCCCCCTTCGCGATATCGAAGCGTGGGTGAACCGTTCGATTGAAGAACGACGAGCCGAGGTGGCCAAGCGAAAAGGTTACGTCGCGAGGCCCATGAACTCCTTCATGCTTTACCGCAGCGCCTTCGCCGACCGCACCAAAGAATGGTGCACGCAAAACAATCACCAGGTCGTCTCCTCGATCAGCGGCGAGTCCTGGCCTCTGGAGCCTCCGGAAATTCGCGAACAATACAACGAATGGGCGCGAATCGAGCGGGTCAACCACCAGAACGCGCACCCCAACTACAAGTTCTCCCCCTCCAAAGCCGGCGTGAACAAGAAGCGAAAAGGAACTTCCGTGTCCGACGCCGAAGAGGACTTCGACGGCGTCACCGACTTCGACGATCCTGATGGCGCTTGGAGTCCCCACGGTCGTCGAGGGACTCGCGGTTCCAAGCGCCGTCAATTCTCCCCGTCCGTACACTCGGGCCACGCAGTCATCGCTCCTGATCCGGCCCAGGTGCAGGAACTCCAGAATCGGATGTACTCTGGCCTCCAACTCAGTAGCTGGGAAGCCACCAACGCCGGCAAGCCTCCCCCGGCTGCGATCCGCAATCCCGGCCCCCTCACCAGCACATACGGGCCGTACTACCACCAAACATCGGTGCACCCGTACGGCGGCGGCACTCCCGGAGTAGAAGACGTCATGCTCCATCGTGTGCATCACCCCGCCATGATGCAGACTCCTCAACCGGCGCAACAGCATCCTCACCATCCGCAGCTCGCGCCGATGCCCATACAGTCACAGCAACCAGGCCTCCCACCACCGCAGCAGCAACCACCCCATTCTCGCTCCCCCAGCGCCATCGTGGGCATCCCCAACGCCGCGCAACAGCAGCTCTTCAACGTGCACTCCGGCTCCGGAACCCCCGTGCAGTCGAACGTCGCGGCGTCGCTGCCCTCCAGCCACGGACTCCAGCCTCACCAAGGCCATCTGCAGGAGCCGCAGCTCGACCCGGCGTTGATGGCACAGTTGGACGGAGCGGGGCAGTGGGCACAGCCGTCGAAGCTGGAGATGGGGGAGAATAAGATGGGGGAGAGGTTTAGCTTGGAAGATTGGGAGCCGGATCATGGGTTGGGACCGGCGCAGGATGGGGGGAGCGAGTTTGAGAAGTGGATGATGGCGGCCGACGGAGGGCCATAAGTTGAGCGGTGACACGCTTGTCGGCCGGGTTCGTTTCCGAGGAACGTATCGAAGTTGGTGGATGTTTAAACGTCTTCGCCATTCCAGCACTGTTACTCACCATAGATTCATCTTCCGGGCCGATCTTCTCTTTCATATCCTTCTCTTCACCTCACTGTCCTTCTCTTCCCTTTCCCCTTCCCGGCTCTTGATTCTTTCCGTCACCACGCGCGGCTTATCATGTCGGTTTTTTCCTCAGCATTTCCAACTGGACGAACGGACTATACATTACACGGACGACATTCTAGACTTCTGCGACCGCAGAACCAAGGGGGGCGCGAGCCCCGCATAATATGCGGATCTGGCATAGATTACCCACCCTCAGGGGTCATTTTCTTTTCTTGTTTTCTCATTTTTGGTGGACAGCTTGGGTGGTCATCGGAGGAGGGATTGTGGGAGCAACACGGAAAACGGGAGAAAATGGAGGATATGATAGCGTTCATGTGTGTTTTTAGTCGACACCTTTTATCGAAGCAATAATGGTTACATCACGTTAGACTCCGTGGGTTCTTTGTCTCGTGAAATCATCTGACAGCGCCGTTCGACGTCTGTTAGGTCGATGGATCGTAGCCTCGATAAATAGTCGAGGGCATGGAAGCATATGATGGACTTGATCGGAGGTGATGAAAGGATTCAAAGCACGCCAGCGAACAAGACACATGCAATGCCAGAGGATAATCCAACCAAAGACCCGATCCAGGCGAAAGGAAATAAAGAAACCGCGGACATGTTAGACCCCCCACTCTACCATCTCCGTCGACAAATGTCTCGAGCATTTAGCATTTGCCTCGACACAGTGGGCGAGTGGATGGATGAGTAGGTTGATTGCCTTCCGGACAATTATGCATTCTCGTCCCTGTGACACGTCTATTGATTGTGATAGCAAGCATTGGGCAAGAGGAGAGGGATGTTTCTCCCGAGGCTGTACGCCCATGATCGGAGCTCGGTGTCTGGTATTGAACGGAGCGAGTTCGCTGGACGGCTGATGTGAATCCGGACGGAGACGTCAGGTAATCTCATTTGGATTGACATCTCACAACCGCAAAGAGGAGAGGATCTGCGAAGATCAGTAATTTTGATATCCAGAAATTCATCAGATGATGTTCAGGGCAAAAAAACATGAACAATGAAAGCCCACGGTCCATCCGATCGACAAATTCCACCTCATCTTCACGGTTCACACCAGTCACCCACGAGTGACTAACACCGTCTGCACATTGCACAAAAAAGAACCCCCTCCTATTCCCCATCCACCTCCCCAAAATAGCCAAAAAAGAAACGCTCCCGGTCGGGGAATTGAACCCCGGGCTCGAGCGAACCTTGTCTGATGACAAGCTCAGATGTTACCACTACACCAACCGGGATTGGATGGAAAACTTTTGCTCATTTTCGAATAAACCATTGGGCGGAAATAAAAAACCCGGCGTGAGAAAATCCTGGAGAAAATCCTGTGACGGGGCAGCGACTGGGACACCAGACGGGAGGAGGGGACGGGAGCTATCATCAGGCATCAACTTGGGACTTAAGGAATTAAGGCATCAAGTCACTCATTGATCTGGCCAGCCAGGCGCTGTTCAACTTCACTGCAAGCAAACGCTCCCAAACAAACAAGGAATTTATCGCCAATATTCTGTTGGGAACAAAGCAACCGCATTTCCGAAGTTGACCTTGTCTCGTAAGTAGACATCTCATACTACTCGAGCATCACTGTTCTCTACTTGACATCCTCGGAATCATTCCGATGCCCTATCCACCAAGTCCGGAATGGCTCCAGTGGTCGAGATCGCCATGGACCCGGATGACACGGACTGGAGAGCAAAAAATCAGGGTAAGGTTATCTCAGCTTGGGCTCAGACGTTACCCATGCCATGACCCCGGTTAGTCTAAACCGTAACCAGATTAAACCCATGTTTAGCGTAAAAACTAGTCACGTGAAAACTATTGTCTTGGGTATCCATACCGTCTAAGAAACTCTTGCAAAATTTGTATGGACGCCAGATGATGAGATTTGGGAAAAATGACGAGATGGCGAAAAACATCATACGGGGAAATTGAGCGGGCTCCAGAAGTTGATGAAATATAGATAAGGGTTTATTAAACAGTCCTAAGGCTTTTAAATATCAAATTTCTAACTGTTCATTCTGTAACTAGAGTTTTAAAACTGCTCTCGAATCATCAAGCCGAGGATCAATCTCCTGATCTGCCTCCATGCGAGTAAAGCGCCGGCGAGGTCGCGCCCATCAGCGTGAAACCTCCCTATACCAGAATTCTGCCTCTGTATAACCATCTCCTATCGAGAAAACGATCGAAGAACGAATATCCATACTTGCAACGACACTAGATAAAGAGTTATGCTCGGTACTGCAAGAGTTAGTTAAGGCCTGTCTAATACGAAAGAACATTAAATACCAGCATGATCTTATCTTCTATCGTTTGCAGTGACTCCTGGGTGGTCGGCTCCCACGTACCAACCGGGTTCGGACTCTTCGACAAATTGTTTTTCGGCATGGGGATACTAACCCCCCTCCCTGCGTGGCGGGCATCCCTGTCTGACGGGCAATTTCCTAGGTACTTCGAGTTCAACGCAATCCACAGCAGACATACGCAATTAGAGTTCGATGAATTCAAATGAATCGCTCTCCATAGCCATTTCTGAACATGCTGACAAATTCAAACTGGAAAAATACATGTGCGTGGTTATGTTCTCGCCTGATTTCTCAACAGCATGTCTTATCCTCAATCCAGACATCCTCAATTACAGCATCACCATCATAATCTAATTGCCTGTAAAACCAGTTAAATATCATTATCCATGCCGTACGGTTACATGAGCATATTTATAAATCATCATGAACGATGTGTGTGCCGTGCCGTGCCGTGCAAGATTGCTCAAGTTCGGCATGCAGGTAGGTACTTCCAGTCGAAACGATGGACAATCCTGGTTAGTGCAGTATGCTTATTCGAGTAACGTATAACTATTTGGTCGTACACAGTCAGTAATGAAATTTATTTTAGTTGTCAACTAGTATCATTGCCCAGTCTATGATCTGTGGCTGGTGAAGCCTAACTTACTTCAGGAGCACAGTGGATTCCCCTGCGTGCAGAATCCAGAACCGCTCTTAGCCGCCCTGGAAGAAGCCTTGTTTTGATATCTTACTTGGCTTTGGTTGCTGATCGGTGGGTTGCTGACTTGACGAACGATAAACTCCGGTTCCAAACCTCCAGGTACACTTTTGTAGAGAGAAGTTATAGGCTAACTTACTGCTTATCTTGAGCGGCTGAGGATCTCGTTTCAGTTAGATTGGGATTCGGTACATCGCAATCGTAGTATATGGCTTTCCAATGAAATATCACGAGCTTCACCTCAGAATGATTGAGTCCTAAAGCAAAGAGCGAGCTAAGTTGGACAGTGTGATTCAATCTAGCGTGTAGGCGTAAGACGACCCCCCACTCCTGCGTGGTGGAGAATGAGACAACTCTTCTAGAACCATCCAGAGCCATCTATCACCGATTCCATTTCCTACTTAAGAAACCTGCCCCCAAAACCCCAACTCAATCAATATTTAGAAAAAATATAATACTGTAAGTCGTAGGTCGAATGATCTATAGTGATAAATCTATTTCCATGCACCTCCATTTCCCGGCTGGATTCCCATAATAACCACCCTGCGGGTGGAAACATTGATGGGGAAGAGTTCTCTATCGATGGCTAAGTGCAGTGGCGATGAAAGAGACGCACGCGTTACGCGTGCAGGTCGCAAGCGTTGAGCGTGGTATCGCCAT